CACGGCCTTCAATTGCAAGCCCGTGGCATGTAGCACAAGAGACAAGTCCGAGCCTTCCTTTTTCTGGAAAACCAAGGTACTTCCAGATGCGGAGCGCCTCCCCTCGGGTTCAATGTTCAGAGCAACGAGTAGTTCATCTGCGGGAGTCGATGTGATGTCCGCCGAGATGGTGATCTCCTTGAAGAAAGTGGCCATCAGGGGCGCATTAATGCATTCGTTCTTGAAGAGCACGACAGCCAGTTGGTTTATTGCGTCCAAAGTTGCCGGGTGAATGACGTGTGGCTGCAGGAACTGGCGAGGCATGCAGGCTGGGATATCTGGAACGGCCACCTTTGCACAGCCTTCACGTTTTCCCAGCTGAATCTCAGTGATGGCGGAAAAGGTGGGACCGAAATTGTTTCCTGTCTCCTTCAGGTCATCGTAGAACTTTTTGGGATCAAGTTCGGTATTGGAGGCTTGCCGAATTGCATCCAAGGTTTTCATGTACGCCGAAGCGAGGAATTCTTCCTCTCTTGTTCCTTCGACATCGTCAACTTTGGACGCCATTTCCACGGAAACAAGTCCGGAGCAGTGCTCGTGCCAAGTCCCGGATCCCTCTGGAGAATAGGAGAAGATTCGGAATGATTCCCATCGACTCCCGTCGGTGGTCCTCATGCGGCTCAGGGTGATTTGAACCTCGACATCAGGGGTGAAACTATCGGGTCGTTGATCAGGCACGATAATAGGCTTGGATAGAACCACATTCTTCAGAATGTATTTTGATATGTCTCCCGGGACCTTGCGGAGCTGAACAAGCTGCTTCATGGCTTCGATCGCCATGCACAGATACCCTGCGCCGGGGAAAATCATGAACCCATCAACGACATGGTCCCTCAGCCAGGGCGAAGAATCGACATTAATATGATACCTCCATCTGGGCTCGTGTATTGAGCTCGCAACATCCAAAAGTCCGAGAAGGTCATGGTAGGGAAACTCCCGCAAGCGATGATCGCGACTCAGGCGAGATTCGTACCAGTAGGACAGCGAGTGATCCCAGGGGTAGGGACTTAGATCGCTAATGGTTTTCCACTCTTCATCGGAGCCGTTCAAACAAAGAACATTCTCAAACTGAACGGGGCATCCACACTCGACAAACTTCCCACTCATTTCCAAGACAGACTGAACCGCATGTTTGTTTCGGGACAGAGCGGAGACATAGGAAAACTTGAATGAGCGGGTATTAAGCTTGCTCAAAATTTGCCTGATGGGTCCCGACAATGCCCCATGAGGCCCTATCTCGGCGAATATATTGGCCACATTGGAAGACTGTTTGGATCTTGCAATATCCTCAGAGAGGAGTTTTAGGGCATCACTGAATCGAACTTTCGAAACCAGATTCTCTGTCCAATATGCTGGCCCAAAGTCAGATGTCTTCTTGTGGGCAGTTACCGACGAGTAAAACGTGACACCAGGTCGAGGGACGCCCGTGATAACGTGCTGAATCGACTGAACATACTGATCCGCAATCTTCTTCATGTGATGAGAGTGGTAAGCTGTGTCGACCTTGAGTTTCCTGTTGAAGATACCGAGGCCGGTCAGAACGTCAGACAATTCGTCAATTGCCGCTTCGTCGCCCGAAATGGTAGTGCTTTCGGGGCTGTTGGCACATGCAACGGTAACCAAGCCCTTATTGGTCTGCTTGACATAGGGCAAAACTTCTTCCTCGCCAATACCGACTGCCAGCATAGAGCCTTTAACCGAGTTGGCCTTCTTGGCTGCCGTTGAACACAAGCCTCTTCGATAGGCACTGCGACTACAGTTAGCTCATATTAAACGCCAGTAAGGCAGTAAAGGAAACCAACATTTCAATTGCAGCTTCGTGAGTGAGAGCACCCGCTGCGTATGCCGCTCCAATCTCACCAGAGCTGTGGCCACAGACGCATTGAGGTTCAATGCCAAAGGTGGCAAGCAGATCCACAATAGCGATTTGAATAGCGGTGGTCAGGGGCTGAGACAGTTCACTGTCTGCAACTCTAGTTGTTTGCTCATCTTTATAAAGCTCCTCAATCAAGCTCCATTGACATCCGAAGCTCTGAATAAGTCGATCTGACTCTGCTATCGAGTCTTTGAATCTACCTGGCAGTTTAATCAACTCGCGACCCATACCATGCCATTGTGCACCTTGCCCTGTGAATACAAAGACAACCGAAGCTGAGTGCGGGAGTTTGGTAGCTCGAATATTGCTGGGTTGTAAAGCAGACATGAGCTCATCCTTGGTTGATGCAACTAGGCTCGTTTTGAAGGGCAAGAGCGATCGCCGAACATTCAACGTGTAGGAGAGGTCAGCGAGTTGGTACTTATCTAACCCTCCGGTTGAGATCCAGTCCTGTATATCTTTGGCAGACTCGAGGAGTGACTTCTCGGATGCTGCATTGAGGACGAATAACTGCGGAAGATCGGCCTGAATAGCGCCATTTGTAACCAATTCCTTGCTTGAAGTCCCATTGCAATTCCCGTTGACTGCAGGATGAGAAACTCCATTGACCACACCACTATCTTTTAAATTGCCATTGAAATGATTTGAAGCGGCCTGAGGTCTTGAATATCCGGTATGGCTTCCATATGGTTCAAGAATAACATGCGCGTTGGTTCCACCGTACCCAAAGCTGTTCAGGGACACTCGGCTTGGACCGGGTTGCTCTGGTTGTGGCAACTGAGTGAGTTGAAGCGGGATCTGTGTTCAAAACCCTTAGCTTTGTGCTCCACAAACTGAATTCTGTGTAAGTACCTTGATCTTGCGCTCATCAAGTTTTAGACTAGGTTTGGGGGTCTCTAGGTCAATATTGGGTGGGATCAACCCTTTTTTGACAATCAGGATACCCTTGATGATACCCGCAATACCGCTTGAGGCCTCCAAGTGTCCAATATTAGACTTGATTGAGCCAACATAAATATCAGATTTTCTGTTTGCCTCTTCACAAAAGACTTCGTTGATCGATGAGATCTCTGCGTTGTCACCTGTTTCAGAATTGGTAAGCCTTTGGTTTCTGCGATGAGCTTTAGATCCAGCCTACCAGCCTGAGTTCCCTATACAATATGGTCAGCATCAGCAAATAGTTATACAAGAAATACAAGAACAGCCAGTCTTACTGTGCCATGAGCCTCGACGTAAACGGTGTTTCGAGGGTCGACATCGGCAGATGAATACACCCATCTCATCAGCGCCGCCTGAGCATCTGGACTCGGGAGAGATATTCCTGCTGTCTTGCCGTCCTGGTTTAATCCGGAGTTACGGATCACTGCATGGATTGGATCACCCGCTGCAATAGCGTCGTCCAGACGCTTGAGGATAATTGTCCCTACACCTTCTCCTCGAGCATAGCCCGAGCCCCGACTGTCAAAGACAAAGCATCGGCCGTGAGGATTCACCATGCTAACGATGTTGTCAGTAAGTCTCTCAATTTCTATATCATGCTATGCTCACCCAACCATGCTCATGGCCACTGCCTGATCAGGATGTAAAAGAAGTTGGGTTCCTCCCACAATGGCCATGTTGGACTCTCCAGTCCTCAGGTTTTGACAGGCCTGATGCAAGGCAACCATGCTACCAGACTAAAGGAAACAGGGTTATTTGGTGTAACTACTATATGATGGAAAATGGAGGATGTCACTCACACAACCAGTATCAACCGTGACCGAAGCGCCCTTGAGATCAAACAGATAAGAGATCCGATTCGAGACAACTGCTTCCCCAGTCCCGGTGATATGAAGTTTTGTGATCTGCGGCAGGTCCTTGAACCCCATTCTATCGTAGTCTCGAGCATAAATTCCCACGTAGACACACGTGTTGGAACCTTTGATACTCTCCAGTGGAATGCCCGCATTTTCGAGTGCTTCATACGTGGTTTCCAGCAGAATGCGCTGCTGCGGATCCATAGCGTGGGCCTCATAAGAGGCGATATTGAAGAATTTAGCATCAAATGCGCCAATATCCTGGTGCAAGAAGTAGCCGCTTTTGGAATTGAGGGACTCCTTTGCCTCATTGTAAGGATGGTAAAATGATTTCCAATTCCACCGTTCCGCAGGTACCTCACCCCATCCACTTCGTCCTTCTGACAACATTTTCCACAATGCTTCAGGGCTATGAGCCCCTCCAGGAAGGCGACAGCCCATGCCAATAACGGCAATTGGGGTTTGATGAGCCATTTTGTTTTGCCGAATGTGAAATGGACTAGAGTGAAAAGGTCTCTATTGTTGTAGATTGTCTACTCAGGACAGAAACACTCTATCCTCGCAGCATTTTATATCCATTTCAGTGCCTGGAAGGCCTAACTACAATAGATGAAATGGGGGCCAAATACCGAAGCGAGGTTTCTAGTCTATGTTTTCCCTCAACCACCCACCTCCCATCTAAGACCCATTGACTAGTAAGTTGGAGAAAGACAGATGGTCAGGTTTCCTATCTCCTCAACGAATCAATTGATGTTCTGGGCCGGGTATCGGCTCCTAGTAAGCCGTCTATCTGAATCCAATCTTGATGTAAACTATATTGTTGGTTCTAGGCGCTGGGGTACCTACCACATTCCCCTTTTTATCCGGGGGCAGCTTCCGTATGACTATAAGAGAACGCGGAATATTCTCAAGAGGCTGTCCTCTGCAGGAACTATTTTAGTATCTGCTTACCTGCAGAGGCCCAAGGCTTCGGCAAAAATCCATTCTTCTCTAGTTAGCACAGCCTCTGCGTGGGCCGTGCAGGTGGCGTAAACAACAATGCACGAAAAACTATAAGAAATTGATCGTAAAAAGACCACGTTTCAGCCGATGTTCTCAAAATTGGCTAGCTAGGAAACAGCAGTGTGTTTTATTCAAGTCTCTTAGAGTGATAGCAGAGGTAGACAGATTCAATTGCTGGTTTGTTGGAATCAATTTGTGCCTTATCTCTTCTCTGTCTAACATGGGACCAAACCCTTTTGGACCATAGCATCACAACTTCCTATTCCAATTCATATTATTATCAAAACTCAGTCTTTTCCGGTGTGGGTGACAGATTCCATCTCACTGTGGTGAATCACCGACTCATTGTCCGATTTTCGTGAGCCCCAATGGAACGACGCTCTCTCCCACACTCCGGAAAAGGCCGGACCTGGATGAAACACCATAAGTATAATACACGCTAGCAATACCATAGCGCCGTCGAGTACCATAAAGAGTACTTGTTTTTGCGCAAGCTTTCCTCTGAAGCCACCGGATAACTCGGCCACTCGGAAAACAGCTCGAATAAACAGAAACACTGTGGCTACTGCCAAAGCACCAAGAAACCCTTTGAAGCGGGCTGAGTTGTAGAGAGTAGCATGTGTGAGATTCAGACGGTCGCGATGTTTTCGCACTCGCATAGCATATTCGAGACAAAGGGCAATGAATGTAACCAGGCTGAACACTTGGACTGCCAGACCAGCGACCATGATATCGGTTCCTCGGTCAATCTGATGACTATCAGGCCTCGATTTCATATCAGTTATTTTAAAGAGCATACCTTCCATTGTAAAACCACCACTGCCGCCATTCCCCCGCCAACTGCTTGAACAACTAGCGCAATGAGGTCCAATCCGCTGAAGAAAAGGGTGTATGTTCGTGGACGGATGCGACTAATGTCCTCGCCATAGACAACCACAATGCGAGCGAGTGTCAAATAGACGGCGGCTGCAGTAAATGTAGGTGCGATCGTCGTGCAAACGAGATACATCAGGAAGTAGACTTTGGAGAACGGATCATTGTGGAGAAGTATTCGACCAATGTAGCCGACAACCTCTCCCAGCAATCCTACCATAAAGCATCCAGTGAAGAGCTTGACTTTGTGAGTAATTCCCAAGTAGAGGGCAGGAACAGTCAGGACGCCGAAGGCGGCTAACATGAATGCGTTTCCGGGAACAGAGGGTTGGTAGTGAACATATCCCCAGTCCAGAGGACAGTCTTTGAGTGTGCACCAGTAGGGGACAGCCATGGTGTTGGATGGTTGTGAGAAGAAGTAAGAGAGGAATGAGGTTGATACTTCGGTCGTGCTCGCGGATCGAGATTCTCATGGGAAGCTTGGGGAGAAATACTATCTATGCCCATAGATAATACAAATTGTGGCTTACACAACAAAGAACCCAGTTACGGTCAGTAGAAAACAATCTGATTACTGCTGTAGTCGAATCATTTGCTTTAGCCCTAAAGCCCTAACAACACTCCCATTATTCCGCTTGGTTGGGGCGGCTAATTAACCCGGTCAGCAAGCAATGACCAACAGAAAGGGTTATTGCTCTGTTCTAAATCTCGTACATTTTTCCCGGAAGGGTCTGGTGGCGTCAGGGATCCCGAATCGAGCACGGGGCGGATCGGTAACCCTTCCGACCTGAATCTCTAGAGATATCCTAAACAGAGCCAAGGACATATCATTTGTTGATCAACGCTAATGCAGGTCTGCATGGACTCGGAATAAGGCTATACTACTTCTTACACCGAGACCCTTATTCCATAGTACATTATGGGTCTAGCCACAATATCAGCTACGAAAACCAATAACCGAGCCTTGAGTGCTTTGCGAGTAAGCTTACAATGGTCTCAAAATTTCTTTCCTGGGGATTGTGGGCACATTTCCCCTAGTAGTGTGCAAAGATATTGGCTATGTTTCTGGAGTTACCCCAGGCCCTCCATGAATTGATATTGCCCAGAAGGCTTCGGCATTTCTTTGGTGAGTAAATATTTACTTGGTATTTTCACATTTGTGCCCTCCAGATAGTCATATCAGCAGCAATGGTCGAAAATGAGGAACAAAAAGGATGGCGAGAACCCTTTGAGGGGGAGCTTCCTAGAGACCTAAGTCGAACTCTTCAGGTAATTGGGGCCGGCCTTCCTCGCACAGGGACCATATCCCTCACTTTAGCCCTCACATGGGCTCTGCACGGTGATGTCTGTCATGGAGGATCAGCTTGTCTCCGGGGTCCTGAACGTGAGTTTCGAGTCCTAATAGAAGCATGCACTTATCTAACAGAATGCTCAAGATGTCATCAAAGGGTGGACCAAGGTCTTAGACCCCGGCAAGGATGTATCACAGCAGCAAATTGATGATACATTGAAAGAACTCTTGACAGGCTACGTTGCCACGACCGATGCGCCGGCCATTTTCTTCGTCGAGGAGCTGGTCCGTCTCTATCCGGAGGTAAAAGTGGTATGCACTGTGCGCGAGCCATCCAGATGGTGGGAGAGCTATCAAGAGTTAATCAACACACTGGACAACCCACTATTTGTCCTCTTGCAGCTCGTACAGCCAACACTGCGATATTCGCTAGCTTGGAAACTGGCGATTGTCAAACGGCGAAAACAGATATATCCACCTGAATTTGAGCCATTGGGACCTCGTGAGTAATATTCTTCAATCTATTTATCTTACTTTTAACAAAAATTACATGTCAGACTTTCTGGAAATACACAGCGACTACTTGAGGCGCGTCGTACCCGAAGATCGACTGCTTTTCTTCAACATGAAAGATGGTTGGGAGCCACTGTGTCGGTTCTTGGACGTTCCTGTCCCGGATAAACCATTCCCGCAGGTACACGATCGAGCGTCCATGAAATCGAGCTGGGCACCATACTGGTGGAAAGGTGCGGTGATCTGGTCGGCAATTTTGGTGTCGGGCTATGGATTGAGCAAGGCCTGGTCGTACTGGAGAGATTGAACAGATATTATAAATTTTGTTCAACTTGTTTCAATCCACGTCTATAGATCTCGTTTGTTTACATCTTGCTTCCTAACTTTCATAAACCACACGATCACTTGCCAACGAATGTCGCTTGATTATCCGGGAAAATAGACGATCTCAGCAATGTCCCTTGGATTCAGCCGTCGGCTCGGCCCGCCGGTCCGGAGGGATCTATCTCATCTCCACTGCCAGCCCCCTGCTGCATGTCAGCCGGCGCTCGGTCATCCTCGATACGGCGCCACTCCATGCCCAAAGTCACAGCCGCTGCCACGGCCGTTGCACCGAGGGGTAAAAGGAACGCCTTGGTGATTGCTGAGTTCAAGGCCTTACCCACGAGGTCAAGGGTGGCGGGAGACATGGATTCGGAGGACCATGATCCCTGCGTAAGACCCGAATGGAGAAGAGCGGCGGAATTAAGTCCCGGGATGGCACCTAGCCTGTTAGTGAGCGTATTTAGAAACACGCTTTGTGCCACACTGATACCGACAGCGGCACCAAGCTGGCGGAAGAAAACCTCCAATGCACACACGGTAGGCATGTCGACTGGCGGTGTCACTACCTGCACTCCGATGAAGGTCACTTGGATCGCGGTACCAAACCCTGCGCCTGCGAGTATTTGGGTACCTATATACCGTGCTGTGCTACTACTTGGATGCAGTGTTGCATATAGAGCGCTTCCTGCCACATAGACTAGTGATCCAGCCCACATGAATGGTACATAGTATCCCAGGGCGGTCATTGAGAAACCAGAAATAAGCACACACATGGTACTGGCAGCGGTGAATGGTAGCATGTACACACCGGACATAGCTGCGTCGGTGTTTTTGACTCCCTGGAACCAAATCGGCATGAGATAGGTGTGTGTTATCACCGCAACTCCATAGAGGCTAGAGAAGATGCAACAGGTAGCAACAGTGCGCTGGTAAAGAAGTCGGAGGGGGATGGTCGCTCTGTTCAAAACCAAATAATTAGATACTATAGTCCAAGAGCGAGAATAAAGTCATTACCTTTCTTTCCAATAGACTTGCATGCCAATGAAGATTACGCACAGTATGGCAAATCCCACAAGACAACCCCAGACACGAGGCGTAGACCAGGCCATGGACCCACCCCATTGCAAACCAAGGAATAGACATACCAAGCTTGTCGAGAGAACAGAAGCGCCAAGCAAATCCAGTCGAGTGATCTTCTGCTTCAGAGGCAAATCGACAAGTTTCCCAGGTTTGCGATGCAGGATAAGGATGATAATTACCGCGGCAGCGAATCCAAACGCTATACTACTATTCAGCCATTCAAGCATTCGAGACAGGATAGACGGGGGCTCACTCACGTAAGTTAATCCAAAAGCAAAATCGCCAAGTTAATCGCGAATCTGTCAAAAGACCACCCACTGTCGGACCGGCCAGGGTAGCGATTGAGTACAAGCTAGTCATAATAGCCATACCTCGCGGTCTTTTGCGTAGCGGAACGACTTGTCCAAAAATAGCAAGATTTCCAGTCAGCATGCCCGCGGCTGCTGCGCCGGCAATGGCTCGTCCGAGGATGAGCACGGGAGAACTGGGCGATGTTGCACAAATGACTGAACCAACTTCAAAAAGTAGCAGAGATAGCAAGAACGTGGTTTTGGCTTCAAAGTACATGTAGACGCGTCCAAATGTGGGCTGGAGAGACATCTGCGCGAGAAGATAGACGCTAGCATACCATCCCATATCATCAACGGAGTTGAAATCACTTGTTATTCGGGGTATGGCGGTAGCTGGAATAAAAGCATGTTAACAATTATAGAGCCATTCTTTTTGATATTACCTACAGAGAATGCTTCCGTCAATAGTGAGCATCAAGCCAGCCAGGGTAAATGCCAGGGAGAGGATGTAGAGCCGGGACCCAGTGAGATAGTTTTCTTGTTGCGAAGCATTTTCTTCTGGTATATCTTGAACCTTTCCTTCGTGCTTTTCCTGCGGTTTGTCATTTTGTAGAGGCTCGGGGACACCAGGCTTTTCGGGGTCTGTCACAATAGCACATTGGATGTTGACGGGAGTAGTTGTCTCTCCCATTGTCAAACGATTTCCTCTCTCCAGCATTGATTGAAAAACAGTATGTTTCTTAACTGGGGCTACACTTTACCAGCAAAAAATAGGTTTCCCCCACTCTAACGGGTTCAGGGATATTACTGTCAGAGTCAACAAGAACCTTAGCGAAACCAAGCTAGACAAGCATCCAGTCCGGGATTAGGGCTTACTGGCTTCTGACCTACATGCAGGGACAAGTGAACTCCGTCCTTTTCACTTTCGGATAATGCAATGTTATCTCAGACATAGACATTGGAAGGGGGCTAGACTACTTGTATTTGGAATTTGGTTCCGCTTCTCTGTGTGGGGTGTATTCGTCCCCGTACAACCCTACCAATTCAACTCGGCGACAGCGTCTCCTACCGGTATATTCTGCCCTTACTTCTTTTCCTAACCTACCCCCATTGCAATTAACTATATTGTCTTATGCCACATTCAACAAAGACAATGAACATGAACATGAACCCATTCAAACAAAAACCACTCCCGCCAACACCACCAGCCCGTGTACCCTCTGACACAATTATCCCAGTTCACTTCTGGGACGACGTGCCGTATACTCGGGGTATATGTCTCAACTTTACACTCCAATTCGACAATGTGCTCGATCCAGCGAAACTGCGCAGCGCTCTCGAGCGACTGCTGCAATGTGGAGAGTGGAGGAAACTTGGTGCTCGGCTTCGTCTAAATGTAATGACCTACCTTGTCACAATGTCATATCTTATTTCTTATTCTTTGTTTTCTCTATTTAGGGTGGAGGAAAGCTGGAGTACCATATCCCAGAACGATATACTGAAAAGCGACCCGGTTTTATCTTCACGGTTGATGATGGTAATGCTACCAATAGCATCTACGAGCATCCACTAGCATCAGATCTTCCATCAACAGCAACAAAATCGCCATCATCGTCATCCTCATCATCAAATCCAGCCCCAAACCCATTCATTATATTCGACTGCTCCTCCAAATTCACCCCCATCCTCATCCACAAATCCGCCCCAACCAGCATCGCCTCGTTTCTCTCCTCCGACAACCCGCAACTATTCATACACACCGTCCTCTTCAACGACGCAACGCTCCTAACAATAACATTCCCACACACCCTCACGGACGCAATGGGTCTAGCTGGTTTCTTTCACGCATGGACAGCTATTCTCTCCTCTCAAACAGCTCCAACAAAAGATGAAGAAGAAGACCAGCAAAAGAAAATCCCCTCGTTCCTCGGATTCGATACCGATCTGCTCGAATCACAATTCGATGCCCAAGTCCCCGCGCAGCGACATCTCCTTTCATCCCAGGCCTTCGGACAACTGGGGATCCTGGGACTAGTGGTTAAGCGCTGGTGGGAGAACTACTGGTATCCCACGTTGGAGGATAGAATGCTGCGCATACCGGGGAAGTATATCCAGCACCTAAGAAGGCAAGCACAGTCAGAACTAGAAAGCGACTTCTTCATCAGCGAAAGCGACGTCCTCCTGGCGTGGATATCGAACCTGATAATGACAGCGCGCAATGACAATCCGTCCACACAAGTGATGATCCAGAACGTCTTTGATATCCGCTCTGTACTTGGCCTCTCTGGACCAAGTGCCGGGATGAAGGTGTATGTGGGCAATGCAACATTCCCAGCGTGCACAGCGACAACGGCACATCGACTCCGAAACGGGTCCTTGAGTCAAACAGCCCGTGATATAAGGATTTCGCTCGAGCAGCAACGCACACCAGATCAGGTGCACGCCATGGCGTCGCTAAGGAGACAAACTCTCCGGGACACGGGCTTCTTGCCTATCTTCGGCGATCCGAGACAGGTGCAAGTTACGTGCACCAATTGGCACCGCGCGCGATTCTTTGAGGTTGATTTCGGGGGTGCTGTTTCAGATGGGAAGAAAGGGAACTGTAGACCAACGTATATTAATACCGCTGGTCCGGAACCGTTGGGGCCGCTTGTTGCGAGGAATTTGGTTACTGTTACTGGGAAGGATGGAGAGGGGAATTGGTGGGTGCAGCTTGTTGTGAAAGTGGAGGTGTGGGATAGGATTGGGGAAATGCTGAAGGGGATAAGCTGGGATGAATAGAGGATAATACTCGGAAAATGTTGAATGAGAGTGATAGTTTCATTGGGGGAAATAGTTATCAAGAAGAAAGAGAGAAAAGAATATGTCACAATAACTACTCCTGACACCGATATTCACATGCCCATCTTACTTACCAACCAGAAAATAAAAAGCAAGTTAGTTATAACCAAGCATCTGGCTAAGACCCTCCGGCCCTGCCGCTCCCGGTGGAAGAGAAGGACACACACATCCCGGCGGGATATCAGCAGAAGACATCCACCCCGACGGAGAGGCAACAGGCAAGGAGGAGCGACCTATAGCGCGGCCAAGAATATGAACAGCGCCTTCTCGTGTGTGAAGAAGACCGAAGCGAAGGAAGACTTCAGAGATAGTGACGATGATGGAGATGAGAATCAGGACGATGATAATCCACGTTTGGTGGGAAGTGCGGCTGTCCGCTATCGAGTCGGATAGGATCTCCGCGAGATCTAGGAATACGCGGCAGCGTTCATTCAGGACTTGGATGCGTGGTTTGATCTCTAGATACTCGCGCACGGCGATGTAGAGCGGGTAGAGGGTTGGTTCACTTTCCCAGAAGAAATTGGGGACGTCGAGCATGTTGGATGCTATTGAATGACCAGTCAGCACGTTTTCCCAATGAAGACAAGACAAAAAGATGTGCAGAACTTACAAAGATTCACCTCAACTCGACTCTTGAACAATCTCCCCAGGATCCGGAAAACCTCCTCGCGTTTCATCCCCAGCTGCCCCGACATGGCCAGGCGGCGTGGCACATCCTTTGCATCATCCATCTGGCGAGCCATGACCTCCTCGAAGAAGCACAGCTTCGTGCTCTGCGCGATGCCGTGGCTGATGGCCAGCTTGATCATGTGGTCTCCACTGCGGAGGGTGATCATGTCGTTGTAGACGCGCGGGCGGGAGATCTCGGTCGAGTACTCGAAGTGGAACTCCTCAGTCTCGAAGTCCTCTTCGTCGAGGGGCATGGTCGCGAGTGGAATAGGGATTCCTGTTGCGGAGGACGTGGCGAATACTAGGTCAGCGAGTAGGTCTTTCTCTTGTCGCTCGGTGAAGTTCCAAAAGACTACCACGCCGTAGCTGAAGACGAACATCTCGGCGACGTTGTATAAGGTTCGTGCTGGCGGTGATGGGAGTAGTGGTGATGATGATGAGGGTGCAGGTGCGGGTGAAGGTAGAGGTGGTGAGGGACGGTCTCGGTGCAGCGCGTGAGTATCATCCGTGCTGTGTCGGCGAGGACGAGGGATGGGTTCCTGATCAGGACTTGACGGTGGGATACTCTGCGACGCAGCGCTCTCATCCGAAGCCACCGCATGCTCATGCTCCTCAGGTTGACCGTCTTCCTCAGATATCCGACCCAGGAAGCTCTGATTCTCCCTCCCGTGCTCATCCGGGTCCCGCGGTGACGCATCATCATGGTGGTGCTCGTGCGCGTATTCCGACCGGTTATGCCCACCAACGGAATGCTCCTCCGCCTCGCCTATGTAATCGTCGTGATGGTCGCGCAGCTCATTCCGCTCGATTTCTTCGTCCAGTAAGGACTTGCCGCCGGGGTATTTCAGCACGGGGCTGCTGCGCAGCCGATAGCCCTCGTGGCCGGGAAGCAGCGGCAGATGGTACGCCGTGTAGAGACAGTCATCATACAACTTCGTCCTGGCGCCATGCCACTCCTTGACGAAGGCCGCAACGGAGCTCATCTTGTACGCCTGCGCGGTGCAGTAAGCCGTCACCCGGGCGAGCTTCTCCGCACGCCGCGCCTTGGGTAGTCGCTCCGCGTAACTCTTCGCACGCTGAGGCGTAATGCGTCTCTTGTGCAGCAGCTCTTCCTCAGCCAACAGCGGTGCAGCATCATTGTCAATGCCAAAGTCCCCATCCAGTCGCTTCTGCGCCAGCAGCTGGTTTCGAACTGCCTCCGGATCCAGATTCTTATCCTTCGCCAGCCGCGCAACAAGCTCCTCGTCCACAAGCTCATCTCCCTCTCGCCCCTCCTCCTCATCTTCTTCATCCTCTTCACCCGGCTCACCCACGCCCCCCGTATCAGGGAGAAGCACCAGCTTCTCGCTGACTTTAGTTGTCCGCGGCGGAAGACGCGGCTGCGCTGCAATTCGCGCCGCGGTAGCCACGGCGGCGGAACTACCCCCGCTGGCATGTCCAATCAGTCCGCCCGCAGCGGAGGCGAGCCGGTCACGTCGGGACCGGGATCCCGGCAGAGGATGGCGCTGCTGGGCGGAGGGCACGTCGGAGGCATATTGGAGGACGTTGTCGACGGTGATGAAGCGGGTTGCTGGCGATCGGCGCCGACGGGGTGTTTGGGCAGGGTGTTGGTCGCGAGAGTCGGTAACCTGTGGTTGGTGGACAGCAGATATCAGCATTGTGCTTTTTTGTATTGCTTCTTTTTCTCATGTCAACGTTTGGAGCTCACCAGGACGGTCGGACTCCGCTGGGTCCCCCGTCCACGCGGGGGAGGAGTCATGGTTGATCCGATGCGATTATCTTGATGACAATCGGTAATTGAGTTCCTGCGCTGTGGTCAGACAAGAAGGGGCGTGGTCCTGAATTGACACAGCTTCGTCAAGTAGATGATGACGAGCTAGAAAGTGTCCTCTGCGCCTAACCCGAACCGGAACGGAGAGTCCAATGGCGGAGAGCATTACCGTACCATACGGTATGTGTGGGATCATGTGATCTAGCCATGCGTTGTCACTTTCGGCACTAGACTGCAGTGGGCCTAGCGGGAAAGTGAACCAGAGATGAGGATCTGGGGTAGATTAAATCCTGGAATTATGGGTGCAAGTGTTCATGGATTCAAATAACTGGTAACTTGTGTACGAAAATGTCCATTGTTCACCGGGATGCAGATCTGCCAGAGCAGGGATAACCAGATGTAATACTATCCAAAAAGAAGAAGGAAAAAAAAAACCCACACCAGTATCCACTATCTCCATGATGGCTGCGGCCCGTCGCCAGTAATATGTAGTGGAAGGGCAACCAAATTCAGGGTTTAGTTGCCATGCAAAATGAAATACGAAATCATGCCAAAACCCCGTCCCGAAGTTGTTGGTCCTCATCCCAGATCTCCTTCTTCATGCGCTGCAGGCGAATATGCTGTTTCTGCAGCCGATCCAGATCCGTCCGCGGAGGATCCGCCTGGCCCGCAAGGGAGTCATGCAAGGAGCGGTACTTGGCGTAAAAATTCTTGAACTTCTGCGACTTCTCCCGCAGCTGCTGTCGGAGGAGCTCGTGGCTCATCGGCGGGGAGGCGCTGCCCGTGCTGCCGCCGCTCGAGGTGCTGATCGCCCGGCGCCGCTTGTGTTCCAGGTTGCTGCTGGCTGCGCGTCCGGTGGCTGAGGCGTGGGGCACAGACAACCGGTCAGTCTCCGCCTTGCGTTTCAGGGGATTGGCCGTGGCCGTGGCCGAGGCCTTGGAAATGCCGTTGGTCTTTGCTGCTGGCTTCGATGCTCCCCCAGTGGTCGCTCGGTTCATTCTGGCCAACTGGGTAATGAGCGGAGAAGATGACGAGGAGCTCGACGATTGATTCTGGCTGTCGGAGCGACTGCGGCTGGGAGCATCGGAGGCATTGGCGGGCGGCGAAGATCCCAAGGGGGACGGCTTCTGCGGAGACGTGGATGCTCGTGGGGCCGGCTTCTTGGAGACGGTCCCTTTGGAAGCGGATTCGAGCTTGGGGACCTTAGGGGTAGGCGCTGGCGGTGTGTCGGTCACACGAGGTTTGGCTGCGGCCGACTTGCTTGGCTTGACGGCTGTCGCCGGGGTCGGGGCGGCATCCGGCATGTCCTCATCCTCCTCATCCGAATCGTGCACAAATTCCGCGGACTTGATCTTGCTCTCGGCCTTCGAGGCCGGTTTACTTGCGGCCTTCTTCGTGACTCGTCCGGTCAATGTGGTATTCTTGCCCTTGGCGGACCGCTTGGGTGTATCCTTCTCGCTGGGTTTGGATTTTGGGCCTGACCGAGGAGTCACGACCTGCGCCGCACCGGATCCTGGTCCCCGGTCGGTTTCATTGCCAGTGATGTCGCCCTCTTTGCCTCCCTCCTCCGACACTTGAATGCGGGGGGTGAGAGGCTTCTTGATCGGGCCCCCGGTGAGATTCAGCCGCGACAGGCACTTTCCCTTGCCTCGCTCCTCCTTCGGAAGCAGCATTTGCCACAGCTTGTCGTTGCGGGAGATCCGCATGCGATCAAAGGCGGAGATGGCATTCTCAATAGCCTCCTGCCGGTCTTCTGGGGTTGGGTAGGGGAAGCCCCAGACATCCAGGTCCTTGTAGGTTTTGTCCTTGAGGTCGAACTTCTCCCGGTTCAACCGGTTCTCCACGCCATACTTCTGGGCCAACGAGGTGCAGTCTTCGGGGGACGACCGGGTTTGACGACTGAGAAATTTGGTCGACACGGCCCGGACGGCGAGGAGGTGAATGAAGGGGGTCTTGAGGGCTTCCAACCGAATCCGATCTTTGTTTTGGGGGATCGGCGCCGAAGTCGGGGTCCGAATGGGGGCCGGTGATATGGGCGGCCCCAAGGCTGGGCTCGATGTCAGAGACCGGGGGGTGGCTGTTTTTAGAAACCGATCTTTGTCGAGCTTGCCCGCAGGTCCTCGAGCAGTCGATTTCTTGCCAGCCCGAAGAGCTTTCAGTTCATCCGGGTGGGCAATCATGTGTGTTTTCTTGGACTCCTTCCCGCGTTCGAAGGCGTTCAGGCTCTCCTCCAAGTTGGCCAGAGCCTGGTCCGTGGCCGCTGTATCCTCCTTTGCCTTCTCCACTTCGAGGCTGTGGCTCAAGATTCCGCTGAAATATAGATGTTGCTGATCGGAGGAGCTCCCTTGGTAGAGCTCGGAACGGTGGGTCTCGGGATAAGCGTGGAAGGATTGGGACTTGGTGCTGTAGTGCAGGGCTGGGTGTTTTCCCAGACGAACCCGAGCAGGTTCGTCATTCCGCAGACTCTGAATGAGCTCATCCAGCGTGCTCTGCACCAGATTCAGCCGCATGATCTGGACCGGCTTGGAGGCATTGCCACTGGGGTGGTCCCCCGGTCGGAGGGACAGCCCGGTGCTGGGAACCTCCAGCCGCGGCATGATGGTGGCCGGGGGTCAGGGCAGGAGGGCAGGAGGGCAGGAGGAGGAAGTCGAGGGGATGGGGAGGGTCAGGTGGCAGCGTCAGAGCTGCAGGTCAAGCGGCCAACTGCACGGGGGAGGGAAGCAGACCATGAGCCATAGACTGTGGGTGTAGTGATGGGAGGGGAAGGAGGGACTCGGGAGGAAGGGAGAGGGGGAAGAGAGAGTTTGTCGGGTGGAGGAGGGAGAGAGTGAGAGAGAGCGAGAGAGAAAGTCAGTAATGAGTGAGAGAGTAAGAGTGAGAGTGAGTGAGCCAGGCACCCGGAGCGGAGGTCAGTGGGGATCATCGTGTATCGGTATGAGTCGGGTATGTAATTTATTCTTCTAGTACGATGTCCTGACGTCTGAGTGGACTGCCAGTCGTTTTCCTCTCGCCTCGCTTGTCTTACAGTCGTTGTTCCTGTACACCCCCGGTGGATCCCCGACTCTAGTATCCGGCCCAGATCCAGTTCCGTCGAGCGGGTTTGCCCGCGGCGATGGGTCTCGGCAGTCCCTACAGTGGGTGACTTAAGTGACTTGACTGACGGACTGTACGTATGCCCTTTGGCATGCTGGATCCCTCCGTCCGGGTGATCGTCCCGGCCATTGTAAAAGAATGTCAGAGCTTTGGTCCTCGCTGCCTCGTCGCAGTTAGTACATACCGTCAGTGTTGGTTCGGGGGCCATGGCTGTGGCACCCGGCCCCCGGGCACTGATTGGACTCGGTCGTTTCACGGCTGTGCTGACGGACAGATAGGAGGGGGGGCAGGGCCACGATCGTGGATCCCCTTGCAGCCGGGCGAGACATTTTCCTACGGTCTTTCTTTCCTTTGTCGGCCTGGAAACATTCGAGCCGGGGTCTACCCTGAAAAATAATAATAATACATAATCATGGCTCAGCCCTAGATCGACCACGGCGAGCACCGCCTCGTATTTAGACTTCATCTGTCCGAATTAACAGAGTGATGAATACTAGAATCATGCCGCAGATGAACATACTAAAGACACCGTCCTCCAACCCTTCGGAGGTGATAGCTATCGAATAAGAGTAACAGCAACATTGAAGTAAACAAGATGACCCACTCCCAAAACAACCAGGCCCAACATTTCCGCTCCCTCCACCGACCCGGCAACCCACTCATCCTTGCCAACGTCTATGATGCCGCCACGGCCGCCATCGTAGCCACCAACCCAGGCGCGCAGGCCATCGCAACGGCTTCCTTTGCGATCGCAGGCACTCATGGCGTGGAAGACAATTCCATGTCTAAAGAAATCAACCTGACCGCCGTCGCGACCATTATCAGACACGTCCAGACCGTGGACCCCACCAAACCCATCACCGTCGATATCCAAGATGGCTACGGTAGTACTCCAGCCGAGCTAGCCTCGACTATCAAGGACCTCATTGCCCTCGGCGCGGTGGGGTGCAACCTTGAAGATAACAACAATGCGACTGGGACGCTGCGACCACTCGATGAGGCGGTCGAGCGCGTGCACGTCGCTGTCACCGCAGCAAGGGAGGCCGGCGTGCCCGATTTCGTGGTCAATGCCCGGACAGACGTGCTTGCAGACGCGGGCGCAACCATTGACGACGCGATCGACCGCGGCAAGGCATTTCTCGACGCCGGGGCTTGCACCGTCTTTATCTGGGGTCCGAAGAATAGAGGCGTCTCCCGCGACGAGGTGAAGCGGTTGACTGTTGCGCTCAAGGGCATGGTCAATGTGAAGCTGAACTTCGGGCCTGGCTTTCTGACTGTCCCTGAGCTGCGCGAATTGGGCGTGGCGCGCATCAGCGTCGGACCGGGACTGTATAAAGCGGCGATGAAGACGTTTACTGATCTGTCTGCGCAATTGTTCGCGGCTTGATTCGGTGAGTCCTTTAGCTTAACACTAACAAATGAAACATTTTTTGAATTGAAATAAATGGAGTAATCAATCACCCATAAGAAGACCCTCACCCACACCCCAACCTAAACAGCTACCACCCCCGAAGGCCTCTCCGGCGGCTTCACCACAGACGTAATCCTCACCCTCGAACACAGCCCCTTGACACATTGGTTCCCATAGCAGCAATTCGCATCCACAAAGCATGGCCCACTATCCTCCCGACAGCCCGGCCACTGTTTGTCAGTGGAGCGGCACTTATCCGCCGCGCAGTAGCCCGAGCAGCAATTTCCGAGGGTGCCGCCGGAGACGCAGTTTGCTGGATATAGAGCAGTTAGGACGGGGCAGGAGTCAATAAAAGATATGGACTGAAATAAAGAGAAAAGAACGAGGCAGAAGAAGAGGAAGAAAAAGGAGATACCGTAAACGCGTAGACAGGTCGGTGTCGGCATGCAGGTCGTCACTGTTGTTGAGATGGGGTTTGTGAAGGTTGCTGTCGTACAGATGTCTGTTCCGATGCAGGCAACGGTGCCGCATTTTGCGGGTGCTGGTGGTCGGGTTTTCATCAGTGAACTAACAATAGAAGGAAAGGCAATGAAATGAGCAGGTGAGAACATACAGCCCACAGCGAAATGACAAAGCGCAAGAGTCGCAGGTAGAGAGGTGTGCATGGTTATAGTAACTATTGCAGTTCGTTGGCAGATGATAAGTTAGTGGCTAGTAGGAAGGGAAGTTGTTGTGCAACTAAGAATGTTATGGCTACGAACTTTATACATGACCCGATCCGTCGTCATGATCCTAGATCTACGATCGATGTAGAAATAAAATATCGATTATTGATGATGTTGCCCAGACCACATATAGCAAATACGAGTATATCATAACCATAACCTATCCATGCTCAGGTCTGTATGTCCCGGGATCTAGAACCGCGGACTGGCTGTTCACCTCGACGCTGGGGTGGGATGTATTGTATCAATCTGTCTGTCTTACCACGACACGACTCTCGTGTCTCGCTATTTTTGGAGGTGTTCATGTTCATTAATAGAAACATCGCTCATAGTATATCTGTCAATATTTAACTAGACACGTCTCGTTCATCTTGAAGGGAGATACGAAAAAAGGCTTTCACAATCACCGGGCAAATTGTCGCGTTCGTATGATTTACCTGCCTTCAATCTAGATTGCGATTGCGGAGTAATGGATCAGTATAGTCACGACCTATTCGTCGCTTATATTTTCACGGTTTGAGATTACGTTACGGTAAAGATATAATCATCTATGAGACTATGCGCGAAATAGTTTCGTTAGGTAACGGTCCTAGACACGGTGATGGGGTGTGGCGGTCATAGATTTACAGAAAGAGAGAGATAAAGCAAGCGATGGATAACAAAGGACACAGATAATTAGAAAATAGAATAAGGGGGGGTGTATGGTGTATGAAACAGACACAGAATACAAAGAAGGCAAACAATGAAAAGCAACCCGATACCATACCGACCAGACACCGCGTGTTGAAAACAACAAAAGACGAACCCGATTTCCTAACCCTATCCCGTACAATGTTAGCCATGAAGATCCCAGTTTCCCACGCTTTCTATCTATGCTGTTTCCTCGTCTGGTCGTGTCTCGGTAAAAGCCATGTCCTCCGCGTTCAAGCGGTAAGGCAGAAAAATGATGTGTGGTCGGGGCGAGAAGGACCTCGGCAAGTCAAATAAGATGCAGGAAGCAAACAATTTCAAAAGACAGACTCGCAAATGAACAGCGGAAGGTGGATTTCTTCCGTGGGAATCAATGAGTTGAATAGTGAAAACAAAACGAAAAATGAAAAGACCTCATACGGCCGTCGACCAGCCGTCGCCCATTCTGGGCTTCGTCTCGTAGTTCTCCGGCTCGGTGCTGGTGGGCCGGCGGATGGTCGAGTTGGGGAAGTACATGTGTGGGGGCATGGACGTCGGATACGCTGGTCCGGTAGGCTCGGGGTAGTTGAAGTCGTTGGCGGACCCGGGAGACGGCATGCTTCCATGAGACGGCGAGGCCCATCCGAGGTTGCTCATGTGTGGGCTGCCGTTCACACTGTTGGGCCGGTGGTCATTGTTGGCCGGCGGTTCAAGGGGCTGCGGCGGAGCGTAAGGGTGAGAAGTCATCGATGGCCGAGCGTGGGGCGCACTTCCAAAACTGGAGAGCGACGGGGAGGTTGCGGTTGGGGAAGCTCGAGGGCTACCTTGCGAGAAATCGCCCCGGAGATGCGGCGGAAGCGGGCCGTTGCCCATGTAGTAATCGCCCGCAGAACGGTGCATGTTCAAGGGTGGCAGGTCACCACCGGGAGACATCGCATGCGCGGGAGAAGGAGTCGAGCCGATCGAGGCCTGGTCTGGGAACATGCCGTCTCGCCCACGGTCCTTGTTTTGGCGCAGATTGGCCTCCGTCTCTGCGGCCGCCTCCTCGATGGTCCCCGTGTGGTGGTTTTGATGCCGGGTTAATGTCGTCCGGCGCGTGAAAGTCTTCTGGCAATTCGCATACGGACATTTGTAAGGCCGCTTGCCGGAGTGGATGCGACGATGTCTCGCAAGCGACGACGAGTCACTGAAGGGCTTGCCGCACCTCTCACACATGTGAGGTTTCTCGCCGGTGTGGACCCGGGAGTGTACTGTCAATGCGGAACGCTGGATAAACTGCTTTCCACAGCCCGGCCAGTCGCAGGCGTGAGGACGAACCCCGGTGTGAATACGCTCTGTGGTGAAAGTCAGTAATGAAACTCCTCCTACAACCACATCACAACGCCTACCATGTCGTGCAAGGTCGCTTCGTCGAGCAAACCCTTTATTGCAGGTCGAGCAATGAAAAGTCTTCGCTGGCGGATCGGCGCTGGTCCTTCCTACAGGAACAGGTCCCGGCTGCATGGGAGCCTCACCAGCATATCCTCCAGGGACATAGGCCAGGTTCCGTGGCGTGGAACCCGGAGGCTGGGCATAGTAGAAGGAGTCGGAGAGCCCGGAATCCATAGGCATGTGCGGAGGGTGGGTAGGATATGCATTGACGGGGTTGTCCGATGCGCCCGGTTCGGTTTTCATGATGGGGGTGTTCTCGGAATTTACGAGTCCTCCTTGTTGCAGATATTGTTGACGAAAATGCGCTTCTGCGGCGGCGGCTGCGGCGGCGGCAGCAGCAGAATTCTTCCTGTTCAGGATGGTTGTGAAGTCCATGACCCGACCCAGCAGGTACCGGGGTCAAGGACGGCTCTGCACGGCGTCCTTCGGCAGGCCTTGAAGATTCGAGCCTGGAGTGTAGGTGTCCACGACGTATGTCACAGTCACGGTGTCACTATTCATTCATCCACGGTATCGGACAAGTGTTTCTGTAGGTAGACGGGAGGAGGGTATCGGACGTCACGAAGCGGTGGGTATAGGGGGAGAACTGCTAAAAGGACTCGTCAGATACCACCCAGGATTGGTAGAAACGTGTGCCAGGCAGACCGGGCAACTCACCCTGATTGGGGCCGTATTATACGCCGAGTTGTCGGTGAAGAATGGAACAGGTAAATTCTTCAACTCCGTACACTGGAATGCCGGGTCGCGGAAGGAAAGGATCAAGTCACAGGGCAAGAGTTCCGTGAGAACCAGGGATCAAGGCTTCGTAGGATATGGGGAGGCCGGAGTGTCGCGATCAGTCGATGGGGGACGCGTAGCCGAGTGTTGGTGACGAAAATTTTGGGTATAAAGAACACGGGGGCAAAGAGGCTCGTAAAGGATCTAGTAATTCCAACGGATGAAAGTCAGCAAACTGAATTTATGAATGACTTGATGGCAAACTCGGCGGACGGTGGGCGTAGATATCGGCCAGGGCTCATCTCGCCCCTCGGGCGTTGATCTTCGGCCTGCGAACGCGCCACGCGCATAGGGCAGTTGGGAGCCCGAGAAACTTCTGTTGGACCGCACATCCACTGGTCGCCCAGCTTCAGAGGTTCCCAGGTGCAAAAGAGATAGACGGCTCCAACCCGGGATGTGCGTCATCTCGAGATCGGGTGGACCATGAAAGGAAAGTTGGAGCACACACACCTGCTGGAGATTATCGGGCGGATGGAAGACGGGAGTCGAGATCGACAGATGGGAGAGGGAGGTTGAAGGTGAGAAGAAAGAAAGAAAGTCGAGGGTAGTGGGGGGGAGGTTAAGGTTGAAAGTGAGTGAGCCGGGGATCGAGGGAGAAAAGGGAAAAAAGAGAAAGGGGCATATGATGAAGTATGGCATTTTAGGTGTGGTAGGTGCCACGACGAGGTCAACTTGTTCTTCTCTGTCTATTTTTCTTCTTCTCCATTGTTACTTCTTTCAAGACTCTGCGACGCTCTTATTTCTCTTCTCTTTCCAGTCTATGATACTCATGAGGTCCTACATCCGTATCCCTTCGTCCACCATCTTCTCCAGCCCTCGATGACTGCAAAGCGCCTTATCCCTGCAAAGCCCAAACTAGTCTCCTTAGTCGGTTCCAGCGAAGTCCGCTAGAAGGAAACATGGCCGCACCAGAAGCCCCCCGGTCAGCAATCCCGGCTCCACAACGCTCTGCCTACTCCATTATTTCCCCCTGTGCCCGTGCGGCCCAGCAGTGGATACGAGACAGTCACGCCGATCTGAATAATGAATCATAGTTTGTGTATTTATTTCTGGAGATTCGAGAAATGAGCATCCACAGGACGGACTCACTAGTTAGCCGATTAGTAGTTCTCCCACAGAACGAATAAATCGCAACGGACCAGTCCTCGCTCTCAGCACAAAGCCGAGAGTGACAGCCAGAGAGAGAGAAAAAGTTTACGCCAGGGCAGAGCATGACGCAAGTCCGAGACAAAGCGCGTCGGGATAATTATAGTTATGTAGAGCAAGAAATAACCCCTGAAACTCGTGAAGGAGCCGGGGGGAGTCGGCACTATGCACATCGCAATGGTGCGACACTGCATTGCCCTCGTGCAATGGAACCTCAAACACCAAACATCTTAACTAGTATGTATGGGCTATTTGCCAGCCGAACCGGACCGTCGAAGGTTAACTAATCCTTCTTTCTAGAAATGTTCGACCAGGTCTGACTCGTCCCGCGGGCCGAATGTTCTTAGTGTCGTTGCCTGCCCATGTGGTTCCTTCTGGTCTTCAATGCTTCAAGCCCAGTGGAGCCTACCGATGCCTACCCCTGATGACATCCACCGCATCGGTAATTACAACCCGCATCAGCAGCACCGGGCATTCCCCCTTTTTCACATCGCGGCTGAACCCACTCCACTCCCATCACCTCGGACCAGCTTGATTGGCGCGCCAAGCCTTCTCCTAGCCTTCTGGCGGCCTTCGCGAAGGGTTTCGAAGGCCCGTGGAACATCCCAGCGCGGACGCTCGCCGTTTGTCCTGCGCGATCCTCATCCTAGACGGTGCGCGCACGGAGGCCTGAGCCCTAAATGACCGCATCGTCGACCCCCGGCCCGAGGCTGAGCTCGCGCTAGATCGTCCTCTACGTCGATAAATCGTTCCTGGCTCCAATCGTGTACGTAGTCACTTTTGGGGCCCGCTGCCCAATTGTTAATAGGTAAAAGGGGCAGGGGCCATTTTGCCGTATGCCGGTAAGGTTGGGCACCATTTACCATCCCTGTCTTTTGCTACTTTCCCTTTGTTGTGATGATCTTCCACCGGATCCGACACCCCTGACTTGTTTTCTCTTTGCCAGTGACGACACTCTTCTCCTGTCAAGTTTCCATCCCGGCCTTGCGGATGGGGTTTGCGGACGTTGTTTTCCGTCGTCGACACCGAACTAACCACATTCGAGCCATGCCTGTCTCAGGTCCTGCAGTAGGAGTCTGGCTAATAATAAGTACACAGCCGAAGGCTTCTTTCTTTTCCTTTTTCTTTGTTTTTTATTTATTTATTTTTTGGATAATGTATTTCTCGACGTGTAACGGGTAGAGTGGAGGCCCAGTCCACATGGTTGTGGCTGAGGTGTATCAAGTCTGCGCTAGTCGTACTATTAGTAGAACACGCTGTCGCCTTGTTGCCCCTGATTAAGATTAATAATGTTAGCTGTTCTCCGTATGGTTGTGTGGTTATCATTATTCTCGCAATTCAGGTTTTCGGATACACTATTCAAACAGACAATCCCCGATCCTGTGATCACCTACGCTCCGACAAGCAGGACCCACGGATGCCTACCGTGCATAAATAAGTCCACGAGTCCGCGTCGAATAGTGCCGATAGTAATGTGCCTTGCTCAATCGAGGATTCTTAATTTCCGGGCTTGGGGATCGTCGTAGACGATGAATATCAACTTTCCGTGGACGAATGAAGTTGGGCTGCTACGCATCCTAGGGAAATCTCACTGTATCTACCCCTTTAGGCTAGTAGTGCTCCCTCTATACAGTAATGCGATAAGTGGCTTGAGAATCTATCCTAAAATAAGGTTAGACGGCCCCGTGATTATCTCCACACAGGCCAGTGCGGAAATAAGACGGGGATTGCTCAGCGTTCCCTTCGTCTGCAATATGCGGAGAAGTCTTCTGTACAACAGACAAAACATATCACCATGCCGAGCAAAGGAATCACGATCTACACGTACATCTCCATTGAGGGGTACGAGGTCGAGTTCACCGTGCCGAAGCAAGCGGTGCGCAACACGGCGGCTGATAACTTCACCTCCAAAAATCTCGAGGTCGAGTCGTCCAATATCCCTGGACTGAGTCATTTTATTGGTCGATTCGAGTGGAACCTACACCATCATGGCGCCATCATTGCAAGTGCCTACTGTGATATCAACGCCCTTACTGGTAAGCTGGAAGGCGGTACAATGGCCGCCACAGTGGATTGCAAGGTTATTGTCACCGACGAAGCGATCATCACATATGGCTTCTACGACGCCGGCCATGGGGAGTTTGGGCTCACCAACCGCGATCAGTGCTATGTGACTGTCTGTTCGACCGCTAATCGCTTTTGGATGGGAACCATAGCACCACCCAGTTCGGCGGCGGCCCAGAAACCGTTTTCACGCTTCGTGTTAGCGGCTCCCCACGACGATGGCATGAACAGTATGATCAGCTGTGGTTCTGTGTTCCAGCACCTTGATGGAAACATGGTGGCCGATTTGCGCAAGATTGCACCAACGCTGCGTTATTTTGATCACCTGCCAGACCATATGCTTCTGGAGAAACTGCCGAACATCGTCTACGGCCTTGCCATTACCCAGAAGAAGGATGTGCCCAACATGCTAGCACTTGGGGCGCGGTACTTTGAATTTCGTCCGGCGAAACTTCTCCCACTCTTTCAGAAACTCTCGGTGCTGCCGGATAAATTCTACTTTCAACACGCTTGTATCCCTGGCCTCGCTTTTGACGAATTCCTCGACCAGCTAGTCACCTTTCTTGACGAATTCCAGACGGAGATAGCGGCTATCCATATTCGTTGGGATAATATCGTGAAGGAGTGCCAATTACCGACGGAGCGGGAGGTTCACGATCATTTGACTACCGCTTGCAACAAGGCAACTCGCCAGCGTTTGACATGGGGCGGCAGCGAGTGCTTCCAGCAGCCGATCGACGAGCTCCGGAATAGCGGCACGCGTCTGATATGTGTTATTCATGCAGACAAGTATGACAGCTGGACAGCCGAGGCGTATGCGACCTTGGACGCAAAGCCCATCATCGACCGGTTCGAATCTATGCACACAGCCGGACAGGAGAGCAGCGATTTGACAGTGCTGCAATGCCAGGCGACATCACAATCGATCAAGGACGTCTTGGTTTACAGCGTTTTATCTGCTGAGGCGGCCTCTTCGTGCTTGACATCGACGAAAGCTGCCTTGGACATGGAGACACTTCCTTGGATTCGGAAGAATGCCCTCCAGCGACTCCAAGCCAACAAGACAATTGTCATCATGAATGACTTTATCGACGGAGCGACTATCGATACGTCTATTAACTTGTCGCGGCAGAGGCTAGCGGCGTAGTTCATCACCGAGTGACCGAGTGGCATCAAGGTCTATATACCCTTTTGGTTAGAAAGACTAACACAGTACTTGTCTGTTAGCCCTACGTTGCCTTGCCATCCGTAGTGTAGATATGTGTAGGAGTGCCATTAGTCCCTTGCGCTCCGAGGTCCAACCTACTTCTAGACTAGCCTTCAAGCACTAGACCCTACTATCCGGCTTCGGACCTGCACCAAAACTTACAAAGACCCTTTTTTCTTTGTCTACTCCGTACCTGGTCGTTGTTTGGAAGATCTTAGATTTACGCTTGCTGATCATCTCCTATTGTGCATGATTTTGGGGTAAAATGTCGGTACTTGGAGCCTTGAGAACATGTATAGGCATGGGGCGCCTCTTTTGGCTTGATGTAACATTTTCGCCGCTAGAAACCCTTGCTAGACCATTTTAATTTTAGCACCTCCATAGCCGGACTGGCGGAGATAAATCCTTTCCGGACAACTTTTCAGCCCCAGCCTTGCCATGCTCGAAGTTTCATTTTTCTTTTCCATTTTTCTATCTTCAACCTCAGCCCTATGCCATTTCTCTGATCTTCATTCATCCCGCGTCTACCACCCACCATGCGCAGTGGGTTGGCCTGCCTACTCGGCTTGGCTGGCGTAGCCTTGACTAATGCATACAGTCTGGAGAGGATCGACGGCCTGGGAAAGAGAGATGGCCCGGCGGTTCTCGCGGTGTCGATGGTACGCGACACGTCGCGTCGGCTCTCTAAGCGATCGAAGACTGTCGATGTCGATCTTGACAACGAGCGAGATGGTGTACGTTGGTCCAGCGCTTACAATGGAAATGACTTGCAGGCTAACCTCGCTTCCCAGTACACATCTTATGTCGCAAATATGACTTTTGGCACCCCGCCACAGCATTTCTTAGCTTACTTCGAGACCTGGGGTAACGGCTGTTGGCTTGAGAGCGTGGATGACTCTGATTGCGAGCTCTACGTGGACAGGTCCCTTTGTGGTGGATATGGAGGCTACAACCTGACTGCCTCAACCACTGCACAAAAGCTCGATGAGAGATTCGCATACAATGATTCCGGCACAATGACAGATGGGGACTTTGTGACCGATGTTCTGAAGATTGGTGGTGTAACAGTGGACACTATGAAGATGGGGATCGTTACTAATGAAATAATCACTGCCAGTACGTCCGGGCTATCTAACCCGTCCAAGTGTGATCACTAATATGGACTAATCATTTGCGTGGACTTATTTAGATACATTAAGCCTTGGATACGGAAATGCATCTTCCACCTCTCTAACCCAGGCCTTAGCCGACATCGGTGCCATTAACTCTCCGGCCTTCAGTCTTTGGGACCAGACAGCTCTGTTCGGAGGCATTAATAAGGCTAGGTACAACGGCTCTCTCTACACTTTCCCCATAGTCAACGGATCAGACCTTACAAAAGCTCTCCGTATCAATATGGATGGCATCTCGATCAATGAAACATCTACAGCGTCAAAGGAGTTTCCGCTAGATGCTGTCTTCGACACTGCGGTTGGAATGACCTACGTGCCCAAGTCCGTAGCTCAGGCCCTGAATGCCCAAATTGGGAATACCTCCGTTCCGGATGAAAACGGACAAGTAAATTTCTCTTGCAGTGCAGTGGACGAGAACTCGACAATAGAGTTCAAATTCGGGGAATTGGAATTCCAATCCTATCTCAGCGACTTTGTTACCCAAGAAAGTGACACTGCGGCGAATTACGGGTGGTCTTCAGATGAGAAGACGTGCTATTTCACGATCTGTGAGAACACCATGCTCCAATTTGAGGGAAGCATCGTTCTGGGCTCCAACTTCATCAGTATGGTTTATGCAGTCTTTGATCTTGAGAACGACGAGGTCTCATTGGCGAGACTTAGTTGGGATGAAGCTCCGGACGATATTGTCGAGATTACTACGAATGGTGTACCTGGAGTGAAGAAGGATTCGGCTGGTACGCGTATCGAAAAAGGCCTGGGGATGAGCGCTTTAGTGGTCGGTGCTGTGCTGATCCTGATTTTCTGAATTCAACCTTTGTAATAGTAGTTGGTCTCTCTACCTGTCGCGATTAATACGCTAGCCATGCGACCTAGGTCAAATGCATATTCCTGTTTTGTTTTGTTTTTGATTGATACGCTGCCATCTCTCCAGGTTGACTTTCACCAGAGCGATCCACGATTTTGCATTTGGTAATGTAGTTATACCTGTAGTGGTGTCTATTGCCTAGTGTATGGTGAGTGTCAAAGACGAGATCGATTTGCTAACACTGGTATCGAAAAAGAAAGGGCGCGGCAGAGTAACACTGTTATCGACATTCTTTGGCAATTATCGCAAGCTCACTGAAGACGGACGGGTGGCCCACTTGCCCCGCCAGCCGATCCACTGACGTATATGACTCTCCGCCCTCCGCGCTTTCCTAAGTTAATTATTTGACTTCATCTCGATCGTTATCCTACAAATTCATCTGCTTATCATCATGGGATTCCTAGGCCACCACAATCTCGAGCCCTTCCCTGAGCCTCTCGCGATATTCGACCAATTCGTCGCGAGGGAGCAGCAGACCTTAGTCTTGAAAGAAAAAGTGCTGTCCGTCTCTGGGGATAGCTTCGATATCAAGCTAGCCAACGGAGAGCCGATTCTGAAAGTGCATGGAGCCTGGGTCTCGCTTTCCGGTCGCAAGAAGGTCGACGATGCCCATGGCAAGCACCTCTTTGATATTGTGAAGGAGCATCTCCATCTCCATTCGACTTACGCGATTGAAGATGTGCATGGAAAGAAAATTGTTGAGGTGAAGAGTGGCCTTGCTCGTAAGTACCGTCTGTCTCTCACAAACCAGGTCAGGCCAAGACCTATCTATGTGAATATCCAAGTGGATTGATCCCCTACGTTATAACTATCCATTACTGACCGCACTATGAAGTGCTCGGCTCGAAAGCCACCGCCACTTTCACTGCCTCGAACGGCAAGGCAGCGACTTTCCAGATGAAAGGCGGCTGGTTCGACCGTAGTGCCGACATTGTCGAAACAAAAAGCGGCCACACAGTGGCTCGCATCGACCGGAAACTACTTAGCGGCAGTGATCTCTTTTTTGGGCAGCAGACGTACGCCGTCGTCGTGGCACCTGGAGTAGATGCGGCACTAATCGCCGCCTTGTGTATATGCTTCGATGAGAAGAACAACGAGAAGGACGAGAAGGGCGCATGAGAACCAGTCATGCTAGGGTGCACTGCTGGGAGGTCCGTTTGTGATAATAGCGTAAAACGCCGTACTAGTTATTTCTCGCTCGAGGAAGGAAGACCCTTGTATTGAGACCATAGGATCTTGCACTCAGATTCAAGAATATCCATCTCGCATTAGGAATATGTCATCCCAATTCATTACAAAAAGTGAACATAAGGGTATATCCCCGGTCTATAAACAAACCAACAAAGAAAGAAAGAAAGAAAGTAAAAACCCCTATGCAAAAGTGTGTGTGCCCAGTGTCCAATGCCCATGCGCCAGGTGGATGAGGAAGAGCGTGGGGCGGAGGCAATCATGATGCTCACTGGTGTCCCCGAAACTCAAGACGAAATGAGTGGCCGATGCAAAATTGACATTGACATGCAAAATATAAAGGAAATTCACCGCTTCTGCCAGGACAGCTCTAGAACTTTATCGCCTCGTCTTGTGTCCCGTTCGATATACCATTGCGTGACTCGGCCGGTGATCTGGTCCACCACGCTGTCCTGGAGCAGATAGCTGGTCTTGTCCTCGTCCCGGGGACGCAGCGGACCGAGCTCGTGGAGATACATATCCATAGCTGCACCGTTGTGCCCGTCCCATGTCATCTCCATGCTGAGGTCGCCGGGCTCGAGGTTGTGGGAGTAGCGGATCACGGAGAAACCGTTGGTCAGGATGAAGCCGTCGCTGAAGCGCCACTGGCGTAAGAGGCACGCATCCCCACAAAGACTGGAGATGACACCGAGCTTGGTCATGTCGGCATGGAACCACGACTTCCAGTGGTGCACGGACAACGGGGGTTCTCGGCCCGACTCAAAGAATCCAGATGCGTCCACCATCAGGTCCAGCTGGCGCAGGCGGTGGTCGATGGTCAGTCGGGTTTGGGTGTATTGGTAGATGCAGTAGGCAATACGACGGTCACCGGAGAAATTCATTTGCTGACACTCGTCGTACACGGTGACCAAATCTGATATCAGTGGGCGCGACAAGAAGACGCCTGCGCCTCCAAATGCCATCACTCCAAACACTCCGATCTGCGGGACGCCCTCGGATATACCGCCAATGTACATGGGTTGAGTGTGGTCGTATAAGCTTAGCGCTTTCACCAGCGCGGGCATGGACAGGAAAAAGGTATCATCGTCAATAATGCAACCCCATTTGGTCTGGGGGCGCATGTTTTCCTCCAGCAGCGGAATCAGCGCAAAATATCGGCGGAGGTAGTCATCCTCCGACTCGTGAATATGGAGATTAATGCCCATGGCATCTGCCTTGGCTTGGACTTGAGGAAGCCGCTCATCTGGTTCCACCAAGGCAAAGATCCGAGTCCGCGTATACGCAGCCCAGTGTTCGAATGCATTGAGCGAGTCGTTCAGTCTGTCCACGGTGGTCGCCACACCAAAGTCGATATGCGACGCATCGGCCATTTTGGGCTTAGGGGGCAGCTTGACCGACACCGGGTGGGGAATCGAGCAGCCGTCCTGCGGCTGCTCCGTCAATGTGCGGTCGATACCCTTGACCATCGAGGTATCCCACAAGGGCTGGTCGATTTTCTGGGTGATGGGGACCTCTTCGTCGGTAAAGTCCACCACGATTTCCCGCCGGGTGTATTCGGCCAGTTTCTTGACCTCGAGCTTGAGCAGCAGACTCTCGTCGAGCTCGCACTTGACATTGGCGGAGATGGTGATGTTACTGGCCTGGTGCATCGGCGGGCTTTGCGGTTCGATGGTCGGCCACATGAAAGTAGCAAATGCCGCGATGCAGACAAAGACCACCACAAACCGCAGTAGCCGCTTCCAGGCCCAGGAGGCGGCCGAGGATGGCCGGTCGCGATTGTTGAGGAGAATCATATTGTAGGTTGTGTCGCCGGGATGTTTGTTTCAAAAGATACCATGCGAAATCGACGTTTAGAGGAGGCGCATCAGCATTGCGGAGTATGTTCCGAGTGAGCCAGGGGGAGCGAGGCGAGTGAAGGGACTATGGTCCGGAGAGGCAAACGAGGGTCGAAGGGTCGGGCCAGGTACACACAGGGTGGTGGGATGAGAAAGCGAGGGTGGAGGGAGGAGAGGAAGGAGACGCAGGAATCCAGTTCGCTTAAAGATCGTTCAATAAGAAAAGACGAAGAACAACAAGAAAAAGAGACGGGGGGAGACCCGCCGTTCCATGGTTGGTTCGTGAAAACTGCGTTAAGGGGCATGCCGATCATGACGCGGTGGTCACGTGGGTCATTGACCCGTTCCATGTTGGCTTTTTCTGATGATGTTGGTCTGGAATAATGAATGAACATTGGACACCTTCGGTGGACTCATCTGGTAGACCAGCTAATCCTCGTCTCGCTTTTCTGGGACCCCGAGGGTGCACAACATGTGCAGTTTCGGGGCGAGATCGCACCCGGTGCCAAGACTGGCGCGCGCCATCGTTGGCGCTGACTCGCCGCTCATTTCATCCTCTAGCTCCACGTCCACGCGTCCTCTTAGCATTGTTGTGCCGCCAGGATTTCTACCCTAGTCGCCGACAATACCTATGGAAGATGCTGCGACACAGCATAAACATCTCTCTTCTCTGCTGATCTGTTCACTAGAAATATTGCCCCTAGTGCATATGTTCTCGAGTGAGTTCCTGCTCGCGGCTCGACCCTTTGGCACCGCCGACCCACTACCCCTGCAGATGATCTGAGCCCTGACAAAAGATTGTGACTGGCGCAGAAGCTTGGACATCCGATAGTTGGACTTGAAGGTGCAAGATGATCTCCCCTGGCCCCTGACTGTGCCTACTACATCCTACTTATCACACAATAAGACGCATCAATTCAATGTTGGTCCCCACCGGCGGTTCAGGGTCGGGGTGGCCCGACGCCTCTTCTGTCAGCCAAGAAAAAAAACCTTAACGTTTTTCCCGAGAGTGGAGATGCCCTGACACCGAGCACCTAGAACCGGCATTTAAAGGGCTGAACCATGTCTTCATCAGTGGTCTCATAATGCCAAGGCCACGCGATATATATAGTTTGTAGGTTTAAATGCACGTCATTTTTTCCCTTGTTGCATGCCAGGGCTTTCAGGCCTGCCAGCGGCGAATAATCACGGATTACCGAAGCTATTGCCTTGCGAAGGCAACCTTTCAAGTCATCTTTCGATAATTATCACTGTCTGTCTCTGAAAGACGACCTCTTAACCTATATCAATCTTCATGAACAACTGCAGACACAAGCCCCGTCGTGCAGCACTAGAAGCAGTGGCTTCAAGGCTCTCCACCTCACAACCCCCGCGGGATTCATGATATGAAAAAGAACCAGTCCCTCACTACGCCTCGAATGGCCGAACTTTTCCTATTATTCTCCTTGGGTCGGCCCAAATGCTAACGGGCGAGGTTTCCCCCACATATCGCACGGGAGAAAACGCCATGCACCTGCGTGCCGGCGGGCAAACAAGTAGTTGATTACCCACTCCGCCAGGGGAGGCAGCGCAGGCCACTGGCTTCCGCCCTCGAACGTGACGTCCCGCAGACCAAGCACCATGGGGGGCACTACTTGCTGTAATTTGTGATTTGACTAATCAATATATGACTTTATTTTCTCCTGCTGTCCAGTACACATAACTGACGTACCTTTTCTTGTTTTGCCGCAGACGCTACGCACTGCTTGTACACTTTAAGCAAAGCCTCCCCATTGTAAGGCTGCATTGAGAGGAGGCTATCGATCTCATTGCTCAGATGCTGGTGGAAAATGGGGGCCATGCGCTCGATGATTTCACGGAGGACTGAGGCATCGTAGGATGCGGGTTTAGTGCTGGCCCCATATGTCAAGAGGTCTTTTAGCTGTGACTGGAATGCATGATGCTGCTCCACGTTGTTTCCCAGAAAGCCGGTGATGCCAATTGCTTTCTCAAAACCGGGAAACATGTGTTCCTCTTCCAGGACGTGATGATCAGAGACCCAGTTTGCCCAGAATTTGATAAAAGTGAGGAAATCCCCAATGTCGGCTGGTCTTTCGACTTGTTCGGCCTGCAAGTAGATACTGTTTAGGCCGCGGAGCATACAGTTATGGGTACAGGCCATTTCGTTCGCGATGTAAATGGCGGCGTGGGTTGACTTTCAAATGTTAGCAAGGCATAAGTTAATTAGGCATTGAGATAGGGCTCGCGACTCACCACGTCCTGGGTTTTGGATGGGGTTTCGATGAGCGGCCACGGCTCATCCGCCCATGCGCGACTTGCCATAATGACCGCGGGAATCGATTTGGAGCCAGGGTTTTCAAAGAAGAAATTTCGATGACTATAGCTGTGGGAGAGGAATATTTCGGGCAACTTGCGAAGATAAGAGAGACTGGAGGAAATGCAATTTTTGGTAACAGGGAAGTGGGAAAGTCTCCGCTAAATAGGTAGTACTGATTTTAATAATCAAATGGAGCTAAGAAAGCCGAGGATTGGGATTTGGAAATCATTATGGCTGCGTGTATGACATCGGCAGCTTCCCCAGTCGAAAATGAATAATCTATTGGACATGCCGTAGCGACAGGAGGTGTGGCTTATATGTAAGATACTGCTTTAACTAATGTACTGACGCCACAGATAGCTGGCCAGAACGAACTAGCATACGAAAGATTTAGAGAGTGGCGTTGAGAGAGTTCACACTAGTCAACTTGGTTGGTGGGGGCTGAAAGAGCTGATGTACTGTACGAGTTTCAGGCCCCCCAGTCGCGAAAGCCATATGCAATATCTATGGCCCAAGCTAAATAGTTACAGCAAGATTACTATGCATGGTTAATATTCACTGAAACGCTTAATAGATTTGGAAGCGTCCGCAATCAACCATATCAAACACGGCAAGTTAAAACTCCATATCTCGACCATATCAGTCTTAAATAGCCTATTAAAGCATCCTGGTCTAAATGGCCGTTCTAGTCTACTGGTGTAACAAAAAGTCTTGTCAGAAGTTCAAAGTGAGTAACAAGTAGAGCTACAGTGAGTACGGGAGACTATGAAGCTTGCCTCTGTTTTTTTGATGTTAATAACCCAGCATATTAATACATTGTTTATAGCATCGCGTATCCAAGCTCAACTTATTTTATCCCCCCCGGACAGCTCAGCCACCGTCTTTCCTGACAGCTCAGTCGCAGCCAAGTGCGCTGATGCCTCAGCGTAGAACGGATCGCCAGGGAGTACGTTAGTCCGCCGGCCGTCACCATCTAACTGATGTCGCTTTGCCATAACATCGGGAATTCGCTCGTGTTCTTGAGGATGTTGTCGTCGTCGTCGGATGATAAAGAACACAACGACGAAGACGATGGCAGCGCCTGCAATACAACCCACCACTATCCCCGCAATCGAGCCTGAACTGAGAGAATCACTTGATGATGGCTCATCTTTCGGGTGGGATGCAACTGTTGATATTGTTGTTGCTGTTGATGTTGTTCGTGACATTGTATTAGAAGATATCGGGGCAACTGTACTTGTCGCAACCTATTAACCCTTTAGTTACGAACCATTGACAAGAAAAAGGAATACTGGAAACCGACTGGCAGCGATGAAAAGACTGTTAGCATAGCCTGATCGGTAATTCTCCCAGCAGAAGTGTTAATGTCGATTGACCACTCCGCCCCTGTTAAATCGGTGTTCATCACCGGTGCTGTGTGGCTCAGAGCGCTCATGTCCACCCCGAGCATGTCGACTGGGCCCAGCAACATATTGCGCATTATCCATCCGCTCTCTCCCATCGTCAGATTCCATTGCATCCCAAAATCCGGCCCGGTAGCCAGTAGCTGTGGCGTGACCGGCCGTTCACTTGTGAGACCTAGCTGGTATGTAGCATTATAATCCCAGTTTCGAATGAAGTAGACTCCTTGGTCAAAGAATATCTGCCAATTTTCCGAGGTGAAGGTGCGAATGGGGTCCAGACCGGGGACTTTAGGGGGTTCGCTTGGTAGACCAACTGCAAGTGTCGTGTTTGGCCCAAGAGCCGTATTGGAGAACCGGTAGTAGTAGGTCGGGTCGAAGGCATTATTATTATTCGACATTCTGAAGATCTGAAGTCGGCGTTAAGAGGTATGCGATTCTGGAATATTCAGCGATTGTAATTCGTCGCATTTAGTATGGAGTTGCGGTTCGCTTGTGAAAGCGCCGTAGGTGAAAAAGCACCTGGTTGCGTACAGCCATATATACCCCTATCGTTCATTATTTGTAAGGCCCTATCTTTCATTATTTGTAAGGGTCACCTGTTGTATTCACCCAACCGTATTCGGCAGGGATTTTCTCTGCAGAGTTAGCCACTCATTTAGAACAGCAGTTGGGCCAATAGGAGGGTTGGATTGAACCAACAGTCGATCGAGCTGAAAGTATAAATGAGCGGAAGTAAGACAAGGAACATTGTTCGCCCCGAACAGCCTTGCCTTCATATTCTGTCTGAGTTGCAACAAAATGCTGATGCTTTTCCCTCTAGAAGCACTCTGTGATTAAGGCTGTTGAAAATGAATCTTTCTTGCTTGCAATTGCTTCCTCTCCTCGCTGTATGGGGTGAAAGTGCTGCGGTAACAGTCGCGGCAGCTGTCCAAGTCCACGAGTGGATATTACCCTCACCGGCGCTTACTGCTTATTTTCATATTTTCTTAACTTAAAATACCTCCTCTCAGCCGTCATGCCCCACTAAGCCGGCGTGCAATGCCTGAGTTTATAGATTTCATGGATCAGGATCAAGCTTCAATGGATAAGATTAAACCTGGCTTCGAGGAGATGACAAGAATGGCTCGACCTTCATTGGATGCCAATTCAGAGGATTAGCTTGAAGTAATCGATCACTAGTTCGACTGGGAGCCGTCTGTGATATGAGTTCAGCTATTAGCGCTGCCGTATGGGACATGTTATCAAGCAAGGCTATATCGCAAGGCCATAGTGAAGCCACTCAGTGTCGTTCCGAAAACATTGAGGACATTAACGTACGTGTAGATTATTTCAAGGGCCGAGACGAATTTGCCTTTGGATATATGGGATTCCAGCTCGGAGATCACCTTATTTCAGTACTGAATTCCATACCGCATGGGCTAGCACAACCCTTACTAGTAAATATGTACTATGATGCGTTACTTGATGAGGTGTCCTGGGACATGGATTCTATGGCATATGCTCTCATTCATTAGCTCACGCATGATACCCTTCTGCTCAATACCACTTCATTTGAGTGATATTGTTCTACCATGCACAGATTTCATATTAAACTCTTAACTGTTCTTCATTCAGCAGAACTCAACTCGAAGATAAAATTAACAAATACAACCCCTCGTCACTGACCCCAAAAATGCCCTGAGTCTTTTCGTCGCCAGATAAAATTGAAATGAATATATCCTTCCCAGCGAAGTGTTTCCTGAGAATCATATGTATTTAACTTGTGTGTGTAGCATATCAAGCATTCTGGTGGCCGAATTCCTCTGCCAGTCAGAAGAAAGAGCAGACAAAGCAATGATCCTCAACGGCCATAGTAGCCGCATTGCATCCCATAAGCCAACTTTGTAAACAGTCGCCTGATTATTGAGTCTTTTTTGATCAAAATTTAGAGAGTCAAGCTGGTAGAATGAGGCTATCATTTGCAGGACTTGATTTGATAAGGCTTGGAACTCTTCAAGACAGCATAGCTGGGCGTTGAGGATCCTGGTTTGTTGCTGTGTTGTGCAGACACGGGCGCGAAGAGCGTGTTGTAGAAACAGGTGTACCTTGCATGCTAGTTGTAGTCGAAAGGTGCCTTGGTATACGAGAAGACCGGTAATCCGGAGTGAGGTAGGCGACATAGTGTATGGGCTGAGTGGGTGATCGATCACATGGTTTTGTAGACATATCTCATGAGAAAGAGGGTCCCGTTGCGTTTCAACAGTGTTCATATCGTGTAGTACCGAGGGGTAACTGGAGAGGATCATCTCGGGGTCGCCGGCGTTGATCAATTCTTGGACGAACAGGCATATTCGCGTGCAGTGGTAGGAGTAGATTGCGGCCCGAACGATGTTATATTCAGCCGGACCAGCGCATTTGAAGAACTGTTGTATCCAGATCAAAGCCTCCTTGGAGTAGTCTTGTCCTGTCAGAAGAGCTTGATTTTGCTAACCCGGCCTGCGTTAGAGCGGAGGAACATAGCAAAGCACAATATGGGGTAAGGTGAAACTTCACACTGACTATGGTATTAAAGACCGATAGGAAAAGATATCGTCCGTCTTGGGTCATTAAGTACTTTGGTGCTTTTCGAGAAAGCAACGCCACCATTCCTTGAGTGTGAATACACCAGCCAGAGGACTTGACGACGGAGATGAAAGTAGGAACAGAAAGAAGCTAAATGAAAGGAAGCGGATCAGAAATCAATGCGTAAAGTTGAAAGACTAGCCACACCTCATAAACGCTCAATAGAAAAACGCAGGCTAAAGCGTCGTCACGCTGGGACAGTCGAGGGTCTCGAAGGTCTGAGTTTAGAGCAATGATTGCCTTTCTGTATGACTGTGCCTGGGAAGATCTAGCAGCAAGGGCATGCATCGTCGTGTTTGTGATATAGACACGCCCAATAGCGTCGCAGACTTGGTGCAGAGTGGACCCCGAGTTGGATGCCGAAACCATGTCGAGGATGGTATTGAAGATAGTTTTACGGTGGCCATTTACGACATCGGAAGATAGCTTGCTCATGACCAACGGCATACGGTGAGCGTCCCACGGCTCCGCTAGTGGGTATTGAAGACTGGCGCCTGGCTGTACGAGGGTAGTTAGTGCGTGTGTGACAGCTCAATTCAACAGATATTAAAGTTCTTACCCTGCTTATTAGTTCAGGCTTCTCCGAAGCGAACAGGACAGGGAAATCCTTCCAATCATTGGTCGCTTGACCCGCAGTGTCAGCCTCTGGCGGAAATCCTTCCCCCAATACTTGCGCTCTCGGACCACTGGCCTTCATTTTCCGATATATTTTGCCCTTCTTCTGTGAAAAAGTTGATGCGTTCTCAACCCGGAAGCGCAGTTCAAGCTCATCTCGATAGCCCTGGCAATGTATCTCTTTCCTTAGGCACTGACCACAAGCAGGGTGCTTAAGGTCGCACTACCGGATCAATAAGCGGCGATCATCTGACAAAATTGTCCACAGGTCCAGCATACCTTGATGCGTCGTTGACGGCAGTTGTAGCAGTCCCGGCTAGGACGACCGGGATTGGGCATGGTGGTAAGAGCTCCAATTGTGGATTAAGAGGACAAGCAGCGGTATCATGCTTGGTACTCTGTATTTAATAAGAAGCCACGATTCGTTTGTGCGTGCCCGAAGAATGCAACTCCAAAGCTTCGCGAAGACACTTTCAGCGGATATATTCAAATTAACCGCCAAAGCGCCGACACAAGTGATGAAAAAAAACTAGACCGACTGCATAGGCACTAGATGCGGGGTAGTTGAGTTTACTGATAGGCCAGCTTGGAGACAGGGGCCTGCTCTCGGTGAGACTAAAGACTCAGCGCGGTCGAGTCCGGTGGTTAATTGAAAATATTGAGAGACGAAGGGGTCGGACATAGATAAAAAAAGCACAATAATGACAGTCACCCAGAACAATCCTTAGAGAACAGTAACGAAGATATGGTCGTTTGCAGACGGATTATCGTGCTGCTTATACACAGGTATAGAACTCTTGAACACGTTGAAGCATACTTTTCGGAATGTAGGTATTCTCGTTTAACGAGACAGGAGATCGCCTGATACTTGGTTTCGGGCAATTGTCTATCCTCTGTATGTCTTAGCCCCGGATGTCTCCCATCTGTAGGTGTAGATGATTGAGAGATCAGTATCAACTGTAATAAGCGCCCAGTAAAGAATTATTGGAGGAAAGTGCAGTCATCACAGCGGCGGAAAGACATTATTCCTATGTAAGAGTGAGAGCGTACAAAGGGAAACGACCTATTCATAGCTATAGCCAATATAACTCGGGTCACGTGATACAATACGGCAGACGCCACGGCCACCTGCGCAAGACTGCCCGATTGGGAAGACGCACAGTGGAGTACTGACACCACCCCATGGGCTAGAGTTAGGAACATTCACTCCTCCTCCTTTCACCCACCTAGCACCACCTGTCCGCCCCGGACTGAGAATATCTCGCTGTAGCCTTCTCTCCCACCCCGCCATGGCTGCGCAATCGCTGCCGTCGCTGCTGCAGCGGGCCACCATTGACGACGACGAAGAAGTGCTTCGGTCCTGCAACGCCGCTCTCGCCAAATCGAAGTCCGATCTGAACGCGCAGCATGTCAAAGCTGTGGCCCTGCTCAAACTCGACCGGTACGAAGACTCGCTGCGGGTATTTGCAGCCGCAGGTGATGCGCTGAAGGAGAGAGCGGGCTTGGAATATGCATATGCCTTATACAAGTGTGGCAAGCTGGATGAGGCTGCCGAAGCGGTGGCTCGCTCAGGTGCCGGTAGAGGTGCTAGTCATCTCGACGCGCAAGTGGTATGGTGACACTGGCCATCAGATGCATGGGGCATTCGCTAATCTCATTTTGATTGTCATAGAGCTACCGTGCTGAGAAATTTCGCCGCACCGCAGAAATCTACAATACTCTGTCGCAGGATCGGGAATCGTTCAGCAACGAGGCGAACGATTTGAGTATCAACTCGTGGGCCACTGATGCGCAACTACACTGGAAGGGAGAATCTGGATCCGCGCGCAACGCTCGTCTTTCACGGGAGGACCTGGAGTCTTTCGAGACGGTTTACAATGCTGCTTGCTCGAATATTGCCAAGGGGGATTTCAAGTCGGGGGAATTGCTCATTAAGCGGGCGAAAGGTAAGTTTTTCCTCTGGTAAATACAAACTATGACTCTGACCAATTGCGCGAAACAGAGATCTGCCGGACATCGGAGGAGCTTGCGCCGGAGGATAAGGCTGCTGAGTTGATGCCAATTGCGATCCAGCATCTATATGTTTTGCTGCGACAAGGGAAGACGGAAGAGGCCGAGTCGGTTCTCCAAGAAATTGCGGTAGACAAGTAAGTTTGAGATTGATACCCTGGCGGAGGATACCATACTTACATGACTTCTAGTGTCTCGGAACTCTCGACAAAGCGGATCGCTCAGAACAACATTGTCCTGGCGCGGCAGACAACACTCAACCCTTACATCCTCTACAAGGCCCTTCACGACACCCCCGATGCCATTGATAACGACCGGCCGTTCGAGTACCAGAACAATATTCTGGTGGGCAATTCTCATGCGGCAGATCTACTTGTCCAGAAGTACGATGGCATGATCCGGTCCACAGCCAAGACCCTCTCACGCAGCCCCTACCCTTCCACCGCGGCCATCACCAATCTCCTCTCCGTCTACAATGCCGCCGCCCACGCACAAGGCCAGACCGGCGCTCCAGCCCTGAAACAGATTCTTCCCTTGCTGGAGAGACGGCCCAAGGACCTGGGCCTGCTCCTCACCGTCGTCCAGCTTTACGTCAGCGCCGGCAACACCACCTCCGCCATCGCCATCATGGAGCGCTCGCTCCACAGCCTCGAAGACTCCATCGCCGAAGCAGACCAAGAAGCCCGCTTCAACCCGGGCTTGCTGAGCGTCCTTGTATCCTTGTACCAGCTTGAGGGCCGCAAGGTCCAGATCCGCTCCGCCCTCGCCCAGGCCGCGGCCTACTGGCGCTCCAAGCCCGAGCCCCCCGTCTCCCTCCTTCGCGCCGCCGCCGCATCCCTCTTGAACTCCGAGGACCGTGCCGACCTGGCCACAGCGGGCGACCTCTTCCACTCACTGCACAAGCAAGAACCCAGCGACCGCGTCGCCATCGCCGGCTATGTCGCCTCGCAGGCTACGCTAGACTACTCGCAGGTGGAATCGCAACTGGACCGCCTCCCCGCCGTGGCCGACCTAATTGGCGACATCGACGTCTCCGCCCTGGAATCTGCTGGAATAGCCCCCTCCGCCTCGTCTGCTGCCGCTGCAGTCGCCGCATTCGCAGGAGCCCGCAAACGCGCCGCAGCGGACAAAGAAGGCCGCGCGTCCAAACGCGTCCGCAAATCCCGTCTGCCGAAGGACTACGACGCGGCCAAGAAGCCTGACCCGGAGCGCTGGTTGCCTCTGCGCGATCGCTCGTCCTACCGCCCCAAGGGAAGGAAGGGTAAGCAGCGCGCCGCGGAGCGGACGCAGGGTGGTGTCGTTTCGGAGAAAGCTGAGGACTTGTCTGCTGCCGCGGCTGCGAAGCCTTCTGCTGGAGGTGGAGGCGGTGGTGGAAACTCGAAGAAGAACAAGAAGAAGGGGAAGCGATGATAGCTTCGCGGGTATGTGTGTACGAGTTCTTATCTTGCCTTGCCTGTGCATAGAAAAATGAATGAATGAAGATTCCTGAAAAAGAGATGAAAATCACGCTAATTTGCTAGCCATGTATGATGAGTCCGTAGAAGCAGATTCCTTTCTTTCCCTTGCCGGTCCTTTCAATCCCAAAATAAAACTGTTGGTACAATGCCATCCCTCCATCCCTCCACCGTGACGGCGCAGGAACGCCACTCCTGACCTCCTCCCTCTCCCTTTCTCCCTACATATCCACCTCTACTGAGGGTTTCTTTAACCCAGGGGTGTGCGAATAGTTCCGCATTGACGGTCATAATGCTCGAAGATCATGCACAGCATTCTCAGATCCAGCAAGGCGTCATCGGCGGATGTTTTTGCAGGGACATCGTCGACCAAGTAGGCATGCAGCGCCGAGAGTTCGTGCGCGTATGCCTCTTCACAGGAGCTGACTGTTTCAGTCCTCTTAACTCGAGGTCGAGCCACTCCGTTGCTTGTGCTGCCCTCGCTGAAGCCATGTCCATCCCCATTCACATCCTCCCCATCCCCATCCACACTCTCCTCCACAACAACACGCATCACCCGTCCCTGCCCAATACTCTCCCCAGGACAGGGAAAATCATACTGCAAACTAACCGTCTTGCGCGCCCCGTATACCGTCAAATGGGCATCGCAGCGTGGGACTGCATCCACGCCTGCCTCGTACAGCAGCGTAAACGGGTGGCTGTCATCATGCTTCGTGTCCGTGTAGTGGAAGATAGCCGAGTAGAACGGGTCTGTTATGCAGACGTTGGACACAGCGTTGGGGAACCCCAGCGTCTCGCGCATCAGGGAGAGATCGTGGCAGCCCATTGTGCCGAGCCAGCGGCAGAAGGCGACGCGGTCTGGGGTTAGGTCTTCGGGGGTGCCGAAAATTTCGGAAATGATGGAGTGGAATTCGGTGGCGCTATGCGTGCTGGCTCCATTGGTGCTGTTGTTTCTATTTGTATCAGATGTGCCGTTGAGCGCGCCGACGACGTTATTCATCGAACCGGCGATATTGCGACAGCGCGCGTAGTACACGCGTCCCAAACTGGCAAGCTCCTTCTTGAAGACATCCTCCACGACCGGCGCATACCGACGCACACATCCCATAAAGATCTTGGGCTTGTCGACCATGCTGCCCTCACCATCGCCCTCGCCCTGAGCCCGCACCGTCTGGCCCTTCTTGATGGCGTCGCGGATGCGTCGCAGGCCCTGGATGCCCATGCACAGCGGCACCTCGACCATGACGTGCTTGCCGGCTTCCAAGGCGGCCACGGTGTATTTCTCGTGGTATTCTGTTGGCAGCAGGTTGAGGATTAGGTCAACCTCCGGGTGGTGCAGGACTTCCTGAATGTCTGTTGTGGTGTGTGTGATGTTGAACTTGGACTTGCAAGCCTCGGCATGGTGGCTGTTCGGATCGTAGATGATGGTTAAGTGATATTGTTTCGGGAGGGTGTGTAGGATGGGGAGATAGATGGCTGGGACGGCGTCGGAGGCGCCGAGGATGCCCAGGCGTAGCGGCGAGGTAGACATGATGGAGTCCCTGCTGGATCGACTGGGTTGAGCAGGAACATGTAGGATAATGAGGATGAGGATGGAGATGAGGATGAGAAAGAAGGAGAGACGAAGATGGATGAGCTGGCCCTTTCTTTCAGGCATGCCAGAGTGACATCAGCGGCCCCCTTCCTCACTACAATTTCCCCCACGGTTCCAGGGGCTAAATCAAGACCTTCCCCGGACGAGATCCATGGATCCGCTCGAACGTCATCACTACTGATATATTGGCGGTGTTCGGTGGTACGGGAGTAACCTGGACGCATGCGATCTGTATGTCCTCAGCCCTAACGAACTATATCGACCGGTGGGGCATTCCTATCGCGTTTTTGCTCTCACTCTGTCTCGGTCTTTGTAGGCTAGGCCCTATCAGACATCTGTATTTTCTCAGGACCTTCTTTCCGATAAAATCAGCAGCGTCTACCATGAATGGCAAGTTCTCATTTGCATAAGCGCCATCGTCATCCTCAATTTTCAACGATATTGGTCTGCAGCACCTCTGGATCGGCATCGTCGGCTGGGACGAGGTGATCGAATGTCACACCATAATAGTCAATTTCGCTAAAGCGGGTTAGGTTGGTCAAAGGCGGGGGACTAGAGAGAGAAAAATAGCGATGCATAGATATCTACTCGCGTAAAAGGAGAGTGGTCCGTATTGACCAAGCCTAGATACTCATCCCGCAGGACGAGATCGCCAGGCAGTTCGGGTGAAACGTCGAAGAGATGGATGTGTCGGTATGCTAACTTTGCTAGCTTTGGGCCCGCCGGCTCCGAGAATCCTGAGTCTTTCATCAGTAGATGCCATGTCAGATTTGGAAGGAGCCTTTATATCGAGACCCGAGGACCTTCGCTTTGGATTGGGCGCGGCTGTGTGTATGGCGGCGGATGGCGGTCCCTTGGGGGAGAATGAATGCAGGGGATGGTGTAGAGTGGGAATGTCATCGTAGGAAGCAGATATTTTTGAATTGACGCGTTGATGGGAGTTGGCTGATAGGTAACCTAGACGTGCTATAGTGTCTAACTAAGTATAGCTGAGGCTGTGTGTCTCCACCGTCCTGATGATCACATCGGCTGACTCTCAGTCTTCGCTTGCTCTCTCTCGCTCTCTCTCTTCTTCTACCTTTCTCTCTCTCTGCTCTTCCTTTCCTTTCTCCTTGAACATGGGTGTAAGTATTCCACACCACCACAACCATACCAATTATCACCGCCATCACCATCACCACCACCACCACCACCTGCCCTCCACCGTCACCTCTAACTCCCCTCCCACTGACTGACTGGTCCTTCCCAGTTTGCCTCCAAGATCGCTGCCAGCCAGAACCCCAACATGCCCGGCACCTACGCAGGCGCACCGCCCGCGGGCTACACGGGAGGTCCTCCGGCATCGCTGCAGCCTGGTGGAGTACGTCCGATCTGCGTCAACGTCATGGGAACAAAATCTCACACTCCAACAGAAACCCTACCAGGCATACCCAGGCTCCCCTCCTCCTCAAGGATCGGTAAGCTTTTTCTTCTAGTTTACTTTCGTCTTTGCTGGTGTTCCTGTCCCACTCTTTGCTTTGTTTACTCGCCCCTCCCCCCACCACACCTGATCCGGGGATCCGACAACCATGTCACGGCCCTACCAGACCGAATATTCCCCCTACGGCGGCTCCCCTGCTCAGCCCTACCATCAGCCATACGGCACCCCGACTCCCCCAGTGCCCTCTGCTGGCTATTCGCGACCACCCCCTGGTCCTCCTGGCCAACCGCCTATTCCCTACCCCGCTCAGGCGCAGCAGGGCTATTCACGCCCGCCGCCCCCGCCGCCTAATCAGCCCTATGGAGCGGGATCGCCATACCCTGGACAGCAGCAGCCACCCTATGTACAGATGAGCCCTGCCATACATCACTGTGTTATGCTTTGTTTTGTGCCTGCCTCTTTGTGGAGTGTTGATGCCACGTATTGCGGGTTGAAGTAGATGCTGACATACAAACAAAAGGGCCAGCATTCGCCTTATCCGCCTCAAGGTCCTCCGTATCCCGGTGCACAGGGCCGCCCCGGGCCACCTCCTGGTCCCCCCGGTGGCCAGTATGGCCCTCCGGGCGGTGCTCCCCCGCCCGCGGCTCCCGCGACGCCGCAGCAGGTGGCTGCCTATCGCCAGCTGTTGATCGGGGCCATTCAAGAGAAGAACCTCCAGAACTTTTACCCTCCCGAACGACTGGATCGACTTGTCCAAAACCTGGCTGTTGAAGCACCGAGCAAGCTCAACCGGCTGGTGCACGAATGGAACGTGCCTATGGAGGTGGCGACTGACGTGATGAAGCTCTCACTCTTTGATATCATCCTCTATGTCGATGACAGTGGCTCCATTGAATTTGAGGAGAAGGGGCTTCGCAAGGATCAACTTCGCCAGATCCTGGGACTGGTGGCTACCGCAGCATCGACCTTTGACCAAGATGGGATCTCGGTTCGGTTCATGAACTCGATGGAGGTCGGCGATGGGATCCGCAGCGCCGATGATGTAAACCGTCTGGTGTCTCGTGTTCGCTTTGCAGGCTTAACCCCGCTGGGTACCAGCCTGAGGAACAAGGTCATCGATCCGATGGTGGTGGGCCCGGCCCGTGCCAACCGTCTTGACAAGCCCGTGCTGATCATAACGATCACGGACGGCCAGCCAGCTGGTGAACCGCACGGGGCGGTGGCCGATGCCATTCGTTTGGCCGTGGACGAGGTGTCTCGGACTCGGTACGGCAAGGGTGCTGTCTCCTTCCAGTTCTCGCAGGTGGGCACGGACCAGCGAGCCCGCGAGTTCCTGGGGAATTTGGATGAAGATCCTCAGATCGGCCACCTGATCGACTGCACTTCCAGTAAGTTTGGCTCCCCCCCCCCCCGGTCAATGTCTGATAACTAATTGGTGGTGACTGTCAGATTTCGAGGTCGAGCAGGACGAGATGTCTCGTGCGAACCCGCCGATCCATTTGACTCGGGAACTTTGGGTGCGTCCATAAGAACCCAGACATGATCTAAACCACGCTGACGATCTTGGCAGTGCGCAAAGCTGATGCTCGGTGCGATCGACGCCTCGTACGACACCAAGGATGAGAAGCGCGCGGGAGGTCCACCACCTGCAGGACCCCCGCCAGCCCAGTATGGCGGCTATGGGCCGCCGCCAGGGGGCTCGTACCCCCCGGGACCACCGTCCTACAACCCGCAGCCGGGCTACCAGCAGCCGGGCTACCAGCAGCAGCAGCAGCCTCCCTACCCGCCCTCGAACCAGGGACCCCCCTACGGCCAGCCGCAGCCCCCTTACGGCTACTCTCCCCATCCCCCGCCAGGCCCTCAAGGCTACCCACCACCTGGACAGTATGGCCAGCCACCACCGCGTTATTAAGTCGGACCTGGTGTGGTCAGCAAATGACGTCACGTCCTTTCTTCGTGTGTTACTATTTGTTTCGTGAAACGTGATTTGCCCCTTGGAAGATAGAATGGACATGACCCTGGAATGAGGGTGGACTCCTGAGCACACCGTGGACATGATCCGGTGGGTTGGGCCATATGAACTCATTGTATCCAGTGCGAACCGCGGGCAGACTTGAGGTGGGCATGTCCGATCGGCAAATTGGGGCTATGACCGGTAGTGAGTTAGTTCGTCGTAGGCAGCATAGTTACTACTCCAAAATTCCGTCCGTCTTATCTGTACGCCAACCGGCCATAGTACGAGTACGACTCACTGTCAGGGCCAATAAAACCCTCGACGCGTGTCAAACGTTAACTTTGTTTGCCACGAGTTTGCCTCTCTCTCATTTGCCGCATGCACCTATTTCCCCAGTTTTTCCGTGTGTTCCAGACATTGCTCTCGCCTGTCACTGCGCCACATCCCCTGCCGCTTTCGGTCTCGCCCCATCGCTATTCTGTCCGTTTCGTATTTTGTCTCATCTGAAAACACTTCCTTTCTCTTACCCTCTCTCTTCCGTATTGTCTGCCATCGGACACAACACTCGTTCGTCCTCACCCTCGTCATCACTCGTTCTGTGCGCGGGCTTTGTCGCAGGGAAGAAGATCACCTGTCACCTCTTCCTGATCTTGTTCCACCCCGATCTCGATGGACTAAACCATTTGCGCCAGAAGCATGCCTGCTTGTTTGACTATACTATCTCATTCAACCGATCGATTCGATCCCTTTGACGCCTAGGACAGACAGACAAAACCCCCACCCCGAGAGAGAAAGAGAGAGAGAGAAATAGGAATTTCGATCGCCGACCGGGTCATTCCCGCACAGGCACATTCCCCGTGCCCGCCTTGACTCAGCGGCCATGTCCAGCAACAATCGCGATGAATCTGGGGAGGACACCCGACCGTCTCAGGACATGGCGAGACGACCCTCGCTCGTCTCATCGCGGACCCTCTCCGAGTCCGGCGGACGGCGCCCATCGCAACAACATGTGCGCTTCTCATCCGACCTAGATCGTTCCGCCGTGGAAGAGCAACAGCGAGAGCCGTTTTCTTCCACCGACCGCCGCCCCAGCTCCAGAGGCTTGACGATCGATACCGCGCTCACATTGCCCACCACTGCTCGTCCCGCCGCCCAATCGCCCACCTCGCCGCTCTCCCCCGGTTTCACGTCACCCAGTGCCGTCGCAGCTCGGTCGGCTGTTTCTCCGACCAGCCCGGATTCGACGGGTCGGTCGCGGTCGCGGAATCGTGGATACTCGTTGCGTCGGAGCATTTTCAATAGGAACATCAGCACGCAGTCGGAGGATGAGCCTGTCGTGGTGGACGTGGACCTTGAGGCGAACAGCCCGTCCAAGGACGGCGCGCCAGCAGCTGCACCACTTCGCCCCGTGGATGAGAAGAATGAGTTGGCCGTTACGCCGACGGTGACTTCGGACTCACCTGCCAAGGCGTTGGCAGAGGCATCGACCTATCCATCGTCTACGTCGGACCGCCCTATTAAGGAGTCCTTCTCCATTTCTGTCGCTCAGGACAAATGGGTGAAGAGAACTGCGATCAAGGAGGCGGCCGCCGCCCGTATCGATGGGGTTTTGACTACAATTCGGAAGACTATCTTGCGGATCAAAGACATTCCCCCGACGGAAGATGGACGCCATATCGACTTGAACCCGGCCCTAGCAGAGACCTTGCTTGATGAGCGGACTGGTAAACCGTACTTGAACAATTCAATTCGCTCCAGCCGCTATAGCTTCTGGAGTTTCTTCCCGCGCCAGCTTTTCTTTCAGTTCACCAAGCTGGCCAATTTCTATTTCTTGGTTGTCGCCATCTTGCAGATGATCCCCGGTTTGAGTACGACGGGAACGTTTACGACTCTGATCCCGCTGTTGATCTTCGTGGGTATTTCTATGGGCAAAGAAGGATTTGATGACTGGCGCCGATATCGCCTGGACAAAGAAGAAAACAACCGCTTTGCCTTTGTGCTGCGTCCCGGCAGCGGCACGGCCTCGGCTGGTGTCTCGGTGGCGAGTGAATCCCACGACTGGGTGGAGGTGAAGTGGAAGGATATTCGCGTTGGGGATGTCATTAAGCTGGAACGCGACCAGCCCATTCCTGCCGATCTGGTGTTACTCCACGCCAATGGCCACAACGGCGTGGCTTATATTGAAACTATGGCTCTGGATGGTGAAACAAACCTCAAGAACAAGCAGCCCATCCAACCCGTCGCCAAGGTCTGCGCGTCTGTGGATGATATCAACAGCAATTCTGTGCATTTTGCCGTCGAGGATCCCAACACCGACCTATACAAGTTCGATGGCCACGTTTCTGTCAATGCCCAAGAGAGGCTGCCCTTGACCAACAACGAGATCGTCTACAGAGGAAGTATCCTGCGGAATACGGATCGGGCTCTTGGTATGGTGATCTACACTGGTGAGGAGTGCAAAATCCGCATGAACGCCAACAAGAACCCGCGGATCAAGAAGCCAACACTCCAGGGCAAAGTGAACCGTGTCGTCATGCTCATTGTACTTCTTGTTGTAATTCTTGCTGTGGCATGCACAATTGCGTACAAATTCTGGGCCCAAGATGTGCAAGCGCGCTCGTGGTATCTCATCGATGCGGCTGTGTCCTATGGTCCCGTCTTCACTTCTTTCCTCATTATGTTCAACACGATGATTCCCATCTCACTGTACGTGAGTATGGAGATCGTCAAGGTCGTGCAGATGTTCTTGCTGAACGACATTGACATGTACGACCCCGAAACCAACACCCCGCTCGAGGCGCGGACCTCCACTATCAACGAAGAGCTCGGCCAAGTGAGCTACATCTTCTCCGACAAGACCGGTACCCTGACCAACAACTCCATGCGCTTCCGCAAAATCAGTGTCGCGGGCACGGCGTGGCTGCACGACGCAGATCTGCAGGAGGAGACTGCTGGCGAGGAGACCATGCTTATGCACAAGAAGCGCAGAATTAAGGGTAAGAAGGCTCTGAGTCGCAAGTCAAATGCCTCCTCGGCCCGCATGGGTGCTGCCCGGCCTTCGAATCTTTCTACGGGACTGAGTGCTGCGCGCCGGCCTAGTCGTCCCGCCGCGTCCTACCGCACAGCCGAGATGCTCCAGTACATCCAGCGCAAGCCGTACACAGTCTTTGCTCGCAAGGCTAAGCTGTTCATTTTGTCTCTTGCTCTCTGCCACACCTGCATTCCCGAAGAAGATGAAAGTGGAGCTATTTCTTTCCAGGCAGCCTCGCCCGACGAGCTGGCTCTGGTCATGGCTGCCCGGGATATGGGATACCTAGTCTCTGATCGCCAGTCGAATACTCTGACTATCCGCACCCACCCCAACGGACCCAACGAGACTCCCGTTGATGAAGTGTACGAGATCCTGGATGTTATTGAGTTCTCCAGCGCACGAAAGCGGATGTCAGTCGTTGTCCGCATGCCTGACCAGCGCATCTGCCTGTTCTGCAAAGGTGCTGACACAACCCTCATGCAATTGCTCAAGCGTGCTGAGCTGGCACAAGAGAAGGCTCTGGAGATCGAGCGTCGGGTCAGCAGGCGCAAGGCCGCAGAAGCGAACATCGTCATTCGCCGCAATAGCGAGTACCAGAGCCGCAAGGACAGTGGCGTTCGGTCCAGCCTTAGCCGCCCCAGCTTTAGCCACCGACGCTCCTCGGTTCGGCGTTCCTCTATTTCCGGCCAGCACGCATCTGCTCTGCGAGACAGTGTTGATATTTGGCTGCGTGATCGGGAGACCGATGGCGGGATCTTGAACCGGGAGACCGATAGTGAATACTACAGCCCCCGGCCCTCGGCTCAGATGGGACGATTCTCATCGGCGCTATCGGATTCCGGAAGCTCGACGAACGGCGAGGAAGATGAGGATCTGGTGGAGGAGGCTCTGGTGTTGAACGAAGCGGCTGTTTTCGAGCGCTGCTTCCAGCATTTGAACGACTTTGCGACAGAGGGTCTGCGGACTCTGCTTTACGGTCACCGGTTCTTGGATGAGACCACCTATAGCACCTGGAAGGCTGCGTACCACGATGCTAGCACTAGTCTTGTTGACCGGCAAGAGAAGATTGAGGAGGTTGGCCAGCAGATCGAGCAGCAGCTGGAGCTGACGGGTGCTACTGCCATCGAGGACAAGCTGCAGAAGGGTGTGCCGGAAGCAATTGACAAGTTGCGACGCGCGAACATCAAGATGTGGATGTTGACTGGCGATAAGCGTGAGACGGCTATTAATGTCGGACATTCCTGCCGTCTTGTTAAGGATTATTCGACCCTGACCATTCTCGACCACGAAGTTGGAGATGTCGAGGAGTCGATTGTGCGCTTGACTGCGGACATTGCGCGTGGTAGCGTGGCTCACTCCGTTGTGGTCGTTGACGGCCAGACGCTGTCGACTATCGAGGCGGATGAGACGATGCGAGAGCGGTTCTTCCAGTTGGCTATCCGAACAGAGTCAGTGATCTGTTGCCGTGCCAGTCCCAAGCAAAAAGCGTTCTTGGTTCGATCTATCCGCAAGTACGTTAACGACGCCATTACGCTTGCCATTGGTGATGGTGCCAACGACATTGCCATGATCCAAGAGGCCCACGTGGGTATCGGCATCACTGGCAAGGAAGGTCTTCAGGCGGCGCGTATCTCCGATTACTCAATCGCACAGTTCCGCTTCTTGCTCAAATTGCTCCTGGTACATGGCCGCTGGAACTACATGCGCGCGTGCAAGTACACGCTGGGCACCTTCTGGAAGGAGATGCTGTTCTACCTGACGCAAGCACTCTACCAACGATGGAACGGCTACACGGGCACGAGCTTGTACGAGCCGTGGAGTTTGAGTATGTTCAATACGCTCTTCACGTCGCTGGCAGTCATCTTCCTCGGCATTTTCACGAAGGACCTCGCTGCCTCGACGCTCCTCGCTGTTCCAGAGCTCTACACCAAAGGCCAGCGGCATGGCGGGTTCAATATGTGGTTGTACCTGGGATGGTCGTTCATGGCTACCTGCGAAGCGGTGATCATCTTCTTCACCATGTTCGGCCTGTATGGCATGGCAGTCGAGAACCCCACAGGCAACGACACCTTCGCTCTAGGCCTACTCACCTTCTCCGCCTGCATCACAGTGATCAACCTGAAACTGCAAGCGCTGGAAGTACACAACAAGACCTACCTATCCCTAATCGTGATCATCATCTCCGTCGGCGGCTGGTTCCTCTGGAACCTGATCCTCTCGCAGCGCTACAAGCTCAGTTCTGGCAAAGGCGTCTACGACGTCCCCGGCAACTTCATCCACGAATCAGGCCACAACCTCCTCTTCTGGGTCGTGTGGCTCTGCGCCGTAATAGCATGTCTCCTCTTCGAATTGACCGTCTCCACGCTGCGCGCCCTCTTCTTCCCCAATGATGTCGACCTCTTCCAAGAAATGGAACAGGATCTCGATATCAGGAAACGCTTCGAGGAAGCGGCCGCCCCGGAACTGCAGCAGAGCTGGAACCATGGGACCAAGAAGTCGAGCCTCGAGATCGCTCTCGAGGCTGAGGAGATGGATGCTCGTGAGCAACAGGTTCAGGAACTTCTTGCGAGACGGCGCTCTACTGTTGATACCAAGCTCGTTACGCAGGAAATTGAACTGGATGGGTATACTAGCGCTGCTAGTAATGGTCATAACGATACCGCCCCTGGTGCTACTCCTGATGGTTATTTCAACCGCCGTGCCTCCACGGCAACAGGCGTTGAACTTGAACCTGTATCCCCCATCGATGGTCCAAGTACCCGTCGCCGCTCAGTCGAGATCCACGAGCTGTTCAGCAAGGGCTTCGGCGCTGTCCGGAAGGGCCGCCTGTAAATATACGTTGCTGTCCTTCTCCTCTTGTCTTTCTCTTTTACCCTCCCCCCCCCCCCCCTTTTCCTCTTCTCATACATCAATGTGTGTATATGACTCAAGTGACTGGCGTTCTCTGTGATTTTTTTTCCTCCATCCCCGCCATCCGACTTCATTTCCCATGGATGGGATGGCATTGGAACCTGACTTGATTTGTGTTTCTGTGTCTCGGTGTTTTGAGAGTTTGCCTTTGGTTTCATTTGCACATTTCTCTGTCAGATATAGATACCCCGACGACTCACAGTCCGGCTTTTCCTTTTTCATTTTCATTTTTTTTTTGTTTTGCACGCGCTGGTTCCTTGCTTGGGCATTCGGTATATAGCCTGCTTTGCTTTGGGAGCCCATACCTAAATATTCAAATGGAATTCATTCAAATGACTTGTGTGCCGCTGTATAGTAGCTGGTATATATATCTCCAGTCAAAAGTACAGTATTGAACAGACTTGATACTGTATTTGATCCACGAGGCTCGGATGGATCTAATAACGAGGCAGGTCTATAAGACATAATGTGGAGCTTAGACTGGAAGCAGCCCAGGATTTTGTCCAGATATATACATCAATGCTCGTTCTACCTTGGGTAGACGGTTTCCTTTGCCACTTCTTGGCTTTTCCGTTCCTTTAACCGCACATGCCTTTGGCTTTATCCCAGATTAGAAACAATCAACCAGAAGAAATGGGAGAACAGTTGATCCGGTTAGTCCTGACTCACCGCACCTAGCCAGTCGGAAAATCCGTGGGCTGGCGCGGCTCCTACGCGTGATAGGAGAGGAAGCAATACTTAAGCTTTAGATGGGACTCAGGATTTAAGCCACTTTCCAAACCATTCCGTATAGCGACAAAAGTGATTTGAGACGAGAGGATATATAATTGAGTAACCCAAGGAAAGAGATTTACAATCATCTACAGATCCTAAAGTTTGATTTGGGTGGGGCCATGGCTTACGGCACCGAAATAGGTAGTCGCCATGGGTGGCGCTGCCGTTACAGTTGGGCCCTTTCCATGGTTGGGGGCTCGACCCTGGTTCCACTACTCTCTTTTCAAATCTCCATATGCTATAGCATCAACTTGCATGAGACACTGGGTTTCATTACTATATCAACTCATCGACGCCTGGATCCATTTAACTGCATCAGCCCTGTCAAGTCTTCCATTCTATTACCGCTTGCACCGGCTGAGATATCGTTCGAATTCTTCCATCCTGTTTCACACCCACGCCTTGGATCTCGATACAATCGTCTGCCAATACGAGAAAGTTCTTCTCCATGAGATCTCAAATGAACCGTATCTGAGGCTATCAGACTACCATTCTCCTATATCGTTAGGGGCAGAGACCTGATATTCTGGAAAAGACACGTGGACTTGGTAGTTCTTAGGCGAAAGATTTAATTTCTAAGAGACTTGGGTTTCCTGCGCTAGAGAATCTATTCAAATGGTGCCATCAATTTGTTCCCAAGCACCTTCTCTGGAAAAGCCTCTTCGCCCAAGGTGGTGGTGTGCGCCCACGGCTTCAGCTCGTTCTCCCTGTGAATGGTAGCAGCAAAGCAGCCGCTCCACTTCATGCGCGGAAAATGGGCCGAGACATCCTCAATGGTTGATGGATGAACATGTTCCGAATAGGCACCGGTGTTGTCTATTTCTCATTAGCTTTCATGTTTCACCAGTCCAGAGCAGATACGACTCACCAAAGATAGTTGCTAGCTGCAACAGCTGCCCAACCGCTGTGATCTTTCCAGTCTCACATAAGTCTTGGTGTCGAATGATAGCCTCGGCAACGCTCTCCGCCTGGTCTCTTGGAGCGGCTGCCTCTGGAGCTGAAGGTAGGGGCTTCTGCAAAACATCCAGTGCCAAAAAGCCTCCATAAAACTCAAAGCTCAATTTGGTACTCTTCAGGTTCTCTTCTGTGGTTCCGATGTCGTGTAGCAGACAAGTGAGAAAGTACGTTTCATCGGTGAAGGACCAGGAGGGAAATAGGTGCGACTTGATCGCCAACCCAAAGTGGTAAACTCGGAGGGAGTGGTTGTATGTTGGAGCCGGGAGGTGAGATTTTGCATATGCGTCGATACGCCGAGAGAGAGCCGTGTCTGGAACAGGTGTAGCCGAAACTGGGATGAAAGGTGCAGGACCAGATGGTGTCACGGATGACAGGAGCCCCTGTGCGGACGAAGGCACAGGTGTGAAACCGAAAACTGTTTCGTTGTGAGAAGTCATATTTGAATGATATTCAAGCCAAGTGATGAAATTAGATGGAACTTGCAAGTTGCTAATCTCAAGAGAGACCGGCGGGGGGAAGGAAGCTATTTAAATACTTTTACACGATAGTTCAGAAGAGCCTTTTGTATTTCAAATACGCCATCTTGACAAATCTTGACAAACCTGGCATTACCAATCGGGCTAGAAATCTGGTATATGTTCATGGTGCAGTTCCATAGGAGTTTTGCGTTGTCAGATTCACCAATCCCCCGGCTTCAAAAGTGGAGCCCCTCCTTTTTAAGTTTCTCCACGTGCATGGACCCACTCTGCCCAACTTCCCTTTTCGGAACGTGTACCGCCGGGAAGAGCTAGATCTCGGGCTAGACTTCGACTTATGAATTCTCTTCCAGCGATTTATAATATCGAATTTCCATGATATCTATTAAAACATGAGACGGTGAGAAGACATTAACGAGGCATCTGCCTTCATTGTGAAAGCCAAAGTTCGCGTGCTAATCCTGAAAATGGGGGTTGTTCATGAGCCTGCCTCGACCCAACAGAGCTTGCCCCGAATTGAGATAGAAAAAGACCAATATCCTGAAGGTGGATTGAAATCATGGTCTGTTGTCCTAGGGGCCTGGTGCGCGATGATTCCCTCGATGGGGCTTTTGAATAGCCTGGGAACTCTGCAGGCATGGACAAGTACGCATCAACTGAAGGATTATTCGGAATCAAGTGTCGGTTGGATATTTGGAGCCTATACCTTTTTTCTTTTTGTAGGAGGAGCTCAGTTTGGTAGGCATTTGTTTGAACCCCTGGTTAAACCCGGGCTAACAAGTTCTAGGCGCAATACTTGATGCCCATGGGCCCCTCTACGTGATTCTTCCAGGTTCAATTGGGATCGTACTTTCGTTAGTATTCTTGAGTTTCAGTCAAGGTGTGTTTCCGATGCTTCGCTATATTCCTTCGCTAGCATGATATGCTCGACCAGAACCATGCACGCTTCACTGAAAAATGCTAACTGTTTCAAGAATATTATCAGATTTTCTTATCTTTCAGTGTACTGGGCGGCATATCAGCGAGCACCCTCTTCACACCCCCTGTGGCTGCCGTTGGTCATTGGTTCAATGATAAACGCGGCTGGGCAACAGGCGTTGCTTGCACAGCCGGGGGCATCGGAGGATCTGTATTCCCTCTGATCATTCTTTTTACAGCTCCGCGGATAGGCTTTGCATGGTCTATTCGCATAATCGCCTTACTTTGCGCATTCTTTTGCTCAATTGCATGTCTTACGGTCCGGACTAGACTTCCTCCTAAGAAAGCAGCCGCTTTCCTGGATTTCAAGGCTCTCATGGATGTCAAGTACGCATCTGCGTCCCTAGGCGTCTTTCTGGTCGAATTTGCTGTTTTTGTTCCTATCACATACATCACATCCTATGCACTCTCTGTTGGCTTTGGTGATCAGATGTCATATGCAGTGCTCATTTTCCTTAACGTTGGGGCTATCTTCGGGCGCTTTCTACCGGGATTGGTCGCCGATCGATTGGGGCGATTTAACGTCATGACAGTGAATTGCTTGATGTGCTCACTACTCACTCTCATTCTATGGCTGTCAGGGGACCTTGTCAATGCCGACAGTCTAGGAATTCTCATTAGCTATGCCGTGCTGTTTGGTTTCTTTTCTGGAGCTGCTATAAGCATTGCCCCGGTGTGCATTTCTCAAGTTTGCGAAATACAGGACTACGGAAAGAGAGTCGGAACTACTTGGACACTTGTCAGCTTGGGCACTTTCATCGCTATACCCATCGCAGGCGCGATCCAACAACACAACAATGGGGCGTACTATGGATTGATTATTTTTGGGGGTGCTCTTTATCTTGCTTCTGCCGTTGCATTTGCTGTTTCTCGGGGTATATGCAAGGGATGGGCTTGGAGAACAAAGTTTTAGTAGCTACGTGCTTGTCATTATTAAAAAGTAACCTTATAATGGTAATAAAGTCCGAGATGCTATATTAAAAGCCAGGCACAGCCAAAGCGGTCAACATCAAAAACCCAGTCCTCTCGATCATCCTGTTGCCAATATTCTTGCAAAATCTTTGTCGCATTTATCACATTCAAACAATTTGTAGTCATCCAGAATTCCTCAAGACGAGCAATGAAGAAGTTCCTTTGCGCCAACGTCCGGCATTCCAAGCCAGCAACAAAGATGGGCCAAAGGACACACTTCAATAATGCTTTGTTGCTCCTTAACGCATTAAGAAGATCTAATAATTCGGATAGTAAAGTATCTTGTGACGTGGTTACCCTTTTGAGGGCAGCAATCAATCTTCTACCGTAAAGCAGAGCACCGATTTGATACACTCGAGAAACAATGCAAAGGGAATTTGCATCTTGCTGGGAGTGCCTCGGCTGTCGGAGATTTGACACCCACCTGTCACAATCGAAGTGCTCAACCAGGTCAAGTAAGGCGGTGGTGGAGCGAATATGAGCTTCTATCACCGTCTCGTAGAGTAAATCAGATCTCGTGATGCTGTCTCTTTCTGCAGAGATACAACGTATAGCTTTCAAGATGAAACCCGGGCAAGGAAGAAATGAATAATCGATGGACTCTCTGGTAAGTTGCTTTTGGTCGAAGGTGATCTCGTGGGACGTTGAGTTAGAACGTAAGAATAAGGAACCTAGTGTTTCAACCCTGGTCGGAGCCAAATCAGCGCCGTGGAATTGTTTAGACGGTCGAATACCTACAGGTTAATTTGTTGGGTCACAAAGTCCCGAATCTCTCGTAGCCTTGGGGAAGATCCTCGGTCAGCACCGGCAGATACTGTCAGTGGCGACCGATCGAAACTTGAAGCCATCAAGGTCTTGGCACCATTGAGGTGAGCTTGCCATCCAGCGCTCCCCGATTCGAGAAGATCCAGCAATATCAGAAGGAAAATGCTGGCCACTCTTGTGTCCTTTTGGGATTCATTTGAATCACTTAGGACCCTTGAAAGTCCCTGTATCACCTGATGTTTGAAAAGAAGTGCATCGCGGTTGAATTTAGTGACTTCAGAAGACATTGGGGTCTTGTCTTGTTGAAATGATTGTCCTGTGTTCGCAAGGTGACGCGCCGCAAGAGCAAGAACGGCCTTCTGCAAAATTGAGTCATTCAACGCGAATGTAATCAAGTTCCTGAGTGGGTTTTCGTTGGTGTCGTAGACAACAAAATTGCCACATAGACGCTTGTTATCTAAATGGGTTGTTAATACTTGAAAGGGTTTTCACCATGCACGTGAACTTGCAATAATCCAAGTAATATTTGGACGCTTCATCCAGGCTCGAAAGTGATGGGTCTTGTAGTGAAATCGGCAAAGCGGAGGAATCCTCTGTGGGAACACCTATATTATGTTACAATTGGCATAAAATAATGAACCGGCAAAATGTTCCAAAAAGAATGAAGATGATGAACTTTTTCAATATCGTACCATTGAGCCCCGGGTTGCTCGCTCTCACAACAGGTGATTGAAATCGAACGCGATATGTTTTTTTCGGCACTGCAGCCCCGATATCTTCTGAAATATCCTCATACATATGGCCTTGCATCTTTCCTCGAATAGCCACACCCTTAACCCATCGAACTGGCCGTTTCTTGAAACACTCGAGACCGGCCTTTCGACATTTCGCGCATGGAGCTGGGGACTGGTCGCATTGAACATGCCGGCTCCGGCATGTCCAGCATGATTTTTCTAGCATCATTCTCACACCGCAGGCTCCGACTCCATCTGCATAATGTGGTGTGATGTCAGAGACAAGTCGGAAGATGTGAGGTGGGCTGTGGCGACGACCCAGGAGATAATAAAATTTATGACTCAGCAGAACGCTACAGCCATTCTCGAAATCGGCTTGACCAATGCACACATGATTACCCGTTTCTGCCAACGCCTTAGCGCGGGCTTTCTAACTTGATGATCCTGCGGGGTGAATATGACAATAACCCGGCTGGCTGGATGAGGTGCGGTATAAGGCTGAACTGAGAGAAGAATACAGAGAAAAACATGAAAAACTGGGAGTTTAATATATAAACATGAAGTGAGGTATATACCCAATTGATTTTGATATCGGAGGTCGACTTCAAGTTGACAAGCGATCGATAGAATGATGTGTGTAGTTCAGAACACGCGACGAGTCAGTGCAACCAACACACCCCTCCCACGATTACCATGACTATAGCAGAGACGTGCCAACTTCACTACTGACAGTCGTGCGGGTCAGAGGTTACCTTGTAAACCGATAACCAGAAATCTATGCATTGCCCTGGAAAGCTTCGGAGTTCAAACCGAGGGCTCGCGGTACGAGTTGCCCGTTGGCACATCTGGGCGACCTGGGTTCCCACCGCCAACTTGCACTCAAATGTGGATAGTGCCGATGGAAACTCTTGGTTAATATGCCGCGGAATGTTCTCACACAGACCTGAAGCTGCGTTATTATACATTTTCGACAATCAGCTGTTCCGCCCCCCCCCCCCCCCCATGTAGTGTTCGCTTGTGCCAGGTTATTTACTACCCCGAATATTGCTTGTCAGTGTAGCGGCACTCATCCGCTGCGCAGTAGCCTGAGCTGTAATTTCCGAGGGTGACTGTTTCAAGTAATTCACCGTCACCTAAGTATACGGAGTACATTCCTGCCCGTTCATATAGGTGCCCCATCCACGCGGCGCTCGTATTTGGCTTATCCATGAGATAGATAACTCGATAACGAGCGGACATTCCGTGCATCCTAATGTGCGATTACGCCACGGGCACCACATCACTAGTCTTGACCACTCACCCCTCGACCCGAGGCTTCGAGCCCCAGCCCCGGTATCACTGAGTTACATACTAATACCAACCCCTGAGATACACACTCTATCTAATTAAACCGACGAATCCTAATCTTTCGCAGTAAAGTGCCGAGGGTTACCTACATTTGTTCATAAATAAGCTTGTGGCTCCCCCCTTCTGCCAAACTCGCCCAGAATCACGGCCGTTAAGAGTAAAAGCCTCTGACACAAGATGCCTGACCTTTCGAATGGCGAAGGTTCCCCTACCATGCCGAAATATGAGAATGAGACTGTCGAGGCTGCTGTAAGTTCACCTCTACTTCCTGTGACAGTTTCACAAAAGGAGGTCTGACCTTTCTTTTCAGAGTGCGAGCAGTTCTCTCTCGGATGAACACCGCCAGTATCTTCTTGAGCGCCACGGTACACTTGAATTGGACCCGGTTCCACAGATGGATGACGACGACCCTCTCAACTGGCCAATGCGCAAGGTTAGTAGGGTTTCTACAAACCCAATCCAGGATAAAGGCTAAGGGCTCAGCAGAAAATTTTGAATCTCGGCTTGGTTGCCCTGCATGCAATGATGGGTATGTTTGTCGCCGCGGCCATCGCCTGCGCATTCGTCCCGATCGCAGAAGATTTGAAAGTCAGCGTCCAGCGTGCAAGTTATCTCCTGTCCCTATTCATTGCAATCTTAGGAGCGGGCCCTTTGGTATGGAAACCATTATCTCAGACCTGGGGGCGTCGTCCTGTATTTTTGCTTTCGTTGGCCTGCAGTGTAATTGGGAATGTGGGCTGCGCAGTCAGTCCTACGTTCGCGACAATGGCCCTCTGTCGAGCTATCACCTCCTTTTTCATCTGCTCTCCAGTCTCTCTCGGCAGTGGCGTTGTGCACGAGCTCTTCTTCAAAAAGCACAGAGCCCAATGCATGGGTGTTTGGGCAACGATGGTCACTCTCGGTATTCCAGTTGCGCCTCTGGTATTTGGGCCTGCCGTTATTCGCGTCGGCTACAGGTGGATCTATTGGTCCCTTGCTATGGTCAGTTTGGTGTGCTTCTTCCCAGAAGCTGTGCGTCCAGGCTAACTGTCTTCATAGGCCAACAGTGTCCAGTTGGTTGCGCATTTCTTGTTTGGCTCTGAGACGAGATATGTGACTGAGTCCAAACCGTCCAAACCGATAAGCAAACTTCAAAGTTACTTTAGCTTTCGACGTATCGACCCAACGCCTCTGACTTGGTTTGACTTTGTTTGGCCCTTGACGCTTGTGACTCGCGTCTGTATTGCTATTCCCGCAGCAACGCATGCCATGAGCTTTCTTTGGGCTGTTGTTTTTACGCAACTGGAGATCCCGCAACTCTTCCCGGAGAATTTCGGTCTGAATGCGCAGCAAGTTGGATTACAGAACATCCCTTTTCTCATCGGCACTATTCTTGGGGAGCAAATCGGCGGCTTTATGTCGGACAAGTGGATGTACATGGCTAAGAGGAAGGGCAGGGCTCCAGATCCCGAATACCGTCTTTGGATTAGCTATCTCGGCCACCTTTTGGTGATATGCGGCGTGGTCGTCTTTCTCGTACAAGTTGGCCGAGCTGGAGACGAGTGGAATGTTACGCCTATAGTCGGCATGGGTATTGCAGCAGCAGGGAACCAGATTGTGACCACAGTTATCATTACTTACGCTGTGGACTGTCACCCGGAACAAGCTTCAGGAATCGGGGTCTTCATTACATTCGTTCGTCAAATATGGGGCTTTACTGGCCCTTTCTGGTGAGTCGCGACAGATTTCTGGGAATTAATATGTGATGTGTGGTTAACGTTGATTGTATTAGGTTTCCCCAGATGCTCGAATCTCTTGGTTTTTACCGCAGCACGGCCGTTCCAGTGGCCACAATTCTCGGCATAACAGTAATGCCCACCATTTTACTTCAGTGGAAGGGTAGCCAATGGCATGGAAAGCCGGTGCGGGGAATCTTTGAGGATACGGCATAATGGAGTTCTCCGTGGTCAGGTGGGTATGAGATGTATTATGTTTTTGTTATTGGATTCAAGTAGCACCGGAAACTGACGACACCGTCCCTCACACATTCTGAACTTATGTACCTATGGTATTTTAGTTTGTTTATTTTATGGGTTAAATCTTGATATGGCTGTCTCATCAGGTACGTAGTAGGTACTGGATGCGATTAAAACCACCGGCGGAATAGTTACGAGTGTATCTAGCTCTAGGTAGAATGCAAATAAGCTTCTTGTAGCGTGGCCAATCACGGAGCAATCCGGCGATCCTGGCCCCTCAGTGGATCCGTTCTTTATGAAATGAGCCACTCACGGATCTTTCCGGTTACCCTTCCATTACTATCTAATCTATATGTGGTAATCTCTTTGAATCTCCGAATGGCTGTTTCCGAGGCTGGAAGCAGCTCCGAAGTTATTTGTTCATCCGACGGGGAGCAGAGAAATTAGTACCATATCAAGTTTAGCTAGCGCCTTATCCGGAAATAGAAACTGTATACTCGAATTCGAATTTCGAATCACCAAAACAGCGACCACACATACTATCATCTTAGGACAATGGACACATTCCCACAATTCATGAAAGCGGTCGTCATTGACAAGCATGGCGACTCCTCTGTCCTCCGCCTTGAGACCCAGCATCCTCTCCCATCCATGAATGATACGGACGTCCTGGTGAAAGTCAATTATGCTGGGGTAAACTTTGTCGATACCTACCAGCGCAGTGGCCTATACCCAGTGAATCTGCCCCTGCAGGTCGGCCGAGAAGGCGCTGGTACTATTGTCAAAATTGGTTCCAATGTGCCTCCGTCATATGGCCTCCAGGTTGGTCAGCGAGTGGCGGTCTTCACCCAGGGTACCACAGCAGAGTACGTCTCTGCGCCATCAGAGAGCGTCATGGTATTGCCTCCATCCGTGTTGACGAAACAAGGAGCCGCGATCATGCTCCAGGGCATGACGGCATGGACGATCGTTCAAGATGCCCACAAGGTAGAGCCAGGGCAGACGATTCTTATCCAAGCGGCGGCTGGAGGCACAGGTGGCATGCTCGTGCAAATGTGCAAACACCTCGGCGCCACTGTGATCGGTACAGTATCGACGCCAAAAAAGGCAGATATTGCGATGAAGCACGGATGCGATCATGTTATTCTCTACAAGAACAACGATGTGCAAAAGGAGGTCATGCGAATAACGAGCACGAAGGGCTGCCATGCCGTTCTCAGTGGCGTTGGAGAGGCTACCTTCGCTCAAGACCTAGCATGCACGAGGAGAAAGGGGACTCTGGTTTCGTATGGCAACAGCAGTGGCGCAGTGTCCAGTTTCCGAGTCCTGGATTTGAGCAAGAAAAATGTCAAACTTGTGCGACCGACACTGGCAAACTATATCACAGAAAGGGATGAATTTGTCCTGCGATCGCGGCAGCTGCTAGACTTGGTGGGATCCGGAGCCGTGCGGCCGGAGTTTGGTGGTGAATATAGCTTGAAGGAGGTGGCGCAGGCGCAGGATGACCTTACGACCCAGAAGACAACTGGAAAACTGCTCATCAAGATCCAAACTTAACTATTAGTGATTGCAAACAAGAAATTTTGTGTCCAATACACTGCTACGTAGAATGTATCTCTCGGAAGAGCGACCGACTCTGTTAAGTCTCACAACATCTCAGAATTCAAGCTCCAGTTGTGCAGACAAGACTCTATGCTATCATATGTATAGGCTCATATGTAAAGAAACAATGTACAAGCTCTAAATAAAACTAGTAGGAAGGATCTATTTCACCAGCTCGACTTCTCTCATATTACATGTGTTCCCAGTCCAAAGTCTCGAACACACTGTCGACATTTCGCCAGACTATCGTCCTGGATTCTTTTGTATAGGACCATCTCATCCATAGTTTCCACGCCCAGGGCGAGCTCAAACTCTCGTTTGCTACTGCAAGAAACCGATCTCGGTGACCCGCCGTTGGTCGCCCTAGGATTGACAAGATTACTCTGGAAGATGCCTGCTGCGCTGATGGGGAGGAAATCCTCGTAGACTATGGGCTCGTACACCACATACCCGGATTCAATCAAATCCTCGAGATCATCGGATTTCAGAGTCTTTGCCAACTGTAGTTTGTCCAAATCAACACGGTATTGAAACCACGCCAGGCCCTCGGCACGTAGCTGCTCCCATGAATCGGGGAATTCGGCGAATTTCAGAGAATATGCGTCTGCATTCAGAGCTGTGATGCCATCCTGCAATGCCGATTGTAACATCGAGTCATACATCTGACGCCCCTTGACTGTTAAGGCTACACCTCGCTGCTCTATCTCCCCAAATCTGGCTGTATGATACCCAGGCACGGCATTAGACGAGTCTGTCGGGTTGCCCTTAGTGTCTCTTGGAAATCCAATCGGCTCCTCAATGGCTTTAAAGCTGGTTTGACGCAGGAGAATTGGGCACTTCCTTTTTGGCGGACCTTCGACGTATTCCTTAAGCGGGATATTCCGGTCTAGCATGTCGGACTGTACCGCATCGATGTCCAAGGTACGGGGAGTGAGGTGGTTGATGTGAGGTGACCGAAAAGCAACAATATCAGCTAAGACAGAATTTTCGCGCAAAAGCCGAAGATAGACATCTTGAGGAACAGCAGCAGTAGCATGCCATCGGAAGCTATTCCTCGCTTCCCTCACAAACTCCTCAGCCTCGGCGTCTGTAAGGCCACCATGGCGCTCGTAGATGTCTAGGAGCTCGTACATGCGTTGTGAGAAGATCTGTCGACAACCAAGAGTCTCCATAGCAATGGCTCGGAGATTTTCATTTGCGATCAGGTGCGGCTGCAACATCGAAACAAACAAACGAAATGGATTCTTGGATAGCTCCGATGCGCTGTGAGGGCGGAAACAGGTTGCATGCACGGGTACTCCCGCAGCGGCCAGGTCGTAATACCCAGTAGGATGCATGTCCATTGCGTGAAGCACGCGCCGCACTGAATGAAGTTCTGCCGGGGTACCAACTCTGATGGCACCATGTCGTTCCAGGTCGATACGGACTAGGTCGTCTGTGGCTTCCAAGTGCCGGCGTAGTGTAGGATCTTGTTCAAGGGTCGTCTTGTTGACATGAGAAACAAGGGCCAACAGTGTTCCGTATAGAGGGACCTCAGTTGTATACATAGCGGACATGGCTCGGGAGAAGGCATCACGGATATTTGCTGGTGCCGCATGTTGACGGCCGGTGGCCTTGGAGATCATGGCGATGTGTCTTATCTCAATCTTCCGGGTATTATTATGGTATTCTTAATCTGTGAGGATTATTCACCCATAAATCCAGGCTTGTTCATGTGGGCTCATACTAATCCTATATAGAATTTTGCACTCAGAGTCATTCCTCCGGAGAGTGATCTGACCGACCTCGGCCGGAACGAATTCATCGGCACGCTCCGAGGGCCTTTGTACCCGGAGGCTGTATTAGCAATAGACTTTACCGAAAAGTATCTCATTATTTCTACGGGATTACATAGTTTAGTATCAAATATTTTGCTTTAAAAGAGCAGGAGCACAAGATAACGTTATGGCCAACCCACATATCATACAAATATAGGAGGTCTCTGACTTATGAATAAGATACTGATGTAATAAAGCAAACGAACGGTTAGTGTATGTCGGCCAATACATTTAAAGCACCTATCTCCCTGGTATTGTTCTGTTATCCGGTATTAGATTTAAACCTGTAGCTGCCTTATCTATGTTATTTTGTTCTGCCCTGAAAAGGGGTACGGAATTTTTAACGTCACTGTACAACCATATACACTGCTACAGGAGAGTATCATCACAACTCCAAAAAGCTCAACGTGGAGGCCCCACACAGGGAGAGATATCTCAAACTTGATTGGTCCCGATATCTCCCCAGAATGCCGTGCGCTCTTCCGGGCTCCACCATTGCGGAAACATGTTACTCCCCAACTCTTTCCCCTCAGACTCCGGAGTCTAATAGTAACAACGAAAGTCCGCAGCACGCTCACCGCAATGTACGAGCGTCAGCGGGTTTGGCGTGCCTGTCAGGCATGTCGCCGGAAGAAAGTAAAGTGTGACGGCGAGCATCCGTGCGAGAGCTGCACTCGCAACCAGGCCGAGTGCGTCTACGTTGAGCCGTCCAACAACATGAGGATGGTGGATCAGCGGTGAGTTGCCCCCTCTGATGTTGACTGGCCTCTCTCCGGCCCCTATCGGAAACAAGACCGCTAAACGCCGCTCCAGATATCTCATGAAACTCGAGAGCCAGATCCAAGTGATGGAAAAGAGATTACATGAGCACTCACAAGCACAGCCATCAGCCAGCCAAGCCGGCCAAGATGTCCAAGTAGGCCAGGAAGATCAAGACAGCAGAAGGGTAATGCTTCCATCTGCACCTCGTCTGATGGCCGCGACCGTGTCTGATAGCCATAATGGTAATCGTGGTCCTTGTTCTCTTCTCGACCATGCGGGAGACGGTCTCGACGAAGACCCTGAGACCCAGCACGTGGAAGACGTGGCTGTGCAGCCGCAGCACCTAGAGCCACCTGCAATCGACGTGACCCAATTGCCGGAGCCACTTCTGCGGCTCCTGATCGACCTTTTCTACCGCTCTATCTATCCCATATTCCCCATTATCAGCCAATGTGATTTCCAGCCACAATATGATCACTGGTTATCGGCTCGCCAAAGCAGCCGTGTCAGCGAAGATGACGAATTCTTGCTGCTCTTATATGCGCTGCTCGCCGTGGCATCCTTTTTGCTTCCAGCAGAACACGCTATCTTTGACCAACATGGCCTAAAAGCTTACAAACATGTGGACCTTGGAAATCTGCTATACTCTCATGCGATTCCCAAATACCCGGAACCGCCATCTGGGCAGGACGCAACGTCAGCCACCAATTTCGTCGTTGCCCAGGGCCTTGTGACTCTCTATCTCACCGAGTGTGGCAAAGTGAACGACGCTTGGATCAGAGTGGGCCATGCGATCCGGCTATATCAAGCATTGGATCTTGATAATGGTGTGGATGCGGCGGCGGAAGTCAACGCGACCAGCAGCTTACATGGCAACCTTTGGTGGTGTTTATATATTCTGGACCGCTCCCTGTCGACAGTGCTCCTCAAGCCCCTGGCGATCGATAATGCCGAAAGCAACATAGATCCATATGATGGGCAGAGACAGTCGACTTGGAGATCGGAAGACAAGATCGATCCTTGGTTCCCAGTCATTGCCGAGTTTCATATCATCTTTGGCCGTATTTACAAGTCCGTGCGGTGGATTCGCAGATGCCATCCATCCCAGAATACCGAGCTTGGGGATAATGATACGCTGCGGTCAAACATGAAGAAGTACGATATCGAGCTCGAGAGGTACTACACTAAGCGGGTCCTGCCTAGAATGCAAGGGCCCCATGGCACGGCCCGACCGCTTGCATTACAGAACGTTGCAGAGTCGTCCTACTATATTGGACTTGTTCTCCTTTACCGCACATTTATTGAAAAACTCAAAATTGAGGAGCCTGAAGTGTTTCTACGCTGCGCTGAGGCCGCATCAAGCTGCATCAGGGTCACCCCGCAAGTGATGGCAACTGTGCCTGCCTGCCACTTTGTGATCCAGCAGTGCCGGGCGGTCTATATTAGTACCAAAGTTCTCTTACACTGCATGCGCTTGGTAAAGAATACAGGCTACACCAACAATGCCTGGCCAGATGTCCAGAGAGGCTGCGACATCTTACGAAACATCAAAGTTCAGTGGCCAGAGATCAAGAGATATCAAAAGCTCACCGAAGAAGATATGTGTCGGACGCAGATCCATCTCAGCAAGCACGAGCTGTTCCATAGAGTGTTCGACAGATATGGACAGGAAAGTCATTTAAAGCCATCGGGAGACAGCGGAACGAATCACAGTTCGCTGCGCAGAACTGGTACCAGCCACAGCAACAGTGTGCACCACTGTCTACCAATGCCCGCCGACGACACCACTTATCGACGCAGAGACCTAGTGAACAATGCCCCTGAAGCGGACCTAACGAGAACACCACAAAGCCTCATATCGCATAACAATGGGCAGGATTCACGATGTCCTGAAAAGCAACCAAAGCGGCGCAGGCTGTCGCAAAATTTCTATGCTCCCCCTGTTCCCTACACACACTGTGCACCAAACACGCCGCCCACACTCTCCGAGACCGACAGATCGTCTATGCTGGACACGACAATTGGTCCCAGTGAATTCCTCCTACCCGACATTCCTCCTCTGCCACCCGTCCCGGGAGATTCGCCATCTGACTTCCTTGAAGATACTATGCTAATGTCATCCTTTGACCTAATCTTCACACATGCGGAATGATAGAATTGGCCATCACATTATTTTCAACGAAATCTCATTTCAATTCTAATCAACAATCTGTGTATGGGGAGACTGGTGTATAAAGAAGCCACTGAAGACCTCTCTGCTGTCAATGGCCTGGCACACATAGCCGCATTGGAATCAATGCGGCGGCGCAATCTGCCCACACTCGCCGCACTTTCTGGTACTTTCATTTGTCATCCATTGATTAATGAGATCCTTAAGTTGCGTTTCGATGTCAGCGCAGTGAAATAACTCTTCCCGGATGATGCTGGGTGCCGTCTGGTGGGCCTCCTGATTGGGGCAGTACCACCTTATACGGTCGATTACGTGCGGGGGGCGGGTGCGCTCCATGACCAGGCCAACGGTTTCCTTATACCGAATTGGGCAATGCGGGATGTCTCCTGTAGTGGGAATTAAGAACAGGCGTAGGGCAAGGATAGCAAGTTATCGTACCGGGCAGAAGGAACATTTCGCCTTCTCGAATGACAATGTCACGAAATTGAGTGCCATTCTCGACAATCTTGAGCAACATGTCGCCCTTGATCTGATAGAACCACTCCTAATGTGCAGATAACAGGCCATTGTCAGTTTCGGGTTTGTATATTGTTGCGATGGTGGCTGTTTACCTCGGTTTGGTTGACTTTGTCGCGGACGACCACGTTAGCATCGAGTACTGTTGCATTGCCCTTCTCTTCAGTTAGAAAAGAAATACCCACTGTGATAGTCATTTCGCGTGTTCGGCCCTCCAACGGCCATTAAGATGAAGTCCTTTCCAGAATACAGGCATTGGTTATTGACTGGAGGCTGTAAATTTTGGGCGTTCGCGGACAGCCACGACTGCAACATAACGATTCCCGGGATAGGAGTGGTATCCGACGATATGTGCTCCATGGTTTGCTTTGGCAAGGGCAGCAAAAGTGAGGCGAAGACTAGATCTAGAAGATGGTGGAGAAAGAATGGACTACTCTCATGTGGCCTGCCCTTGAATACAAATTAGCGGTTGTTTTCCACTACGCATTTGCGGTGGTCCCAGGCCGGACAGCCTTCCGATTGAGCCTTCGGATTGATCCCCATTGATCTTCTGGGGTCCGAAGGCCATGGGAACGGCTATCCGCGCTTACATCCGACAATGAAAATCGACTGGCCAGGAAAAATAAGAAGCTGGTCAAGACAGACCACCTCGTCAAGTCATATTATTGTCGCGCCTCATTTCAATACAGAAGTATCCGACCATCTGTGCCCTGGCGAGCCATCACTCCTTCAAGTCGACCGGAACGATATTTCAACTATTGGTGATTTACGATGACGATTAATTCAGAAAGCTGTTCCTGTGCTGCTGACCAGCATCGCCAGCCCGTCAGCACAGAACAGTGCACCCGCAATGGCCCATTTCGAATTGACATGCACACCCACATCATGCCGCCATCTTTACCTGATTTCTCCAAATCTCACGGTATATCGAAACCAAACAGCCAAGAATGGATTACTCTTCGGCCACATGATGCCCCGAGCGACGAATCCGATGGACAATACGGCAAAACATCCAACAAAGTCGACATGTTTGTTGGCGACAGATTCTTCCGTACGGTAGAGCCTAATTGTTTTGACCCAGACATCCGTATCGCAGAGATGGATGCTTCGGGCGTGGACATGCAGGTGATCAGTACGGTGCCTGTCCTGTTCTCGTACGACAAGCCCGTCGAGCCAGCAGCGGCGATGGCCGAATACCTGAACGACCACATTGCGTCCATATGCCATGACCATCCTCATCGATTTGTGGGTTTGGCAACCGTGCCTTTGCAGAATGTGGCTGCCTCGGTTAAGGAACTGAGGCGTGCAAAGAACATGCTGGGGTTAAAAGGAGTCGAGGTCGGCACGGAGATCAACGGGAAAAGCTTGAACCATGCCGACTTCGAGCAGTTTTGGGCCGCATGCGAGGAATTGGACTTTCCGATCTTCGTCCACCCTCTTGGATACGAGCTAGAACAGGAGAACAAGGAACGATGGGGAAAGTACTGGTCAGCATGGCTAATCGGAATGTAAGGAATATACTCTTGGGCCCTCTTGCTTACTTTCTTGATATCTAACCCTACAATGTGGATTTAGGCCCAGCGAGACAGCGCTCGCAATGCACTCTATACTCTCATCAGGCGTCTTGGTGCGCCACCCGAAACTCCGTTTGTGCTTTGCCCACGCCGGCGGGGCTTACTTGCCTCTGCTGGGACGAATTCAACATGGATACGACTGTCGCCCTGATCTTGTTGCTCACAGCTCCCAAGGAGTGCTTCCTCAGGAATATTTCCAGTCGCAGCAGCAACACAACATCTGGCTTGACAGTTTGGTACATGACCCTGATCTACTGAAATTTATCTGCAAGAAGATCGGGCCAGAGAAGGTCATTATGGGCAGCGACTATCCATTCCCGCTCGGCGAGATGCCAATCCCTGGTAAGATGTTGGCCAGTGACAAGCAGGTGGGCAGCTTCCTCTCGCAGGATGAACGGGCACGGATGTTGTCGGGGAATGCCATTGAATTCTTGAAGTTGGAGGGCTTGTTTCCGGAGCATAGATTGTTACATGTACCGGCTATACAATAGTGGACCAAATCGACCGGGCCACAGCCAAATCAGCATCTTCTACAGCGCACAATTCAAGTAATAGGATTTTCTCATCAGGTATCAGGCTCTTCTGTTGTGCCATTTCACATTGCCGGGGCGAGCCGTGGGTTCAGTACTGATAGGCGGCCCTACACCGGATCGCCTCCGTAGCGGCGGATAGGGCTTGCCGTGCTCCGCATCACCGTAATGGTCACTTTTCCTAAACTTCACGGTATATAATTTTGGCCTTCTCGACATCAGTAGGTACCTTCGCCTGATTCATAATGGATACTATCTCTGCGCTATGGAAGCTCAACACGTTGGAAAGCGCAAATAGCTACCTGAACAGCCATGAGTCCAATCCTCCCCGTCTACACCACTTTATCGATGGCTCCTTCGGTACAAATTCAGACTCAGAGAGTTGGATTGAGTCGCTAAACCCCTGTTCTGGGAAGCTTCTCGTGCAAATTCCCAGCGGCACGGTGACCGATGTGGACCGCGCTGTAGATGCGGCTTCAAGAGCGTTCCAAGCGTGGTCGAAGACATCGCGACACGAGAGATCCCAGGTCTTAATAAGGATTTCTGATATTCTTGACGAACAAAAAGAACTCTTTGCGGTATGGGAGAGCATTGATCAGGGGGAAGACGCTGGCTCGGGCCAGGGTCGAAGTTGAGCGTGCAGTTTCGAACTTTCGGTTGGTGCTTTGCTCCACATCATTGTCATGACACATTTCGCTATGATTTCTCGCTTGACATGCAATGAGGAGATGCTGAGAGACTGTCTTTCCAGATACTTTGCTACATACATTCTCCACGAAGAGGGCGCAGTGCGATACGTTGATGGACAGCCATCCACCTTGACGTATGAACATCGATCGCCCCTTGGGGTATTTGGGCTCATCTCGCCATGGAACATGCCACTGTATCTTCTAACTTGGAAGATTGCTCCTTGTATCGCCTTTGGATGTACAGGTGTGGCAAAGCCAAGCGAGGTTACCAGCATAACGGCCTTCTGTACGTCGGAACATTGATCAATACCGTGCTTGCAGCTTGTTGACTATTTGACTAGTGCTATGTGAAGTATTCCGGCAAGCGAAGCTACCAGTCGGCGTGATGAATCTTGTCTTTGGCGATGGCCCAGGTACTGGCTCGACGCTCGTCAAGTCGCCGCGCGTGCGAGGAGTATCGTTCACCGGCGGAACCAGCACAGGCATCCGCATCCGACAAGATACCGTGGCCGATATTGGAAAGCACCTATCCCTTGAGCTAGGTGGGAAAAACCCAGCCTTGGTGTTCGATGATGTCGACCTGACCAAGGCTGTGCCTCTTGCTGCTCGCGCGGCTTTTGAGAACAGTGGGCAGATCTGCCTGTGCGGCTCACGCATCTACGTCCAGCGCGCAGTGTACGGGGAATTCCTGTCCGCGCTGGCGGCATACGTCAAAACCCATTACAAGCTCGGGGAAACGATGGGTCCAGTTGTTTCGCGGGAGCACTACATGAAGGTTCGATCCTATCTGGTGCAAGCGTGGGAAGAGAAGGCCGTCTTCCACACTGGGGAGCTACCAGACGAAGCGCCTCAGCAGGGCTTCTGGATTGCACCGACTGTCCTTAGTGGCCTTAACACCGATAGTCGGGTTATGCGCGAAGAAATTTTTGGACCCGTCGTCACTGTATGTGCCTTCGATACAGAAGAAGAGGCGGTTGCGTTGGCAAACGACAATCCCAATGGCTTGGCCAGCATTGTCATGACCAACGACCTGGCCCGAATGCGTCGGGTAGGCGAATGTATTGATTCTGGATTGGTTTGGGTCAATTGTTGGCTGGTCCGGGAACTCGGCACGGGATTTGGAGGCATGAAGGCGTCTGGCACTGGCCGTGAAGGCGGAGCGTACAGCCGCGATGTCTTCACCAATCTGCGTACCCTTCATGTATCGCACTCTTAGCACCTTGGATAGCATCTGTTCTATGGTGGTTGTAGATGCAGGCTATGGGTATTTTCGGAATACAATAGGATAGGCTGGCTGTACAGGTACATGGAGAGAGTTGTAGTTAGAATATCCGTCCGGATGTATGCGTTCGGATGTATCCGATGGAAGCATGACTGTAATCCCTTCAGTCCCCTCTTCTATTTCAACATTTTTATTGCCAGTCTTTGTCTTGCTAAATTGCTCCGGATTGATTTTACGTGAATTATCTACCATTTGCCGACTCAGCAGACTCCCAAATCCCAGATCATGGCACCCACCACTACCACCACCCCGTACTTCCGGCCCTCCAACCATGCACAAGGCTTGGCCAATTATCCCCATGCGCGGATTGTGCCATCAAGCAACGAACAAGGATCATACATATACGTCTCGGGAACCTCTTCTCGACGCGGCGATGGCACATTTGTCGGCGCCACTCGCACGGAAGATGCCACAGGCAAAGTCACGCTCGACCTAGACATCCGGAAACAAACTGCCTCAGTTCTGTCCAACATACATGCAGACATCCAAGCGGCCTCGGAAGGGAAGGCAGGAATTCACAGCGTCGTCGACGCGACTGTCTTTTTGACCAGCATAAAGGGCGACTATTCGGGCATGAACGAGGAGTGGAACCGTGTGTGGCCGGATCGCACTACAGCGCCGGCCCGGACGACAGTTGAGGTGCGCGCGTTGCCACGCGAGGAGATCTTGGTGGAAATTAAGTGTGTTGCATATTATCAGTAGACTCAAATGATAGTGACTAGAACAGTGTTGAATAACAGTATTTTATCGGTGATATTAGGGACACTGCTTTGGCCTGTTAGTTATCCTGGTTATCGATTCTGGTCGATATATATATTTCTCCATATGTACCGGATAATGTCTGGCGCCCCGTGACTTTCTCTTTCCGATTTAGTGCTCGCTGCTCGCTCCCTGAATAAAACTGAGTAAGCATACCCCCCAATAAAGTGCACCCCGCTAGTTTCTTCCCTATGCAACATTTTCCCCTTTCCATCTCTCATATTTCTCCCATCAACAAAAAAATGGCTTCAAAAATGTGACTCTTGTTGGACCTGTGGTCCGCCTCTTACCTCAGTGGCGAATTGCGCGGTGGGTCCTGTTCAACAGGCCTATAAATCCCTCAACATCCTGCGGTACTACAGCTGTTTCCACTGGTTTTTGGAATCTATGATCATTGTCCGTCCTCTAGCGACGTGAATACACAGCCTTAGGCTTTTTGAACACCTGCCCGCAATTGTCAAACATCGATTGTCTTTAATGTTGAAGCATTTCGGTTCAATTCATTGTATCCATTCTGGTCTAACAATAAAAAATTCTCCTCTCCAATTAAGCGATGACGATCTTCTAGGCCATGTTATGCGCCTAGGAATATAGCCTTGCTTATTAACCCTTTAACCTATTCATGTAACTTCAGAGGGCTACGAGGGCGAGGGCAATTATATGAAATCGCCTCGAGATCTATTGTTGTATCCTGTCATGTGCGGCCGGAGCCATCTGTGCTCAGATGTAACCACTAAGGATTTTCTTTTGTTGCCAATAGGCGCTTCTATCAGAAGTCTTCTAAGAGTGTACAATATCATGGCTTTTGCGCAAGTACTAGCGCATGCTGTGAACTTGTGACCGAAGCCAAACGCTCAACGTCTTAGGGATATTGTACTAAGGTTACAGTGTTGACTAGGCCTGGGGAGCTTATTCCTAGGAGCTCGCGGCTGGCTCTTAAGAAGTTGCGAGCTCCTAGGAACCAGACCAGAAATTTAGTTCAGGGGTCAAGTGACCACTCCGGTCAACCATTCACATTGGGTGAAAGAAAAAGGAGGTTAAACGGGTTGTTTAAGGGCTGTCTACAATGGTGTTTAAACTTAGAAGTCGGTATTGAAGTCCCACAAAAAGTGAGTCTTTAACACCGTCTGCCACAGGAGGCACAAGCAATAACGAATGTCGCAGTAATTTTTGACTGCACTGTGGAGAAAGTATCAGGACTTTGTATGGCGACGGGCTGGATGCCCGAAATATAAAGCCCTCAAGCCTGGCTTCTTTTTTATTTACTTTTCCCACATTTCCCTCTCTCCAACCTTTCAACTGGTTCCCCCTACCTGCCAGAATCTTGTCCTAAGATATTTCTTATGGTTTTCTTATAGATTTCGCGCTCGCCTCGCTCAGCTTCACAATCATGAAGACCAATGTTACGGAATTTTCTAGGAGCCGTGAGAGCAGTCCTGACTTTGGATTGGTTACGCCTCACTGTTGTGGCTTCTGCACGTTCGAGAAGGTCAACACAGCCATGGGCAATAATGAGGCTGTTCATGGACAGCTCAGACAGCAGGAGGGCCTTTTCAACTTACCATCGGTTCGTCGTGCTCATAGGGAGCAGGCTGATGTCAAGTTCAGTATTCCGAATTCTCTCTCCGGGCTGGGAGCTCTCCGACGTCAAGAAAAGTCATCTTCTGCGGGCAGTGAGGAGAGTCTGCTGTACTGGGAGCGTGAAACTCGGAGCCGTTCAATTGGTATGCTTTTCTTTGCACCGTCTTTTAAAAACTCCTTGACTCATACAGACATCCCTAATATCCTGAATTCATTTCTCGATGGGAAGATAAACCCTCAGGAGCTGCCCACTGGACCTAACCACCGTGCTGCCCAACATTTCGGAAAAGCCACTCCCTAAGGCCAAGAGTGTCAGCATTGCCGCGATACGAGCCGTGAATGGAGCTATTCATTATTTTCGTACGGAGTTTTCATTAAAGGCCCTCACTCCTACCCGACCGCCTGTTGCAGCGCCGATGACCCCTGTTACAGGGAAGAGACCCAACACCTGATGGCCAAGTTCACAAAGACCTCACAGCCATGAGAGCCGAACTCAAACGTAGTCTCACGGCCACACCACGTTTTGCCTGGGAGCAAAGGGGGTTAGCGGCAATCTTGTTCCATCAACGCCAACGGACAAGACTCTATCTTGACAGTACAAACCAAACCCTTTGATGGTTCTTGTATGAATTGCAGTTGCTCTTAGGAGGCCAGCAGGTGCTCTCTTCGCAACTAGACGCCCCACCCAATTTGCACGACGAGACACCAAGCACGTCATTCTCTCCCCGATCACTCTCAAGACAGACGGCGTCAGCGTTGGCGTCGCGCCCTTGCCACTGTTGCCCCTAGATCTCGTCATCCTCATGCGTGGAACAGTGCGCCTAAAATTCCTGCTAAGCCTGTCCGGCCTGCTTCCCTTCCGCGTATGTTTTGAGCTCGGCGAGATAGTTGACATTCGACTCGTTAAGCTGCTTGGGCACGCCCATGAGGTACTTGAAGACATAGGCTGCCGGCCCACTCATCGTCTCCCAGGTCTTCACCTCACAAGCACCATTATTGCCTGAGACTGGCGTCACGGTTTGAACTCGTTCTGCTTTTGCTGCCCACCCAGGTAGTAGTTTGCTCCGCCAGGCCAGTTTGTGCGTCTCAGATGTTCGGTCCAACTCCAGGATCTACAAGGAAAGCAGAAGCAGGACATGGACTATCAGCATATGGCTTCGCAATCTTGGTCGCTGCAGGGAGAGATATACGCACCTCAATGGGGATGTCGTAGGCACGGTTCTGCGCCTTCATAATCGTCTTAAGCCTGCCCTCTGCTCCCGCCGCGACATTCCCATCCGCATCCTCAAAAGCGAGGGTTGGCGTCCACGTGTTCCATTCGCTGTATCGGGAGTAGCTGGTGATGATGTCGAACACGACGCTTGCTGGAGCGTCAATCGACACGGTAGCGCCCGACGTGAAGAGGCCGCTGCCCGCCGGCTGCGAGGGCGTCGCCGCAGCGTCTGTCCAGCTAGTTGCAGTCATGGTGAGCCGTTATAGACAGCTATGGATAACAGTGGGTTGAAATGATCGTGCTAGGAGCAAGGAAAGGGAGAGTATTTGAGTCGTGAATGGGCTGCTTCCCTCGCTTCATGTGCCTGGGCGCCCACTGACTAGGCCTGGCAAACGCTCCAATGAATAGTCGCTTAGCCGCATATACACAGGATAATGTCAGGCGCCTCGTGACTTGCTCCTTTCGTTTTAGTGCTCACTGCTTGCTCCCTGAGTAGAACTGAGCACGGCCCTAAGCGGCCTAATCTGCTCACGGTGCATGGCATAATCGCAATGGCCCGCTCACTGAGCACTCACCGACTGCTCACCTAAGCGGCCTGCTCCACTCACTGATACCCCTGATTCGCTCACTGAGCCCGCTCTGAGCATAGGAATGAGCGCCCTGAGCAAATCTATCCCCCAATAAAGTTCATCCCGCTAGTTTCGTCCCTGCGCAACATTGTCCTTTGCGTCGCTCGTATTTCTCCCGTCACCGAAAAATACCATCGTCAAAGTGACTCTTCTTAGACCTGTGGCCCGCCTCTTCCTCAATGGCAAAATGCGAAATGCTGCACCTGCAGGAAGGGATGAGATCGCGAATGGCTGTCGTACGCGAAATTTTGCCAAAATTCCGGAAATGATCAGAGTGAGGCCAACTTTTATGAGTAGAATAGTCGGAGGCAAAGACGTCATTCGTACGCTCAGAGGCTTTTCTGTCAAACCAATTACGATAATCATTGTGACAAGTACAAAGCCCAGAAGATAGTTCCAGTGAAAGAAGTCAAACTATTTCATGCAAAGAAAGGATTAAAAATTTGTGTTAGCAGATTTTTCCTTTATTTTTGCATTAGGCAGAAAAAGATTTAAGAAAGAAGAACCAAAAAGGGAGAGGAAGCATACACTCCAACGACTTTCTGATGTAAGGGGTCGGCAATCCGATGTTGGTTTGAGTAGTCACCTTGTTCGTATGCCCAGCGAATATAAAGTTGACACTCCTAGGATAGCGCTGGCTACACTAAGGGCTGGATTTTAGACACCTTATTATCAGCTCATGTGATATAGGCAAGGAAATTTAGAGACAAACAAATTTTGAGATGAATTCGCCCTCCAATGTAAACTTAGAAAGAGCACCAACGGCGCAACACAGGATATGAGCAATATGCCTCCCTGTTTCAAGACTATTGGGAGTTTGTGCACATGAAGATTAAGAGGCAAGGGAGGGGGCCCATCGACCTTTGCCGACTGATCGTTGTCCTGCGTAGTCATGTTGTATTCTTCACTCTGGCTTGAATTCAAGTCACTGAAAAGCATGTTAAAAGGAATTTGGCACATGGGTTTGTTTTTATATTTGACACGGGTGCTCAAAGGAATGCCCATTTAAAACAAGCAGATTGATCTGAATGCGGGAGTCACAAATCCCCGAAAAGATAATTTCTGCGCCAATTTCCCTAGAGGAGTATACCAGTTGCAGTTGTTTCGCCCCTAGCAACGTAGGGCTGAGGGCTGAGCTGAAAAAAGTTAACCATGCAATCCCGTGTTCAGCCGCATTTGAACGACTGCTGGGCCGGACCGGACATGGTCGGGCCAGGGCAGATCTAGAGGGATGTGAGGAGATGGGGATGTGCGCGTCCGTGCAGCGCCATGATAGGCGGGCGGGTAGGGAAGGCTGTGTCGTGGCGCTGGCATAAGTCATCCCAAAAAAGCACCCAAGGTGCGAGCAGCTTCCCTCGAGCAGCAACGCTTAGTCTCCAACGGCCCAGCGCGCGGTCACGCTAACGCCTAATTTAAGCCTACATCTATTGCACGAATTTGTCCTCGGCAAGCTTCAGCTGAGTGTCCATCTGGCTCCATTGCCAACGGAATCCAAGCTACAAACGTGCTTCATCCGAGGTCATAGTGCACATCTCTGCGACTAAACATTAATAGTATATTGTAACTTGGGTCCCAGATGGGGGAAATACGACTAGAATTATTCTGCTCTAACAAAGGTGGGGGCAGATTTCAACGCTTTTTTCTGGATCATTAATGGCCCTCGCGGTTCCAGCTAGTTATGATGTGATAAGCTATACAAATATTCATCACTGCAGAGTTCATCTATCTGAGCACGAGACGAGAGCTTTCTAACAGGCCCATTTTTAAGATGCATCTACAATTCGCCAACTCGCTATGGTTTTCGGGGTTGCGTTACATTTGTTGTGGTGTGATCTAATTTAGGAAAGAAAGACGTAAATGCATGCTGCCGCAGACAAAGCCATATGTCCCGAACCCCAGAAATATAGCTGGACATTTGTTAAATTTAGAGTTTTATCAGTCAACGCAGGATGTACCCCAGATCGAGGATAGGCCTCCGCAAAACCCACAGGTTGAGCCGGTGGGTTGGGCCTAAGGGTCCTAAGGGGCCTAAGGGGCCTATGGTTCTGACGTAAAAGGGTAGCCTTAGCTCAATCCTCAGTTTTACCTAGCTGGTGGCCAAACAGTTGCTAGCGGAATATTCCTCTAGCTAAGTTGGCGCAGATCACATCGAAACTGGGCAGGCCGTTAATAGGTGCAGAATCGATTAACTACATTGAGGATAATGAGGCTCCTCCTTCTAGGACCGACAAGAGAGGAAAATCTTCAGTTACTAAGCGGATGCTGACTGACCGAGACGCTTAGATTAACGCTAAGTAGGTCTCTAGGCAACATCTTGTCTGGCGCGATGTGTATCGTGTTATGCGATGTCCTAGGCCTCTATGTCGCCACGAAGGTCAATAATGCTGGCAAGACCCTGAGAGTAAAAGACACCACAGATTGAGGATACACCATATGAAGGCCCTCGTTAAATACGTGAAGGAGGAATCCTTGAGGCCCATGATGATGTTTCCAAGAGCTTTCGAGAGCAACTATATGCTAAGGAGAATCAACAACTCGGAAAACGCAAGAAAACTCTGTATAATTCTACAATCGGTTCAATATGTCCTCCGATCAATGTCAATGTCCTCCTGGCTGGGTCATCTCAACAATCGATACCTACTCCTACTAATGACGCCACGCCTAGTAAGCCTGGCTATAGCGCTGTCTTCCCTTTGAAAACAATCCAAGTTCTAGGAATTATTCCTTACCGCAGTAAGGAACATTGGGCAAACGAACTATACCTAAGCTAGCCTACCATGGCTTTTTCTTTTAGTAGGTAGATCATCTGTAGAACTATTTCGCAAGACGTTTCAAATCGGCAAATGCTTTGGCTGAGATTCAAATTGCTCTATGTATAACTATGACCATCTCAATTATAAGAACATGTTTACTCAGTGTAGTGGCAGGCGTTAGGGTTTGAGATCTCCTTAATGTGCGCGGTAATGCCCACACAGTTTTTGTTATCACCAGGGTTTGGGTCTCCAATAGAGACCCATATAGACCAAGCACCGTCGATACTATGGGGACAAGCAATCAGGTGGTTGCCAGCAAACTGAAGGTGGCCGTCCTTAATAGCCCACCCCTTGCGTTCACCGTTCTTAGGAGTACCCTGGGCTAGAGTATCGTAGCCAATTACGCCTTGTCCTATCGATTTGTTAGTTTCATTATGATAGGCACACAACGGAAGTCTCAAAACATACCCATGCCGGACCTATCAACGAAAATCTCCTGGGGGGTGGCAGAAGTGTCGTAGAGATAGAGGGCGCCATTCTTGATGTAGAAGGTGGCGTCCTGCTCCTTAGGGCGGGCGCAGCGGGCACCCTGATTCTTTAAACCCGCGAAAATGCTCCCCTTTGCAGCTTTGAAGCTAGAGTACTGAACATTAGAGCCCGAATGGATGGCGACAATGCCAAAAGCCTTAGATTCGTTGGCACATTCGGTGGCCGGGAGGGCAGTAGTAGTGGCTGCGAGGAAGGCAGCGAACAGAAGTCTCTTGATCTGCGTAGTGGACGTTGGAAGAGATTGAGCTGAAAAGTGCGGCTGAGACTAAATGAAAGGGGAGTAATGGAAGTATAGAGAGCGGAATTGTATGGTGGAAGAATGGTAGGGGGTAAGGAATCCCTCTTGCTTTCATGTCTTTCCAGCCTGACCTCAAATCATCGGAATTATTTCGTAGAAATATCGAGGGCCATACATAGAAAGATCATTAAGGGTTGTCTCAAACATCGAAAGATGATTCGCTTGGATCGCAATAGCAAGGCCGTGCGAGTTACTCGTTTCCCTACTAGCTTTGCTTACTCGGGGTAGCTAAGAATATCCATAGGTATAGAAAATCTATACTCTATAGGGCCACGTATGTTTGTGAGTGAATCACATAGTCTCAAATACGAGATATACGAGATATTTCCCCTTCAAGATTAGCCTCCGCAATTGATGGTCACAAGGCTCCTTTTTTATTTTATTTATTTATTTATTTTTTGCATTAGAAGGTAAAACCCCTTCATGAGGTTCCATTAGGGAGACGATATCAATACCGTCTAGCGGAGGCGGTACTCGCAAGTTGCGAATCGAGATAGGGTGGCTTCCCGTATTAAAGGTCCAACGTTACGCTGGCAAATTTCACCGTCGCTTCGGTAAAATCATTCCTTCGGAAGCTAGTAATAATGAGCCTTTTGCAACAACGAGGCTAAAATCCGACCTCCAAGATAATTGAATGTCAGCCTATTATTATACTCAGGTAAGATCCTATGTTAAGTACTCCACATTGTCTCTCTGATCCGCCACTCGACGAGAATCATGTTTAAGACTATCAGTCAACCAATCAATAGTTCATGCTGAATCAATCATGGTTCACGGGCTGCTTGACGTAGCCGTGGAGGAATATGTCGAATAGCAGCAATCGTGGGTGAGCAACGAGACTTTCAGAGATCATATTAACAAAGCATGTGATGTGCCTCTCGAAAATTGCCTCGATCTCATGTAGATTTATGAGGATCAAGACCCGAGTTTTCCCGTTAAGCACGGTGTGAAAGTAGGTGCCGCCAGTCGATTCGTAAATGACATCGGCCTTAAGGTAAAACGACGCAGAGAAGTCAATTGCGAAGAAAATAATGGTGATTCAGTAGGTATAGAATATGTTATACTGAACAGAGAACAGACCCACCGGCATACTGCATTCATCTCTCTGCATTATTTCGGAATGTACCTTTCATATCGTCGGTTTACGAGCCGATACGCTTTGGGGTGACAAGACAGATTCATGTGTTACACTTGCGTAGTTGTGCGGACTAGTCCACAATAGCTTTCCAGTGATAACGTTCTAACATGCGAGCTTCTATTGGCTCGAAAACCAACCCCGATAGGAGTCAGCTTATTCCCCTCTACTCGTCGTGACAAGTTGACATTGGATGAAACGAGGAGCGCTGCTTAGGAGGTTCCCCTCAAAAATGAGTGAGACTACGAATAATTACAAATCAAATACGAATAAGACCCTTGCAAATGAATTCGAATACGATTATGATGTGGAAAAAAAAGTCGAATACGAATAAAGAAGATCTTCATTCGTGCCCAGCCATAGTAAAACTCCACTTACATGTAACGTTAACGACTTTTTATCAGTCAGCATCCCACCCGTTGGTGAGAATGGTACCAACGCTACGAAGGGTCCAAGATAGACACAAGTGCAAATAAGACCGAGTATCAACAATCCCCTAGTGCACAGCCAGGAAAAGAATAAAAGGCGTATGCCTCCCTCCTCCCTAGCTTCCACATCATCTATCATCACTCATCACTGTGCTAGCTTCCATAGCATCTATCGTCACTCATCACTGTCATCAACAGTAAGCGACACAACCATAACATGCAACTGAAGTTCCTCCTCTTTGGCCTGGTCACTACTGCCGCCGCTCATAATTGGCAGGCTGCGGGCGGCTGCAAGACCAATTGGGGTGGCAGATGCCTCAACACGTGCAAGACCGAGGCCAAGGCCAAGAACTATAGTTGCACTGAGTTTAAGGACGACATCTGGAAGTCTGACTGCTTCCTTGGCTGGGAGGTCTGCGACTGTGGATGCTGGTGAAAAGAGATGGAAGAGAAATGGAAGAGAGGTGGAATACTGAACGTGGGATTTAGTAGATAATCACGTGGTTATATTTGCGCTGCCGTACATACATACCTATCACCAAGTCGCTCCTTTGCTGGCGCAGTTAGGAGTCCACCCTGGAGAAGGGTAGCTTTCCTTTTTGTCTTCCTCCCTCTCTAGGCCTCCTCCAGCTTCTAGAAGAATAGCACTCTATCCTTACATCGAGATTTAGTCTCTTGCACTTCCTTCTATTGACCTATGTTCATCACTTTCTTCTCAAGGTAAACGTATCTATCCTCCCTTTCCATTTTCTACCTATTTTCTTCCATATAGCAATGCCTATAAAGGAATCCGTTCCAGTTGACAGGTGAGATTAGTTTCACCCAATGGCCTAAATCAAGCATGTTCTTACTGTTGCTTAGTACTTTCTGCCATCCCTAGCTCTAGTGCTGTCTTCGATTAGGTCTATTGTGTTAGGGCTTTAGTTTCAAATAGAGCCGCTATCAGAATAATGCCTGTTCCGAAGATACCTCCCACTACTCTATAGGCGATCTAGTATTTTGTAGTATTTGTAGCAAGTTTTAATCCTATACCTCTCTTGATGATTCCTAATAGAATCAGCGCTCTCCTATATCATACATAGACACGAGTCTATTCAGTCCGCATTTTTGTCTTACGGAACCTGTGACCAGCCTGAGGCTGTACCTTGAGCACGTGATATGGTTTCTGTTTCTGTAGATAGTTCTCTTTGTTTCTCCCTCTTCTTTCCCTTCCCCATCTTCGATGTCCCGTCGACCACTGTATCCAATATGACTTCCTAATCTCTGCTGGCTTTCTCCTTGATAGACGCCCGGTCACAGTAGTGGCTAAATCCTTTTTAAGGATCTATAGTGAAACTAGGCGATAGGTAAGCTTTTTTATGAATAGAGAATTGGAATTCCTACAGATTACATACAGGGATTTTACCTCTCATCAATATTTCATATTATGTATTAGTCATTTACTAGTCAGTGAGCCCTCTAAATTGTCGGGCATTCCCAGATTTATCTGAATCAGAGATTTATTTCTTCGTGAATTACACGTCCATGTGGGACTGTCGCACGCCCAGATTTCGACAGAAATCACTACTTTGGGTTCGAGTTGACTTACTCTATCTAATCATTCATATATTTTTAATATAACTATTAGTCGTCATAAGTCTTTTGTCTTTGTCTTAGAGCAAGTTGTCTTCTCGATAGGCTCTAAGAACGTAGCTATTCTTCTCCCGCTATAGACGGCGCCTTTCCTATACGACCTCAACTTAGCTAGCAAAATAGCCTTGCCTAGCCATATTGAAATAGGCTAACAAAAGTATATAAGCGAGTAGAAGAGCGATTCGGAGGAAGTAAAAATATTGGATAGGATGTTCAGGTCATAACTTCGAGTCGTCTTATACCAACGGGTTGGAACTCGAGCCTCTTGTTAGACCACTAGCGACAAAAATACAGAATCTGGCAACAAAGCCACAGCGTGCGCCAACAAGCTTATGCTTCTATAAGCATCCGTCATCATTCAGCGAAGCTCCCAACATTTAGCTCCTACGAGCCAGCCAGACCTGAGATGGTTCTAAGACACGCAAGCTAAATTGCTAGGCTAATTTTTCATTTGGATGGCGTAGACTCGTGAGAAACTATCTCCTAAAGTTATCCTGGTTAGGACAAATGGGTGAATCCAGCCGAGCGGCAAAGGCCCGAAGGGCTCATTCAACGCATCATCTTGCTGTTCACGCCTCGACAGCATGATAGTAAACTATAGCCATGAAGCTAGGGACCATGGCTCAATTAATATTCCTTTTCAATAGCTATCTGTGCTACATGCAGTAGAAAAGAATACCTGAGAGGGACAAAGATGCTTGGAGAGGGAAACGCCGCTCGACCCTATTCAATCCTTCAGATCCCATCCCGACTCGACTGATAGACATTAATCTGCGCGTTCTGGGTCTGATCGAGCACACCAAAATCCAGGCATCGATAAATTTCCAGATCGTCCCGGGAGCCTGCAGAAACCATGATGCAATAGATGGGGACATGGTGGGTTGTCTACCCACTTGGTAGCTTCCTAGTGCCAGATGAGAAGCTCCACTGCTCGCTCTCGAGGGCTGAACCGGGTTGTTTTAGCTGATTTACGGCCTGCGCACACCGTCACACCTACGAAAACCTGTTACTCCGGGTCCGTTTGTTTTTCCTTTTTTTTTGACCTCAAGTTAGATGTGCTTGATATGCTCGCCCACAATTGTCCTGGGCGCGGCTATCATTGGTCAATATGATGCCGATTGTATAATTGGACGGGATCAGGAGGAAAGCTGGGGTGAGACGGCCTGCATTGGAGCACAGACACCTGGTGGCAACCTGTTTATTCGGTCATGGCTCTCCGCAGCAGCGGGAACAGATTCACAATGCACAGGAGTATGTGGGGCAGGAAGGGCGAACGAGTTACATGCAGTACACTAGGAACAGGGGGCGGAATGTTTTGCAATGTTTTGGGCTGACGTCTCCTCAAGGTGGCCGGCGGTGCGTCTGCCCGAAGACGACAGCGCAGACCAACCGGAGGAGCAGTTGGGGATCGACGAAGGCCGAGGGAGCTAGCGGCTATATTTCGTCCAGAACGACTGCCATCTGGGCCCCAGTGACTGGAGATCCTGCCCAAACGAATTACGGCGAGCTCGTGATAAAATTACTTACTGGTGGGGATGCTTGCTTAGGGATATGATTCCTGCATCACCTAAGCTTGTACATATACTTTCGAGTCTGTACCTTGTAAGAGTATGTAGCTAGAAAATAATACTCTGAACACTATGCAATGACATGGTGATAAACCTCTTGCCACCAACACCTGCACAGAGAAACTTTCTCGGATGATCGTCTGGGTGTCATCGGACCCGGCGTAAAAATTATTTCTAGCGCACAACCAGCAGCGGGGAGATCGCGCTAAGGTTTTTGGGACGAACAGGGGATCGAATGGGTTCCTGATCCTTGCCGATAGCTGACGATTTTCATTTGTCTCGCCCTGGTTTACGCTCCACTGCCATTCCTGTCGTTTGCTGTCACCAATTGCGGAGTCAAACATTAGCACGGGCCCGCGCTCCACTTGAGCGCAGATATTGTACTGTATCGCATCGAGCGACATGTGCTGTCTCACGCCATTATCGACGATCTCGAGTTCCCCCCCTCCCAACATGTTGGTTCGGTCGTGTGAAGCAACCGCATGTCCTCAATCGCGGAGCTCGCCCTAGTGGTGGCTTACTGGGGACGAGCTGACACGTAAGCTTAACGGCACTGGCCAGAACCTTTAGACTGAGCGATCCTGGACACGCTCCTGCCAAATATAGGCAGGGTGCAGCGCCTTCGAATGTGGACTAGGGGTTGCCGCCCTGGTTAGTCGGGTAGGCCCTGTCACTTCAGCTCCCTTCATCATGGTGGCTGGGGAGCCACCCCACCCTCGGCAAATCGAGACCCAGCCCATCGAGGATGGGCTCCACCTGGCAATGCAAGTTGACGGCAAAATAACGCAATGTGGTCTAAATGGATTTACTTAATTACGATTTCGGGGAGGAGGTCTTGACAGACGCCGGAAGTAAAAAACCTTACTCTGTGACTTGCTTCTGCTAGAGTTCAGCCATTTGCGTCTCTTAGTTCGGTAATTTCGGCTGTGAGCACCTCGGAGAGCACCAGAGCCAGCAGCTTGCATGATCTAATGCGGCCTCGCCGACCACGCCACGGGTTGCCCGAAAATGAACAGCGGCAAGGCTTGTGGCTTGGGAAATACAGCATTGGCGAACCCTTCAGTGCTTCAGGTGTCGGCCCAAGTTGCCTAGCTATTGGACCTAGACAAACTACGCTCGTCTTCAGAAGTCAGAAGTCCCATCTCAAGCATACGCATATCCTTGTCTCATGCTCAGCTCCTGCCCCTAGAATTCTTACTGAAATTCCGATGTCTAGGTGTCGCCGTCCCTAGCTGCCGGAAAATTTCTTCGCTGACGAGGTGTATCCGAGAGCTACCCACATTGTCCCGCACACAGATACCAAAGCAAGCGGGTCTATCGGCATGTCTAGGTGGAATCTCTAAAAACCCATGACAGAATCGTTCCTCGTAACCCCCTCCACCATTCCCCATAGTACTAATGCATGTAGATGAGGGGATGGGTGCGAATGGCCAAACGGAACCAGGAAAATTATGTTTTACGGTGTTTTTCGAAATGGCTGCCAACATTTAGACTGTATATATTATCTTTTTAACCAGCTGTTTACCATTAAATCCATGAGGACTGGCATAATATCGCAGCCGCACGTTCTAGGTAAAGGGATTTGAAACGAGAAATGATCTCGGGATGAACGGGAGGCAATGATGATCATGATGAGACGAACGGCTGATCGGTCTGTTCCGCTGGGGATCATGCTTGGTCCAAGACGGCCAATCACTGGTTTCCACGAATAGAGGTTTACATACCGAGTCTACAATATCTACAATATCTACAATCAGAAGGACAATCGAGATGGGAGTGTTACCATGACACTGGACCAACACTTATCCCATAAAAATAGAAGCGGTTACTTTCTATATTCGATTCTTCGCTCCACATAACACGACGGTGAGTAATACAGTTCCCAGCCGGCCATTGGGAGGGCACGAATCACACCTAGCTACTTAACTACAATAAAGTATCCTTGACGACGTATGACCCTAGAGAAAGCAAAAGAAGCCGCTTATGCAGGCTTACAGTAATTCCAAAGCCTGGACCCCGAGCTGCTTGAGTTAGCAGCTGATACTTTCAGCTTGATGTTCTTGTATTGTCTTGTATTCCTGCCAATCAACCAATATGGGGCAATGATGGCCATGGTGGAGAGGCACTTGCTAGGCACTATCGTTACCATGCTGATTGTCTTCAAGTGCTCCACGCTCTATGCTCCGCAGGTTTGCCCCCGAAGCTGGGATACGGGATAATTAGCGCTCAGCACGGCTGTACACCCATGGTCCGGGGGCAACCAATGCAAGACCAAACTTTGTGACTGCCATATGGAGTAGCAGCCATATTTTTGGGAATAGATTGCCCCTTTGGCTCACAATTCATGCACAAGGGAAGAAGGAGGAAGGGAGGCGAAAATAAATGATTTACAGCTGATCCGAGGTGATCGAACGGTGGAGGAAGAGGCCTGAGTCGACGGAAGTTCGAGCTCTTACCCACTATTCAATCCCACAGACGTATTAGTATCGCCACTATTACGCTATCGTTCAAACGGGACAGTGCAGGATTGAAGGTGGCTCCCACCCTGAGCTCTACTACAAAAGCACAGTGGCACCCCGATGTAAGTTTTCCTTCATCTTCTCTCTCAATCTCGCTCAAAACAATATTTGTACACTCTCAGAAACATACACCAAACCATATTCGCGGGTTTGTCTTCTCTATTTTGTTGCTTTAAGAGCTGCTGCTCAAGAGAAACTATACTTGACACCCATTCTCCTCCACGAAAAACATCCTCTCCTTCCACTCACCGCATTGAATCGTCCTCTGAAAGAGTGATTATCCCAAATAACTTACCCAGGCAAGCCTCCACGAAAACAACCGATATCCCAACAATAAAAATGGCCCCCGGCATTCTGTCTCCTGCCCCTGGATCCCCTCTTTTCTCCACCATGCCCGGCTACTCCAGGCAGGTCTCCTCTATCTCTGCAATCTTTGACAGCGATAGCATTTCAAACAGCGACCGCCACTCTCGCAGAGAGTCTTTCGTCCCAAGGAAATCCAATGGACTGGGCAATTCCAATATCACCAGCGTGGTCCAGTCCCTCCACCGTCGTAGTGGAGATGAGTTGGGCATCACTGCTTCCTCCAGGCTCTTGAACACTTCGCATGCTTCAATTATTGAGTGGATCCGTAGCGAGCGCATGAGCCACCTACCCCCTGAAGGAAGCAGTTATGACAAGGTTCTGGGATGGGCGCAACTTTTTGTCGAGAGACTGCATTCTTTTGACACTGCCATCCATGTGTTCGCGGGTGATAGCTACCTCGCCGCTCAGCTTTCGTATGGCTACTGTGCCATGCTCCTCGAGGTAAGTGTGTACACATTCCTTCGAGTCGATGACTTTGAACTAACCCTTTCGATAGCTTGGCAAAGAGAACGCCCCAGCCCTAATGACCTCCTTTGGATTCTTCTACAGCACATCCTCCACGCTTGTGAACCTCCTTGAGCGGACCGAGTTGTTCTCTGTCTCGCAGGAAATCAAGGAGCAATTGATCCTGGCCTTGGCTGACTTGGTGACTTTGGTCGCGAGCGTGTCAACCCACTTCCACAAGGCGATCCGGAAATTGACCACTGCATCTATTTCCGTAAATATCTATGACACGTTCCCTGGTCAAATTCAAGCATTCCGTGAGCGCTGTGGAAAGATTGCTGAGTCCATGTGGAGACACCAGCTTGCGAAGGAGAACATTGATACTGACAGAGGTGAATTCACATTCTGTCCGTCTCGGTCTCGGAAAGAGAGCTACATGACTGACAATCCCGATTTTACTAGTCTCGGTTGTCCAGTCTGTCAGGTCCTGGCTCGCACCTGAAGATCACGTTCTCAGCCATCTCGCTGAAAATACCTCTCATTTTGCCCATGAGCGAGAGGAATTGACCTGTCTCTGGATGAGCTCGTACTTGACTCGTTTTTTGAAGAGTTCGGCAACAACTCTCTCTTTCTCTGGAAAGGCGGGTTCTGGAAAAACTGTACTTGCATCTGTTATTGTCGACCGTCTGCAAGACCAGATCGGCGGAGTCACCTATAAGGCTTTGTTTGTTCCCATCAGTGAGTTCCTACATATCTCGCTTATCCACTGTTAGGTACTAACGAGCCTTTAGACGCGCGGATTCCAGCGGAGACTACTCCTGCTGCCATCGCCAAGACTATCCTCTTCCAGCTCTTTGAGAAGCGTATTGGAAATATCCAGCTCTTACACATCTTGGGCGATGCCTACGAGCACAGCCGGAAGACCACCAGTGCCGTTGACTACGACAACATTCTCTGGAATGCTCTTGAGCGTGCTTTGGCTGCCGCTCTCAAGGGTGCAAAAGAGTTGGTTATTGTCGTCGACGGTCTTGATGAGGCGTCATGCGGCGAAGCAGCTCTGCTCAAAAGACTTACTGCAACAACTACCAATTCAACCAATGTAAAGCTGATTACTCTTGGAGCCGAGAAACCACCAGCCTCAGAGAATGTGATGCACGTTTCGGTCAATGAGGATCGGATTGCTGAGGATGTTTCCACGGTTGTGCGAAGCAATCTTATCCACAGCCGTAGCTTCCTGGAAATGTCAGAGTTGAACCAGGAAACCATCGTGGATCGGATATCTGAAGCATCTCGTGGCTCCTTCCTCTGGGCCAAGCTTTGTACAAAGCGGGCCCGTCATGAACACTCCACTGACAGTCTCCAAAAGGCTGTCGAGACCATTATCAGCAGCAAGCCGACCATTGCCGACTTTGTTCTTCATACTCTCCAGTCTCCTGAAGTCAGCGAGGATGCTAGGTACATGTTGCTCTGGCTTGCTACGGCAGAGCGCCCCTTGTTGTTGAAGGAGCTCGTCGCTCTGGCCTCCATCCAGACTGACAAGTACACAATCACTGACCGCAAATTGGATCCATTGCACGTCCTAAAGCCCCTGAACTCTCTTGTTTTCCTGCAAGATGGTCAGGTGTATCTTCGGCACGGGCTTATCCGGACTGCGATCTTGGATATCTTCGCCAAGGGCAAGCTCACTCCGGCAATCAAGGACAATCACGTCGACTTCGTTACCCGACTTTTTATCTACATCAAGACTGCCGTTGCCGAGCACCATGAGCCCTCTTTGACACCACTAGATCGACATGATACCACTGTGCTGGTGTCAAAGCATCCTCTCCTTGACTTCGCTGTTCGATACTGGCCTCTGCATCTGAAGCAAACTTCAATCTTTACAACTGGGGGTGAAGCTCCCATTGTTAAGGAGTTTGGCAAGATTTTCCCAGTTTCTATTACGCTCTTGCTGCTGCAGAACGCTCTCTGGCAAAACATCTCAACGCCAACGCTGTTGACCTATCAGACCATTGTCACGAACCTGTGTCGTCATATGCTTACCACGAACAATGTTGTGACTCTCCAGTCCATTATCTCCTTGGCTCTTTTGCGTCGCGATATCCACGACGTTTCCGAAGCTATTCCTCTACTTTATGAGGTTACTACAATCAGCCAAACACTGCTCACGACACGTCACATTGTCACGATGCAGATGGCTCGTCTGTTCCTCGACTTAACTGTGGAGCAAATAACCAGCACCAAGTCAGACATCATGGCTAAGCGTGAAATAGTTCTTCTGTTGATTGTCGAGTGTTACAAGATCCACTACGGCAATACCTCTGAGCAGGTGGTCACGGTTCTCAAGACATTGATTGAGCATTACCGCTTGATCAAAGAGGAGAAAAAGGCCCAAGAAATTGAAGTGACTATCCAATCCTTCACCAGCTCCCAATACAGCACCGCTGATGATGACGCCCACGGCGATCTTCATGTTCACCTAAACCGCCATAAGCAAAATGGCGAAACTGGCGTCCGTTTTGTCCTGGATATCGAGGAGGACGAAGTGCGATCTGAGTCTTTCGACTTTGGAGCCCTGCTCAAACAAGCTCAAAAGTTTGTCGCTGAAGGCCGTATTACTGAGGCCGAGCGCACTTACGTTGAAATCTGGCAGCGGGCTAGCAAGGAGTGCCGGGTGCAGTACTCGGAGCATTGGGAGCAGATCAAGCTCAGAATTGTTGTGGTTTACTCGAAATTTCTTCAGTCTCAGAAGAGAGAGTATGAGGCCTCTTCCATTTTGTCCAGTGTTTGGGAAGAGTACAGACATACTAGCCTGTCTCTCTCGCAGTCCTCTGCGTCACATTTTCAGGAAATTGCCAAAGTCATGTCGGTCGTGGGACTCTCTGCCGCAGCTTTGAGTATCTTCAAGCATTGTGCCCATTACTACCAGAGTACCAACAGCACTTCCTCCTCGGCTTACTCTGAGATCCAGAAAAGCATCACAGTCACCTCGCAGCAAGTGATGAAACAGGCCAGTTCTTCGTCTTCAGTCGTGTCGGAGTCTACCTTGGAAGAGATTGTCTTCGAGGCTTCCAGCTCCATTACCAAGATTGATCAGAGCTCGTTTACTGCCACACACACACTGGTTGAGCTGTACATCTCTCAGCATCGTTGGAAGGATGCCACTCGCGTTGTTAAGAAGGTCCTTCATGGTCTTTGGCCTTCCCTGTTTGCCCCGTCCATTCAGGATGTGACGCTTCCGTCCCAGCACGTCGACAAGTGTGTGGACCTTGCTGAGCGCCTCAGCCAGTGCTATCACTACCGCCATCGTTTCCCCCGGGAAGAGGGTATTCGTGTTCGTGTCTACCATGCTTTCCGCTTTTCTAAGCCTGTAGATGACAAACTGAGGGAGCGCATTACGTCGGAGCTGCTCAAGCTCTATGAACGTTCCTCCCAGCCCGACATGGGTATCAACACCCGCCAGGAGATCTTGGACGACTACATCAAGCACTACGGTCCCGAGCATCCCATTGTCATCAAGACCTTATGGACATTGGCTGAGCTTACACACCCCCGTCCCATTTCTGTTGAGTACTACCAGCGAATCATTCGGGCCTTGAACAAGGACTCGCCCAAGTGCCAACCCGAGGCAATTGAGCCCCTTGTCATTGTTGTGACTGAGCTGTGGAACCAAAGTCGGTACTCTGATGCCGTGCCTTACTATTCGCTGCTCTTCACTACTTTCCTGGATGATGCCAAGAAAAGTCCAAGATTCCAAAACCAGGCCTTCGTGCTGGAGTTCTTCACCAGGTATAGTCACTGCCTGCGCAGTGTCCGCACAGAGTTCACCACATTGCACAAGATCACTGTCGACTATCAATCCAAGGTCAAGACAGTGTTTGGTGTCACTGCTTCAATCACTATCAAGGCCACCTTGACCCTCGCCAAGGTTTGCCAAGAGTCCAAGCGCTATGAGACTGAGGTTATTACTCTGTACGAAGATTTGCTCAAGATCAAGTCTGATGAGATTGACTACGATGAGATCACCGCCACTCTTGATGGTATTTATGAGGAGCAGACCGCTATCGCCACTTCCAAGTCAGAGTCGATCTCTTCCATCCAGATTGAACGAGCCTCCAAGATCTTGAGGAAGCGCATTACTACCGTTCGCGAGACTCACGGATGGGCGCACGAAGAATCTTTGTCCAAACTTCAGGAAATAGTTTCTTTCCACTCCAAGCACAGTGAAACAGAGTCGGTCATTCAGGAACTTAAAGAGTCTACTGTGCAGATCCTTTCGTCGGAGTCATCTTCCACCAGACTGGTTTCTGCTGCTGCTGTAATTGCTTCCAGTTACATTGCAACTAACCAGGTTTCAAAGGCCACTGAGCTGTTGCAGGAGCTCTACCGCCAGGTTATCATTAAAGACACTTCCAATGTGAAGACGTTCAAATTTGATCTCTCGTCCAAAGGTCGCCAGAGCCTCATCTTCTTGGCCCAACTCGAGCACAGCCTTCGCCAGCGCAATTCGACTATCACTGAGATACTCGCTTCCTTGACTACGGAGTATGTTTATTTCGAGGAGTTCAGAAGCCAAATTTCGTCCAAGAGCAACTCCTTCCACACCGTATCTGTGCATGCTGCTCGTCTCTACCATTTCCTGTTGCTCAGTAACCGCCAGGCTGCCGCCACTCGTGTCTTCGATGACTTTGTTAGCTACTTCCTCGCCAGTGAAGGAAAGCGAATTAAGTTGACTGAGACGGCTCAAGTGAAGGTCTTCATTTTGACCATCCTCGACCACTTCCATACTCACCAATCTACCAACTTTATCCGCTCGATTGGTATTGCCAGCAACAGTCGTGTTCTCGAGCTTCTAATTGAGAAGGACTACGATCGTGCGTGTGATCTCGCCATCGCTTCCTTCCGTTACATCTCGGCTCACGATATTTACCGTACTCCAGCTATTGTCAAGTTTGTCTTCAATTTGGGCGTGGTGGTTACTGGTCGCACCATCTCCCCGCAGCCTGATGAGGGCGCCCAGAAGAAGCTGCTTGGAGTCTCCACAGTCATCATTCAAGAAGTTCTTCGCGTCATCAGTGATCTGAAGATTAACCTGGCTCAGATCGGCCTGGACTACCTCAACATCCTGATCAGCATCCTTGGTCAGCAAAAGGACTACAAGAACCTTGTCTGGCTTCTTTCCAGCCTCTGGAATAGCCGCAATCAACAGATCAATTGGACTCCAGCTGTGACCCTGCAGCTGGCCCGTCGCTACATCCTAGCCCGCTATCTGGTTGGTGATGCTTTGAAAGCCGCACGCCTGGCCGAGGACATTGTGTACAACTGCCGCCGAGTGAACGGTGCTCGCCACTCAAGCACCCTCGAGATGTCTACTCTTCTCTCACAGCTTTACACCGGCATCGCGCAACGCTATCAATCCGAGAAGGGTGGTCAACACATGGCGAACAAGTACTACAAGAAGAGCGCCAGTGTGCACGAGAACCTTCTTCGCATTTTCATTGACCCATCATTGGCCGACGTTGAAGGTGGTCTTGACAGCAGCATGAGCATAGATGGATCGGTATACGGGCTTGAATTGGCCGACAGCACCGTCAATGGCAATTTCTCAGACGGCGAGCATGTCCGCCACCACCTGCAAATGCTCAAGCTTTCCGTGCAGCGTTTGGGTGACTGGCCTAAGGACTATAGCGAATACGACCGCCTGAATGCTGAACTTTTCTCCACTTTCAAGAAGGATTTGCAAGGAGTCGAGGGTGTTGAAAAGTGGAACCTGAAGAGCTTTGGCTCCGGCAACGCTGCCAGCAACGAGGATAAGCTGAACTTGGAGTTCAAGTCCTGGGAACTTGAGGTTGCTCAGGTCGGTGAGGAGATTGAGGAAGAGCTGTGATCCCAGAATGTGATTTTGTCTGTAAATTTTTTATAACCCGCTCGTGTATTTGATTTTTTCGTGTCAATCTGCATTTCGGCAGTTGGCCTGCTTCCGCAACTAATCACTATGTTCTTCTACCTTGTCAAACCAAATGAGATCCTCTAGTTCATCCTCAAGATACAGACCCATCCGTACAACTCGATTGTTGTTGAATATGAACTCCGCTTTGAGAGGCTCATCTCCGCCGTCCAAAACGCCGCTAAGATGTGCAATATACTTGCTTTGCTGGCAGACATGATCAAATCTGACGGTAAACCCAAAAGATCTATCTGCTGCATTGATAAAAAGTTTATCATCTTTGATCTGGACAGTCATTCCATGGTATCCCGGGTTCCAATACTCGCCCGTATAGTTGCAGAGTGGCATTTTCTGTGGCTCGGACTCCTGGATACCAGGACACATTTTCTGTCGCAATTTTGCGATCTTGTCGTCAATGTTATTGTCGTTGTTTTCCGGATAAAGGTCGGACTCGATTTTAGTCCAGTCGGGACGTTCAGAATGCGGTACTTTTAGGACCTCATCAATCAATTCTCGCATCAAAATAAGGGCAATTTCGCCTGCTGCATCCGAGTTTCCGAAGATAGCGCCACCGAACTTGAAGTCAGGAAGAAAGAAATGGGTCGAACCGAACCCCTGGACCAGACCATCGTGGCTTACAACCTGATGACCTCTGTAATAGAAGATTTCCCAACCAGCACCATACATTGTTGGTGAAGTTAGCGGGCGTAAGTCTTCGGCATCTGGGTTTTGAGATATTCGCTGTTTGAGAAGACCTTTGTATACATTGTCCGTGATGGGGTCTTGGTGGTCCATGACGACCTTGACCCATTTGATATAGTCGTTCACACTTGTGATAATGGACCCTGCACCTTGAGCCTCGGGGCAGTCTGGGGTTTGAAACCCGTCGCCGTACTCTTTGATGTCTTCTTTCCAATTGTAGCCAGTAGCAATGCGATCGCCAAGACCTTTGGAACGTGCACGCTCGGGCTGCAGACTGGACGATCGCATGTCCAATGGTTGGAAGAAATGATGCTCAAGGAAGTCTGAAAAGGAGAGCCCGGTCTTCTTCTCAACGAGGTACGTTGCCACTGTGTACATCATATTGCAGTACATGTATTTTGATCGTATGGGGGCAGAGCAAGTCAAATGGCGCAGATTTCTTGTAACAGACTGCGCAGTATCTGGTTTTGCGGCTCTCACACCCAAATAGGAGTCGTCGTAGCTAGATCTCTTAGTTTGGATAATATGCAGATACATGAGATACTAACGAAGGCATGCCACTCCTGTGACTCAGTATATCCTCAACAGTAACACCCGGTATCTCGAATTCCCCAGGGAGAAGGCTTGACATGGTCGCTTCCCACTGCACTTCGGGATACTTTTCGTCATTTACTAACAGCGCCACAGATGCAGCTGTCAAGGACTTCGAAGCGGAGGCAATGTCGAACAGTGTGTCTGCTGTGCATGTTTTGGGCGGCTGGAGTGACGATTTCCCATAACCAGCTGAGGCCGTGGTCTCGTTTTGAACGATAGCGATAGCCAGACCAGGTACATGATGCTCTACCATAAGGTCATCCACGTGCGACTGAAAATCTGAGGAATGAAACAGTTCCATTGCGTGTAGGTTATATGGTGAGCTGAGCATGAGGGGAGCAGATTTGCAGTGATATTATACACTAATTCCCCGCAATAAGGCCCCCTTCGAGGCGGTGACTAGGCCGCAGGGTTTCAGTGCCGCTCAGTCTGAGTCAACGTGAGTCAAGACTAAGCCGGAATGCGGCAGATCGACCGAGGCTCATTGAGTGGAGCTGAGTGCCATTCATGAGAGACCATCCACATCATCGCATTGGTACGCTTTTTGCTACAAGGAATGGATACCGGTTGAACCGAAGTTCGAATTCTTTCATTTATTACTGTATGTCCAGTCAGCTATCACGCCACTTGAACTGAATCCTGTAACCCATTTTGGATTTGTCTATGCGCGACTTCCAGCATTTTTGGTTTCCGCGCGTTAAATATATCCATGCATGGGCATTAAAGTTCCAACGCAGGAAGACATTTCAGTCAGGCATCAGAGAAATGACCTGCTAGTGTTCTTGAAGATTATTCAGAGAGATAACCAAAACAACTTTGCTGGGCGGGGTCGTGAATAAAGAACTGGTCAAGCAACCAAGCCATACTAGAATTTGTCACTCCATCAGCTAGCTTCAGCCAGTGCTGATTGGTAACACTGGTGTCGTTGACCCAAGCATTTGATCCATTGCTCGAGGTGATGCTATTGTACCCATCCTCGTTTGCATAGGCAAGCATGGGTCTGAAACCAAGTTTGGAGAATCCATCAAGACCCAAGATCCCATACAGTGTCGTGATCGGATCCCAGGACATTCTAATGGTGGATCCGCGACCAACATACCACTGGTACGCAGCGACAATCGGAGAATTGACCGGTGAGTTTTCAGCGATCCGCTGTCCAGAATATACGATTCCACCGAGCTCAAATCCCGAGAATGTCATCGGAATAGTCTTAGGCCAGTTTCGAAGAATGTAATCGGTGCTCTGGGGATCCATATCGCCAAAGTTATATTCCCAGCCCGAAGGATAGTTACCCCCCATGACAACCAGTTTGTTGACCTTGGAAGAAATAAGATCTTTTCCAGATAACGAGCTGATTTTGTCTGGCTCAGATTTGAGGAGATCGGCGAGATTATTTAGGAAGCCAATCGAGATTATGTTGATGCTGTTTTCTGTGGCCGCACTCAGGACTGAACGATACATCTCAAGAGGCGTCGGAGTCGACGCCGAATCATCAAGTTCCCTGGGCCAGTTATTGGCGACTTTGCTGGGATATTCCCCACGCCTATTGCAATGTTAATACTTGGCCGTCACAGAATGGTTTTTAACCATACAAGAAACTCGCATTATCAAAGTAAGTCTCGTTAGTGAGCGGCCGTATGGCAGCAACCGGAATATCTCCATTCCCAAAATAAGTACAGAGAGCCTTTTAATCAGAACTGAGTTAATTTCACGGAGAGTGTGGTCGCAGGTGATAAAGCGTACATTTGCAGCCAGGGCTCCATACTTTGAATGCGTGTTGATGGCAATGCCTCTCACATCTGCCAAACCACAGTTTTGTAAAGTATTTGCAACTGTCAAAGCCCCTACATCATCCACGTCGCCAAAAATATCTGTGTCGATAATCACCGGCTGGCTACCACCAGCCGTTTCCGCTAAGACGCCCATAGAGCCAGCCAAGGTGCACCACCAGAGGTGGAATAAGGCTTCGGAGACTTTCATAGCTATGTTTCAAGAGTTCGCGGTAAAGGTAAAATATGTTAAGGCCCAGGGAGAGTGTGTGTAAAACGAAGGGTAGAGATATATCTCACAAGTAGCGTCCTGGCTTCAACTTTCTTATATACGCCCACCCCCACTCGAGACAGACATTGCTGCATGACTCAACTAAATACTAATGCTTGCTCGGCAAATGTTTAAAATGGAAATTAAGCGTCAATCGACCCCCGAAATTCCTGTATCGGGAGGTTGTGCGGGGGAAAATCAGACTAGTCTGATCCCTTGACGTAAATTTCCCTAATCGGCGAAGATTTTCTCCATGCACTCGGAAAAAATGCCGAATATCAATGCAATGGTTTTCGTTCCTCCGGGTGATTTGTTTACTAAGTTTATGCTGATGGAATATGGCTATTCAAATATGGAGAATTCCAGGGAGAGTAATCCGACGCACAGAATTGAATTCGTGAAGTTATTCAAGAAGGCTACATACAGGACTGATCGGTGGGCCGCAAATGGGCGCTGACGCCAAATGCACTCAAAACGCAGCTTGGCTCAGGAAGAAATTAGGGGAAACCATCTGTTGAATGTCCGGACGACCTCATCCCTTCCAACTCAACATCAATCTTGAATAAGCCGAGTGATTCACATCTTTCCTTTCTTCGCTGCTCCTGCATAAGCACATAACTCAACGGGGTCACTGAGCAAATGTCTTGACAATATCATCCTTCTCTCTCTCCAAAAATTGTTCGAAATTTCCCAGATCGATATTCCATGACTTGACTTTGTTCATGTCAACGAAATTTGCTTGTTCACCCATCACCAGTTGAGCCTTAATAAAGGGGTCGGCTTGAGACTGGGCTTCAACCTCCTCTTGAGACAGGAAAACAACCTTTAAGTCTCTTCCAGTGGTTTTAGATAATTTCTGAATTGTACACTCTATGCCCAAGAGTTCTGACGCAAGATCGATATCCTTCTTTTGGAATTTGGCAGGATAAAGAAGAGCCGCGGCACCAAACTTGCCGATGTCATTTGGATCAACCATGGCTAAAAGCGTCTCTGGTGTCCAAGCAGTTGTGAATTGACCAGTTTCGAGGAAGCCTTTATACATGTGAACGTGAGGTGGAAGAAAGTTTGACATGAAGTTTCCGGGGCGTAAGATCGTCCAATATTTGAACCCAGCGTTGCGAACCTCCTCTTCAATGGTTTTCTTGCTCAAAAGCATTTTGCCAAAGAAGGCATTGGGATTCCAATGGGAAAATTCTTCGAGCCGATTTATTCCAGCCCCACTGGAATAGACAATTTGCTGTACGCCTGCCTTCTTCGCGACAGCCATGACTCTTCGAGCTTGATTGATTTCCTCCTCGCCAGCTGTGAGGACGAGAAACAGACTGGTGCAATTGGCGATATTGTCATACAGAGATTTTTCGTTCTCCAAATCGCCTTTTTCGACAGAAACCCCGAGCGACTGAAGCTTTTGAGCCGCAGGAGATTCCGGTTTGCGGGTAATAGTGCGTACTTTGGCACCATGTTGGAGGAGATGTTTGGTGACCGCACCACCCTGAGTGCCCGTGGCCCCAAAGACAAAAATGGTAGAAAAATTCATGTCGACTCAAGGAATGAAAAACTTGGGAGTGAGTTGAAAAATTGAGTGTGTCAATATGATGATGATGGCATGAAATCTCTTGTCTCTTTATAGCTGGTCCCGAGTGAGTCGCTCCAACTGTAAGAGAGCAGCATCCTAACGTCTACAAAGCGCACCTCCACCACCACCTCCGCAGTGAGCTGCTGCAGTGCCTGTGCACCCTTTATCCGATCGTTCTTCTGCTCCTCTTCAGTAGTTCCCAGATGGAAACTCGGGTTCTGATTGGTCGGGTCATATTTTAGCGTGCGGAACTCCGCTACAAGGATGTCGTAAGCCACGAAGCTGACGGAACTCCGACAATAATTCTCGCCAGGTCATCCCTCGAGGAAACCTCTTTCATCCAATGGAACGTATCCCTCGTTTGTAATGTATGAGTTGTTTTCAGAACACGGCAATGCTCCTCCGCGGCGCAAATCCTGCGATGCTTGCAAAAAAGCTAAGCGTCGGTGTGATCTTGCCTTCCCAACTTGCCTACGATGTGCGCGTCGGAACATACCTTGCGTCTATCCCGGCAGGCAGCCCTTGGAGAGTTCGGGCAGCAGTCTTGATGTCTTTCTTCCCGAGGCGTGTTCCGGCAATACATGGCCCGCTCTCAATAACGACATGGATAATATCATAAACGAATTCGATCGACTCTCGCCATCTAATGCGGGGCCGTGCCCATTCGCCACAGCTCGTTTTCAATCAAATCTGGCAAATATGACATCTCCAGTACCCCTTATAGGACAGCCTCATAATCCATTCGTGTCACATGGTTTTGAAGTGGTTACGTCGAAGAAAATACCAAGCAAGCCTCTCTCGGATGCTATAACGTCAAGATTACAATTTGCTATCGATATACTCAAGGAAGCACCTCGGATGATGGTCACAGAGGGTAAAACCCCTTGGAGTCATTGTCAGCTACATAAAGATGGTATGCCTAAAGTATTACAAGGTAGGACGATCAACTCTATTCCCAACTTAGAGCTTACGCTCCTACAGATTGCTATGCCTGTTGCTCTCTCTACATGTCAAAAAACCAAGTCAACACACCAATCATATTATCAATAATAGAATCCCGCATCCATGATCTCCAATCAACACCCGTTTTGACATCGGCCGTCGAATCACTTGCTCGCACACAGGCCTTGATTTTTTACCAGATCATGCACATGTTCGACGGTGACATCCATTCCAGCCCAGCCACTGAGAAAGTATTTCCGATGCTAGAGTCTGCCGTCCTCTCACTGCTCGGTTACCTGCATCTCCCTGATCCTGCAAGCCCCGCTGATCTCCTTCCCTCGTCAATGGAATTGATCATGGACTTCTGGGGCTCATGGGTTTTCCAAGAATCAGCACGTCGGACCGTCCTTCTTGGCCTTTATTCTATCCAAATCTATAAACTGTTGCAGGGAACCGCCTCCATGTATTGTGATGGGCGGCTGGGCCTTGTACATGCGTGGTATTCATCAGCACATCTATGGAATGCTGAGACTGCATTTGATTTTGCAGTTGCCTGGACAGAAAGACAACATTTTGTTATTTTAAATGCTGATTTCTCGAATGTGCTACAAAATGCGCATGCAGACGATGTGGATTTATTTACAAAGATGCTGCTGGTCACAATTCTAGGCATTGACAAGGCCAAAGCGTGGTTTTATGCTCGAGGAGCTTTACTATGATGGCGTTGTACTATAATCCCATGTTTGCTTGTTAACTGTGAGTTTGAAAATCTTCAAACAAAAGATTCGGTTGTCAATATAAGTATTCTTGAACCTCAATTATACTGTCTAAGCTTGCGATTATAAGCTCCTGATTAGGAATCGGCGAGGCATGAATCTTGAGGCGGCGGGCCTTTAGGGGGCTCGTGCGGCCCCCTAAGGAGCCTCATCTCGTCCCCGCCGCCGGCCTCTTTGGATCTTACATTTTGCCACAAAAAACTTCATTACCAACGGAATTTCTCAAGGCTCCTGAATCCCTACTTTCAATGTGTGATCATTCTTCTGTCTGCTTCTCGTCTTCCCCTCATGCCACCGAGGCGGCTTTCAAACCCCCCGGTCCACGCGAACGCGTTGGGGCGATCAAAGGAAATAATTCAATCGCGCAGAAGAGAAATATTCTATTTCTAAAAGATGATCCGTCAAGCTTCCCTGCTCCCTTGTTGCTGCCAGGAGATGATCTTTTCGAAGACCAAGAAGCATACACCCAGAGTTTTCAAGAATGGAAGGACGGAGAACACCGCAATCCGGTGACCGCAAAACGGAAAATCATTTACATCATACCGACTCCGGAGATTGATGCAGAGGTTGCTTTCATGCGGACCTGGAGCAGTCCAAACTCCATCAAAAATCAGCAGGACACACCGCCCCCTGCTACGAAAGACATACGGGATTATCTGGCTGCTTTCTATCATGGCCTGGAAGTCAAGATGATGCAGTCGCCAATCTTGCGTTTCATATCTTGGGAAGAAGACGATCTTTGGTCAAAGGAACCGGCTGGTTCTCGTGTACCGAAATACGTTGGCCTAGCAATTGGCGATGAATGCGTGAGGATTCGGGCGCGCCGCTCTCCAGATGGTCTATATGATGGCCAGCTAAATCTTGATGATCTTCTCGATGCCGCAATTAGCCTTTTACCAAAAGATGCTTATTCCCTGTTGCTTCTCGTGGATTTTGATCTCTACGAGGATGAGGACGATACATTCGTCTGTGGCCGTGCATACGGGGGCAGCCGGGTTGCTGTGGTATCCAGCGCTCGATACAATCCCCGCCTAGACGACATCCAGCATATTGATCGTCTCCATTCTTGGCCAGCGTCACATTGTGAGAAATACGTGTCTACCTTTGGATCCACTCAGCCCAGCACAAAACGACGCAAACAATCCCAGCACAGGACCCGCGGGGCGCAAAATTCCTCCTCACCACTGGAACCTCCAGTTGGACCTATGAAGCAAGCAATATCAGCCTACCAGCTTCTCCCCCAAGTTGGAATTCTACCGTCGTCACTGTCATCCCTTTGGTTAGGTCGGGTTTGCCGCACAGCAAGCCACGAATTGGGACATTGCTTTGGCATGGCTCACTGCGTTTACTACGCATGCTCAATGCAGGGCACCGCATCGGTCTGCGAAGATGCGAGACAACCACCATATCTGTGTCCAATAGATCTGGCCAAGGTCCTTCATGCGACCTCAACCACTGCATCCGATCGATACCATGCCCTTCTGAGCTTTTGCAGCAGGCCGCAGAACAAAAATACCCATTTCTTTGAACCTTTTGCAGCGTGGCTTCGATCACGATTGGGTGAAAGCGAGGCTCTCTAAACTGTAAATAACAAGATTTTGTGTCTTCTATCTGACCATTGCCTTCTGAGTTTTCTCTTTTGCGCCTCTCTGCCATTGGTCCCATGCTAGGCTAAGATCAACTGTATCCCTCCACAAATCCGCTGGGTCACTTCCAGGGGGTGGTTCTTTGCCGTTTCCAATTTTTCCCTTCTCTTTACCCTTGATGAATCGCATGTGCCACGGCGTGAACCCGACTCTTTCGAAGCCCATTCGCTCTGCAAGTCGTGAACTGGCTGAATTGGCCGCGCTAGCTTTCCAATGCACCCGGCGAAGACCAAGCCCTCCTTGGTCGGGCTCATTCAGAGCATAATTCAAGACCAGTCCGAGAGCATTGGTTGCCACATGGCTCCGTTGATACGGTGGAAGAATGATGATAAACCCAATTTCAGTGGCGAGATGTTCTGCAGATGTGTGACAGTAACTCACAGTCCCGGCTAATTCACCCTCAGCATCCTCTGGAGATGGTGGACGCGTCTTGTCAATGATGGCAAAAGTGAACGTGTCTGGGTTGGTGAAGGAGATTAGGTGCTTGTTGCCTCGCTCATAGAATTCGGCTTTGAGCTTTGCGGCAGATGGATATGGGCCGTGACTCATATGTGCATACAGCTCTGGGTGCGGCTCTGATAGGCGAAAGAACGTGTCTATGTGGTGCTCGGGGTCGAACGGTACCAGCTTCACGCGGTCGTTGGACAAAGTTTGTATGGGGAAGTGGAAGACAGAAGAGGGCGCCATGTTGAGTGATATTGTAAATGATATAGAATTGGCATCAACTTGAAGCGTCTGGTGAAATGTGATTCGATTTATTCCAAGTCTTAGTTCCGATAATCGCAATCAAAACCCTTGATTCCGCCGAAATGAGTCAGCGTGGGCCTGTTCGGCTCCCGTCGGCGTAACTACCGCCTTCAACATCGCGGCCAATATTCAAGGCCCAAATGCTGACAAGTAGGGCAAGTAGTATTCTCGCTAGGATGCTATAATTCACGGATTTGAGACTCTAGACCTATGAACAATACGTACGTGTTGAACGTTAATGACTAGAAACTATAGAACTAAGGCTGTTGGAAAAGCGAGAACTCTATTTGACCTCGGCGCCGTTGACCAATCCACAAACCGAAGCATTCAGTGTGGCCCAAGCTCAATCAGCTTAACGCGGCAACATGAAGATACCAACTGTGCTGAGCATCGCGCCCTATGCAGCAATCAGGTCAGATGCGGGTTATCAATATGGATCCGACAAATATTTCCCTTTTGGGAATAGCCTTCCGGACGTCTATCATCTTGTCATCTACAATTGTGGACAAACACATGGTGAAGTCGCCAATCACGGTGATATGTCACGGAGGTGTCTGGGATGGCGAGTCTGGTCGGCAAAGTCAATGTCTGTTCTTGGCGTTGGCCAGGTATATATTGAGGCGCATCCACCCCCGAGAATAGACTGATCTTTGACAAGATTATTCCTCTCTGACCCCTTGAAATCTGTTTCATTTATTCAGTTCAAGTTTAACGAAGACACATGATGGGTGACTATAAGCCATCCAGCACAGTCTCCTCAGCACCCGCCATGACGAGAAAGCCCACTGAGAATGAAGCTACCGATACCGAAAGTGCGGTCCTCTATCGACAGCTTCGCCAAAAGCCTCTTAACATCGTTGGAGGAAGAGGCAGCTACCTGCTCACGGATGATGGGCAAGAGATCCTAGATGCCACCTGCGGTGCTGCGGTCTCCTGTCTCGGCCACAGCGACGAGCGTGTGCACGCCGCCATCCTAGATCAGCTACAAAAGATCCCCTATTGCTACTCTTTGTACTTCACCAACAGCGCCGCAGAGAATCTTTCCAGGTTCCTTATTGACTCGACCGGGGGCAAGATGTCCCGCGCTTTTATTGTGAGCTCAGGTAGAACTCAGACCAGTCCTCTTCATGCAATGTTAACTGCTAACGATTTCCGTTCATAATAGGTACCGAAGCTGTCGAGGCAGCTGTCAAAATGGCAATTCAGTATTTCACCGAATTGCCAACACCATAGCCCCAGCGTATCAATTTCATCTCCCGCCAGTCGTCCTACCATGGAAACACGCTGGGATCACTTGCTATCGGGCATCATGTTGCTCGCAGAGCCATCTACGAGAACATCCTCTCGAAGAATATCCATCATGTCTCCCAGTGCTATCCTTACCGCAATATGCAGACCAACGAAACCACTGAGAGTTATGTAACTCGACTGGCCCAGGAGCTCGAAGATGAATTCCAGAGATTGGGACCAGATACCGTATGCGCATTCGTGGCGGAAACTATGCCCGGCGCTGTAAGTTATTTCAGAAAGATACATGGAACGATATAAACTAACCAAACACGGTCTAGACTCTAGGCTGTGTCCCCCCATTGCCAGGATACCTCAAAGCAATGAAGGGCGTCTGCGAGCGGCATGGTGCCTTATTTATATTGGACGAGGTTATGTCTGGAATGGGACGAACAGGAACCCTCCACGCCTGGGAGCAGGAAGGCGTCGTCCCTGATCTCCAGACCATTGCCAAGGGTCTCGGTGCTGGTTATGCACCCATTGCAGGCTTGCTGCTTAACAAGCACGTTGTGGATACCTTGACAAAGGGTACGGGAGCATTTGTTCATGGGCAGACGTACCAAGGCCACCCAGTCTCATGTGCCGCCGCGTACAAGGTGCAGAAACTTATACAAGAAGACAATCTTCTCGCGAATGTACGGACCATGGGCGAGTACCTCGGTCAGCTTCTTCACGAGCGGCTGGACATTCATCCCCATGTCGGTGATATCCGTGGAAGGGGTCTATTCTGGGCTGTGAGTAGCTTCTTCGTTGTGTAGTCGGTGCTTGACTGACATTATTCTAGCTGGAATTTGTGCAGGATAAGACGACAAAAGAGCCATATTCTCCCTCGAAGACCCTGGCGTGGACGCTTCACACTGCTGGCTTGAAGCCCGAGTATTCAATCTCACTCATGCCCGGAAATGGTGGGATTGATGGTAAGAATGGCGATCATATTATTCTGGCGCCGCCGTACAATACTACCAAGGCTGAGATAGAGTTGATTGTGGATCGGACGGCTCGTGTGATCCAGGATGTTTTGGGTTAGTTGTATTTGCTGTGCTATGATTCCTTGTGTTCATGTCATTTCCCCTGGTAATTGTTCAAAGGCAAATTGGCATTCGAGAGATGCCAGCTTGATATGTAATTGATATCTGTTTATTTGTGAGATGCGCACCCATTTCAATTTTTTAAATTGCCATTAGCGACCCTGGGAATTCCTTTATACTTCAGTCATTATTTTCCAGTAACGTTAACAAGAGTTTAGGATTGCTGCCTTACCACCAAGGCCATCGTCTAACTAACTCTAACTTTGCGGATTAATCCACAAAGGGAAATGTTAAACTGGCTCGCTCTCGACCGAACCAATCAGCGAGTGATCGGCGATAAGCCGCGGGGAAACCAGTCCAACTCATCATCATGGGTTTTCAGTCTTATAAAGAATGCCTCGGGAACGATTCTCACGATCGCGAAGCGGTACGGAATGTTTTGGTGGTCGGGTATCGGACGGTAACTAACAGGAGCGGCAGGATGTCTCGAGTGCCGCAAGAAACACCAGAAGTGCGATGAGCAACACCCTCTGTGTTCGTTCTGTGCAAAGCGAGGACTTGATTGCAAGTACCCCTCGGACTTCAAGTGGATCAGGCAGACGGAGCCGTGTCTGTCAAGACACAAACCCCGCTGCAAAGGAGATCAATCACCCTCAGAACGGATAAGGAGGTCGCCTGCATTATTTGGAGGTATCGGATTTGGATCTAATGAAGAGAAGGTTGCGTGGGAGTATTGTATGCTTCCATAGCCGTCAACCACCATTCGAGTACTGATTTCTTTCTCAGATGTGAGACTTGTATCATCGAATGTGCCCGCGTTAGATGGGCCAGACAACCCCTACCGCCAAGTGTCCGTCGCAGCTCTGTCGTCACCGATCCTGCTCGAGACCATCGTGTGCATCGCGACAGAGCACATGCTCAATTTCGGACTGAGCAGCGTACCCGTGGCTGCAGAGCGTCAGCAGCGAATGCTCCGAACAATCGGACACAACCTCGCCGTCATCAACACGGAGACCTGCCGTTCCCTACAAAGCACCGAGGTGCAACGACACCCGGACCACGAGGCTCTTCTCACTGCTGTCGTCCTACAAGGCATCGTGGTCGCCCAGACTGCCGATGGAGTGCTCGAGCCGCATATCAAGTGCGCATTATTTCTCATGCAGACCTTAAATCGTTTTCACCAAATCCCGGAGAGTCCTCTCGCTCGCATGACAGCTCAGCGCTTCGCGATGGTTGATGTGATGCTGGCCGTCTCTCGACAGCGTCGACCGTATGCGCCCCGGGATTTTGTGTTATATCAGCCCGATGGCCCGCGGTGGGATCTGACGGAGCCCTCGTTTCACAAGATGACGGGCTGTCCTCAGCCCTTGATGTGTTTTCTTGTGCGAGTCTCACACCTGGCCTGTGATGTGGACGAGGGACTTGAGAAGGGCGGATCTATGGACAGTGTTCTCGGTGAAGCATTTTGCCTCGAGAATGAGCTTCGTGCTTGGGGATTGGGATACACGGGGACGATCATGGATACCCTTGCACCACTCGATATTCTTACAGAATGTTTCTACTGGACCGCCCATCTGCTACTTGCACGTCGTGTGTTCCGGGATGCCACCTGCTCGGCGCGGGTGCAGCACTTATCGCATACCTGTTTTCGCCTGATGGACCACCTATACACCGGCTGCGGGCCCGATTCATCTCTCCCACAGCCCTTCTACCTGGCCGCCCGAGAAGCCGTCACGCCGACCGATCGTGACTGGGTGCGGCGGAAGCACGAGGAGATGACGGCGTACTACCGCGAGCAACAGCGCAACCTGGCGATGTCGCTGACGGAGCAGATCTGGCAGCAGACCGACACATCGGCCACTCCTGAGGGGGCGATCAAGGCGCTGGACCGGGAGTCGTGTTTGTTTATATTCTGAATCATGCAGGGGTATTATTTTGTTACATAGGGGGTTAGGGCCCGGGGAGTCCGCCGTGTGCTAAATATAGTTGGTCCGGACGGCCAGACTGTGGCCGCCCGCAGAATCTGCCCAGTTGACGTGTCACGTGCGCCAGGAACAGTGTGAACGGCGACCAACTATTGTAGCGTGATTGGCTGCCCCTGTGCTTAGCGGCCCCTGGTTCCGTGGACGCGGTTGGGCTGGTCAGGGGAAGAATTGCAATGGTCGAATGAGTGTGTGTGTGAAAGGTAGGGGATGTGATCCAGAATACAGGCTAGAGACCGAACGATCCGGTCCTCTTTTAGTCGAGACTTAGTCTGTAATAGCGCTCAATAATCCATCAATGGTCCGGAGAATCAACATGTGGAGTCCAAACACCTCCTCCTCACGTGGTGGCTGTGTCGGCAGTTCGCGACGATCAGTCAAGGCGTGTGGCTCGGACAATAATAATAATGGTCCAGAGTAACCGGCGGAGGCCAGCAAGGAGTCCATGCAGGGGCCAACCCAGCCTTGTCAGCTCGTTGGTGTTTGGGCGGTTGCAAGCGACCCAAGCCCCACGAGCCCCGTCCGTCAGTTCGTCGTGTAGTCAGCATCTCCTGGATCTTCCTCTTCTCTTCCTTCCTTCGCTTCGCTTCCTTTCCCCCTCCTCCATCCCCTTCCCCTCCATTCTTTCTTTTTCTTTCTCTTTTCCTGCTGCCTGGTCGCTCGTTTCACTCTTTCACGACGACCGTCCCGCTCTTTCTGCCCTGCCTCTTCTTCGCTTCCCCGAACGGGCCCCCCATCCGTTCCTCCCGTTGATCGACTTCAACCCGGCTTTGCGATTCACCACCGCGCTCCTTCGACTCGGTCGCGTCCCGACTTCGATTCGCTGCAGCCGGAAGAATCCAACGGTCTTTTGATTCAAGCTGCATTGGCCAGCCTTCTTTTCTCCTCTTTTTTATTTCCCCGGGCGCCTCTGTGACGCGCCCCATTCCCCCCAAGCCTCCCCCTCCCCCGGGTTTCTGACATCGACGTCCTTCGGCTCGTTTCGTCAGTACACCTTCCATTCATTTCACTGTCAGCATTCGAATCCTCTCGCGCCTGAGGCTGCTTCGAGATACCAGGGTTCGAAAAATTCGCTGATCAAACGCAATCATACACCTGTCGACCGGGTCGTCACGCTCTGGTGACCAATCTATATACACAAAGAATTACACCAAATACGTCGAACCCCGTTGTCAATTTGCTGGCCGAAATATTTTGATATCATTCGGACTGCAAGATGTCTTCGGAAACACTCGACCCATACGGTCACGGCGCGACCACCAAGGCGCCTTCATCCTCACCACCTGCCTCAAACTCAACCCCGTCGCCATCCACGTCGAGCGCCACTACGGCTCCGTCGTCGACGGCGTCCCGCCGACCTCCGCGCAAAAGCACTCTGACCCAGCAGCAGAAGAACAATAAACGGCAGCGGGCGACTCAGGATCAGCTCGTGACTCTCGAAATTGAGTTCAACAAGAACCCGACTCCGACTGCTGCGACGAGGGAACGCATTGCGCAGGATATCAGCATGACGGAGCGGTCGGTTCAGATTTGGTTCCAGAACCGGTAGGTCTATCCTTTGCGGTTGTTAGAATATCGCGCTGACCAAAAACAGTCGTGCCAAGATTAAGATGCTCGCAAAGAAGAGCATTGAGACTGGTGAGGGCTGTGACTCCATCCCAGAGTCCATGCGCCATTACCTCGCGATGCAGTTTGACCCGAGCAAGCCGGGTTCCGGGGATTCCCTGGGGCAATCGGGCGGTTTTGCTGCACCTGGCAGTATGTATGCCAACGAGAACCCGTCTGGCAAAGTTGGTATGTAGAGCGCTCCAAATTTGATGTCCAATTTGCTAACTTACCCAGTGATCTCTCACTTCACCTGTCGATCTTTGACCGTCGGAAGCTGGCGCCGCATTGGCCAAAACGCGATGGATCTTGTCATCTTCTACTCGCCCGACAAGGCCTGCATGACGTACTATATCAACAATGACTCTGCTGGCTATAAAATCGAGTACCCTTTTGCCTATATCAAGAACATTACCTTGGAAACTGGTGGTGATTCTGCCCCGGGCCCGAATGGCGGGCCGCCTCGACCGAGTGGCCTTGTTGTGGAGCTGAACCGTCCGCCACTGTTCTACATGGACTCCTCTAACTCTGGGGGATTCTACCAGTGCGGCGACTTCACGGAAGAGCAGCAAGCTAGTCGTATTATGGTGCATCATCTAGGTGGCCACCCGAAAGTCTTGAGTGTCCAGTTGGCCAAACTGGTCTCACTCGAGTCCTTCCAGAACCGCCTGGCATACAACAGCAGCAACAACAACAACAATTCCGTTGCGATGCAGGGGCCAATGTCACCACCGTTTATTCAACGTCCGGCTTCCCAACCCAATCACTTTGCCAATTCTGCCCCTTTCCTGGGCATGTATCATGACACCCATCATTTGGGTATCATGATGCCTCCTGCTGCCCGTGGTCATAAGCGCCAACGAAGCCGTTCAGTGCCCGCGGCGATTGACCTTTCGGCCCTTCAAGGCCCGACCTCTTCGTACCACCTTCCGCAGGCCCAGGCTGCGTTCAGCCACGCTGATACTGGCATCTACGCACCAGTTCCTCAAGCTGTGCACGCTCTTCCTACAGACCTGCGTCTCGAAAGTGACAGCTATGGCCTCGAGTTCCGGAATCCCATGTCTGCTGCGACAACTGCATCGCCATCTGATTTCGCGAGCCCGTCCATGTTCAGCACCGCACAGGGAGAATCAACGCCTGTTGCCAGCTTGGCTCCGTCATTCAACCTGTCGTACGTCTCCTCCGGGCCGAACGACAATTCCACTTTGGGCTCTCACACGGCGTCCCCATACTCCAGTGTGAGCCCTGCGGATCCGTTGATTGCGAACCACTCGCCTCCCTTGTCGAACATGTCACACTCGTCGTCTGATATGTACGGTTTCACGCATGACCAACAATCGCCCTTCGTTGACGATGGCATCTCAATGAACGACATGTATTCCAAGCAGCAAGTAAACTTTGGTGTGTCGCAAGATGCCCCCAGTTTCGATCTTCCCATGCATGGGTTTACTGGGCACCCTTCACCTGCCCTGGGTGACTATTCTCACCAGAACATGGGGAACCTCGACGATGTGAACTCACACGGGATGCCCTCTGGGTCCTGAATGTTGTTTCGTCTTCTTGGTCTTTTCATTAGTGGCGCGTGGAGTGCTCGGGGCGCTTGGTTGTCGATGGGTCCTCAATTTGAATCGCCGCGTCGTCTGATGAGATTCCTATCGCCCGGTTTGGATGCAATCCAAAACCTGGTCTTCTCATCCGACAAATCGTCCCCGTTGGCGATGACCGGCTAGATTTGGTCTTCTCTTTTGTGTGTCTTGTTTTGGTGCTTTTCGTGACAAATATTCCCCTCTTGTGTCTGGTTGTTGTATTAATACCCTTTTTTCTTTTCTTTCTGGGGCCGGTCCTGAAGCGTTTTGACTTTTTTTCATATTCATTATTCATGTCTTCCCAGACTCTCTGGTTGGGTCATGGATCTTTCTTCGTCCCTGCTCGTCTACTTCGGTGTCAGGTTTTCACTTTTTTTTTGCTTCATTTTCATTTTCATTTTCATTTACGTGACTATGCCAAGCAGTCCACCCAGGGCTGCGAGACTATTTTTTCCCCTGTCATTTTTTTTTCTTGTGTTTGGTGATTTATTTGAGGAACTACAACCCTCCCGAGATTGTGATGATCTTTCTCCTCGCCATGGGCCTTTTGAGCCCCTTCTCCTCACGCAGACTGTCCTGCTTGCGGCCTCAGCGCGACCCTTTGACCCAAAGTCGCGCGCTCGCGGCCGAGTGATAACGTCCACCGGCCTCAGAAGCCGCATGGAAGCGCAGGGCAGACGATAAACGGGCGTGTGGGATTGACATAGGCTGCATCAATTCATTTGTATCATTTGAAACTACCAGTAGTTCCGCCGAATAGTATACACGCTTGGTATCTTAACAATCTCTCTCCCGATGCAGTAGGTATTAATTATACACTTCAATCCTTCACTCATTTATTCATTCCACCCTCTCGGCGCCGGCGCCGTATACCCCCTCGATTCCCTTAGATACCTCTCCACCCAAACCTCCATCCTCTCCAAAAGATTTCTCGTAGGCTTCCCTTCTTCCCCAACCTCAAACACACCCTCTTTGCACCACACACTCCAACTCCCCATCATGCCCGCCATAAGCACATCAGTACCCAGGCGGTCCCCCACGACCGCGATCTCATTCGGCGACTTGATCACGTCCCTCTCACGGAACCACTTCACAACCTCCTCCCCGCAGAACGGCTTCTTTTCTGTTCCTTCTGGAAGTCGAAACACGGGGATGGGGATACCCAGGTGCGACAGCTGGCTCTCTAGCTCGCGCACCTCGGAGTCGAACGAGGGGTGGCTTCCGGCACGGTTGGATACGATTAGGATAGCGTGTGGGTGTTTGAAGGATGAGGTGGGTGAGTTGCGGAGGGAGTGTAGTTTGGTGAGGATTTGGGGCGGGAAGGTTGTTGTTTTCGGGGGACAGAGTGTGTTGTCTTTGTCGAGGACTAGGGCGCGGATTGTGGGTGTTTTTGTATTCTTGGAGGAGGGATTGACAAGGTGGGCGCCGAGGTTCTCTTCGGGGAGGTGGGTGAGGGTTGGGATGGTGAGGTGTGGAAGGAATTGGGAGGGTTGTTTGAGGAGAGTTTGCACGGCATGGTTGAAGCCGCGGAGGTTGGTGTTGGGGGTGGCCATATTCAGTCCGTGCCGTTGTAGGTGTAGAAAGCTACAGTTAGAATGTAGACCTGGTGATGGGGTTAAGTCAGTGACTAAAGCGGAAACGGGCCAAGCGCAAAACTCGCGCCCTTCGATTTCCACCGCAACTCACTCACCTCATTATTCCCTCCGCCAACGATCCCCCTCATCCTCCTTCCCTTTTCTTTCTCGGCAGCCACAGCGGTCGCTATTCACGAGGACCAGCGTTGAGAATACATTCGGATTGAATTCCCGACTCCCTCATTTTTCCCTTCCCACACACCGCCACCACCACCATGGGCAAGCTCACCAGCACGATCGGCATCCCGATCAAGCTCCTCAACGAAGCCCAGGTGCGTCCTTTCCCCTTACCCAGAGCCAAGATACACGCCACTAACCCTATAAACCTTTTCTCTGTAGGGCCACGTCGTCACCCTCGAAATCACATCCGGCGTCGTCTACCGCGGGAAGCTCCTCGAAGCCGAAGACAACATGAACGTCCAACTCAAGGATATCACCGTCACCGCGCGCGATGGCCGTGTTTCGCATCTCGATCAGGTTTATATTCGGGGCAGTCATGTGCGCTTCTTCATCGTGCCGGATATGTTGAGGTGAGTTTAGTGTGGTTCTTCTTGTTTCCTATCGGATTTGCAATTGCAATTGCCCTTGTCTTCTCTTCTCTTTTCGTTCCTCTCCTGGCTAGATCATCTTGCTAACGTACTATTCTCTATCTCCAGAAACGCTCCCATGTTCCGCTCACGAGGCCAGCGCGGGCGCGGTGTCGGGTTGGCGCGTGGCAAGGCCACGGTACAGCGGGCGCGTGCCGGCGGGCGTGGACGGTAAATCGAGTTGCTGGGGATGGAATAAGATCTTGTTTCGCGTGGTCGGCGTTTTTTTGACCTTGTTTTGCTCTTCTTCGTCTGGTTCGTGGGGTCATAAATATTCTCAGGCTTCCTTTCTTTCTATCTTGTTGGACTGGCTACTCCGCTCTGTGCGGTCAATCGGGATACCACAGAAGCATAAGTGATCTATCAAATCAGAAGACGTCCTTGAAGAAGAGCATGGTTGCAGATTGTAGGCAATTGGTAGCTTCGGCGTAGTTAACATATTGTATGTGTTGCGCCTCTCCGCAACTTCTGCGGGGGACAAATCTTCCTCCTTCATCCACATCTTGACTGCAACCCGGATATGGTGACTTCCTTACAACTAACCGACAGCTGATGAACCTCACCCTCAACACCCCCGCTGCGCTCTTCCGCCACCACCTATAATGGCCTCCGCGCCATCACCCGCCGCTTCCCCCGCGAAGCCCACCAAGCAAGTCCGCCACATCGCCAACCCACGTCGGCTGCTCATCCTCTCCCCAACCTCGCAATCTGTCTCGGTCATCCCACCACTCCTACACTCCCTAACCGGCGTACCTGTCCACGACCCTCCACAAAACCAGACCTCATCATCCTCCGCTGCCGACTCCCCAACCCCGCCACCATCCAGCATCGACGCTAGAACCCCAAACACAACCACAACGACCACCACCACCTTCGCGGGATATACAACACACAGCCCACTCAAAATCCAATCAAAGTACTACACCGCCGAAATCCCCGTCTGGGTCGATGAGATCCCCCTCGCAACAGAAACACTAGGTACTGTTAACACAGACACGGCCTCTCCAACGGCTGAGCAGTGGCGCACCGAGTTCCAAAGCGCAGAAGCTGAGATCGTCCGCGAAGCTGTCGGCGCGTTAGTTGTTTGTGTGCGCAATCCACGCGATACACCGTCCGAGCCCCCACCAGACACAAATGGGAATGCTGATCCGGCGGAGCGGAAAGATGTGCGCGCGCTGAGGGACTTGATGCGCGACGTTGGCGCTGTTAAAGAGTGCATTGATGAAGAGCGCGGTGGGATTGGTGACGTACCTGGTGTTTTTGTGTTGGTGGGTTCGAGACAGACGGGCTTGAAGGCGGCGCAATCTGCTGATCCTTCTGATGATCTGGGCCTACGGGATGATGAAAATGAGCTGGGCGATGGTGGCGACGATGATGCCCCGTTCTCGGTTGGGTGGTGGGAAGACCAGCTGTTTGATATGGGGTTGCTCGGATGGGAGGTTGTCGAGTGGGATCCGCGAGAGCAGAATCTGGAACCGACGAGGAATCGGTTTGGAGGTATGCACACACCGGTCGTCATTTGGATGCAGCTGATTTATTTTGTGTTTGGTAGAGTACGAGGGCATGCCTCGCATCAAGGAAGTCCTTGAGACACACGACTGGACGTCCTCGGCTGATACTCTTGATCCAGAAGCCGGCCTTGATCTGGACTTTGACGACGATGAATTCGGTCCGACAGTCGGGTTTGATAATGAAGTCCATGAACTGGAGCGCGAGATGTTTGGTCTCCGGATGGCAATCGAGCGCGGGGGCGGAGACGGAAACGGAGACGAGGATGAGCTTGATCACGAGGATGAGCATGGTGAGATCAAGGTTGAATCTATGGAGGCGCTGATGATGCGCATGAGAGCCATCCGGGGTACGTTATGACCACCGCGTGATCTTCTCCGACTTACTGATATTGTCTTTAGATATGAGCTCCGATCTACCGGAACACGAGCGAAAGAGATTCGCTGCGAAGGCTGTGCAGGATATCATGCGAGAGCTATGAAGATATTTCTGTGAGATATTCTATAGACAGTTGATTTTGCTCTACTACCAAATACTATCGCCCCAGTCTGCACTAGAACTAGATAGACACTATGATTAAAGTGGATATATCCATGTTTTGAACTGAACTTTCGTTCTTCATGTCCCCTCCCATAATCACCGTTTCCGATTTAGTTCGCCTTCTTCTTCCCACGGAGGACCTTGCGTCTCTGCGCAATCATGTGCGTGTACAGGATATACGACCCTGAGCAAGAAAGTTAGCCACCGCCAAAGATCAATTGCACTGAAGACGAAAACATACCAGGCACGTAGATAATGAGGATGACGGTAAGGGCGTACGGAAAGAAGGGACTGATATTCGCCGCGGGCGCCAGAGCGCGGAAGATGAGGGTGCACTCGCTCGAGATACCGATTGGATAAAGCACGTAGAAGGTGTTATACCTATAGAGGGATGAGCACACGACTCAATTGATCAACCATGATCCCCGAACTCGACTCACCTTAACCAAGTCCACCACTCCGGCACCGTGTTCCCGGAAAGCGTGATAGCAAAGAACCCATACCGAATCACCTCGGTAACACCCCAAGCAGCCACACATCCCAGATACGCATAATCGCCCAGCTGCGCCGTGTGCGACTTCGCACCGAGGATATCTCCGCCGAAGGGGTACATGATGCCCCAAACTAGCAGCAGCCGACTAGCAACCTGCATGGTGGTGGTCATGAGCGGGGCGCGCACCAGGCCCGCTAGACTGTGCAGGATCTCTAGGATTGCCAGAGACTGCGTTGCCAACAGGAGGGGGAAATAGGTACGGTTGAAGATTGTTGGGAGGTCAGTGCCGGACAGGAGGAGGGTCGCGGAGTAGATGACGCAGGTGCCCCATGTTGCTAGGTTGAGGGTGTTGTAGGCGAGGAGGTAAGTTTTTGTGAGGCCTGATGGACCTGAGGGGGAGGTCTTAGGAGGCATGGTGGTGGTGGTGGTGTCAACAAGAGATTATTCGCGATCTTGCAGAAAATGGTTATGCTGACATAAGCATTCTAGAAAGCTGTTCGAAGCAGTGGGGAGGATCTGGGGTTGGACTTTTGAGTGTTGCTATTATTATTATTATTATTATTATTACTAGTACTGTTGCTATTGCTATTGTTTCTGGGAGTTTTAGAACTGATTACAGTATCGTAACTGCCGGAGTTATATTCGTACGAACCGTCGGACCCGACTTGACTAGTCAAGAAGGCTGAAAAGGAGGGCATTGTATGGACGGGCCGGCTTTAGTGTCCTGCGCGCAGGACATGGCGTCCCGGCTAGATGGCAACTAGCCTCGTCAGGGAGCGAGCTAGCAAACAGGTGCTACTCCGTAGTGGGGGTCATTTGGTCCCAATCCATGTAAAAAAGAGACAATACAGTATTAGTTATGTAGTCATTGGGCGGATGGCATAGGCGGTAAGCATCAGCACTAGTCCCCAAGTTAGACGTGTCAGGGCTCACGCTAAATCGGCTGACAAGTCCGCACAGACACTACATCCGCAGCCTTTGGAGATCTGGTATTCTTTGGTGATGATCATTGGCATTCTGGCTACAATCCCGCCGACACTCCTAACACCGACGGCGGAGACTGTACAACCGGGATGATAACTCGCCCCCAGCTCCTGGTGTTGGACAGGTTGGACCAGCAGTACAACACCTCATGCAGGCTGACATCATAGGTCCGCAATGATGTCGTTTTGCATTTCCTCGAAGAGATTGAAATGTTGATGCCATGTCCACGGATGCCTACCTACTAACAGGATCGGGGTGCTTTTTCTATGGATGTGTCTGCGATAGTATAAATGAATCCATGCCATGCTCGGCCACAATGGCTCCTGCATCAGCGGCTGCTTTGCTCGCGTGTTCCACTATGACATCATGGCTGAGATTCCTCGCTAAGATTGGCCGCATCCACCTCGGGTCCATCCAGCAACGCAAGGACGAAAAGATCCCCAGCCTCATATATAACTAAGGGTCCATGGTCGAACATCGGAGGCGCTGCTCGTGAGAATTTTCTGTTCTTTTGCCAGCAAACCCACGCTGTCGTCCTCAATTGATTGACATTGTTGTCTTCTGATCAGCCAGTCCTTTTTCGTCCCTTCCCGACACAGACCCGGAAAAGAAAAGAATGTGTCCACTCTAAATCGTCATCGGTGACAGCATAATCCCTCGTGTCTTAGCCCAGCGCTTCCCGGTCCCCCTCCCCGCAATGAAAAATTACAATAGGAGAGAAACCCCCCTGGTTGCCGTGCTCTTTGACTGACCCCTTCCATCATCGGCTGTCACAGAATAATACGTCACAACCAAGGGGAGGATGCGAAAAGCAGCACATTCTTGTTCGAGTACACGGTCCCCGAGGGCCCAGACCCTCTGTCAACCGGGTCCTGCCCGGTTGCAGTCCAATGCATTCTTCCCTCCCCGCCCTTGACCGGCGCAGGGCAGGGCTGGGTCAGGCAGGATGGTTCTGCTGCTATGCGACCTGGACTTAGTGCAGTTCGGTCGCCACTTTTTTTTGGTTTAGACCAAAAGGAGGAAAAACAAAAACCCAAAAAAAGCAAAGTGTGTTCCGCCGGTCGTTTAACTTACCGCTGGCTGGACGAGGTGGAGATGTCCGCGTCTCTCGTGTGCTCGCTAACCAAAGGTTCGAATGGGTCTGGACAAGATGAGCACGGATGGTTTCCACGTGTGGTAGGCAGCGCAGAACCCGGGCGAGTGACGTCCCTGGCGCTGGGATCGGCGGCCCCGATGATGTCGTGTCCGCGGTATGTCCCCCCTGCCAGATCTCATTTTCTGGCCTGGTAGGTTGAGACTGCGGCGGTATTATTATTGTAGCTTCGTAGGAGTGTCCTATTTCGGAGACAGAGTGTTTCCTCACTCTGCGGCTTTTTTGCTGAGAGGCGGACTGTAGTACCACTGGTTCAGTGCGTCATGCCCGGAAGGGAAACGGAGGCCCTGGTCATCGCAGGCTTTCGGTTCTCTCGCCGGGCCCCCTTTCTCGGATGTGGAGCAGCCTGATGATTGTGTCAGAACTGACCGGCAGTACTGTAATGGATACCCACACGAGTCATGGTTAGCCAGGCTGGGAGCATAAGAAGAAATGCTCAGGTCGAATCCGCCGGAGTGCCGGAAGAGGAAACTTCCTAGCGGAGTCCAGCCAATGCACACATTTTGGGAGACCAGCGACAGATCGATCCAAGGAGGATTGGATGTATGTAGTTGAGTGTCCAGAGCATCGGCTATCTAGGCGGATTATCAATACGGGAATTCGGTCATGTTGACGCGCCCCTCCACTTCTGCCCTTTCGTCTTTTTTCTCTCTTTTCCTTCCCCTAGCTATTAACTAATCCATCCCTACCGTCCTATCTCCACTAGTTCCTTCGCCGTGAGTGCCGACTGTCCTTCCTCCTCCTGCCTTACCCACCCAAATCCAACACTTTCCCCCCTCCCTTCTTCACTTCCACTCTTTGATCCCCCCTCCCCCTTCCCGTCTTTTTTCCTTTGTCTTCTTTTTGGTTCTTTTCCGTCGCCGACTCCCGGTTCCCCGAACCAACTGATAACCCCCGGGGTTGGTTGTGAACTGAAGCGCCGACGTAGCTTCGAGGGGTTTTGAAAAATAAAAGAAAGGTGGGATGAACAAACCCTGACGGGACGGACTACTGCCCCTCCTTCCTACACGTTCTTCTTCTACGCGCGACACCCGATTGATTGATTCAAACTCGTTTTCCTTTCCCCTTCGTTTTCCTTCTGCTGCCGGTGCGCTCAATCCCTCAGTCAATCACCACCCCCACTGCCGGCTCCGGTGCTTGTCGGTGCCTCCCGTGGAAAGTGCCTGATACACTACTTCACGCCGACACCTCTCCCCTTCAATTAGCTGTATCCTTTTCCCTTCTTCCTTTCTTCATCTTCACCAACCCCCTGCCCCCTCACCCCGACGTGCCGCTTCTCACACCAAGCGCCCCCCTCCCGCCCCGGTTCACCCTGGCTGTCGGTCGATGCATTCTTCCCTGTCGGGCACGATGCAAGAGTGATCTTATCAATCTGCATCATGCACTCCCCTGCTTCACCCTCGTCTTCTTGCCTGTCCTCCTTGCCTTACTCAGTAATTCCCCCTGTGTATAAGGCAGATCGTCCACTAAAGCCATAGAACTGCACCAGATCGGTTCGCGCTGGTCGATCTCGTTATTTCCTATCTGTCTGCTTGTTATGATTAATCTCAAAGCAATATGGACTGCGGCTAACGGAGATCCAAAGCAGACCAGGCCATTCCGCACCAAGACTGGCTAGACCGAAAGTCGGTGCTGAAACACAACTGTGAAAAGTCGCTTTGCAATTCTCAAAATCACAACATGGCGCCCGCCGACACCAAGAAGGCAGAGGATCCTGTAGGTCTTTTGTGTTGATATCCTATAAAATCCACACTAATATCCATGCACAGGCCAAGAAGCAAGGTCCGCCCAAGCTGTCAGATGTCAAGGATATCATCGATGAAAGTACCTTTGAGCAGATCCTCGAGATGGATGATGAGGACGACCGTGATTTCAGCAAGGGCATTGTCTATGGTTTCTTTGACCAGGCCAAGGCCACATTCAAGAAAATGGAAGATGAACTGTATGTGTTGTGTCATGTTCTTTTCTCTGAAATCACCTCTTAACTCTCCCAACAGGAAGAAAAAGGACCTTAAGGAGCTTTCATCTCTCGGCCACTTTCTCAAGGGCTCATCTGCTACCTTAGGCCTCACCAAGGTCAAGGACTCCTGTGAGAAGATCCAACATTACGGCGCCGGCAAGGACGAGGCTGGAGTTGTTGACGAGCCCGACAACGAGGTCTCCCTGAAGCACATCCAATCCACTCTCACAGACGTCAAAGCCGACTACGCCGAAGTCGAGAAGTTCTTGCGCCGATTCTACGGAGAAGAGACGCCCGAAGAAGACCAAAAGGAGGAGAAGAAGGAGACAAAGAAGGAGGAGCCCACCACTACCAAGAAGGAGGAGAAGGAGACCAAGAAATAGTCGTGCACCACGCGAGGCGGTTTGTTTTCTCACCTTTTCCATTTCCTTTTCCTTTCTTCAAGCGCAGGATGGAGCATTGCGATGGCTTTTTCTGGTTTCTGGTTTTCTTGACGTACATACAATCCCGCAATTTCCCCTCTCTCCCCTTCTCCAACCTCGCGAACTGAGCCTTTCTTCTTTCTTTCTGGATCTGCCAGAGGAGGCGGATCTGAAGAAATCGCAACGAGACTTACACCCCCCAAATGCCGAGGAGACTACAGAGTACCAAAGATACGAAAGTCCGAGCGTCTCTGTCTAGCTATGCTGCTTCTGTGCTGTGCCTCCTAGAAAATGAGTACATATCCGTAGGTCCAGAAGGCCAAGACCGCCGTATATTTGGCTGGAATAGCCGCCGTAAACCCAGGCGCGGGGTTAAACTCACGCCTAACCCAACAGATCAACACCGCGAGGCGTCTATTGGCGTTCCCTGCAAAGCTTCCTTTGGCGCCACTTGCGTGAGGCTCAAGTGCGCCCCGATAAGCTTGAATTGACCGTGCCCCGGATCGAGAGATAAGGCACACGACCGACCTGCACTATCGAAGCTAGTAGTCGATCGCAGGAGCCGATCGTTCCCGATCTAGTCACCTTCATAATAATGCTCCTAAATACATACATTCATGGGCGTAGTAGTTATCCTGAATATACTGACATGATCTGTCCGCTCTACTACTTTTTTTTTTTTTTCAATAAACTTCCCCGGGGAGGGCGCAAAAGCAGAGCCGCCGACCACAAACGCACCTCCAAGTTGAGAATTGACAACAGGCCTGGAAATCGGGATCCGCCTTGCATTCTAAAAACGGGTGACGGGATCCTGCAGTGGCCAAAGGTCCTTCCTACTACTATCTCTCGGCTCGAGTTTTAGACTGCTCCTCTTCTCTTTTGCAAGGTCACGGCAGTCTGTCTGGGGACAACAATCGAAAAGGACGGGACTTCGCAGAACTAGAAACAGATTCCTGATACCCGTTGTCCGAAGGAAGGAGCTCGTGCCTTTTCTTGCACTCTTTTTCTTGGTTGTCTCTTGACAAAGGGGCAAGTATCTTGTTTGAGGATAATAGAGACGACGATCTTATCTGTTGCACAATACAGACACATTGGAAGTGACTTTGATTTATTTTGGTTTTGCTTCCTCTCCCAAGCGGCTCTGCGGCTGCGAGCTACCGGACAAACGAGCTACCTACCTAGAATCGAGTCAAGCCGCGCTTTTCCACACCGAGTGAGCTGTGCAAAGATAACGGATATGCATTGCTGAAATGCAGGCAGGAGCAAGTGGGCCGTTTTGGCTGGGGAATTGCCTCCATTGCATTGGAGCCTGGCGGCGGCGGGTCCGTCGCCTTGTTACACTACAGCTCCAACGGGCTTTCTTTCTTTCTTTTTCCGGCTGGTTGCCTTGGCAGCGCCACCGGAAAAGGCACATTTCTTGTGCTTGTTCTTGGTATTCTCCTGGAGGACTCTGATGATTCTGGATTGTTTAGCGAGGCTCGACTTCGTGGTCTGCAGGCACTGCCGACACTGCTATATAGTATACAGCTGCATATATCTGTATTTAGTCTCAGCTTAGAATTAGGATTTCTAATTTCGGATATGCACTTGCCCGTATCCACAGCACAGCAACATCCCTAGCCCAGTCAGTCAAGATATCCATCAAATTGCTTGCACTATACCTACCATCCGACAGACATAGAATCGATGCCCATCTAGCCTCGACGAATGATTCATCCTTCATGCAAGCAGACTTATATCTGTCTGTCGTCTGTCTGTCTCGGCTCGCAGATTCGACCCTCTTCGGCGGACTCCCTCAATAGCCTGCGTGCCTTGGGTGACGACGCTCAGTCCTCGACCCCATCTTCCTGACTGCTCGTCGGGTCCTCTGTTTGTTTCGCCCGGATGAAGACACGCTTTCCTATCCCTCTGTAATAAGCCGTTTGTCTCCCAGAGCAAGAAAAGGGCCCAAGGAATTAGTCGCTGCTACATCCACTCAAAGCTCTCACAATCTGACGTGTGCAGCTGTGCCAGGGGAGGATTTGAAGTTGAGATATGCGGACGTGGTTGGCGAACAGGCGCATATTGTACAACCCTACTCCATACAGAGACACGAATATCCTCTCATCGGCATCCGGATTCGGTCTACAGGCTCTCCCTCCCTGCAGACAAGCTCTATCTTTCCCCGCTCCTCTGTGCTCTGCCCTGCTCTGCTGGTGCATGCATATACAACCAAGCGCACCAAAAGCAGGATAGCTCGAGCAGCTGTCACATCCAGCAGCCTCGACAAGACGAAACTTGGTTGCTTTCCCGGCTGGCGCGTCAGCCGCTAGTACGGCCCTCTCCCGCCTGATTGCGCCTGCCCGCGTGCTGTGTTGGCGAGCTGGACCCATCCATTCGTTCGTCGCTAATACGATACACCCCTGCTCCGTCCCGGATCCCGGATACGCGATCCGATTCTCCCTTCACAAGCAACCTCTGGCTATTAGGGCCTCGTGCAAGCAGGTTGATCAACGGCCGTTGGGTGGGTCGGGACGGGGAACTAATGGCCTCGCCGTTGGTCGTTGTTTGAATGTGGTGCTGTCGCCGTTGGATGGATATAAAGTCCTGCGTCTTGATCGACTGGTTGATTCTGTCGACAGCTCTCAAGTCTTTTTGATAATATTGCAAGCATCGAGGAGCATCCTGTCCAGGTACTTGTTCATATTCTCTATACCATTTCGCACACCTCATCTCTATATCCTTTCGATCAGCCAGCGCCATGGCCGTCGGCCCACGCGTTTCTAAGGAAGAATTCATGCACGCACTGGGGTTAGATCCTCGCGACTCCCAGCATGAACAGTACTACCGAGCCATGCGAGTGAGTAACCACTGTCCTAGATTGGGACCGCACAGACATCTATATACGATCCTACCTTCTTTTTACCCCATCTCCACAGACCTCAATCTAATAAGCTCTAGGATGAAGCAATCATGGTGTATAACCACATGAACCAAGATACAACGCACCTCCTAGACAGCGTGGCTGCTGAGCCAACCACTCGCCCACCCTTCTTCTGGCACCATATCCGACCAGAGCGCCAGCGCTGGGCTATCCTAGAGATTTGGCGCAATGCGGGTCCGCAGACTCGTCCACTATTTGACCGCGGCGGAACCAATGGCGAGTACGGTCCCAACTGGGTCGCTGGGTGGTTGCTGTACAGTGTGTTTCGGTCGCGGGATGTGAGGAATAATCGGAATCGAAGGAAAGGGGAGAGTCATGCCAGCGATGGTGAGTTTTAACTGTCTGACGATGGGGATTAAAGAGACTTGCTGACATGGTCTCAAATTGTAGACAAGCGGTCTAAACCAGTCGAGGAAGCACCGCCTCCACCGAAGAAGTATTACGATCCAGTGCGGAATGGGACGCTCTAAGCGTGCGAATGAGGCTTTTTCTAGTTTTTCTCTAATTCTTTTTTTTGGATCGCTTGATGAAGTATGTAGTTATTGGTTGCTTTGTGGCTATTGAAAACCAGAAATGTAATGCCAATTGCCTTGCTTACGTCTGACCCCCATTACAAGCTCTGTATTCGGAGAGCAGGAGCTATGAATTTTGATGAATTGAATGATTTGGTATTTCTTTTGAAAGTAATACAATCTGCCTATCTATTATTCTCTCTTGCTGGCTTGGGAATTATGCAGTCGCGGCTTGGGTATGACTGAAGCGCGAGATTCAAGTGCCTGCTACGAGATGCGATGCGATGCAAAACGGCACACGCTCCATGTCTCCCGAAATAAAAAAATTATCCATGTGAAGAGAAGGGTGCAACCATGTAATCCCCTAATCAGTCCTCGTCCTTGCTGTCCTTGCCGTCGCCGTCTTTGTCTCGACTTTTGCCGTTCTTGTGGCGACGCTCAGATCGCAGAGCCTCGGTAACGGACTCATCTTGTTCGTCGGCACGTTCATCCCACTCGGCATCGTACTCAGCTGCAATGTTCTTTATTTCGCGACGGAGTGCGTTGCCCTCGTCAATCAGAGACTCCCATAATTGAAGGTCGACATTGTGCAGCTGGTAAAGTTTCTTCTGCCGGGCACTGATCGTGAAATCAAGCGCGGACCGGTACGAGATCTCTCGGTTATGGTATAAAAACCACAGGTAGCCGCCCATGAGCGTGGACAAGCTGACCAAGTAGGTGACTGGTTCCATAGTATCCCAACCCAGATCCGTCTCGAAGGTCAATCTGTACACTATGTACCACCACGTCGACAGAATCCCGAACCCACCGATAGCCACTCGCTGCGCGCCGCGGTGAGCAAGCGTGTCACATTTGTGCTTGATCTCAGCAATGCCCTGAATCCGCCCTGAGAGCTTGCGCAGCCGCATGCGAAGAAAATGCGTGCGCTCACTGAACGAGGGGACTCCAATTTGGATCTGGCCCAGTCCAGATGGAGCCCCTTCTATCGTGACGATGAATTTGCGCGCCCGCGCTGCGTCGCGGATGAAGTCTCCCACTTCTGTGGCTTGGGACCACCGCACAAAGCGTTCAGCCTCGCCTTCGTCGGAGTTGGGCTCGGGGTTGATCCTGCGTGGATAGCTGTATGTCTCTGCATCTTCTTCTCTGGATCGTCGTCGGCGCTCTGCAGGTACTCCGCTCCCGGGATGATTCTTGCTGTCGAATTTACCCTCATTCAGCTCTGCCTCGTGATGTCCGGCATCTATATCCAAGTCTCCTGGGATTTTCTGCCTTGGTTTGATTGCACTGTCGTCATTCTGCAATACGATGAATGAAATTGCTGGCGCTCGTAGTTTCCCATTCTCTCCTTTGATTGGTGGTAGTTCTGACTGAATAAGCCGCTCCAGATATGAGAGCGGCTGTTGAGGATGAACCAAAATAGCTATGGGTTCAATTCCTGCCTGGAAGTTAGCATATTGCAGTACAGCACACGCATAAGGGTGGCTGTTTACCTTTATCATGGCTTTTGTCGCTAATGGTGGTCAACGGAATAATCAATTTGAAAAGCCGCGATGGTGTTGTCAACAGTTTCCCTATTGATGATCAGAAAGTGATCAAGTCTAGATACAACAAGGCCACTTACCCGTGGTCATACTGTGAGGCTCTGTGTCGGGTTTCAACGTGGACTGTGACCTCTTGCCCTCTTCATTCAACACTTGCCGCTGCGGTTGAGTGCCTTCCTCACCATCCTTGGTCTCAAATCGCTGAAGAACCTCTTCCGTTTTGTGGCTGTCGGTGGCCTTGGTGTTGTTTATCTTCGTGAAGGAACGGGCTTGGTTCATTCCTCTGTGCACATATCCCACCTTCTCAGCAGATGCTCCCGATGGGCTGGCCGAAATCAATATTGTCCGCACACCTGAAGGCCGAGGATGTGAGCGACTGAGCATCTGCCGGAGAGATGAATGAGCCAGTCCAGTCGCAGTATCCAGTGCACTCGATCGAAGCCCCCGCGGTGGTGGGTATACTCCGACACTCCGCTGCCACACCCGACCAGCTGCTGTCCACGAAAGCGAACTGGGATTCCGTGCCCAGGGAAGCATGTTTGGATGCTCAGGTCTAAGGACCGACCCTCTATCTATGTCTCAGTTGCGTTTTTCAAAGATAAGAGACATAGTTCGATGACTGGGGTGGTGAACAGCTTAGAATGGTTTCAGGTCATTTCATGCAACATGTTTCCTGGTGTTTGGACGGGATGTGGCAGGCTAAAATAGTCAAGCGTGGTCATCCTTTGCAAGCGCATCTCAATCTCCCTGCCTTGCTTGAATAAATGCATCTGACGTCAGTGTGGCGCAGGTTGTGGCGGTGAGCCCTCGCAGGCGTTTACCCACTCTCCATGCCAGGTAATTGGGGACATGAAACCCTCGTTGTTTTGGTGTGTTTACATGAAATCATTCGATCCTGCGTATGTATTGAATAACACAAGCCATTCTATAGCAAGTTTTACCCTCTTCAAAGATCATGCGACTCAACGTGTCCAAAAAATAGATATCTAATCCGGCACCTCACTCTCTTCAGCCTCCAACTGACAAGGCTATTCATATTGTGCGGTCTCATTTTTGCACCAGTCCCAAAACGCGGCAGCGATCCCGGTACCATCTTCTTCCCGGCTCTTCATAGCATCTACTAAATCTTTCCTCGGGACATGCAGTCTGCCCCACGGGATCACGTATGAGCCATTCTGTTCGGGTTGGATATCGGGTGACAAGCCGGCGTATAGTTCAGTAAAGGCACCGAACTTGGGATGATGGAGCATCCATCCCTGTTAGAATGCCAATGACATTCAAAATTAGCTCTATCATCAGTTGATCAAAATTTTAGGGAATCTCACGGTCAGGGCGTTCGTAATAGTTCCCATATGTCTTTGCAAAGGACTTTTCAGATTGCCAGGATTGAATCCAACATGAATAACTCCGTCGCCTTGAGTCCTCTTGGCAAATTCTGAGGCCAGGAACATGTTTGCCACTTTGCTCTGGGCATATTTGTCTCGCTTATTCCCGTCTTTTTTCGACCAAGTGATGTTCTCCATATCAATTCCACCGGAGGGGGCACCCAAGTCGATCATTAACGATCCGGCCCAAGCTACCCGCACGGAGCCCTTTGGCTCAGTAGCCGCTGTTCGTTTAAGGATCGGCAGTAAGCATTGGGTGAAGAGGAAAGGACCCAGACAATTTGTGCCCATTTGAAGCTCATAGCCCTAATATCCCATTCACGTCAGTTTAAGGAAGGAAACGATATCCCTGGTCTCAGAGTGTATGCATGGTAGATCACAGGTGATCGATAGCTCACCTGCTTCGTTTTACTCCCCTCTGGCGGCATCATGACGCCGGCATTGTTCCAAAGCACATCCAGGCGGGTTTCATTTGCCAAGAACTCTTCGGCAGATTTTTTGATTCCTGATAGATCGTCCAAGTCCAAATGAAGAAACTTCACCTTTCCACTGGAGCTCGGGTGCTCTGCCTCGCACCATGAAATGGTATCCCGAGCTTTGGTCTCGGATCGTGCAGCAACATACACGATACTATTTTTCGCGAACAAGATGTTGACTAGCTCACGGCCCACTCCAGAAGCTCCGCCGGTAACAATGAATACCTTCGAAATCTTAGTCAGAAATCATTCTAAGATAATGGTCTGCAGTAACACACCTTTCCTGACAGATCCCCACATTCCTTGTCCGTGAACTTCGGCGCGGGAGGGAACGACTGATTCCAAACTGACATGGCTGCTTGGAAAGTAAGGTTTCGATGATTAAATCAGAATTGAGGAGAAGTAGGGGGATCCAAATATTTATAACCGGAAACCGAAGCCTAGAACGGCGATGATTGTCTGTGGCGACTCCGCGTACACCCGCCCCACCCAAGCTCGCAAGAGTGGTTCCGGGGCCTGCGGCCGCACTGAGTACTCGGGCCGTTCCAATTGCGGCCGCTTTGCCCGCCGCTTGTGCTCTTACACAATAAACTGGACGAAAGGCTGCGGACGCTTTCCACTCTAAGATTATGGGAGATTTCAGTTTATGCACAAACATCTATGCCCGTCTCTCCTTCCACATCACGTTTATCAAACAAATCTTTAGCGATGGACTGGACGGTCACCCCTCCGGCGGAAACGGCCGATCGGGCATGTGTCCGCTGTAAGAAACAAAAACGCCGATGCGACAAGAGTCTGCCCAGCTGCTCATTATGTTTGAAGTCAGTAAGCTCGTTTACATCGAGGCCAGGCCCTTGTTGGCCGATCTGAGCTAATAATCTTTCTAGAATGCGCCTGGTTTGTGACTACACCCATCATCCAGTCACAGCGCAGGAGAATGAGATCGTCGATCTTCGGTCCAAAGTTCAAGACCTTGAACGCCTTATTGCAGACTTGTCAAATCAATCGTCGGTGATCCCAACTCCAGACGAGACAATCGGGGACCTCATTTTCGAAACAGGGCATCCGTCTGACTTTCATACGCAAGCCTTGTTTCTCGAACCTGAGATTGCACATCACTGTAAACCTGACATGCCGGCTGCGAAGATTGCCGTCCCGGAGAGTATTTCCAATGTTCTAGGCGATCGACTCCAAGTCAATCAGATCGCCTCGCACTATTTTCAGAGCATCCATGTGTGGATGCCGATCATCAGCAAGCAAAAACTAACTCGAATAATAGCTGGAAACTTACGAGCAGATACAGCGTTGCTGCTACTTTGCATGAAACTTCTCTGTCATACTCCTAATGCATCGAACGCAAGGAATGCGTTTCTTTATACTGCCGCAAAGCAATTCTCGTCTAGCTTGGAAACTGCTGGACTTTTATCACTGAGAACACTCCAGGCCAATCTTCTCATCTCGGTGTATGAATTAGGTCATGCTATCTATCCAGCAGCATATGTTTCAATTGGCCTTGCGGCTCGCCAAGGTATCGCCCTTGGGATTCACAATCATTCTGCCCCGCAGCTCCCGCGAGCACCCATCAAGTGGATAGATTGGGAGGAGAGACGGAGAGTCTGGTGGCTTATTTTGATACTTGATAGGTATTATTTTCACGAGTTACTTTGTCTATTCTTCTCACATTTACTATCCTAGAATCGTTACCCTTGGATCGTATGACCGGCCTTTGTGCACCGAAGACCCAAGTGGAACCTCATACGTCCCAGTCGATGACGTGGCCTGGGATCAAGGAGTAAGAATTAACCCATGGCATTCGATGCAAACCCAGTTTGTTGACAAAACTTCGATTAGGAAATGGTGCCTCCGGAACAAGTCCTGGTTTCAGCACCATCGAATGTCATGGTCAGCCCGTTTGCACGGTTGGCTCAATCGGCCAACCTTGCCGGGCGGATAAGGCATTGCGATGATGATAATATTGAAATTCGAGATTCTGTCGAACGGTTCGAGTTGCTACATGGAACTACTCTATCTCTTCTGGAACTGATCACCTCAACCTCCACCAATGAAGACATGGAGTATAGTTCCCAGGCGCTCTGTCTCAGGTGACTGAGTCCTTTTCCCGAGCAAGTTCAAAATAATCTTTGGCTGATATATTGCAGTGTTTTGATGAAACTGACCAGCCAACATTCATGCAACTCTTTCCTCAAGAATAAGAACGACTTGGATACACAAACGGCTGCCCTCCTTCGGGAATCTACCCAGCATGCTATTCAATTGATGAAGGATACTAACCTCCGCGTCGTTGAATTTGCGTTATTTCTTGAGGAACGTGCAAAGACGAGAATGGATAATATCTCACCATTTGTTCTGCCTTGCATATACCAGTGCGCTGCTTCACTCGCCTGGCTAATTGGAGAAACTACCGAAGAAAGTTATGCAATGGGGTTGTCAGTCTGCAAAAGAATTCTCCGACTATTGGCCTCGAGATGGGAACTTGGAGGTATCTCAAGAATTATGTTTATTCTCCGTTTTACCAGCTAATGGATTTGACAGGAATCTACCTAAAGCTTCTCCAGGTAATGGAACTGGAACTGGAAAAAGATGCTATGGAATAAAGGAAGGCCATCTGGATTGGGTCGGTCTTATTCAACAGGCTGGTTAGTTCAGAAACTCCCTTTTTATCAGCATGCCTGAGTTCTGGCTCTAATTGACTTGACAAGCAATATATACCGTCGCAACTTGCTAGCCAATCTGTATCTTGCGCCTAAGTCTTCTCAAGTGACAAGATCGCCATTTCCCCTCAGTCACACCACATACTATGAATCGCAATTCCAATGAGAGGAGCTCTTGTTTGCAACTAGAAAGAGGCATCTAAAGATAACACACACAAAAATGCCCGACACAGAAACAGAAAAGCCACACACACACACAAAAAGTAAATCGCTGACCTCCACGATGATGCGAATTCATCAGAAACAGGAAACACACAATCTGGGATGATCCATATAGGGAACCGTTCAGCCCCAAGTCCACCCTCTATGCATCATTAGTTGGGTCATGGTCATAGGCACAGTCATAGTAATCATCAGGCATAATTCAGCAGTCGTGTCGACAAATCTCCAGTCCTGACGAAGTTTCGCTTTTCCATCTATCAGAAAACAGTCTGCCAATGACAATGCGCAGTCATAGTCGTAAATCGTAGCTTCGTAAACGAACCTCAAACACAAGAAGGGCCAAAGCATTTGCAATGACGCAATGTCCCTACTCAATCCCATCTCTTCTATTTCCCTCCAGATGGATTAGATCCCACGCCCACCATAAGTAAGAGCCCTAGCCGAAGCCGGAACCGGAACCGCCATCCCACCCTTCAACGAGACCTGATGATTCCCACCGTCACCACCAAGCCTCACGACCCTCTCCCGGTTCTCAGGGCTACTTCCGCCACTAGAACTACCGCCACTACTGCTGACAGAGGTATCCGTATCGTCATCACGGCTAGACTTGCGGCCCGTGCCTATCGCAACGGGGATCCCCTGCACGGCGCCGCCCTGGCTGTGGCCGGCAGGATACATGCCATCGTTGACGGAGAAGTTGCGGCAGATCAGGTACGCGCGCATGGCGGCGCTCTCGCGGGCGCGCACCTCCGAATCGCAGATTGCGTCTGTCTGATACTCGCGGTTGTTCACTCGGACCACGCAGCTGAACCCGCCTGCATTGCCGGATAATTCGTATGTTGGTTCTGGCCAGCGGCGGCGCCGGCACAGACCTGTTGGATTGCGTTAGTGTAGTTTTGGAGCTGGAGGTGGAGGTTGCTGCAGGGGACGGTGGTAGGGTATGTGGGAGTGCAGATGAAGGTATATGCTGGGATGTAGATCCCGAAATATAATCGAAGTCAAGCCAATTACACAAAGAAATTGGAGTACATACTTGCCAGATAAAGCATATAATACATCTCTTAGGTCCGCAATGGGCAAATGAGGCGAACCGAGCAGAAATTGAGGCTTGCCCCAGTGAGGCAGGCAGGTAAACGGCGTTCGTTGGCCCTGGCGACTCTGCAACGAATCGTGACAGCTACCCCGACAGCATTGGACAGAATTGGGCCCCTGAAGCAAACGATAATAGGTAGGGCTGAATGCAAAGGCTAAGCTGCTGGACTGATGCAACTCCGTGATGCGGATCGTGATGCCCAACGCCGCGGCACTCTGTTGTGTTGTCACAGACAGCGAACTGGCTGACGGGATATGCGTTTGCTGGTGCGGCTTCAGAGGGAACCCACTTTCTAATTTCCTTGCAGTGGGATCAAGAAGATTTGCTCTGCCTGGTAATGCTGTAAATAAAGCAAAAAGCAAAGAAGGAGAAAGAGAGAAAGAGAGAGGACGAGGACGAGGACTAAAAGCTCAACAAAGACCTAAGAAGATGCCACGCCACCTCCATGTACACAAATACAAAATACACGGTTTCATCCGTACGACAGAAGCAGACAGAAAAATAATATTAATTTTTTTCTTACCCAGCGAAGAAAGAGGGGGGGGGGGGTAGATCCGGAACCAGACAGATGGGCAATTGCTTTAACTACTCCATCGCCAACGGGTGGGGCAAGGGCACTGCAGCAACGTAAAGGAGTCAGATCCGTGTTAGAGGCATGTGTGTGTTGTCCATCGGGGAAAGGCTGTCAAGGTACACGACACGGTACAGGACGGTGCCGAAGCGAAATGAGCCGTTGCAATTGTTGCAGAGCACGAAAGGCAGATCCCTCGCTACGCCGCCGGGCGTGTCGATAGACCACCGCTGCCGGAAGGGAAAAGAAAGGAAACGAACTGATACACGGACTGACACGCTAGCTACACGAAACAACGGGTGGCCGATTCCAATACCCACCGTTGGAAAACTATCCATCGCCCTGGAACTGGGCTGACAGTATATTCTCCTGTGTTTAGGTTACAACCCCCAAACGTGAGATCCGGGAACACAGCGGCCACGGCCACAATTGGCCAACAATTAGGGAGGCAAAGAGCAGACAGAACCGGAAACCGTCTCCATACTCTGGCGGGACAGTAATTAAAACCTGACAATATGAAAATTTGTTTCGGCGCGTGCTAAGAATCGATGCGCTGGCATGGCTGCTTGCCAGTCGAATTCAAGCCGAGTAATCACCTCTAGGTTGCCTGCTTTGCGTTGCTTGATTATTCCCGGCTGCAATTCGCCGATCAAAAATGAATCCGCCGGAAACTAGAAAAAGGGGATTTGCTATTTTTCCATGGCTGTTTTCTGTAGCAAGAGGGAGGAATTGAAGATCCTGGCACCGCCGCTTTGTTGCATCCCATCCGTCATTGAGTTTTTCCCCCTCTTGTTTTGTCGCTAACGAGACCGAGCCAAAAAAAAACCCCCGCAGTCGACACGATTTGCCGCTGGATGATCTTTTTATCGAGACGCGCAGGATCCACCGCGACACCACCATGTTGTGCAGAGCGCGTCTCTTTCTCACTCAGTATGTGTGGAAACTATAGCCATGCCTTGATTACTGTGCTGATTGACTCGAGCCACTGCACGTTCCCCTCTCGGACGTTGCGCGACAGGCATTATTCGGACGCAGTGATGAGTTGGCACATGTCGTGCGGTGGGGAGGGCGTTAGGGTTCAATCAGGTATGATTGCCCTGTTGGGCGTCCTGCAGTAATTCCGCCTGCTGGGCTGGTCGTCGATCCCCGATATATCAGGATCGGCGCAAAGGATTGGATCTCGGAGTGTTGTGAGATCTAAAGGATGTGGCCGCTGACGACATGGACAAGAAGTCGGTAAGAAAAGAGAGAGAGAAAAAATAAGCTAAGAAGCTAAGGAACTAATACTGGAGCTGTCGGGTCAAGGATGCCATGCCATGCCATGCCACACTCCGGCAACGTTTCACTCGCTTTTGACTCCCTTGCGTTCGCACGCCGCGGAGATAGATCACCCGCGTGGCCTCAGACCCTATCGCTGTCCCCGAGGACATTCCCCTGCACCGCGGGGGTCTGGGCAGCCCGCTCTAGAATCTACCACCTGAAGAGAGAGAGGGGCTAGGGCGAGCAGCAGGCCCCTGACTATCTTTGCTAGATGACATTGCATCGGTTGGCGCCCCTCCCGGCCGCTATGGCTGCAGTGGTTGGCCTTCAAAACGGAGCCTCATCCTTTCCGCCGCCTGGTGCGGAATGACATACACCGGATGAAAGGGTGCCAACCGATCACTCTTCTCAAACACATTATCCTCTGCGCGGTTCGGTGAGGACCGCCAGGAGAAGGCTGATGAGAAGGTCTCGCTCGAGGAGACGCTTTGGTCGGTGCGATAGTGGTGGTGTTGAATTGCGCTCAAGCCCGCGAGGACATAGCAGCTATGATAAGAGTCCGCGTGTCTGGCTTGCATGTCAGCAGCGTCGTCGTTGCCAAAGACAGTGGTGGGAAGACTCACTTGCCTGGCTTGTCACGAAGCCCCCCATTATGAGATTGACAACATCCAAGAATGTACCGAGTGAGGCCCTCGCGACTAAACAGACTGCCCACTGAGGTCTCCGGGCGGTAGGTGCCTTGTGGCTTTCCATCCAAAGCAGACTGAAGCAATGGCCAGCACCCGCCGACCCAGTGGCTGTAGCACCCATCTACTAACTTGTTCGTTCTCCCTGAAAGCCCGCCCTCCGGAGCATACTGGCGTGCAGATAGCCAAGATAGCAGAAGAGGAACATTCATGTGCCTAGAAGCAGTGTGTTAGATTTGAATGATAGAAGACCAGAACATAGGTCCGTACTGAAGTATAGTCTCCTCGGGAGGCCCCAGAATAGAGAGGCATGCCAGTGCACAAAAGGCATATGCGCCATGTGCCTCGCACCCGGGGCTGCCGGAGATGCCTCCTTCAAAAGTTTGGCCTGGGTAATATCGATCAGCATCATTGATACAACCCAAGTGTAAATAAATTCTTACTTCGCGACAAGTATTCCGGGAGGCCACTGGTGAGATTCTCCAGTCCCGCACGGCGCGCTTCAACGTCCGGTGGAAGGTCCAGCGGCAGGTCGAGTAGCGAGATAATGGTCATAGCACAGTAGGCGCCACTGGCGACATGTCAGGAATCCCCAGCATGCATGAAACACATGAATCGTGATAGCTTACCGCATATCCTCCTCCCCGCCTTCGCACATGCAGAAGCCTCCATCTGCCGCCTTCACACGGCCCAGCCATTGCCACCTGGACACCGGTCAGACTAGATAGCACATGCAGTAAGAGAGGGGTTCAAAAAAGAGACAACTCACATTGCCTTGCGATCAACCAATGCAAAAGCTTCCTCGCCTCCAACCATTGCCAACGCCAGGATAGTCGCATAACTGCCTGCCAAATGCGAGCTCTGGCCATGGCCGCCCCCGAATCCGCCGGTGGGGTTCTGCATGGGCCGGAGGGATTCGACCACGCTGGGAGAGTTTAGAATCCGTTACGAATTGCGCCACAGCGATGTGGAGGGCTCGCAAAAGAAAAAGCAAGCAAAAAACTCACCGTTCGCGAAATCGCGTCACGTCCTCGCCGAGGAGCGATAATCCGGCCAGCGCCCAGTAGACCATCCACGGGCGGCTGGCGTCCATGGCGACAAAACCGGCGGGATAGTCCTCCAGGGAGTCATAGAGGTAGGCTACATGCTCGTCCCGCTGAAGCGCGGGAACCCCGAGGGCGTTGAAGGGCCCTCGTTGGGTGGAGTGGATGCCGTGCAGAAACGGGAGGCACTTGTCGACCGTCTCGATCTGCAGATCCAGGGTCTCTGTGACGAGCGGGTCCCGGATGGGCGGCGGCTGCGTGAAGAGGGCAGGGATTCCCGGGCGTGGTTCTTGGCTGATACTGGCCATTATTTTGCGGGAGGCCCGTTCGGCCTCTCGACGGTGCTTGGGGGTGCTGCCGAGTAGTGGGGGTTGAGTAGTAGTGGAAGATGGGAAACGAACAGGACGGCGGTGTTTGGCCGGCACGGTGATGGGTGGCATCAACGATTATATATTCCACACAGCAAAGTTGAGTCAATGGTGGTTATTGTTCGTGATATTGTTGTCGAGAACCGAGTTTGACGTTAGCTATTGTTCGACTCCACCTGACCCGTGCTTCCTCCTCAACCTACGACGACTACCACCACGACCCTGTCGTTGTACTACCACGACTCCTACACGGTCGGAGATTCTCGTGCATTCATCTACCTTGCACGTCATGTGCCAATGTGACAGGTCTCCTCCCTAGATAGTCGTGGCTGGTGCTCTCCTTGCCTCGGGGCATCCGTGCGGGCAAGTCGACCAGTCCAGCGTGTGGCTAATGGACGACTTCTCGCTACTGCACGGTCAGCGACCTAATGGCCCAAGACAACGTGCTGATTGGACTAGACCAAGCCTCAGATCGATCTGCTATTGCCACGACGTCGCTCCACTGATCGCCTCTTCCCGTCCTCCCGTGCTCATCCACGGTGCTATCCATGGGTGAGCAGAGTCTGGCAATGGAGGCCAGAGTCAACAAAACAACGAAGCCAAATCCAGCGGGACAACCCGACCCATTCTCATCCACTACTCCAACGGACACGAACTATTACTCCTCCCGGGATATCATCCCACTCATGAGGATGTGGCAATAAGACCCCCCACACTCCTAGCGCCAGCCCTTCACCGCTGCTTTGTCCCGCCCACCGCTTCCCTTTCATCGTCGCTGGTTGTGCGACTCGCTTTACTTGAGTCCTTCGCTTCCCTCTGGAACACTCTATCTCCCCCTTTCACCTCCCTTTCGCACCCCACGAAGCCATGTCAAATGTCGAGATGCCGAACGACGGCCTCATCGGGGTGGACTACGATTCCCGAGGCTATCTCCACCACTCAACATGGCCCGTGAGCGTTGACCAGTCCTCCCAGCGGCCCCAGGAAGGGCATGATCTCTCGCCCTTGCAAACCAGCGGTCACTCGCTGGAACAGTCGGTGGCCCACGACCCAGCCCTGATGCTCGACTGGCAATTTCAGATGCAACAGACCCCTCACCATCATCATCAACATTCACTACCCTATTCCGCCGAGGGCCCGTCGTCGGCGCCCCAGTTCACCACCGCGAGCTATGGTATGGCCATCCAATCTTCGCCCGTGGACATGATGCCTCCGCAGGGTCAGATGAGCGCCGGTCTGCTCGACGGCCCCTATCTACCCCTCTCGGGCCCCCCAGTCGATGCCATGGTTCCTTTTACGTATCACGACTTTCAGGCAGATCTGATGGCCTTCCCCGAGGGTCTGGCCGAAGTGTCACCATATGCTGCCTCGCACGGCGTCTTGGAGAGCAGCTCGCCCACAGATACTTATTTGGAGGTCCGTTCCCTGTCCAGCAGTGACAACGGCTGGAGCACCATCGATCATCGCCGCTCTCTAGACTTTACATATGAGCAACAGGGCGTCTTTGTGAACCCCACGCAGACGTTGCATGATCGCAGCCTGTCAGAATCGTCGTACGCCACCTCATACGGCAGCTTTGTGGACATTTCGCACCCCATCAGCTCCCCCAACTCAGAAACCAACCTAGACTTGCCCTATACCCACCACGCAGCTATCGGCAGCGTTGGCGGGTCTTCGCCTCCCAATAATACGATGCCTCGCCGCGCCACTGATGATCATTCTTCTGGTTCACGGTCGCCGCCGGCCGTCAGCCCTGGTACGATGATGCGGGCAATTCCCGTGCCCATCAAGAAGTCCGGTTCTCCAACCCGATCCTCTGGATCTGGGTCATCCGCTTCATCTGCTTCGCCTCCCAGCCGGAAACCATCCCGCAAGAGCCCCATTGCGGCCAAGACGGCCGAGACAAAGGTCCGCAAACAATCGCAGACCGGTAAACCCGAGACCGAAAAGAAGGTCGGCAAGCGGAAGGGTCCACTCAAGCCTGACCAGCGTAAGCAAGCGAGCGAAATCCGAAAATTACGAGCGTGTTTGCGCTGCAAGTTCCTCAAGAAGACTTGTGACAAGGGCGAGCCGTGTGCGGGATGCCAGCCGTCACATGCACGGTTATGGCAGGTCCCATGCACGCGAATCGACATCAAGGAGATCGGGTACTTCATGAAGGACTGGAAGGCCGATTACGAGCGTCATATCTCCCTCGGCTTCTCTGTGGGCAACATTACGGGATTTTCGGACATCGAACGCACCCTCTTCGTCACCCACGGCTATGGCCAGATTCTGCCGATCAACGCCCGCGAGGTCTTTGTGCGGGATGAACAGTGCTTCAGTATGGACTGGACTGAGTCCGTCCACCGGCCACCGACGCAGTATGAAGTCGAGACCGCCAGGCTCTCCGCCGGCATGGAGGGCATCTCGCACGCCTTGCTGTCGGACTATCTGGACCGCCACATCGATGGGAACGGAACCTATGAGAAGTTCGTCGACGACTACTTCGAGGGAACTCCCTTTTTGACCCAGATGCTCAAGACTGCTTTCCGCTTCTACTTCCGCACCAAGATGCCCGTGATCCGCAAAGCACTGAAGCTGGTTCTCGCATACAACCTGACCCTGCATGTAACCCTAGTGGAGGGAATCGGTGAGGAGGAAGGGTTCCTGGGCAAGATCTACGACCAGTCCTCCAAGTTCCGCGGCAAGACGGTGGCGCCCGTGATGATCAACTTCCAGATCAAGATTGCCATGGCGAGCATGTGGCGCGAGCTCCAAAAGGACGTGCTGGAAGAGCTCTCGGCGCTATACTCCAGCGTGTACAGCGGCGACAAATTGAAGAACTGGCCGACGATCTTCCTACTGGCCTCGATGCTGCTGGCCGTGTGGGAGGAGATGCAATTCGACACGCACTATCGGACCCAGGACCAGCCCGCCGTCGACAAGTTCTGCACCGACATGGAGACCACCCCCGTCGGCGTGATCGTCGGGCTCTTCCAGGCCATCTCGCAGAAGTTGCCCCCCTTCACGGACTGGGACACACAGAAGCACCACCAGCTGCTGTACTCGAACCCGGATGTGTGTAACACCATGACCGAAGTCCGGCAGCATGTTGAACAACACCGTAAGATCCACTCACATTTGGTACCATTTTACCCCTCCTGACTGACTGCATCACAGAGAGCTACCTGCGCGGCCGCTCCAACTCCAAATTCAACCGCGGCGACTTTGACTGCCTTTCGAACAAATTTCTCTCTCGCCTTGTGATTCGCGCGAACTAGCGACTACAGCGATGAATATGCGCATGATGATGATCTGTTTTGCGATCCAGCGTTTTTCTGTTTGCCCGGATGCCGACACGAACTGGATGAGAAGACGCGACCGAGTATTCTTATTGATGTCATGACGATGCGCTTTTTGCCCTCTTTTGATTGATGATGACGACGATGATAAGGGCGCTCCCAGTGAGCCAGCCCGGATGAGCTGCATTGAACCATATTATTTTTTTTTCTTATTATCTGTGTGTTTTTTTGTTCAATTTTTCCCCTCCTTCTTTTTGTGGTATACCTTTCTCGCATAGTTGTGTCTCACCAGCGATGAACGCGGATCACGAATGTTATGACCTGTACGGCCGACGGTGTCCTTTTTTTTTTTTTTTATGATGTTTTGGTTTCGGTCCGATCAGGACCAACAAGTATTACTTACTGCGGGTGGTGGTCGGAGATGTCCCCGGCCTAGCTCGCATTCTTGACGGTGGCCATGTTTCTTTTTTTGGATCGGGAGCCCGCGAGGAGAAAAGAGGGAGTTTTATACCATTTGCGTATGTCCGTATTTCTCACGAGTCATTCTATTTTTCTTCTCTCTCCCCGTGTAGTAGTCCATCATCACTACTCGTAATCAACGTATACAAGTCGCTAGTGGAGCCGAAAGCGGGGATCACCTGACGGGGCGCAGGGATCGCCTTATCCGCCCCCTCTCTTTCGATCGCTCCCTCACACGTCATCGCCATCGGTCCGATCGACTCGAGCGGACCAGGTGGCTGGGCGGGCTGGAGTTTTCCCCTGAGGGACACGGAGCGTACGTCACAGTAAATTGATTGTCCAGGCCAAAAAGAGAGATAGTAGTCTCGGTCGGAGTAAACAGTCTAGAACCTGCCAGTGGTGGCGTCAGCGAAGTCCGTCCGCCGTCTGTTTCCAGGCACCGCTGACTCACTCTTCTATCTCCTTCTCTCTCTGGTTCGGCCTCTGACTAAGATCGCCCCCCCGGCCGCTCCTACTTAAAGCATCCCCCTCTTTCAACTCTCTTCCTGTCTTCCGCTCACCATCCATCCACCCTTTCGTCCCTCTTGATCCCGCATCACCTCCCACATCCAGTCCCATCACATCACTGCGAACACCGCTCATCGCTCATCATGCAGATCTTCGTCAAGACTCGTGAGTATCCCTCCTTTCGCCCGGCGCGTACTCAGGCTCCCTCGCCACCGAACTGGTCACTAACTTGGTCCGGCTTCTAGTTACTGGCAAGACCATCACTCTTGAGGTCGAGTCCAGCGATACCATCGACAACGTCAAGTCCAAGATTCAGGACAAGGAGGGTATCCCTCCGGACCAGCAGCGTCTGATCTTCGCGGGCAAGCAGCTCGAGGACGGTCGTACTTTGAGCGACTACAACATCCAGAAGGAGTCTACCCTCCACCTGGTGCTCCGTCTGCGTGGCGGCATGCAGATCTGTAAGTGACATAACATCGCCCCCCCAGCCACGAAGGCAATGAAGATACTAATTCGCCACAGTCGTCAAGACCCTCACCGGCAAGACCATCACCCTCGAGGTTGAGTCGTCGGACACCATCGACAATGTTAAGTCCAAGATTCAGGACAAGGAGGGCATTCCTCCTGACCAGCAGCGCCTGATCTTCGCGGGTAAGCAGCTGGAGGACGGTCGTACTCTGTCCGACTACAACATCCAGAAGGAGTCTACTCTCCACCTGGTGCTCCGTCTGCGCGGTGGTATGCAGATCTTCGTCAAGACCCTCACGGGAAAGACTATTACCCTGGAAGTGGAGTCGTCCGACACAATCGATAACGTCAAGAGCAAGATCCAAGATAAGGAGGGCATCCCCCCGGACCAGCAGCGGTTGATCTTTGCCGGCAAGCAGCTTGAAGACGGCCGCACTCTCTCCGACTACAACATCCAGAAAGAATCCACTCTGCACCTTGTCCTCCGTCTCCGTGGTGGTATGCAGATCTTCGTCAAGACCCTAACTGGCAAGACCATCACCTTGGAAGTGGAGAGCTCAGACACCATCGACAACGTGAAGAGCAAGATTCAGGACAAGGAGGGGATCCCGCCAGACCAGCAGCGTCTTATCTTCGCTGGTAAGCAGCTGGAGGATGGCCGCACGCTCTCGGATTACAACATCCAGAAGGAGAGCACGTTGCATCTGGTGCTCCGTCTCCGTGGCGGCCAGTAGCCGGTCTGGTCTTCCTGATTCACGATTTCTGCTCTCTCCTCGACTACGATGGGTTCTACATGACCTGCATGGCGTTTGGTCGGTTTTTTTGAAGCCGAGGCTTCTCTTTCTTTTTCAAACACGGGAGACCCCTTGTTATTTCGCAGGCCCTTTAAACGATAGTCTTTATTATCTACCAATTTGAGTCAGGCTGGATTCGCTGCTCAACTGAGCTGTTCATATTGTAAGATCTAGATCTATGTGGCGATGATCCGAGTAGAGTGAATCCTATAGAAGTCCATTGTAGATGAGTCTGTTCACCCTCCGGGCACCCTCTATTGCACCAGAAACAACACCGAAACGTTGGAACGATGGACGCCACACACAGGGAACTTTTCATCCTCTGCATATCTCCCTTCCCAATCCAATCTGGTCGCGCCTCTTTTTCGCCACTCCGCGATACCGGAGGCGATGAGACATTCTGCCACCGCCCTCTTATCGATACAGAAACCAGATGTGACTTCACACACCGTCCGCATGCTCTGCAAGTGTCCCCTCCTCTACCTCTCTCTCTGGTCCTCGACGTGCAAGTCGGCTCGCGATGTCAGCTACCTTCACCATCGCCCCTGATGCCGGCTTACTTCTTCAATTTGAAACTTGAACTCCTGCTCCGCTCAACCGAAACCTCGTCCGATCAGTCGACTGCGACTCTGGCTTTGGATAACGCATGGGAAGCTCTCCTTCCATTTCAGAAGCGGTCGACGACGACGGCGGCGACGACGCATCCTGTTAGTTCGAGTCGCCCGTCCTCGGGGACTGGATATGAATCGCAGAGCAGTAATCCCACCGCCGAAACTACACTTGCGCAGCGACCCAAAAACACACCTCTGGTCAACCTCTCCACTCCTTCCTCATCTCTTGCTGAACTCACCGCCAACCTCAGTACCTACACCCCCGGCTCCGTGACACTTGATACTCCCTATCCTGACTCTCAGGTTGAGTCGTCGACCTACTCTATCGACTTCGAGAGCGATAAGCGCTTCGGTGCCATTTCCATCTCGTGCATCGACATGGTGGCCCCGACACCGCAAGAAGGGTCCGCGAGACGGGCTTCAAAGCATGGGAATGCACCTCCCCTTGCTGAGGAGGATAATCTCGTTGCCGCGGGTATTGGAACAGACATTCTAGGTGGCCAGCGCACCAAGGGTCGCTATATCCCCCTCGACCAGGAGATCGCCGATAGCGTCTGGGGTATCGTGCACCTGTATCGAGAAGCACAGGAGACGCCTTACCTCACTGGCAACGAAGATGACTACCCGAGCTATCTGAAGGGCTCTGCGGCCGTGGCGAGACAGCCTAGCGATCAGCAGCAGCGACAATCGGCAGATGGCGCCAGCAGCAAGCAGCCCCAGACGGGCGGTTCTGCCGGTGGTCTCACGGCGTACCCGTTTCCCGCTACTTCTTCTTCGTCTGCGCAGAGTCCTGGCGAAGAGTGCACGACGCTGTGCATTCTAGCTGTTCCGTCTTACATGTCGTCCTCGGATTTCTTGGGGTTCGTTGGCGAGAAGACCTTGGATGACGTCGCCCATTTCCGGATGATCAAGACAGCTCGCGCGAATCGGTACATGGTTTTGATGAAGTTTCGGAATGCGCACAAGGCGATGGTGTGGCAGAAGGAGTGGAATGGGAAGGTTTTTAATAGCATGGAGGTGAGTGTGCTCCCCTCTCTCTCTTTCTAAGAGTATATATATATACTGACTGATTCTACCAGCCTGAAACCTGTCATGTGGTCTTCGTCAAAGCCGTCGAGATCCAAGTTGTCGAAGAGGAGACCTCTTCTATTCTCACCCCCGGCGAATCTAGTACACTCTCACCCTCCCATAATCCGGCTACGCTTTCGCGCGCTTCCATGTCGTCAGCCGGCCAAGCCGCCCTTTCCAGCAAGCCCCTCGCCCCTCCTACTCCTGCACTTATCGAATTGCCTACTTGCCCTGTCTGCCTTGAGCGAATGGACGAGACGACGGGTCTCCTGACCATCATCTGCCAGCACGTCTTCCACTGCACATGCCTCCAAAAATGGAAAGGCAGCGGCTGTCCCGTGTGTCGATACACGCAGGACGAGTTGCACAAAAAGCCCCAATTCCCCGAATCCACAGCCGAGTGCAGCGTGTGCCACTCCGATCTCAATCTCTGGGCATGTTTGATCTGCGGCACCGTCGGCTGCGGCCGCTACGACGGCGCACACGCCTTCGAACACTGGAAGGAAACCACGCACGCGTATGCAATGGATCTGGACTCCCACCGCGTCTGGGACTACGTCAGCGATCTGTACGTGCACCGCATCCTGCAAAGCAAAACGGACGGCAAGCTCGTCGAACTGCCCGCGGCGGATAACCATGCCCTCGATCCACCGGACTGGTCTGATGCCGTGCCGCGGGACAAATTCGAAAACCTGAGCGTCGAATACACCCATCTCCTCACCAGCCAACTGGAAAGCCAGCGCGCATACTTTGAAGAAGTCGTCGAGCGCGCCGCCGATAAAGCTTCCCGAGCCGCTTCGGAGGCAGCCGTCGCCAAGGACGAGTGGAAGGAACTCTGTGCGCGCATCGCAGAGCTAGAAGGACAGCACAACACGCTGACAACCGAGAAAATCCCGCATTTGGAACGAGACCGCGCGCGCTTCGAGAAACGCGCGGAGAAGTTCGAGCAGATGGCACGGTCGATGGAAAAAGACTGGCGGGAGGAGAAAACTATCAACCAGTCCCTGCTCGAGCGTATTGATTTCCTGTCTGCTGAGCTTGGCAGCGTCAAGGAGGTTAACGAGGAGCTGAAGGAGCAGAACCGTGATCTCACTTTCTTTATTAGTGGCTCGCAGCGCCTGCAGGGTCAAAGGGGAGGATATCCAGGAGGCGACGCTTAGTGTCCCCGATCCGCCGACGCCGGGGAAGAAGAAAAAGGGAAAGGGGAAGGGGAAGAAGAATTAGTAGCTGTGCTACTTCCTTATGATGACTGGCTCGAACTGGCTGGCTTATCCATGCCGGTGAAGTTTTCCAGGTTCTCGATACCTTGACTTCGTTGTATAGTTAGCCGACGCAGATGAGCGATGCATTGGGCGGTCTTTTTTTGTATGATTAGCGACTCGCAATATCATGTTTGATTATTGTCATTCAGTTTCTCTTCTTCAAGTTGTAGATGTAGACAGGACATAATTCGAAGAGATACAGTTCTATGATATTAACACACTATAAACACAACGGATATATTTTACACACCACCACTAAATCCATCTAAACCCCCTTCCTAATAGCCCAAAAATAATTCCCCCAATCCTCCGACCCAGGCACCATCTTCCACCCAAGCCCAGGGACATAAACCGCCCCAATACACCTCCACTGAGTCCCCTCCAACAGACCCTGCCCGCCCCTCCCAGCCACACCATCACCACCACGCATCAGTCCCTCCTGCAACCACGCACGCACTTCAGGCGGGTTAACAAACTTGCTCCACTCATGCGTCCCGCGCGGCACGACGCCAATAGGCCACGGAGCTTCGGCGATGACCTGGTTCAGCAGGAAGGACGGGAGTGTGCGCGAGATGGTCGAGCCGATTAGCCAACCGCCAGGTTTGAGGGCGCGGAGGCAGTTTGTGAGGAATGTTAATGGGGTCGAGGTTTGGGGGTCGATGTGTTCGAGGACCTCGAAGAGGGTTACCACGTCGTATTGTTTTGGGGGGGTGGACGTTGTTGGCGGTGATGGAGACGAAGATGGAGATGAAGTCGAGGAGGAGGCGGTAGTTGCGAGGACATCTTCCAGCGTGGTATTCAAGTACTTGAACTTCCCGCTCCGGAGATGTGCGTCGACGGCCGGGTCCATGCGCGCATGATCGCGCGCAATCTGGATCAGGTTCGTTGAGGGATCAATAGCCGTTATGGACGCCGCGCGCGTGGGGGTCGGCGCCGCTGCATGGGGGTTGACGGGGATGGTGCGCGCGAGTGATTCGGCGAAGATCCCACCGCCACAGCCTATGTCGAGGTAGTGCAGGTCTGCCTTTGCGGGGGATGAGGGAGAGGGATCGGAGTCGGCGAGGCAGGAGGCGATGAATTCGTGGCGGAGCGGGTTCATGAGGTGCAGGATGCGCGACGGGCCCATTGGGTCCCACCAGGAGCTGGCAAGGGCGGAGAAGTGTGTGAGTTCGGAGGCAGAGACGGAGGATGTGGTGCTGTGGGTTCGAGCTTGGGAGGTTGTTCTTCGTTCATGGTGATGGTGATGATTTTTGAGGGGTGTTGTTCGGGTTGGTCTTGTTGCCGGCCGGCCTGCGAGGAGGAGGCGTGGGGCCAGATTGGACACGGGTCGGAGGGGTGAGGCCATTGTGGTCACCGAGAGAGGGCAGGAAAAGGTCGAGGTATAGAGGATGTGGGAGACCGGAGCTCGGTGAGAGGAGGGACTGCGAAGGGGAGCTCGGGGATGCGAGAAAGGTTGATGGTGATGAGATCTATGGAAGCATTATATGGTCAGTCACGGAAGGTGATATTATTGAGTAACAGTTAGGGACTTACCAGCAGGCGAAATCCATGGCCAATGGTTCTAGGTAAAACGGTGGAAGAAGTGGAAGGAAGCGTTAGAAGCAGTGAAATTCCTCGGGACAAACACGCCAAGCTTTTCCACACACCACAGCGAGTATACTATACGGTAGAGCGCCTATCTTATTGGCAGAATACGAGCGACAATAGTGAGCATAGGAAAAAGAGAAATGAATTCCACTCTATCTAGTCATCCCGATCTGTATATCCTGATCCATTCATCCAACCAACCATCCAGTATACAACACTCGTCTATAGAAAACTCCATCCCATAATAACAAGGAACATAAACACATATCACGGAACATCATCAATACACACGATCTTCGAACCTCATCTTCGACGACATGTCCGGCCGTAACACGGGCATATCACCTCGAGCCCGGTCACTCTCCACCTCACTGACATTCTGCATATCCTCATGGTTAGCAGCCGCCAAATACCAGCTACTCCTCTCAGCTGTCCATGAGGCCAGATCATCCGGCGAGGCCTCGCCTAAACCGGGTAGCCAGTTTCCCGTGGTGATGGTACAATCCAGGCCCAGTACGGTCTTGCAGCGTTCCAGCAGTGTCGGGAATAGGTATGAGGGCGAACCTCGGATTTGCGAGAGGGTATGCAGAATCCCCCAGAGCAGTTCGCGAGGATCGATACTCGACTCCGCCAATCGGTGCATGCTCTTCGACCCGAGGGAGTGCGTCACGTCCGCGACGGAGGACCCCATGTCGAATAGTTTTTGCTCCTACACCCACGCTGTTAGCATATGTAAGTACTGTGGCGGGATTGTGGTTGTCAGAACGTACCATTCCGATTCCATGTGCATCCACCGCACCTTGCGATGCAGTCCCGATCACACTCATAACGGCCTTGCCCACGAGCACAGGTAAATGGAAAGGAAGGACCGCGTCGTCGCGCGAGCCGGGCTGCGTGGCTCGACTCATAGATAGCTTCCACATCATGGCCTGCAGCCACTGCTGCGTGACCAGGATGTCAACTTGCTGGATCTCGAGCACCCCGTCCAGGACGACGGGCTTGCAGAGACTGGACTGGATGGCGGATGTGGGAGGTCTCTCTAGGAGTCCATCTCCTCCGCCAGCGGACAGCCAATCGTACAGGTTTGAGGTGAGTTTCTCGAAGATGTTGATCAGGTTGATGAAGCCGTATGCGAGAATAGGGTCTTCGGAGCAGAGCACCTGGGGCTTGTGGATGGAGCTGCGCAGCAGCACTGGTTTAGCTTGTTGGAGAGCATAGCCTCTGTCGGCCGAAGTCAGCACAGTTAATTCATACATTGGATTCGATTCAACCAACCTTTCTGTGATAAATAAAAGCCAAAATACACGCCGCTTCTCTTCGGCCTCCTCTACATTCCACTCCGCATATGTCGACTCGCGGTGCAGGCCCAAGGTGAACGCCATAGAAGTGGCCTGGCACAGATAGAACCACGCATGATCTTGTCTATCCAGATTGCCATATGTAGCAAAAAGGAAGAACGAGGTCAACAGACTTTCGATGTTCATACCCTCCACAATGTCGCATTCGCGCCGTGCCCGTAAAGCTTCAGTGAGTAACTCTTCTCCGGACATCAAGCAATGTCCCTCGCCCATGCTTTGCAACCGACTCGGCTCGGGAACAGGCGTGTCCCCGTCCAGCTTCAATTGAATGTGCGTAGCGGCGCACAGAGACGCTAGGAACGCATACCGCTGAGGGGATAGGCGCTCCGGCTGATGGCTGTCCCGCTGTAATTGCTCGCTGCGCACAACCGGCATGATGGGGAACAGATACTTGAGGTAAACATTGACGTGGGCGAGCAGAATCTGCGGAGATAGGCGGCGGGCGTGTGGGAGAGCATGGCTATTCGCGGACCCGGAAGTCGAGTTTGTCGAGTCCGGCGAGGAAACCAGTTCTGGCGGCGGGAGCTGCGAGAGTGTATCTGAGCCGTCCGGGAAAGAATAATGCTGGTCCGGCACGCCGAACACCGGCGATGTGGGAGAGCTTATACCGTAGGTCGATAACTGGTCGGGAAAGGTATCGCTGTCGGTGCCGTATAGTCGTTGTTCCGCAGCCCGGCTGGTGCCGTGCCGGGCCGAGAGTGGGTGGACAGGGGCGAGGGGATACAGAGTCCGGAACTTGGGACCTTTGCGGCGAAGCACATCACTGTAGGAGCAGGAGAGCAGTAGCCGTTGACATTTATCACACGCGGGTAGCCCCCGGTTACACTTTATCTTGCGCCGCCTGCAGTTATCGCATGCCTGTTTCAGGGAGGATTCCTTGGATGAAGCAAACTCCATTGTGAAGTGAAGACAGCAAGAATCAGAGACGGATGGAGGGGCAGACCATGGTAGGTGAAGACTCAAGCCTCCTGCGAACAAAATAGTGTTTCCGGAGGACTCAAGCGCAATTATAAAACACGATCTGGGGAAAAGGCGTGGGGCTACCAGACCCCGCAAAGCCACCCCCCCCTGCGCTGATGATGATGATGGTACAAGTCCTCCCTCATATCTCACTCCTACACCATAATCAGCTTATCTTTTGGACTTCTGGGTGGGTGCTGATGTTGGGACGGCATCATTATTCTTCTATCTCGACCTCGCCGTCGCTATATATGTAAACCAAGACTAATATGTGCACATGACAACCACCCACGCCCTGACGCACCCCTGGCTCAGCGAACCCTTCCAGAAGGCGAATATCCTTCCAGAAGGATGTAATGCATGCACATTCGTGTTCTCGGCGCGTAAGCGATGTTCCAGCACATCCACTGATTAACGGCAACGCACAGAGGCAAGCCCTGATCGGCTACGATGCCTGGCATCTAGAAGCCCTGAGAAGCGGCCAATCCTGTCTGAGCCTAGTCGTTGCGGGAGGATGCGCGATTTTCAAGGGTTGCTTGATTAATATTGGCCACTTAAGTGGACACTTCGCTAGTTTGGCATGAGCCCTCATTTCCGTCCTCATGCAGTTGGCCAATGAAGACGCTGGTTCAGCTTGGGCCAGCATGAGGCCACCGTGCCGAGGTGATGGAGGGGCAGCCCAGCCCATGTCGGGAAGCCGATGCAGTTTACACTTACGCCGGACTTAATTAATAGTATGGCTGTAGCAAAAACTACATACTAGGGCGTATTGGTACGTTATAGCGCAGGTGGAACTAGCGAGTGGAGAGGCTCCAGAAAAACTCCGAGGTTCCCACGACATGAGTTTCCCCAGGTTCCATGATGCCATGGAGTTTCATCAATTTCGTACTAAGATCGAAAAGACTCACCGCAGCCATAAACTGCGATCCCCACAGTTAACGGGGTATTTACTGTCCCATCGGCCAATTATCGGGCCACCCGCCAATCAGGACCTCGGAATCTGCTGATCGGCGCTGTCCTCAGGCACAAAGCGTTTTCTCGTCACTTCGTCATCGATCGATCAGTGCTTCTAGCCTCGCATTGAGTGCTCACTTCTGCCTTGGAAACTCAATTTTGTGTATCGCTCACTAACGTACACAGCAGTAGCACAACACCAAGATCACCATCCCAGACCATGTCTGACCCTGGTGCGCATTGACAACATTCCCGGCCTGTAAACGCTCTAGGCCGAGCCCCAACCCCGCAAATCCGCGGTCCAATGCAAGGCAGGTCTATGGAGTACAGGACGATCACAATGCCCCTCGCACGGCGTCGGAGATTCAACGGAAAATCTATACCGTCGCGTTGTGCCGGGCTTGTCGGGATGCCTTCGGCCCAGTTTTTTGCGGGGAGTTTACATTCCAAAGCTTCATGGCAAGGGGTCACAAGAGCAGAAGCAAATTATAAGAAGACCCGCTGGTCTTGATTGCTGAAAAGAAGCATCTGAACCTTTTTTAGCAGTGGAACTTCACCGCTATGGTTGGCTTCAAGGACCTTGCTACTGCCGGGGCTTGGCTCCTGCCTGTAGCCTATGGCGCCAGTTCGACACCTGCGCCTAGCTCGACTTCGTCTGCGGCGTATTCTCAGTTTACCATCCCTGCCGCCTCAGATGTCGGTGCGCAATTGATTGCCAACATTGACGATCCTCAAGCCGTCAACGCGCAGTCCGCCTGTCCCGGATACAAGGCTTCGAATGTCAAACGATCTGCGAGCGGAGTGACGGCCACTCTGCTCTTGGCGGGTGAGCCTTGCAATGTGTATGGTACGGATATAGATTCGCTGGACCTCTCGATCGAGTACCTCGCGACGGACCGGCTGAACATCCAAATCATTCCTTCCCATATCGACGCGTCGAACCAGTCTTGGTACCTGCTTTCGGAGGATCTCGTCCCTAAGGCCAAATCCGTTGGCACTGGCAACAGCAAGAACAGTGATCTTGAGATTGAATTGTCCAATGATCCTACGTTTGGCTTCAAGGTGATCCGCAAGGCTACCGGTGATGTGCTGTTCGATACGACGGGGTCGGTTCTCGTGTACGAGGATCAATTCATCGAATTCGTCACTGCCTTGCCGGAAGAATACAATCTCTACGGTCTCGGAGAAAAGATTCAGCAACTGCGGCTTCTGAACAACTACACCCTGACCACCTATGCATCGGATGTTGGGGACCCTATTGACGGGTGAGTTGCTATGCAGTTTATCTTGGGTATGGAGGGTATACTGACCTATTATACTGCCAGGAATATCTACGGATCTCATTCCCTTTTATTTGGATACACGCTACTATGAAGTCAATGAACATGGTGCTCACTCATTCGTCTCCATCGACCAGGCGGAGCAATCCAAGGACTACGTCTCCTATTCGCACGGCGTCTTCCTCCGAAATGCTCATGGCCAGGAAGTCGTTATGCAGCCCCAGAATCTGACTTGGCGTACCCTAGGTGGTAGCGTCGACCTTACCTTCTACTCAGGCCCAACTCAGGTTGATGTCACCAAGAACTACCAGCTTAGCACTGTTGGACTGCCTACCATGCAACAGTACTTCACTTTTGGTTATCATCAATGCCGCTGGGGTTATCAAAATTGGTCCGTTGTGGAAGAGGTTGTTGCGAATTTCGAGAAATTCGAAATCCCCTTGGAGAATATCTGGTACGCAAAGACTTTCAACTCACTCTTTGGTGACTAGCAACTAATAGATCTAAAAGGAACGATATCGATTACATGCACGGCTACCGTAACTTTGACAATGACCCAATTCGATTCAGTTACAGTGAAGGCGACGCGTTCCTAGAGAGACTGCACAAGAGTGGTCGCCACTACATCCCAATAGTTGACTCTGCTCTTTACATCCCTAACCCTCACAATGCATCTGATGCGTAAGTTTCGTTCTAATATTTACTTCATGCAATCCACTAACCTCTGGTTAGATATGACACCTACACTCGAGGTGCTAAGGAGGGTGTCTTCCTACGCAATCCAGATGGCAGCCTCTACATTGGCGCTGTGTGGCCCGGCTATACTGTGTTTACGGATTGGCACCACCCGAAGGCTTTTGAATTCTGGGCAAATGAGATCGCTACATGGCACGGCAAGATTCCTTTTGATGGCATCTGGATTGACATGAGCGAGGTCTCGTCTTTCTGTGTCGGCAGCTGCGGAACTGGAAATCTCACCCTGAACCCGGCCCATCCGTCCTTCCTACTACCTGGGGAACCTGGAAACATTATTTACGATTACCCAGAGTCATTCAACGTGACGAATTCGACCGAAGCAGCCTCCGCCTCGGCCGCCTCGGCCAGCCAGGCTTCAGCTGCAGCCACATCATCGTCTGACTCGACCTCTGTCTCCTACTTGCGAACTACACCTACCCCGGGAGTGCGGAATATCAATCACCCCCCGTACGTAATTAATCACGATCAAACTGGCCACGATCTCGCTGTGCATGCCGTGTCTCCGAACGCCACCCATGCGGATGGTGTCCAGGAATATGATGTTCACAACCTTTATGGCCACCAAGTTCTCAACGCCACCTACCACGGTCTGTTGAAAGTGAACTCCGAGAAACGACCGTTCATCATCGGACGGTCTACATTTGCAGGTTCCGGCAAGTGGGCGGGTCACTGGGGTGGTGACAATGCGTCTAAGTGGGCATATATGTTTTTCTCTATTCCACAGGCACTGTCGTTCTCGCTATTTGGAATCCCCATGTTTGGTGTGGATACATGCGGATTCAACGGCAACAGTGACGAAGAACTTTGCAATCGCTGGATGCAACTCTCTGCATTCTTCCCGTTCTACCGCAACCACAACGAACTCTCGACAATTGGACAAGAGCCTTACCGGTGGGCGTCCGTTATTGAGGCATCTAAGACTGCTATGGAGATCCGTTACGCTATCCTGCCCTACTTCTACACCCTGTTCCATCTCGCGCACACTACTGGCTCGACGGTGATGCGAGCTCTGGCATGGGAGTTCCCGACCGACCCATCCTTGGCTGCTGTTGACACGCAGTTCATGCTAGGCCCATCCATTATGGTTGTCCCCGTCCTTGCGCCCCTGGTAGACACCGTAAAGGGCGTTTTTCCCGGTGTCGGTGGGAAACATGGTGAAGTCTGGTATGATTGGTATACACAGACTGCAGTCAACGCCAAACCTGGAGTCAACACTACAATTGCTGCTCCCTTGGGTCATATTCCGGTCTACGTGCGCGGTGGAAGTGTTCTACCGATGCAGGAGCCTGCCATGACGACCCGGGATGCGCGCAATACTCCTTGGTCTCTGTTGACAGCTCTCAGCGGCGAGGGTGCCGCGACGGGTCAATTGTACCTCGATGATGGCGAGAGCATTTACCCCAACGCTACGCTCAATGTTGACTTCTCTGCGTCGCACTCTAGCCTGAGCGCCTCCCCGCGTGGAAATTGGAAAGAATTGAACTCTCTGGCCAATGTGACTATCTTGGGCGTGACCAGAAAGCCTGGTGTGGTCACATTCAACGGCAAGAAGGTCTCATCTGTCCACTACAATTCCACCTCACATGTGCTGTCGGTTGGTGGCCTGGAGCGTCGGACAGAAGAAGGTGCATGGAGCAAGAAGTGGGTTCTGAAGTGGTAGATGCTGTGTTGAGACGGAGATTACCGGGGTGTGGTACAGGACATGTATATATATCACCAGCCCATCTGGTTTGTTCCATAGCACACTTGAAGCGGTCTTGGTTGCTTTTCCAATTTGTCTGTTCAGCTGCAGACTCGATCACGAGTATGCCTCGATCTCATACTAAATCATGAACCAGGCGGTTGTATTCACAACTATTCAATATCACAATAGCTTCCAAATATAGCCACTAACCCAATCTACCAAGATGATACTACCCTTGCTATGCGCAAAGGATTTAATGGTACGCAGACCATCATTGTTCTCTCAATTCTCGGGGGGAAGGGAGCTCATACACACTTTCGCTTCCAGATACAGGATTCAAAGTAGGAACAGATGTTACTGAGATTCTATACATGTGCCATTACAACTGTCGACCACAGTGGTAATGTACCTGTTCAAATGGTCAACGGCGAGTCAAGGATTTTGTATCCACGTTGTGGACTCGAGGGATCAACTATTTGCTCGTAAGGAACTGCAAAATCTGAATTTCAAGTTGCGGTAGCTTGTCACTCTTTCGAGGAGGAAGAGCTCCCTTTGAGTTAATTAAGCTAGAATTAAAGATAATGCTAACATGCGATACGAATTTAACCGTACTTCTCTTCAAAAGCGACCATAGACAATAAAGCTCTTTGCTTCCCCGTCGGATTGACATCAAGATTGATCGATCGATGACACGGCCAAGCTCATTGACTTCACCAAAAAAGAAAAAGAAATTGACACCGGCGTCTTCGTAGATAAATGTTCTGAAATATACTGAATGCAGGAGGTGGCGCTGCTAATCTCGATATCGCAACGAAAAGAATCATTGTAAACAGAGATTGTCTCTCGCCTCTTACTTTTCTAGATATGCAATTACCCGAGCCTGTATAAACAAAACAAATCACCCGAAATAGATGAATGTCGAGGAAGTCAACCAGTTCTCTTCCTGAACGGGCGCACAAGGAACGAATAATGGATAAGACCCCCACCTCTAGTGAGACATATTACTTGGTGTTGAATGATAGTGCCACAGCCAGTCTTATCTTTTGAAAGATAAGTTACCTCGGCTACTCTCCCAATTGCGACTTTCTGGTTAACCATTTGCAGAACCGACCATGATCACACTCAATTACAGTGGCCACTTTATCCTTTTATCCATTGCGGGAACTAGCACGACAATTGCATGGCGCGAAAGACTAGGCGTTCCTATTACCTTTTCCCTGTCGTTCCCCTCTTCGATCATTGGACCGGAAGAAAAAAGACTCCCAAATCGAGAATCCGATTGCAGCATGCCCCTGCAGACTAAGAAAAACATTGTTACGCAGCCAATTAGATACTCGTGAGGCGTACCCCTTCATCCAGGTAATGTATAGTGCAAGCGATCCACAATTCTTCGACATTGTTTTTGAAGCGAGGTGTGGCTGCAGCGTCATCTGCACCTTCTAACCGGATAACCTCCGAAGTATATGGGCGGGCTTCTAGCGATCCCCGGCGGCTTGTGGGTATAGACTGATCGACCATAATATCCAAAGTCACGCTGAACCCGACCGCTCTTCACGAAACGCACTAGATGTTTCCAGTAAACCATAACCCCTTACTGTGACAACGATAATAATCGGAAAGCTAAATGAGGGAGGGGAGACCCACCGTGTCATACATTATTCTTAGACGACCGGGATGATACGAAGCCAAGCCCAAGGCGCGCCCGCTTGATATTGCTTGAATCAGCCAGGTTGCCACGATCTGGACGGTTGTTTGACTAGCGGGTGTCACCGGCTAATTCTTGCGCCGAAAATCCGAGAACCGGGGCCTCGCGAAACAACTGTGATTACGGAGAGTAGAAAGAGCTCGGTTAGCCTGATTAAATGCAGCGCGGACAAAAAAAGTTAGCCGGAATACTACTGAATTCTCTTCGTTGGTAATTACCCCAGAGTTAATGGCGAGCCAAGAACCCCCAATATGACACTAAAGTAAACGCTAGAACCCTGACCGCTTCTTCGTTCTTTAGCCCGTGTTGGAAAGAGTTGAGAAATCGAACATTCCCCTCAAACTCGCTAAACTGTCTGCAGGCAATAGTATGTCTGCTGCCTGTGTCCAATAGGTGGAGAAATAGAATTAGCATCGGATGCGTGTGCTTATTATTACGGCTCGACACGTTCGGGCCGCTCACTATTGCGCGATTACAAATAGCCCGATAGCTGTTGAGCTATATTTTAATTGATTTGGCGAACCCAATCGAGTACGAAACTATTTCGGTTCAAGCACGAGATAAGGATTCGGTCATGCATAGCCCGTTACAAGGCGGATCCATATTTTGAAGATCATGGACCCATGGGCCAACTAACATAATTGAGAATGTGCCTTGCGAAGGATGCACGGAAGATGCGCGATATCAACGATGTTCGCCAAGGATAAGACTAGCAGGGGGGTCGACGTATCTAGCGGCCAAAGATCCGTCGTTAGCCGGGTCCAGAAAGTTTCAAGGTCGCATTGCTTCCCACATCCTGGTCTGCTCCCCTTATCCTACGCAGAATGTCGAACAGTCGCTTGAGACAAGAGCACATGTCAGCCCCATCACTCCGAGCCGTTTTTACTCTGGTTTAATATGAACGACCCACTGTGATGATATGATGTTCACCCCACTTAGCAAGTGATGAGCCCTACAGGAGGGGAATGGCACAATCCACCAAGACGTGATTATTAGGTTGAAAGAGAAAAGAAATGCCATAACAATTGGGTAAAGAAGACTAGTTGAAATAGGAAAAAGCAAAAGAACGCACCGAGGCTCCAAGTGGAAACTACGGTTTTTCGCGGAGAATATCAAGTGTAACTCAATCGAGATAGGGGCCGAAGGTTCCTGGCCGTGATAACGAACCAAGGCTCTCTCAACCCAGTTAGATTTAGCGAGTCAATCTAAAAGGCCAGATGGTCTCACAACCCCCTCTAAACGCGGAAGGTGGACGGTTCACGTCGGGGGCTTCCCAGGAACATGACACCAATGCGTGACTATCACCCCTCTTATTATGGGAGCCTACTAGCCGGCCCGGCCACTGCGTTTCTAGAAGCATTAGGCAACACGGAGATTGGTGGATGGCCTGCGTGCGGCCTGCTCGAGAACCTTCTTTACCCCAGGTCTGCGATGATCGCATCATGTACCTGCGCTGCTGGCGGAGTCGATATCGTCAGTAATCTGCGGCTTGTCGTAATTGGCTAACCTGCTGGAAGCGATCCGACGTTATAAGGCTTTGATCTCCTCCCCCAAAGGATCTTAGGCTAGGGAAGGGCCCGTTGATCACCAGGCTCCTCCGCCAACCGGTGCTTATCCCGATCTGTTTGGTGAGATTAAATGCTACACCACCAGCTACTACGTACTTCCTTCTACGTACTTCAATGCTATGACGAGGACTGGAACCTCTTCCTCCAAGGCGTGGGAGTCCAACAGCATCGCTATTCCTGAGGATGGCAACAGAGTGGACTCGACCGCCGCCCAAGACTCAGGAAGGCCAAGAGGGCGCATTCGACGCTCCATGACGGCCTGCAACACCTGTCGCAAGCTCAAGACTCGATGCGACCTAGACCCGCGCGGCCATGCGTGCCGTCGCTGTCTTTCACTGAGGTGTGTATTGTTCCAGTTGCCACTGCCATCTCCGTCGCTTTATTCAATTCACACAAAGGCTACACACACCATTCGTATCAAGAAGCTAATTTTGATTTCGCGGCAGACTTGAGTGCGAACTTCCGGAGACCTCGGATCGTTTTCAAGACAATGCATCAACCTGGTCAGACGCCAACGCTGCAATCCCGTCAATTGAGGAGCGTCTCGCTTCCCTCGAGCGTACAATGGGGGAAATGATGCACATGATGAGACAGATGGCGAATCGGTCGCCCAGGGCGTCTGGCAGCCCAGTTTCCCAGGTGGCAGGAAGCAATCACATAGATGAATCCAGCTCGTGCGATGGCGGGCCGACGTCTACTTTTACTCTCAAACCGGCTCAGTTGATTCGAGATCTGCAGGCCGAGTGCTTCGGGGAAAGAGACCAGTTCACTACCGACGCTGATCTTCTAGGCGATGTTGTCACCCAAGGCATTGTAGATTCAAAGTTGTCTGCGAAATTGATTGAATTGTGAGTATTCCCATCTGCATATATGTCAAATTTGTTTGATGTTCATTTTATCCCAAGGTTTGTGGAGTATTTCGGTCCATGGGTTTCAATAAATCTTGCATCCAGCATTCAACAGTCAAATACTCTTCTCTTCAACACTGCATGTCTCCTGGGTGCCCGCTACTTGCCTGGAATGCCTCCACATACCATACGCGATATATCGGTGCAAGTGCAGCATGTCGTGGCCAAGGCTCTATGGAAGTCTCCTCCTTTGACTATTGATACTATTCAGGCTCTAATGTTGCTCTGTCTTTACTCTAATTCGGTTCAAAAAGAGCCACCCATGGATGGCTGGTTGCTGAGCGGGATCTCAATCAACCATGCCCTTATTTCTTTCGGTCTTTTTAATGCTTCAGTGGAGACAGTCATCGGTGATGATATGTTTACCCAGTTGCGGCTATGGAATATTCTCTGCTTGACTCATTTATAGTATGTCTTTTCATTTGAAAACGGATCAACCTTTATTAACTGTACTTCTAGTTCCGCTATTGGTAACGGGCGTTCCATCAGCATTCACCCACAATATCTTGACCAATGCCCACGCATCCTGGAGCATCCCAGAGCTACATCTGAGGACAGAAAAGTGGTGGCTGAAATCCAGCTCTACAGAATCACCCTCAGGCTCCAGCGCAACCAACAGCGCTTGCTGCTGGCAGATTCCGAATATGAGGAGATCGAGCGCTGGAAAATGGAATGGGCTCATGTTTTCAGTACGTCCCGATTTCCTCACATTAAAATTAGCCTCGTACTGACAAGAAGACTTATTCTAGCAAATGAAGAACAATCAACCCTGGAACTCAGTCTCTGGTTCTGCCAGATGCTCCTTCACCGAACTGCTGCACGCCTCCAACCGGAGATAGATCGACTCGTGCCCGAGATCTGCGGCAATGCGCGGCTGATTATATCAAAATTTATGCAAGTCCGCTTTCCTCTGGCCCTGGGTCTGATCGACCATGTCTATTCCATTGTTGCCTACGCCACCATCACATTGTGCGACTATAACATCTCCGATCCACTCATTGACCAAGTACGCGCGCTCCTGCTTCATCTCGCTCCGAGTGGCGACCACATCTCCTATCGCATTGCGTGCATCATCGCCCAAGTTCAGCGCCGCTACTCCGACGCAGCGGCAGACTCTACCTCCGTTGCCTCAGGAGATGCTCTGAAGGAAGCAATCTTCGCGACTCCGCATCCTCCGCGCGGCGCCAATATGGATTTAACGCAATTGATGCCAACCGCAGGGGTAATGAATACCCTAGTCGACGAGTATGGGTGTATGAACCATTTGATTCCGGGCTATGCAGCACCGCATCCACCATTCTCTGGGCCCACTATTTTTCAACAACATCTTGCGCCTGTCACGGGTGGTGCGATGCCTGTCAGCTTGGTGCCACGTGCCTTGCACGATTGGTAAAACTGAGGTTTTGATACATTATGTGAACTAATGTGTTGAGGTTATGATAGCAGTACGGGTCACTGCTTTGGTTGAAGTCAGGTAGCCTATGGGCGAGTGTTGTGGCGAATTAATGAACATGTGCTCCATCTTTCAGTTTCAATTGGTGTTTGGGTCAGGTTTAGTTTTCCCCTTCAAGAACACAGAGTTAAAAGACATAATGAAAAGCAACAACAGGTTTGATGATATTATTGTGTTGTTTTGGTAGAAATGACAGAGAAGATATTAAATTTGGTGGAGTCGACAGGCATGGTCCTATACACGTTAGCGATAAGATTTGGAAATTTTGTGTTCAAAAGTCACCAAGATGCAGGATCTCGGCATAGAGGCTTAGATTTTTAATAGACGCGTTCAAATAAACACGGAAATCCTAAGAACAAAGCCCATTGCCACTTTTGCTTTGCTAGGCATATTCCTCGGTGAACCAGATGACAGAAAAGAAAATTGCCAAGTGATAAGAACCAAGCATCTGGTATGATCAGGCTATACAAGGGTCATAAAGCGTTAACGTACCCAAACAAAAACATTCGATTATTAGAAGATATCCATGGAATTGAGAGTGTTACCCTATGTGCTGCCTCTATGCAAATGACCAACCCCCCGTTTTGTCGGCGAAGAAGTTGTCTGGGTCATATTTCCGTTTGATCTCCTGCAACTTTGTGAAAGTGGAGAACGTTTGGAGAGGGTTCTGATCATGGTTTGCATCATTGATAAACAGAGGGAGACCTTCAGCATTGCCGGTCGCTGCAACCATGTCGCGGTAGCTGGTCTGGACAGCTTCATAATCGGCGTCGCTCATGAGAGGCGGTGTTGAGATTAAATAATTCAACCAAAACCACGGACCATCAGGCATCTGCATTGCATTTCCACCTTGGGCCTTGCTTGCGTCTGTCAAGCTTTTGGGAACTGGCTGGAAGTCTAGTGACAGAAGAATATATTTGCCCTTGTTGTCTTCGGCCCAGTTACGCCATTCATTCAGGGCATTTCGGTAAGAGTCTCCTTCCGGACGGTGAACTCCAACACGGAAAATATTGTCCCCAGCTGAAAGTTCAGTGGAGAATGGAATTGGCATGTTGACTACCTCGGGATAAGTCTTGATGCCCATCGTGTCAAGGAGGTGAGGAATATTGGTGAAGTTCGAAAACGCATTTCCCGCATCAGGCCCATCATAGACAAGGAACATAATGATGGCCTCGTCCAGGTTTAGCTCCAAGTCCGGGGTAGGAAGCTTCTCATAAGTGCCAATAATGGCCGCTTTGGGATCGGTGTTGTATTGAATGAAATTGCCAATTGCATCAATGACAGCATCTGTTTGATCAAAGGCGTAGACGATATTTCCGGCGTAGAATTGGCCAGCAGGGCGACTTTGAACTGTGTACTTCGTGACAACGCCATATGCATTCCCGCCTCCTCCTCGAGATGCAAAAAATAAATCAGGGTTCGATTCGTTGGACGCTGTAACGATTTGGCCATCGGGTAGAACAATTTCGAGCTCCCGAAAGGAATCACAGGCCATGCCATACTGGGGAGAAAGGTAGCTCATACCTCCACCCAGAGCCAGGCCAGTCCCCACTCCGGCGAGTCGGGCTCCAACCACCGTGCGGTTATATTGCACAAAGTAGTCGTAAATGTCGCCAAATACACCACCTGGTTCGTATGTAGCCAGGGTTGTCTCTGGGTCGTAGGACTTTGCCGTCATGTTGCTCAAGTCAAGAAGTACACCTTCGTTGACGGCTGAATAGAACATGTTTGGGTTGTGGCCACCGGCTTTGATTGCAAAGCGGCTGTCAGCTGCTCGGATCGCCTGAAGAGCCACAGAGACGTCCTGAGCAGATTCCGGGTAGACGACACAAGATGGCTTGTACGCATCTTGCTTCGTATTCCAATATTCAGTGCTCTCAATATATTGCAAACTGAGTTCGCTACTAATGACTTTCGATGAGCCCAGTTGCGAAGTTATATTAGAACAAGCTGATGGACCTGCCGCAGCTGCATGTGAGCCAACAGGGGCAAAAATGCCAGTCAAAAAAGGTATGGCAAATGATAGCATGATTAATATGCACTATGCAGTGGCAAAACGTAGGAGACAAGGAATTGAGTTAGAGGCTTCGAAAGGAATGGCTGGTCCGGCAAATAAATAATCAGTCCTCCTATACGTTCATATGAGGAAAATATGAAGGGATAACGGCCTCGGCATGTCTATACGATTGAATACGACAAATAAGCTGCCACTTTCAGTAGGGATGGACCTAAACAAGTAACCGAGTGACGATCTTCGTCTTTTTAGGACTAAATCAGGGGGCGGCCCGAGGCTGCTCCGAGAGCATTTTCTTGTGGCATGACCCAGCCAACGTATGTAACGGGCCATTTAGTTAGTGAAATTATTCCCATTTGTAGGAATAATCGATGTCTATTCGTTGTTAGTTGTGAACAGTTAGCAAAAAGTGGCAGGAAGATCACTAGGACGAAATTGGAAACATATTGTGTGCGGGGGAAACGGCACTTTACGTGGAAGTCTTGAACCCAAGCTTTCTTGAAAGATGAGCTGTTTTGCATCATATCTGTCAGTCATGGGAAAAGGTGAGGAAACAACAATAATAGAGTCCTTTTGATAGGCATGATGCTTCCAACATTGTACTTGTGAAAGGTGCTGAGGATGCTATCTGTCTCGGAGTTTTGGGGAGCTCATGCTCCTCTCTAGAGGGCCCAATGCGAATTCCAGGAGCACAAGACATGTCGGAATAGTAGACACGAGTTTTGAAAGTGGCAGACGCCGGGAAGTAAGTTATTGGGTCTAGGCTTCTTGCGATAGTGGTAACATAAGTCAGATTAAGAGATGCATGGGTAAATATATATCTCTGTCTCACTATGTCCTCTGCCTGCCAGCGATTGCTAACTTTAGCCTGCCTCTGTAAAGAAGTAAGATAGAGGTCCAATGGGACCAACCAAGAGTAAGGAACAAATGTATTGCCCAAGTGGACAATAAAGTGGTGATAGTTTTTCTTAAAGTATAGTGTTGAGTCAAACAACTGAGTTCCAGAACCCCGAAAAGTGAAGCCATATATTATCAGACCTATAACATTAAGACTTTCTAACTAAAACTGTACAAAAATGAGGTCAAGACCAGCGCATCAGGAATTTCCCACAATGGAAACACCATAGAAATGACACATCTTCTAGAAAAGCTTTTTTCGCATCTAGTGCAAGCTGCTGTCATCCAGGGTGATTGTTGGGGAGCGTCCGAGGCGCCAGTAAAATGAGGCAAATCTGCAGCATGTCATGCCAGAGCAGGGTTTGTGACATCATGGTGAGGCAACATATGCGAGATGTACCTTGTGCTGTGGTACATGACACAAATCTGCGGTCTGAATTCCAACGCCTAGCGTATATGCACACTCTACCTGCAGACTTCAATAATAATGGGATTGAAAATCTAACGTGCAAGACTAATCATGTCACCTTATTATGTACTTCATTCTTATATATGCATCGCATGATGAACCAAACATAATTACTTTACCCATGATACACACTCTAGTTATGAGTCGTGTTGTTGAGACAAGTAACATTAGGTTTCCACCGAAGTCTTGTACTTCCCTCCACATGATGTAGATTTCATCATGAATATTCTCTCTGCTTCCATTGCTGTCCAACATCGTGAACCTCGGCTGGTACAATGCTGCCTACCAAGTGAGCATCTGCCAATCGTGCCAATGCGCCATGGCTGATGATCATCATCAGATTAGAGTTAATTTGAACGCCATCACTGCGGTAGCGGTTTCTATGCTCAACTAGTCCTGTGACACCAAAGATATCCTAAGTATGCTCGCTTGGCATAGAAGCTTGTAGTCCACACCCGCTCAAAGGCAGCGATCCCCAATCTCACGACCCACACGGACACTCTATAATGCGGCATCCAGTGCCGCGGGTTCACCGTTGACCCAACACCGAGCCTGTGATAATACGTATGGGCCTTAACAATCTGTTTTATTGAAAATACTAGTTCAACGGCTAGAAGCATCCCTTTTCTGTTGTCCGCTCCGTCTCCCCTCGGTCAACACGCCCCTGCGCTAGGGCAATGCCCCAAGTCCACACAACCTCTTTTGGATCCTCTTAGGGATTTCTAGATGTTTCATAGGAATCAGAGGGTGAGGCGTTGTTGACAAGGAATGTTAGAGTATGTAATTAATCCTTGCGTGGTGCAGACGCTCCGGATTGCACATAATGCTGAAAGTGAAGCAGGACCTCTTCGACCGAGTCATGTATAGTAGTTATGTCACATCGGATGGCTCCCGGGATCGCCCAGCCCTCTGTTCCAGAAATAAGGAACCCGAGGATCCCTGTCTGTTACTGCTTACAGTTAGGACTTGGAGTAGACTAAGCGGCGCTATTGATTCCGTGGCGTGTAGAACGGTGGGTCTGCGGTCGATCATCCAGAAACAGGAAGATTCAATAGTGCGGCACGAGGTGTACTATTTGACAACCAATACGCAGATCTCGAATGGTCTGTGTCCAAGCCCAAAACATTGTTCCTTGGTAGTAGCATCCTGTAGGTAAACTCTCTTGTGGCGATCCCAGGCCCGCTTCGATCAAATTGTGTATGTGATACCGGGAGCCGAGTGTTTTCCTTATTCCGTGTAATCCGCGTTATATGTATAGTTCGATCAAACCACAATAATAATAACCTGCCTCTTGAAGACAGCATGCATGTATACGTCTCCACCTTCACGAACATCCTCACGAACCCGATCTGCAACGGATCGTCATCGCGTGCACTGACATGAGACAGATCATATTTCGCAATTGACAGCTCCGACCGAAAACCAGGAAACCCGGTCGCCTCCTCGCAGAAGCGCCGCGGTTGTGACACCCCATCGTGCGCAATGACATCCGCTACCATGTAAAGGTAATTCACCGCCATGTGATGAATCGGAAACTGTATGTAGCCACGCGGAGAGTCGGCATTTCCGCAGCATCTGATTTGGCCGGCTGTTTGTTCAGTAGATCTGGGGGTGTTCGTGCAACAGATGCATAGCCGCTTGCGTTCTTCTTATGATCGGTTTCATATCAGGTGTGAATGTACGTGTGCGCTGTCCATATTTTACGTTTTCGGAATTTTCAGTCTTAATTTGAGATCTGCTCCGAGTCGGAACTATTATTACAGGGGAGTCGTATTCAATAATAGCTTGCCTTCATACTCAAGACATGGACATGAGACTATAATTCGGTCTGTCTTGGGAGCTCCATAGTAATCTTCAATCTAGTCCTTCCTAGTCGCATTTTACTATTCTCCAATATGTCTCAGATCAGCCTAGGTAATAATCCAAGAATAGCCCTGCGTTATGAACTTGCTCCAACATTGCCAAGTCCCTTAAAGAAACCAGCTGTCAAATACACCGATGTTACCCCGTTAGGAAACAGATCCTTTGACCGAGTTTGGAATAATGGAATTATTGCGATCAGTTCCGACGGATTGACCGTGGCTCTGGGAACCACCACGATGGGGGTGGTGGATTATGATTCCCATTATGACGGCGAATACGAATCCAAGTCATGGCATAAACCTTATCACTAACAGATCCATACATTCCAATGTTGGGCGGGTCTGACAGGCCTCGGTCAATACAGGGCTTTGGTGCCTGCGGTACCAATCCGGGTAGTTACCGTAAGTGCCTCTCTTCTCTCTTGTGTCCATTTATTTCGTGATTGAAGGAAACCTAGGGCATCGGCAATTGACAGTAATGACCCTAGCTCTTCACAAACCCTAATACTAAGCGCCCGCCGAAAGGGGTAGAGAAACCGAAAGGCAAGCTGTGGTCCTGAGGTCATGTCGTTTCCCAAGCGGGGAGGATCCGAACACGGGCAAATCTCGATCTCATTTCAAGATTCTGGGCAATCAGCGGCCAGTGATGCCCCGTGCTCCTTACCACCAAATACAAAAGTGGGCGCTAAGTGGGTCCGATTGAGTGACTGGCAGGTGTGGACACCGAAAAAGAGCGAAAGATTAATCTGGATTGGGGAAAGCCAGAAACTACTGATCCACGGTCGAAAATTCGGGGCGGCTGAAACTTGAGACACGACGCGGAACGACCGGCACAATGCTATAGGTTCTCTTTTCCGATGATTATCATTTCCTAGTGTACAGTACAGAGAAAGCGGCAGAGCAAATTTGCAGGTTTCAAGCCAAGTGGATATGTAAAGACCTGCTGGGGAAGGAATGAGCGAAGAGCCCTATGGCTGATACTCCGAGCTCGCTCGCAAGTGCAGATCGCCCAGCCCAACCAGATCGGCAAAGTCAAGTGTTGCCGTAATCCGTAGGTGAGGGGCCGATCCACGTTCAGGCGTGATGCGAGCAGTAATACGGATCGTCCATAGCCGAGTTGCTTATGTATTTGCCGTGTCCAGAAATGGTCATCGCGGAGAGTATGAAAAATGAATGAAAGTCGCAGCCAAAGAAAACTATATGTCATGCAGATCAAAACGAACTCAATAACGCCTCATAATGCAATTCCGCCAGTCTTTGCCCAGCGAACACAGGGAGCCTCGATGCGAGGCGATACAATGCGATGCGATGAACACCAGGTGCAACGAAACAGGTCGAAGACAAGAAAACCAAGATACCACCCTTCCAAAAAGCCCATAAATTGAGATCCCCGTGTACCCCGGATTTTTCCGTGTAATTCCCAGCAAAAAGAGATGCAACACGCTCTCGTATAATAATAAAAAGAAGTAAGGGTATCAAAAATGGTCTGATCAATGTCTTTCTCTCTGCCCGCCGGCGAGAAGACAAAAAAGAAAAAGATCTCTGGAAACCCAAGCACATGAAAAACAAAAACGAATGCCAGTCTATTCAAGCGTGCCATGTACTTCGACCCCATGACTCGTAAAATGGGAGGGGACCAACCCCTTCCCGGTCGTAATCGGAATGAACGCTTGCCGATGCCGTGTAACATTTGAATCCAGACGGAACAAAAGAAAGATAGGCCGTGATCGAGAAAGCTTAACCCGATGGTTGAGCTTCCTATATGCGTATGACGTCTACTGCGGCGAAGTCGGCTCGATGTCGCTGAAAGGGGACTGCCGTTGGGACTCGGTGTCGGTGGTGCCACTTCGCATTTGATTGCGAAGGGCAGGAAGCTGTCGTCGCCTGGCGTTGATAAACCAATTACTGATCTGGAGTCTCTTTATTAGCAACGCTACGTTCGAGTGATAGTCAACAAAGCATACCTGGCTGATCGACAAGCCCGTCCGAGTCATGAACATCTGCTTATCTTCTTCGCTAGGGTATGGATGATCCAGATGCTCGTGGAACCAGGCTCGAAGTATATCTGTGACTGGCTTGGGAAGATTGCCTCTTCGGCGCTTGGTCTTGGGGTCTATCGGATCACCCATAATACCAAAGTTTGCCTGCTGAGGATGGCCCATCATCTGCGAAGGCATCGGCTCTCCCTCGCCATGGTATGGCATGGCGTGGCCGTATGGTGACGGAGGATGCATCATCGGCGGCCCTCTGCCTGATAGGTATGGGTCCGCACGAGGATCGACCGGTGGCTGTCCACCTCGATAGTCCTGCGCCCCGAAGGGGTCGGATCGTGGAGGCACCCTGCTATCTGGGTAACCTTTACTCGGCGCGTTCACGCCTGGCTGAAGATCCCGAATCGGGGGTAGAATAGGACTTGGTCCACGTGCTGCCGCAAAGCGCGGTGCTGTCGGCGACGGATTCTCGCCACGTCGCATCTGTAGATGTCCTTGGTCCGGCATGCGTCGGGAAGGGTGTTGTTCGCCAGACCGGGAAACGGCATATTCGCGGTGCGGATCTCCATATCCCATTTTTGATGGCTGTGCATTTGTGGCATATGGAATAGATCGAGGATCGGCCATCTCATGGCCAGAGACTGGGCGTTCTTGCGATTGGTGACGTGGGGATGTATAGTATGAAGTAGAGTCGATTTCTTCGTGAAGGTGAGGAGGAAGAAGCTATAGTTGGATTGGAGTATTAGCTAGCTTGTCAACATGAGACACAAAAAAAAGAATACTCACTTCTCGAAATGAGGGAAGAGTCTGAGGGGAATGACTGGCTGGTGGCAGCCGATTTGCGTACGAAATGGCCATATCGGTATCGTCGTCCTTCTCACGGGACTGTGACATAGACGAGGTATTTGGCGGAGAAGAATACCAAGCTAGCAAGATGCGACACAAAGAAATATTAAGGACTATAGATTCACAAGAGCTGTCAGAAACGAGAGATCATGAAAAGCGCCGTCAGACGGTCGCGATAGTAAGCATGCTCACCAGACCTCCAAGCCACACACCAAGGCTGGGGGAGGGGAGGCAAGGAACGAGCAGCAGAATGGAGACAAAGTTGAGCGACTGACCTGGAAACTGGGCCGAATTTACGTTGGCATTGCCCCGATTACCAGCGCGGTATTATGCAAGGTTGGGGAATGGAAGTAAAGTAGGGCAAGATGGAAATGCACGGCCTTTTGTTTCCCAATAATGCAGGGCCCTTGTACATTTTAAAATAAAATCGTAAAAGATATTCCGACCCAGCTGTTATATGTCCATGGAAAAGCAAGAACAGGGGGGGGGGACCCAGAAAAATGACGATCGTGGACTGCTGGTGGGTACTGGGAACCACAAACTACGGCGCACCAGGCCGGCCACCATCCAGCATGCCGGGGCGGAGAAGAGGGGTGCAAATCAAGAACTCTCTGGCGCCGCTTAAGGTTGACCTTGACAGATAGCGCCAAGGATCCATGATGGTTCCTGTCAGCGCGAAGTCGGGCTAAGTGGGATGGGATGGCTTTAGTGCCAGGATCTATCAGGTGGCGCTGAAGCCCTCAGGAACTCCTCCTCCTTTCCCAGTTCTTCCCCCATGTTGTCCCAGACCAAAAAAAAAAAGAAAAAATTATTATTATGTATCTCGATCGTGTTCTCTGGCTCGGAGATGCGAACTCATGGATCCCCTGATCTGCTAAAATGTGACGGCACCCTCGGATTGGGAGATCCCACCCTCCCTGTCCGCTAAGTGCGAACCTAATAATTGCACCGATCCAACATGACATGTACGGTAAAAGCCCCGGAGTTTGGTTAGGCTATTGTGAGCGTGCATTATTAATTACGGCCCGCCGAACTGGAGCCCGGACGGCGTCCTGAGAGGAAGGAACCTGTACCCAAGATGAGTCGTACCTGAGTCAAGCGAAGTTAATTAAATCAAATCAGGACCCAAAGAATGAGATCCCCCTCTTTGCTTTTTGCTGTGGGGGGTGCAAATGGCAGGCCGATGAGCGGACGGGGGGAGCTGATCAGGTTCGAAGGATTTCACGCAGCGAACAGGGATGCCCACTCGCCAATGATGTATTGAGATTCAGTGGTATGGTAAAAGTCAAATCACAGTTCCCTCCCAAAAGGCTGGTGGATCTCCATCGAGGGCAGAGTCTCCGAGCCCAAGGAAAGATCGCCGGCGAAGTCAGCCGACGGAGGGTCCACCACGCAGCTGGTGACAGAAGAAAGGGCATCGATCGCAAGCTTGGGTGTGTTCATTTTTGCCCGGGCGATTGGAAAACGGCTCAAAAAGGACGGGACCTGCGCGCGATCCCGACCCATGGAAGCCTCTCATCGGGGGGGAATGCGATCGATCGACCAAACTACGACTATGAAAGGGAGGCTTAGAGGGGCTGGAGGTGGTATCCATGGTGGGAGTGGCCTTCTTGGCGATGGCTTTCGACCCAAGACCGGACAGGGATAGGCAGATCGCTCTAGTAGGGGTTCTTCAATTCGGCGTCTCCACTTCCTTCGAGATGAACCACCCGGCTTGTGGCGCGGATCCACGCGCCTTTTCTTTGCTCCGTGTCAGATCGTACGTCAGATCGCGCACAGTAGTCTGACGCGTGTGATGACTTCTTGGTATGTAGTTGGGGCTGGCTGTTCGTGCATATGATATCTCGTCCGCTAGGGGACGATTAGGAAAGAGGGGGGCCGGGGGGGGAGGAGGGGGGCATGGTTGGGCAAGAACTGACGTGTTGGTGCCCGGGATTAGTGAGTCAACTCATCTTGTCCGTTAGCTTGACCCCTCGATGTGACATGCGGATGACATTGCTAGATGCCCTGGTCCTGTTGGCCGGGCCCATTATTGATTTTCGGGCTCTAATCCTTCGATCCTTTGCCACGCGAGTGTGATTTTCGCCGCCCCAGAGTTGCTGCTGGACCGCTTATTTTTTGAGATCGACTGACTCTATTGTAAATCCGAGTTTAGCCCCCATTCCGGACCAGAAAAATAGGTGGAGCCCATTTCAGGCTGACATGGTCAGAGGCTCCGGCTCGCGCTAGTATTCCCGGACAATGAATGACTGAATCTGAGATGCGCTGTGGGTCAGATGCAATAATCGCTCTGTGATCCACGACTCGACACTCCAGACATGTCCAATCAAGGTACGGCTCCGATCGAGGCCGAATTGTCCATTATTGGCCGGTCTCCGTTCCAGAAAAATACTTCGGTCTTTCCTTGCGCGCCTAGGTAACTTCAATACGTGCCAGAGCACGGTCAAAAAATTGCAGGCAGCGATCAGACAAAACCGAGCTGTTCTAGCTCAAGTTGGCACTCGCCTTCGGACCTACCGAGTCACTTGTCGATCTGACAGTCTGCATCTCCCATCTCCAGTGATGATCTTCATTCCCCGATCTTGTCATGGAGAAAAAAGGCCACTCCGTCCCGTCGCCGTGGCCTGGGCCGCCACGCGCGACGCGAGAGTCTAGTTCACTTAGCTCGGTCCACTTGGCCCTCGGCTGACGGACGCGAGTGCGGACTAGTATGGATGGCTGTATGAATTTCGGAACCAGCCTCATGGAAGCTTGGGATCGGCCGCTGACCGCATCGTGATTCGCCATGGTCCGCGATTTAGCTCCAAATGGGTTTCGGCTGGCAGCTGTGGCAGGCCCCGACATGTTGGGCAGTGGAATGCGCGCCATCTCCGCCCTCCCTCCCTCCTTGCTGCGGTTTTTTTTTTCCCTTTCTTTTCTTCTTTTTTCTCGTCGTCTGCCGGTCTCCCCGAGCATCTTGTTCTTATATGAAAGGTGCAAAGTGTAACTATTGCGTGACGGCGTATGTTTCCCCCTGGTTACCACTACGCAGGCACGCGGTCAGGTCGGATTGGATTTCCAGGCGGGTCAACATTGCTCTTCGCGGGTTAGTCCCATTCGCAAGATCCGAGATCTTGCATGAAATGGAGCAGGGATGCAGATCATCTTGGATCTCGCAGCAATCCCTTTGTTTGTGCCCCCTTAGTTCAAGATTTACGGTATCTTCTGCCGCCGAGGAATGGAAATCCCAGCCCCCCATAGGCGCGGGAAAACGCCGCGGCGTAAATGCGCGTCCATGCAAAGAATTTGTCATTATGCCGCGCCCGGATTTCCTGGTAGTTGGGACGGGAACGCCCATTTTTGTGGCAGATGGACTTTGGTCCTTTAAAACCTTAAATCCCCGGTCAGAGCGACAAATCATCCCGCCGCTGAGGTAATTTAGACACGATAGTTCGCCAAGATTGAATAGTGCCCGGGATTTGTCATTTTAGGTCGACTAGTTCTCCAATTGGCTAGTTAGAATCGGTCCTGGGATCTCTTTGCCTGGCGATCTTAGATCTAGGGGTTCTTTGCTATGGAGATCCTCATATATTGTTCTAGCGTGACGAGGTGTTTCGCTGTGAAGATCCCATTTATTGCACCGAAAACTGCCCGTTCCTTTCATATACCACAGCATTGAGATATAGTGTGCCCATTAATGGCGGAACATCCCGATCTACTGCTTGATGTACTTTCCCAATCCGGGTAGCAATGCATCTAGATCGCCATTCTTATTCTACCAGATCAAGACCATTCCAAATAATCAACTGGATGTATTCACGACTTGAGGATTGCAAGTCGAAAACATAACTTTGCCAAAGGCTCTTGGTAACACAGTCCTTTTGAGCGCCTATTCGACCAGATGCATCTTAGCTTAGAGAAGAATGATACCGGTCAGAATGAACACGTTAAGATGACCAATTCCTAGGGAAAAAAGTAGGTTCAATCAATTTCCATTCATATATTCAGAACTCTAGATCTAGGAACCTTGGAAGATATATTTAGAAAAGCCCCCATAAACGAGACAAAACGGATGAAAGGCCACAATGCATATGCTTATTTTGCACTCACCAGACAAATCCACAAGATGGAGTCAGAATGCGAATGCGAATGCGAAACCATTGATTCAAAACAAAACCAAAAAGAAAACAAGACAGATGGCCACCCGCTTATTGTACATCGACCAGGCGAAGAAAGAAACATCCATCGTTGCGAATGCAACACAACATAGTCACGGGAGATCGACCGGAAATGCATGTCGGATACGGTGTCGAGGGGGTAGGAATATATACAGTGGGATGAGAGGTATTCTGGGAGCATGCTTGTTATATGACGATGAATTGAGACTTGCATCTCCGTGCAAGGCCGTACATAGTCCAGCGATGTGATCGAGGTGCCAGACAGCAACCATTCATTCATTACCAGGTTTCCTGTAAAAAGTCAATCAAGATAATCCAGCAAGCAGCTGTATAAACCACTTACAGCAATATACTGCCCGGCCTCTTTCTTGCGCTGCCAGAACAGTTCCGCCTCCTTAGCGTTGAGATTACCCTTCGCCATAGCAACATCAACGAGCGATGCCTCCACGCCCTCACCCATTCCCTTGCCACTACCGCAAACAAACACACGGCCATCCAGGGCGTTGATTACAAACCAAACCAGATCAGCTTGGTGGCGGACCTCTTCCTGGACGTAGCGGCTTTCGCCACGACGGCTCTGGACGACGGTGCGCACTTTATCCTCGTGGACACCCCACTCGCCGCTATACAGCTCGTCGAGAAGCGAGTCGCGCACGCCCTGGAGCACCCAGACCTTGTTGGCGCAGTTGGCGGACTGTAGACGGCGCTGCACGAATCCTCGGAAGGGAGCGATGCCCACGCCGGCCCCGATTAGGAGCATCGGTCCGTCGGAGGCGAATCGCGTGGCTAGCGGATTGGCCATCAGGCCACGGAACATGGGCACATGTAGGTCAACTTTCTGGCCGGACTGCTCGGCCGCAATAACTTGTTTGGCGAGCCCTTCGAGGAATCCGGATCCCACGCCGGTGCGCGTGCCGCCCCTCCAGTCGTTCGACTCGGCGACTGTCACGGCAATTTCGATTAAGCGGCTGCACTCTGTGCCCTTGAACCGGCACGAGATGAGCGGGTCCTGGGATAGAGAATAGAATCGCGGCATCAGGGTGTTGAGGACAGAGAGAAGGTGGTCGAGTGGTGGGTGCGCAGAAGGGAAGGCGTGCAGCAGCTGGGAGAGGCTGATGTAAGAGCTTGTTCGGAGATCACAGAAGGCTCCCTGGCCCTGTGCTGATGAGAGATACTCGAGGATCTTCTTCTCGTTCGGCTCCGTCGTGTACTCGGCCAGGAGCCGGAACAGAGGCTTGGTCGGTGGATAACTCTGGATATCTGAGCACCAGCTCAGAACCTCGCGCCGAGTGGTAATCAGTTCCCGTGGCTTCTCATCGCCCCAGATAGTCGGCCACCGCCCATTGGTTGTCCGCATAAGGATCCTCTTATCCCGCATGGACTTGGGCACGCACAGCCGGTCAAGGATGTCCTCAACCTCCTCATCCTTGTTCTTCGGACACACACCAATGGCACCGCCAACGACAAAATCTACCATGCCGCTCTCAGCGGGATAGTTGGTGACGTCAATGTCGAAGTGATAAGTGCGCTTCTCCGCGCCGTTCTTGGTCAACTCACGCGCATGGCGAAGAGGCGCCCGATAGACCTCGTAGGGAGGATGCGGCTGCACAAACTGCGGTGGGTGATCTGACGGGCCGAGTGGGACATCGGCAGTGGTGGCCGGGGCCCGGGAGAAGAATACCGTCTTTTCAGGTAGAGGAGCAATATTGGAAAGCTTACTGTCCAGCATGAGGAGATCCAAGTTCAGATTAAGACAGTCAAATGCCTTATTGGAAGGTGTAGAAATCGAATTGAAGCCCGAGATAGGGCCATCCAGTCTGCGCAGCTGTTGACCTCGGCAACAACCCCCACCACAGCACGTAGATTGGATTTTCTGGGTGCCTCCAGAACCCACATTCTCCAGGACCCGCCGCATATCCGCCGAATTTTGGGAGATAAGAATGGTCGACGCTCGACGTGGTCGGCCATTTACAGTTTCTTCGGGCTGGTCGTCGCTGCTGGGCGGCGTGAGAGGGGTTGCGGGGGAGGCCGAACGGGCGGAGTCGGTCTCTTGAGAAGACGCGGGCGATATCGACGTGCCATTGAAATTGCTGTCGGTTACAGAGAGGGATCGGACACCGCGAGGTTCTTCGGGAATTGGGTTATCGGGGTGCGAGGTCGAGGACACGGGGAAGTCCTGGTAGGTGCCTTTGCGGGCATGGGGCCCCTTGGAGGCCATAGTGGCCGACGGCATGACGGGCTCGAGAATGGCGTGCACTGTAGAAGTGATGAGATTCACAGGACGTAGGGTCAAACGGAGAGTCACAGGTGCTGCGACATACCCATGGGGGGTCTTCGGGTGGTGCCGACGGTAGTTGGGGAGAACAGACGGCGGGCAGTCGGAAGGGCGCGAATAGATAAGCGAGCCGTGGTGGCAGTTCGTTAAAGTCGAACCCTTTTGAGGCAGTGGATGCCTGGCATGAATCTAGGCAAACAATCCGGGGCGGCGATGGCGGAAGAATAAGTGTTGAGAAGATGGGTGGAAGCAGGATTCCATCAGATAAAGTGGCGAATTTCCGGGTCATTGCATTCCGTTCCGTTATCTGATGATCATTTCCAAAGGGCGGTCGCACTAATACTTACAGACACATACAACAAAAGAGTTTAGCTTAGGTATGTATTTATAGTGTTATCGAGATCGACGGTGCAGCTAGCAGATTCAGTGCTGACACGCCGTACGACCTTTACTTCATTGCGGTCGCATCGACCGATACATATACCGGAGGATTGCGGATGTTCTGAACCACGATGGTCAATTATTATTCGAGCTCGGGCTGTGTAACTCCATGTTTCAGTCCCCACACCCACATCCCAGCCAGCAGGAAAGACGGTGTGTTCGTGCCGCCAACCGGTCCAGTGATCGGCTAGAGACCCGGACGGCCTGAAATGGGGACTTGTTCCCAGCCGTTGCGCGGCAAGTGGGTTGTGTCCAGACAGTTGGGACTCCATTACCTCCATAGGGAGGAGCTTCGGGGAACATACTTCATACACAGGAGAACTCGCCTATACTATGTAAATACAAATAGCTGCATAGAACACCCACCGCTGGGATGCTGTATATCTGTTACTATTAACGTAGATACGAAGATACCATAAACACCACGACAACAACAGCCAACGTGCCTATACCTTTTCTGAGCATGGTGCACCGTCAAGCCTAACAGATGGTCACCTGGAGAGGCTGGTACGTAAGAGACATTGTCATGCCCTGCAAGTCTAGTTCCCGAGATATATATTGTCGTCGCAGCCGTGACAGCAGTTTTTATAAAGGGAAAAATACGACCCCAAAACCAACAAATCCAAACGCCGCGTGATCTATATACGCCACATAATGTACAACTTATAAACGATATTGAATCGCCACTAGTATCCCACGTCTATAGCGAAGAAGTGGGCCGTCGGAAAGGATGTGCCTCAGTGTTGAAGACGTAGTCATCGAGACTCACGAGATTGGGATCCGAAAAGGTGAGATAGAAGTACTTGAGCGTCTCGGCAGTCCAGAAACTCTCCATTTCATCTTTTTTCCTGGGCTCATCATCACGCACGTCGTAAACGGCGGAGTGGCCGAATTTGGTGCGGGTGATCGCGTCGATGTTCTTGAACATGCGCCATGCGGCGTCCTGGTAGAACTGGTCTCCCGAGATGCGCCACATGTAAAAGACGGATTCGATGGCCTCGGGTCTGGAAAGGAAAGGAGATGGGATTAGCATGTGGCCAAAATAGTACCCCAAGGCGAGAGGGAGACATACCTGAGTTTGTAGTTCGAATCCTGGACGTTGATGACTCCCGGCGGGAGTTTCTCGGTTTTGACTCTGCTTCTTGCATAGTCGGTATCGGAGGAAATTGTATCTAACCACTTCTTCTCGTCCCAAGCACAGCTGTCCATGTTGTCGCAAGGAACCACTTTAAACTCTTCGGCCATAACGCCGTGGGGGAACACATCGTAAGCCCAGATGCAGCCATCGGTCAGTCCACGAGCATAGTACATATCCTCTGGACGGTTGAAAAGCTTTGCGCCGAGGCCGATGGTCGCGCCGATGAAACAACTGAGATGCATTGCAGTGTAAATGTGCGATGAAATGGTCCCCTTGGCGCTATTGACTTTGATATCGGCGGGGAACAAAATGTGCTGGTCCTCATCTTTGGTCATGGCGCGGAAGACGATGTGCTTTTTGATCGGATCCATGGCGGATTCGTACATTCGGCGGTACTGGTCGCTTGCACCTCCAACCATGATATGCTGCTTGGGAAGGTACTCGTAGGTGGAATCCGCACAGGCGCCGATGCCGAAATCATTTCGCTCGAATTTCAGTGAGTTCGCATCAACGAACTTGGGCCACAACCCAGGCAAGTGGGTGGTTTCCTGGGCGCGATCCAGCTCGTTCATAATCCGCTGGGCCGCATCGTAGTACTTCAGATCGCCGGTCAGTTGCGTGAGACGGGTGAATTCCACCGAAAAAGAACCAAGCTCTGACATGACGGTGGAGGTACCCGGGTGAAGTTCTCCGCCTTTGATAGACCTATCGATGGTTAGGTCACGTATTGCAATGACCGCCGGGAAAAAACTCACGTGGCCCAGTTCCAACGCGCCTGCGGCATTCGGTTTTTCGTGTCAAAACAATCGTACAGCATGTCTGAGAGCTCAACGGCCTTTTTGAGGAGGATTGGATGTTTGCCCTCGCTCAGGTCGTACGCCGCCAAAAAACCACCCACATATCGGATGACCGTCTCGAAGACGTTGATATCGCGCTGTCTGGTGATGGTGAAGTCGATATCCTCCAGAGCCATGAGGGCCTCTTTGAATTCCTTATCCAGTCCCATGATAATCAGAGTGTCCAGCGAATCGACCAGCGTGGCTCCCCACCCACTGAAGGGGTCCCGAAACCCACCACTTTCTGGGGAGACTTCATCCCGAGACCATGCATGTGTTTTGTATCCATTCCACGCGTGCAGGAACGCCTCCTTGACTGCATTCTGCTTCTTGACTCGTGCGGATCGTTGGATCCATGATTCCCCCGGGAAATCGTGTTGGATCTTGGGGAGGCGAGCGTATTTGGTCGGCAATGCGAGATAGGAATCGACAGGGTAGTTGTACTCGTGCTTGGCCCAATGTTGTTGGCCTTCCTTGGGAGGCTGGCCGCGAACGGGCTCTGGAGGGTGAATTGGGCCGCGAAGGAACCGGTTGTAGACGAAGTAGCCGAGGAAGATGAGGATGACCGTTACGGTGAGATTCTGTTTACTCCGACGCCGGTAGATCATGGTGACGGCGACGGGCGATTCAGTGAAGGAGTGACCTGAGCAGGGTCGAGAACCAGCAGCATGCCAAACCGAGTAGTAACGCCCAGTGAACGCGAGGGAACAATCATTAATCAAAACAAATCCAAGGCAGTTGTGTCATGAGAACCTGGGGGCTGAGAGCCTTTCGAGGTCGCAATCCAGGGATAGAATAAGGCCCTGTGGATGCCATGTGGAGGATGCTGGGTGGATCGGGTGAAAGCAACTGAGTGGCTGTTTCTCGTGATCGTCAGGGAGGCGGTTTCAATTGGTGCCGATTGGCATGCGAGGGCAGGAAGGGGATGATGCAGGCCATCTGGACCTCGTCCGCTCAGAGACCTGGCAAGACGCAGTCATCACGCAGTAAGGGAGATGTGGCAGTGGTGGTGGTGATGATAATAATAATAATGATGATGGTGATGGAATTTGTAATAATAATAACAGTATTAACGAGGGCCAAGGCAGAGTTACCCACTGTAGGTGGAAGCGACGAGTCAAAGGGACCCCTGGCTTGGGTAGTGAATCTTGGCGTTGCAGGGCAGGCGTGAAGAGACGAGGAACTACAGTCCGTGATGGAGGCTCTGTTTGCCCTGTTTGCACGGGAGGAGGGAACCTGGAACAACACTCGAGCATGATACAACGCCCGCCGTGTCAGATATGATTCACCCGCCACTCGATCCCGGCTGAGAGAATCATGCCTATCACCGGGTAATTATGCCCTGCCCATCCTGTCCCCCCAACACCAGCTGATCCATTCCCCCAGGGTCTACTTCGTCCCCTCTCACCCCAACGCTGCCACAGCCCTGGGCACCATCACCGAGCGTCTACGCTCCGCCTTTGTCGATGAAGACCTCACCCCGATCGGGCGTTGGGCCCTGGAACACAGGCTGATGCGCGACACCCCCGGGTGTCTCCCCGCCTCCGCCAATCCCGCACAGCAGAGCTCCAAGCCACGATACATGCAGTTCCTATCGCTGTCCCACTACTCACATCACGGGTTCATCTACACGTCCGAGCCGCTGGAGAAACCTTTCCATCCACCGAACGCGGCGTCGCCGGTCCCGCTATCATTGGCTGCGAGTCCGGCTTCACCCCCCATAGACTCCCCCGGAGTAGTCAACGCGACCCCCCAGTCCACTGGCAATAATGCAGCCACACCAGTCCCTCCGACCACGGATGCGATGCGCATGACTTCCGTCCCGCCCTCCGCATACAATACCCTCTTCCAACACTTCACCTACGCATGCCAGCCCTTCTGGTGCCACCGCCTGACCGTCGCCGTGCCCAACGGCGCCGTCTACGACATGGGCGACTTCCGCGTGCGGGTTGGGGATGTGCGCCAGACCTTCCCCGCTGCACGGGTGCGCGGGACAGTCGTTGAGATCGAATGGCGGGGTCCGTCGGTGATCGAGTCGTTGCCGTTGTCGGACGACGCGGATTCGGGGATTGATGTGTCGTTTGCTGCGATTGAGGAGTCCGATATCGATGCTGAGCTGGCTGCGACGGCGTCTCTGATCCGTGAGTTTTGGATGCGGTTGCAGATTGACGGGGGGCGTGAGTCGATTCTTGTTCCTGGTGTTGGGAAGGAGATTAAGGATCGATTGGCAAGTTGTAAGCGGCGGAATGCAGTGCCTGCGGAGACTGTCGTTGAGAATGCGATGGTGCAAGAGGAGGATCCCGACCCGTATGCTGGGGCGGATCTGGCGAGACAGTATATGGAGGCACTCCGGTTTAACCGGTAGTAGTTAGAATACAAACAATCATGAGATACCATTATCAAACGTTGTTTATGAACACCACCGCTGATCTCGACCTAAACTAAACGAGATATCTGCAATGCAAAGAGCACGCTCGATCATGAGACATCCAAGCTATAGCTTCCCACCATATCAGACTACAGATAGCAGCACAAGGGCCAAAAGAGAAGCAAGGGAAAAAAAGGATCATCGTTGGGGAACCGCGACGTCAACTAGCATGGCATGGAAAGGAGACACAGAGAGAAATCATTTTTGCATCATGAGCTGGACGAACTCGTTGTCTGCGTGTGATGCGTTAGTATGTATGACGGCACGTGTCCAGGAAATGACTTACAATCAATCCGGCCATCGCCATCCTGGTCAGCCTCGCGAATCATCTCGTCCACCTCGTCGTCCGTCAGCTTCTCGCCGATGGAGGTCATGACGTGACGCAGCTCGGCGGCGGAGATGAAGCCGTTGTTGTCGCGATCGAAAACCTTGAATGCCTCCCGGATTTCCTCCTCGGAGTCGGTATCCTTCATCTTGCGAGCCATCATGGTGAGGAATTCTGGGAATACATCAACCTTCTGTCTACCTGCCTAACTGGCTCGCAGGGAGGGGTTGCCTACCGGGGAAGTCGATGGTGCCGTTGTTATCGGCATCCACCTCGTTGATCATATCCTGCAGCTCCGACTCGGACGGATTCTGGCCGAGCGAGCGCATGACGGTGCCCAGCTCCTTGGTGGTGATCTGGCCTATTGGGGAGTTGCGTAAGTATCCTGGGTTGTGATTGATTCCCTCCGAAGGAGAAAACGAAAGAACTAACCATCGCCATCCTTGTCCTATTAATAGCAAGAAATGCCCGTCAGTAGATGGAGCTTTCAATGCACATGGGGAATCACTCACAAATAGGGAGAAGGCCTCCTTGTACTCGGAGACCTGCTCTTCGGTCAGAGAGTCGGCCTGGGAAGATCGTCAGTCTGGATGAGCGTTGCCTTTTGCCCCGCAAAGGCGGGGGGGTTTTGCGGCTGAAACAAGAAAAGGAAAATGGAAGGGGAAATGCGCACCATGGTGAGATACGTGTATGAGACGAGTGGAAGGGACGAGAAGGTAGAAAAGATCCAAGCCGGGGAGAGTCGGATTGGATGGTGATGGTGGGGGAGAAGGAGAGTGGGTTAAGGGGAAACACAATAATGCTACCAACACAGCAGAATCCGTGCCTGGGAGTACGTAATCCGGGCGGTGAGTCGAGATTTTCAGCTGCTAGTGCCAGCCCAACGCATTCGGTTCAGCCCTGTGCCTTGGCATTTCTTGTCTGAAGCCCTGGTTGATGGGGATGGTTAGGATGGTCGCCACGGTGCCTAGGTCTGCTCGTGATAAGAGAGGCTCGTCGGATCCCTATGTACTAGGAATGCATTCTTACAGATACATACGAGGCTGACTGCTCGAAAGGAATACATTGATGGCTGTAAATAACCCCACGCTAGTCTCCTATCGTGGATTATGATGATTGAAACCATTCAATCCTTCAATAATAACTCAGCGAGTAAATAGTTATCGACGAAGAGATAAGCATGCTGACTCGACCTAAATGCTATAGTTCAATGTGTTTCTGCTGACCGTACATACCACAATTACCAGCGGGTATTACAATACCGGCCCGTACAAGCCCCGAAGACCAGCCCCTTCTCACGTGGAGCTTCAAGCTCCCGATATCATCATCGTCATCCCCATCGCCGCGGTCTCTCACCACCACCACACCAGACGAACCATGACCCCGCCATTTCCCAGTCAATAAGCCCGACATCCCCAAACGCCTCTCGGACCCACGATGTGGCGGGATCGCACCAACCTGTACGCACCCGTCCATCAATAACCTGCCAGCTAACTAACATCGTCTCCCAAGCTACATCTCCTACCGCCAGTCCTTCACGCACCACCCGTCCAAAAAGACCGGCTTCAATGGCTTCTCCGACGCAGCCTCCACCAACGAAGAAAGCCGCCGCCTGATCTCCGAGACCGGCGGCTTCGAAGAAGATGGCGACATGGTCATCGAGATGGACCTCCTGCCGCCGCGCTGGATCGACGTGCAGGATGATGTGTCCGAGCTACTGACAGATATAGCGCAAAAATCATCACAGCTCGATAAGCTGCACCAAAAGCACCTGCTCCCCGGGTTTGGGGACGAAGAGGTCCGCAGGCAGGATGAGGGTGTGATCGAACGGTACACCCAGGATATCACCCATGCGTTTCACGATTGCCAGAAGGCGATTCAGCGGATTGAGATGATGGTCCGCGAGTCGAAACAGCAAGGGAGTGTGACTAGTGGGGAGGAGACTATGGCGCGGAATATTCAGATCTCGCTTGCAGCCCGGGTGCAGGAGGCTAGTGCGAGGTTCAGGAAGAAGCAGAGCACTTACCTGAGGAGTATGGAACCGCCACAGCTTGAATATGTGCATATGGGACACTGAACTAATATGTGTATTAGAACTCCGAGACTTGGAAGGCCTGGGAACACCATTCGACCGCGTCCCCACCCCAGTGCAGAACCCATACATCGATCCGTCATTAATGGAGTCCGACGCGGACAAGTCCTTCTCACAAACGATGCTCATGCAGACGTCCCAGCGAACAACAGGCCAAAACGACACCGCCATCGCACAGCGAGAACGCGAAATCAACGATATCGCAAAGGGTATTATCGAGCTGTCTGATATATTCCGGGAGCTGCAGACCATGGTCATTGACCAGGGAACCATGCTGGACCGCATAGACTATAATGTGGAGAAGATGGGCACGGAGGTAAAAGCGGCAGAGAAGGAGATCAAGGTGGTATGTTTGGCACTTTCTTTTCCCTCGCAGTGTTTCTCACTGGCAGGTTTTTACTAACACTATTTCTTCCAGGCAACGAGCTACCAACGCCGCACCACGAAACGAAAAGTTATGCTACTGCTTTTCCTCGTGGTTGCGGGCTTGATCATCGTCCTGATTATCAAACCCAAACGAAGTAGCGCTCCACCACCCCCGCCTGATGATACCCAATCTTCCAACAATCTTCGGTCTGTCGTTGCATCTGCGAGTCGATTGAGACATCGCTCCTCGGCTCGGCTCGCGCGAGACCGATGGATGGATCCGGATATATTTCGATGAATACATGCCTTTGCTTTTTAGCGATAGTTAATGTGACTAGATATTGTCAATTGTACACACATTTCGATGCATATACATCAACTGTAGAAGAGAGACAACACTTGAATACCATGCCTTCTGACAACTTTAATATTGTACACATCTCGATACATCAACGGGGCACCCAGAATGCCTTGTCCAAACGGTATGGACAGAATGGTTTGTGAAAGAAAAGAAAAATGACAATAAAACTACTGCCGGCCCTCCTGAGCAAGCAGCTCAGCCACATCGGCATCCAAATCACCACCCGCAAACTGTGCATAGTCCTCCTCGCCATGTGTGGTTTTGCGTCGCTTGGCTGTCGCGCCGTTGGCATGGCTGAGATCAAAGTCGTTGCCGCCACCGGGAGAAATATTGGACAGATCGGGGAGAGCAGCGCCAGAAATTCCAGACAGATCAAGAGTAGGCTCCTCCGTGAATGGGGCATGATGGCCTTGATCTGGCTTCGGAGATCCGACGGGCGTGATGGCTTCCACTGGGGGAGGAGTGAGAGCCTCAATTTCAGGACGACCGCTGTCTTCATCCTGCATGCTGTGGTCTCCATGCTGCGCGCCTGAGGTCTCGTCCGTGGACAGACCGCGCATGATTGCATCCTCGACGTCGCGCTTCTTCGTGTCTGTCTGTGACTTCTTCTCCGATAGGTCCTTAGCAAGTGTTTCTTCTTTTGAAAGTTCCGAGCGGTTGGTGGCCAAGATTTTCTCGAGACCATCGATCAATGCGCGCCTCGACTTGATGACCTCTGACACTGAGCTCTCCGCATTGGCAAGTGTTTTCAGCAGCTGACTGAGACGGGCAGCATGCACTGGGGGAGTCGGGTGTGGGGTCTTTCCGTCGTTCATTTTCTCATACTCCATCTTTGCAGTTGTGGCCGAAGTGCTGGAAGTCATGGCGGCCTTGGTGAGTGCAACCTGCAGAGGCACAAGCGGTTGCAGCTCGGAGGGCGTAGACCCAGAGGACGAGTCTTTGAAGAGCGAGCCACCAAGCTGTTGTTTCTTGCCGGTAGAGCGTGACTTATCGATCTCTGCGGGAGACGACATGAGCTTGCGAATGGACATGCGATGGAAACGACCTACCGTTCACCCGGGTTTCCACAGCTTCCAAGATTGGACCTTCGAATACATTGCGTTGTCTCCACACCTCCGTCACACGGCGAATCTTCTGCTGGATATCATTTGTAGCACCTTTGTAGGCCGTTGCTGTGGCTTCCACCACGATCTTGTCCATATTAGCTAACCCCTACTTCTTGCATGAGAGTAGGGAACTCACAGGAGAGAAGGCAATCAGAAAATCATCTTTTCCTCGCGCTTTTGACTGCTGCGCCACCTCTGTAGTCTGGTTAGCTACTAGCACCGCAGTACTTCCAGAGACTCTTTACCATTCGCCAGGTAGATCAGGTTGAGTCGCTTGGGTGGGTTGGAGTCGCGAATTTTCTGAAGCCAGATTTGGGCAGTCCGATCCGCATGGCGTCTAGTCGTCCCACCAGGGTCAGCAAGATTGATTTTCTAGCGCGTGGTGTTTGCCTACCTATGAAACATGACCCACTGCGCGACGGTCACAATGCTCTCCTGTGTCTCATTCAGTGCAGACAGCTTTGCCTTGACGGCATCATCAGTGTAGGCCATGGCGACAACGTAGATAGGTGTGCACTAGATGAACTGCTGTTCCTGCGGTAGAAGCAGGGTGCCACCAGGTGCGACTTGCAAAGAGGAGCCCGGTGTAGGTAGGACTGGCGTGAGAACTGAGGGCAATTGTTTGAGATTGGGGAGAGTGAAAGATCCCAAAACCAGTGAGATAAGTTGGAAGGGAAAGGGAAGCGAGTGAAGCAGGTAACAAGCGAGTCGCAAGAAGACGTGATGGACCAGAAGCTCCAGACTGGCTGATGCTAGCAGCAGCTCCCCCACCGCCTTTGTACGGCAGAATGGCCGGCCTCCGAGCGCTCGCCGTCAACATCTGGCAACTACGCCTGCTCACTCCTGTTTCCTTGCACACTCCTACTCTTGTCTCATCACCATCATCATTTGACCTAGCGCTGCTCCTGAACCACTGCACCACAAATTTCTGACATCAGCATGGCCGACCGTTTCCCTTCCTTGGAGGACTTCTCTGAGGGTATGCACCAACCCACCTGCCACTCACATCGAAGCTGACAGACGATCAATTCAGGCCAGACTGAAGTCCAGGAGGGCCAGGGTGCAGCCGATCACGATGATTTCCTGGCCCGTGAGCGTGCTGCGCTCGGTGAAGACGCCGATCAATTCGCGACCGCTCAAGACCACGTCGCCGGCGACGCGAATGTAGATACCGGTGATGACCTGCTGGGTGGACAAGATGCTGGACCGACGGAGGAGATGGGCCAGTTTGAGTCGTCGTTCCCGTCAATGGAGACACAGGCGCAGAATGAGGTGCGAACCTAGCCTGGGGTTGACTTACCATGTGCTGACTTGTTGTTCCATTTAGCGAGTGGCCCCTGGTGGTACTATCACTGGATCTGGGTCGCCTTTCCCTCCCACCGGCTACCAGAACCTGCAGGAGCCCGAAGAAGAGACCCAGCCCATGAGGTGAGCCCCTCCCCTGACCCCGCCTCTATACAGACACGGCCGCCTCCCTATCTATTCAGTCATTGACTTCGCATTTCAACCTCACAGAGAATGGCGTGAGAAACGCGACTCCGAAATTGCCCGCCGCGCAGAGGTTTCGAACGAGAAAAAAGAATCGACCACCAAGAAGGCCCACGAGGACATCGACGACTTCTACGTTTCTTACAACAACAAGGCCGACAAGGCCCGCGCGCAGACTCGCTCCGAGGCCGAGCAATTCCTGGCCAACCGCGAGGATACCTCCGCCGGTGGTACCAGCTGGGAGCGTATCGCCAAGCTGGTGGATGTGTCGGGCAAGGGATCCACGGGTGGTGGCAGTGGTTCTGGCAAGGAGCGATTCCGTGAATTGTTGATCAACCTCCGGAAAGACGAGAGTGCTCCCGGTGCCACTGGAGTTTAGAGTATCTTGCCTTCATGGAGATCGTGGCAGAGCGGGAATTGGCCAACGCCTGCTGCCATTGTTAACTTTTTTTCCCCTTTGCTTTACTCCATGCCAGCGAAGTCTTCAAGGGGGTCAGTGTAATTTAAGATTTCGGATTGATAGCATCGTTAATACCACGGATTCAACGGATTGACATTCCCAGCGCAGTAGAGAGGAGAAGTTGTATGCCATCTAGAGGTCAAGCGATATACTTGGAAGAAATTAACCTCACTGAGTATCTTATTGTCCCGTATCTCTGCCCCCTCCAGTTCCCTATAAACAAGCGGGCTAGTATCTTTTTGCATGCCAGATCAAATCTGTTTCGTCTATTTACTTGTCTCTTTACTTGAATTTTGTTTGATTTATATACCTTGCCTGGGCCCTGTCATCCTCTCTTGTATTCCCATCACTGGTATAGAAATAATCAACTTGGGAAGTACGTAATATACCTATCAATAATGCAAAACATACGACTCTTCAATCCAGCTCGGTCACATCGCCCGCCGGCTCTCCAATCTCTTCTTCCTTGCCCTCCGCCTCCAGTTCCGCAAGTTTCTTCCTGCCTTCGTCCGTAGTGGCGTCCACAATCCCCTCCTCCATACTAAGAATGCCGCTATTGCCCAGGTGCTCCACAATCACCTCGGCGTCTTCCACCGTCATCTTACCGAGAACCTTGTTCACTTCATCCAAGGACTCGGACTCCAGAGCCTTTTGCATATCGGCGGGGAATGCATCGAAGACCTTGCGAACTTCCACTTCGGTTGGATCCTCGCTGTTGGCGGCGGGGATATTAATCGTGATCTTGGTGTTGGGGTCCACAGCATGCAGTTGAATCTGTTCCACGCCCGCCGGGTCATTGGCGGTTTCTTTGCTCAGCTCTGCTGCACGGGTCTTGATCCGGTTGTAGGTGTCCCTGACGTCGTCGTTGAACAAGGTCGATGCGCGGTGGCCGGGGGTCGTTATCCTGCAAATTATTAGTGGGAGCGCAACCCAGAGGGCAAAAGGGACATGATATACCGTGTAAAGAACATCTGGACACCGTCACGACCAAGAGAGCGGCAGTACTGCAACAGCAGTCCTTGGTGGACACATTGTCGGGCATAAGCCTCCTCCCCCTTCATCTGACTGTTGAAGGCTTCAACGAGCAGACCATCTGTCTCCTTCTCGGCAACAATTTCGGGATTTTCAGAGATGAACGTGAGATAGGCCTTGTAATCACCGGTCTTGAGGTGCGCAAAGCGTTTCGCCAGCTCACTGACCTCAACATTCGCAGGGTCATCATCATCCTCGTCTACCGACGTAGAGACCTGGTTTCCGGCTCCAGCTCCAGGGTTCAAAAGCTCAACGGAGCCCTGTTTTGCCGTCGAAGCAGCCGGAGCTTTTCCTTTAGCGACATGCGACGTGTCGAATCCGGTATGTAGCTGATCGCTGGTGATCTTGCTTTTCTCTTCCTTCTCAAGTTGTGCTAGCTTCGCCAGCAATTCTTTTTGGAGATCCTCCACCTTCGCCTTGTGTCCGCCCACGCCTTGGATATATGCCTTGAAAAGATTGTCCGGCTTGGAGCCGTCGATCTCCTTTTTCACCTGGTCCACCAGCGAGCTCATCATCTGCGAGTACTTTGGCTGCTCCTTCTCGTGTGTATGAACTCCCTCTGGTGGGGGAGGGGCTTGGTCGACGGCCGGGTTGCTGGCAAAGTCCATGATGGACTGGAAAATGAATTCGTCGGGAGATGCGGACGAGTCCTCGTGTTGCTTAAGAGAATCGAGAAGCTTATCAATGCGCTCGAGCAGTCCGTCGTTGATGATGCGCTCATACTTCAGTGTCTTGATTTCAAGGCGGCGCTGGTCTCGCTGTTGATGGATCTGGGCTTGCTTGGCTCGGATAAACGATCGTTTGTCGACATTAGGGTGAACCTCGATGTCGGAGTCATCAGACAGCTCGAGCTGATCCCACTTGCTGTAGTCGAGCACCATCTTGCCCTAAACTGATTGATTGTTCAGTGAGGCGGGGTATAGATGGCAAGCAGAGATGAGAATGAAGGCGGCAGAAAAGTGAAAGAGGTAAAAAGAGATTGAGATAGATAGATACTAGGGATCAACAGCTGAACTGCTTCAAGTCACTAGATCAGATGCGTGCAAGAAATCAGTCCAGTACAGAAGAAGAAAGTATCCAAAGCTCTCGACTAGCTTCCATGGGCGGTGGACCATGGCAGAACGGGCCCGCTTTTCGCCGAGTGGATAACCCGCTCACTTCCAATCATCCTACACACTATTAGGGGTCATAACTGGCGTGCCACAGGCTGCGCTGTTTCTCTTGGACTCGAGAGAGATATGGCATCGTTCACTCTCTTTCCCTGACAATCCTTCCACTATTCGTGCATCAATTCTCGCGATGCGCCGGCTCCCCATCTCCTGGGCTCCGGGCCTCTCTCCTCACCGGGCCATTCGACCGGTCCTCGGAGATATCTTTCCACCAGCGAAATTCACAACAGCACGATCTAGCACAAGTCATTTCTCAACAGGAGCATTGCGCGACGGGCCTACGCCTCTCTGCCGACAACCCGTCATATCCGGGCTTCACCCAAATGGCTTCCAATCTACCCCTACGCCTTCTCCCATAGCCTCACAAGTACGGCATTTCCGTTCCACTACGCGAGCCCTTCAGGCGAAGCCACCAACACCCCCAACGACAAGCGTTAAAGCTGCTGGCCGGTCGATTCCAGAGAAGGAAGATGAAGATGTGGACAAAGGGTTTGAGCTTTCTGAGCGAGCAGCACAGGCAGCCCAGGTCAATCTTAGTGCCAGACTGGCCAAGGATGGCGCATCGGGCAAGAAATCTGGGTTTGCGGAAATCTGGCGCCTCCTTAAGATCGCGCGCCCCGAAGCAAAGACGCTCGGGTTCGCATTCTTCTTCCTGCTGATCTCGTCGTCTATCACCATGTCAATCCCGTTCTCCATCGGCAAGATTATGGATACAGCCACGAAAAGCGCAACCGAGGGAGGCAACGAGCTGTTTGGGTTGAGCCTTCCGATGTTCTACAGCGCCTTGGCTGGTGTATTGCTCGTGGGTGCTGCTGCCAACTATGGTCGCATTATCATTCTTCGGATTGTGGGTGAGCGCATTGTGGCTAGACTGCGCTCCAAGCTGTTCCGCCAGACATTTGTGCAAGATGCCGAATTCTTCGATGCGAACCGAGTTGGTGATCTGATCTCCCGCCTCAGTTCCGATACAATCATCGTGGGCAAGAGTATCACGCAAAATCTGTCCGATGGTCTACGGGCAACTGTCAGCGGTGTTGCCGGATTTGGCCTGATGGCTTATACCAGCCTTCAACTGTCCAGTATCCTTGCCTTGCTACTCCCGCCAATAGGCCTCGGTGCGCTTTTCTATGGAAGGGCTATCAGGAATCTCAGCCGGAAGATCCAAATGAATCTAGGTACCCTAACCAAAATCGCGGAGGAACGCCTGGGCAATGTGAAGACCAGCCAGTCCTTTGCAGGGGAAATACTTGAGGTCAATCGATACAATAAGCAAGTGCGCAAAATCTTTGATCTGGGGAAGAGGGAATCTTTGATCAGCGCGACCTTCTTCAGCTCGGTAAGTTTGTTCTGCCCCCCAAAACAGGCCCTTGCTAACTGCCTCTAGACGGGACTGATGGGCAACATGACTATCTTGGCTCTGCTCTATGCCGGAGGTTCCATGGTGCAGTCCGGGGCTATCTCTATCGGAGAGTTGACATCATTTTTGATGTACACCGCCTATGCGGGCTCCAGCATGTTCGGCCTTTCTAGTTTTTACTCTGAGCTTATGAAAGGTGTGGGCGCAGCAAGCCGGTTGTTTGAGTTGCAAGATCGCCAGCCCACAATCCACCCAACTAAGGGCCTCAAAGTAGAGTCCGCGCGCGGTCCCATCCGATTTGAAAACGTTACCTTCAGCTATCCGACTCGTCCTGCTGTCAAAATCTTCAAGGATTTGAATTTCGAGATCCCACAAGGCACCAACGTAGCGATTGTTGGGCCTTCTGGCGGAGGCAAATCTACTATCGCATCTATCCTACTCCGCTTCTACAGCCCGACTGAAGGGAAAGTGCTCATTGATGGGAAAGATATTAGCGGAATGAATGCCAAATCTCTGCGGAGAAAGATCGGTGTGGTTGCACAGGAGCCGGTTCTTTTCTCTGGAACAATTGCCGACAACATCTCCTACGGCCGACCTAATGCCACGCGCTCGGAGATCATTGCCGCGGCACGCCAGGCCAATTGCCAATTCATCAGTGACTTCCCAGATGGCCTTGACACACACGTGGGAGCTCGCGGCGCTCAGTTGTCTGGCGGCCAGAAGCAGCGAATTGCCATTGCTCGCGCTCTGATCAAGGAGCCCGACATTCTGATTCTGGACGAAGCGACCTCCGCTCTGGATGCCGAATCCGAGACGTTAGTGAACAGTGCATTGGCTGCCCTTCTCCGTGGTAACAACACCACCATCAGCATTGCTCACCGGCTCTCCACGATCAAACGCTCCGATACCATTATTGTGCTTGGGCCCGACGGGAAAGTGGCCGAGCAAGGGTCATATGACGAGCTTAGTGCCCGTCCAGACGGCGCATTCACGAAACTCATGGAGTGGCAGATGAGCGGCAGCGAGCCCGTGCATCCTCCCACTACTGCCTCTGCACGGGCAATGAAAACAGCGGAGGAGCTGTGGCAGCTCCAGAAGGAGACGGAGCCTGAGGCGGAGTTGGAGGAAGACGAGGAGGAACAACCAACCCGGAAAAATACCACCCACTGATGCTGTCTGCTCGGGTACCACTCGTTTCATTTTGGAGTGTGTCATTTACACTCAGGTGTCTGGGATATAATCTCTTCTCATACTCACTTGTGCATCTTGGACTTTGTGCGATAGATAATTAGATGTTGGGTCCCTTCCGCTTCTCGATGTACAAATCTACCTTCTTTCTTCAGTCACGAGTATCTTCCTTCATAACCAGTCGTCATTGTCACTTGCAAATAAACAGTATTTGGGGTCTTGACTTCTAAGATTTGTTTCTCAAATACTGTTTATTTGCAAGGCTAAGCTCCGTGCTCTGTACATTCCCGCAAACCTCACATACCAAGTTACACCCGAGCTCTTCACAACGAATGTTTGCTGGTTTTCATCATCTCTATCAACAATTGATCTGTGCCTCCCTAACAACGTCTTGCACGCTGTCCTTCACTCGTTGAACTATAGGCAGGAGCAGTAGAATAGAGAAAAATATTTCACCACCTTATTTTTCCCGACTGTCTGAAATGAGGAGTAAGGAGTGGGTGGAGAGAGGACTGAGAATGGGAGTGAATGCCGAGGCGGGTTAGAGGAGAGAGGCATGGTTGGAGACCAGGGGTCACTGTAGAGAGAATAATTACTCTAATAACAAACCAAAAAGCTACATGTTAGCGATATCGTGCATATACTGTTTGGATGTATAGGCAGCCTTCTCTATAATCTTTTATGTAGGACCCACTTACCGAGCCCCATATCAAGTGACGTCAAACCGACGTGAGCTTCAAGTTTCCTGGCCACATTTTTGTTCTTATTCAGATTATTCAGAATCCGAGTTCCAGAACCTTGAAACGTCATCAGCTCTGCAACCAAAATTTGATCCACATCATCGAGCTCTGCCGATCCAAAACCCGTAGAACCCGCAATCCACGAATCAGCGAGTTGGGATTCCCAATATTTCTTGCTTCGTGTCGGAAACCCCAAGACAGGTTTCAAGGAATGTTTGGTTTTCCTCCCCGATTCTCCTAAGCTTGACCTGTGGTCCAGTCAGCTTGTCCTACGCCGATGCCAATCGCCCCGCTCGCCGGGGGGTACTACGGCTTGGTTTATTTTATAGCGTTGTGATTGGGCATAGGTGTTACATCATTGACTATAGTGAAAGGCAAATTCTTTGGCAAAGCAGCCTGGACCCCCAGGTCTCCGTATATAAAGATGATGTCGACGCCATCTGAAATTCAACACTGGGTATACCACTTTTTTTCATCTAATCGGTGCATGAACTCTTCTCCAAAGTACCCATCATAATGGCACCCCAAGCTGCAGATGCCAAGTTGGCCGACATGCAGAAGGACATGGTCGAAGTAGGTGGCAAGCAGCATATGACAACCGACTATGGCGTCAAAATTTCCGACCCGGACCATTGGCTGCGTGTTGTGAGCGAGTCGAAGACGGGTCCTTCGCTTCTGGAAGACCAGATCGCGCGCGAGAAGGTGAGTTCTATAAATTTGACCGTTTACGCAATGCTAATGTATTAAATCCACAAGATCATGCGCTTCGACCACGAACGCATCCCCGAGCGCGTCGTCCACGCCCGTGGCACAGGCGCCTTTGGCACTTTTAGACTCTTCGAGAGCGCCGAGGACGTTACCACCGCCGGCGTTTTGACGGATACCAGTCGTAAGACGCCACTGTTCTTGCGTTTCTCTACTGTGCAAGGGAGCAAGGGTAGTGCAGATACAGTGCGGGATGTGCGCGGATTCGCCATCAAAATGTACACGGACGAAGGTAACTGGGACATTGTGGGAAATAACATCCCCGTCTTCTTTATCCAGGATTCTATCAAGTTTCCCGATGTTATTCATTCTGTCAAGCCCGAGCCGCACAATGAGATTCCGCAGGGCCAGAGTGCCCACAACAACTTCTGGGATTTCCAGTATATGCATTCGGAGACGACGCATATGAATCAATGGGTAAGGAGTGCACCTAGTATCATGAGGTTCAGTTACTGACAATGGATGTAGATTATGTCTGACCGGGCTATTCCACGCTCGTATCGAATGATGCAAGGCTTTGGAGTCAATACTTATTCTCTCATCAACGCGCAAGGCAAGCGTCACTTCGTCAAGTTCCATTTCACGCCAGAATTAGGCGTGCATTCCCTCGTCTGGGACGAAGCCTTGAAGATCTGTGGCCAGGACCCTGATTTCCACCGCAAGGATCTTATGGACGCTATTGACGCTGGCCACTTCCCGCGCTGGAAGTTCGGATTGCAACTTATTCCCGAAGAGAAGGCGGACGATTTTGAATTCGATCCGCTCGACGCTACCAAGGTCTGGCCTGAGGAGCTAGTGCCCATCCGTTACATCGGCGAGCTGGAGCTCAACCGCAACGTCGATGAATTCTTCCCGCAGACTGAACAGGCTGCCTTTTGTACCAGCCACATTGTGCCGGGCATTGACTTCTCCGATGATCCGCTGTTGCAGGGCCGCAACTTCTCCTACTTCGACACGCAGATCTCACGTCTCGGTCCGAACTGGGAGGAATTGCCTATTAATCGTCCCGTTTGTCCCTACATGGCGCTCGCCAACCGTGATGGCGCTATGAAGCACCGCATCAATAAGGGAACCGTCAATTATTGGCCGAATCGGTTTAACGCCAACCCGCCGGCTGAACCGTCGCAGGGCGGATTTGCTAGCTACCCAGAGAAACAGCTGGGCGTCAAGGCGCGAGCGCTATCGGACAAATTCAAGGACCACCACACCCAAGCACAGACCTTCTACAACTCGCTGTCAGAAATCGAGAAGATACACGTCGCCAAAGCCTACTCTTTCGAGTTGGATCACTGCGATGACCCGGTAGTATACAAGCGCATGACCGAACGCCTGGCATCCATCAGCCTGGACCTGGCGAAGACCGTCGCGACCAACGTCGGCGGTGGCACGCCTAGCAAGGCATTGAAGGAGAATCACGGTCGGAAAGCAAAGGGCCTCAGCCAACTAGAGTACCTGCCCGAGAACCCCATTATTGAGACACGCCGCATTGCCATTCTCGTTGGTGACGGCTTCGACCATGCCTCCTACACCACGATGAAGGAGACGCTGCAATCTCGTGGTGCCTTCGTGTTTACCATCGGGTCCCAGCGCCAGGGTGTCAAGGCTGAGTCCGGACAGACCGTTGTACCTGATCACCATTTCAATGGCATGCGGTCCACGCTCTTTGATGCTGTATTCGTGCCAGGCGGAAAGCACGTCGCTGGTACGCTGGCTAAGAATGGTGTCGCCAAGTTCTGGATTACTGAGTCGTTTGCCCATCTCAAACCCATTGCTGGTGTAAATGAGGCCGTTCCCTTCATTGAGAAACAGATCGGTCTTTCTGAGGTCAAGGTCGCGTCTTCCGGCACTGCTGGCCTCGAGTCCTATGGTGTTGTGACGGGACACGGCGAAGCTGCGTCCACGCTGAAGGTGGCGAATGTTGGACCCAATGCGAAGGGTGTGGCGGAGATGTTTATCTGGCATGTCTCGAAACATCGTAACTGGCAGCGCGAGCTCGATGGGCTTTCTGATCAGGTTGCGGCGTAATCTGGCTTATATTATTTTCATGATTATGACGATTAAATTGGATTTTACTATTTTATTATCCGCTTGTTCTATTGACACATACGCGCGATTTTCGTCCGGAGACCCCAGGATGCATACCTACTGTAGACGTTGACCGGCATTCCTAGTCCACACTGAACGAAGGCAATCAAGCACGTGTTCCAAGGCTGGGAAAATGCTCTTCCGTGATTCATCGGGCCAGTTATGTCTGGGAGTCTATACCGATCCCTAATTGCTCTTGAAAACATATTCAAGACCCAAAGCCATCACGCTTTCGATACATGGTCCCTCTCCGTCGAGCCCTCACAGGTAACCGTCACGTGATACCGGGTATTTATAATCCCTTTCCCGACGCCATCTTGGGGGAATGAGCTACCATGATGATTCAGCTGTTTCTTACCTACCTACCATGTGCTCGCCTAAACCACCTTTAAATCAACTTCAAACCCCGAATACTTAGGAGCATACTCTGGCTCTTAGGTCTTTCCGTAGTCGAGACCAACGATGGACCGTGTTCGCCGACTTGTATCCGACCAGGCGGCGTACGAGCCGCTCGAAGGCTCAGCCGAGGAAGAGGATGGTGACCCATCATCATATACCGGGCCCCGGCCTGGAGCTCGTTTCTCGAGATTGATATATGGTGTCTTCTTCTTGTTGGGTGTATCCATGCTATGGGCCTGGTAGGCTGAGCCTTAATTCATTCTCAAGCCCTGTCTAATATGTCGGACAGGAACACGCTTCTTGCAGCAGCGCCATATTTCCACACCCGGTTTGAATCCGATGAATGGGCGTCAACGCACTACCAGCCCTCAATTCTGTCGGTATTTACAGTCACCAACCTCGCCACCGTGGCTGTTCTGGCGAAAGTCCAGAAGAATGTGTCTTACCCATGGCGCATCACAGTCGCTCTCTTGATGACCAGTATCGTATTTACGCTGCTAGCCTTCTCCACGGTCATCATGAAGGATATCTCCGTGCGAGCATACTTTGGCTTTCTCATGGTCATGGTGTTTGGTGCCAGTTTGGCGACAGGGATTAATCAGAATGGCGTATTTGCCTATGTCTTGGGCTTCGATAGGGAGGAATACACTCAGGCCATCATGGGCGGCCAAGGGTTGGCTGGCGTGCTTCCGTGCATTGTTCAGATCCTCTCTGCCTTGGTGGTGGCTCCTACAAAGAAAGATGACCAAGCTCCAGTACCACCGGGATCGTCGTCGTCGAAGTCAGCGTTTATTTACTTCATCGCCGCAACGGCTGTCTCAGTTCTTGCGCTGTTGTCCTTCCTTCATCTCGTCAAGCGACAGCCTACAGCCCAGCCGAAGTGGACGGATGATGACGACGAGACGGCTACGGTCAGTGAGCATGACCAATCCGTGGGTCTGTGGACTCTCTTCAAGAAGCTCAGGCTTACATCATCGTCCGTCTTCCTATGCTTCGTGATCACGATGGTGTTCCCCGTGTACACGGCCGAAATCGAGTCCGTCAATAGCTCGTCGGGATCTCGCTTGTATACGAAATCCGTGTTCATCCCGCTGGCTTTTCTGTTCTGGAACGTGGGCGATATGATTGGCAGGATGGCGGTCTTGAACCCCCGGCTGTCTCTTGCTCACAAACCCGTCTGGCTTTTTGTGATTGCCATCGCACGTGCTGGGTTTATCCCGCTCTATCTGCTTTGCAATATCGGCGACCGAGGTGCCGTGGTGCAGAGTGACTTTTTCTATCTGTTTGTTGTGCAGCTGCTCTTCGGTGTGAGTAATGGGTTCTTGGCTAGTAGCTGTATGATGGGATCAAGCCAGTGGGTTGCTGTTAGCGAAAGAGAGGCTGCGGGAGGCTTCATGAGTATGATGCTCGTTGGTGGTCTGGCCGCGGGGAGTCTCCTGTCCTTTGGTGTTGCAAGTGCATAACCTGGGTATTATAGATATGAATTATGACCGACCAATAGATCTTTTCATTATTTTTTCAGTAAAGGGTGTCTGTGTGTCTTATGCCAAATTCATTCTCCTTAAGCGGAGAACTCCTTCAGGGCTTCACACTCCAAAATTTGGATTAAGCAAGGCTAGTTAAATCTGTTTTAGCTCGAGCCTGCCTAATAATTCAGCAGTTCCCAGTAATAGTTAGTGTAGCAGTCTCAGCCCAGTCGAGAGGACAATGCCCTCCTCCTCGTCCACTTTCCTCTGCATCTTCCTGCCTCATCTTCCTCTCTCGTCGTTCCAATCTCCCCTTCTTCCCCTTTGAACTCATTAAATTTGGATTTTTGTTCATACACTCCTTTTGGTTACTGTGACAGTATTTTATTAGAGTCAATCCTTGCAGCGATTTGAACACACAACCATGGGATTTGACCTGGGCCATGTCCTGCCAGCTCTGACGGTGTGGAAAATCCTTACCGGTCTCTTGCTTGTGGTGAGTATAAACCACAGATTCTGAATGTAAGCTTCTCACGGTTTCCAGTACTTGGTCTGCTTCTCCTGTTGGATTATTTACACCCTCCTCTTCCACCCGCTGAGTCGGTACCCGGGTCCCAAATTGGCAGCCATCTCCCCTCTGGTGCACCTTCTCTGGGATATCAAAGGTCAGCAGCACTCAATCATCAGGTCCCTGCACGATAAGTACGGCGAAGTTGTTCGCATCGCCCCGAACTCGCTTGCCTATCGTGCTGCGCCTGCTTGGAGAGACATTTACGGCCATCGTAAGAAGGGACAGAAGATCTTTCTCAAGGACCCTTCATTGTATGCACCCACGCCAAATGGAGTCAATGCTATCATCACCGCGAACGAAGATGACCATGCACGTATGCGTCGGCTGCTGACGCATGCTTTCTCCAACAAGGCCCTCCGCGAGCAGGAAGGTATTCTGCACACCTACGTCGACATGCTGATCCAAAGACTTCAAAAATTGCTTGATGGACCGCACGGCCAGGCCATTGATCTCACCCGCTGGTTTAATTTCATCACCTTCGACCTGATTGGCGACCTTGCGTTTGGAGAGCCATTCGACTGTCTCGACAGCAGCAAGTATCATTGGTGGATCCTGATCATCCTGGATGCTGTCAAAGCCAGCGCATATCTGAAGGTCTTTTGGTTCTATCCCCTGTTACTTCCTCTGGTTGAGATTCTGGTCCCGCGTCATCTACTCAAGAAACGAACAGAGAGTTTCGCTCTGAGTGTGGAGAAGGTGCAGCGGCGTCTCAAGTGTGGAACTACACGTCCGGATTTTACCTCGTACATCCTCAAGCACAGCAAAACTAGGAAAGGGTTAACCCCGTCTGAAATAGACGCTAATGCTGCCGTCTTTGTTCTAGCTGGCAGCGAGACCACCGCCGCTCTCATCTCGGGCTGCACGTATTATCTCCTTCGGCATCGTGACAAGTACACCCGTCTGATGAGCGAGATACGCGGCGCCTTCGAGAAGGAGTCCGATATCACGCTCGCGTCCATTGCGGAGCTGCCCTATCTTAATGCCGTCCTGAATGAATCTCTCCGCATCTATCCTCCTATTCCAGCTATGCTGCCTCGTTTGGTTCCTGAAGGCGGCGCTGTAATCAATGACCAGTACGTGCCTGGTGGAGTAAGTATTAACCAGACAATAGCTATATTATCCGAGTTTCAACTAAACTGATATGACAAATTCAGGTCTCGGTCTCAATTTCCCTCTACTCTGCCTTCCACTCGCACACCAACTTCAAGGATCCTGACGTATTCATCCCGGAACGCTGGTTGGACGAAACCTCTGACTTCGCGGCTGACAAGAAGGAGGCATTTCAGCCGTTCTCATATGGTCCGCGAAACTGCTTGGGACAGCAGTAAGTCGGAATCTTTGATACTGTACTTCTTCTCAGCTAATCAACTTTCTTTTGTGTAGCCTCGCCAATGCGGAGATGCGTCTCATCCTCACCAAACTATTCTGGCACTTTGACCTCAATCTCTTACCTGAGTCTATGAACTGGATCAACCAAAAGTCATACTCGCTTTGGAGCCGCCCTGCACTGATGGTGAAGCTTTTCTGGGCCGGGGCTGAGGCAGCATGAAACTTGGAGAATACTCCGCATCACAACAACCTTCAACTCAACACCTTTCATGCTTTAATGGTGTTCCATTTTGCTTCTTGTTTTGTTCAATATTGGGTGACATCATGTTGATCTTTAATTCTAATGGCGAGGTATTCTCTTGTTCTTGGAGATGTGTTGGTTATGACAGCAAGAAGCCGTTGTGCATTAAAGCTAGATCAAAAGTAAACGCAAAAGTGACAGTTTTTTTTCTGCTCCTCCTTTTGCAGTCTCTCTGAAACTATTTTGTCATCCGAACAGGCCTCGAGAGTAATTAAACTCAAGAAAATCATACGGCTTTCATATCACACACAGAGGCCAAGGACGCACGACGTAGCACACTGTCCAGTAATAGTGTTATTAGTGATCTACATCAAAACCAGATAGACTTCCAAGGTTGGAAATTAACTTACGCAGACAGGCGATAGAAGCGCACTAAGGCAGATTTGAGAAGTGGTGCAGCAGGTGCCTAAGAAGCACGACTCGCCGGAAGGACACTATCGAATAGTGATTTAAATAAATACACATCACACCAAGGTTTATCTCAAGGCCAAATGACTTACACCACAGCCAACAACGCCATTGTTGGTACAGATGTCAGCAAAATTGCAACAAGTGCCTGATAGACAGAGATCCCCAGTGGGGCACTAGAGCAAGTTCCTAGCTAAGCGTCTGCAGTTCAAGTTCTTTCGGGGATCACTTACGCCGCATGTCGCGGTAGGTCCGCTACCACAGATGAGACTATTGGCGCAGCAGGAATCATTCAGACATGATGTGTTTTCCGGACACTTTACGACCCAGGGAATCAGTAATGCGTGAATCAAATATATTATCCACTGAAGAGTGACTTACTTCACACGTAGTGCCACATGCTGAAGCTTTGGCGCAACAAGCACCGGATAAACATACATCACTGGCGGGACACTTCAAGATAATGATACAAATCAGAGAACTGTATATCTCAAGAAATATCGTGATGATATTGAAAACATACACATGTGCTGACGCCCATTGCGTCAGTGCAGATTTGACTATCGTCGCAGCACGAGCCCGCAATGCATGTTTGGCCAGCCGCGCACTATAAGAGTGGTCATATGATTAAAAAAATACGGCATGCCATAGCCCATATATCTCCGGGGTGACTTATACATGAGGAAGTACCCTGTGAAGAGACACAGACTTGCGTAGTATCGCAACAAGCACCCGAGAGGCATTTTTGAGTTGGCGAACACTATAAAAGCAACAAGTAGATTAGCATGTATATACTGTGTACTTGAAGGATAACTCACGCAGGTTCCAGCGCAGACTGACAGGGAATCGCAGCAGGTCCCCGAGACACATTGTTGGGTTGGCGAGCACTATATGAGCATCAAGTAAAATTAGTAAACTATCTCGATAGGTATATCCCAAAGCTGACTTACACAGGAGGCACCATTAGCACCTTGACAAACTTCATTGTTAGCACAGCAAGCGCCTGAGACGCATGTCTCGCCATTCGGGCACTGTATCGAGTTTCCTGAATTAGTAAACTGACGGTTTCTGGCCGGAGAGATACTTACGCCACATGTGGCCGAGGCTCCAGTACCGCAAAGCGAAGTATTATCGCAACAGACGCCTGAGATGCATGTTTGGTTTGTGGAACACTATGAAGCATGCTCATCAATAGGTACTCCAAATACGCCTGTCCAGAGGACTCACACAAGTAGAAGTGCCCATTCCAGCGCAGGTTTGGGTAGCAGGACAACAGGTGCCCGAGATGCACATCTCGCCGACTGGGCACTATAAACCAGATTGTCTAAATTAGTAACCTGAGTACCACTTCTGGAGAAATACCTACACCACACGTAGCCGAGGGTCCAGTACCGCAGAGCGAAGTACTGTCGCAACAGGTGCCTGAGACGCATGTTTGAATTGCTGTACACTGTACGTATCGTTTGCATTAGTGAAATTACCCACCAAAATAGCTATATTTGAAATAGACTCACGCAGGTCGAACTGCCGGTGGATCCAGTACAAGCTTGGGCAGCACTACAACAGGAACCCGAGATACATGTCTGACCGGATGGACACTATAATCTTTGGTCAGTAATCCATATATGGGAAATAGAAAGAAAGGATAAGCCAAGTAAAAGACATACAGCAGTACCACAGTGACCACAATTACTACTATCTGTGTTGGTATTGACACATCGGAATTTGCAGCACGTCAGGCCGTCCCAACACTAGAATAGTCATTTGAAATGAGCAGTGGAATGAGCAAAGTATATGTAACAGAAAGTAAGCCCGGGGTGGACCTACCTTCGCTGAAAATAAGCAGAAATTTCCTTCGTCGTCTTTTATATTCGCGCTGGTGGTGTAGATGGCGTCGGACAGGTACTTTTATATTGCATATAAGATCAGTATCTTGTAGCATTGAGGTAGGAGGCTAGTATTACTTACCGTGCTTATAGCAGTGCTAGCAGTCAAGGTGCTTGATCCATGCTCGCTACTGACAGAAATTTCCTCCACCCCAACCCGAGCATTGCCAGCGCCAAAGGCACCTAGCTCCGCGTCAACTTGTGAATTTATATGACTTCCAGGCCAACGATAGAACGGAGGACTTACAAAGTATGCATAATGTATATAGCAGAGCCCTAGTCATGATTATCACTGCCCGAGACATCTGTTATTATCACGTGGGGGCTATTCTCAAGATCAGGCAAGCACAAGAACAAAAGAAGACTGCGGAGCTGCAGAGTAGTACGATGTCTATCATTATAAGCTACGGATCATAATAGACAGTTTGACAACAGGGTATAGTTTGGAAACTAAGCTACACCGCAGTCTTCGGGAACGTAAGCTACACAGAGAACTGTTTGCGGCGTCTGCTGGGGTTTGACCGATGTCAGAATATGCCCGCCCAGAAATCCTACTCCGGGCTCCTGCAGATGAATCCTACATTATGATATCACCCGAACGATATATTACCTTTAAGGTTTGATTTAGCTATGCGACACAGATAGTACATGTAGTACCAAGAACCGAAGGTGATACAGATAAGCCGAAGGATACCATCAATTCAACACACCATGATATTAACAAGATAATCAAATTGGGCTCTATATGAAATAGCACATGCTCCGTGTATACCCATGCAGGCTATTGAGATGCGACATAATAACGACGACGACGACCACCACGGGACTCCAAACAAACATATAAACCAAGAATAGAAAGTCCAGCCGTAATCAAATCATAAACACCGTAGGCTATGTTGCTTTAAAGAGAAAATCAGAAAAAGTCTTTCTCCTCCAACCATTGCTGGTCCATTGCGTATGTCACCAAATCAGCGGCACAGCACATGTCTTCGTGCCCGTGCTCTAGATCGAGGAGCTCGAGAATGGATTTCAGTCTTCCCTCCAGGGTCTGCTTGAGGCGACAGATGCGATTTTGCATGTCCTTCGTCTGACGCTCTTTCACTCGAACCTCAGCCATGTTGCTCTCTTTTGTTTTGCTCTTTTCATTCTTGCCCGGCTTGTTCATGGGGCCTCTGTTGGGAGAACAGGGGGCGAGAGCCTTTCGTACTGGCTGGGTTGGTGGCTGCGAGGCCTCAGGTTCTCGGTTCTTCAGGAGGTTCTTGAGCAGGAAGAGAAGCCAAACCAGGTTTGTCCGCGGTGCATATTCAGACCAGATGTCAGGGATAATGGGTGTTTTCTCTGTTTCCAGGGGGTTTCCGGTATATAGAGTTGCACGCATACTATTTGGCCAAATTAGTGTGGTGTTTTTACGAAAAAATGGTAAAGAGACATACTATCGGTAGGTGTTTCTCAAAAGAATTTCATCTTCGTCCTGGCCAATGGAATCGAAAATCTGCTTCTTGTCCAAATCCGACGAAGTGACCACGGTGGCGTTCTCTCCGCTGTCGGCTAGCTGCAAGTCAGCTCGTGAAAGCGAGTAATCGATAATGGTCGTTTCGAGGGAGCTAAAGCCAAACCCGCTGGCCGATTGCTGACGGATGATGTCGAGGTCCGATGGTGGATCCATGCAGCCATCTGAACGAGTAGATCGAATACAGACATTTCCCAAGTGAAGATCTCGATGCTGAAAAACTGTTAGAAAACCTTCCTTTTCGATGTACTAGGGTTGCGGTATGTATGCCTACCTCAAACAGCGCGTACTCTTCAGCGCGTGCCAGAGCCATGGCAACGCCCCAAAAGATGTCATAGATCTGGAAGACCGACGACCAGCAAAACTTCTCCAGCTCACATCCCGCATCATCCATTTCCACAATTGCCCATAGCTGCGAGTCCGGGTATGCCTTCTTACTGGACGGGTTTGGATTCAAGCAGTCGTTCGAGGTCTTCTTGTAATGGTCCCAAGCACTCTGGAAAGGGCTCGGAAAACGACCCTGTACCACATGGATTTCTCTGAACCGGGCAAATCCGGGGATGGGGTCCAGGTATTTCAGCATCTTGATCTCCGACACAATTTCCTCGATGGTGGTGAATTTCTTCGAACCGGGCCCGCTTTGGGCACGCAGAGGCACCACTTTGAAGACGCCGTCTCCGTATGCTCGCAGCTTTGCCAGTTTGGACTTGGATGCCGCAGGTCTGCATGCCTCGTCGCGCAAATGCAGCTTGTAAACCTCTCCGTATGAACCCTCGGCCAGTTTCGCCACGTCGAACATCTTCTCAGATCGCGAAGCCCATGTACTGAATTTTTGTACATTCTGTGCAGCTACAGAGGACAGGGCTTCGTTGAGGATAGGGCGGGCATAGGTGTTGACTGCGGTGTTGTGAACAACGCCCGATGAGCGTCGCCGGAAGAAGTTCTTTTTTCTTTTGTCGGTGGACGGCGTGTCCTCCCTTCTTGGGCTTGCTTGCACCATGTTGGGTGCACTATTGGCGGGGATTCGGACTGCCACCATGGTTTCATATTTGGCTGGTTTCTTTGGCGCGGTTCTTTGCGAGGGCGACTCAACCGAAGTGTCCGCGGAGGAATGGGTGGGGGATGCACTGGTCGACTCACCGGATGGTGATGCTGTATGGATCTCAGTGCCCTCTGGTTTTGGGTCGGACGGCGGGTTCTCGGGTTCTTTGTGTTGAGGTGCTAGTTGCTCGTCAATCGTCACATTGGCCAGCTTCTTCTGGATCCCTTCCACGGTATCGACATTTTTGGGAGGTCTTTCGGGGCTAGGTTGTTCAAATACTGCTTTGGGGGCATCGGCTCTCCGTTTCCCGTAAACTCTGCGGTGGGCGACGGTCCTGGTTCTGGGTTTTTGTGCTTTCGTGGGTGTCGCGTGACCCGCCAATGGCGAGGCTGCCCGAGTCACCATGGCGTGTATAGTGTATTTTGGAAGCCTCCCTACCGTACGAATGTTGTTGGGATGGTGTGAGATTGAAAACGATGACAATGTGAAGGTGTTGAGGTGAGAGTAAGTGTGGTCCGATGGTGTTGATGTACTTCCCAATTAGGGCTAGCGCTGGTTGCCGCGGTGAAGGGCATGCATTTTTGGTCTGCAACTATGACACTGACATCGGAGAAATTATTGCACATTGGTATGTCGACTGAATAACTGGCGGATATTGCAAAGAAGTAAATGAGATACAGTGAGAGCGACCGACGGTCAACAGGGAGAAACAACTTGGAGGCGGATGGGCTGTATACCATCCGATCGAGGAATCACAACCGACATGTACAGATACTAGGTCGAGAGTCTTCTGTGGCTCCAGGTCTCTGTCCCTTCCCACTCGCTGACCGCGTCAGACCCCTGATGACCACACAGGGGCTGGACTCCAGAGGTGGAGATCAACCTAGCGTGTTTAGTGAGGATAGTGCTTCGCTCGCCTATCATAAGCGCGTGCCGTGACTGGCCCGTGTGCGCGTCGGGGCTGGTCGGAAGGGGTGGAGGGAGTCACGTCATGCTGGAAGTGTTTGAAAAGTACCTAGGGTGTAGTATGCAGGGAATAATAATAGTTCAGAACATAATCTAGAGAAGCTAGCAAATGCAAGTCAGATCAAAATCCCCGTAATGGACGGAGTACGTCAGTCGTCTCGTGCGGTCGGCACGCGGCCTCGGTCGACCCGTTTCTTTTTTTCACGTTCCGCCCGGATCTTCCCTTCCTCTCGCCTCGCCCACACCCACCCTGCTTTCTTCCCTTTTTACCCCGGCTTCTTACCTCGGAATCATCCCTCCTCTCATCTCTCTCAATGATCGGGCATGGCGTTCAACTTCAACTGGTCGCCCTTGATGGCGGACGCGGGCTTCTACACTCGCGCCCAAGACCTGCTGACAGCCGCGCTCAATAAGTCGCCCAAACCCCCGATCATCGTCGACGACATCATCGTCACCGAGCTGAATCTCGGCTCCATCCCACCAGAACTGGAGATCCTGGAAATCGGCGACATCGCCGAGGATCGGTTTCGCGGCATCTTCAAGATGTCTTATTCCGGCGATGCCTATCTCACACTGAAGACTCGAGTGCAGGCAAATCCGCTCAACACCTTTCTTATCACACGACCCGCCTTTGCCTCGCCTCTACCTCTTGCTGCTGCGTATGTGCCACGGAAAAGACCTCGAAAGACTTGTTTGAAAACGTTCCTTGACTGACAGTCTCATCGCGATTTAGCACTCCACTCACCATCCCTCTACAAATCACCCTCTCCGACTTCAAGCTCTCCGGCTTCGTCATCTTGGTCTTCTCTAAACAAAAAGGCATTACGGTCGTCTTTCGCAATGATCCTCTCGAGTCGCTCAAGGTGTCATCGACGTTCGATTCGATCCCGTTCGTGCGCGACTTCTTGCAGAAAGAAATTGAAGCCCAACTCCGCATTTTGTTCATGGATGAGCTCCCCGCCATCATCCACCGACTGTCATTGCGACTGTGGGATCCTGAATACCGTGCTGGAGAAGAGTCAAAGGATCAAGCAGACAACACGGAAACCTCAACGAGCGAAGGCCCCGGGCAAGACCCCTTGGCCAGCCCGCCCCAGGATCCCGTGGATGCTCTGGGTAATGCGCTGAACGAGTCCGAGATTGCTTCGCTTTCGCTGGACTCCTCGGTGGAGACCCATTCCCTGTTCTCACAGAAGAATCTGCTCCGCCTGGCCGCCCTGACGGACTCTCAACGCACCTTGTCTCTGTTCACTCCGTCCATCCAGGAAGTTGTGTACCGAGCGTGGACGTCTCCAACCGATCCCAACGAACTCTCTGCAAGCGTCATCTCTCCTCTCAGCCCTCCACTTTCGCGGACACATTCGCAGACACATTCGCAGACACATTCGCAGATCGGCAGCATGTCATCCTCGTTCCACGAAACCGCCAGCACGATCTCTATGCAAAGCCGCCCATCCGTTGGCGGTCATTCCTTCAGCAGTTATGGGTTGAGTCTGGGCTCGGGACGTCACTCGAAAGCCCATTCCCGCAGAAGAAAGAAGCGCGTGGTGGATCTGCGTGCTCGTCCGAAGACGACGGATGACGCCTTGAGTGTGAGCGACGATAGTGCCATGACCGAATCCATTAGCGCCCAGTCTATCTGCTCTGCGCCTCTTCCCATGGTGAGCGAACAATCGGATGACCCGGTAACACCGCCGCTATCTCCGGAGACGGACTCCCACCTGCTTTCGATCCCCGAAGCGCACCGCATGAGTCTCTCACGGCCATCCCGTCGCCGTAGCTCGCTGAATCTCGAGAACACCGACCTATCCTACTCCCTTGAGACCATTCGTGGCCCCAAGGCAGTAGATGTGGACGCCACGCCGCGCGCCACCATGCGCTACCCCAATGAGAAGGCCGAGGCGGGTCCGTCGTCCGGTTCATCTCGGCCGCCATTGCCTTCAATGGTCCTTCCGTTCACTAAGGACGATAAAACGGCTGACCAAGCCGTCGACCCAGTCCTGGTCGAACGTCTTGCGGGCGAGATTGCTCGCCGCATGCGCGATGAGAAGTTGGTGGCCACCAACTCAGGTAGCAACTTCTGGGACCGCCATCAGGAGGAATCCCCTCCGCCAGCTTATGGTCATTAAGCTATTTCATGATTGTCACGAATTTCCTTGATTTCATTTGTTGCTTGGAAGCGGGTCTGTACAAAATTGGGTTCTTTCTTGCTTGCGATCGTTTCTTGGGATTGTTGTACTGGATACCACGTTCACTTTTCTTTTGTTTTATCTTGGATCATCGAAATGAACCCTCCATTGGAATTATCTATAAATTCGGTCGTAGCTAGATCTATGTTGAGAACAATGACCCCTAACTGTAGCAGTTTCGTCCTCGATCGAAGCTCGGGGAAATCCAACCCCGGGCGCACGGACCTGAGCTTCCAGAAGCGCAATTCAATTCTTCCTTCCACTTCCTCCCCTTTCCCTTCTCCATCTCCATCCGAAACACCATGGCGGGCGTGTTCAAGAATGTCTTTGGCTCTAAGCCCTCGGGTCCTGCCGGGCCTGACGATGGTATGTCCTGATCCATTGCTGTGCACCAATGCTTTCTTCCCCCCTACCCCCCGCTGATCGTATGCCTCACCTTAGATTTTGCCGACTTCGTGGAGGCTCCGAACCCATCGCCCGCCTCGCTCGTGGCCGACACGACCACCGTCCCCGCAGCCAATACCCTCGCAGCAACCGTCCCGTACACGAAATGGTACCGGATCTGGGAGCGCGTGTCCCCCAGTGACTTCCAACAGGAGGCGATGATCATGCCGTTCATCATAGCCATCCTCCTCGTGCACTTCTGGGGCACACGCAAGAACCGCCGGCGGGCGAAGGATTGGGCCCAGGCTCATGCCCCTGTCCTCCAGAAGGAGTTTGCGGTGGTTGGGTTCGACGGCATTCCCCGCGTGTCCACTGAGGGTGGTGATTCCCTCGATGTGGAGCTGGTGAACCCGGAGGAGGTGGTTCAGGAGAAGTCGGCGCACGAGTTCACTGCGTACGCATCCGGCCGCCAGAACGTGGCTTTCGTCGATGTGGCGCTCAAGATGCCCAAGCGGTACAACCCGGTCACTTACCTGGTGGAATACCTTTTCAGCTTCTTCTTCGAGACCTGGGAGGTGCCCAGCGAGCGGTACGAGGCTCTCTTGTATACGTTTGATGGCAAGGAGAAGGACCTGGTCCCCGTGGCCGCCAATGATTCGCTCAAGGTGCAGCCCTCGACCTACGATGGTTTCATCTGGGCTGTTGTCCACAAGAGCCACATGAAGAAATTCCGCACCGACCGCTACGATGCCTCGATGACCTTCACCAAGGATAACCCCAAGCTCCCCCCGTGGGTCACGGTCATGACCGAGAATGCTGAGATCAGCGATATCCTTCTCTCTACCGAATTGATCAAGGCCATTGAGGATGCAGGTAGTAACTTCGAGTATCTGATTGTGACGGACCAGCCTCTGGACAAGCCTATCAAGTATGTTTCCGGCCCCTTGCCCCCTTTTCTCTGGACCGACCTAACCCATACAGGATTGAGGAGACCGTCCCGAGGAAGCGCGTCCAGTTGTCCGTCAACCTCGCCTCATCTGTTGCCGGCTATGCCTCGACTTTGCCCCTGTTTACGCAGTTCCTGCGCTTTGGCGACCGCCTGGTCGCCTCAGCCCACTTCCGCGGCGAGGTGATGCGCAAGATCCGCAATGCCCGCGAGGAAGAGATCAAGAAGATCCGCCGCCTCGAAGAGGAGGACAAGGCCGAGGAGCGCAAGATCGCCGCGGAGAAGATCAAGAAGGAGGAGCGGGACCGCCTGCTCCGGAGCATGACTGCGGACGAGCAGCGCAAGTTCCTGGATCGCGAGAGCCAGAAGGGCCAGCGGAAGTCGATGAAGAAGTACTCCAAGAGAGGGTAGATGGGCAATGGGGCATTCTAGTTTGATTTGGCCCTGATTCTTATGCCGGCTAAAAACCGGCTAAAAGGCGAGCGTGACCGCTTGCTTTTCATCCTCTTCGTGTCTTGCTTGTATTCCTATATTTTGATCTTCTCAGATGTACTGTTAACTACCAAATGGCAGCCGCGATGGAGAGATATTCCCTCTTGTCCTCCGCCCTCCATGTTTCCTCCTTCACTCCAACCCTAACTGCTCCTCCATTATTACCTCAACAGCCCTCACTCTCAACGTCCAATTATCCCTTATTCACCATGCAGCTCCTGACCTTCTTGGCCGCTGTCCTTTCTTCCACGACCTCCTCCGCAGCCGCCTCCATCCCCAAGACCTGGTCTCTCTCGTCCCTTCTACCCAACGACACTGGTCATGCAACCATCTCTCAAGTGCCCATCGGCGCTGTGATCGATCACTGCATCGTGCCGGGCACAATCGCCCTCACCTTCGATGACGGGCCATATATCTACACGCCGCAAATCCTCGACACCCTCTCCCAACGCGGTGCCCGCGCAACCTTCTTCCTGAACGGCATTCACATGGGCAACATCCACGAGCACGCGGATACGATGCGCCGCGCAGTAGCCGAGGGCCACCAACTCGCCTCGCACACGTACTTCCTCCTCTCCATCCTTTGTCCCGTGTATACCCTAAACTAATCCAACCCAACCCAGATGGAGCCACCCCAACCTCTCTACCCTCGACCACGCAGGGATAGTATCACAAATGACGCAACTCGAAGACGCCTTCGCGCGTATTGTCGGCGTCATCCCGCGCTACATGCGCATGCCCTTCCTGATGTTCAACCCCCTCGCGCTCTCCATCATGACCGAGCTGGGCTACCACGTTATTGGAGCGAGTATCGATACCAAGGACTACGAGCACGACGATGCTGGCCAGATCTGGATGAGTTTTGAGAAGTTCAAGGCGGAGCTGAATGCCGGTGGCACGGTCGTGCTGGCACATGATGTGCATTATAACACTGTTAATGTGCTGGTGGAAAACATGTTGAATGAGGTTGAGGCTAGGGGTTTGGTCCGTAAGTTCCATCCACTCCCACTCCCTGGTTTAATTTTGAGCTGTGATGGTGAGGTTTGGTTTGGAGATGATGATATTGATTTGGCGTATAGCTGTTCCCGTTGGTGAGTGTTTGGGGGATCCGCAGGAGTTGTGGTACGCCGCGCCGAGGTAGATGAGGTTGGCTTTGATAGGAGGGGAGAGTGCTCTTCTTGTTCGTCTGCGTTGGATAGGATGAATGGCACTGTTCCATTCAATTCAGTTCCTGTCGACTTGTATTAATCCACACGGACAATGTGGATGCTTTCTCGAGGTTGAACTCAGGTTTTCTTAACTCCAAAATCGCCAAGACCCTATACCATCTACTAACCGCAGAGAACAAAGATAATGACACGGAAGTCTATTGCAACTAGATCTATAATGCAGCACGCCTATCTCACACGCATGACCAAACAAACCCCAAAACATGGTATCATGAAACCAATATTTTCAATATTGGTCTACTGCTTGCCAAAAATCTTAACCCGCTCCTCAAGGGGCTTCTGGGTCTTCTCACCCGCAGGGGCCTCAGGGCTACCGAAGACCATCTGCGCGACAAGGCGCCACTCAGTAGGCAGGTTCCACTCCTTCGCGACAGCGGCGTCGATCAGCGGGTTGTAGTGCTGCAGGTTTGCGCCGAAACCCAGGGCCTCGAGGCCCGTCCACAGGAAGTACTGGTGCATGGCGTTGGAGTGGTCGGCCCACGGCTCGAAGTGATGCGCAAAGGCGGCGAATTTCTCCTGGAAGGGCTTGATGTGGGCGGGGTCTTCGAAGAAGAGGATCTATTTATTTGGATTCGGATTAGTTTCAATTGCTTTTGTAAGGCAGTTGTGGGGGTTATGGTAGGAGAGGCGAGGAGGAAGGAAACGTACAGTGCCGTAGGCCTTCTTGAAACTCTGCAGCTTGGGGAGAGTCTGGTTCTTGAACATCTCCTCGGAGACGGCGCCGGACGCGACGAGGCCGCCAAAGGCATCGGCGGCAAAGTCCCACACCTTCTCGTGCTCAGAGTTCAGCAGCACGACAATACGCGTGGACTGGGTGTTGAACGAGCTGGGGATATGCAGGATGGCGGCGTTGACCAGTTCCTCGACCTTGGAGTCAGGCACGGGGCTGTTCCGACCCAGCTGGTAGATGGTGCGGCGCTTCTCCGCCAATTGCACGAGGGCGTCGGCCGTCATGTTTGTTGATTTGGGTGTGTGGTTGTTGGGGGAAGAAGAAAATGGACGGATGTGTGAAGATGTAAGAGACAGGCGGGATACTGGGATGGGAGAGGGCACTGATATAGGACTACTCTTGAGGGTGGTGGGGCCCGGTAGAGAGTGGAGATGCTTGGAAAGGGATCGAAGGAGTCTTGCCATGCTGGTGTCTTTTTTATATGCAATTCGAGTCTTCCATAGAGCAGTCCTCGGATACGTACCGGGTTTTTATGTCTACAAAAAAAAATTGTATCCAATGACATGAAATAACCACTTGAAATAGCCTTTATCCGAGTGGCGTTCTTTGTTCCTGCCTGTTCCCCTTTTTTAGGATTTTTTTTCCTTCTCCGCTGTCTAGAACAGGTGGTACCGTATTCTTGAAGAGGCAGTTGCGGAATTAAGCCAGTTCCGCTGAATAATAGCCCCACGCTTTGATCAGCATTACAAAGCCCAAATGCGCTAGAGCCAAGCTTTTCGCATCTAGATTCGGGGTTGCGCCGATGCCGTTGCGCCGGTGCCGAGCGTTCTGATTATCAACGCGTTATTAATATTAGTAGATAGTTAAGCCCCGCTGCTGATGCGATCGGTGAGTGCTACGTCGTCAGTTCCTGTTGGATTTTAAAGAATTTTCTCGAGTTGACAGGCCTTTTGGGTCTTTCCTCCCCCCGTATCGTTATTCCGTATATCCGATGGTGGTGACATAGGCCCCACATTCGGCAAAAGACTTCGTTGCCTACGAGCCGTTGGGGAGTAGATGTCACTCGGTATGTAACGACTTTTATTGGTTGATCATACTATCGCAAGCCGTGGTGCTTCCTTGACTTGCCTCGACGCTGAATCTCTCACAAGCAACCTTGAACTTGTTTCCATCGAGACACGATAACCCTAAGCCACCTCTAGTATTAAAGCACACCGTTTTGAATAAGGTTTATATTTCATAATTTGTTGAAATACAATCATTCTTCTTAGCTCCAATCATTAAATAAATACCGTATGAATAGTATATGCCATTCATAACTCAGAGACCCGTCTTGAAATTTGGAAAAGGTATAGTAATTTTCACCATGCAGTGAAGCTTTTCGGCAAGCCCATCATCGCATCGATATCACGCTTGCAATTGGGAATGCAAAAAAGAAGAAGAAGAAGAAGAAGCAGTTGCGATCGTGCTTATTAGGAAGCTCCAGCCTGTGGGGATGGATACCTGTGGGCTGGCGGGAGCCATTGCTGTTGGGGCGGATATCTTTTCCAGTAGAGTTTAAGCATCGGTTTGGCAGACTGTTCAGCTCAAACTAAAATTTAATCTCTGGTTCTTCCGACCATCGACCAGATTCTGCTGGCTGAGAGCGACAGTTATGAGGTTCAATGCCTTGCCGAATTGGGCATCGAATTGACGGTTCTACATGTTACCAACAGAGACGGGCACATTTGGGGAGTTGAAAGTATTCAATGGTTTTTCTTGTGCAGATCTGATAAATGTGTTTCGATCCAGGGCCTAGGGTGCATGTCATGTTTTCAGTGATGTGACATAATGCTCCTAATCCCCTGTGGAGGAATTGTGGAACCAATGTATAAAAGAAGTTTTTGTGATATGAAGTTGACCGAGGCCTACAATTTTGAAGATTTCATTATTCTCTTCTAGCTTGCAGTTCTCTGCCTAGTCATGTCCGATAGCCACGGTTCCTGCACTAGACATAGAAAATTGCCAATCGAAATGTTAGTTATCTATAAGGGAAAACACAACCATTCTCAGACATCCACCACAGTTAAGAGAGACTCTTATAAGCTTCACGAATAAACTCCACCGTCTCATCCGCCTTGCTCAAGAAAGGACTATGTCCCGCCTGCAGTGTCTTAGTCGTAACCGAAGCTCCAGCTTGCTTTGCGCCTGCAACCATTGCCTCCTGCGCCTGAATAGTCATTGCATTATCCTCAGTGCAGTGAAGATACCAAACCGGAACATCAGCCCACCCAGCATAGATACTATCACTATCACCGAAAGTCGCCGCTGAATGATTCACAAGCCGGCTCTGCCAATGCTTAGCCTTCTCAGCCGGCAAGTCGTTGTAGAATAGGTCGATTGTGTCATCATCAATAACCTCCCACCCATCTGGAGAGGTATGGGTACGAAACCCACCGGGTGCGCTTGCAACCAGGTCGCGAAGGGATACATTCGACGGGACCATAAAAGCACACATTTCAATGATACCCACAACTTGCCCCTTGGCCGTGCCCAATTTGGACGAGTCCTTCGCGGTGAATCCCTTCACAGCGCTGCAGCCCACAATGCCGCCAAAGGAGTGGTTGACCATGATCACGTCATTGCCCTTGGTGGTCTCGGCCAAGATGATATCTTGGACCTGGCTAACGTAATTCACTACCGAGTCGCCCACCCTACCGAACCGCCCGCTCCGCCCGCGAACGCGTAAATTTATCTACTCCTACCACTTCATTCAGCGACCATGTCACCAATTCGCAATATTACCACCCATACGCGTCAGAATCAAGAGGGCAGGCTATTACTTGCTATTGAGGCTCTCAAAAATGACGAAAAATTGACTGTACGACGCGCTGCGGATCTATACAGTGTTCCGCGCACCACCCTTCGCGATCGCCGCAGCGGCACCACTGAACGCGCTACGACGCGCGCAAACAGCCATAAATTGACCGAATTAGAGGAGAAATCGCTAGAGAATTGGGTTCTTTCTATGGACGACCGTGGAATTGCTCCTCGGCATGAATTAGTGCGAGAGATGGCGAATTTACTACTATCTCAGCGCGGCCAAGGTCCTCTAGTAACGGTTGGCAAGAATTGGGTCACCAAGTTTATCAAGCGTACACCAGAGCTTGATACACGATATACACGGCGCAGGGACTATCAGCGCGCTCTCTGTGAGGACCCAAAGCTAATTCAACAATGGTTTGACCTTGTTCAAGAGGTTATTTGCACCTATGGTATCCACCAAGACGATATCTACAATTTTGACGAAACTGGTTTCGCAATGGGCCTCTGTAGCACTTCTAAAGTAGTAACCCGCGCTGGTTACTATGGACGAAGGGCTAAAATTCAGCCAGGGAATCGCGAGTGGGTAACAGCAGTTGAAACAATTTGTATGAGTGGATGGGCACTTCCACCAACAATTATATTCAAAGCAAAAACCTACAATTCGGCTTGGTTTTCTTCCGAAATCAACCTCCCTTGCGACTGGTGTATTGAGGTTAGCGACAATGGATGGACGACTAATGAAATTGGCCTTCGGTGGTTAACAAATCACTTTATACCATTGACTAATGGCCGTACGAAGGGCAAGTGGCGTGTCCTAATTTTGGATGGACATGGAAGCCATATGACCGCTCAATTTGACCAAATATGTAGAGATAATAATATTATCTCTATTTGTATGCCGCCACATTCATCCCACCTACTTCAGCCGCTTGATGTGGGTTGTTTCTCTATTATCAAGCAAGAATATGGTCAATTGATTCAATCGATGATTGTGGATGGTATACACCATATTGACAAGCTTGATTTCTTGTCTAATTACCCCCTTGCGCGCGCAAAAGCATATACACAATCGACTATTCAAAATGCTTTTGCTGGCGCCGGTCTTCTACCTCTTAATGCGCAGCGGGTATTGGATAAATTGAATATCTCTATCGATATTACCCCCCCGGGTAGTAGGGCAGGAGAGAGTGGAAGCAGCGGTTTTATCCCCTGTACACCACAGAAACCTATTGAAATTCAGCGGCAAACGCGGTCAATTGGCAAATTGCTACAGCACGCTTGCCAATTAGAACTGGATAACAATATCGAGAGAGCTTTGGTGCAAATTGAACAGTTGGCAAAGAGCGCGCGCGCTAGTATGCATGAAAAAACGCTCTATTTAGCCGATATCAACCGAATGCGCACCGCTCATGCCAAACAGCAGAAAAAACAAGCAATTCTTGGCACAAGTATCAGTCGATTGGAGGGTTGTACGCGCGCACAGTGGGAGGACGAGTATATTCGTGCCAATAATACTACAGCGGCAGGGCCTAGTGGGACAGGAAAAACGACGTTTCAAAGAGCGCCGCCGCGCTGCTCGAACTGTAATACACTCGGGCATAATAGAACACGCTGCCCGAATTAATTTACTGTATTTATCAATTTCATACTGTTCCTGGTGGTCGAGCAATATTCAAAAATATTAGTAGGGACCGGGCGGAGCGGGCGGTTCGGTAGGGTGGGCGACTCGGTAGTGAATTACGTTAACGGTGCTGACTAAAGATGAGACGGGCTCAGGTGTGCCGCACATTTGAAGCTGAGGAGCAATGCAGTGATAACCATCTTGCTCTAATTCCGTGATGATATTCGTGAAACAGTCGGCCAGGTGCCATCCGCCGTGCACAAAGATGAGGGTTGGGTTGGACGAAATCATTTTGAAACGAAATAGGGCAGCGAGAGAAGACAATATCCAGCGAAACGCTCAGAGAAGAAATTTTGACGTGGAAGAGTTGGTGAGAAAGCGACATCAAGCTGCTCCGCGGTGTTTATTTGAAGGATCGAAGGATCGAAGAATTAATTTCTCTTCTAGTCTGGGTGCAAGCGCCTGAGCGCTTCGTGGTGGCTATGCTTACTTCGCATCACTTACCGTAACTAGAGGGCAATCATGTTATAAATCAGCGCTAGTAGACACAATCATCACTTTACTCTATTAGGATAGGAGGCCTTGTTTTGGAAACTAGTAACAAGTATTGTTTCGACGCGTCTCCTCGTTCCTGAGGAGCATCTTTCTCTGCTATCTAACCATGGGTCTGGAGAAGGATTATCGCGCGTATAGATAATGAGGTGCATACTAAGTACTTGTATTCTTCCGCATTTTCTTCGGCCTGCTTTGATTGTGATTTACTTTTATTTTGCACTGCTAGCGCTGATTTATTTCAATGGCCTCCCGCTGTATCTCTGATCACCTAGATGCGGCCCGGCAAATGGTCGAGCTATGATCTCCCCGCCGATTTACTTATAATTCGGCCAATTGCCGTGAACTATTGTTGCCCTAGAATAGACAGGATGTCTAAAAAGTCTCAGGGAGTGTTCAGCCAGCACGACCCTTATTGTACCCTAAAGTTCGCCAGACTCAAGGTTTTCAATTCACGGTCTGCTTTTAACTTCTTGATTATATCTTCGGACCAAAAGTCTATCTGTTGAAGTCTTGAAAGAACGACAAATACTGTCAACTTTTCGGGTGCAGTAAATAGTCAGAATTCGACTCCCGCCAAAAAGCAAACGACCGCAGACGCAAACGCTCTCGCATCATCTTGTCGTTCTTCGAAATCAGGCCCAACTTGCTCCAAAAACAGTGCCAACTTCGACTGCTTCCACTGCATCCGCGGTGCAGAATCCAAACACATCTTCTGCATTCCAAACGCGTCGAGTTCATAGTGCCCTTGCACAGACAGGACTCTCCCGGGATGATACAGTCCTTGAATAGGGCAGATCGGTGTGCTGCCCACATTGATCCAAGGTGCCGGCAGAGACACTGGCAGCGAGTCGGTAAGAGTCACAGCCTGGCCTTTTTCCACGGCCATCACTCTGTCACCGTGAAACATTTGGATGCGTAGTTGGCCTTGTGAAAGATGCCCCAGTGCTCCTGGGAATGATCGAATGAATGCATTTTCAAGCTGCACGGTGTAGATACCGACTTCTCTTCCGAGGGGGCATTTCTCGACAAATACATCCCGCACGGGGTCCTTCGGATCGCGGACAAGGATGTGCGAGATCAGCTGGTGGCCGAAACAGGTGCCCAGGATACGGACTTCTGGGTATCGGTCGTAGATCTCTCTGAGAAATTTCGCTAGGGTTTGCATCCACGGCGACTGGTCCATTTCATACACTCCTGGCTCGCCCCCAGTGATCAAGATAGCGTCAATGGGAGACGTTTCGGGCCACTGGATCTGATCGAGATGGCCACGCATCTTGCGAAAATCAGGGTAGTGGCCTCCTCGAATGTCGTATGGAGTAACGCTGATATTGATAGGATTGTCACTCGCTAAGCCGCTTTCGTTGATCTGTCCCGCGGTCTCTTGGAGGATATTGCGAAAGTGCGCGCTGCAAAGCCCGCGGGCCTCGTAGAGAATACGGGCTGGGATGTCAACATCGAGAACGGCGACGTGGATGTTGCGAACCATCTCTGTAGATAGCTGGGAAAGCAATGATACTGTTTTTTATTCAGACTGAAATGAGAGCGAAGAGCGAAATATAGTGAAGAAATTGTCAACACGCACTACTACGAGTCAGCCGACTCCAATGCGTCTTTGAGACGAATTATGTAAAATCATTATTGTCGTTAAAGTCAATGGAATAAAATGGGGGTAAGAGAAATTCTGGCGTTGAGTATAGAAGTTCTTGAATACTCCACCTACTCCAACTTTGGTCCCAGCCATTATGTAAAAAGCATGTTGGGTGGCATCGACCAAGAAAAATTTTAAATTGCAACACGTTCCTTTCAATCGTTTCTTCCACAGCCCTTCGTGAAGTGCATTAAAAGGTCAGCATAGAAATTAGATCATTAGCAAAGATACCTAATTACTGTTGTTGAAGGAAATCGCCAAGTTGACCTTAAAGGATTCAACTTGTAACACGAGACACCTCGGCATTGATAAGTAGAATGTCAGTAAATGATGCAGCAGGTTGACTGCCGATCAACTGACTCAATGGGTATTTTGTCCGATTTGTCACTTCAGTTGCTGCACCGCAAGAAGCGGTATCATCTTGGGCGCCGCCCCAGGGTCGATCAGGAGGCCACGAAAAGGCAGCAGGAACAACCGTTAGGAGAAGATCACGAACATACGGCTTCGAGCAAAATCAACAGTGATATTATATATATTGCAGGTTTTTTAGTATTCCGCTTCGAAAAGACTTCTCTTTTGCCTTGTAACAGATGACATCGGCAAGGTTTACCGGACCCTCTAGCAGAGACTGTTGGTCCAGTGGAATCGGTTTATGATTCCTCAAACTGAACCAAGAGCTGTGAGTCGGTCCACTACGCATCTGATTAAGATCAAAGTTTAACCTAGAATGACATGTTATGGCGGTGCTTTGGCACACTAAATTCAAGGAGGCGACGGACGAGTAGGAATCAATGCTACAGAGTGCTACAGATCCTGGTTGGATGGGCTAGGAATTTAGTTCCTAGATTAATAAGATTAGATGAATTAGATTTTCTCTCCCTTGAACTGTCGGTTTATTCCAATTTTTCGGCGCGTCGGGAATTATTTGATATGGAGCTTGAACAAAATGTATCATGCAAACGCCTTTGTTTATGGAACCCATATCTGGAATCGAACTTGAATCTAGTTTTAGTCTGTGATTCTGCTTTAACTTCAAATATGAAACACTTCTCTTTCTCGGTATTAGTTTTGATTGCTATTTTCATCTCCTCGACAATGGCCTACAATTGCCTGAGACGTGACAGGACTTAAACCCAGCTTTTCCTTTGTACGATTGTCACGAAGTACATATGTGGTATATTAGCTCTTCCTAGGCAGTTTTCATACACTCGGACTTACCATCATTTCCAAGCGAGGTCATTCTCATCTCCAAGTGTGATAACTACTGCTCTAAACACAACATTCACCTCTTATCTCAAGGCAATCCTGAACGATGCCCTCTCTTATGGCGTTATGTTACCCGTCTAGTTCGTAATCTTGATGGATTTTTTTGCTAATTGTCATGATTTGCAGAGCTCGACAACAGATGCAGCAGCTTCAACGACACTTACCGCCGGAACTGCCTCGACAGTCTTGCAGAACGTGGTTCTGTCTGTCGTGGTAGGAACTCTAGCTTGAGTCATAGCTTTTCAGTTTATTTGCCAATCGTTTCATTCCTGTCGGTAATCCTGCAAGCGCAGGTATTTAGTCCGAATGTCGCTCAGTTAAAATAGACGTTGCTCGTTTATCATGGACATTCTTACGAGGATGGCGTCTTAAGTGGATCTTAAAATAGAGGGGTACATCTAGTCTTATGTTGTAGTTGTTAGGAGGAGTGGGGGTTTACTAACACAGATTGACGAGAGCGATAACTACAACTCGCCCTAATCATAAGCCTGAGGATTAGTTTATTAGATCAGGGCAACCGTAAGACAGCTATCTAACATGATATATCAAACATGGGGCGGAACTACATCAATATGAACCCACCGCTGTAAGCATCGTTGTCTTCATCATGTCTTACACAGCCACAACCTCCTCTAAAGTGGCGTGCAAGGCTTCCCTTGGCATTGCACACGGAGGGGTTGCACAGACAGGCATGAGCCAATGAAGTTATCGCTTAAGATATCCAAATGCCTCACGCAATTTGACCTATTCACCCAACCCCGCAGATATAAAGACTGCCCCTCATTGCTCCTCTTACACCCCCCAACTACGATAACAACATGACGACCGCATACTACGAGCATCGCATAGCTCACGTATCCTCCCGGAAGCCGCGTAAAACCCTAAGAGCACCAGTGCGCCATATCGCCATTCGCAAGGAACTTATCGCAGCCTCGAAAACCCGTCTCGTGCTTCGGCCGGAAGGTCGCCCCAAGTCGGCGGTGGCATATAGAATCACAGATGAAGATGGATCGCCACATTTTACGGTGACAGGAAGGAAATATAGTGATCGATCATGTCGTGAATTCCGCGACGCCTCGGGACTGCCTTTGTTCGAGCTGCATCGCAGGATCTCATTCACCAATATCTGGTCCGTTTCGTTACCCGGCAGCAATAATGGCAGTATAGCCATGGGGACACCGCGATGGTCACTCAGTTCGCCCTCGGCCGGAAACTTTAACATCACTTTTGAGAATGCAGCTGCCATTCAAAACAAGAGTGAGCAGGAGAAGAAGCTCACGCTTCAGGTCGAGCGGCACGGAAATGCGTTAGCACTGTTCGATATTGTGGATGGCGATCGGAAGGTCGCTGAGGTGCGCGAAAGTATCCAGCATAATGAAAAGTTGGCCTTGATGCGCAGTTCGCGCCAAGGGTATCGACCTGCTCTGGATGTGATTGTTACTCCAGGCGTGGACCTGTCGCTGGTAGGTTTTTTATGGAATGTTCACCAGTCGGAACTGACTCTGAAACAGATTGTCATAATTGCCGTTATTGTAGAGGACTGGATCTTTGGTTCGAGTTGAATGGACGAAGTAGCATATGTGTTTACGAATAGCCTTGCATTTTTGATGTTGGTGATGACCATCTGACTTATTGATTCTGGCCTGAGATGGATCAGCGGCCTTGTGGGACTTCTTATTTACCATACGAATTAAAAAATAGTTCCTGCCTCTAAGCCATGCTTGTTGAACGCGGGTCGATCACTCCGCTCCTTGGGGCCGGGACGGGCCAACAGCCTCACCTATGCCTAATGTGTCCTACTCACCCCCCACCCGGGGAAAGGATTGTCAGGAACTAAAACTAAGCCCCTGCCAAGGCCATTCTCGCTACATGCATGATTTCATGAGGCAGAATTCCAGCAAGCCAGTTTCTCAATATTCAATATCATAATGTATAAGATTTTGATTTTAATCCAAGCATTCAACTCTGATATATCTTGAAACATTATCCGAAATTCCGAGTATAAGCATGAATAATTGACGCTATCATTAGCTATTCGGATTTTTGGACCAAAGAAAAGATTGGATCGACATCTAGTGTAACCAGTTTGCTCAACTTCTACTTGTTTGGATGTGCTTGAAATTTCGGCCGCTGACGGATCAAATCTAGGATAGGTTGGAAAAGCCGTCGATCATTCGATCCCAGCTCGTTAGATGCCATCTCCTTCTCACCATCTGCGCGGAGATCGTTCCAGTTCACCCAGTCCCATCCCGCGCACTTCTCAGGCTCGAGGAGCTTGCGATTTGTGAGTGTCAAATACTGACTAACAGGAAAAGCATGCCCTAAAACTTACCTGAGGCTGTGCACTCTTGTCAGATAGATAGGCCCCCATGAATATCGTGACGTAGTGTTTGCCTTCGTTCGCCATGATGCTGTTGGTGGCCGTCAGGAACTCCAGACCTTGGATATCCAGGCCCGTCTCTTCAAGCACTTCCCGTGCCGCGCAGTCTTCAAATGACTCGCCAATTTCAAGGTGCCCGCCCGGGAGCGCCCATGTTCCTGAAATAAATATATCAGTTAAGAAACGATTGCATAAGGGTTCTGAACACACCTGCGCCAATACTCCCCAGTCGCTTGCCTAGGATGAATTTGCCTTCGGCATTATAGACAAAAACTCCAACACCGATCCCTGGCTGCATTTCTCGGTATCAAGGATTGGTGGTACAGGTTGCTTTATTTCAGGAGTTGAATCGCACGCACGAGTCAGGAAGGGAATTTGTTTTGAGTCACGTTTCGGCCTGAGGCAGCAATAAAGGATGTCGATCTATACAACTCGGAGTCTAAATTGCGATGAACAAGTGTTCGTGCATGAAAAGGATAAGAGAAACGATAGAATCCCATTGTTAGGCAAACGGATAATCTCAGACAGCCGCCCATCAAACATAATCCAGAGAACAAGAATCAGAGAACCACCCAAAGACATCGGCCTGAATCGCAGCATAGCCAACACCACTTGGTAATATACAAACCAAACATCTCTCCGAAACACGTTTATTTCTCGGGAGGAGAACTAGATTAGTGTAGTTGACGGGCCCGTACCAGCCGGTCCGTCTCGATTCAAGAATGAGGCTCAACTGAGAGAAAAAGCAATTTATGTAGAGGGAGTAGATCTCCTCGAGCTCTGCAGAGCGCAGTCACTACGTTCTTGACTGCTATTGGCGCCTCGATACCAACCTTCACTGATGAGCTGAGTCTCCACATCCAGCCAGTACTCGGCCTTGCCGCCTGAGCCAGCTTTCACATCGAGATCGCCGAGGCGGATTTCGACGGGGGCTCTGTCGTCGCTAGGAATCTTTTGCATATAGTGTCAGACTCAAAACAAACACAGACAAAGATAATCCAAGGAGACTCACTTTAATGTACATGGTACAATCCCTTAGCGTCATCGCAACAGACATCTCCGGCGACTGTGCCAGCGGACCATGTAATCCGACATTCTTCATGGCTTTCTGATGCGACTGCAATTTCTGAAGAGTGGTATTGCGGTACAATACGCGGGCTAGCTGCGTGCGATCTCCGCAACCTTTGATAAACGCCGTTGCGCGGAACACATTCTCGAACCGCTCCGAGACCAAATCCAAAGGACAAAAGGACCGCTGGTGGTCTGTCTGCTGCAGATTCCATGCGTTGGAATCCTTCATCTCCCTCAACGCGCACGTGCGGCACCGGCGGGCCGTCGAGGGCGCTGAGGGCGACTGCGTAAGCCACTTTGGTTTCAGCTCGGCCATGCTGGCTCCGGGTTCGTCTGCGGTGGTCATGTCGGTGATGAGAAGACCAAAGGGCTCATTCAGACAGAGATAGCCGCCATGGCGCTTTGACGGGCGTAGACCGTTAATTTCCGCAAGACGGAGCTGTTCGTTGCAGCGCTGAATCAGCCCCTCGGGCAATCGGATCAGAGTCTGGTCAACTAGCTCTTCCGGGTTGAAGAGCGGTCTGATGATATTGTCGAAATTGCGCACGGTCTCCTGGTAGGGAATATCGGCCGCAGTCTCTTTGCGCAGACGCAGCAACTTCCCTCCTAGCTGAGCCGGCACGTTGCTGCACGTCTCGATACCCGCAGTGGAAAGCGATCGATTCACCGCGAGCGCGGAGTTGACCGGAGCAGACGCGGGCGAAACAAAGCGGTAAATGACATTGGCACCGCCCTCGGCGAGGTAGACGAGCTGAATCCCCGCCGGGAGCTCACAAAGATGGGGTTTGGTCATCCGGGGTGGCGAGCAAAATAAGCGAGGCGCGCAAGAGCATGGCTTGTCTGCCCCGGTCCGAAAGAAGCGAATCTCAGAGATGGACCGTCAGAACAATATTGTAGATGGGAGACTGAATCATGAGAAGCAGCCACTAGGATTGCTCATGCATGTCATGAATGAATAAGGAAGGGGGCCAATACGATCGTCGGAGTTGGGTTTAGAAGTTGCGCTGATCCCCCGCGGCGGGAGGATGTGAGTGAGTGTGTGTCCGTTAGTTTGTGGTTGAGAAAGACAGAAGGAAAAGAAACAAGAAAGAAAAGACAGGGTTTAGCGAAGATTCGGTCGATCAGTGGCGCTCACCCCTGGGTCCATCACCGGCGAGGTTTAGTGCACGTCATCCATCGCATCAGTTATTTATTTGATGCAGTCAGCGTGTTTCTTCCTCACTCAGCCTCACCCTCAACATGAATTCTCTTCCCACGCCATCGCACTGCACCGCCGACTTCTGCCTGATCCCGGTACTGATCCCATCTCATTTGGATCTACTGTCATCCCTCGCCAATTACTAATAATCCCTTCCCCAGATCGGCACCTCCTCCCCCTCGGTCTCGGCTCAGGTTGCCGACGTCCAGCGCCTGATCGAGCAGTCCGGGGTGAAATACACGATGCATTCGGCGGGCACGACGCTCGGTACGCACGCATGTCTTGCTTTGTTGCTCTTCTTTCATGCAGCGCTAATTGCTGACCACTTGAACTTGACTTGACTTCTACAGAGGGATCGTGGGACCGCGTTCATCAGGTCATCGGACAAGCGCATACCCTCCTTCATGAGCAGGGGGTTGTGCGCATCCAGTCTGATATCCGATCTGGGTCGAGGTGTGTTTTTATTTTGTGTTGACCTTGTCTATCTACGACACACGACTCTGGAGAGATTCTAACGTGTTTATTTATGCAGGACTGATAAATTGCAGACAGCGGAGGACAAGGTGAATAAAGTCCGGCAGTTGCTGGGTAAGGAGTAGATGTGGCTCTATCGAGGGGTCTTTTCATTATTCCTCTGCACAAATACAAAAAAAATAGCCGGCAATCAATATCTAGCCGGAATCCATTAACCCAAATACCAAACGCCAATCCAATCCCCCAATTGCATCCCAAGTGCCCATAACAATACCCGGAGCTATGCTCTATGCACCGGTCCATATCCTGAGACCCATACTCCTAGGAAACAACCAAAAGAAAGAGAATAAGAAAAAAACCGGAAGGCAAATCTTATAAAACAACCACTTCCTAAAAGGGGATCCCTCCACCGTGAAGATTCCCCCAGTTCCCGCCAACCCAGACCCAATTGCCAATGGACGGGGTGGCGCCCGAGCGAGCGGAGTTGGCCAGGTGCACCAGGGCCGTGAACACGTTACTCTTCGTCGAACCGGCGTTGGATTGTGTGGAGCTAGACGCCGAAACCGAAGAACGGCCAACAGCGTTGGTAACGTTGTTCAGGCTGTCGACGGTATCGATAGCCGGGCCTTGGTTGAAGAAATCAACTAGAATAAAAGTCGGCTGGCGCCCACCCCAGGCACTCTTACACTTGGTCGCTGCGCTGCCCAGATTCCCCACGCCACCGGACGGCGCATTCGTCGTGGACACGTAGCTCGCATTCGGATACTCGACCCCAATGAACGAGAGGCCCTCAGAGTAGAGGAAGTGGTTCATCAGCGGGAGCCGATCCGACGACAGCGCGGTAGAGGTGTCGCCCGCCACGGCAGGGGGGCGGTTCGGCACGCACGAGTAATTCGTCGGCGTCGAGACGTCGTATGGGGTCTCCCAAAGATACGTCCACTCGTCCATCAGGTACGGCGCTTCCTCGGAGGCGTCGATCGATGCAACGAAGGTCACTAGCCGCTTGCCATCGTTGATCATCTCCTGCAGTGTGGGCCAAGAGGATGGCGCGGAGCTCGACGACTGGGGCACGTACGCGTAGTCGGTGATATTGGCTGTTTGGAACTGAGCGTTCAGTTCCGATGCGGTTGCACTGTCCGAGTTGACCAGCAACACGGTGACCACTAGAGAAGAATCGGCTGGTTAGCTCTGCCCTTTGGGTATAGAGTAATAGTTAGTTGACCCACCATCGTTCGGATTACCATCCAACCACGTCTTAATATTCCCCAGCCAAGTGCTCAACAGCCCAGCATCCATCAGCTCACAGAGGGTATGGCACAAACGCCACTCGCCATTACTATTGTGCACCTGCGCCGTGACCAGTCGGACGCCGGCATCGAGCTGTGTTGTGGTGTTGTAGTATCTATGGTGCCGCGCGTCAGTTTTGAATCTCGGAAAATCAGTAACCACGGGTCGCCTACTGGTTGGCTGCCAATGAGTCGCCCGTCGCCGAGCCGTACACAAAGGGGCTGTCATGAGCGCCGAGATGCGTAATCTCGCCGTAGGACTTGGAGCATAGCGCTGGAGAGTTGTTGCAGGCGGTTGTAGAGGAGCGCGCGGCGTGCAGGTGGGCGGCTGATGCGAAGGGCAGCAGGGCCAGAAGGCGGAGAGCGCGCATGGTCTGTTTCTTGATTGCACTGGGATATCGAAGAGAGTAAGAAGGATATAGGAAGTACTGTGAGTCGAGGAACAGTTAAAAGGGAGGTGGAATGAATTAGAGGTGGCGATCCCTACTGGGTCCAGGCCGCGTTGCTTGTCTCAACTATTTTTATTTCGCGGTTTCAGGCGGGTGGACCTGCAAGAACGACCCCGCCTAGTAGGACTTTTACGTAGTGACGGTGGATTAGGATTATATACTATGCTAAATAGCGTATTGCGGACGACGGATTGCTGCTGTTCAGGCCACGCAGGCTAAGTAAACAAACACTCCGACGCGAGGAGAGAGCCGTTATCGATAATGGTTGATGCGAATCTATGTACATCGCGCGCTGCCTAGAAAGTAGTATATTTCTTCCTGACGTATGGGCCTCTCCACTTCACCCGGGCTGTGCGGCGCAGCGATAAGGGCGACCGGTGCGGATATGTCAAGAGCTCCGGTCTCGACTCTAACCCGCCAAACAGCGACGACTTGCCCCAGGCGCGAAACATATCCAGGATCAACCGCTCCGGGCTCCACAGGTTGGACTCGCGCACTCTGCGGTTGAGGCGGCGCGCGGAGGGTCCAGGTTGATTGAAGAGCACGGCGAGGCGGGATCGACAGGCGCGGCGAATCCAGGCTTCGTGGAGTCGGACACCGTTCTGCTCCAGCTCTCGGAGGAGGAGAATACCACGCACCCACGGAACGAGCTGCTGCGGGTTCGTTTCGGGGTGGATACGCTGCTGGAAGCCCCATTCCACAATGGCGTACTGCATTTTGGGGCTGAAGATAAGATCGAGCATGAGTTGATTCTCGCCATACTTCGGCCGCGGTGAGGTTGGTCGGGAGGCCGAACGGTGCGCCCAGAGCTGAGGATTTCGCTCCCGATGAGGCCCATACTGACGGGCCAGCCATCCACAGCATTCTTGAAGTTCACTCCAGTACTGCCCCATGCCTAGGCGCTTCAGCAGTTCCACCCAGATCGAGCTACTGACAACGGTCCCAGCAGGAACCACACGCTGCAGGATCTTGAAAACAAATAGAACCTCATCGCGGTCGGAAATTCCTGGACGTGTGGGTGGACGATGTCCCACCCGACGAGGGGTGAGAGCATGCTGGACCATAAACTCCATGCTGTCCTGGCTCATGACCTTACCACAGAGAGTCATTTCATCCACAACCTTGGACGCCGTACGCCATTCCGCGGCAGCAACATGTTTTCGAAAATGAACTTCATAGAGGCTCTGTCCGTCTGGAAGGAGTTCCGTAAGAATGGCCAACGACAAGTTGTACTGCCGCGAGTCTTTTGCAATATAATTTGAAACGAGAAGCGACTCCTGCACGTGGGCGTCCTCCACCGCATCGGGATGTTGATCGCTGGAGAGAAGGTCGGAAAGGAGGATAGAACGGTTTTGCGCTGCCAGCTTTTGGATCAATTGTGCAAAGACGCTGTTTCCGACCGAGATGCCAGATTGCTTGAGTTTTTTCAGCCTCTCCAGAATATCGTGACTGTCCTTCGCTCTCGCGGCCATCTCACGCAGCGTACGTGGACCAATTGCTGTAACGCCGAACATTTTCAGGCCAGCAATGATGGTTTCAATATTGAGGGCTTGAGTGGCGAACAACCGGGCGCCCATATCGTCCTTGAGGGGCTTTTCTTCTGGTATATTCTCTGCCTTTTCTTGTGATCCTTCAGCGGATGTCTCAGCCAGAAATCTTTGATCGGAATACTCTCGCAGTCGCTTATATGCTCTCTTCTTCGAGATATGGTGCGCCCAGTTCAACAACGGCTGCATCTCCTCGAAAGTCTGAGGATGGTCCCCGCGTTGGACCAAAAAATCATGCATCTTGAATGCCTCTGTCCCATATCCATGCTGCAAGAATATATTGATCACAGGATACCAGATGGAATGGCCGTCTGTTGTACGGCATATATCACTGAAGGCCTTGATTCCGGGATGGGAGGCAGTCTGTTCTTGAAACCCGTTAAGGGTAATCGGGAGCGTGCTGGCGGAAGACGATGGAGATAGGGCCAATGGCAGAATCTTCACCAGGTCATCAGGATTCCTGAAGTGAGTATTTTGAAGCTGTCGGTGATATTCAACGGCCTGGTTTGTCATTCCGCGGTCGAGGAGCCCACCCACAACGCGCTCGTATAGTTGGGACCAGCAATCACCCTCCCTTTCACAGAGACTGACAGCGTAGCTCACAACCTCTTTAAGGAGAAGCTCCCGTTTCAGCCCAAGATCCACAAAGCTCTTCCAGAAGAAATCTGCCCGCGCCCCGGTCACGGGGATACAGACTCCATCCACCCGTACTGTCAGGGCCTCCCATATATCCACCGTCCCTTTATCCCCATAGCGGCGCTGGCGAAACCGCAGAAGCTCTTCCCACAAGTCGAAGTTGTTTCTGTTCTCCGGTTGGTCGACGAGACGTGTTCCTAGGTCATTGGTGTGACCAATATCTGATTCAAATTCGAGTGCCTCTGGCCGTAGTCCCAAGTCTTTTGTCGCGTATTTGCTTGCTCCGAGATTGTCGGTGTGCAAAGTAGGCACGGCGTTCTCGATCTCTCGCGTCGGTTCAATTTCGTGGACGGGAAAGCTCGTCGGCGGTCTTGTATGATGTGCCGGGTAATTCTGTGTGCGCCGGCCTCCACCATTATGGCTCCCAGCATGATCGACCTGTGCTGGCTGCTGCGAGTTCGCCCGCGACTGGCATCGCAAGCACCGATGCGTGTAGTCCAATTGCTCGATTCCAGTGGGAGCTAATGCGAGGGATTGCAGGATGGAGACGGAGGACGGCCTCTTCAGTAATCGAAGAAGCGCCGGGCGCATGAGGAGAGAATTCGCTGACGCTGGACGAAGACCATTGCTCAGCTGGCCTTTCGTTCTGCTCTGTCTGGTCCTTGGCCATCAAGTTCAGGCAAGTGTCTGACTCAGCAGTCACGTGCAAGCTCCCCGATGGGCCCCGACGACTTCATCTGCCTTCGCTCTCTCGTCTGCCCACACGCTCTCCTGCTCTCCTCTCGCACTGTGTCCCTCGAACCACTGCCAAAATGTTCCGCACCGCCCCTCGCATGGCCGGGTACGTTCACTCCCACTCTTCCCGCGCAAATCCATCGCACACAATTGCACATCCATCCCCCAATTGAGGGCGCCCGACCGTCGAATTCCGGTCCGAGGTCATCGCGACCCAATTGAGCTTGACCCTCGACACTGCTGCGCTCTCCTCTCGCTCAATTGGCAATAAATGCTAATTTTTTCTTTTCTGGTCGCACAGGTTCGTGTTCCGTGAGAACCGCGTTCCCTACTACCAGCGTCTGTTCCAAGGCCACGATGGCAAGCGTCAATGGTACCAGGTCCGTCTCCCGCCGAAGGCGAAATATAACACCATAATCTGGGCATTGGCAATATTCTGACCTGAATTTTGCTGTCTTCCAGACTTCCCGCTCCGGCTTCCTCGTGTACCCCTACCTGATCTCGATCTACGGTCTGGGTGCTGGTGAGTAAATCCTGCCCTTGGATGGTCCATGACCACATTGCTGACTCGGTTGTAGCTACCACCTACGCCATGTGCCGCATGGTTCTGGTTAGTTCGACCTATCCTCCTTCGACTTGGAGCAAATGAACATTTGCTCGCCTCTATGTCACTCACAAATACTGACCATTTTAATAGGGCCACAAGACCTGGTTCGGTGAGAAATAAATGGTTTCTCTGTCTTGCAGTCGCAATTGACTTGCACTTGTTGGTGGTGTACTTCTACTTCGGGGAATGGGCTAGATATGGTGGCAGGCATGGGTGATTTGGGCTGTATATAACCAATCCAAGCGCTGATGCTCCAGCCATTGCCTCTACACAAAAACCAGAAAGATTTCTTTTGTTTACTGATATTTTTGCACGGTTTTCTTGTAACTGTAGGGTACCTGGCATGATCATATCTCTGGCGGGATCAACCTCTACCATTGTCGTAGTTGCAAAGAGACCCAAGCCCATATTTCAAACAGATAATCCTAATATCTTCGGATTCCGTTAGTGGGACGGTGATCAGTATTCCATTCCATAACCCAAATGTATTATTCAGGATCTAGACCGGTATTCTTGATCCTAAAAATATATATCGACCAAGTCAGCCCTTCAATAATGCTGCACCATAAACATTGCCATCCAAATCTTCAACAATGAATATATCTTTTCCCGAATTTATCAAAGCAGAGCAATTCATCATGTACGCACTATGAAGCTACTTTCAACCTCATGCAGAGTGGCTCTAAATCGGATCTAAGGCGTTGGTCCGTATCGTATGTATGTCTCTATCTGTTACCCTTAATCAGTCATAATCTACCCTCCTAGCCCACATCTACGGCCAATTACTCGATTGGCCCTTATCTAAAGTACCAGCTTCAAGTCACTGAGCGAAGCGAAGCTCATGACTTCAAATGTTGCATTATTATTGCGCCGCAAACGATTGCTGAGTCATCATTCTCGTTGGCGTTTCCTCTTTGGCGGCGGACTTACCCTTTCCATAGTTTGGATGTTTCGGTTTGTTGAGACTGCAGGAGGAGAAGCCCGGGAATAATCGGTGATACAAATATTTCTCTTCTTCGCTATCAAGACTTACCGCCAACAATGAACATCTTGACGACTACATCAAGGTCTCCCACGCGTCAAACTCACGGATCATGGCTACCAGTGCAAGCGGGGATGCGTTTTGACCATTTGTTCTTTTAAACATGGATGGACCTGATTCAGCAAGTGCTGGGCGGCCTGCCAAGCGGGTCCGTCAAGCCTGCGAGCCCTGCAGGTCTGGTGCTCCATGTGAACGAATGCCACGAACTTTTACGCTGACTGACTCTACAGGCGCAAAAAAGCCAAATGTCCAGGAGAGCAGCCGGTCTGCTCTCTGTGTGCGCGACTGCGCCAGCCATGTCTGTATGCGGACGAAAGACGTCGCTCAACGGCCCCGGAGGAAACCTCGAGATCTAATGCCCTAGACTCACGAGGTTCTCATGCATTGGTACTTGGAAAATCACTAGCTTCATCCCCTACTATAACTGACTGAGCTGTAGGATGACAGATTGCGAAACATGGAAGGCAAATTGGGGCAAGTTCTTAATATGTTAGGGTGCGAACGATTGCCTTGCATCTTGATATAGGCGTTTATTTAATATCTCGTGTTACAGTGACAAGCGCACCCAGATAACCGCACAAGAGCCATATCTGGCAGAGCCGGAACGATCTGGTTCACGCCAATCTATCGTCTTACCACCTTGGGAGGAGATCCTCCCAGTGGCGGAACTGTATCTGCTCTACTGTGACTCCCAGCCTCTTCCACTATTTCATCGAGGCAAGTTTCTTGCGACTCTGCAAACTCGAGAGGTCGAGATTATCTATACTGTGCTGGCACTAAGTCTTCGGTTCTCGGATCGTTCTCGACAAAGTCCTGATGATTTGAATAATTTGGTCAATGGCTATGCCGAAGTGGCTCGGGGTCTGGTTATGAAAAGAGTTTCCGAGGGTCCTGTGGAGTTGTCGACCCTTCAGTGTCTCTGTCTCCTGAGCTTGGTGGACTTTACGAGTATGTCTTTTTCTCCTGTTCTTGAACACAGCTAATGAGACCCCATTCAGATGGCAATACGCACCGCTCCAGCATCCACAGTAGCCTTGCAATGAACCTTGCCCAGTGTGCTAATCTCGGCGCTGACGCGCGTTCGTCGATGAGCCATATAGTTCGTGAAGAGCGAAGGCGCTGTTACTGGAGTATTTGTCTTCTCAAGCGACTACATGGTGGTGATTTTTCCATTCTAGACACCCCAGAAGTTGGCCTTCCTTACCCGGAAAGCCCAAGCCGACCTGCACGACTTCTTTCACCCGGACCATCGGCGTTGGAGATACGCAGGAGCGACATGCAGGATCAAGGCATCATTGCCTATGTGATCATGCTCAGCGAAGTATTCGCAAGAGCTGCACGATACGTGCGACTACATGGACGGCCGAGCAACGTCCCGCCGTGGTCTCCCCATTCTGAGTATTCAAAGATCATCGCGTTGCAAATGGACCTCGAGACACGAATGCCCTACACCCACCGCTTCAAGCCAGCCAACATTGGCGACAGGTCTCCGGAGGAACTACAGGCCCACCGAGAATACTGGGGCCCATGGTTTTTAAATCAGTTCATGTACCACACCAGTTTGTGCCTGCTGAACCATCCGCTCCTGCTCTCGTTAAGTCTTCGAAATTTTCGAAGCAGTATTCCCGAGATCTTCCTCCAGCATACTTCCGATTTGATATCATCGCACACAACATGGATCATCCATTTCATCAACTTCTTCGAGGAGAAGAGATTCCTGGTGTCGGATCCGTTGCTGGGATACAGCGCTGCCGTAGTGGCAACCATCGAATTGCAATTGAGCTTTACCGAAAACCCAGCCATCCGAGAACAAAAACGAGACAGATTCACGAAATGCGTCAAGTTCGTGCAACAGATCGGTCAGAGGTGGCCGCATATGGCGCGATTGGTATGTACCCCGAGAAAATTACATTGTGATTTATTCCCAACGACGTTTATGTGAAACACAGGCCCAGAGATTGCAGCGACTAGAAGACGCTGTCTCAGCCACCTATCAATCCGACCCGGGCGCCCAGAACCAAAGTCTTCTTATCGACCTTTCCCGCTTCTGGGAGATCCTGGAATACTCCTCCAACAGCGATGCGGATTCTGCTCGCCGCTTGTTCGGAGATTCACTGTATGCGGGACGTCCACCGGTAGCAGCAGAGGTGTCACAGACTTCGCCGTTGCCGGAGCCAACCCGTTTGATCACTCATGAAGAGGAGCGCCCCAGTCCTCGAGTTGGAGGTTTTGGTACCAATGCCACTTTCTCTAGCGTGCAGCACTATCCGGTGGATTCGGTGATTTCGCCACAGCATTTGACTCTGTCGAATGATGAGTTCTCTATCCTTGCTACGAATTTTTTCTCCCAAGGACAGGAGTTTCTGCGCAGCGGAGAGAACTGGGATAGCATAGGAAATTTTTAGAAGATAAAATACGCCTTGCATCTCAGATGAATGTTATGCTCGTCCTTGCTAGAGCTTTGGATCTGTGCAAAGTATTTGTATTCTTTTCATAACGACATACAACACCACGCTCCAGCTATGCTATGCTCATGCCTCTCAAGAAGTAATAGATGTAGACGCCAAGCCATCAGCCAAGCCAGAAGCAGCTCCCTCTCCCAACGCACCCTTGAGCACCTGCACAAACTTCCACACTTCACTAAAAGTGTTATATAAAGGCACAGGAGCAACACGGACAACATCTGGCTCTCGCTTGTCGCAGATGATTCCTGCATCCTGAAGACGCTGGGCCACGGTGTGCAGGAGGCCAGGTTTGAGGAGGAGACTCAGCTGGGCACCCCGCGCATGGGGATCTGATGGAGTGATGATGGTGAACTGGCGCGTCTCATCTGTGGTGTCTTTGAGGAGCAGATGTTCCAGATACGCAGTCAGCTTGAGAGACTTCTGGCGCAGGGCGGGGATCGATGTCTGATCGAAGACAGACAGGGAAGCGCAGAGGGTGGTGAGGTCGATGACTGAGGGGTTGGAGACTTGGAAGCCTCCAGCACCGGGGATTGGCTTGAATTCTGGGACTCGTCAGTGCTATTTTGGGCCTCAACGGACAAGAGGCAAACTTACTGTTGTCCATCTTAAAGCGCACCGACCGATCGCCACCATACCACCCCGTCAAGCGATGCCGGAACTTCGGAGCATCCTCTCCAGCGCTGTAGTCTACTTGCCCATGCTTCTCGTGCACATATATTCCACCCATCGCACCGGGTCCTGCATTGCCGTACTTGTACGTACACCAGGCGGCGAAATCGACATTCCACTCATGCATCTTCAACTCGACATTGCCGTACGCATGGGCCAGGTCCCAGCCAACAGTCAAACCGCGTTCTTGGGCATACTTGGTGATTCGGGGCATGTCAAATAGCTGACCCGTGTAGTACTGGATGCCAGGCAAGAGAATGAGCGCTGCGTCACTGACATGCTTGTCGATATAGCCCAAGATCTTCTCCGTCGAGATCTCATACTCGCCCTCGTCGGGGCCAATAAGAACCATGTTCTCCTTTGCGTCGAGGCCATGCCAGGCAATGTGCGACTCGATTGCGTACTGGAAAGGATGTTAGTAGCTTTCTATCCACCAGATGATTTTTCTGAAACATACATGATCACTAGGGAAGGCCTTCCAGTCCATTAAAATCTTGCGCTTCGTCTCAGTCGGCTTGTAGAAGCTGGCAAGCAAACAGTGAAGGTTCATGGTCAACGTGCCCATGGCTGCAACCTCCTCTGGCGCCGCACCGACGATCTTAGCCATGGACGCCGCAGCCTGCTCGGACAGGAGCTGCCACTCCTTCAGTGGAGAGTCTTCAAGAGCATTGAAATGGCCACGGACGCCGATGGACGCCCATGTGTCCAGCTGCGCTTCCATATACCTGGCCGCAGCCTTGGGCTGCAGGCCGAGAGAGTTGCCGCAGAAATAAATGCTCAAGTCCTCCGACAATCCTGGGACGAACAACGGTCAGTCAGACCGGCATTCCAATACAAGGCGGGCGCCTGGCGTTACCTGGTTTGGCCAGCTTCTTCGTTGCCAGATTCGCCTTGGACGGGATGATGAACTGGTCGCGCAGGTCCCGTAGAGGGTCTGCAGCATCAAGGGAGGCCGCATACTCCTTCGAAGCTGCCTCTGCAGGGAAGACGGGCTTGGGCGCCTTTACACCGTTGACACCGGTCATCATGAACAAAATTGACGGGATTCAGGCGATACTGGTAAGAAGATGCACAGCCGACACCCTCTCCCCCGCCCGTAGCTCTTTATAGCGCATTCGATTCGACCATCGAGCCCAACCCGGATACGCATCCGCTTCCGTGTACGATCCGTCCCCACACGCATCGAGCGACGTCACTGGCCAAGTTTGCCGACCATTTATTTGTCTTCGAGATCGAGTGTGATATTGTGATATTGGGTGATATTGAAGGAATGACCAAAAAATAATTGAAACCCTAACTCTATCTCCCCGCTACCAGGTCCAGGTATCACGCCAGCCTACCTCAGCCCGGTTCGATCAATAATGGACCCGAAGGCGGAACCCGGAATTGTGATCCGGCCCTGTATAGATGGATATTTTGGCAAATCAACGGGGCCGATGCCAGCCGCCCTTGCAATATGATTCTGGGTTCTAAACAGCCGTTACGATTCAAATAGGGCAAGGCGTATGCATCCATCACAAACCTAACTTATATAAACTTACTATTTCCTCGGCTTTCAACTCTGTCGTTCTTGGACTTCACTATCACCACCTTCGAGGAAGAGATTAGTTATCTTTGATCCTGGCAAAAAAATCACTCTGCCCTACACAATGTTGCTGTCTCCTAGCATCGATCTCGATGAGTTTGCCATCTCAACAGCGCACGGTTTCCTCCCAGACGGTCTTCCTCTGCCGCAACTCACCCAGCCCTACTTTGCCCCATGGGAAGACCTGGCCAGCCAGCTCCCTCATCTCATCCAGAGCGGACAGATTCGCTGTCTTATAGACAGTCTCCCGGTCCTCTCCCCATCACGGCTCCGAACAGAACCGGAGTGGCGGCGAGCATACGTCGTCCTCGGTTTCCTCACGCACGCCTATATCTGGGGCGGCCAGAAACCCAAAGAGGTAAACCAGCTCTACCCATCCACTCTGTCTCTCTATATTGACAGTGTAACTCAGGTCCTACCACCATGCATCTCAAAACCCCTCCTTGAAATCTCTGCCCACCTCGAACTACCTGCCTGTGCAACCTACGCCGCCCTAACGCTCTGGAACTACAAAACCTCCGACCCAAAGGCCGAGCTCACAAACCCAGACACCATCTCCCTCCTCACCTCCTTCACAGGAACAAGAGACGAAGAATGGTTCATCGTCATATCCGTCGCCATCGAAGCCCGGGGCGCAAAGCTGGTGCCCCTGATGCTCGACGCCATCGCCGCGGCGAACGCACACGACGCTCCGCGGCTTGCCGCTCTGCTGTGCAGATTCACAGACGGCCTGCGCGAACTCAATGGGATCCTCAAACGCATGTACGAACACTGCGCCCCCGCAGTGTTTTTCCATCAGCTCCGTCCGTTTCTTGCCGGCAGCAAGAATATGAGCACCGCCGGCCTGCCGGATGGCGTGTTCTATGATGTTGGTGATGGCCATGGCGAGTGGCATCAATACAGTGGGGGGAGTAATGCGCAAAGCTCGTTAATTCAGACTTTTGATATCTTTCTGGGTGTGAATCACTCTGCTACTGGGGAGGTGCGGCCCTCGGGAACTGGGTATATCCAGGTGAGTTATACTTCCTTTTCCCTGGGGACTATGTGCCAACTAACCCATCTAGGAAATGCGTAACTACATGCCTGCGCCACACAGACGCTTCCTCGAAACTCTATCTGCGCTCTCCACCGTCCGATCCTTCATCATGAGCCCACACGCAGACTCCCCCGCAAAAGAGGCATACAATGCTGCGGTCCTGACGCTGAGCGCTTTCCGGGATACGCACATCCAGATCGTGTCCAGGTATATCATTATGCCGGCCAGGAGTCGCGCACCGGTTGAGCAGGCGAGGAGTGATCGGGTGAATCTCGCTTCGCCCAGCGCCGGGGCGAAGAATGAGACAAATCCGACAGGGTTGTATGGGACTGGCGGGACCAGTTTGATTCCTTTCTTGAAGCAGACGAGGGATACCACTAAAGCGGCGACGTGTTAGAGTTGGCTTAATTTGTTGGCGGGGTATAACGTCTTGCTGGCGAGATGGATGTTTATGACTTGGTTTGATTTGCGTATATATGACATTGTTTTATTGACGCCGTCTGATTGAAAGTATTAAATACTCGAGAATTCAGTCCAGCACATAACTCATCCTTTTGACTTCTGTGCTGCTTAGTATGGCAACCCTAGCTTCGACGAGAATGCATGCTCTATCAAGAGAAAAAGGCCGCATAGCACATGGAATCCACCGCGTCCCAGACATAACCGACCACGGTCATATGTTGGTAGGGATGGAACAAGGGCAGCAAGGACCCTCCATCCCATACCTGTGGAGTACACATGGCCTCAGCTGTAGTGGACGTAGTTAACTGAACAGCTGAGCAGCTGAGATTGGGATTCATATCCATGAGCCAACTCGCGGGGATCTTCGTCGCGCGGTCGATGCGCTGCGAACAAGCTGAGGGCAGCCTCGTCAGCGTTGTGGGTTCCGATTGTACCCGCCACGAAAGGGCCATGATCAACCGACAGATGGAAGATCCTCTCTCAGGTGGCACCCTATACTTTGTGTCCCCTTGCCCGAGATTCATGCTCTTTCCAGACTCCGCAAGATGCATGACGGACCCTTGCACGATAGATCATCTCTTCTTCGTAGCTGTAGGAACACCTTCGCTTTCACGCAGCTCCGCCAATCTCTTCTCCCGCTCCACAAGCCGCTCCTTCTCCTCCTTAATCATCTGCTCCACCGTCTTATTGGCCTCGTCCAACCGATCAATCTCCCTGTTCTCCGTCGTCCGAGCATATGGATTCTTCGGGCCCTCAGTCAATGGAATATCCGCAGTCCGACTCTGTGCAATCTGCTTGGCATTCTTCCCTTTGCTCCTTGGCAGCTGTCCCCCTGAAGGACCTCCCGTGAGAATCTCATAAAAGGGTTCCACAGGCTCATTGAACACAATTTCCTCGTAGTTCTGGCTGACGACCACTTCACGGCGCTCGCGCATTCCCTCTGCATCGGGTCCGTACGGGTGCAGTTTCAAGCTGTGCCACAGGGTCTGGGGCTTCTCGTTCGATTCCGGGACGAAGTACAACTTGACCTGGATCTCGAATTCACCCCAGCCTGTCTCGACGACTTCAAAGGGCGGTTGCTCGATCGTGCGCACGCTCTGCGCGTAGGTCTCGTGGAGTTTGAACTGTACTTTCTTCAGCCAGTAGGAGATGTCCTCATCGTTGACGCCCTTAACGAAGATGCGCCATTGGTGTGTGTGGTCCACTGGCGCGTTGGCAGGTTTTTTCTCTGGGTCGAAGGGTTGCGCTTCGGTTCCGAAGACTGTGATCGTTAGCTTTTGGTTGGCTAAATTCACGTTGAGGACGTACTGAATGGTCGGTACACTGAGACGCCCTACGAAACTGACGGTAAGCTTGTTTGTCTTGGCTTTCGGGGGTGGAACACGAACCCGGACGCGCTTGTTTCCAGGAGCAGATGGCATACTGCACAGTTGGATAGCAGAGTTGATCTGTAGTCTAATGCGTTGGAGGGAAGAATGTGTTTGGAGAGAAACGGTGGAATTTATGCGCGCAAGGCATTCCCGCGACACGTGACGTGACAGCATGAATCACCAGAGCTTCGCTGCGTGTTTTCCTGTCTTGTCTTTTCTCTCCTTCTACACTACACCATGGCTGCCAAACGATTGGTCGTTGCAGGAGGGAGTGGTTTCTTGGGTTCGTCGAAACTCGCCATGCCCATCAGGCCACGCTGCTAACCAGCCCACTAGGGTCTCGGATCTGTAAATCGGCAGCAGCAAGAGGCTGGTCGGTAACCTCATTAAGGTGTGTCTTCCTTTCCGACATGAGCCCCGGATTCCCAATGCTAAAAGCTTCAGTCGATCCGGCGAACCCCGATGGGACACTGTTACAGATTCGCGCGAACGTCCGAGCTGGGCTAGCTCAGTCGAGTGGGCAAGGGCCGATATGTTGAAGCCCGAAAGCTATAAACCATTCTTGAACGGCGCCTCTGCTGTCGTTCATACCATGGGAATCCTTTTGGAGGCAGATTACAAGGGTGTGGTGCAAGGGAGGGAGCCGGTCGTGAGCGGCCTGCAGCGAGCCTTCAGCTCATCGAAGTTGGGGAGCCAAAACCCACTCTTAAGGACTGAGGGCGAGGAGCTACAGCCAAAAGAAAAAGACGGGCAATTGACCTATGAATTGATGAACAGGGATTCCGGTACGTGCCAATTCGAGTTGTGATTCTCAGAAAAAGGCTAAGTTGTTCGAAAGCTATTGCGCTGGCCCAGGAATCGTCGAACGAACATGTTCCCACCTTCGTCTACATCTCTGCCGCCGCCGGGGCACCGATACTGCCGGCCAGGTATATCACGACCAAAAGAGAAGCGGAACAAACCATCGCTTCCAAGCTTCCCGAACTCCGAAGCATCTTCATCCGTCCCAGTTTCATGTATGACTCTAGCCGCAAATTCACACTGCCAATCGCACTAGGTGGCTTTGTTGCTTCTGAGGTCAATGCCTTGCTCGGGAACAAGCTTGGATTCCTAGGGGCCATGGCCGAGAAACCTCTCAAAGTCGATGTGGTGGGTGATGCGGTGGTCGAGGCATTGGAGGATGAGTCCACCAAGGGAGCAGTGGGAACAAAACAGATCGAGGCGCTGGCCACAAAGGCCTGGAGGAAGTCAATGCTTTAGATCAACTGCATCAGGGTAATCCTCGTTGAAAGCCGTGTTGACATCGGCCGCATGTATTATATCTTTGAATTTCGTGATCGCATTAAATCATGGTTCCGCGCTCGAAACTGTCCCGAATTTCGGTAGTATACTATGGAAAAGTTAGTACGCGCATAGTTCTGCGACGGGGCCACGCATACCTTGTTGTAGAACCGAGCCAGTTTCTGATTGAACTGCTTGTTCTTGTCGTTGATGTAGGTGACATCCGCCTCCTCGTCGCCACGACGCTCCTTGCGCTTCTTCAGACGCACTTCCTCGGCCTTCTGCAGATCACTGACCAGTCTGTCCACAGCGGCGCGGTCCGGCTTGCTGTCAGTGAAACCAACCGAGTCCGCGGTAGAATAGAAGCTGCCGTTTTTGTCGACGGCAATCATCTCTCCATCGCTTGTCTCCACGATCTCCAGATCGCCGTTGGCGGCAGCCTTTTCAATAGCGGCCATTTTCTCCTTTTCATAGGCTTCCAGATTCGGCGCTAGCTCCCTCATCTGTCTCTTGTAGACCTTCTGTGCATCTTGAGTGTAGTCTTGGAACGCCACATTGTCGCGGTGACGCTGCTTTTTCTCCATGCGCCTGTCCCACTTTTCCGACTCGTCCACTGTCCAGTCCCAGGCACGTTTGCGCTCAAAATCTTCCCCTGAAGCTTCGGTATCGGCCTTCAAAAGGTTATGCGAGGCAAAAGCATGCTTGCGGGATAGCGAATGCAACAACGCTGGGTCGGTGGCTAGACGCTGGGTCTCCGCCGCGGTCTCCTTGAGGTTTCGCTCTGCTGCGGATTTCTATTGTTTGAGTCAGTTTCCAAAACACGCACCGGATGATAGTCTACGTCGACGGGTTAACTTACCGCGCGGGACTGTAGAGCTTTGAATCTTTCCTGTCGTTCACGGGCCTTGGATGCCGCGTCATTCTCTGACGTCTCGGGTTTCGATTCTGAGGCGTCTTCGGTGGATGTCTTCTCGGATGCAGCCTCCGGTTGCTCGTCGGGACGTTGCGCAGCTGCGTCTTCCTCTACAGAGGGCTTCGAACGTCGTGTCTTCGGCATGTTTGAGGTGGTGAAAGGGGTGGTGCTGTGTAGTGTGGGTGTTAAAGAGCCTAGACGTAATCAGAGTCTGAAATGACAAGGCTCACCGCCCCTTCTACCGCCCTTCGTCTGCCCGTCCAAACTACCCCAGCTTCTTTGGTCCCCTTATCGCTGTTTATCTCTCTCCACCCTCCTGGATTGGGCCACCGTGACCTGAATGGGGGTTATCTGCCGTCACCCCTAGCAAGTATGAGAGGGTCTTCCTCTTGGGCTGCGCTACAACGCTCAAGGCGACAACTTGGCTCCAGTCACCTTCTTCCGCAGCCAGCCATTCGGTATCACCATGACTTGTCCACCACTGTCAGCGAGGACGCAAATGCCAGACCTTCGCCTTCCGAATTGCTTCGGTTCTCTGTAACTGGCGCAATTGAACCACGGTATGAGCCACAGCCAAACCTGCACTTGCAGGAGAGACTTCGTGGCCTGTTCGACCAAGAGTGGTATGCCGGTATTCCTCCTGCGCCTTTATGGAATTCCCTCAGAGGACTTCCACCCCCCAGCAAAAGAAGCAAACATTCATCTTGAACAACACCTCTCGCCTCTCCACGTTAAGAAACATTGTTGAAAGATATGTGCAGGATAGGCAAGGAGCTCAATTCCTGCAGAGCGAGGACTGCCGTCTTCTTTCTCATGCTCTCCGACGTTGTGTGCGACATTACCCAGAGGCCGATGTTGTTTTGGTATTGCGTGACATTATTGCAAGGCTTCAAAAGATTGAGGCGCCTATTCTGCCTCAACTCTACGCGTTGGGGATGCGTTATGCGCTGCTCTCTCTGGACGCTTCAGCCCTCGCACACTTTGTGAAGGGCTTCAGTCGCCAGGGGCATCGGAAATTGAATGATAAAATGAGCACAATGGTAGCCGAACCCGGCTCCAAAATCCTTTCTGCTGCCTATCTTGAAGATCCACGTTACGATCCAAGTCCTATGCTTGCCGTGATCACGGGCGAAGGAGAAAAAGGGTCGCAGAGCCAAGTCAGACTCCACGATCTCATGGAATGGAATGTCTGTTATATTCAGATACTCGCAAGACTAGGGAGTCGGGCACCGTTGCACAACGCATGGAGCTACTTAATGGACCATGGACCTGGGGAAGCCCCGAGTGATCAAATTCGCGATCTATGGTTTTCCTGCTATTCCGTCGTTTCAAATTTGATTTACGCTGGACGTTCCACAACGGCTCTGAACTTTCTTAAGGACATTGCTCAACGCAACGGTAACAGACTGCCTTATATCCGCAGATTCAACTCACTGCGGACTCTGCTCGATGATCCGATTGTGGGCGAAGGGTTACCCCATCTGATCACGGAATATGAGTACGTTCGGATATTGGAGAGAGAGGTCTCCAACATGGAGCAAAGGATGGGCATTGAGTGGGATGGCGAGCGTCAAACCCATACTGCCCCCAGTTTCGCCGAGTCTACGAGACCGCCGCCATTTGGTGACGAACCACTCATCACGATCGATGGCGACTGCCAGGGATACGACAATCAGAGGCGTTTGTTTCACGAGCTCGAAGCGTCTATGTTTTCCAAATCACCGGAATCCTGGGGTCGGACTGTGGACATACTAAACGATTGCGACGAGCGACCTTGCCACTTTGCCGACCCCACTGTCAAAAATGCCCCTTGGCAGGTTCGTTTCTCACCTCAACACTCGCCAATTGAGTTCTCGGATTCCCAGCTTCCCGACTCACACGACACGTCTAGACCCTGGACTCCGTCTACCTTGGGGTTAATGCGCGCTCATCGGATTCTGAATGGTGTTCCTCAGATGGGACATCACTGTTTACATCTGATGCAACTGGGGACAATGGAGGTTCAACATTTTGAAAACAGCCCATGGGAGCGTACCGGATATATCGTGACCTGGGATCGCATAAACGGCAATTTTCTCGCCGTCAATGTCGGGCAGAGCACGGGAATGATTGATCCCGGACCGGTACCAAAATCCGGCCCGTTTGGATCGGTGATGCCTCTCATGTTTGAGGACAGGCCGTACAAAGGAAAACTGCAAGTCGGATGGTTTGCAGCCGATCTTTACCTGGACATAGATCCGAGCCCCGATCTTGGCTTTTGATTTTCCGGTGTCTGTATAAAAAAGAAAGTCATAGAGATCCCTTAGTGTAGATATGAGAAAATACACTACCTTTGTTCACTCGAACTTGTCATCGACCACGCCAACGCAACGGGGATCCTCCTGGATTGCACCCTTCCAATCAGCCAGCCCAGCGTCCCAGATCGACGCTGATCTCTATCAACGCCTACCTTGCTTTCGCTGTATTCAACCCCGGTCATGCCTAAGCCTCTCTCAGTCGCACCACCCGCATCATCTAGTGTCGTACGCACGGACATGGATCGTTCATATCCGCCCACGTCACTTGGGAACGATGATCAACGGGTTGGCGGGCGGCGAAGCCCATCCCTTTGAGAACGGCCGTTTTCAAGGTTAATCCTGTCCTTGGGTCTCAGACCCTTTTTGTTCACCAATCTGCCTTCCTATAAAGGAAATAGGGTTCATTTGCTAATGCAGCCCCAAGATCCGGCAATCGCGGCTAATTTATTCTTTTCTATCTACCTCCGAAATGCTGCGTCCCTACAGTGACTGCCTGACTGGCCTGCAGCTGGGCTTGGCGAGTGTTTGTTGCTGCGCAAGGCTCCAGCGAGGCAAGTATTCCTTGTTCTGCTGATCACTAAGCCAGGTTGCTTCCTTTTGGTGTCTCTCAGCGGGACCTCGGATTTTGTGCCTGAGTCCGGTCGTTCCATGGATTTATTATTCCCAGCCAGCCCAGCCGTTTTTTAGCGGGGCGGATTCGCGGGGCGGATTCAGGCACGGCCCGTGATGAGGTCATTTGCAATATTATTTCGAAGTATACAATTTTCTGTCGCAATTGCGGGCCTCGAAAAGCATCGGCGGAAATGAAAGTTCATCGCGTTGCCGTCAGGAGGCAGAGTTCAAACTCTGCTTTGCAGTAGGTGGGCCGCGCTCCGTGCCTACCCTTTACCAGCCGACGCGGATAGGCCAACTGCGATGCATAATACGACTACTGTGCAGCTGCTGTCTTTTCAAGATTCCGACATTGGTAGTTCCCAACCGCGCTGTTCCTTGCAAACCACCCCGGCGTGGCGGACTCCAGAACCTTGCATGGCTGGCAACTCAAATGCCACCTCGGAGAGTCAGGTCAGCTCATGTGAAAAGAAGGCTGCATGAAAAAAACAAAACACTAGTGATTCCGGAGGTCTGGATTGTCAGCTAGTGACATGCTGCGAACTCCTCGATTTGTTAAGGCTATTGCATTGCAGATCTGATCAGATACATACATTTACCACGTATCTGATCCCTGAAAAACAGTTGGCGCACACCGAACTAGTGACAGGCTTGGAGGAGGCCAGACCGCACTGCCATGAACGCTAATGCCCACTGATTCCCGGAAAAGAAAAACGGGCTCTTGCCGAAACTGACAACGTCCGACTCTCCACCCAGGGGTAGAGGGGCCGTCGAGAGTTTTAATCAGCCCGCTCACATGCGGGTCCACCGTCATCCACTATCAGAGCTCAATATCGGAGAAATTCATTCCTACATAGAAGCCACTGAGGAGTTTTGAGATCTCCGTTATGGAGTCTGGGTGGGATGGAACCGAGATGCACGATTGCCGACGACCAATCACAATACGGATGTAGTTCGTCTTCAGGTGCCGACTATTTCGAGGGGCAGCTATGATTCGAACTACACAATGTGGAGCCGGCGACCAGTTCAGCCCGGACGTTAGTCGGTCAGCTTTCCGACAGAGATCGTCGGCAGCAACCGCTGCTCGGGCGTTCCACCGGGCATCTCCTCTGTGTGTATAAAGCGGAGATCTGAGTTTTTTTGGTTTTTTTTTTCCCTGCATGCTTCAGCTAGGGCCCGTTGTGCTCAACCTAGTTCGTTACCGGCCAACCGGTTAACAGGCCAAACACCCACACAACGCCCATTGTTGGGTTGGCTTGCCTCTGAATCCCATTTTCTAGTTCTTATATCTCAAACGATATCCATCACCATTGATGATGGGGTTACACAGCCAGGTAGCCTCGATATTTGGGAAAGACAGGTGTGATCGAATCCTGACCGTCTTTTTTGGTTTTGGGGGGTTTCTTGCACCCGCCTCGGAGCTTCTCGGGCGTTAGTTGCTAGCAGGAACATGGGTCCTCAAATAGGCTAGCTGTTCCCCACGCACATTTACGCTCGAGAGACACACGGCTTTTACTGGTTCACCTTTCCCCCCTTGGACTCGTGGCAAAAACCCGCGCTCGGCCCGTTCCCCCCCCGGGTCTTCCTTTTTGGGGGGCTGTGATAGTGGAACTGGGCGCAACCAGTAGTATGTACTACAGCTGATGCTGCTTGGTGCACACTAGTGCTAAAATGAAGAAGGAACCTAATAAAATAATAAATTGGAGGTACCCCGAGACACACAACCGTTCCGCCCGTTTATCTCCTGTCATATTCATACCGAAGTGACTAGGGTGACTAGGGTGACTAGGTCCAAGGAACCACACACCCAAGGAAACAAAAAGAAGGGAAGGCATGGTAGGAAATCGGGCAGGGTGGGATTTCTGTTCTCTCTCTCCTACTGCCAGGCAACTGAGCCAGGGTGGCACACCGTTCCCTATCATGCCTTCTTGGTGAGTACATACTACATACATGAATACATACGAATGTGGCGGGGTTATTAGATGCCTTCTCTTTGTCTTCCCTGCCGAATCCCAGAACATGCATTACATCATATCTTCATTTGTTAATTACGGCCCGGCCTCCGAGGCAGGCATATATAGACATCAGCGCTCCGAGGTATTCGCTCGTGGCCAACCTGACCGCTTCTATTTCGCACGAATGCCTGCCTTGCAGCGAGCTGAAACACACTGGCGTTTACCTTGGCGAACACATCTACAAATAGCAAGAATCCCAACCCGCTCCGTCGGGGTTCCGTGACCAGATAGATGTCGAGGCCGCCATCGCGAGAATGGGGGCATCCCACACCCGAACGGATAGACTACTTCGACCCGGGCCGTTCACAACAGCCCCGAATGCCCTATTCGCCATATCCTAGGCATGAGCCTCGAAAATTCCTGCCGCACGGCCCGGCCTACGATCGTCCCGTCCTAACTACGCCGCCAGGGCCCCGATTGCCATCGCTCAGTGGCCATCTCCCGGGCCGGGCTCCCGACGCCAGGTACCTGGTCTCTTCTGAAACTCCACGGCATCTTTACCGCCAGTCTATGCCACAAACACTACCGCTACGGACTCAGAACCGCGGTCCTGCGAAGTCCGATCTACACGGTTGCCCCAGCCCGTACGAGGATGTGTCAAGCCCCATGAGCCATGGTCGCGACTATGATAGCTATCGGGGTTACGACCTGGAGTCACAGTACAGTCCCTTTCTTTTCTTTTTCTTTTTCTTTTCCTTTCTTTTTTGGGTTTTTTATTTGCCATTCTTGCATTCTCAGAGGAAAAGGCTGGATAGAAATGGACCAAAGAGAAACCGAAAAGGTCGTTTCCACGAAACCCTAACACCAGAAGAGACCGCGCAATGACCGCAAGACACACGTCCTCTAACATTGAATTTCAGGCACAGCAGCAGCTCGACAACGATGCCCAGTCCCGTCTACTCAGAAAAGAGCGCCGCTGCAGCATATGCGAGCAGTGCTGCTCCGTCCACTAGGACGAGCAGCGGCAGCCACAACGAGCCACCATCAAGACAAAGATCACGGCCAACAAGCTATAGTATGCCGTTAGGGTTTGATAGGCTTCTTCATCACTCTCCAGAATCATCACCGCCTCCCCCTCCTCCACCGCCACGGCAACCACGCCGCCCATCCACACAGTCCCGCTACCACCTCCATATCCGCCAGCAGCCCGAAGCCGCGCGAGCCTGCGGCGCCGGCGACAGAGACCGCCGCCCCGTTGACCCGCCTCCGATAGTGCAAATCCTCCTAACAGACTTCGATCCAGTCTCGCAGGAGGACCGTGATATTCTGCAAGACCCGCGCTTCACTGTAGGCTGCCTTCTCTTTCCAGTGTCCTCCTCTTCCCCGTGGGCACAGCCCACCGACGCAGATCCCACAGGCTCCAAGCGCAGTAGTACCAGTGAAGGAAACGGTGGCGTCGCCCGTTCTGACGACACGTTTTCCACGCCTTTACTCTCCGGCAAAGCATTCATGTCCCCCTTCTATGTGGACGAAGACCCAGACCCGACATCTGCACCAATACACCCATCACTTTCCTCGTCCGCGAACATCATATCCAGAAACACAAGCAAAAGAAACACGCTATCCTCTCTGTCTCGACCTCACATCCACCCACCAGCAACATTTTTCATCTTCGCAGACCTTTCCATCCGCTCGGCGGGCCTGTACCGGCTGCAGTTCCGGCTCATGAATTGGGGTTCCGTCGAGGATACGGGCCAGTCCATGCCGATTCTTGCGGAGACGTGGTCTGATCCATTCCGCGTGTATCCCGCGAAGGATTTCCCGGGGATGCAGGACTCGTCGAATCTAGCGGAGGGGTTGAAGGCTCTTGGGTTTGTGGAGCTGAAGACGAGGGGTAAGGGGAAAGGGAAGGGGAGGAGGAAACCCTATTGATCTTCCTTTCTTTCTTTTGTGTGCAGATTCATGGATTTGGACGATGATGTATGTGCTTTCTCATTCGGTTACGTTCTTTTTTCACTCTGTATCTCGCTTTTCTGTGGGCATGTTCCTGAGAATGGGCTGGCGTCTACCCTCTTTCTTTCTTATTATGGTTTCCTTCTATGGCGTGACTTGATATCAATGAGAGCTTGAGAGCTCGTGGGTGTTGTGGCGCCGGGAAAAAAATTTTGTGTCTTAAAGGCTCTCTCTATCTGGCTGGTGGGTTTATTAGTCTGCATTTTCTCGATTTCTTTTTGTGGGTGAAAACCGGACGGGAATATAAAGATGGAGCTCAGACTGGCGGGTTTGTTCTTTAATGTCTTCAACGGCTAGATGGGGACAGGGGGGAAGAAGGGGCGGATACATATAACATAGAAGGAGTGCTCTCACCATCCGTGGAAATGGGAAGGACACACCCTAATTCAGAAAATAGGTTTTGGTATTATACATACTATACAAAAATGATAATGATAAGTGCTTCTGCAACGACATAACTAACGTCCAGTCCTGCTTGAATCATGGTACAGGCAACATTGAGCTTTTAATATCAGGCTCGTAGGTCGGGTCTTCCCACCCGTCACGCAACGTCATTAAGCCCATTTTCCTGGCCAGCAGAGGATCATCGCCTTGTAGATCAATGAAATATTGCGCAGCGCGCCAGTTGTGTACCCGTCGATGCAGGATCGCCGCCATCAAAGCCGGGACGCGATTGCTGCTGTTGAGTTCCGTAGCCACCTCGTACCATTCAGTGGCCAATTTGGCATAGGTCTCGCGATGTATGAATGGGTCGATCTTCTGACGTATGCGTTCTTGCAATGGCCTGAACAGCTTCTGGAGAAACCGTTCAACGGGATTGGTGGCGGGGCTTTCCCATGTTCTCTCGCTGCGCGGATCATAGACATGCTCCGACATCTTGTAGTAGTAATTGGCTAGTCGGAAACAGGCATCTGGATTTCCGGCCATGGCAGCCTTGTTCATGCACTCTTCATACTTGTCCTGCTCGCCCCGCTGCCACAAAACCGCAGCGTATTTGACTAAAGCATCGGAATCCTGGTACTTGATCGCAGCTGTTTCAAGGATCTGATCGGTCATCTCGTGGAGCTGCAATTGCGCAGTGATAGTAGCAAGCAGAGTCCAGGGCGACTGAATATTCCTGCCGAGCGTGATATCTTCCCAAAGCGGAGGCTGAATGGCCGTTGGTTGCAGATACGGAAATATTTCCTTGTCCAGCAGGTCGCGAGCCTCTTGATTCTTCCCAAGTCTTTGGAGAAAATGCGCTTCAAGTAACATAGCGGGCGGGTAGCGGTCTTGCCGGGCGAAGTTGGTAACCATATCGGTGTATGGGGTCCGTTGAACAACTTTCTGATTTCTGGCTTGCTGAGCCGCGAGAATAACGACAGCAGCCTTGGCCTCTGCATTAGCGGAAGCCCGAAGAAGCCATGCCTGCCAGAGCTTGCTCGAGTTGGAGTGGACATGTCCGATTTTGTGGACGGTGTCAACATCTACCGCCAGGTACCAGGGTCTCATCAGTGACCTGGGCCAAACCAAGAAAGATAGAGATAAGCGTACCTTGGGATATAGATCGGATCGCCTGTTTGGTGGGCCCAGTTGACTTAGTCGACGCCTCCAGCAATTTGACTCCTATCTGGGTAAAATCCTTCAATTTGAGAGACTTGGGCAGCATTCCCGCCTCCGTCGCGGACTTGTAGAGTGACTCTGCTTCGTACCGAACCTCTGCCAATTTGGTATCGTAGTCTTTCCATGTAATCCAACGGTTGTTGTCCAAGAACTCCGCTGACCGCTGCCGCTTCTGTTGCCATTGCGCGTCATCCACTCTGGGTGATGGTTTAGGGCCTTTCCGGAGAGCTGGGCGTGTGTGATGAAAGGGTCGCTTTATCGTGCGGGAGCTGGTGGGTTTACTGTGCTGGTTGGAGAGAGCGAGAAGTCGCTCGGCTGGGGAGAGAGGGTTGCTGGCGTGCGCTGGATAGAGCGCATTGGTGGTTGAGCCGAGGCCTCGACGAAGTTGGAGCCATTGCTGCAAAGGCGTTGTTCGTCGGACGGCCATGGGAAGCGAATGGGCCGTGGATGTGAGAAGGGGTGTGCGGTGTGAGAGCGACTGGCGGGTTGAGGTGGAAAGGGAAGAAAGTCGGCGGCGGATCCGGAGTCGGAGTTTCAATCCTTAATTGACCTGAACATGCATCCAATGCATTCAATTGAGCTCTCTACCAAAGAACACTCGGAATAAAAATGAAATAAATAAAGAAGCCTTAACGCAATGCGTATAATGTACATTTGCCCTCACTCATCTAACAAAAAAAAGAATAAATAAAAGAGGAGAGCTGGTACCCCCATCTCCAATCTCCAAATTGTCCAAACATTTTACTCCATCGTAACCTTGGCACCCAGCCCCTTGAGCGTCTCAACAATCTTCTCCGCCTCCTCCTTCGGCACAGACTCCTTCATGACCTTGGGCACGGACTCGACGAACTTCTTGCTGTCCACCAGCGACAGGCCGAGCATGGTCTTGATCTCCTTGATGACCTTGGGCTTAGACGTGGCCTCGAACGACTCGAGCTTCAGGTTGAACAGCGTCTTCTCTGCCGCGGCGGGCGCAGCTTCCTCTTCCTCAACTGCGGCAGCCGCGCCTGGAGCGCCAGCGCCGGGGGCCATGGCGAAGCCGCCCACGGGGAGGTCGGGGATGTTCAGGCGGGTCTGTTGCATTGAAGGGCCAGTTAGACTTCTAGAGCTCGCAGTTTATAAAATGAAAAGACCCCATTTATGGTGGGTCAATGGAGGGTAGAGAGGTGTTGCACCCACCTTCAAGGTAGACACCAGGTCGGCGGTCTCCAGCAGCGTCAATTGGCTGATCTGGTCGACGATCTGCGTAATCTTAGGATTGGAGGGAGCCGCAGCAGCGGCCTCGGTCGACTCCCATCGCCGGCTGCTGGGTGTGCTGCGGGCTGTGTATGCGGAGGTCGCGATGCGCAGGGAGGACGGACGGACGGAGCCGGAGAGGTGTCTGCAGCAGCGGGCTGCTGTGTGGATAGGGAGGGACATGGCGGAGATGACGACGAAAGAGAAAAACAGGTGATGGAGAATGAGAGACGCAATTCAGAAGAAAAGGGAAAAGACAGCTCAATTGGCGCGGCAAGACAAAAAGAAAGCGAGACGGGGAAAATCTAAGGGGTCACGTGTATTGCTTATGTCATCGCTCTAATGGACCAGATCTATAGTGTAGTCTACTACAATCATTTTCTATAGTTGTTCATTTTTATTCACTCCAGGACCCTTCTTTTTTCGTGATATCGTGGAAAGATCTATCACCATTCAAAACATACAATTAATCCTCATCCCAGTTGGCGTTCGGGCCAGGGGGTTTTGGCCCACCAGCCTGCCGAGCAACGATAATCTGATCCACGCTCAGCACGGTCCGGGCAGACTCGCTAGCTAGACGGATCGCCCAGCTCTTGGTGGCCATCAGATCCAGGATTCCCTCCTCCACCGCATCCAGAGTACCGGAAGAGGAGCCAATCTCGAGGTCCACGCCGGTGGTCCAGTAGGGCTCCTCCTCGTCCGAGGAGCTGCCATCGTCCTCCTCCTCGTCAGAGGATGACTGGCCGGTCGGTCCAGAACGGTGGTGTGCGGTGTACAGGCGGGAGAGAACCTCCGTGGCATCAAGGCCGGCGGATTCGGCAAGCGTGCGCGGGATGACCTCGAAGGCCTCGGCATACTTGCGGATGGCGTACTGCGGCAGACCGGGAGTCTTGTCGGCAAAGTTGGAGATCCGGTCAACCAGTTGGATCTCCGTGGCGCCGGCTCCGGGGACCAGACGCGGGTCCTTGGTGATGGCCTTGACGACGTTCACGCCGTCGTCAATGGCACGCTCAATGTCATCCAGGTGGTTCTGGGTGGCACCGCGCAGCACAATGGTGGCTGTGCGCGTCACGGCGTTGGCCTCCTCTTGACGGAAAACGGTAACTCGGTCACCACCAATCTCGGTCGTCTCGACCACGTCAACGCTGCCCATCTCGTCGGGCATGGGTGCACCAAGACGGGCGAGGGGGGTAGCACCCACCACTCGGCACAAGCGGCGGAGCTCAAACTTGGACAGGATCTTGATCACCAGGATGTTAAATTTGTTGAGGTAGTGCAGGGCCAGGTCGCCGACTGAAGAACCAGCCACGACCACCCGAAGGCCGGAATCGTAGAGCTCCTTGACGGCCGTCTCTAGACGGTCCTCCTCGCCCTTGGTGTAGTCCACCATTTCCTGTGCATTCTTCAAGAGCACCGTGCCCTTGGTCTCGGTCTGGCCGATATCAATTGGGCAGCTGAAAACGCCGACCTTGGCCTTGCGGGCCGACTTGACGATTCCATCTGGCTCACGTCCAAAGACCATACCTCTCACCACCCGGGACTGTTCCAAGCTACCGCCCATAATCTTGACGACACGCACGTTATCCACGTTGAAGTTGAGGGGGTTCTTGGGCAGGACCAGGAGCACCGCCTCGGCCACTAATCCAGCCAGAATATCCTCGGTGCCGGATTGCTTGCTAGCCACGACCGTCCGCAGCGCCTTGCTGAGTTCCGTCAGCGACCGCAGCTCCTTGAGCCGATCGACCTCGAGATCTGCCAGAAACCACCCAGTTAGTGCCATTGTCATGATGGCCAATTTTGGGCAGAAACAACATACCTTCCAGAACCTTCAATGCGTAGTTTTGAGCCTTCTCATAGCCCGAGACAATATCACTCGTCGTCAGGCCCATGCGGATCAATTCCTCCGCTTTCTTCAACAGCTCACCTGCCAAGACGATGACCAAGTTAGTCCCGTCACCCATCTCGGCATCCTGCTGCTGGCTAGCCATGACCAAGAGCTTCGCGGCGGGGTGCACGACGTCGAGTTCGCGCAGGATCGTGGCCGCATCGGAGGTCAGGATCATCTTCTGCAGGTGGTTGATGACGATCTTGTTGCGGCCATAGGGGCCCAGGGAGGTCTGGACGGTCTGCGAGATAGCCTGGCAGGCCTCGATGTTGCGGATGACGGCTCCATCTTCGGCATCGTGGCTAAGGAGAATGGTCAATAGGTGGTTCAGGGGAGTTGCAGATCAGCGGCGCACAACGGGGGAAGTGTGGGCGCACCAAACCACTCACCTCTGGTACCCGGCCTTGAAGAGGCCGGCCTGGGAGGGCCCAGGGAGAGATAACGACATATTAACCGGTCGTTTTCTGTGGATGAGACAGAAGTGATGGTAATGGAGGGGAGACAACAAGTTGGGGTTTTTTGAGCTCGGGAAGGTGTGGGTTTGCTCTGTTTGCACGAGGGGCCAGTTGACGATGGTACCCGAACTACTTGTAGATAACGAAGTACTTGGGTAGGAACTCTAGGGGCTGGTTAATAATATTCTAATTGTACAGTTATATCGTATTTCCGTTGATGTCACCTATTGTAATGAGGTTCTATGTATCATCATTCTTACATCTGGCTTTCCCTGATACATCCATCACATACCGTGTATTAAAGAAAATAAGTTGAACGTTTAGCTAATTGCATAGGATTTATATACTGCGGTCGATGACGGCGACTACCCTTAGGCTTCTTTTTTCCTTCCTTCTTTGGCTTCGGGAGCGTTCTGTTGAGATCACATTCGCTCGTCAATATCCTTTGATTTAAGACGATCTACGTCTCAGAGGAATCAACGGAAGATCGCCCTTTAGATCAAAATGAACGCCCTTGAGGTTACGGACATCTTGCAATCACAGTCTGAAGAGGACAGAAACTCTATGGGCACGAAGACGAAAAGATGGAGACATAATAGAGAGGTAGCTGTTCTGAGAAGATCGCATTACAATAGAGTCGATTCAGGGACAGTGTTAACCGATATCAAGGATAGAAAGGCATTTTTTCGAAAACCCCTGATCCTGTTGTATCAAATATTACACAACGTAGCTAGTCCCTAAGCGAGTCAGCGGCATGAAGGATTTATCATATACTACATACGGGCATCGCGAAAGGAAACTCTTGCAATCTCACATGGTCCCTGTAAATCTTCACCATATTCGACTATCATCGGGAATTGGCTGCACCTACAAGTACACGTTTTTGGGAGGCACAAACGAATCATTTAGGAACTTTGGCCTGGTATATTCCGGTAGTAATCTTCTTTGCCTTAATTGATTCTAGAATCTTTTTCTCTAGTCTTCAATGTGGTTTATCTTCTCTCTATACAGACTATATTCTAATATAGATTTCCTCGTCATGATTTGGCTTCCATTCTAGTCAATCCACTACTGTAAGCCGCATGAAAGCAGAGTGGAGGCATGTCTGGCTCTTCATAGGCAAAGAATTGTATGAAGGCAGTTTATCATCTTCTTAGTCTTTCGCGAGAAGTAATTCTTACTGCAAAATTTAAGGGGACCGATCCTCCAGGATCGCTCCGGCACGGGAGACAACCTTTGGCCCTTGTTTGCGGAGTAGAAGGGGGCCAGGGCCAAGTATACACCTGATATAGTTAGAGGGGCCCATTGAGGCTGTCCAATGTAAAGTGAGGAAATAAGGGCAACGCAGCACTGAGTACAGTATCAAGTTAAAACATCTACGCCCCAAGGGGGCGGGCCCTCGTTATACCTAGGTTTTTTTTAGAAGGAAGCGTTTGCTAACAACGATCTCTAGCCCTGTCGGACCCAAATCCAAGCTATCCAACAGTAATGGTCAGTGAGCGGGTCAGTGTGCTCAGGCGTGTGCTCAGTATTACTCAGTGAGCAAAAAGCGGCAAGGCCTGAGCACTGAAACGGAAGGGGAAAGCCAAGAAGTAGCAGAGGAAATCGCCTAGGTAGGTACTCTAGGTGCTGGTAAATAATATTCTAATTGTACATTTATATCGCATTTCCGTTGTATCTACCGTCCGTAGGACTCTTGCGAGCCATACGCGTCTCGAAAACCAGGCACTGCAGAAAATTAGAACTGATACACCGACACAAGAGACGACAAACACTGACTGAAGCGCCCTATAGCATTGCACCCACTGTCGTCGTAGATTGACTCGGCCTTGAGAAGCCTGTATCGGATTAGTAGCGGCTTAAGAATTAAAAGTGGAGATGCATACCATCCTTGAATAGCTTCCATCCGGTTGTAGCTCTGAACGACGGGTTAGCACAAATCATTTGCATACCATCTCCCACGGCACCTACCGATGGATGAGTCGACATAAACTGCGGAGGAGCCGCTTTTTCCATATTCTGCATTCGAGACCAGCTGATTTGATATTTGGATTAGCAGGCGGTTTTCAACTCGGCTGGGGCGATAGTCTTACAGTGTCACCGCAGCTTGGGGATTGAAGCAAGCCTTGGACATCATCACTACCCAATTGGATCAGCATCCCACTCACATACTGTCATTCAAAGGGACATACTGAGTCCGATGTTGTCTGCTTCAGCCTCCTGCGTACGCGAGTTTGGGAGGCTATACACAAGATTCAGCAGCATTGAAGGCAGCTGTCCCGAAACGTCAAACAGAAATGAGACAAGAAAAGCAGCTCCAATCGTTAAGAAGCTATTGCTCATCCGCTCAGCAGGGTGGTGGGCCACAACATGGGCAATCTCGTGGCCCAACACAGCAGCCAGACCATCCTCATTCTGGCAGATGGGCAAGATACCTGTGTATACAAAAACCTTGCCCCTGGAATCGATATTAATAATGTGGACACGGTCAGACGGACTCAACCTACCCCGGTAGCACAAATGCGTTGACCATTCCATCATCCTTGATGACATGGACCTTCCAATCCGCACCCTCAAGGGGCGCCAATGGAATCAGCCGCTGCAGCACGCGATCCACCATGCGCGTCAGCGGGTGATTCTCAGGCAAGACCTTCCCCCGCTCGGCATTCAGAACCTCGCGGTAGCTCTGGTCACCCATTGTCAGTTCCCGCTGGTGGGAGACACAGTTGAAGCGTCGCCGGCCCGTCATCTGATATATCCAGTGGTCAGAACACAGATCATTCAATTACGCGATTCTCGTTCTCACCTCCACCTCCTCGGTGTTGTACAGGTATAGCCCAGATAGCACTAGCCCGATTATCACGAAATGGTGCGGTTTCGCATCTTGCATGAGGCGGAACATCACCGTCTGCCGACGCCCCGAGCCACCGAATCGATTGTATTGGTCATTCTTCTGGTACTGGAAACGTGGGCCAGAGAAAAATGATCGTCGATTGCTGGGGAAGTTCTGGGTAAAGAGGGGCGTGGAGGAGGGTCGATAAGCTGGTTGTCGGATTCTGGATGGCACTCTCCGAGAGGAGACATCAGATACCCATCGTGGGCTGGATCGGGAGAGTCGTGATATGGGAAAGGTGCGCGTGAATGGAGCGGCGGCGATGGTCAACGCAGCGACGCGCGCAGGCGACGAGGTGCATAGAGGAGAGCCAGAGGCGCGGAGTGCGCGTAGGAGCGGCTGGCCGAGCATGGTCAGTGGCGAGGGTCTAGATTACCCAGAAGTGTGGGTAGGAAGAGAAGAGAGAGCGAGAGAGAGGTTGTCGCAGCTGGAGTCGGACCATCCCCAAATCTGAACGATAAACGATAAGCAGCGGACGCACAGGGCGACTTGGAAGCAACTATGAGTTTACGGGGCCAAGGAATAATAACATAACAAGCTACTCCTTTGGAATAGATAAATGTATATACACTAAATAAACACTTGCATGAATTGGTCAATTGTCTTCCAGTAGTAAATATGACGTTATCACCGAGCTCGGCTATAAAAATTCTTGTATGTCCGAAGGCTCACATCTGTTCCTTTTCTTCCTTTCTTTACTACACTACAACGCTAGGTGACGGTAAATTGGGTGCCAAAAAACAGCTACCTCGCCAAATAACCTCTCAAGTCGTAGACAGCTGCAGAGGTCGTAACTCGAACTTCAAGGCTACGTTTCAGAAGGCCGTGCGAGGCCTGAATGGAGGCCTGAATGGGAAGCATACGTGGGGGGCCTGAATGGGAGGATTAGTTCCATTATCCGTTATATTAGTCGCCTTCCTCCTTTTCTCGCTCCAAAACTTATTTACATAAAGCATCTGTATTCTTCGCCCTCAAAAAGAGCCAATTCCGCGCCTGGGGCTCCGACACAGAGTCTGTCTGATCGAACCTTTCCAGATCTTAATCCATTCTACATTTGAAAATGTCTAACCAAGTCCAATCCCGCGGTGAATATTTGCTAGTCAGAAACATGGCCGAACGCGAAAGGTGAAGACCTAAAGAGCAATGTTACTCCCCAGTAATCTGTTAACATGAAACAAATTAGGCTGGACATGCAATATAAAGCCTGGCAGGCCAATATTGGTTATCTACTTCATCCAATCATCAAACAACAGGATCATATGCGCATTGCAGATGTTGGCACAGGGACTGGGTTAGTAACAGTTCCATCAGCTAGAAAAAAACCTCTGACACTTTTCACCAAGAATATGGCTACGTGAGCTCGCAGCTGTCCTTCCAAATACTTGTCAGCTTGATGGGTTTGATCTCTCAGACGCCATGTTTCCCTGCAAGAATGCTTTACCGGAAAATATTACCTTCCATCAGCAAAACCTCCTGGAGCCATTCCCGGATGAGTATCTGGGAAAATATGACGTTGTCAATGTTAGAGTTATGGTGGTGGCTTTGTCCTCGGACGAGTGGGAACCTGCCGTGCGAAATTTGATGACGCTTCTCAGTATGAAGTCTCCTACCTCAGCTCTTATTGATCCAAAATCTAACCTGTTATTTGAAAAGAGCCCGGAGGTCATCTACAATGGACCGACTGTGCCGCACATGAGTGTGTAGTCAAAGGGGAGCCTATCGGAAAACGAGCTACTAATGCACGATATGGACTCGACTTATTCCGAAGGACTCTGATTTCGCTTGGGAAAACACCAAAGTAAGCTCGACTACTCTCTTGCTAGGGAAAATAATCGTGGGAGGCTAATCAGAGGGACTAACTCCTCTTTAGTATTGCTGCTCTTCATGGCATTTTCCGGAAAAGTGGACTGAAATGTTGTGAAGAGCGGATCTATACTCTTGACGACCCAGGGGCTCGGGAAGACCTCAATTTCACAGTCGTTGTTGGAATCCAGCACGTTCTGGCTACTGCTTTCCAAATGCAAAAGTTGGATGAAATACAATCCATGGACCAAATTATGGGCCTGAGGAAGGCTATGCTAAGCGACTTGCACAACATTCCTTGCTATTATTGCTTCGATGTTTACGTCGTGGTTGGAAGAAAAGCTTGATTGAGCAGTCTCCGCAATGATCTACAAGAGAGAATAATACAAGCCTTAGAAACAAAGTGTTCAAAATATTTCAATACTTTAGGCAAAAGATAATGGCTATAAACAAGACAGACTAGGAGACAGAGAGTAAATCATCACGATATTTCCAGACCACACACAATCAAAGAGAAAAGAACAAGGACGGCGGTTCATCGTAAAATCAAGCTTATTTCCGACACCCGCGCACCATTCATCAAAAAATAAGAGCCCATCAGATAGACATGACACGCAGTTACATTAACCGAAGGAAAGCGAGAAAGAAAACGGAGTGGTATACTGCAACAAGACAGGCACACGCACACATAGATCATATGCCAGGGGAAAAAACGAAATATACAGAACAGAACAGGAAACATATCAGACCAGAGAAGGAACGGGGAGCTTCACTGGGGACATTCATGCTGCAGAGTTCCACGGTTGGGGATGGATGGACATTTGAACAAAAAGGAAACGGGAAATGGGAAAAGGTGGTATCATAAGGGAGTTTTCGAACCGCGAAGAGAAGAAAAGCACAGCACAGCACAGCAGGCCACACTCAACCGACTCAACCAGGGTAAGAGAAATGGGAACTAGGGGAGTGTTGTATGCGAGACAGAGACAAGTGACACAGAGATAAGAAAGCCCGAAAGAAAACAGAGATTAATTCACAACGAAATGGGAAAAGGGGATCGAAACCAGACGTTTAGAGTTGACCGAAATTCTACTCCTCAGTCAACGCATCATCTCCAGTTTCACGCCACTCCTTGGAGCGATCGGTCAGTTTGCGCACACCAGCGACGCGCTGAGCCCAATGCGCCTCTGACGGGGTGCGGTAGGTATAAGCGCGCTGCGAGGAGATGACGCCGATGCTTTGCAGGACGGCTTTGCGTGAGTCGCGGCTGAACACGGCGGGGTGGTTGATCCACTCGAGAGCCGATTCCAGGTCTGCGTTCAGCGCAGTCATGGTCTCGGCATCCATGGAGGACGCGGGGGTAATGGTGTTTGCGTCGGAGGCGGCCGAGGCCTGGCTCTCGGCGAAGGTGGAGGACTTGGGTGACGAGGCGGAGGAGTTGTCGACGCCCGTGCCGGGGTCACTGTTGCCCGAGGGCCGCGAAGCGCCTGGTGGTAGAGGTGGGAGGCCGCCCTTGCCCAGACCCTTGAGGATGCTCCGGGTTTCGTTGAGGAGGTGCTGTGCGCGGTCGTGCTGCCCTCGCGAGACGAGGGTCAGGGAGCGAGTTAGCATGTCGGAAGTGAGCATCTCCATGCGGCGCTGCACGATCGAGGGGTGGGGAGGGATCGGGGGAGTGGGCGGGCGCTGGCTCTTGGCCTTCGGGTTGGCCGGGAGCATGGTGATGGCTAGGAGGGATGGCCGCGGAGAATGGGTGAGGTGGCCTTCGCGCAGAAGATCTCCATAAGTAAGGTCGGCTTGGATCAATGGCACTTCCTCGACGCTCAGAACGCGCTGTTCGTCTCCGTCTGGACCGCCACCGAGGGCTTCCAGCCCAGACACCAGGCTCTCCCACGGATCTTGAGGCATGTTATCCTGCGTGGCATTGTCGGGTTGAATGACCAGCTGGACCAGAACATCACGCTTGTCACCGAAACGGAGATCTCCCAGAGCGGCCTCGGCGTCCTTTCCGGTGGCGCGCTTGGTAGTGTGGAGAGCACCACTAATCTTGACAAACTTGGCGGGCGAGCCCTCTGGTAACCGCAGCTTCAGTTTGACGTTTTGGTGTGAGGTTGTTTGCATAGCACCCAAGCATCCAGCAACACATTCCCGAAGCATCATCCAGTCCTTGACATAGACGTAGGAACCCTTGGTGCGGGTGGAGAGCTCGATCATCGTATCGGGCTTGTGGGTGAGACCCAGACCGAACGAGTGGATGCTCACCTTGGCAGCTTCGGCGCGCGACACCACAAAGTCCACGCTCTCTGGGTCCGAGGTGGACGAGTCGCTGATCAAGAGGATAGTCGAGACCGGGTTGTTAAACTTCCGCTGCATCAAAAGATCCATGGCCACGTTGGCACCCTCAACGACATCGGCGCGGAGGCTCTTCTGTCCCACCGGCCGGATGGAGTTCAGAATCTTGTTCCATCCATTCCATGACTTTGTGGTCATGCCAACCAGAGGCACACCGCCGCCGCTGGAGCCAAAGGTCACCAGGCCCATTCGGTCCCGGGGACCCAGACTCTGCACCAGGAACCGGAGAGAATCGCGGAGTAAAGTAATCTTGAGCCCTTGCATGGACGATGATACGGGAATAACCACGACAAGGTCGAGAGGAATGTGGATGGAATTGATTGGCGTGGCCTCTACACCAAGATTGGTGTAGTCAGTGATGCCGGTGGCGGTCGATTTGCCGGCACCATAAGACGAGTTGAGCGACGCCTGGCGCTGCACACGGTCATGTCCACTTCGGTAGTCATCCTCCTCCCCGTTTTCATAATCGTATTCGTTATTGCGCGGGTAGTTCTCCACGGGGTTAAGGTCCATAAGGGCACGGCGCCACAGATCAAGTTGAGTGCGGTTCTTGAATCGAAGATAGAAGCAGGGCAATTCCGTGACGGAAAGATTCAAGGAGAGAATCGGCTCCTCGGATGAGGTGTCGATGGATTTGAGGTGCTTTTTTATGAGGATAGAGCCCTTGAGAGTGCATCGCGTGGGCTTTCGTTTGGAGGAGGCTGGGTCTTCGTACTGACTCTGGTCCACGATCTTCTTTTCCTTGACACAGATGAGCATCTCTGCGAACAGATAGCACTCCAGCTCCTGCCAAGACTCCCGGTCCTTGCCGACGCGCATTTGTCCGTGGAGGCGAAGCTTGCCAAACCGCCCGAACTCCAGGCCGTGCCAGTTGTCCACGCGATTCCGCAATTCCTCCGCAATCTCATTCATGTTCTCTCCCGGCTCGAAGGGGGGCGAGCGGATGTCCACACTAGGCGGAAATCGCGCCGACCACGGTTCGTCCAGCTGCGACGGACCAGCCGAGCGCAAGTCTTCTGCGTCCGGGCGCCAATTGCCCGCAGGAACCTCCACCGTCACCAAGCAAGTGAGCGATTGCTGTTGGCGCGAACGCGTCAGGGTAGGGAATTCGCTCCGGATCGTCACCGTCGGCGCGGGAATCGGGTTCTTCGATGTACCCGGGCGAGGACTCAAATGCGACTCCATCGCCTGCACGTCGTAGTCATGGCGCCGGCCGCCGCCTGTGTGTGCAGTTTCGGGATACTCCCCGGATCCGGTTGTGGTGCTGCCATTGCGCGAATGTGGGTTGCGGTGATGCGAGCTCGGTGCCGTCAAGCGTTCCACGCGCTCACGCTGGTTGCTGGTGTCGCGACTGTCACGTCGATTATAGCTTTGAGGGTAGCGACTGGCGGCCTCGCTGGGTGCCTGGCGGTTGCTCTGCTGATCCCAGGCGGTTGGGGTGGTGACACCACTGCGCGTGGTAGCGGCATCGCTCATGGTCACCGAGCGAACGATGCTGCTGATTTTCTCTGCAAGGGGGTGTGGTCAGGGACCTGCCTTCTTGTCTCTCCGGGGTGCGGGGAAAGGAATGTGAACATACCGATATCCAGAACATTTCCACCACGGCTCGTGTCCAGGCCTAGCGGTGCACTGCATGTTGGACAGAACTGCGATTCGAATTCGCGAATGTACTCGTAGAAGCAGGCTTCGTGGGAGACATGGCTGCAGGAGAATTGGAGCACGCGCTCGCCCCGCAGAGTATGCTCTAGGGGTTCTTCGCAGACGGCGCACTCGCTGCCGATAAAAGTTCGTTCTCGCCGCGTGCGGCTGCGGTCGACCTCCATAGGGCCTGTCATGGGCCCGCCGGTCCTGGAGTTGAAGGAGACCCGAGATCGGTTGGAGTGACTACTAGGATTGGGATGCCAGCTGGGATCCCGGTAGGCCGTGTGAACGGAGCCCGCGAGCGTGGACGGCGCTCGAGACTGGTGGGAGAGCGCACTGTCAGGTCGGTCGGGGCCGCGGGAGAACGAGCGAAAAGAACGGAGCGTTGAGCGAGACGGGGACTGCTCTGGCTGCGATTGAAACCCTGTACGTCACCCACCTCGTCAGCCTATGCGGGGGAACAGGGGGCCAGAAGAAGCAGAACAAAAGATGCTGGGCGGCGGGAGTAGCACCCAGTGTGGGATGATTCAGGGGGCGCGGGTGTGGAACGCGGGCAGTTTTGAGGCATCGAGAACCCCTCGAACACGTCTCACCAAGTGCGAAAACTTACTATTGGGCGGAGCGGGCGACTTCTTCCGTGAACGCCCCAGAAAGCCGAATTCAAGGCGGTTCGAATCGCTCCCCGACTTGGAATCCCTGGGCGTGGATCGCGATTTCCACATGGACGGGAGGTGATGGTGCTCCCTTGGCCGAAATGGGAAGGGTGAAGGGGAAGAGAGAAGGAGAGAAGGCGAGAGCGTGTGAGAGCGTAAAAGGGAAAGGAGACCAAACTAACTACAAGAGGAATTCACTCAGCATCGGAGAAAAACGATCGGGTCCACACCCAACCGCCACGGCTCCCCGGGCTCCCCTGAACCGTAATAGTCCCTATGCACCGCACGACTAGGATGAACTAACTACGGAACCTGTCTGGTCTCTCTATCCATCCATCTTCACTCTGGCCCCTTTCCAAAATGGGGCCAGAGTGATTCAGGGCAATCCTGCTCGCTGAAGGATGCAACCCTCCTGGTACACACACCAGGCCACGCACATGGGCGGTTCCCTGCTCCCACGCGCCCGGGTCGGGGCATTGGTTATGGGCATCCATGGATTCCGTCGGTACAGGTACATGGTCCAAGATTCTGCACCTGGTGTTGTCTGGTTCCGCCGGGCCAGGATGGCTGTCATTGGGTGCATCTAGGCTCGACCCTCCGATCGAACCGAACCGTTTTCTGTCAGGAGACGGTTGACCTGAGGGATGGTCCAGCTCCGGGGAAAAATCATCGGGGCCGGGCCATGGACGCGTTGCCGAGCACCATCTCGTCCAAAGGTCCGGTCCCGACGTCATCCCTCGTTGCCACTTTCTTTTCCTGCTGCACTCGGTACGCCTGAGCGGGCTCCAGGGCGGTGGTGGCGGATGGCCATGGCAATCAGAATAGCCCTCCTTTGGGTGGCCGCACTGGCGACAGACAGACACTATTGATGTCAATCCTTCTCCACACGGGGCTAGGAGAAATTACCTTCCTTGCACATCACTATCTACGCCGTTCGCATGGAACGTGCAGTAGTTGCAATCCGACTAGTTAGTCATTGATTTCTCCCAGATGATGTGATTCGACCAATCGTCGGAGAATCCAGGCGGTCCCCTGCCAAGGGAATTCGACTGAGCAACATGATCGGCGCCGTTGAAAGCTAGAGTTGTCCAAAGCCGGTGTTTCAGGCATTCCATCCTCCACTAATCAGGAACTCCATGTGGAATTCGAGGCTGGGGGGAGAGCCTGCATGTCCTACTACGGGTACGAAATGGGTAGTGGGTGCGTAGATAAGTTTAATCTGCCTATGTTGCTGGCGTCACGGTCAGTTCTACTCTGTCCGAGATGCTGGCACCCTAGGCGTGTGGGGTGCATGGTCTGCGAGAGGTCTAGAGCTGCGGCTCGGGACTTTTGTTTTGGCTCGTGGAGGCTTTCGTAACGGTTTCAGGCGTGTGGTCTAGAGCTCCGGGGTGTTTCAGGATAGCCAATTCAGTGGTTCCCTCGCAACGTCTCTGCCAGGGCTCAGACGACACAATCCGAGAAACATGACGGGATCCGGACGTGTATGATAGATCACTGCTGGCATGCGGTACTTCAACAGTCCAGACTCCCCATGGCGGGCCGGGTCTGGCTCCGACGGGTTGATCAGTATCTTGTCCGTGTTTCAGGTCCGTTTGCAACCATGCTTGGATAGCAGATACACGGTGAATCTCGACCTCACCATGTATGCTCAGGAGTCGCGATACACCATACTCCTGGCACGGGACGATGGATCCAGTGGTGCATTGTGACCTATCACCTGTCAACTGCTGTCCCCCTCCGGTTTGATGCGACCAAAGTACCGCACTGTTAAAGAGCAGGACAAGGAGGAAGTAGATAGGCCACCTCCGGGTCTGCACCGCAGTTTGCCCTGTTTGCACTCCCCTACACCGGCCGCCCCCGAACGGAAAACGCTGACATAAGCCCCTGGGAAAGATTCGTTCCCAACGGAAAAAGCTCCTTCCAGCCAACTTTTTGTTCTCATCCTCATAACACATCCACCATGTTCTTCCGCTCGGTCGCTCGTCAGGCAGCGCCTCTGCGGCGTTCGGCCTTTGCTCCCCTTGCCCGCCGCTCCGTCACCACCGACGCCGCCTCGTCGCACGCCGAGAATATCCCCCAGGTTCGTTGAGAGAAATCCCCGTGTCGGAAAACTAGGGAACCCGCCGGACACCCGGCTAACACCAATTGCGCGACAGGAGGATGACAAGCCGTTCACCGTCCGTCTCTCCGACGAGAGCTTCGAGACCTACGAGCTCGACCCGCCTCCCTACACGCTGGAGACGACCAAGAAGGAGCTGAAGCAGATGTACTACGACATGGTGTCAATTAGGTAGGCGACGAGACCAATTGCGCGTCACAACAGTCCTAACCAATTGGTGCAGACGCATGGAAATGGCCGCCGACCGCCTGTACAAGGAGAAGAAGATCCGGGGTTTCTGCCACCTGTCGACCGGCCAGGAAGCTGTCGCCGTCGGCATTGAGCACGCCATCAACCGCGCCGACAAGGTCATCACCGCCTACCGTTGCCACGGCTTCGCCCTGATGCGCGGCGGCACCGTCCGCTCCATCATCGGCGAGCTGCTCGGCCGCCGTGAGGGTATCGCGTACGGCAAGGGTGGCTCTATGCACATGTTCGCCGAGAACTTCTACGGCGGCAACGGTATTGTCGGTGCTCAGGTGCCCGTCGGCGCCGGTCTGGCTTTTGCTCAGCAGTACAATGAGCAGCCCAACACCAGCATTATCCTGTACGGTGACGGTGCCTCCAACCAGGGCCAGGTGTTCGAGGCCTTCAACATGGCTAAGCTGTGGAACCTGCCGGCTCTGTTCGGCTGCGAGAGTATGTTTACCGAGCGAATGCGGCACAGCGTTTTTGACTAACCCTTTTTCTTTTCTTTTTGCAGACAACAAGTACGGCATGGGTACCTCCGCGTCGCGCTCCTCTGCTCTGACCGAGTACTACAAGCGCGGCCAGTACATTCCGGGCCTGAAGGTGAACGGCATGGACGTTCTCGCCACCAAGGCCGCCGTGCAGTACGGCAAGGACTACGCCGTGTCCGGCAAGGGCCCCCTGGTCTTCGAGTACGTGACCTACCGCTACGGCGGCCACTCGATGTCCGACCCGGGCACGACCTACCGCAGCCGTGAGGAGATCCAGCGCATGCGCAGCACCAACGACCCGATCGCTGGCCTGAAGCAGAAGATGCTCGAGTGGGGCGTTACCTCCGAGGAGGAGCTCAAGTCCATCGACAAGTCGGCCCGCTCGCACGTCGACGAGGAGGTCGCTGCCGCGGAGGCCATGGCCGCCCCCGACAACACCTCGCGCATCCTCTTTGAGGACATCTACGTCCGTGGCTCCGAGCCGCGCTGGATGCGTGGTCGTACCGTCGACGAGACCTTCTACTATTAGGGGGGGGATTTCTCTCTTCAGGGGGAGGAGAGCATGTGAGAACCGGATGTACTCCTGTTCCTATCTATCACTATTCTGTAATTTAGCCTCCGATGAGTTATTTCTTTTGTCCCTTTGGTTTCCCATTTCATTTTGGTTAGAGTAGATTGCAATTCTCATCGTCTTTTGGAATTTGGATATACTTCTAAGGAGCCACCAATGTGTCAAAGCAAGATTGCGGTGTCAAATATAAAATCAAGTATGAAATAATTCCCCTTGCATCCTAACCAAACCTAATAATCCCAAACGCCCGCTATTAATGGAAAAATGTGGGTATCAAGATCATAAAACGTGCATCGAATGCAGCTCGATCGTCACAAGCGAGAGCAAAAGAAAAACAAGAAGAAAGAAAATGAGAAAAATCAAGCATCATCCTGTCTCAGCATATTAAGAATAACCTCCTGCGTCCGCTGCAATGAATCCAGCTTCTCCTCTATGGCAGCATTCCGTTCCATCGCGATGCGCAACTCAGCCTGCATCTCCTGCCGCAGTTCCGTCTTAACGGCTTCGACGTCAATCGACGAGGCATGTTGCAGAGACGTGCGTTGGGCAGTCGATGCGGAGTTCTGAACTGCGGCTTCGGAGGCGGATACCAGCGCCGAAATGACGGATGACGAGGAAGGACGGCGTCCTGCGCCGTCGGCGGTCATGGACGCGGCGTCGAGATGTTTGTTTAGCTTGTCTAGTGCTTGGAAGAGAGATGCGACCATGCGATTATCGGGTTGCATGGGTGAAGTGGTTGTGAATGGAGCGGGGGACTGGGTCGATGGCATGTTGGAGAACATTGTTTCGAAGCCTGGGGGGAGTTTCACCGTAGAGACCTGTGTGGAAGATGGTGGTAGGAGCGGGTGTGAAGCTGCAGCTGGAACAGGAACAACGGCGTCGGCGGGGAGAAGGGGAGCATCGCTCGCAGAAGAAGACGCTGAACCCGCAGCAACAGGAAGCGAGGCATCCGTTGTCGGCAACTCACTCGGCGAGGACGTAGACGGGTTCCCGTCAATCTCCGTAGCCCCCGCCGCAGCCCACGGATCCCAAGCGTGCTGCTGCTGGTGATGCTGGTGATGATGATGGTGAACATCCTTGTCCATCCGCTTGCGACTACTCCTCGAATCGCGTTTCTCAATCCGCCGCGCCTCGGCCTCCTCCCAGCGCTGCCAGGTAGGAATCCACGCATCAATCGCAGCGCGCCACTGTGGATTCGAGAGGTCCTCGGTCACCGTCGCCGCGCCCCCGCGAGCGCGCTGATCGTCCAGAAACTTAAGGCGCTGCTTCGAGACCAGCTCGACCTTGCGCCGCACAGAGTGCCACGAGTACGGATGCCCGTGGGCGCGCGTGAACTCCGCTGTAACGGTCTTCCACCAGTTGCACAGGTTGCTGCGGTGGCCGAAGTTCTCGGCGTGGCGGTTGCAGATCTCGAACAGGGAGACTTCTTCGCGTGTTGTTAGCCGCTTGCCGTGTTTGCGCGGCGTATCGCCGTTACCGCCGTCGATGTCGGCTTCGCCATCGTCGGCGTCGCCGTTCATAGCCATGTTTATGCCCATGTCCATGTCGCTTACGCGGGTGCGTTTCGTTCCTCGGGCTTTGGTGTTCCCGGTTCCGGACATGAAATACCCACTACTCCCCGGGTTTGAAGTGGTGTTCGAGCCACTACCGGCCATCGGCACGAAAAACAGGTCTCGTTCGGAGACGACGCCTCCCACGCTTCGTTGGGGGGTGATATTGCTCCCGTTTGGTCCCTCGTCCGCTTGCCCGTCTGCGCTTTTCGATGCGTTGGTCGGTGTCGTCAACGGTCTGTTCGTTACTACCACTGACACGGAATGTGGGCCTGACGTGAGGGTTGATAGGTTATGCGATGTAGGAGAAGTCTGGTAGTTTTGTGGTCGTGCCTGTGAGCGCGATATGGGTTGGCGCATCTGCGGCATTTGGTGGTAGGCGGCAGTGGAGGGGGAGGTTGGACCTTGACGGTGGTGGGTGGGCAGGGAGTTGCTGCCCCAGGGGAACATGGACATGCTACACCAGGTAGCAGAGCAGAGCTCCTAGCTCTGAGGATTGGAGCCGTCCAGTTTGTTTATCGGCGAAGATAAGTGCTCCGTGACTGATTATTGATTGTATTGTTTGATTGATAGCGGGAAATGAAAACTGGGAAGTTTGCAGTTTGCGGCAGTAATTTTCACCGGGCGGTCACGTTGATTTATACACCCAGTATAAGTTACTTATCGAGGGCTTCATGGATTATAATAATAGATAAATATATAGCCCTAATTATGTGATTTCTGGAAATTGGGTAAGAAATAAATCATGCATGAACTTAATTGTATCTGAACTATTTTCATTCTCTTTACTGTTCACATAGTGTACGATGTCGGAACCGAGAATTCTGATTTAAACTAGGACCACATGCAGCCAATGATGTCGAATCGGAGGTCACGAAATGTCTGATCCTAGAGCTATCTAAATTACCCCTATTTATGTGTGAATGCCTGTCAGGGCTGTGCGTGGAGAATAGCAGGATCTTGTGTATCGACACCTCCATATTTGCCATTTGAGACACGTGATATGGCTTAGGAGGAACCATTAATCCATTATTTTTCCGATCGGATTTAGCTCCTCGTACTCATAACGTCTGATTACCTAAGACGTTATTATGTCCGTTGAGGCACATGAGTGTCTAAGAGAAACGTTATGTCCGTTGGAATAAATTAGATATAAAAAATGGTTCTGGCTCTTGGAAACTCTCCTCGTTTTCATCTCCTAATTATTCCCATACGGACTTGCAGAATAACATAATTCTTTGACTGATCGAACTTCGGTCTGAGCCGACTCGAACATATCATGCCTTCCGTGCTACGAGCAATGTTCCCACCGGCTCCAACCTTTACCGACAAAGACCTACCGTCTCTAGCCGGTAAAGTGTTTTTGGTAACTGGTGCAGCGTCTGGCGTTGGCTTTGAACTCGCCAAGATTCTCTATGCCGCCGGCGGAACCGTGTATATTGCCGCTCGCTCATTATCACGATGCGAGGGAGCCATCGAGAAGATCAAGGCCCAAACAAGTGGACGAAAAGCTGAAGGGACATTGAAAATCATGGTTGTCGACCTAGCAGATCTAGGGGCAGTGAAGACTGCTGCTGAGGAATTTCTACAACAAGAGACTCGGCTTGATGTCCTGATCAACAATGCGGCTGTGATGATTCCACCTACTGGAAGCAAAAGCAAACAGGTTTGTCAGCATCTATGCTATGGCGATGATTAGCTGATCAGAATATCGTACAGGGTCAGGACCTCGAAATGGCTACTAATTGTCTCGCGCCGTACCTCCTTACGCTCCTCCTCGAACCTCTTCTCGTCCGAACAGCTGCCTCAAGCACTCCATTCAGCGTCAGGGTTATTTTTGTTGTAGCACTTATGCAGCATGGCACGCCTCCCGGTGCAATGTCGTTCGATAGCAATGGAACTCCAAAGATCCTGCCAAAGGGCTTCGATAATTACATGCACAGCAAGGTTGGTGGGACGTGGTTGGCTGCTGAATTTGCAAAGCGTTTCGAGGGCAAAGGTGTTCTCAGTCTGGTGAGTCCAAGCGATGCTTTTGTATCTAATCACGCTGATCGAGTGTAGTCTGTGCATCCGGGATTGATGCGAACTGAATTGCAACGGAACATGGGTGTTATCGCGCCAATTGGGATGGTTTGTCCCAAAAATCCTCAAGGATACATTCCTTGCTGCTTACTGACGCTGTATGTAGAAATTGATGTTCAAGACTCCTGTCTACGGCGCCTACTCCGAGCTTTACGCTTCATTATATCCATACCTCAGTGCTAAAAATAATGGCGGATATGTGATGGCTTGGGGAAGAGTTGAAGAGCTCCCAGCTGATATTACCAACGCGCTTAAAAGCAAGGCAGAGGGTGGAAGTGGTGCTGCGCAAATATTCTTGGATTATTGCGAGCGAGAGACGAAGCCGTTTCAGTAGTCGCACTTTGAAAGCCTATCTATGCTCTGCGTTCCTCTTTATATACCTAGTTGCTAGTTCAGATATCGAAATTGAAATCATCCCCAAAACTGAAATCCTGCAAAGAGACCTCTGGCCAAGCTTGATCATTTACTGCTGGAGGTTGGCGAACATGGTTGTCGAAAACGTTCTGTCAAATGATTAGCTTGATTGGCCATAGGCTTTTGATTCGAATATCACACACCCAATCAAATTTCGTTGGCGTATCAAATAAAGCCTCTAACGGATCCATAGGCATGGGCATGGCATCAAGATCAGACTGCATGGCGAGGTCTGGTGACACAAAGGTGTCATTCGACCCTTGGTAATGCCCTCCACCCAACAGATCGAAGACACCAGTTGATACTCCCGGCGATGGTATTGGTTCTGGAGCTTGTTTAGTAACTTTTCTTGCATTTAGGTTTCCGGATCTGACTGCTGATAAAGGGATGTAGCTTGTAAGCGCGGGAGCACATACCGTTCAGCGAGAGCCTCAACATAGATTCCCCATTGTTATATCCTGCAGCTTCAGTCGACCTAGTAGAGACAACTGTATCTTCACGATGGTGTCGGAAGATTGAATTGACTCGTTTCACCATACTGCCCAGCACATCATAGGCTTTCCTAATATCAACCGACATGCTTTTCGTCTCTGTCCATATCCTGTATGATCTTTGCAGCGCTCTTATCATCTTTGTCTGGTTGGTGTTGGGATCTTGCAGATCTCCCGGCTTCAGGGCACTCCCCTCGCTCTCATGCATGAGACTCAAGTATACTATTGTCGCGGCGAGTAGGAGATCGTGCATTGGTAATGATGAGATAAACCACAGGTCTTTGCACAAAGGGCCGCCAGGTTGAACAGCATCGTGAACCTCGGACTGGATCGATAGAAGCTCCATTGAAGAGTCTATCCCGGCCTTCTTTGAATACGAAAATTCTGTATTCTCTTTTTCATTCATGAGATACTTGCGGTGCAAGACGCATTGAGACTTGTGAAAGAGCACCGCCAGACTGAATCGTTGTATAATGAGTTGAGGAGAATCGGTGATCGAAAGTTCCATTGGTACGACACGAAGAAAAGGTGGCACAGCAGCAAAGGATTGGCGTAGTTCCTGATCTAGCGCCCTTACTTCATGGTAGGGAGGGAGCGTCAAGAGATTTGCTTGCTCGATAACTTTGCCAAATACTCGGGCGATTCGACCTTTGGCAAGTGTATATGACATGCCTGTGATTTCGATCTCCGGCCTGGAAGGTGGCAATTCAGCTGTATCTTCGTCAAAATCCTGGTCTAGCAGGTTCAGTGGGACCCGAGTGTCGCTTTTGATAGCTTGAACCATTGACGGTAAGCCGTTATGGAAGCTGACGAGTAAATCCATCTGTACTAGCAAATGCCAGATGCGGCGCCGCATCTCGCCCTGATAAGGCGTAATGTTGCCTCCGACATTGTCCGAATCTCGATGGAGGCCCATTCGTAGAGCGAGACGAACTGCAACAGCGACTATCAGATAACAGTTTAGTTGATCGCCTTTGCTGAGAACCAATTCACCCTCCATATAAATCAGGAAGGCTGCGAGAGTGTAAGGTCCTGGTTGAGCGTTATTGGAGAGCATAAGGCATTGTGCACAATATCCACGATATGTTCGTATCATCTCTGTTGGAGTTCCGCGAGGGTCTGGGTTTTCTTCGCCTGCTCCTAGTGCTGCAAAAGTTGCTAGGCCCATAATGGAGTATATCAACGCAAGCCAACTGATCGGAGAGCCGTAGGGGTCGGCCCAGAACTTTCTGTACTGTACATGAAATTAGTCTTGCAGTACTTAAAGGCGGGGAAGCCTCCCGTCAGCCTTGGTGGCATACGTTGTTTTGAAATGTTGGTTTATGGATGACATCTGAATAATATTTAGCCAAAGTCCGCAAACAAATCGAACTCACTTACGCAGAGCAGGGCTGTTAGAGTTAAAATATCGATAGATCAATCGATTCACTATGGGTCGCTCGGGTAGCGCGGCCAAGAGATCCTCCTTGGTAGCGAATGATTCAGGGTTGGAGAACAGAGACAGACCAGGTTGCACGCTCTCGTCAGGTAGTGAAGCTTCCCCTTCGGCTTCGTCGAAGTACATTTTCACTTGTTCAATCTGAAAAGTATCAGCCGATAGAGATCACGTGGACAGGAATAGGTAACAAGTTACATCATCAAGCATTGCAGCCCAGTGAGTTGCGCCAACATAGGTAGTCTCATTCGGTCTCAGAATCACTTGACCAGAGGTGTTCGGCCCGCCGTCATTGTTGTAGATGGGTGTTTCAACGGAGGTCCCACTAATGTCGGTAGGGCCTTGCGACTGCGAAGCAGAATCCGACGAGAGTGTATACGAATCACTCGCAGGATATTCATGCCCATTCGATGGCTGGCCTGCCATCGCCCCTTTGACAAGGTTTTCCAGATGTTGCAATCGATTCTGCATGCTTGCCGTCGGTCTCTTGCGAGTAACTGGGGGCTTAAATATGCATATAGAAGCCCGTCCTTTCTTGATACACTGTGAACACGGCCTTTCTCGATCGCATTTCAGCTTGGCTTGGCGACACTGCATGCAGCTGAGCTGGATTCGATTTCGCTTGGCTGGCGGCTTGCTCGAGCTCTCTGAAGCGCTTGTCCTCGTCTTGTCGACACGATCAAGAGTCATGACAGGAGCTTCTGCAGGCACCTCATCAACCGAGGACGCCATGGCGAAGGGTTTTGATGAATATTGTGATTGCTGATGGTGAAGAGGTACGGCCGGATGAGCCGCTGCACCCCTAACTACTAGTTAACTAGTCAGTTAATCACTAACTTAGGTCAATGATGAAGAATCCTGACTAAGCAAGATCGTCCCCAGCACACGGTGATGGCGGATCTATCCTTAAAAGGCGGATCCTAGTTGAAAAACAGGTAGTTCAGCTTCATATTAAATAGCGGCGGCCCCTACAATGGGAAGTTCCCGACGTAAAAGTACCTGTCTAGGACACACCACCAAACAGCCCGAACTATTACCGCGGAGACCCATCCAACTCAGCCCGTACAGTCCCCTGCTCCATCTCTATTACATGATTCCGACTCCCCTGTAGCTCGCCCAGCTTCTGACCCGGCTCCAACCCATCCTTCTCGAGAAGCGCCTTCTCACTGGAACCCTGGAGCTCAGTCTTGTTGTCAGTCGTCGCAGACATCGGTGCTGGCGATGATGGCGATGCATATGCCCCGAGATCTTTTTCTGTCTGGGGGGATTTGGTATATTTGCGCCGGCGCCAGTAGAGGAAAAAGAAAAGGACGCCCGCGATGATCACCGCTGCGAGCACGCCCACCACGATTCCTGCAATCGCGCCGCCGGAGAGAGACGAACTGTCGTTTTGCTTCTGATTGATTGGTGCAGATGAGCCCGTCTCACTATCACTGCTAGACGTCGGAGTGGCTGTCGCTGATGGCTGGTCATGTACGCCCGTGCTGGTAGCCGTGTTCGTCGAACTCGCAGTTGATGAGTCCGTCGAAGTTGCCTGTGCCGCAGCAATGGACGAAGAGACATATCCAAGGGTATCGTTAAGCACCTGGTACGAGTAGATCTGTTTGGTCGAGCTATGGTTGGGCCACCCCCAGGTTTTGCACGTATACCCGACGGCGTCTGCGGTGTTGTTGAGGGAGCAGCCCTTAACGCCATACATGAATATGCACCAGTGGCCGCTCTGCGGATCCCAGTCAAACGTATTTCCCGCCGGGTTGTTCATGTCTTTGCAGGCTAGTCCGTCTGCGCCGTGGTCCGTGAGGAGGCTGCCGTCCGGGGTGGTCCAGGAAAAGACCCATGCTGTTGTTGGGGAGAGTAGACAGGACAGGAAGAGTGGGAATAATAGAAAGAAAGAGGAGGGCGCCATTGCTATTATTGTGACCGACTGACTGTCAGTAAGGAGAGATTATTGTCGATTTGACTTTCGGGGGCGTGCGCGTGCCTTATGAGCGAACGCCTTTCCCTGAGGATGCATCTTTAACGAAACGGGGCTTCCCGTTTCGTGCTCCGGCCCAATTATTAGAACGCACGAATGGAGCCAAGCCATCCGCTGTGACCGGCCGTCTAGAGCCTCTTGGCTCATGCGCCGTGCCTCTACAGGGCAACGAAGTCTCCAACCACGGCAGGTAGAATACGAGGTGATCGGCAGACCTCGGAAAATCAGCAGTCGGAGACCCCGTCAAGAGCTGAGAGTTGTTGGTTGAAGGATGCACTGAGATTGGATTTAGTCCTGTAGTCTAATAGACAGGCTCTGCAAGTCATGGGCCGATCAGTCATGGTCACGCTCGGTGGTCTTCTCTGATACGAGGTGGGGGAGGTTAAGGCTCGGGGCATGAAACCCGAAACAGAAAGAGTCTTCTCCGTGGTGGGATGTGGCCGATGCACGAGATGCAGGGACTGAATACGGGTAGTTGAGAAATACATATATCCATTTACAATAATAATTCCATCGGGGCTATGGTGATAGTACAATTAAAAAACACAGGCAACCAACACCATGGTCAACATGATCCCAGAGCACACAGATGCAGGAAAAAAAAATCCAACAGGGAGTAATACACCCGGAATGGGGCAAATTGTAGAAACAAACAAGACAGGACAGGATCTACCACCGTCTCTTCAGATACCAACCGTACGCAGGGGTGCTGACCGTCTCGCCGAAAGGAGTGGGCACTTCAGCAGCACCGGGTCGGGCGACTGGATGCCGCAGGTACACGGCGGCACAGATGTTCTGGTTGACTTCGAGGTAGCGAGGAATAAAGGCAAAGGCAGACATGTAGTCGCGCGGACGCCAGGGTGTGGCGTAGGGCTTGGAGTTGTCGATAGGGTTGTCGCGCATCTGGATGAGAGCGCGCTTCAGCACGTCAAACTCATCGTCCGTCAGCTCCGACGTGTCGACCTCTTCTCCCTTGGTGGCCTTCTCGAAGGCCTCTGACAGAGCCTCACCAGGGGCCGCATCTGCCTCCGCGGTCTCAGCAGCAGCGGAGTCCTCGTCCTTGGCGACTCGCCGCTCCTTGCTGCCTTTCTTGGAATCTTTCTTGTCGGCACGCTTCGCCTTCAGTAGAAGCGTCAATTCTGAGAACTGGTTTTCCAGACTGTCTGTGAGCACGCTGCTAGACCCGGCGCGGGACATCACACGCCGCACGGCCTTCTGGAACCCGCGCAGCTCCTGCTTGCGTTTGGCGGGGAGTACCTCATGGGACATGACGTTTTTGGCTTGCGCCATCAATGCCTTGAGGGTTTCCCGGGTGTTCTCCTTTTCACCGTCCTTGGCCTCCGCCTCGGGCTTGGCCTCCTTTGCCTCACCCTCCTCCGCTGGGGCTTCTTCCCCTTCTTCTTCCTTCTTCCTCTCCAATCGAGCTTCGCGCCGCTCGAACTTATTCTTGGGGGCACCGGTGGCATACATGACCCGTTCGGGGTCGACCTGGAACAGGTCACCGGGGTTGAGGAGGTAGCTCGGCTGTCTCATCTGGTTGTTGTCAGTAAACCTCACTATTTGTTGGGATAATCAACCCATACCTTTTGTCCATTGACCGTCACCGCACCATGAATAACGAACTGCCTCGCCTGCCGGGCACTGCTGGCAAACAAAGCCCGAAAGATAGCAACATCCAACCTCCGCTCCAGCGGCGCGAACGCCATCTGTGTAAAGGGCATAGACCGTACATTCGTCCTGGATTTTTTATCTCCATTATCCAGACCCAACCCTCGACCAGAAGACACCAGTGACCCATCATCGGCCGCCAGGTCAGCGACGTTCATGGGGACGACGCTGCGGATGCGCTTGGAAAACATGCGCTTCCATTGGCCCTCGCGGACTTGTTCGCCGTGGTAGGCACGGGAAATGGCCTTGGCGGACCATTTCTGCTGGAAGAATGTGCGGTTGGCGGTGGGTGGGCTGCGGAATCGAGAGAGGTTATACAAGTTGTATTTGCTCCATGACTGGCGGATTTTCTGGGACGAGGACACGGGTTAGTTTGTGGGGGGGGAGGAATTGGCAATTGAGAAGGATGGAAACGTACCCCTCTGCTCAGGGAGGTAGTGGCCCTGTTTCTCATGCTGGCAGCTCCGGGGACACGAGCAATGGCGATGGGTTCGAGGGTTCCGTGCCAGACGGACCACCAAAACTTCCGCAGGAGCATGCACGTGACATGGTTAACACGGCCTTCTATATCAGGCCACAGTGTTTATCACATGACCAACAGGCTCTCGCTTACGCTAGCGCTCACCGCCTTCCCATGCCCTATAAAAGGGCTTCCCGCCCAACCCCTTTTCCCTCTTTTTTCTTTTCTTCTTCATACTTACCTTGTTTGGGTGGCTGCGATCATGAAGGCGGTCCACCACAGATTGGTCCCTGCATTGCACAGCGCGGCGGAACAGTTTGTTCAACGGCCTTCGGGTCATTGACAGGCGTATTCTTTGGCACTCTCATCCACTGTGTGGACCTTTCTTTTCATCAATACTCGGGCCAGGGGCTCGATGTTGGAGAAGAGAAGTTGTAGATACTTCGGTAGTCGGTAGAATGCAAACGATGTGCTGTTCTCGTAGTCTACATGCTCTTTCCGATGTTCTCGATGCTGGGTTTTCCCGGTGCGTTCTGTTTATTTAGCTAGACGCGACTCGTGAGGCTATACCACCAACAAGTTCCATCACTTAAAAAGCTCTATATTGATCAAAGTCATGGTATCTTGAAACATAGAATACATAAATCATTCAAAGAGAAATGCAACGCTGGTCCAAAATGCAAACCCACAAACGCCATCTGATTCTCACTCTCGCCGAGAGCTGGGAAACGCCTCTGCTAGTGACTCGGCCTCCTGGGGGTTCGCCCACTCCTCCAACAGCTCATGCGCCATGTCAACGGTCTCATCGTCAATGCCAGCCTCGAGGACGGACCCATCACAGAACGCCAGCCGGGTCAACACAACAAGATGTTTTTGCTTGCTGCCGGGCACACACGCAAGCTTCTCCTGCATGTTGATCATGGGCCCGTGACGCCGCATCACCCCAAAGATCAGCCGCATCAGCCCGTTGACCAACGCCACACGTAAATCCTGTTCCGGTGGGGATGAGTAGAGAGCGTCTAGCTCATCGTGCATCGATCGGAACAAGCGTGCCAGCGCATTGGGGTGCGCGGCAATGATCGCGCTGCCGAGCTCCTGGGCTGGGAATGCTGGATTGAAGGCCAGCGTCTCGAGGAGCTGTAGTACCTCGAGTCGCATGGCGCAGATATCAAACGGAGTGTAAGGATCGACTCCTTCATCTGGCTGTGTCGATTCGCTGAGCATGAATGTCAGACGGTCGACGATCCACTTCTGCACATCGGCCTGGCCTTCTTCATCCGACATGATTGGGCCAAAGGATTCAGGGCGGATGCTGGTCGACAGCAGGTTCAGGATGAGAACAATGTCCCTGAGTGGCTGCGACCCGTGTAGCATCACGAGAATAAATGTGTGGCGAATCTCTCGCCAGAAGCTCTCGAGGGCAGTTTTGACGTGTAAAACCTCGCAGGCAATATGGTACAGAAGGCTCAGAGCCTCCGTCGAGTCAACTTGTGGTTGCAGGTCTAATTGAGGAGTCTGGCGCAGCGTGCGCGCCCTTTCCCGCGCTGCAGCTGGGGAGTATCGGAATCGAGGCACGGCATTCACCTCGACGGAATCTTGTAAGACCCCCACGAGAGGGGTGATCAACTCTTGAAGGGGCGTCTCATCCATCATGAGAATAAATCGAGCGATGGCCACAAATCGGGGCACAGGCATGTAGAACCGCTCTTTGATCGCCTGCCGCCATAGATTGGTAATCGACTGCGCGTATTCTACCACGTAGTTGCCTGTATCTAAACGGGCCATGTCGTCCAAGAAGATGCTGGACATGGGTCGTTTCGGCTCAGCGGGGAACGCCATTTTAGCCATTGCCTCGATGTCGGTCTCCTGGCCGGGGAGCATGCGGTGATTCAAGAGCCGTTTAGCGAGTCGCTGGTTGAAACGTCCTGCTTCGGCAGACTGGCGTTCTTCGGCTACCTTCTCAGGGATATCGGCGGGGGCATCGATCATCATAGGCTCGTCCGCGGAAATCAATTGCAGGGGCGTCGGACTGTCCTGACTGGCCTGTCGTTTGCGCTTCCCAGGAACCGATGGCGTAGCTCGTTTAGACCGTGCGGACTTGCTCGGTGATACCATTGTTATCTCCTCATCATCAAATCCATCGCGGAACGGAAGCACCCGCGACTTCTTGGGGGTTACAGGCGGTACCTTCTCCTCGGCCTTGTGCTTCGCCTTGTGGTTCCTGAGTTGATAGGTCTCGTCGACAAGATCATGTTGAAGGAACATATTCTCTGTGGCCAGCATTCTCCCTTCTGTCATGGCCGCATCTACCTCTCGCTTGTGCTTGGCTGCCTCCTCGGTCATGGACTTCCTGAGCAACGCCAATTGTCGGTCGTATTCCTGAACCATTTTCGCCTGCTTGGAACGGATAATCGATATCTCTCCTGCTTTTGTTTCTGCCTGTCTTTTGGCTTCTTCTAAATCGCGCTTCATCTGGTCTCGTTCCTGGGCCAGCTGCAGAGGAGTTTAGCACTCGTGTCTAGAAGTCTTTCACTCGGGATTCCCACCTGTTGTAGACGCGCATTGAGCTCCCCGTGGGCAAGCATATCGCCTGATTTATCATCCAGCTCCATTGCGTCCTCCATGATACCCTCCATGGTACCACTGGTCGCCCACCTACCGGCGTCTGCTGCGACGGCACCACCCGGAGGAACAGCAGCGACATTATCGTACACTTCTGCCCCCAGCTCACCCACTTCCAACGTTCCATATTCGTTCGTTAACCCCGTGTGTAGGGGTGGAGGGGGCTTCAAGGTCGTCGAATTGGGTTGACGCTGGGCCTGGGTGGCCTGGTAGGCACTCTGCTCCAGCTGGTACAGGGTGCCCGGCGGCAGGGAGTCGAAGTCGTCGGAGAAGTAGTCATCGTCGTCGTCCATGCCCTTGAGCCATGAGAGAACAAGAATCAATCGATCTTGATTCAGTAGAGGAAGTGTGGAAGAGTTATGGATTATGGATTGTTTGGCGCGCTGACCGCTTTCGGGCCCGTAGTCAGTCCGTCCGTCCACCAGTTGTTCACTCACATGAGCTGAGCTCATCTGATTCTCTCTCTCTCCACTCTTTTTCCCCCCAACCAAGTTGGTTTTCTCCTCTTCCCCCATTTCTCTTTTTTCTCTTCCCCTGTCCTTTTCGGTTTTGCCATCATGTCCATGCGCCGCAATGTCCGGTTCCAACACCGAAACGGTGAGCGGCGCCTAAGCGTGTCGTCCGACATCAGCGATGCACCCTCGGAGCCTGCCAGCCCCGGCGGCAGAAATGGCAGTGTCTCGAAGCAATCTACGATCCCCGAAGAAGAGGTCAGTGGAAACTTCTGGGCACACTGAATTTGAGTTAACCTACCCTTGGGAATTAGAAACCCGCGCTGTCCGAATACGAGAAGAAGAAACAGACCTTCATCACCCGGACAATATGGACCTTCGTGATGATTGCGGGATTCTTCATCGCGCTGTTTTCCGGTCATATCTACATTATCGTCCTAATTACCGCCGTGCAGATCGTCTCCTTCAAGGAGGTTATTGCCATCGCCAACATCCCCAGCAAAGAAAAGAACCTCCGCTTCACCAAGTCCTTGAACTGGTACTTCCTCGCCACGACCATGTATTTCCTGTACGGAGAGAGCGTCATCTATTATTTCAAGCATATCTTGTTGGTGGACAAAGTGCTGCTACCGCTGGCAACACATCATCGCTTCATCAGCTTCATTCTATACGTCATGGGTGAGTGAGGTGGACGCCGGACGTTGTTTTCGTGCTAAACTTTGTTAGGCTTCGTATTTTTCGTCGGATCACTGCAGAAGGGACACTACCGATTCCAGTTCACTCAGTTTGCCTGGACGCATATGGCGCTGTACCTGATCGTTGTTCAGGCGCACTTTGTCATGAACAACATCTTCGAGGGCATGATCTGGTTCTTCCTTCCGGCGTCTCTGGTTATTACCAACGACATTTTCGCCTACATCTGCGGCATCACCTTTGGACGCACGCAGCTCATTCAACTCTCCCCTAAAAAGACGGTCGAAGGGTTCATTGGCGCGTGGATCTGCACCATTATTTTCGGTTATTTCATGACCAACATGCTGATGCGGTACAAGTACTTCATCTGCCCAGTCAATGATCTGGGATCGAACGTTTTGACCGGCCTGGAGTGCATCCCGAACCCGGTCTTCACTCCGCAGCCCTACTCGCTTGAATGGATTGGCCTGGACAAGACCATTTACGTCGAGCCGATGCAGTTCCACATCCTGAGCTTTGCCACGTTTGCTTCGCTCATCGCTCCGTTTGGTGGATTCTTCGCGTCTGGCCTGAAGCGTTCGTTCAAGATCAAGGATTTTGGCGAGTCGATTCCCGGCCACGGCGGTATCACCGACCGCATGGACTGCCAGTTCATCATGGGTTTCTTCTCGTTTATGTACTACCACAGCTTCATTGCCGTTTACAAGGCTAGCGTTGGAGACATCATTGAGACCGCTATCAACGGCCTGACTGTTGACCAGCAGCTCGAGGTCGTGCGCGGCCTAGGCAAGTACCTGTACAATCAGGGCGCAGTATCGGAATCGGTATGTATCTTCCGACTTTTACTTCATCTCACATTTACTGATCGTTACAGGCATTGGAATGCCTCGCCACCGAACTCAAACGCTAATGACACGCTTCTTTGCGCACCTCTCCCCACCAAAAGAACAAAGTCATGACTTTCCTTTCTTCTAATTACGTTTTTGTTCACTTCATGATCCGTGATCCGTCACGAGGACGAGTTTTTACCCCGTGCTTCGCTCCTAGCCTCGCAACTCGCAATATCCTCCTGGTGGTTATTTCTTCGCCGTGTCGATTTTCCCTCTCCGTCTACCGTCCTCCTTGCTCCTCTGGGTCGTCCTTGGACATTACATTGGCGTTATCCCAGATGCACCTGGCTACATCATCTACCCGTCTTTCAACACGAAATCAATCCTAATCTCTGAGAAATACCACCGAAAGTTGCAAGGATTGCGACCAAGAGGCATGGGGTAGTTGATGTTCTGTTCACTTCATGGCTGTTTTCTTTCCCTTGTCTTTTTTGTTTTGATGTTTTGATGTATCGGGTGGCAGGTCTGACCGAAGCCAACACACCGATGTCCACGTTGATGCTCGGCAATGTTTGGCGCTGCCGTCTACACGAAACACGAATTCTACAATCTCATGACGCGATATAGGCTAGTTGGTGGTTGGGCAAAGAACGAGATTCCCATATACCTGACTCCCAGATGGGGAGAGCCTACGAAAACGGGGGCGGTTCCCTGGCTTTACTATCATATTTTTACGGCCCTGTCTGTCTTGCCTGTTTTGTTCCTTTTTTTTTCGCTTCTCCTTTTCAGGGCAGATAGGCAGGGTTGTAAGAGGAATTCAAAACTGTACATAGCTTTTAAATTCAAGTGTTGAAGCTGATCTAGATTCTTGTTATTCCTGAGTGACTAACACTGTTCCATAGTTAGCAGGTCATGATAATTATAAATTGACGGAATCGGGAATTTTGGTAGGCGCTAGAAATAGTACACATTAATGACCTCTCATCTACGGTGCGCTAGCCGGGGGCAGCTCATCAAGTTCTCAATAGGTTCCCATGTATTCTCTGAGGTACAGTACCCTCCTATTTCTGGGCCTTGCAACGCAAAAAATCATGGCCAGCTGCGGGCATAGGAACCGTTCCTTTCTTGCTTGACATAGGTTGTTTAATAGAATATATTTCAGTCGTTGTACTGTTGTTACTGATGAAAACGTAAAAAATTTTGAACTTTACCAACTACATCTAAAGAACAGAAAGAAACAAGTATACAAACCCAAGCATAATCACCGAGCCTGAGTGTGCGCTGGCATCTACTCTGTGAGCCGGAGACTGAGCGCCCTCATTAAAGCCGCGGTGGCTCAGATAGGCAAGCCCCACCCGACAAAGGAAATCCGGCAAGTATAGAGCACAATCATGTACGCATCTTGTTAGCTCTATTAATTTCTGGCGATAGTCTCTGTTTGTGAAAATGTATGTTTTGTAGCATCACAGACATACGAAAAAAGGATTTCATCTCTTAGAAGCAGAAAAGTCCACCACTATATGCCCTAGACCACTCTCATGCAAGGGGTAGGAATATGTATGTAATTCGAAATTTATACAGAAAGAGCAAAGAACGTTAAGGCCAACTCTAAAGACAAAAAAGGAGCCACGGGGAATCCCAAGCCCAGACTACCACCCTCTGCCAAAGAGATTATAGTTCATGTCACTTCTTAATAAGGTTATGTTCACACACACCTCACCACACAAACAAAAACCCCTTTCTAACCCTCCAAACATCAAAAAACACCACCACGACTCAAATAAAAGAGAAAAAATGGACTCGCGGGGAATTGAACCCCGGACCTCTCCCATGCTAAGGGAAAATCATACCACTAGACCACAAGCCCACTTGTATGGGCCCTTTCGACTCAGATTGATATAGGAATCAGAATTTTAAAAGTGGGCCCAGGTTGCCACATTAGGGTCAATCACCGCCACGCCTTTATCTGTTGGAATGGTCTTTTGCTAGCTTGTAAAAATACTAAACACTATTGCAGTACTACCTAACAGCCTGTTTGTTGAGAAATTTGCGACCTAGGTTGATATATGTATCAGAATTATACCAGAACCGGCTCACTGGCCTAGGCTTGCACATAGGGTTAGTCGCCGCTATACTTCGCCTATCAGAAAGGGTCTTTTTCTAGCTTACAATACGAAACACTATAATGCTACTGAAACACAAGTCCCTAATGGTTAGATATGAGTTCTTTGACAATAGAAGCAAGGGTAGAAATTGACTTTACAATATAATTCGTGGGCACTTGATCATTCATTGCATCGTTCAAGACCGTCATTCATATAAGACTACATATCAGACCTACTCAAAATCCACAGGCGGCAAGCCCCTCTCTTCCACAGCAGTCTGAATACTCCGCTGCATCATCGTAACGGCCTCAGACCAAGTCACTATTCCTTGGGACCGATTAGCTGCGACACCTCGAGTACCCTGACTGTTATGGTCACCGACGAGCCAGACCAGCCATCTCACCACTGAAACAGCCTTGTCGATATCTTTCTCTTCTCTCGTCACGCGACGGAGGTATGTACAAAGAGATGAGACATCGTCAGTGAACGGCCCCTCATCTGCAAACGCGGCGAACCAGGAGCCGACAGCATCTCGGAGATCTGGGAGAGTTGATAGTCTCTGCGAGGTGAAGACGGGTCGTGGTTGTAGAGGTTCGAGGGCAACGCGCTTTTCAGTCGCGGTGGGTGCAGTGGCGGGTGCTTGGACTTGGGGTGGTGGCCTGCAGACTGGGCGTTGGATCATGCGCGCGCGCTTTTGTTCCTCGAGTACTTCTTGGCGGATGTCCTCGGGTAGCGCAGCGAGAAACTCGGCGGATACTTCTGCTTGGTCCTCTGCGGTAGGAGACTGCTGTCGGGAGGCGGTCTCCTCGTCTGTATTGCCAGAAGAAGTGCCTGGTCGTGGAAGGACGAAAGCCGACTGCGTTAGGGTCTTGTTACCACCACTGAAGACTGTCTTGGAAGGACGACCGCGCTTCTTCTTGGGCGGAGAGGGCGGCTTCCTCATTCTGAGAGACCCGGAGGTTGTGGAGCGTGATGCTGGCGCTGCTGCTGCCGCAGCTGGCGGCGGTGCAGGCTGTGCGGATGTTGGTACCTGTTTGTAATAGCCCAATACTTCGTTCCGCACATCTTCTGGCAGCGCGGCCAGCGTTTCAGGATCCAACTGGGACTCTGGAGGAAGGTCTGCGGTTGCCGGTGGTCGTTCTCGACGGGGAGGTGGACACGGCGATCCAGAACCTTCCTCCTGCCTGGGCTTTGCCTGGGATACAAGTCTGGACCGAATGTCACTCGGTAACTCAGATAAGACCTTGGGATCTGCCTGAGTGGGCATAATGAATTGGGACCCGGACATGTTTAGAGGCTTGTGAGCGCTGTTGCGGAGCAGTGGGTCGACTTGGATTGGAGTCAAATCGCCCTTGCGAGGACTTTCTAATTCATCAGGATCCAGAGTGGCTTTGATTTCCTTGCGGGGTGGTGATTTTCGAAAATTAAGCTGTCGTTGACTGCTTTCAAGCGTCTCTGAAGAACCACCAGCCTTGAGTGATTCCAGTTTGGTCATTTGTACACCCAGTCCTCTCAAATCACCCGGAGAAAAGTTGAAGCTTCTTAACATCGAGACGGCTTCTTTCCCGAGGACATCTGTTGCATTGGTGGCAACACCGATGACTGCGCTCTTGTTGAAGACATCGCATTTCCCATGACCGAGATGTTTGACCGGCTCAAGAGGGGCATCCATTGACCTTCGCATGACCTTGAGGGTAAGCTGTTTACCCTTGACCAGATTCTCCACCAGTCTGCGATGCAGCTCCTCGCACAAGGACCGCACAAAGTCCTCTGCTTGGACATGGTTGACGAACCGGATGCCCCAGTTGACTTCGGCCGAGACTGATTTTCTCATGACTTCGTTCCCAACTTCTGTTCGATCGATCCCTCGAGCATACTCGTGCATTTTGGCGCCCGTTTTCGGTCCCAAGCTCGAGATTAGCTTGTCCTTGGGAGTATCTCGGATGTCTTTGACGAGTTTGATACCAAGCTCTTCCAGTTTAGAGCCTAAGCTGTGACCCACCCCGGGAAGATCTTGCACAGTGAGGTTTCCAATAAACTCCAAGATATCGTCAGGCTTCAGCTGGAACTGGCCGGCAGGTTTCGCCTTTCGCAAGGCAACTTTGGCAAGCAGGATATTGCCGCCTATCCCCACCGAGACGGCACACCCCGTTTTCTCTCTTATGGAGGCGCGCAAGTTTTCAGCTATTTCGTCAGCCTTGGCTTGTTCGCGATAAATGGATCCTTCCGCTATGGCTCTTCCATCAGAGCCACCGGCCTCCAGACACTGGTTCGTCACATCAACCAGAGCTTCGTCGATGCTCACACTTTGCACCATGCCATCAACGGAGAGGACGGAACTGTAGAATTTACGGCTCGCATCTTCATAGGCAGGGAAATCGTAGGGCAAGATTTGAAGGTCGGGGCACATCTGTAACGCCCCCTTCATCCACATGCCATTTTTGATGCCATGAGCGCGTGCTGCGTAGTTGCAGCTAGCAATCTCGGAGCCGGATCCAGTCCCATGAGCAATGGCAACAGGCTTCTCTCGGAGCTCGGGGTGCTTGAGTAAAGAAACAGCGGCGAAGAAAGAATCAAAGTCCACATGTAGGATATACCGCCTGTATCCAGGAGCAGGCCTCGTAGGAGACTTCCGATGTTGCGATTTTTCCATAGTTGCCGCTTGAAGTTGAGCCTTCAGCTCAGCTTTCCATGTGGACAAGTGATGGAGACGAGACTCCCTATAGTACTGCTGGATAAAATCCGGGTTGGCAACACTGGATTTCTGCATTCGAGGATCGGATAAAAGTTGCGCATTATATTCTTCGGACGTCAACTCGGGCCCCGAGAGACTGGGTGGGGGCAAAGGCGTCTCGATATTATTTGTTTCTGGTGCTGAAGGAGGACTTCGACCATGCTCAGGGTGCAAGGATGTCGGTTCGGAACCTTTGACGATCTCTGGCATAGGGCATTGCTGAGGAGAAGGCTGTTGTGGACCCTCGTCGATACTGAAACTAGGAAAGTCACCGTAGTCTGACTGAGAAGCGGGGTCTTGAGCCACACCAGGTGTTCCTGGAGTTGTTGTAGAGACGCGTGACGCGTCTGGACTTTCGTCGGACATCCCCATCATTCTCAACTGTGAGTTATACCAGCTAACATTGGACTGGTCTTTGTACCCACTGCGAGGGGTATTTGTTTGACTAGTAAACCGGCCGTCACCGAACTTGAGCACTTTCTGAGACTGTCCCTCATCTACCACCCTGAAATCGTCCCATGGTAACAGACGACCAGCCTTGATGCTTTCCGTCACCCAGGCGGGTTTCACAATGCGGTACCGCCGGAACTCCTCGCGCTTCTTGGGCGTTAACGAGCTGGCAATAATATGGGTTGCGAAGGTTTTGCCATCCAGATACTGAAGGAAACCACCGCCATGGCTCACAATCAGACGGTGCAGATCCTGGAGGGAAGGTTGAGTATAGCCGTTGACGTGGGCGACCACGCCACGGAATATCGGGGGACAATCGCGTGACATCGCCCGGATTTCGGCATCGAGGTTTTGAAGCTTGATTTTCTTGCGGCGCATATAGTCCCCAAACCCGCCGAAGCTGGAGGCTTCGTATTCCTCGCCGGCTTCATCGTGAAATTCATCTACTCGCAGTCGCGTTAGAAAGCAGATCCAAAGGGTTTGGTGGTTACATACGATTCTCGATGCGCTTGCGCACCTCTCCAGATTTGGTATCAAGACGAGAGCCCATGCTGGGCTGAGGCAGGCACCATGACCGCCAACTGTGACGTGACGAAGACGAGAAACGCGACGGGTGGGTCTGAGGATGGCAAAACCGCGGGTTGAGGCTGGGCGGTGCCGAATACGGTCAAGGATGGCAGGAACAGGGCGGTGTAAAAATGCAAGGGAAAAAAAAGAGCAGAGCTTTGCGCCGATCGTTTGTTGCCTCGGACCCGTTTTTCTCTTTCTTTCTTTCTTCCCATCCACACCTTCTTTTTACCTCGTTCTTTCTTTGTTCGGGCTTTCGTTATATCGCTCATCATGTCTGCCGTTCAGCCTGTTGCTGTCTACGCCCTCCGGGTCCCCCCCCGGGGTTATGATCCCTGCTGTCCCCAATGCTGCTGCTTCGGTCCGTATTATGGTCCATGATAGGATGAAGTGAAGAAATCTGACTCGAGTTTTAGTTCCGCGTGAGCATGGCTGCCATTGATCCGGATGAGGAGCCCGAGTACGAGGACGGAGACTCGAGCAAGCCCGCCCGTGCGACTCTGAAGATCATTCGCCCTCCTCCTGGTATGGACCTGGACGACTCGGATGAGGACGATGAGGACTACGATGATGACGATGAGGAGGAGGATGACGACTCCGACGATGATGAGGAGGTCAACGGTGGCCCCAGCGACAAGGAGAAGGCTCGGAAACTCAAGGAGGCGGCCGCTCTGAAGGACCTGGAGGACGCGATGGAGGAGGATGACGACGAAGACGAGGATGACTCCGGCTTCGACCTCAAGGCTGCGATCTCCAAGCTCATTAAGGGCAAAGGTCCCGCTACTGGTGATGACGACGAGGAGGACGACGACGAGTCGGACGAGAGCCTGGACCTGGACGAGAATGTTATCTGCACCCTGAACCCCGAGCAGGTACTTCCTTCCGCCCCTGCCAGGCAATCAACAGAAATAGCTAACTGAACATCGTACAGAACTGCCAGCAACCCCTCGACATCACTGTCTGCGAGGGCGAGCGCGTTTTCTTCAAGGTCTCTGGTAACCACACCATCTTTTTGACCGGCAACTATGTCATTGGCCTCGATGAGGCCCATCCGGATTTCGACGAGGACGAGGATGATGAGGACGACTATGACCTGTCTCCCGATGAGGATGAGCTCGACATTGAGGACCTCTACGATATGGAGGGCGACAGCGATGACCTCGATGGACTGGATGACCCGCGGATCGCGGAGGTCGACAGCGACGAGGAGACTCCCCAGCTTGTTGAAGCCCCAACCAAGGGCAAGAACAAGCGTGCCGCCGAGTCGGACGAGGAGCCCAACCTGGATGACATGATCGCCAAGGGCAAGAAGGCCAAGGCCGAGGAGCCGGCTTTGACCAAGGCTCAGCAGAAGAAGCTGAAGAAGAACAACGGCGATGCCGCTCCTGTGGAGAGCAAGAAAGAGACCAAGAAGGAGACTAAGACCGACAAGAAGGTTCAATTCGCGAAGAACCTGGAGCAGGGTCCTACCCCGTCGGGTGACAAGCCCACGGGCACCCTCGGCGTGAAGGAGGTCAAGGGCGTTAAGATAGATGATAAGAAGCTCGGTAAGGGTGCTGCCGCCAAGCATGGCAACACCGTTGCTATGCGGTACATCGGCAAGCTGGAGGATGGCAAGGTCTTTGATGCCAACAAGAAGGGCAAGCCGTTCACCTTCAAGCTCGGCAAGGGCGAGGTGATCAAGGGCTGGGACATCGGCGTTGCTGGCATGGCTGTCGGTGGCGAGCGTCGCCTCACGGTCCCTGCCAACTTGGCCTACGGCAAGAAGGCGCTGCCGGGCATCCCGGCCAACTCCAAGTTGATCTTCGACGTGAAGCTGCTCGAGATCAAATAGAGTACTTGCTTTCTCTTTTCTTTTTCTAACATCTATGGGCTGCAAGGGTGTTTTTGAGGGTCTTCCGGTTTGCTTGCATGATTCCCGTGATATCCGACTTGTTGTTTCCTTTTTTCTACTTGCATTCAGCAGGGATGAGGTTATCGCGAGGGGCCTGAATGTGTGTTTGTCCCTGCCGGGGAAGATGAAAAAAAAGTTGTGTGTATTTGTGTATGTATTTTGAATCTAACTACGGCGTGTGTCCGATCTATAAGTGAATTTTTCCCTTCTGGCTTAGTATTGAACTGGTGGTGGTGCTTTCTCTGTTCTGTCCACTGTCAGCCGTCGTCGCTGCCGCGTATATCCTCTTCATCTTGCCCCCTTTTCTTCTCGTTATCCGTGATCTTCACATTGTACTGTCGTCTATTCTATCGTTAAAAAGACCATGCTCTCCGGTCTTTGTCCAAAGAACTTCTCGCTCCCTGCGTCTGGCCGAGAAGACGCCCACACCATGACGGTCTCAGATGAGCAGAAAGATAAAAGCACCCGAAGGCTGTTCGGCATTCTGAGATCGAATCGATTCACCATCACCAAAGTTGACACTTCGCCCACGGAGTCGGCAGCTTCAGAGAGCCCAGCCAGTGGCTCCAAGCTCTTATTCTTATTCAGACTGCGAGACTCTTTCACAAGTATATGTCTCTCTCCTCTTTCCTTTTCGGTCTGATAACCAGTCACAGGCACCAAGACATCGAGCACAGAACCTGGATCACCGACGACGCCCCAAAGCACGAATGAAGTCTCAGGGCCATCGTCAAACGACACGGAAGGGGATAGCTCGACTGATGCCTCTCCTGCACAAACCCAGTCACTGGCTTCCTCGTCGTCTCCCTCTGTCGAGCCTGATGCCATTAATCCTGTTCCGGGATCCTCGCCTGCCGCAGGCTACACAGCGGGAAAGGAAGCCTTCCAACCTCATGGGCGGTCTGAAGTGCAGCAAGATACTACTACCGATGATGATAAATGCATCATCCTGAGTGAGTCTCCAAATACGACCAGGTCGAAACTCGATCGGATCTCGCAAAAGATCTCCTCGTCGATTAATCGCCCAACGGTGATCCGCCGCGGCCATCTGAGAAATAGACCCAGCGTCCTGGTCCTCGACTTTGCCGCTCCTTCCAATTTGAGCAAGCAGGGTGACGCCGCGAATGATATTTCGAACCCGTCCACAACCCCGAGCAGCAATGGTTCTCCTCTCAGTGGCCAGTCCACGCCTCCAACTTCTGGAGAGCCGTCTCCTTCGCCGGAAAGATCCAAGCCCTTCAGTGAACAAGTCCCTAGACCAACCGACTGGGGCTATTTGTCAAGTCGCGACCTGGGTGTGAAGTCGGCACCTGCTGCTATCATGCCGCCGAGCACCTCCCCGTCTGTCTGGACTGTGGAAGCGGCTTCTGCAGCAAAGATTTTCTTCGAGGTCCATTTCGATTCGCTTCTTGCCAATGTGAACGCTCGCTCTCAGCGTCAGCAAGAACTGGAGGACCACATCTATTTGAGCCAGCTCACGCTCGAGGACCAGATAGTGGCAAAGCACAATTGGGTCATGCAGGAAAATGAACATCTTCGTCGGTGCCGTGCTCTCAAAAGCACGCTTTGCTGTCCGCAAAGCACAGATGCTGTCTCGAAGGCTGGATACGAGGCGATCAAGGTCCTCGGCAAAGGAAGCTTTGGCGTGGTGCGTTTGGTTCGCGAGAAAGACAGTCCAAAAACGCCATCTGAGGATGGAGAGTTGCTGCGCACGAACGACAACAGTGCCAACATGAGGAGCAGGCATATGGATTTGTTGCGACCTGCGCTGGATGGGTCCAGGCGCAGCCGGCGCCGGTATATGACTGGGGAGCGGAAGGGGGTGTATGCGATGAAGATCATTCGGAAGTCGGAGATGATCCGCAACTGCCAAGAGGGACACATTCGTGCAGAGAGAGACTTCATGGTGACTTCTGCAAAGTCTCGCTGGATCGTTCCCTTAATCGCTAGTTTCCAAGATGCCAACAATCTGTATCTCGTCATGGATTTCATGGTGGGCGGCGACTTCTTAGGGCTTTTGATTCGTCATGATATCCTCAATGAGGACTGCACGCGGTGGTATGTCGCCGAAATGATCCTTTGTATCGAGGAGGCGCATAAACTTGGTTGGATTCACCGCGACATCAAGCCAGACAATTTTCTCATCTCGCCTTCGGGACACTTGAAGATTTCCGACTTCGGACTGGCCTTCAATGGACATTGGTCTCACGATCAGGTGTATTACGCCGTCCAGCGCTATTCACTTCTAGACAAGCTCGGCATTCGGATTGAAGGCGATGACGAAGATCAAGAGGAGTCTGCTAATGCGAAAGAAACGTCCCTTTCCAGCATCGATAAACCCGGTCTTAAAACCGGCCGAGAGCTGACTGCCGGATTGCCGGGCTTGCAAGATATCAAGGATAAAAGGCGACTTGCAAAGAGTATGGTAGGGACCAGCCAGTACATGGCGCCTGAAGTCATCCGGGGCGAGGTATACGACGGGCGATGTGACTGGTGGAGCGTGGGGATCATATTGTATGAGGTGAGTACTGGAGTAATTATGGCTGGAAGAGAGAAAAGCTTACGAACCATTTTCAGTGCCTCTACGGCTTTACTCCGTTTGCTTGCGAAAGCCGTCGTGATACAAAGATCAAGATTCTCGCAAGTTCAAAGCCCTGTTTTATGTACCTATTTCTAACCTGTATCTTCAAGCACCATGTCCGAACCTTGCACTTCCCAAGAGAGAGATCACACGAAAGGCTGGTATCTCAAGAAGCTATTGATGTCATCTGCCAGATCCTGCAAGAGCGAGAGTTCCGCTTATGCTCTCGAAGATACCATGCCAACGACTTTCTGGATTCTCGAGCTATCCCAATGCACTACGTCTACTCCACAGACCCTCGACACCGAAGCAATAAGCGGAGCTACGTTTATCCCAACGATGCAGGCCCTATCAAGACCCATTCGTTTTTCAGAGGCATCCCCTGGGAGGAGATCCATCGTCTCCGGCCGCCGATGGTCCCAAAAGTGAGAAACTGGGAAGACACCCGGTATTTTGACGACTGGAAATCCCTCGTCGGTGGTCTTGACGATCCTTCGGACACGAGCACTGCAAAAGCAGCTGCAAACCCTGCTATCCCGGTGTCCCAAGAACCGAGCTCCGCAACAACCTCCCTCGAAGCTCAGGCGTCGGAGGAGGAGGCCGTGGAAGAAGATACGGCGGAGCAACAACAACCTGCCGTGCGTAAAATGAAAGACGATGAGAAAAAGCAGAAGGAAAAGAAACGGGCCCGTGATGTGATGCTTCGGGATAAGGAGATCGGAAAGATCGTCTTGGAGATGCGCAAGAAGAGTGCGTTTCTGGGATATACTTATCGCCGACCCAGAGCCCCGGCTGTTGCGGTCAGCATGGAGCGCGGGCGTCAACCGCTGGATAGAGGACAATTTGCCGATCTGTATGCGTTGTGAACTTGGTGCTTGGTTGGAGAGTCCACGCACACCCAAAAACACTTTCCCTATTCTACCCTGACTTGTTAAGTCGTGGACGATCTTATTTATATTCACTTTTTTTGTTCCTTCCCTCGTGGCTGTCCTACTCTCCCTCTCGTTACTGTCTCTTGCTGTGCTCTATTCTGCTCTACTCTACTATCCTAATACTCCTGTATATCCTTAGAAACGAGGAAATATGACTCTGGCTGTAATAGCCATGATCTTTGACATGCTTTCCCTGCATCAAATATGAGAACGATGATCAAATCCACCACGTGTAGGTATAGAAATCCATTTCAGCTCGAGAAATGAGATTTGTCTGAAGTCCATCGACTTTTGTTGCCACTGGCAAATTTTTCATAATGGCTTGGAGTATTTTATCCATATAGACTGTCACGCTTCAAGGATTCTTAGTGGCTGTCTAATAATAAATTGAGATCCTCGGTCGTTTAAGCTATCTGAGCACAATTTTGTAGTTTGCCTGTCCACTAAGACCAATCGATATATAAGATTGACTTTACCCGCAGATCAGTCTTCACATACAAATGGGTCTTTTTAGTCGCTGCAAAGTCCACGAAGTTGTATAAAGTAAGCCGATCCTCGGTTGCGGGTATCCTTTGCTCCACAGGCAAGGATAATAGGCCGGCCTCTTCTAGGTTCATCGTGGCTTCGGCGATCTTGGCTGACCGGCGCGCAATCCATAGACTTTCCTGGCGTGGATAAGCCGATAAAAGCTGGATAGCCTTCCGCCGCACTAGAGGGTGACGGCATGAGGTGGCAGTCCATTGCAGTGCACGGATAGCACAATTGTCCAAGCTGAAATACGGCTCCGTGCTAGCGTCTAGTAGGAGTAGCTTCTCTGCTAAGGTCACTATATTCTCAAAGTGACCATTCCATTTATCAAATTCAATCTCTTTCCACCGTATATTGCCGAAAGTCCACGTAACAGCGAGAAGATGGTCGATTCGAAGAGAGAGGACGGCGAGTTCGCCCGTTGACCCGTTTCCTGGGGTCTGTAATAGCCTCTCGAAAGACGCAAGCCAATCGTCGTATGTCCGCTCTAGCATCGGTACTTGCGAAAGAATCCTCTGCCAGGTGGGGTCCTGAGGGGAACCACCCTGGGCAAAGGCCGTAACTGGACCCGAGTGGTAATAGAGTGCCAAACAGTAATTCATCACGGCGGTCAGGCTCCGGCGAGCGTCCCCGATATCTTTGAATTCGGTAGGTATCTCGATGGTCCTCAGGTCGGTGAATGATGGGAGCACTTTGTAGGGCCGGGAAAACGAACCCAACTCAATGTTCAACCGGGAGAACATCTCTACCAGCTCGTTGTATACGATCTGCGAGTCACTTGAGTGTGCCGTTGTTACTGGCCCCGGCCGTGCGAGAATGTTTAGGCCTGCTTCTATATGGTCGAGCGCCCTGTTGTAGTCACCTCTGAGTAGTTCTAGACACACGAATAGTCCGCACGTAATTAACGTGAGGTCGAGATTTGTAGTCCTAGGTGCTGACACGTTCTCCAGCAGAAGCCGAATAGATTTGTTGTATTGCTGCAATATAAAGCTCTCAGTGTAGCCAGGGCGTAGAACGCCCCGATATTGCTGGTGGGCGGCGCCGACAGCCGCGACAGCGTGTCGGATAACGGGCTCATAGTGACTGAGTTGTGGAAGCAAGCAATCCCAGAATTTGGAGGAGAAGAACCCCATCATGGCGCGCGATGTCCGGGTGGAAAATAGGGAAACATACTCGCGCTCCTTGGCACTGCCTAGGGGGAGAATCATTCGACTGTCCGTGTTGCAAGCGGTACGCTGGCGCCGGTAAGCATCTAGGACGTTCTGGCGTAGTTGCCTTTGCGAGATATTGACAGCATATCCATCGCACTTGCGGCCTGTCGTAGTACACTGTCCACATGCGGGTTTCTGTTCGTCACAGCGGACATGGCGAGCTCTGAAATTAGATATTTTTTAGCGGCTCGACATATCATGGACGGAGAGAAATTCTTACTTGCAGGTCATGCAACCATGGCGCCTGTTGACGCGTACGGTTCTTGGACCCATTGTATGATAGCTTTTACTGTTGTATGTAGGATGAATGTTCGATACAGGTGGGTGGATGGGAGGACATTAAATACATCGCAGCAAATGATACGGTGCACATATAACTAGGGGTGAGTGCAGACTTGGGGCTGACGCTGTGGCTCAAAAGCTGAATGAAGGGCTGAAGCTGAATGAAAGCTCGCCCGTTGGGGCTGTATTTAGTTCCCGGACAAGACAGTGGCTGTGCTCCAGAGCCGAAAAGCCCTGCGGGTGAATGCAAGCCCGCCCCCACGGGGGCTGGGTTCGGGTGGCCTAAGCGGACAAGGCCGTGGCTGTAACTTCGAGACTCTGGGTATCATTGGCTTACTACTATTTTTAAAAAGCTTTTTGAAAAGGTCCAGCTCAGATGGCCACCAACGAGTCCTGGTTTGTGGAAAGCAATGACGAATATCGACTTGTTCACAGAGAGACAGTGGTCTTTGCGATGGCAGGCAGTGATTCGAACAATGGCGTTGGTCCGTTCTTCACCGAAACGGTGTTCGGTGATGGAGCAGTATCCACGAGGCATAAATCATTCACCGGGAAAAACATCTCTGCCGGTAGGTATGGTCTATTCTTGGAGCTATAAAAAAAGGATCATCTAGCTTAGGTACTTAGTTATGATTTCACCCGTTTGATAACAAATCGTTAAGTACGAAAATGGCTATATCGGGATCAGCTTATCACGCAATTGGAGTTTGAAAGAGCGTCTCTGTTTCAGACATGGGAGGCAATAACGGTTGCAAGTATACATAAATCGAGTCAAGACGGAGAAGGCGGATACCGCACTTGGCTTTGTGACCATCTTATCAAATTTGAGAAAGTCCCAGTCCAAAACAAGCTCGGGGGTTAAGTAAAAATAAGACAACAAACGCAAACACATCAAATTCCTTGACATATAGCACACAGCTCGAAAAAGGGATAGGGTATCAAGTAGAAAAAGACGGGAGAATGAGATGAGAGGATCAGACGATGGGAGCACTCATCGAAAAGGCCGAATCGGTCATTCGATCTTCGGGTTTCATAGTGCCATTAAGCAAAGGACACAGCTTCTTATTGGTCTTGATATGGCCGACCTGGCCACAATTGGCACATTTGCGCTGCGTACCAGCAGGCCTACCATCGCCCGGCGACTCGCCAGAACGGGGGATGCCTTTCTGCTTTTCGCGGGCGAAGCGGCGCTCCTTGTTGCGGTTTAGACGGCTGAGTTCAGCCTCGATCAGCTTGCGGTTCCGGGCGTCGACCTCCGGGTCGCCGGTTGGCTGGAGAGATTCCAATTTCGTGTGCACGGCCTCAACACGGTGCCGGTGTTGGATGTAGTGTCTGATCACGCGTGGGTCCCAGACCAGCTGTTCCTTTTCCAGAATTTCGCCGCTGGCACCCTTGATCTGGCGGGTGATCCGTAGGACTTTGCCACGTTGGCTTGTGAAGCTCATCTTGCTGAATTGACTGGTTGTTTCGTCGTCACGCCGATATGGCGCAGGAGTGGGCGCTTCGGAGCGTGGTGTCGGTTTGCTGAAGTCGTCTTCGTCTACTTGGTCGACGTCGCTTTCTTGGTCGGAGTGCTCGACGGTCGAAGAGAGACTCTCTTTCTGTGCATCCCAGATTTTGCGGATGGAGGTCTCATAGGACTTCTGCTGGCGAGCGACGTTGTAGCTGTGGCCACCGAGTTCCTTGAGCCTTTGCGCATCCAACTTGTCTTCCACGGATTCACCGATAGCCTTGAAACCACCTTTCATGGATGTCTTTATGAAGTTGTAGCCTTCACCACGGCCGGTTGGATCACCTTCGCCATGGAGTTTCAGCATGGCCTTGCCTTGAGAAGCAAGTAGGAAATTCCGCGTGGCCTTCCAAGGAGCCATCTGTTGCTCAAAGCTTTCACTTTCCTCGTCCTCCTCGTTATCACCCCCAGTCTCGGCATCGTTGCCAAAACCCGTATCGTGAAGATGTTGTTGGCCAACCTGCATAGACTCCAGGAGACAGACATCCTCAGGTTGCACCCAGGATCGGATGGTGTCCTGGTCAGGAAGATTGGGGTCCAGAGGCTTCCAGTATTTGGTGTCCTTGTCATGCTGCAGGAAATCCTTGACTTTCTGTCGATTCTGCATGTCGGTCGTTCCCGGAATGTGGGCCGTAACGTCGCTGATCGCGAGACGCTCATCAGAACTCTTTTTTAGCAGACGATACACCAGCATCTTCATCCTGTTCTTAGCCACAGTGGTGACCTTTCGTGAATGGGGGCCCGGGATGTCGACCGAAGGGAATTGTTGACCGGCAACGAAGAAATTCTCTATGTTGCGCAAGAAATAGTTGCTGCCTCCAGTACCAGTGGTATTGCGAATGACAAGGAAATCCGTCGGTTTAGCTTGGTGGGGGAACAGCGGCGCTCGGTACATCGAGTTGGAGATTGCAGGACTGATTTCGCCTGGGTCGACATGCCCAAAAATGGAATATGGGCTTTTATCCTGGGGCAGGAGAACGACCGTTTCTCCGATTTCTGCCTTGGGGCGAGTAGGATCCTCCATGTTTTTTCGTCGGTAGTAATTGATAAAGCGATTCGACATTCCGAAGTTGGAGAGCGTCATAGGAACCTCCTCAGAGTACTCCACTAGCAAGACGTTGGAGTTGTCTCCCAACGACAATGACTTGGTAGAATCGTAGAGAGTCTTGGCATCTTTGCCTCGTTGATGTTTCCGTTTGACATGCACAGGATTCTTGAACCAGGAGGTTTGGCCTGGCCGGAAAGCAAGAGCGGGACGGTGGAAGGATCGAGCTTCTGCCTTGGCCAGTTCGGTCTTGTAGTAAGGCCACTGCAAGCGCAAGGCTGGGAGACTGTGCTCTAGAGTCATATTGCCAAGCGTACTACGAATCTTGTTCTGGTGGTTCTGCTTCAGCATGTCGTACGCCTGGTCATTCGAAATGTTGTATCGCTGAGTGAGACGGCGCGTAAGGTTGGAATCCACATCGTCTCTTGTGAGAGGAGCGGCATGCTTCGGTTTGCGAGAAATAGCGTCTACCCGCAGTTCGTCGACGAGGATATTTGGGTCGTTCATGTCAATTGTCACCTTCTTTGCAATCTGCTGAGTTGCACGTTCGGGATCATCCAGAAGGGGAATATCAAGATGCGACAGCGCAATAACGTCCATTGGAGTTGGCCCTGTTTTGCGCTTCTTCGCGGGTTGATTTGCGTCTCTCAGCCAGTCCGGCTCCTCTTCTTCAAACAGATCATCCTCATCATTTCGTACAAGGGGTTGTTTTTCAATCTCTGACAAGGATGATTCCTCGTCTTTGATGTCCCAGTCTGCGCAGATGGTCCGAAGATCCTGCATGGTAAAGCCTCCTGGTAGGAGCTCGTCCATGTCAATGTCGCCCAATTCAATGTCGTCCTTTGTTTCTTCTTCCTCTTCCTCTTCTTCCTCCCGTGGCGTGTCGGTGATCATCACTATGCCCATGGATTCTTCATGGCCGCGCTTGGACGGTTGGCCCGTGCGGAACACGCGCTCTTGGTCGGGAGCGAGTTCGATGTTGACCTTGGTGGGAAGAACTGGCTTGGGCGGCTTGGGGGGCTGTTTTCCGAGGAAGAAAGCCCGCTTGTGGGGGATAAGCTCCAACCAACGCGGAAGGGTGTAGCGGTCGAACGTGGGGAACAAAGAGTGCAGCAACTCCTCGTGGTTTTCGGGTGGCGCAGGTGGGTTATCCGGTCCACCTATTGACGACATCGCGAACAGAGCTTGTTGGAGTTTCCAGGCACGGAGTGTCGCGGGATCCATCTCTTCCGCCGAGACAACGCTCTCTTCCTCCAGTAGCATCTCTTTATCACGCGCCAATGAAGGCTGTGGTTGGGAGATCGGGGGAATAGGTGGTAATTCAACAGGTTCGGTCGTTATCGACGGTTCATCATCTTCGAAGAGACCTTTGATGTCCTGACCAGCAGGAGGCGGAGAGGAAGGCCCTTCGCCGAAGAGATCATCGAGATTATCCTCCTGTGCCGGAAGTTCGTTGCCTTGATCTCCAAAGATATCTTCATCGGCTCCAAATAGTTCTGGCTCTCCAGCGTCGAGATTCGCAAACGCACCGCCGGCTGTGTCCTCTGGCGGGAGAAGGGTCGGCGCGGATGCGACTTCTTCCTCCGGAAGGTCATCGTCTTCGAAGTCTTCGTAGTCGATCGCGTCGTCAGCCTTCTCGCCAACTTCCAGATCTCGTGCCAAAAAATCGAGGGATGGGCCCGACTCGTAGTTGTTCAGCTGCCGCATCACATTGTCGAAGTCCGCATCGTCCTCGGGCTCGGGCGCCCCATTCTGAGTCGCGTGTGGCATATTGACGACGGAGACGCTGACAAGCGCGGGGACTCAAGGAGGGAGGCAGTACGGTGGACGCCCTGGAATCAGGGCCGACGTGAACAGATGTGAAGCAAGGCGGGAGGCACTGGCCAGCGAAGACACGAACGATCTCAAGATGCGCGCATCGGGTTGGCTGATGTGTCTATCGTAAGAGAGAGAGAGATAGATCACTCAGCGCCAGCCAGCGTGAGAAAGCGAGGGAGGGAGGGAGTGAGGGTGAGGGTGAGGGTGGCGATGAAGACAACAATGAGGATGGTGAAGGGCAGTACGAAAGTGGCCGAGAGTCAAGGCAAAAGCGGAAACGGCGCTAACCCAATCAGGCAATCAGCTCATTCACCATTGTAGAGACATTAATGAATGTAGATTCAGTTTGCGCTCAATAAGGCTAGTAATTATACAGTATTCATCATGCGACATTAAAATCCCCGTAGAAAATACACAGTGCCTTGCTGGCTCCTTCCATACAATAGTGCATGACGGTTGTCTGGCGGTTATCCGGGACGGTCTTCGCCAGCTGCTTCAAGTCTGATGTACGGGGAAGGTACAGAACCACATGCTTGGTAAAAGCTGAGTACTCATTGTATAGTTTCTGTAAGGAATAGGGCTCCATGGTGCGCAAGTTGAACACCGTGTCTGAGCGGTACCCGGGTCCTAATAACCTGCGTTAGCCAATGCTATCTGATTGTGGGGATATCAAACATACCACCCCAGGGAGGACTGGCAAAGATCACGCTGTACGGGGCCAGATCCTTGAGTTGGTTCTTGAGGATTTCGAAGCAGTCTCCCTCAAACCAAGTGATCTTATTCTCCACGCCGTAGATCCGCGCGTTGTGCTTGGCGCATTGCAGAACAGCAGGGTTCTTCTCAATCCCATAGACCCGCTTCCATTTTCCTGATTTCGCAAACGCAATCGTGTTTCCGCCCGCGCCGGCAAAGACGTCAATTAGAATGCTGCGTCCAGCCGGAGCGCCTTCGACGAGATGCGCGGCGATTTGACTGCAAATACGGGGATGAGTCTTGGTACCTCAACAAACAGAGAGACACTTACTTGGCGACTGGCTCGGGGGTGACTCCAAACCAGGCATCGTCCGTGAGCCAGATTCCCTCGTCATACTTGGAGAAGATGCGGTAACGTTGTGCCCAGTAACTAAGACGGGTCAGCGATGGCCAAGACTAGTATAACAGATGCCTTACTTCTGAATGTCCCATGGGACTTCATGGATATCATTATAGTGATGCACCTCCGGGGGTGCTTCCTCATCGTCGGCCATCTTTCCTGGGAAAAGAAAGAAAGAAAGATAGTGTTGGCGCAGGTTATCAGCAACGATAAGTGTTTGCAGTGTTTGCATCCCCATGTGGCCAGCTCTCGCTGTACCATAAACACATAACATCCACCAACGAACCCCAGGACACTCAACACCCTTCCACTACGGGCAGGCCGGCATCATGTTCGGTGCGCTGAATCGCTTCATTGGCCGCCTAGATGGCGAGCCGCCCCAACAGTCTCGAAATGGGCCGAACGACAACGCCTTCGGCTTCCAAGTGCTGCGCAACAAGGACCCCGAGCTGCCCTTAGAACCTTGGTTTGATTTTATTGTAGGAATCAATGGACATATCATTGTCAGTTATTATCTTTTTGGACGGGTTCAGACGAGATCGCTGACAGAGCGCTCTCTACAGGAGGATCCGGACCCGAACCTGTTTACAACAGAAGTGCGCAATTGCGCGGGAACCAGTCTGCGACTGGAAGTCTGGAGCGCAAAGGTACAACATAGCCCTCATCCTTCATGTCAAGAATGTCATTAACTGTGACCGTCAGGGCCAACGAACACATTCAGTCACCATCCCCGTGCCCGCCGGCAACCCGTCTCTCGGCCTCGCGCTCCAACTCGCTCCCCTCTCATCCACACAGCACATCTGGCATGTGCTGGGCATTCCGTCACCACTAAGTCCCGCCTACCGTGCGGGCCTGCTTCCGCACTCAGACTACATAATTGGCACCCCGAGCGGCACGCTAAGGGGCGAGTCGGCGCTGGGAGAGTTGGTGGAGGATCACCTGGACCGCACGCTAGTGCTATGGGTATACAACAGCGAATTTGACGTGGTTCGCGAGGTAGAGCTCGTTCCCACGCGCGGATGGGGTGGCGAGGGTGCTGTCGGTGCAGAGCTGGGATATGGCGCTCTGCATCGACTACCGGTGGGACTAGGCGAGGAGGTGGAAGGGCCGGGCGAGGTCGTCTTCGAGACGCGAGAAGACGGTACCTCTGCACCGGTCCTCGATTCGTCTGGCGCCGTTCCGGGCGTGGGCGAGCCATCAGCGAACTATTTGGTTCCTGCCAACCTGTCCGCGCCCCCGCCGATTGCTCCTCCTCCGCGCGCTGGTGGTGTGGCTTCGCCTGAAGGGACATCAAAATCCCCTGCGAGCCGCCGAAAGTCACGGCATGCCGGGGTGTCTCCCAATAATGCATTCGATGACTATTTCGCTGAGGGTGAGCAGAAGAGCCGTGAGCAGGACTTTGCACCCTCGCGGAAGGGGACTCCTCTACCTCCGCCACCAAAATTAGGGCCCTCGCCATCTCACTCTGAAAGTCCGGCTCCTGCATCGGGAGAGGATGCTGCAGAGGGTGCTATAGAGGAGCCGGCGGGTGAAGCACAGGAGTGACGAGCACACCCTGTTGACGTGATGTAGATTATAACGAATCTCCATAATACCACATTTACCGAAGATTCCTGAGGATGCATTTAAATTTGCTCATAGTGTAGGCCGTTGTTTGTTGAATTTGAGATTAAACTCGATCTATATATTTCCGCAGATTACGACCACTCACAAGTGAGCCGTACAGATTGTGTCGGGTGGGTCGAGCAGTTTAGCTGGTCCCTAGCAAAGCCCTGATCGAGCATAGATCGCCGCCACAATGGAAATGAAATCCTCCGGGAGAATTGATGCTTTCCGCACAGCCGCTTAGGCTATTTCGAAAGTGCTTGGTTCGCTCTGGGTCGACATGATTCGTTGCGAGACGCGACCATTCCGTAAAAGCCCAAGTGATGTCTTGAACAGGCCATGAATACTCTACCCCAGAAGCTTGATTTACGGGCATCAGAACAGTGAATCCGATTTAGCCGGATTTATAAGATCCCCTCTCAAGGATTACGCACTTGGGCTCGGTAGATCTATACCCAAGTAATGTTCAACTGCCGCAGTAAAGACCTCGGACGTTCCTGCACTTTACCCTTAGCAATTCAGATAAATAGGCCCTTATTTCCCGCTTCAATCCCCACAGTATAACTCCAAGGATTAGTACCTCATACTTCCAATGAAGCAATCAATTCCTCCTGTACTGGCCATATTGGCCCGCGCTTCCCGCGTGGAGCTATACCCAAGACTTTGACAACACCGCCAGCATCCACATTAATGCCCAACAAAAATACCAGGAAATGATCGGTGGTGGTTGCTCAGGCGCATTTGGGGGTGCCTGCCAGCTGTTTGGCGCTAATGGCCTGTCACCCGAGAACCAACAGAAAGTAACCCAGCTTCTCTTCGATGAGAACATGGGTGCTTTGAGTCTGGTGAGAAACGACATTGGCTCTTCGCCTGGAACCACTATTTTGCCTAAGTGTCCAGCAACGCCCGCTGGCCCGTTCGAATACGTTTGGGATGGCAGTGATAATTGCCAGCTGAATCTCACCCGGACGGCCCTGGAGTATAACCCGGAGCTGTTTGTTTACGCCGATGCATGGTCTGCACCCGGGTGTATGAAGACAGTTGGAACCGAGAATGATGGCGGGTTTATCTGCGGTGTGCGCGGAACAGACTGCGCTCATGACTGGCGTCAGGCCTATGCCGATTATCTGGTGCAATATGTCAAGTACTACAAGGAAGAGGGAATCGATGTCTCTATGCTGGGAGCATGGAATGAGCCGGACTTTAATCCGTTTACATACGAAAGTATGCTGTCGGATGGATCCAGGGCGAAGGATTTCCTGGAGGTGCTCTATCCGACTGCTAAAAAGGCATTTCCGAACGTGGATATCAGCTGCTGTGATGCCACCGGCGCGCGACAGGAGAGGAATATTTTGTACGAGCTGGAGAAAGCTGGCGGTAGTGACTTCTTTGATATCGCTGTAAGTCATGTTTTTGCTGGAGTATGACAAGGCACTGACACAGACAGACGTGGCACAACTATCAGAGTAACCCAGAAAGACCGTTCAATGCCGGAGGAAAACGAAACATTATGACCGAATGGGCCGATGTATGTGCTATCTCTGCAATAGTTAGGGCTTGCTGGTTGACACATCTATCTTTAGGGCTCTGGACCGTGGAACACGACTTGGGATTACTCCGGCCAACTTGCGTAAGTCATTCATCAATATATCTCTTGCTATGCATCTGCTAACCCCCTACCAGCGAGGGCCTTCAATGGGCGCTATACATGCACAACGCTTTCGTCAACAGCGACACCTCTGGCTACACCCACTGGGAGTGCGCCCAACAAGACGGTGGAGATAACGCACTTGTTGCCCTCCAGGGCGATACATACGTCGTTTCCTCTCGACTCTGGGCATTTGCATCCTTCTTCCGGTTTGCTCGGCCTGGCTCTATTCGAGTTGGGGCCACCAGCACCGTGGAGAATGTGTACGTGAGTGCGTATGTCAACAAGAACGGTACCGTGGCCATCCCGGTGATCAATGCAGCCCATTACCCATATGATGTGACTCTCAATCTTGAGGGAGTGCATGCGAAGAAGGCAAGCGCGTATCTGACGGACAATGAGCACAATGTCACCCTGGTTGATCAGTTCACGCTTCACGGTTCAACTTTCAAGGTTACTGTTGAGCCGAGGGCAGTGAAGACGTTTTGGCTAGAGTGAACGGGGTAATCCTGTGTTTTTCCACTACAGAAGTTTCAAGATAATTGAGAAACATACTCAATCCATCATAGTTTCCTGATAGCCAATGAAAAAGTTTTTTTCGAACAAAGGAAATAGTCCGGATTATGTCTTCGGATCTACGAGGTCTAAACGTACATATGCAAACACAGCAACAGACACAAACCTAGTGGCCCTTGCTCACAGTCTCCTCCAGCTTCTTCCGGGCCTCACCGATCTTCTCCTCCATCATCTGGCGGGCCATGCCACTGTGCGCAATGCCAGTGTACCAGATGTGCTCGGCTCGTTCCCGCAGGGCAATGTGCTGCTCGGCAACGGCCGGGACCTTCTTCTCGTACTCCCATGCTAGATCAGAGATATTCCGCATAGTCACCGGAAGTAGAGACCAGGCGGCAATGGTGCCAAAGGCGAGAGGGGACGCAGTGCGGAGGAGGATACCACGGTTGCGGGAGACGATTGAGCCAGCCATAGCAGCTACGACGACGTAGACGCCACCCGGGAGCAAGCGCTCACCGGACTCAGGCGAAGGTGCGAGCGAAGCAACCGTGTTGGTGAAGGCATTCTCAATGTTCAGGGCGCGGGACAGGAAGTCGTTGAAGCTGTTCTCCGCGGCGAGGGAGTGGTTGTACAGGAAGAGCCGGGCTTGCCGGATTTGGGCGGCCAGGATGTCTGTGGGGGTCGGCGAAGATGAGGGAGAGGGCTCCGAGGAGGGCCAGGAGATGAGCGGCTGGGAAGCTGGGGGAGCGGGTTTGGAGGGTTCAGGAATGTCGGCTGGGAAGTCGTCGTAGATGGGTTTCCTCTGTATTGTGTGTTAGGGACTTGTAGCTATAGAGATCCTGGTGATTGACATACCAAGTCGCGAGGCTGCTCTGCAAAGGCCGTCTGCCTGGGATACAGGGCGATGCCTCCAGCGAGGAGGGTGGCTGCGATTGGAGCCACAGCCCGCTGTGCGCGTCAGTATAGGGCCAATTGGAAGGAAAGAAACACGAATGACAAGCGGAACGAACTCACCTGCTGAAACATCGGGCGGAACGACATCCTGGAAGCAGAATGGAGTGGGAAAGGGTGAGAGAGATAGGTTGAGTAGTTGAGGTGAAGAAGCACAGAGACAAGAGAGAGACTGAGAGTCCGCCAAGCACGGGAATTCTTCGGCTCGAAAACTCCGTCATCGCCCGCCTTGGTCTTGTGCTTTCTGTTCCCCTTTCTCTCTCTTTTGGTTTGCATGTGGACGCTTCTTCCGTCTATTACTTACCATGTTACCTCTACGGCGCAGGCCTTGGACCTGTCGCAAATGTCTCCAGCAACTACAATCCCGTGCTTTTGAGACCGCCGCGTCGCCGACTCCCCGGACGCCCTTCCAATACCCCCCGGTAGACACCAGCTCTCCGAAAAAGAACGCAGATGATGCTACGATACGACGCGTGTTCGATTCGCAACCCTTCTGGAAAGAGTTCTCCCAGCAGCGGAGCGCGACCGCTCCCAGACGGGCAGGGTTGGTTCAGAACGAGTACTTGACAAGCCCCGAAGGGTTCAGGGTGTTCGCGAATGTCTCACTGCAAAAATGCCAGGCTATTGTAGCCAAGGTGCTCGAAGCGTCAACTCTGGAGGAGTACCGGGCGATGGCAAAGAATTTGGACCGACTCAGCGATCTCCTGTGTCGTGTTATTGATCTCTCGGACTTTATTCGCACGATTCATCCCGACCCGCAGATCCAAGAGGCAGCGACGCAGGCGTACGCACTCATGTTCGAATATATGAATGTCCTCAACACCACTACCGGTCTCCATGACCAGCTCAGCAAGGCCGCGGCCAATCCCGAGGTGGCTTCACACTGGACCGAAGCCGAGAAGATTGTGGCGCAGATCTTGATTAAAGACTTCTCAAACTCTGCGATTCACATGCCGCCAGCCGAGAGGCAGCGATTTGTGAATCTATCAAATGACATAAGCCAGATCGGATCCGACTTTTTCAACGGCGCGGAGCCTGCCAAATCCCAGGTCACTTTCAGCGCCAACAGCCTGCAGGGACTGGATCCCATGCTGGTGCAGAAAATCAAGAAATGGAACAACAAAGCCCCTGTACCGACAATGGGGATCGTTCCTCGACTTGTGCTCCGGTCTGTTCGTGACGAGGATGTCCGGAGGGAGGTCTATCTGGCGACTAGAACATCGAGCACGCGCCAGGTTCATCGACTTGAGCAACTTATGATGAAACGAGCGGAGCTGGCACAATTGTCGGGCTACAACAGCTTCGCGCACATGACCCTCAGCGACAAGATGGCCAAGACTCCGGAAGCAGTGTCGAACTTCCTGACATCCCTTGTGGAAAGCAACCGCGGGCCCGTCCGCGAGGAACTGTCTCAGCTACAAGATCTGAAAGGCAGTTCCCTCCAGCCGTGGGACCACGCGTACTACGTGCACAAGCGTGTGATGGAGTATTCGCAGTCTCGCCGGTCTCGCCAGTTGAGCATAGTCCCCGAGTTTTTCTCGCTGGGCACTGTCATGCAGGGGCTTTCGCGGCTGTTTGATCGTCTGTACGGCGTTCGTCTTGTTCCTCAAGAGACGGCCCCTGGTGAGACCTGGCATCCCGATGTTCGCCGGTTAGACGTGGTGGATGAGGCAGAGCAGCACATTGCGGTCATCTACTGTGATCTATTTTCTCGGCCAAGTAAACACCCGAATCCGGCTCATTTTACTCTGCGCTGCTCGCGCGACATCTCCCCCGAAGAGGTCGCGGAGTCCGCATCGATGGGCCAGTCCGCGCATCCGAATGACGGCATGGCGACTGCGATGGATCCACAGACCCAGACTCTGCGGCAGCTGCCGACAATAGCTTTGGTCTGCGACTTCCAAGAACCTCTGGCAAATGGCTCCGGTCGTCCAACTCTCTTAAGCGAACAGAGCGTGCGCACCCTCTTTCATGAAATGGGCCATGCAGTCCATTCGGTCTTGGGACAGACGCCTTTGCAATCTATCTCCGGGACGCGGTGCGCCACTGACTTTGCCGAGTTGCCATCCGTGCTAATGGAGAGCTTTGCAACGGCACCCGAGGTGCTTTCCCTGTATGCCCGACATTGGCAGACAGACGAGCCTCTCTCCGAGAGCATGATGCGCAGCATGGCACTGGACCGCACAGCCCACGGCTCCATCTACGGCGCTGTCGAGAACGAGGCCCAAATCCTTATGGCTCTTGTCGACCAGGCGTACCACTCCATGCCCGTGGAGGCCACCGCCAACGGCATTGACACAACTGACATCTACCACCAAGTCTTCTCTCAATACTCCAGCCTGCCCGACCCAGACAACATCCGACCACGAACCTCATGGCAAGGCTTCTTCGGTCATCTATATGGGTACGGAGCTACATATTACAGCTACATCTTCGACCGCGCCATTGCAAACAAGCTCTGGCAGGACGTCTTCCTGTCTGGCCGGGCATCCGTTGACCGCGCCGCTGGCGAAAGATACAAAAATGAAGTCCTGCGCTGGGGCGGCGGACGCAATGGCTGGCGCTGCGTTGCGGGAGTATTGGGGAGTCAAAACCCCTCTAATAAGGATGGGCGGTTGGCGGAGGGAGGAGATGAGGCAATGCGTGAGGTTGGTCGATGGGGACTTGGTCGTGATGGAATAAGTGGGTGATCTATGTTGATTTTGTGATAACCACGATATACCACTTGATCTATAACCCTGTAGATCATTAGATAGACGAGATAATATACAAGATCTGGTCCTAAGAAATTTTCAGTGTACGGACTATGTAGGCATTGAGCGGGCTCAGCAGACCTGTCTCAGATTAATGAACTGTTAATGACGGGGTGGGCATGCGTCGACAATGTCTCACTTTCTGGCTCCCTCAGTACCTTTTTGACCTCTTGACTATTGCCTTTTCTACCAAAAAAATGCTTATAAACATATGATTCGACCCTAGAATGTCAGACCACCTAGAACTTGCAATGTACACGGGGTAACCAATCTACCATTAGGAGAAGCCTGCACTATAATGAGCTGAGCGAAAAGAAGCATTTCAACGACACAAACACCAACGGATCATTCGACGAACGAGTATCAAGCGTGGGAGAGAACGAATACAGCCAAAGGCAAAGCCATTAGAAGAAGGAATGGGATTGTGTCTTTAAGGAGTATCCAAGAAGAAGACGTGCTCCAAGCGCAACAGAAACCAAACTAATTCTCTTCCTCCTCCAAGAGTCATGGAAGGCCTTCTGCCGCGAATTCACACGATGAGGCGAATCGCAATAGGCTGTTTTGTTTTGGTTTGGGTAATAGCAAAGGGAGTGTGCATCAGGCATTGATTCCAAAAACTTTCACATAAGCCTCATGATGTTGGTCCATACAACAACTAATTACATACACCGTGGGCATGGGACGAGTTCAATCCTCACTCAATCATCAACGGGTTGGAGAAATGAATATAATCAGAGAAGAAGGAAAGAAAAGAGAAAAACCCGACAGAAAGTAAAACAGGGGTATCCTGCATCTTATTACACATACAGCCGAGTCGGAGTATCAATCAAAACAGCGAAAGCAAAACGGAAAAAGCAAAAATTAACAACAAAGGAGATTCATGCTGTGCCCCCGGTATAATACAATAGTGGGGGTACAGTTTCACTGAACAAACAGACCGTCGCTATCATGACGAGAGTGGCTCAGAGCTATCGGGCCTCGTCAGGGCGGCTGTGGCCGCTTTCCGAGCCTTGTACCGAGAGAGCAGTTTCAAGATGGGGCGTGGATGAGAGGCTACTCCGGGGATCGGGGGTGTTTCGCCTTGAGAGTTGGGCGAGTTCGCCGATAAGTCTGGTGGAAGAAATTAGCACACAATCTGCAATAAGAGATTCGACCTCCAGAGAACTTACTTGCGATGCTCGTCGTACCAATCATCGTTTGCAGCGCGGATATGTTTAAGCTGTTCCTGAATGCTGGCCATCTGCAGAAAGAAAACATACGAGTTAGTGCATTGGACAGAAAGTAGACTCATTCACCACAAAAAGAGACAACAACAATGTCTAGCAGGATGACGTAGTTAAACGGGGATTTCCCACCGTTCCCTCAATGGATGAACCGAGGTCCTCACCTTCCGCTGCGGCTGGACCCCCTTCAGCTTGCTCGTTACCCTCGTCTGCTGCCCATCGGCTGGCGCCCAGACCTCCCGAGGCGCCCTTCTGCTCGTCCGGCTTCAACGCTGCCAGTTCAGCCTCCAGCTCGCGCACACGACGGCGGCTGGCTGAAATGGCAGAGTCGACGTCGCCCAGTTGGTTGAGGAGCTGCATGTTCTTGTCGATCTGGTCGTTCAGGTCCCGTTCGCCGGCATCCAGTTTCTCTTCCATCGTCTTGGTCCGGGAGCGGAAGTCTTCAAGTTCTTCACTGGCGGCAGAGTGTTTCTCTCTCAGTGCAGCGTGCTCCTCCTGCGTTGCGGACAGTTGCCTTTGGACGGACTCCAGATCCGACTTATCGCTAGTCGACGTGGCAATAGACTTGTGAAGTTCTTCGATCTGAGCCTCGGCCGCCTGGTGTTTCTCTGCCAACTCCGCCCGCTCAGCTGTGAGCTTCGAGAGCTCGGTCTGGATCTTCATCATCTCTTCAGCGTGCTTGCCTTCGAGATCACGAGACGCAGATGTGGCCGACTCCTGCACCGCGGCATGGGAATGCTCTGAATCCGCCAGTTTCTGCTCAAGACCCGTAATTGTAGCATTCAATTGATCAACCTTCGAAGTATCGGCAGCGCTGGCCTGGGCCTGGGCAAGCTGTTCGTGCATATCGGCTAGGGCGCCCTCGTGAGACTTTTGAAGATCCTCAAGCTTGGCTTTGTGCGATGCTTCAATATCCTCTCTCAGAGCCGACAGCTTCGATTCCTGGACTGTGAGGAGCTCTTCGATGGCCCTCGCGTGCTCGGCCTCAGCATCAGCATCCGCCGACTTGGAGGCCTGCAACGCTTCCAGTTCAGCTTGTAGTTTGGCCTGGGTCTCCTCGAGCTGCTTCTGAAGGCCGGCGATTTCCTTGTCGCGAGACTCGCTGTGAGAGGAAAGCTCCGCTTCAAGAGCAGCGACGCGACCGGCATGGCTGGACTCCAGTTCCCCGTGCTTGGCGAGCAATTCATCGTGCTTCAACTGAAGCTCACCCAGGGCACTCTCGTGGGAGCCCGAAGCCTGAGTCTTGACATTCTCCAGCTCGGCAGCGTGAGTGGCTTTCAGATCCTCCAAATCTTTGGCATGGCCCTCAGCGGTAGTAGAGATCTGAGCCTTGTGCTCTTCCAGAAGTCGAGTCGCCTCCGCGGCCTTTGCCTCCAAGGTTTTCAGCTTGCTCCCCTGCTCCGCATCCTTGGACTGAGCCATGTTCTCGAGATCTTTCAGACTGCGGTGCAACTCCTGGGCTTCCTTGTGCTTGCTGTGAACACCTTCCTGGAGAGCTTGGATTTCTCCAGCTCCGGAAGACACCTGCGACTCTAGGGCCTCGACCTTCTGACGAAGACCTTCGATTTCTTGACCGGCAACCTCTTCGGCGGATGCGCTGACATCCTCTAGGGCTTGTCGGGTTTCGCCAAGAGACTTCTCAGAGGTATTGAGTTTTTCCTGAAGAGCGATCAACTCCGCCTCGTGCGCAGTCTTCAGCTCAGCAACGGCGACTTCCTGGCTCTTCTGTGCAGCTGCGTTGGATGAGTCCAGTGCCTCCTGAAGCTCTTTGAGCTGCTGCGAGTGCTCGGTTCCCGTTGATTCCGCGGCAGCTTTGGCGAGTGCCAGCTCTTCCGCGTGGGAAGCGGAGAGGCTGCTCAGAGCAGTGTCGTGCTCGGCTTTGAGATTGGCAACAGAAACTTGATGAGTCGACTCCAGCTCCTTCACCTTGTTGGCCAATTCTTGGGTGGCCGCGTCGCGGGCCTCTTGAAGCTCTCTCTGCAGCCTCTCAATGGCGTCAGATTCAGCGTCGGCGAGCTTAGCCTCCAGGGCCTCAGCTTCGGCAACCTTGGCCTCCATAGACGCTACTTTTTCTTCGAGATCAGAAACGGTCTGTTTCAGAGCATCCTGGGCCGCACGAATTTCTTGCTCTTTTGCGGCGCTCAACTTATTCATCTCCACGTTGAGGTTGTCGATAACTTGGTCACGACCCTTGAGCTCTCGCTCTAGACTGTCAAGAGCCAGGGCCTTGTCTTCCTCCGCGCTGGTCTTCTGAGACTCGAGCTCAGCCTTTAGAGTGTTGAACTGTTCCTCAAACGTCGAAGCGGAGGCCTTGTACTCAGCGAGTTCCTTTTCAAGGCTCTCCAGTTGAGCCTTGTGTGTCTCCTTGAGCTCATCCAGCAGGGCAGCCGTTTTGCTGTCACCTTGCTCAGAGGCGGATTGCTTGGCGTCCTCCAACTCCTTCTGAGACTTCTCTTCCAGGTCCTTTCGCTGAACCTCAGCCTCCTCCAGTCGCACCTTCAGGGACTGCAGTTCCTCAGCATGGCTGGACGTCAATTTCTCAAGCTCAGCGGCGTGCTCGGCTTTGATGGCGTCCATATTGCCAGTATCCTTGGAGGTGTCCGCCGAGACAGACAGCTGGCTCAACTTCTCGTTGACTGTCTCCAACTCAGCCTTGAGGCTGGCCACAGTCTCTTCGCTTTCTGTGAGCTTGGTCTGGAGCGATTGCAACTTCTCTGGGTCAGCAGAGCTGCGCGTAGAGCCAACGGCCGTGCTCAGACGCTTCTTGGGGTCCGTTGCCGAGGACACTGCAGACCTCGCCGTGGCGGTGGTCGAAGTCGGGCGAGTCGCAGCGCGGCTGCTGGTGGTGGTGGTCGACGTAGCCGTTCGGCTGCTAGGTGTCGTCGAAGACGTCAGTCTACCGACGGGCTTGCTGGTAGAGGCAGCGGTGCGCGAAGTGGTAGTTGTAGGCTTAGTAGCAACACTCGCTCTGCGATCGGCCGTAGATGAAGTTGTAGACTTCAGCGGAGTCCGAGAAGACGTGGTGCCGGCCATCGACATGCGCTTCGCGGTGCCTGAGATCCCCTTCTTCTCATCTCCTGAACTGGCCATCGACCGTTTCTCATCGGCGGAGCTGCTGATCGACGCACGAGAGCGGTGCGATGAAGTGGTCGAGGTGCTCAACGGTTTGCGAGTAGCCGAGGTGGTCGTAGGACGCGTAGGAGGCTTATTCAGAGTGCTCGAGCTAGTAGTGCCGCGCGCGGTGGAGGTCGTGGTTCTGGACGCGGTAGTCGACGAGGTGGGCCGCTTGGTAGTCGTCGTGGTGCTCGAGGTCGGGCGCTTGGACGTAGCATTTGCACTCGGGTTTGTCTTTTCGGGGGATGCCTGGGTATTCTCCTTCGAGGCCTCTGGGCTGGACGGCACATTCTCCTTGGATGCCTCCGGACTGGACTGGTTCACATCCTCGCTCCCGGAGAGGATGGTCGAGTCGACCGGAGTAGCGGGCGGCGCATCTTCGGCATCGACGTCCGAGGGAATAGAGACTGGTTCCTCGGTGGATGCCATGGTGTACAATTGGATTAAGAATTATATATTCACGAAGAAAAGGCAGGCTATTGGAGGAGCTTGCGGGACGAGCGAGGTGTGGGCAGTAGTGCGGAAAAGGGGTCTGGTGGATAAGCTCATTAGTCTCGGAGTGATACAACGAAGTTAAACACTTTTGAATATAGATTCTTCAAGCAGCGATACGACTCGGCGCCGATAAAGTATCCAAGGCCATATGCGCAAACTTGTTCCGCCAGTCCACAGAGCTGTCTGTGCGACATTCCGAACGGCAAGCTGCATCACCCACCCACGCGGGAAAACGCAGCTGCAGAAGCTGCAACAAAGCGAGCACTGCCTTCAAGGACAGGAAGAATGCCCAATTTGAGATGTGGAAATAACTGGGGGCGGACTCACAGACAGCGCCGCGCAGACACGGGGCAGGTTCAGGGGGCTACCTGGTTGACGAGGAGGGGGGTCGTTGACGATTGATCCTCGGCGGTGGGAGCTCTGACAATCAACCCAGACGATGAGGGCGGGAACAGAAATGAGCAGAAGCCACTTGGGGGTGGTCAGTGCAAAGGGGAAAGAAAAGAAAAGGAGAAAGAACGCGGGAATGGCAGAAAGCGGTGGAGGAGGGACAGCGAGGGATCATCCATTCGTTAACTAGTTCGCTAGTGCCAGACTTATGTATGCTCCAATGGGCCAGCACAAGTCTGGTTATTACACCACAAGGCCAGGCGACGTTGGGGGTGGTCCAAGATAGCCAAAAGAATATCCAAAGATGCAGGCGAGTAGTAAACAGACCACCCTTTTCGGCGCTTTGTTTACTACGATCTTAGTCATCTATACGTTACGGGATAACGTTAACTAACCAGTTAATTAACCAGTTAACCGGTTCACTAGTTACTACCTTTTATTATTCAAAATTCTCAAATAGGCAGAGTGATTTGTGACGTATTCTACTGCCCAATGACAGAATAGAAGGTGGTCTGTGTGCAAATTATAAGAGAAGAAAACAGAGATTAATGTGCAAAATCGATAATCACCCGTTTCGAAGAGAAACGTTTATAGATGCCCACCAATGATTAACTCACCACCACCCTCTCATCACCCAAGGTCACTTCAACAAGGTATATTGCTCTACCCTACCATGCCCCGTACTGTGATTGCCAAGGATCATCACCAGATATGAAAAACGACTACTTGCAGTGGTGCGGACTAAATATCGAGAGGACGGAAACCAGAAATGGTGTTAGGTTTAGGCTACCTTTATCTACACCCTGCACAATGGCCCGTACCCCTTTCCACCTCCTAGGTCCGTTTCTATCCATTCCTCGCTACCCACACATGTGTGGCAGTAGAACACATGATCAGGATCGTACTGCCTTTTGATCGACTGAAGACGGACGTAGTTCGCACCGTAAAAATCTTCCTTCCACAAGGGGTCTCTTCGATCTGCTTCATTCATATAACTACCCATGCCGGGAGTTAAGACTTTCATAGCATCTGTTTTTTGGAATGTGATACTGTCCTGGGCACCTTGAATAGTTCGGGTGTCAGCCCGCTCCGGCCAGGTTGATCCCACGACAGCGTGCAAATACGTCTTTCGCCAGGCAGGGTTCACAGCGGCGAGCGGATTTGGCTTGAGAACTTTGCCACCGCCTATTAGATGGAAAAGAATAGCAGTGCTAATGTTGTCCGAATTGTCGGAGGATGGAGCTTGCGGTTCGGACGAAATAATCTTGAGCATCTGCCTCACGCGATCCCGGTCACCCGTTAGAGCTGACTTGTCAAACAGACGCGATGTAAGTGCCGCATTGCTATATCCAATTGGCAGCGGATTCTCCGATATAGCCTGAAAATAGCCCTCGTAGGAGGGGAAATGGCGCCAGCGTTCCATGATTAGGAGCGATGTCCCGTTGTAGGGTAACAATCTCTCCATCAGGATGGACGTCATTATCGACTGTGCGTCCACGAGAAAATCTCTGGGCGCATCGCTGTTCTGATGAGCTATTTTCGCAAAGCCATGCATATAAATTCCGGTATGCTGTACTGTTTTTAGAATATTGATGCTGGCAAGAGAGGTGGCATTCGCGTCGAATAACCCGTAGCCAGAGAAACCAGCATCGGAAAGCGCTGGATAGGAACGGACGATTTCCGTTACTGCATCGAGAAGCGGTGTCTGCATGGGGTTTGCATTGTTTAACAGAGGTGCAATCTGCAGATATTGTACAACAACTGGCCGCGACGGATAGGCTTTCAAGGAAGCGGATATAACGATGCCATAGGTTGACCCGCCGCCTCCACGTATTGCGAAGAAGAGGTCTCTATGCTGACAGGCGTTCACGGTCACGATATTCCCCGAAGCTAGCACCACCTGTGCCTCTAGAAGCTGATCAGCTGCTAACCCATAGTCGTGACTGACCGGCGAGTGACCGCCACCTTGGAGATAGCCGCCGAGAATCCCGACAGACTGAGAAATTTAGTCAGAGGTGATAAAGATCGAAGGTGCAGGTTTGTTAAAACCTCGGGAAAGTGGACGTACTTTGTCCGCGCCGCCTACTACCGTGAGGTTCCGTTTAAATGCTTCCTCATACAAGTCACTCCAGATATAGCCACCCCGAACAGTAAAGGCATTTCCGGCCCAGTTCGAAGCGGCACATACACTGGTATACTTTGAGTGGTGCTCGATCCCCTTCAGGACGTACTTAGTCCATACCTGTAGACTTCCGTACCCCTGGGACCTGATGGTGCCACAGTTAGCGGGCCATACCATCAAGATGTTGGGTTTTAATATAAACACCTTCCTAAGAGGTCGTGTCCAGTGGTTCGCACAACTAGTCGGATATCGTGATATCTGGCAAAGCGGATTCCTTCCACAAGGTCTTGAGGCTCCGTCGCATTTACTGTATACACCGGGTCGGGGCCAAGACTACAGTGCGCCGCGGACTGTGCCCCGGGTGCTAGAGGCGGACAGGCATCAAATAGTGGTAGCGCATACGCGACCGGGTGGTTGGCTTGGAAGGTCGAATTGGACCACTGTGATAGAATGTGCTCGCACGCTACCCGGTCAAACCCAGCCCCATGATAGCATGGCTTGGCCACAGGCTGATTGTGGATAAGTTTGCCCGAAACCGAGGTGTTCAGGGCAGCCCAAGATGAAGCGGAGGGCCAACAAGGATCCGATGGAGACTGGGACATGAAGGTACCAATTCAATTAGCCCAATTTCTCAAAATTGCGTAAGTTACAAATTAAGTTAAATTCTTAGTACACAACCTACGCATTTGCACTGGGTTTCAGCGAGACCCAATCCAGCGAGAGACATCAGTATGACCGGCAATCTCATCTTGAAGGTCGATTGTGAATGCGAGAGTGCAAAGCTTGAAAGATCCGAAGAGATTCTGGGACAATGAACATATAAGCTGAATTGCCCCTTGAAATTCCCTTGGGATTTCTTACTATAAGCAAGGGGACATATACAGGAATGCTCAACGTAATTCCCAGGGGAGTCACCAACTCAACCCAACCAAGGGTTTAGCATTTGAATCAACTCATCTCAACCGTAAGGCCGACTAGTAGTCACGGTTCTTTATTCACTTTATTCAGACAATTACTCATAAGCTGTTTATTTGCCTCTCTTTATAAGCCTGCAACTAGACAGCCATGGCGGTTTTATCGCTTTATTACTCACGTCCTGTTCGTTTGTGGATAAAGCGCGACTTCCTTACGGTAATCGGGAAAATTCCGAGAAGCTAACCACTTCTCATCGGGATAATCACCTAGCGAAGTGGCTCGAGAGATTCTGTGGTTGTTATATGCTTCTTATATTATGTTATTTTTAGGAAATGGCATTCTGCTTGACTTTTTTCACCCAAGGCTTCTAGTTGTCTCTGTTCCCTAAGGATGCTATGCCTTCTATACAGATGGATGAAATAACTCTGTTGTTGACAAAACCAATCCCATCTATGGTTCGCGGGCCGCACCCGAACCAGAGCTTCAATACTCCTGCGCAGTCAAAGAAAAATCAATCGCTGAAGGGGTATTATGCACCACGCACTACGCCAGAAAAAGAAAAATCCCAGAAAAAGGTCAACTGGAAGAGACGCCGAAAGAAAAAAAGAGGATGTGCCCAGGTGGAGACAACAAGAGAGAAAGTTACAGGCTGGCGATCCATCCCTCTGCGCGTCGGTGTCTTTCGCATTTGTGCCGGACTTCCTGAGCCTTCGCCACAAGGTCGGTCAGAGTCCGCCCAGGAAGAAGATGTCCCCTATGGCGCAGGACCTGGATGCAAAGTTCAAGACCTGGAGAGTGATTAGTGTCGGTTAGTAGAAATATGGATTCCAGAAAAAAGAACCTACCTGAGAAGCCTTGGGCAGAGAATTGTCGGAACCCGTCAAAAAGGTGATTGAGTTCCCGAAAAGTCCAGGGTTCCTGTGACCGGAGAACCGCATCCCAGTCATCGACGTCGTCGGTATCATCAACGTCTATGACACCTTGTCTATCCATGGGTGTCTTGGGCTCGATGCTGCTATCCCGATCTAGAACCGCATCATGGATGCGCTTCAAGGGTCGGCGAATTTTGTTGGATCGAGCGCGGAGGCCAGGAGGGTGCCCCCCACTGCGCCGGCTGGAAATCTGATCGCAGGTTTCTTGGAGAAGTTCCAGAATACTGCAGAGCTCGCGGTAGGCAGGCAGGCCGATATTGTGGTAAGCCTTGAAGCAGGCCAGCACTAGATTGATCATGCTGGGCACCACAACGGCTTCGAACTGGTTTATCACACGACTGCCACGATTGCTTTGGGGCCCGAAGGAGGCTTTGTCGAAGAGCCGAACCCTGATGGCTTTGAGGGCTTCCCTCAGGTTGTGGCAAGACTGCAAATTGAGGCCCTCAGCACCGTGACTCGGTTTGTCGTAATCCTTGCGTAACTCGGAGACCAGTTTCAGACAATCCTTTAGCGCTTGAAGCTGGTTCCTGGGGCGATGTAAACGCAGGTCTTCTCTTGTCGCGAGCACGATGTTCCATGGTCGTACCAATGGAGTCCCTTCAACAACCTCTCTCAGCCATTCGTCCAGGTTTGCATCATTATCATCGTCGTTGTCAAGGCCCGCACCGCTCTCTTCTCCGTCATTGGGTGCTTGAATTACCTGTTGCGATTCGGGAACATGAACACGCCGCCCAGAGCGAGTTCTATAACTCAACGACCGTTCAGCACGAGCCACGTAAGATATTGCACCCTCGCCTGTTTGGCTGAAAAGAGGGTCGTCTGCAGAAACTTGAGTGGGTTCGTCCTCGTCGCTCTCGCTGCTTGAGGGATCACGGAGACCCAGTTCGTCACGCCAGTCGGTTTCGGCGTTTCCCCTATCTTCCTGGAAGGACGTTTGTTGGCGGGTGCTACGGGTCGACCGAGGGACAACAACGTCGACGCTTTGTCGCGGAGTTCCCGATTGAGCAGACGGTGGAGCCGACTGCGCAGGTGCTCGAACCGGGGGTTCCTCAGCCTCTGAGCTGGAGTCCATCTCATCATCTTCCATGATTTTCCTGTTAGACACCCCGTTCACTTGCTCGTCTGGAGTTTCCTCAGCTACAGAGGGTAGCTCCGACGCATCTATAGCCTCCACAACATTTTCATTGCTTTCCTTCTGGTCGGAAGCTCCATTCTCCTGCGCCTCGAAGTATTCGTCGTCGTTCTCGGTATGTTGCTGGCTAAGACGCAGCTCGGCCTCCGTGGGTTGTAGTTCTGTGGCTTCGGTGGCGTCGGTGATTGTTGCTGAAGCAGGCTCGCTCTTCCGAGGTCTTTGCCGTCGCTCTGGGCTTACGGGGATAGTGTAGACATCTGTACTCCGCCTGGTGCCCATAGAGCGCGTATTGATCCTGTTGAGGATATTGAGAGAATTATCGGTGGAGTGACGCGTCCTCCTCGTCCTGGCTGGCGCCATGGCTGTGTTGTGGTTTCTGGACGCGTTGCGGAAAGGAAAGAAAGTAGTGGGGCATAACATCATCATCGGCCCGCCTTATCTAAGAACTATTTCTCCTCAACAACACTTCACTTCGGACTCTTCCCCACAACGATCCTCACCATGAATCCAGGTGGCCCTGCTGTCCGCGTCCTGGCGAGAGTGGACTCTTCATCGCGGCTTGCCTTTGTCGAGCCTGGCAAGAAGATCCACGAGTCGCAGGATGCGTCGGCCTTTCTGACCTCGAAAGCATACACAGACATCATGACCTTTCTCCTACAACTAAACCGGTCCATGTTCCCCGCGAAGCTCCCCGACGGCACGACGCAAACATGGCCCTTGAATAGCGAAGCTGTGCAGTTCTCGGCGCCGGTGCGACAGCTCCAACGGCTGCTCTCGAAGCTTGAAGATATTATCGAGGAAGTTCCCCCCGATACCGGGCCGCGGCGGTTTGGCAATATCAGTTTTCGGCGGTGGTATGAGGTTGTGGAGAGTCGTTCGTCAGATCTGCTGGAGGAGTGCTTGCCCGCAGAGCTGTTGCAAATACGATCGTCCGATCCAGATGGCCCCACGGCCGAGACGGAGTTGAAGGCATACTTTCTGGGTAGCTGGGGCAGCGGACAACGGTTGGACTATGGCACTGGTCATGAATTGAGCTTTTTGGCATTCCTGGGGGCGATCTGGAAGCTTAATGGGTTCCCCAAAGCCGAGTCGGGGGTCGAGGAGAGAGCCATTGTGATAGGAGTGATCCAGCCGTACGTTCCACTTGACGGAATTTTGTCGTTTTACTGACAACCGCATAGGTATCTCGAGCTAGTCCGGTTACTTATCAAAACGTACACCCTGGAGCCCGCTGGTTCTCACGGTGTCTGGGGGCTGGATGACCACTCCTTCATCCCATACATTTTTGGAGCTGCTCAACTAGCACCCGCTATAACGGACACGGATTTGACTCCCGAAGAAGGGTCTTTGCCAGATGCTCCCAAGGCATCAGACGTCGTGAAGGCTAATACTGTCGAGCGGGAACGCAAGACCAACATGTACTTTTCGGCAATCGGGTTCATCTACGACGTGAAGAAGGGTCCCTTCTGGGAGCACAGTCCCATGCTCTATGATATCTCCGGGATCCAAACTGGCTGGGCCAAAATAAACAAGGTTAGATTTTGCCCGATTCGCGGTAGAATTGACTCTAATATCCCGCCAGGGCATGATCAAAATGTACAATGCAGAAGTTCTTTCCAAATTTCCCGTGGTGCAGCACTTCCCATTCGGGTCCCTTTTCAGCTTTGACCGAGATCCAAATGCCATCGCTCCGCCAACGACTGTCCATACAACATCCGGCCCCCAGGCACGGCCCGTAGCACCAGATGCTGGGCCATCTTCGACTACTACTGCCAGACCTATGCCTGGATCTGGGACCAAGGCTCCATGGGCCACAGCAGAACCCGGCATCGGATCGGCGCCTCCGATGGGTGCAACTGCAGCCCCCTGGGCAAGCGCGAGAAGAGATGTTCCAACTGGCACTGCATTGGGCAGCACATCAAGGATTCCGACGTCTCTTCCAGATACTTCAAGAATGCCTCCCGGTCCTATGGCCCCTACCAAAGCTCCCTGGGCATCTTCTCAACCTCCCACGGGATCCAGTGATGAGGTTCATACTAAGGCTCCCTGGGAAAAGCCAGGATAAATGGAGATACAATGGATAATCAAATGGATACATTATTAGTGGACAATGTGCTTCTTTGAAAACGTGGTATTATTTGTCTTATCTTCCGAGTAATCCACTAGTGAACAGAATTTTACATGATAAGATGTATACATAGTGATGGATAAATTAGCGTTTTCTTTTGGAGAATAGCAGCTTTTTTGAAAGAGAACGAAATCTCTGCGCTGCATCAGGAGTAGGACTCGATAATAAAGCTATTTCTAGATCCCTAGCATGCTATATAACTAACTTGTTAACCGTGGAGGAGGTTGACCGTATTCTCGGAATGACTGTTGAGCAAGAAGGATCAACTATCTTTACATTTAACCCTCTCTCTTATTATCGCTATTTTCCCATTTTACTATCCAAACCAACTGTCTGTCACTTGTGACTCATGTTCCTGCTGTCTTTCTCTCTTGGATTGCTATAGCGCACAAATATTAGTTAAAAAATTCATTTACCATCCTCCCACAAGATCATCATAGAAGTGGCTGCCATGGAAAACGCAGATTCCGTGCCAGCATTCCGAATAGTTTATCAAAATAACAGCAACGAGCCAAATTCCGAGATAGGTTCATCTCCTCACTGGCCCTGGTCTCAGAAAAATACCCTCACGTACATGATTTTCCAAGGATCCCTTTTTTTATTGAATCTTCTTCTCACCATTCCTGAAGAATGGGCTTTTCCGCATACGAATGATTCAACGTTGCCTTTTACATTCCGTTTAAAAAGCATAGAGCCCGGCACCGTTTTCAAGTTCAAATTCCAGTCTCGTTCTCGCTCGTTCTCGCTCGTTCTCGCTCGTTCTCGCTCTCGGTCCGCTCCACCCTAAAATTTATGACCAATTGTTCGTGGCGTTGTCATGCTTCTCAGCAAACTAACCCTTCCGCCAGCTTTCTCTAGATCTGGAACCCTTGACGCCAATCACAAGCTTTAGTTCAAGCAAATGTCCCTACCGACTATGAAATCGCCGAAATTCCGGGAAAGCAAGGTACGAGAGTCTAGTCTTCGGATAGTCAAGAGATGGCAGAGCCTGAGCCCCTTATAATAAATTAACAACACAAGGGGCTCAATCATCATCATATATAAATGCTCTTGCTCGTTTGCTTTAGATATGAAGCAGTTTATATTGTTTCAAGGCATACGATTCAATCTACAGAGACGTTCCGCCAAAGGCTCTACATCCTCACATAATGAAGGTTACCAATATTGCCCTGATTGGTGCGATGCTCGGCATGGCGCAGGCTAGCCCTATTGCTACCCGTGCAGCTATTACTGACGGTATGCTCTCCCCGCAAAGTTAATAGCTGAATGAACTTAAATAACTTTCAATTGTTTAGCCGATATTCTCAACTATGCCTTAACGCTGGAGCACCTCGAGGCCACCTTCTATGAGGAGGGCCTCAACAACTACACCCGGGATGATTTCGTGAATGCTGGCTTCAAAGATCCGTTCTACGCCAACCTGCAGGAGGTCGCTTTGGACGAGAAGACGCATGTGGCCTTCCTCACGCAGGCTCTTAGTGGTGAGTATCAAGCAAAAGATAAAGAGCGAGAACTAATAAATCTCTCTAGCTGCCGGTGCTTCTCCCGTTAAACGTTGCACCTACTCCTTTCCCTCTACCGATGTGAAGACCTTCCTAGCCCTTGCTAGTGTCCTTGAAGGTAGTAGTATCCCGGGTAATCAGACGGTCTTTGCTAATAACTATTAATAGGTGTCGGTGTTAGTGCCTATCTCGGTGCAGCCGCTTCAATTGCCAATAAAGATTATCTTACTGCCGCTGGGAGCATTCTGACCGTTGAGGCCCGCCATAGCTCTTACCTACGCGCCGAGATCGGTGAAGTTCCCTTCCCCCAACCTTTCGACGACCCTCTTGACTTCGACGAGGTGTACACCCTTGCGTCGCCCTTCATTACCTCGTGCCCCTCCAGTAACGGAAAGCTCCCAGTGAAGGCATTCCCTTCGCTGACATTGATCTCAACCCACCCTGTCGTTAGCGGCTCTAAAGTCCGCCTAGTGGCTGGCAGCGGCTTCGACGATTCCAACCCGAGCAACCTATACGCTGCATTCATTACTGTTACTGGTCCTATATGGACTCCCCTCAGATTCACGGGTGATAAATCGTTCATTGTTACTATCCCCAAGGGTATTGCGGGCCAGAGTTACGTGGTCATCACCAAAGGCAAGAGTCAGGTAACCGACGATAACATTGTTGCTGGCCCCGCCATTATCGAGGTAATTTAGATGTGCATTGTGTTACTTCAAGCTCGTGTTCTTGCAAGCCTGATGTTGCTTTCCTGATAGATTGGTACCAGGGAAGGCACTAAACGAGCCTGGCGAAATTGTCGATGTCTGTTGCTTGTTGTCGTTCTATTTCATTAATTATGTTCACTTTTCCTTATCACCAGGGGCGGAAGTCTTTCGGGTAATAGTAATAGTCGTAATGCCATCAATTTGTCCGCGACCCTCTTCATCCGACACAAGTCTATAGCCATGTAGGAAATGGGATATTTTATAGCCCAATATCTCAACAACAATAGCTTAATTTAAGGTTTTATGGCATCCTTGTAGTTACTATTTGAACATATTAAAAATCATAGTGGGTCTTCCTGAGACTATGCCGCATCATGTAAAGGCAATTATTGAGGCAGAGGGCTGGTATAGTAATCATATTTACTGTCGGTAGTGGGATTCCTTCTTTCCACTAGTAATCCTGCATCCCAATGACCCTGGTATGAGGTATCTATTTCAATTACCCTGTTTACAATGGCTGACAGACTATCAATAACGGTGAGTACTGGCGGGCAGCGGAGACGTCAGAACCAGGAGTATTGCACGGTCGACACAAGCATCTCGAAATATTTTCCCTCCACGCTACCTAACCATTATTAGCAATTACTATATGGTGTAACCCATCCGGAAAAATAAATCCGGAAATGACCAAACAAACTCTCGTTCCACACAATCAGACAAGAAAGCATGACTATAGTCGACATGCACAACGGTCACCCAGTCCAAGTGAACCCATAGATATATTTCAGAATGTCCAAGGCCTTGATCGAACCCAGCAAGTAGCAAATAGCATGCCACACCAAGCAAAAACAGACAATTCAGACTCCCTTGATGACTAATTCCTGATTTACAGGAGAGCCATAACACCAATAACGGCAGCAATGAGGCCAACTGCAGGCTGGACACTCGAGGCGGCGCCGGTGAAGAGGGCAGCGGGGCTTGAGCTGGATTGCTCGGTCGTGGAGGACGACGAGGACTGAGCTTGAGAGGCACCTGAAGCCTGCCCAGTGGAGGACTGCTGAGAAGCACCATTTTTGGCAGTGGTGGTGTTGTTGCCACTAGTGCAGCCAGTGGTGAGGCGGCCGTTCTTCGCACCAATCTATAAACGAAGAAGTAAAGATTAGTCCTTCAAATGCTCAATAGTTGAATCAGGAAACCGTATAATGACAAGACATGAGGAAAAGCTGTTTGTTAAGAGAGAGGGATGCGGTCTTAACCTACTTCGAGAATTGCAGGCCCAGCAAGGATGTCATCGTCAGAGACGCTATCCTTGGAGGAAGTCAGGACGACATAGCTCTGACCCTCAACGCCGTCCGGGATTTGAACGGAGAAGCCGCCATCAGCAGGAGTAACAGTAGTCCAGATTGGACCAGTGACGGTGATGAAAGCGGCGAAGACAGGTCCGTTAGCAGTGAAACCATTTCCTGTCACGAGGGTGACGTGGTCGCCGTTCAAAATGGTGCCGCTAGAAGTGCTAGTCAAGGTAGGGAATGCCTTGACGGGTAGAGCAGGATTGCTGCTAGGGCAAGACACAATAAATTGAGAAGCGAGAGTGAAGACTTCATCAAAGTCGAGCGGGTTGTCAAAAGGCTGGGCAAAGGGAACCTCGCCATCAGCAGCCCGGAGGTAAGAGCTGTGTCGGGCCTCAACAGTTAGGATAGAGCCCGCGTCAGTGAGGTACTCCTTGCTCGCAATAGAGGCAGCAGCTCCGAGGTAGGCGCTGACACCAACCCCCTCAAGGACGTTGGCGAGGGCTATAAAGCTGGGTACATCGGTGGCCGGGAAGGAATAAGTGCATTCAGCAGTAGCAGGAGCACCAGCGGCTAGACAAATATCAGTTTCGGCAATCTCGGTACTTCACGCGGAAGGAATTAAGCGTACCCTCAAGAGCGCTAGTTAGAAAGTTGACGTGCGTCTTCTCGTCAGCGGCAACTCTCATTAGGTTGTCGTAGAATGGGTCAGGGAATCCAGCATTGACGAAGTCAGCCTGCGAGTAGTTCTGGAGGCCCTGAGCGTAGAAAGTTGCCTCCAGGTGCTCGAGAGTCAGAGCATAGTTGAGGATCTCGGCATCAGTGATAGCAGCACGCTTGGAAACCGGGTTGGCTGTGACAACGCCGGCAGCAGCTGTAAGAGCGGCGTAGAGAGATGATTTCATTTTGATGGTTGTAGACCAAAATGGACAATAAGAATATAAGAGGGCTAGGGTAATATTGATTGAAAAGCAATAGGCGCGGCACAAGGAACACTAGAAGGAAAGGCTGAATCTTATACCAAATCTCCATGGCTGTTTGCATACTCTGCGAGCGATCATTTCAAGACTCAAGGCACACCAGAGTAGATGATTTTTCAGTATTCGTATCATTCCTTCTGCATCTGTCTTTTATCATTCTTAACAATGGCGAACTCGGAAATTCGATCATTACCTATCTAGGTAAAAGGTCTGCTGCGAACAACATCAAGACCATTCCCCTGGAAAAACAAAATAGTGGCTCACCATGCAGGAAGCGTACAGTACCGATTTATAAATAAATTAAAGGCGGACTCTGAAATGGACAGGCAATGGAGTTCTTGTGGAATACGAATATGCTAGCCGTAGGTCATGCCGTTAGTTAGTCCAGAAATAAGGTGGTTCTTGCGTTCTTTGGTAACGAACACATGGTATGGGGTTGCTGACCCGGTTATGCAGATCGCCACCCAAAGCAGGAATGTACATAATCGACCGACATTATACACTTCCCAGATCGGCATACCCCGAGCCAATTCGAGGAATGCCACGAAATCGGGGTCTAATCAAAACTTGGCCTGCCAAAAGTAACCAGTCAGCTCGGCCTTTCTTGAGCGTTGAAGTTTTCCTGCCCGCATAATAGGATATGAAGCTGAAGAGCTTATCTCCCACTAGGGTTTTGCGTCGGTAGTCAAGCTTCATCCCGCCGGGAGCGGGGAACGGGAACGGGAAGAATGGGGGCAAAAGTAACGTGGAGACCACCCCGTAACACCCCATGTACCAATAATGCTCGCGAACAGCCATTGGTTATCATAATGAACTTGAACTTTACCTTGAAAAAAACTGGCTTCTGGATGCACAGAATTGTCGTCTTCCCAAAAGGAGTATTTTCTGACGTACTTTCCGAAATCTTGATTGTCTGTTTGCGTCTTGTCAGAAATGAATATTTATTAAGTTCTAGACTGTTGGAAGGAAAGCAACGGCATCGGACTTTGAAACGGAATAAATCTCGGCTCAATATTACTTTCTCTAGAGGAAGGATTCTGAAAAGATGGGAATAAGCACAGAGCTTTTGTTGTCAAGAACAGAAAGACATCTGGATCATGTGGAATAGTAGGAGCCATTGGTAATTTTATCTTCTTTCTCTTTTTCAAAACCGAGCATTCTTGGTGCACAGCTATCTCAGGCAGTACTTCGGCTTCCGGCTTCCCTAACGAAGATTGCGGTGTTCTTCTGCATCCAGCTCCCCCTCATCAAGAATCAGTCGGTCGGGGAAACTTCCGAGGCTATCTACCATCGTCTGCAATCGTCCAGCCGGAAGGGTGAGTTTTGTGTTCTGTCCGCTTGTAGGGTTTTGGTTGAGATTAATTCCACTGACATGACTTCTACTATCTACCGAAGCTGTGGTATCCTCGGCGCCACCGCTACGCCACATTCTCTCTTCCTGGGTAGTGGGATTGTTTAGTCTCGCCTGAAGGACTTTGGAATCACTTCGAAAAATTGGCTCTACAAATGTACATTAAATGTCTCAACTAATAATGCTTTTTGAGCGGGGTATCTCTTCTATAAACCGAAAAACGAAATGAACGCCTCGTCAAAAAAATCATATAGACATAAACATGAAAGGTGTATAACATCATTCCGAGTCGGAAGCATAGCTCACCAGCGCCGGCGTTGCTGGTGTATTGGGCGCACCATGGGAAACATATGCGTCGACTCTGTTTTCCAGGCTGGTGCTGGAAAGTGTGCGCAGGCCAGTCTTGCTCGATCTCGCAGGCGATGCAACTTTTCTTTTCTTTATGCCCGGTTGCCATGCGCTTTCGCCACCAGCGCCATCATTCAAGAATGGATCCACCACGGCACGCGTATTCCCCGTTATCTCATTGCGCAGGGCATCTTTGCGCTGCGCCACCAAAGCAGCTGACCGAGTTTGCCGAGTACTCTGTTTTGTATTCTGTTGTGTCGAAGAACTATTCGGAACCCGCTGCGCGAACAAGGGCCTCACGCGTGTGGCCCGGGCCGCACCGATGCCAATGACGGACTGGTCATCACCAAACTCCACCAAGCTCGCGCGTTGGCGATCCGCTTCCGTCTCGTCGACCAAATCAATGCCCAAGCTCATCTTATCCTTCAACGTCTCGCGCTTCGCCTCCGAATTCTCCAGCCCTTTTCTCTCCGCGCGAAAAGTGCGTCGCAGCCGCCTCGACTTCTCGTACGGATCATTCCAGTCCCTCGCCTGGCGCTGCTGCAACTCGAGAATGCGACTGCTCTCTGTCTGCGCACGTCGCTTATCCTCCACCTTGCCTTCGATTTTCGCAAACGGGTCTTTCTCCGCTGGGTCTGTAGTTGTTCCATGGTGCGGCCGGATGGCAATCTCCCCGGGCTGCAGCTCCTTGTCCTCGCCGGTATCGCGCTTCCGCCCGCCTTCCACAACGATATAAGCCGTGTTCTTCGGGTCTGTCCGGATCTCGATCCAGCCCCCGCAGACTGTGTGTTTCATGCGGAAACTGTAGATAGGTGTCGAGTAGTAGTTGCCCACTTTCTTCTTCTCGGCGTTGAATCGCACCCCCTGCCCGATTATTGTTTCGTGCGGCTTGCATGTCGTGCACCAGACGGCGAAGGGCATCTCGAATCGCACGACTAGAGCGCCGGTCGTGTGCAGGTGTCGGGCTCTTGCGCCGAGGGGATGCTTTCCGGCTAGCTTGTTGCCGGTTGTGAGACCTTCTTGGTCGGGTGGGACATAGCTGTGGTGAGGGTTAGTAACTTATAGGTGTGTTGAACGTGGGGGGAGAACGGACCGTCCCATATCTGGAAAAGGTACATGTTAGTTTTGACTGGAGAAGCGTGTGAAAAACACTTACTAAAGCCCTGCATCCTGGCGGGGAGGATAGTGGTTGTCGCCTATACTGAGTGAGAGATGGCAAGAAGATCAACTTCTCTCACTCACTTGTCATCGTTATCGGGAGATGAGTCAGCATCTTAATCATGGCGTTAACGTTAACTAAATAAGCTACTTAACTATTCATCCTCAACTACTTTACGTCCAACTAACTAGGCCAACATTGCACCCCCATTCGACTCGACAATACTACCCGTGGCAAACTGATCCTTCATAAGATACAGATAACTCTCCGCCAGATCCTCCGGCCGCCCCACCGTCCCCGTCGTAGACTGGCTCCGGAACATCTCCAGAACGCCCTCCAACTTCTCACTGGGCAAACTCGAGAAAAGCTCCGTATGCACTGCCCCCGGCGAGACCATATTTACCCGCAGGGGCTTGAGGTCTAGCGCGAGTCCTCGCACAATACCCTCTGCGCCACACGCAAATCCAGTGACGACGGACCAACCGGGAGCAGGCTTATGCGCGCGCACTCCGCCGGTCATGATGAAGGAGTTCGTTGGTGCCAGATCCATGTATTGGGGGATATACTTGGCGATCATTAGGGGTGCCATGAAGCGTACAACGCCGGCCTTTTGAATAATCTCTGGGGTCAACTCGGCGAGAAGGGGGAGGCTGAGCGCATCGCCGGCTGTGGTGACGATATGGTTGATCTTGGTAGTCCCGTTGTTGGTAACGGTTTGAAAGAGATTCGCAAGATTGGAATCGAGATTTGCCGTGTCAGCTAGATCACAGGTGTGGGTGATGATGGTTTGCGCTGCTGCTTGAGCCGGGTATGTCTGGCGCAGCCGGGTCACTGTCTTCTCGAGCTTGGAGGGGTTCGAGCTCGAGATAATCAGGTGCGCACCGTGCTCGAAGGCTGCTTCGGCGACGCAGAATCCGATCCCGGATGTTCCGCCGAAGATGAGGACGCGCTGGTTGGCGAGCTTGGAGATGTATTTGGTTGTCATTGTAGTTCTTTTGTAATAGAGAATCCTGAAGTACTCGTAGAATGTTCCTTGCAAAGAATTAATGATCGAATGACTGGTTTCACTCATTTATAATAACTGGTCCACTTGGGGACTTGAATCGGCGTTCATTCGGCCTCCGGAGATTTCAAGTTATCTCCGGCGCAAAGTCCAGCATAAGCCAATCTCCAATTTCTCCAACATCGCTGTGGTCTTCAGATCTGCGGCTGCGTGAAATACTATACTACAAGTTAATTATCTCCGCTGGTTTAGGCGCACAAGTGATAGGTTCGTCCGTCGGGGGAACTGGTGCCGAGTTCGATGGATGCAGCCTAAAATATACCACCATTTATGTTGGTTCTTGATGACATGGCAATGATTGAGTACTGCGAACATGAGGAATCAATTGTACGATCCATATTGAAATTAGCCTTACCTCATTAGAGTCTGCTATGAGGTGTAATATGACTGGCTCTAGGTGTGTGAACCACCTACATAGCTTTTGAAATGTATTCCAAAAGAGTATCATAAATGGAGGCCAGTCCTAGTGAGTTAGTATATAAGTCGAGCAGTTTGCTCTTTGGCCACTAGTTACATAACTGCGTTGGATCAGAAATACTCCTAATGAAGAAGCCGAGACCGAGCAGGATTTATCCAAGGAGGGGCACGGGTATAGGTTATCCCACATCTGGATCCATTTAAAACATGCCTTTCCCTTCGAACAAAGCAGCAAAACTAGCAGTTATCCATTTTCAAGAAACAGCCGGATTACCTCCACCACTGCAAGATGAAAATCACCTCCGTCACCTCCCATATTCTTCGCATCCCACTCGGTGACCGAGTGTTCTACTCATCCCAAGCCCGATTCCCAGAACGCAATTCGTACCTAGTGAGGATAGAAACAGACACCGGCCTCGTCGGATGGGGAGAAGGAGGCCAATACGGTCCCCCCGAACCGGTGGCTGCCGTGATCGACTATGTATTCGCACCAAAACTCATCGGCCGGGACCCAACTGAGCCCGTCGTCATTTGGGAGCACCTGTATGCTTTCTCCCGGGACTTTGGCCAGAAAGGCACTTATGTCGAGGCCATCAGTGCCATCGACATCGCACTGTGGGATATCAGCGGCAAAGCGGTGGGACTGCCAGTGTCCAAAATGCTCGGTGGCGCATTTCGCAAGCAAGTCAAGGCCTACGCGACGGGGTGCTACTATCCCGAGGAATACCACGATCTACCGAAGATACTCGAGAACCTGAAGTTCGAAGCAACCCGATACCGCGACTTGGGATTCGATGCCCTAAAAGTGAAAATTGGACTCCTCGATATTCGTGCCGACGCTGAACGACTGCGCATTATCCGTGAGACCGTCGGCCCCAGCGTCGCTATCATGGTGGATGCCAACCATGCATACTCCGCCTCAACAGCAATCCAAATGGGGAAACTGATGGAAAATTACGATATCCGCTTCTTTGAAGAACCAGTCATCCCCGAAGATCGAGCGGGGTACCGTCGCGTTCGCGCAGAGAACCCCATTCCCGTCGCTGGCGGCGAGGCCGAGTTCACACGCTACGGGTTTCGAGACTTTCTCGGCGAAGGATGCGTGGACATTGTGCAGCCGGATCTCACAGTGTGTGGGGGATTCACTGCTTTCTCTCAGATCCTGGCCATGGCCAATGCCTACGGCGTTCTGGTCGTCCCCCACGTATGGGGATCTGGCATTGCGCTCGCTGCTGCGCTGCAGGCGCTGGCTACTATCCCTCCTATGCCCCACTCGGCTAATCCGATTCCACTGAGAAACGAGCCCATGGTGGAGTTTGATCGGACGCATAATAGTTTGCGGGATGAATTGCTGGTTGAGAAATTTGAGCTTGTTGATGGTTGTGTGGGGGTTCCGCAGGGTCCTGGGTTGGGGGTTACCATCGACGAGGAGGCGCTTAGGAGATTTGAGAGCCTTTGATAGTAGCCCATATTCTTCTAATTCAGCAATAGTAAAGTGTTTCCGAGAGCTTTGCGTGGGGGTTTAGTAGCAAGGGAAGATATGTTGGTATTCCCACGCTAAGCCATGCCATGTGGAGGCAATCATTCCTGGGGCCCCGCGCAGTTTTGAGTTCTAGCCCGTAGCTCGGTGAATTCTTACCTTTTTCGTACAAATGCCCCGCATAGGGTACCGATCTTTAGTGCTTTGTGATTGGGTGAACTTGAACTATTAAAACCGTGGGGACAGGTATCCGAGACCTGGTGTTGAGTTATTTGCTGGCTAGGATACAGGCCGATATAATCATTTTTTGCGAGCAGGAATCCTGTGAGAAAATTTTTATTGCGCCTGCTTTCCAATTGCCTTTTTATAAATGAGAATTTTAGCCCTCGTTTGGGCTACAATATACACCATCATCTACAGAGTGTTCGCCAATATGTCGTCTACTCACCAGTCTGATGGTATTCAAATCGGAACGGCCACCATACGAACTGACGCCAAGGAGACCACCGAACACGCTGGCCAGAATTTGAAAACCGAAGAGCATGCCATGTTAATTATGCCCGACAGTCTTCGTGAATTGACTACCGAGGACAGGAACCAAATTGGAAGAAGAATCGTGAGAAAGATCGATTTTATTGTCCTGTGAGTAGGCACTGAGAGAAACGAAGAGAAAGAGCTGATAACTCAAGACCCATCATTATGATTCTCTACATTCTCAACTGTACGTTATATTCTTCGGGTGGAAGAAATGGGCTACTGTGGACAATAGCTCACGAATTTAGATATTGATCGACAGAATCTCTCAGCTGCGAAATTGCAGAATATCATGGGAGACCTAAATATGAACGCCAGCCAATTCTCGACTGCTATATCTATTCTCTACGGTTTGGGACGATTTGCTTTTTGGGAGTTTAGCAGCTAAGAATGGAGACAGTCGGATACATTCCCTTCCAGATACCGTCGAATATGGTCATGACCAAAATCACTCGTCCTGGACTCTGTGGGCACCACATTCGCAATTTACATTTCGATCTACTAACGCAATTTTAGATATTTGCTGTGCAGTCGTTGTGTGGGGTATGATATCGTCTTGCACCGGTGCTGCCCAGTCCTATAGAGGTCTGCTGGCTGTACGAGTGATTCTTGGGGTCGTTGAAGCAGTTTTTTTTCCCGGTGAGTCAACAGAAACAACAACTCAATAGGGTCTAATGCATAAACAGGTGTGATTTACTACTTGTCTGCTTGGTATACGAAGCAGGAGCTCGGCAAACGTCTGGCAGCGCTGTACATTGGGCAACAGCTAGGAAGTGGCTTTGGTGGACTTATTGCAGCAGGAGTGCTAAAGCTAAACGGAGTCCATGGAATTCAAGGATGGCGCTATCTGTTTATTGTGTAAGTAGTTTAATCGCTCAAGGAGAATCTGGCTAAAATTCACAGTGAGGGGGTGGCAACTGTCGGTATTGGAGCGATATCTTGTTTTCTCATGGTAGGATGGACCCAAAGTACTTGTTTGTAGCCTGAAGCTAATAATAGCAGCCTGAATACCCGCATAACGCTCGTCTACTCAATCCAATTGAGCGTGATCTCGCAGTCTGGCGTATTGAACAAGAAGCTGGGGTGGGAGAAGCTCACGAAGAAGTCGGCACTTTAGATGGTTTCCTTCTTGCTCTCACCGATGTCAAGGTAATTGTTTCCTAAATGTCTATTGTTTATTCACTTATCAGTATAGGTCTGGGCTTTGGTGTTTTGTGTTATCCTGTCGCAAGCCTTGAATTCCGCCCTGAATTTCCTTCCTACGATTGTTGCGACACTGGGATACAACGAAACTCTTACTCTTGTTTTGACCGCCCCGCCTTACCGTAAGTTTATTTTTCCATCTTTTCTTTTTATTGATGCTTCCTCCTAACGAGCGACAGTGTTCGCCTGCTTTTACTTCTACTTCATTAGCTGGTGGAGCGATGTAAGTTGTCCAGTTAAGATTCGAGGTTTCCACTTTTAATCCCGTCGTACAGCGCCACTCAGTTCTATACTGGCCTATATTGCTATCCTTGATTATCGGTGTTGTTGGATTCGTCATTCCTCTAGCAACGACTAATCTCGGCGCACGATATTTCGCCATAATGCTGTTCCCTAGTGCAACCAGTACGGCAGTGCCTTTTACCTACATACCTATCTGCTGGCCTTGTCCACTAACACAATTGCTTCTAGTCGGACCACAGATCCCCATCTACAAGACTCTGAACCTCCACGTGGCTAGGCCGTATCCTAAGCGAGCAGCCGGTGTTGCTCTTCTGAATGCCATTGGAGGTACATCGAATGTCTGGGGCAACTACCTTTGGACACAAGGGCCTAGGTTCTATCCCGGGTTTGGAATGTGTACGTACAAGCATGTCAAATCGAACTGATTCAACATTGACAATGTATGTGATATAGGTGTCGCTGTTGTGGTCATATTCATGGTTACCATCACCTTGTACAAGTGGCACATTGCAAACGAGAACAAGAAACTTTCTGGTGATGAATTTCAAGTCAGAAGTGTCATGAGGGCAGGTGTAACACAGGAGCAGGTGGATATGGGATGGAGATACGAGGGCTACTAGACTTGTAGTCTCTCTCAGTAATTTGTGATTGCAATCTTTGTTGGCCTGGAAGGTCGCTTTCCCGTGCCATAGCTAACTCGTTAACAATCTACATACATCAACAATCTGTTTATACATGAACTTTGTTTTTAACGTAGGGCTGAATCTCGTAATCGTTAACGTCACGTAGTTAGGTTTAGTTGGCTAAACCTGGCGCCAACCATTGGACAGGATCCACTTTTAGCTCCGATCCCAGCCTGACAATTATTACCAAACTTACAGGCTCTCGCTATGGCCCGGTTACTTTAGTCGTATTCTGTCAAGGGTACCGCCCCTGTTCAGCCGCCCCACTGTGCTTTGTATATTGCATTGTTGGAGGCCTGATTCTGGGGCTGAGTTTTTATTCAGGCCACCCGTAGAAATAAAAGGCGACATGCCACCCTTGCAATTGCGTCAAATCCCCAGTATTTTGCGTGCCAGCTACTTTATTTGATCGTCGTGTTGACAAAGCAATGAGCATATCGCGCCAAATTGATCGACTGCCGACACCGTCGGCAGTTAGACAGATGAAAGTCATCATCGCCAGTCCCAGTCGGTAGGATGCGCCCGCTGCTGTGAGCTTGGTTAATCTTGTTAATTGTCTCATTTCTTCTCAGGTCAGGAACTCTTGGTCTCTATCAAGCCATGAAGATTCTGGGCTACAACTCGTACCATATCTATGAATGCGTCGCCGTGAGAGGAGTAACCCATGTGCAGCTTTTCAAGGAAGCTATCATTGCTCAGTACAATCGACTGGCTGGAGTTAAGCGGTACACCAGGACTGATTTTGATAAATGGTTGTGTGACTACGACGTGAGCAGAGTGTTTTTCTTTTCTTTTCGATCTCAGTTTTTTCTTTCCCGATCAGAAACCGGACAGCATTGATTCTAATCTAATCTACCTCAAAAAGTGTGTGGTGGAGATCCCAAGCTACATGGGCATGGACATGATTGAGGCGTACGCAGAGGACCCCGATGTGAAATTCATCCTCACTGAGCGGCCTCCGGAGAAATGGGCAAAATCTCTCAACAACACGGCAGCCAAAGTGGCGACAATGTCTAGCCAATTCCCCTTTTCTATCCTCAAATACTTCGACTCCGCTCTTTATCAGTTTTTGGCTCTCAACGAAGTAATTTATCAGGGGCTCGCTTGCGGCACGAAGCCCGGCAGCCCCGGCAATGAGCAGATTTTGGCCAGTTATTATGCTGAATAGTAAGTGATCATTAAATTCACAGCGTTCATGGTTGATTAGACTGACGATACCTCATGAAGTATCAAAATGGCCAAGGCAACAATACCTGCCGATCGCCTACGCGTCATTCAGCTTGAGGATGGTCTCGGCTGGGAGGATATTTGCCCGTTTCTTGGAGTCCCAATTCCAAGCGCCGATTACCCCGGCCGGAACGAACCTGAGAAGTTCCAGGGTTTGGTCCAGGGCTTCATAACACCGCTTATCACGGCCGCGGCGCTGAGACTTAGTGTCGTGGCTGTGCCAACCGTTGCAGTCCTTGGCTGGATGTTCGTGAAATATGTTTAGGCTATCTATTACTTTAAACTAGCATATATTGGCGTAAATGGGCTTCCTAGTAGTATAGAATTACTAAAAATCTATATACTTATTATATAGTAGCTCCTAAGTAATAAAGCCAAGATGATTACAATTATATAGAGAAAGGGAAGTATTAGAATATGTGAAAGAGGTATGTACACAAAAGGAAAAAGAAAAACCGGCGTATTGCCATATGTTAGTCAATGCGATAACAAACTTCAAAAGTCGAGCTCCCCGAAATGAGAAAAATGGAAGAGAGATATGCAAGAGAAAGAATGGAACACGGAAATTTAGCCAACTTACTCCACCGAGCATTTCCCACCAACCTCACAGAGGACAGGGAGATCCACGACACTCTGCCCAATCCAGATCTTGACACCCTCTCCATTAATGGGTGCCTTCCAGTCTTGCACAACGACATCCCAAACACTAAGGTCCTTGCGAGTAATGTCCAGGGTGAGGGTCTCACTGTGTCCCGGTGCCAGCTCCTTCGTCTTCTCGAACTGGCGCAACTGCAGAGGCGGGGTATCCAAGCCCAGACTCGAAGGCAGAGCAACGTAGAGTTGCGCTACAGCTTTTCCGTGTCGGGATCCGGTGTTTTCCACCTGGACTTGAACCGAGAAAGCAGTGTCAAAAAGCGCGGGGTTGCCGCCCTGAGCACCGCCGGCTCGTGGCGCTTGCTTGGGCTGTGTAGTGTACCCGTCTGGGTATGGGTAGGTGTCGGAAGTGGTAATCAGTTGTGGGAAATCTAGATATGGATATAGATAGCGCCAGATGCGGGTGAAGTGAGTTGATGACCAGGCCACTTCGGACGCAGCGGGGATCTTTTGGCTGTACTCAGGCGTGGATCCCTTGGTGGGTCGGGCCGGAGGGTACTCGCTGTCCAATGGTGTGACCACGGAAAGAGAAGGGCTGGAGAAAGTGAAGGTGGTGTAAGAAAGGCCGTGGCCGAAGGGGTATCGAGGCGTGATGTTAGCGTTCATGAAGTGACGATAGTCAATATAGAGGCGCTCAGTAAACGTGTCCTGGATCTGGCCAATGGGTTGATCGATGAGGCTGACGCTCTGAGGATAATCGGATTCGCTGCGGGGAATTGTGTATGGCATATGGCCGCTGGGGCTGTAGTCACCGAACAGAATATCGGTCAGGGACCAGCCTGCTTCCTGGCCAGGAAGATGGGCCACAAGGACGGCCTTGACGGATTTCAGGTGAATCCATTCCTCCATAAGGATCGGGCCGACGGTATGGACCACCACCACAACGTTGGAAAACTTTTCTGCGGCAGCCTTGACAAGATCATCGCCGTTGTGCCAGGCGTTCAACCCAGCCTCGAGGCGGTCTCCAGGATTTCCATCCACCGTGATGTAATTTTCCCCAGAGTCGGCATTGATGAAGACAATTGCAATGTCCGTATGGGATGCGGTCACATCGTCAGGGAATGTGTCTGTGATATAGAATTCGGCGTTGTTGGAAAGATTGCCGATAGCCTCTTGTGGTGTAACCAGGTAAGGAAGATTTGCAGATCCACTGCCCCATCCCATGGTTAAAACGCCGCTATCACAGCCTTTATCACAGCAGGAATTCGGCCCGTTGGAATTTGATCCGGCATCCGTACCAAAGACCTTCAAACTATCATTGTGTCTGAATGGGAGAATATTCTGGTCGTTCTTGAGTAAGGTGATTGCTTCACGAGCAACAGCTCGTGCCGTGATGTTGTGGTCGCCCTCTACATTGACATATTGGTTGACCACGCCGATAGGAGAGAAGAGTGCCCCCGGGTATATCTCTCCAGTTTGGTCGTCTGTGTTGGCGGAGAAGTTGGGTAAAGGATAGTCTTTGTCTTGTCCGAACTTGTACCATGTAGCTACAATGCGAGTAACCTATTTACCATGTCAGCATGGAGATAGATAATAGAAAACTGGGCATACCATATCATTGAGCCTGCTGAGTGGAACGGTTCCGTTCAGGATAGACCGCGACAGTTCCGACCCCCAATAGCTGTCCCCAAGAAGAGGAATAGCACCGTCGCCAGGCATGGCCATGTCAAGACCAGCTAGCGCGGACGCCACGCCACCATATTGACCCAGCCAGTCTGTCATGACAAACCCTTGGAAGCCAAGCTCATCCTTGAGGATGTCATTGAGGAGTTTGCTGTTTTGGCTGCAAGCAGAGCCATTCACCTGGCCAAAATGTCAGTTAAAAACCGATGAATCTTCAAACCAAAAGGTCTCACATCGTTATACGAAGTCATCAACGATCCCACGCCCGCCCGAACGCCCTCGGCAAACGGCCACAGATACATCTCATGCAACGTGCGGTCATCGATATTCGACGAATAGCCTACCGAGACAATGCTGCTCATGCGAGACATTTCTTGCTCGTAGCCAATGTAGTGCTTTAAAGAAGCAATGGCCCCAGTACTTTGCATGCCCTTTATAGTCTGGGCACCACCAACAGCCTGCAGCACGGGGTCAGCTCCAAAGCCTTCCCAAATACGACCGCCACGAGGCTTGCGTCCTAGCGGCCCAACGACCGGACCCAAGAGAACATTGACGCCTTTCCCTCGGGCTTCCTCGCCAAGACCCACGCCTCGAGCATACATAAGCTCTTTGTTGAACGTAGCGCCAACGGTGATTCCCGCTGGAAAAGCAGTATTATGATCGGTGTCCCGGACACCCAGCGGACCGTCCTGCAAACAGAGATTCGGAATGCCGAAGCGGAGCGCGCTGCCTGTCTGGCCCACACAGGGCCCCATGTAGAAGCCCGTGCCGGTGGTCAAGTTGACCTTCTCGGCCAGGGTCATGTTGCTGACCACTGCATGGGCCTTTGCATAGGCATCAGCCCAGTCCGACACCCACCCGCCAGGGGGTGTAGGATAATAGGGCGGAGATTGATAGTCTGCAGGGAGCGGAGATCGCGCCGACAGATCAGATTCAGCATCTGGAACTGGAGATGCGATAAATGGCTGGGCTAAAAGAGAAACTAGCACCAAGCCAGTCAAGGGCGCCATGGTGCCCGACTTGAAGACAAGGATCAAGATTGTCTTAGACCAGCGCAGCAGCCCAACGGGAATCGGGGGGATGAGAATGTTGCCGACTTCAGTAAACAAGATAAACCGGATGGAATATAGCTACTCTCCCTTCCCCTCCTAATCCACGTGCCTGAAAAGAACGCGCAGCTTACCGCAGCTGATCCTTGCTGAAATCAACTTGGATCGCCGTTCGCTTGCGCAGCCGAGGAACTAAGGCCGACCTACCCATGCCCAATCGAGCAAGGTCAGGGGGAAGTGTGGACAATGAGACTTCAGCATGACCGACACCCGAGATTTACCCGTTGACTACCTAGGGTCACCGAACAGGATAACATTTGCAGCATTCCAGTGTTTTGTTGGTGGTGCTGCACATTCTAACTCTTGTTTTACATGTGACCGGTCTCGACCGTCACTTAGATCTTAGTGTATCTCAGATAGGGCTTGACCTCGCGCACCTCCCCGAACTTCTTCTTCGCGTCCGGGGTAGACACCGAAGGCGGCACGATCACGTCCTGGCCAACCTGCCAGTCAATCGGGGTGGTAACGCCCTTCTTGTCGCCCGTCTGCAGCGAATCAATCACCCGCAGCACCTCAGCGGAGTTGCGGCCTGTCGAGGCCGGGTACATCATAGTAAGACGGATCTTCTTGTTCGGGTCGATGATGAACACAGACCGGATGGTGAACGCAATACCCTTTTGGTCAATATTGTCTAGGTCCTGCTGGTCGATCATGTCATAGAGGAAGGCGACCTTGCGGTCGGCGTCGGCAATGATGGGGAATTCGACGCTCGTGGACGACACTTCGTTGATGTCCTTGATCCACTCCTCGTGGGAACCGAGGTCATTGGCGCTCTAGGGAGAAGTGATGTGTGTCAGAGCAAATGGCACTAAAGAGGACGTAGAATCAATAACATACCAGGCCAATCATCTTGACACCACGCTTCTCGAACTCATTCTTCAACTTGGCAAACGCACCAAGCTCCGTGGTGCAGACGGGCGTGAAGTCTGCCGGGTGGGAGAAGAGGATGGTCCAGCTGTTGCCGATGAACTCGTGGAAGTCGATCTGGCCCGTGGTGGTCAAAGCCGTGAAGTTGGGAGCTGCTCAAATGGTTAGCGATATTATCCCATGCAAGCAATTGTCACCATACCAGTCGATCCCAGACGCAGACGCGGCTGTTCCTGGGCAGGTGCCGCAAAGAAGCGGCGGAAGGCAGGGTTGGGGGCGGGGCAGTTGGGCCGTGAGTCTCGCCCAGGGAGCTTGCTTGGGAGCAGCTCTGAATGCACGGAAGGCCATCTGGGGTATAATAATGGGAGCCATTGGTTATTCTTGATAAGCGTGGTCAATCGTAAGTTTACCTAGCGAGTTATTGCCGGATGCAAGAACATTAGTAAACACTTCACGTGATGTTACGTCATTAGATATGAGGTACATCAATATGTAGGTAACTAGATACGATATATGTAAACAAAGCATGGAGCTACTACGTTGGTGGTATTATACCTTTCCTCTTGATCATTTCCACACACATGGTGGACTAACATGGAAACGCAGATACGCTAGCTCGTCTCCGAATTTCTCTATCACCTTTGAAGCTCTGGAGCCAGGAGTGCAAAGTTCGGGATAAACAGAATACAAACAGGACACGAGAGCAGAGACTTCTACCGCCTTAATTATCGTGTCTTTCTCCCGCGTATTTAAACCCTCTCCACCGTCCCTGGAGCCCATACTTTGATCGAAAGGTCAGCAGTAGCTAGCTTACTAGGGCAATGTGACCTTCAGCAACCTTTTCACGACCTAAGTAGGAAGGCCTACTTTCATTCCAAAGGCTATTATTCTGGGGCTTGACCATCTATCACTATTAGGAGCACGGCATTAATCTATACTGATAGCCCAGTCCAGGCTAAGTACTTCTATGAGCATTATAGAAAATCACTGAACGAATTCCTTGTATAGCTGCTAATTTTAGAGAAAAATAAGATGAAAAGTATATAAAGTCCCTAAAGTCAGCCATAACACCTTGCAATTAAACCGGTTTCAAGCGTCTGCAGGTCTAATTGTAGCAAGGCACACCAGAATTAGACGTAACCAGCACACAAGGAACAGAGGGTTCGCAGTCGTTGCATCCGTTGAGAGTAATGTGACAGGAGTTAGACAAATATGTGCTTCCACACTCCTTCACGTTATCATTCTGGATCATATTCTCGACCCTAGTAGGCAATGTCAGTCATAGTTCACCAACCTTGCGAAATGTCACTTACGCATCCTTGATCTGACGTCCAGTCATGCCCGGACCATAGTCATCGCACTCGAACATGGCGGCACATCCGTCGTCCGCGAATGGGGAGAAGAGCCAATTTAGGGGGTCAGAATCACCGGCACTGAGGGTATACGAGGTATACTGGGTGTATGTGTAGTCGTCATCATACGCTTGATAGGCTGCCATGCATGCGCCTCCCAGAGAAGAACAGAGACTGGAGCCCTTATTGTTGCCCGATGTCTCGGATGGGGTGGGCGGAGCACTGCTTGTTGGGGAAGAAGGTGGAGCTACAGCCTGGGTGGTGGTGGTAGTCGTTGTCGTAGTCGTTGTCGTGGTCGTTGTGGAAGCCACTGGAGAAGCCGGTTTCGATGTCGTAGGCGCAGGAGGTTGTGATGAAGAGGGCGGTCCGCTTGTTGGTCCAATGTCCCAGCCCCAGCATGTCACTGGCATTGAAGACGAAGGTGTAGTTTTGCTTGTTGAGGTGACCGTTGCCGAAGTGGGAGTGAATGAACTAGTCGTGGTTGAACTAGTAGTTGTTGAGCTGGAATCAGACGACTCGCTAAGTGTCTGACTCGGCGATTCGGATGAATAGGTCGGGTCTCCATCAGTGCCAATCGTAATCGAGGGCAGCGGAGAAGGAAACCCAACAGGAGCAGGCATGGGTGGGTACACGCCCGCTGCAGCCAGACCAAAGAGAATGAAACCATCGTCTGGATTGGGACAAAACTATATAAGGCATTAGTGTAGGGCGCGTTACCTCGTTAAACAAAAAACTCACGAAGCAGTCCGGACCACCAACGATAGGAAGGACAGTTGGATTCCCGTTTGTTCCAGTAATAGTTGTGTGTGAGTTTTCAGGGTCATTGCTCAAAGTCGACACCGAAGTAACCGACGCCGAGGAAAAGGTCGGAAGAGCTCCGGGAGCGCCTCCTGATGCCGATGTAATTGTAGCCCCTGGGCTAGAGCCTGGCCCTGGAGGACTACTTCCGCTACTCGTTTGTCCGGGTGCACCTGGTCCTCCTCCATTTGGAGTAGAACCGGGAGGCATCCCTCCAGGTGTAGATCTGGATGTAGGCGGAGGGGCCGGGTGTGATGACGGAGGTGGTACAACTGGACGTGAAGAGTCTGATGTTGTGGTGGTTGTGGAGATAGTAGAAGATGAAGACGAAAGTGAAACCTTTTGCTTGATCACAGACCCAGATGCAAGCTGAGCCAGCAGCACTTTGAACAGCAGCGCGGTGGTATGCATGATGGACTGGCAACAGTGTGTGGATGGGGCTAATGGAAAGAGAAAAGCACTCTGCACAGTGCAAAGTCAAGATAAATAACACAAAAAATATGCGACATGGGCTCAATTGCTCAATTTTCGGATACGAAAGACTAAATAAGATCGGGTATAGTAGTGTCAGAACTGGAGTTTGTTTCAAAAGTATGGGTTCGGCCGATCAGACGATATGCCGAATCGGGCAATCCAAAGACACTGCCTCTTCTAGTTATCCCACGAGTCAGGCTCTCCAGAGTTGCTGGTCTTCCCGATTTAGACAATAATCCGAGCAGATCTAGATGGAGGCAAATTGCTGCCGCCTCTGGTTACGGATCTTCATACTTTATTCGGCCCCCACGATTAGCGGTGCACCGCCGCTTGCAACCTTGTTCTGATCGCCAGTTAGACCAATTTCCTGATAGGGCATTTTTCTCGGCTTTTAGTGTCAGGGACGAGATGGCGGAGTCTGCAGGAACATTGTACTGTTTCTGCTCTGTCGTCTTCATTGGTTATGCTCCGCCGAGCTGACTTGATCGGCGGGTATTGACTTTCAGGGTGCCTGTAGTCCGTGAGCCGTAGAACAATGGTCTTTCTCTCTGTGGATGGAGTTGAAATGCACGGAGTATAATAATCCTGCGGCTCTCGCCGCAGTCAAGGATCCCCGAGATACGAGCACTAAGTACCTCCATTTTCGTTCCCTCTTTATATCAGTCTTTCTCTCTCGAAGAGTTGGACTACCAACAACCCATCGCAATGGTCCTAATCAACTTGGCAACCGTGGTCAGCCTCTTAGCACCGCTCTCCTTTGCAGCAAAATCATGCCCTACCCGACCAGCAGACGGGGACCGGGTATGTTAAAAGCTCGCAACACAAGTTACATAACTACAATTCCCACTAACGCAGCAAACCTCAGTTAACTTGCACCGTTGACGGCAAATTGGTGTATTTTTCGAATTCCGCCGCTGCACAACTAGCCAAGATAGCGCCCTCGGGAGAAGGTCTGAAGACAGCAACGAACTATCCACATGAATTCCAGAACTTCGGCGGCGAAATCACATGGGATAACCAGGCTTGCAACTCTGATAGTGTCAGGACACTCGAGTTTCCCATTGCGCCGGATGGGTCGATGTATCCGTGGAATGTGAAGCCAAAGTCAGACCCTGGGGATTGCCGGGTGGTTTATTCCATGACTGATGGACATTACTGTGGTGTTATGTGTCATAGGACTGGGGGAAAGGGATTCAATAAGTGCACCTTGTCATGATTGTCTATATGGTGTTTTTGTAACTATTTATCTTTGAGCAAAGCTATAAATTTACCATACTCAAGTAACGTTATTGAATACCCTATCACTATTATCTGACTGAACCTTCTAAAATCCTAATCTTCTCACTTAGCAAACTCAACAATGTTTTCCTACTCGATCAGGATGCTTGCTACTATAACTAAAACAGGCCGTAGTGTAGTACTGCAGAAGAGCAAGGATAATCAAGGAATCATGTTTATCAGCCTCGTATACGCATAACCCCTTCGCCACCAGATGAAATGCACCATGTTTCCACTTTCGCACTAGATTGCCATGATCCAGGAACCATAGCCTCCACCGATGTCAGCCACCGCCCACTTGAGCAACCCACCAGCCGATCGCGATGATCTCGCCCCCACGTACCTCTTCTTCAACAACTTACCTCGTCTGCAACCCAGTTCAAACACAACCCTGTCCCAAGATTTCCCGAATATCATTTCATTTCCTAAATCAGGATGATGGCAACACCAACAACAGAAGAGAATCCCCTAAACCTACACCTAGAAGCCAATCCCGGCTACTGGTACGTTGAGCACGAGATCTTCAACGTGCTCTCGACCTATCTGCCCGCGACATCAACATGGACGGCCCCCGCCGCCGCCGAGAAGCTAAACAGTTTTTACCCGACCATCCGACAAGACGATGATCCCAAAGAACCGCCGCTGAGCTTCCTCAGTGAATTCTGGGAGATCATGTTTCGCGTTGGGATCCAGGTTGACTGCCACACGGAGCCGATGAAGCGGTTTATCGCGCTCATTAAAGCACTGCGCGAGATTAATGTTGATGAAGAGAATGGGGCGTGGAGGCAGCTGCCGCAGATGAGTCTTTTTCTGACGGAGATATATCATCGTAAGTTTGTCTGACTGACTCTGAATGAATCCAAGGAGCTGATGTTTGGAACAGAGTGCACCTTGAGATATGTCCAAGGTGACGAAGGCTCTCGGCGCTGGCGGAATCTAAACGGACTAAATGCCTACTTGATCCAAGAGGAGTTGCTTTACGATGGGATTATATATGCTTCTACTGCTAACAGGCAAGCATTGGGGACAGAGGATGATCTGATGACGAAGAAGCAAAAGCAAAAGAATAAGGCTACGAATATCCTCGCGCTAGTGCCTGCTGCAGCGACTTACTTCATCATCTGTCCCTCCAAAATCCGTCATGCCAGCGTGGCAGAAACGGAAGGCTTCTCTGTCGCGCGATGGAATCGTTGGAAAATTCGATTTGGGGTGTTGGCAGCTCATCCTGAGGCTGACGATGAGGTCAGGAGGGCATGCCAGGATGCCGTTTTGGAGATGGAGAGATGCGAGCATTAAATATAAATCCCTTTTAGTGGAAATAGAATGAGGTAGATGAACCTTAGAACTTATGTGATATTTGATGCTATGACAGCTTATCGTATAGTATACAACCGAAATAAAAGGGAAAGACAATACTCCACCCTCATGCCTTATCCACCAAGTTTGCAAACACATACCGGAAGATCTCCCGACTCTTATACAAGTTCTCAACGCGCATGCGCTCATTATCCAAATGGGCATTATCGCTAGCCTGACCGCAGGGCAGATTCGCAGCGGGAGCCGAGAACTCCTTTTCCAGGAACCGGATAGTCGGGATTGAACCGCCCTCACGAATGAACATTGGTTTCACGACATGTCGTGTAGTCGACTGAGCTGAAGATGAAGAGGGGGCAAGGTCGGTCTTTGCGGAAGATTGGGGGTCGGATTTCGCTCGCATGGGCAAGGGGGTGGTGGATTCGTCGGACCCTCCGCCTCCATTTGATGCTGCCTGAGTGAGTGTTGATGATGTTGGGACTGTCGCTGTTGGATGGACGGAGCCTTTGCGGGCAGCATCTTTGTTGGAGGAAGAGGTGGTCGTTGAAGTGATGACGCGGTCGATGTGCGAGGCTAGACTGTCAGACGAGTCGCTGCGGAGAAGTCCTACGGCGGACTTGGGTTTGGCTGTGGACTGTTCGTTGGAGGTGGACGGGGTCACTGGGGGATACTGGTATTTGGAGCTTTGCTCGTCTTGTGTCCATGCTTCTGTGATGGCTTCGGATAGTGTGGCGAAGATTTCGTTGTCCGGATCTCCAAGCCATGCATCGGATTTGCCGGTGATCTCCACGGTCAAATCATTCTGGGACTCCAGGAGCGCAAACTGTTCCTGTGCGTAGGCTGTCAGGTTTGCGGCGACCTCATCGGCCTGCTGGTCAGGGACAATTCGAATAGAAAGGCTCGCTTTGGCGCGGTGTGCAATGGTCGTGGTCGCGTTCTTGTTGCCGGGGACCTCGACCGAGTGCACAGTCAGCGACGGCTCACGCCATCGGTACATGAGCGATTTGATTAATGCCTGGCTATCTGGAATTTCCGGGTGCCGTGGCAGCAGAACGTCGGCAATGGCCTTGAAGCGTTTCTGCTCAGCGCTTGAAAGAGGGCGAACAGAGTCACGGAAACCAGGCAAGTTGACTTGGCCCTTGCGTCCAACCAATGTGGACAGGAGTATGGAGATGTCTTTCATCGGTTCATCCAGCAAAGCACTGCCGTCGATACCGCTGTGGAGGTCGGGGTGATCACTAGTAACCACCAGATTGGCATGTACTACGCCGCGTAACCCGTATGTTAAACACGGGTTATAGTCATCCAGCCAGTAGCTGTTTGCCAAGAGGATCCAATCCACCGGCCCGATCTGAGATTTGTGTTCTCGGACAGTCTCGTGGAAGCCCTGAGATCCTGATTCCTCTTCTCCTTCAATCAAGAATACAACGTTGCAGCGGAGAGATTTAGTTCGAGCTAGATCTGCTGCTGCGTATAAGGCTGCCAAAATGGGGCCCTTGTTGTCGGACACTCCTCGCCCGTAGAGGAAGCCATTGATTGAAGCAAGCTGGTATGGATCTGTCTTCCATTTCGGGCGATTCGCATCAGCACCCACGACGTCGTAGTGCCCATAAAAGAGGACTGTTTTGTCCACTTTTTGTGTCGAGGTAGCATTGAATCGAGCGTAGACAATAGGGTTGGTATTCGGACCCGTAGTGAGGAGCTTCGTGTGAGCGCCTAGGTAATTGCAGTGGCGACGGAGGAAAGCGGCGCCCTGGTTGCATTCCCCAGTAAACTTCGGGCTGGCAGAGACCGTCTTGAACGAAACAAACTTGGCGAGGCTGTTGACCAATTCATCTAGAGAGTGTGTCAGAAAACCTTCATAAACCTTGTAACGAACATACCATTGCTGATAGGGCGAAGTTCTTCCTGGGTTAAGAAGAACTCGGTCAAGTCCCAGATCCCTACTGTGTTGTCATTTCCACCGGTGGCATATATCCGTCGATCTTTGACCCGGCCGGCTGCGGAGGCGAGCATAGTACCATCATGAGCGACCCAGCCACCAATTTCCTCAAACCGCGAATTGAATTTCTAAATCGGTTAGCGAGGAAGCAAATCGAATGTAAAAAGCAATTTACCTTCACTGTTCCACTCGAGTCACCACAAATAGCCACCCCCTGGATGATATCAACTGCCCACAAATCGCCAGTATGCCTGGTGATCCGTTTCACCAGCTGATTGGAGTCGAGGTTCCAAATATTGAGAGCGCCTCCCACAAGTCCGCAGTAAAGCAGTGGTCCCTCCACAGCAATGGATAATACCGAGTCTCCATTCTGAAATTTCGCTACTTGAGTAGGCGCCACGCCGGGCTCACGACCCAAACGCCATAGCTTAACCACGCCATCACCAGCACCAGTCAACAGTGCTTCTTCAGATGGAGCAGATTCGATGAGACCCTTGACAAGGAGCATGGAGTAGACGTAGCCATGATGCGAGAATAGTTGGTGATGGTCACGCTTGAATGTTAATACGCGACCACCGTGAGAGACGGAATGTGTGCCATCTGATGAACGAGGAGGCCGAGTGCCATCGGGTCCTCGCGAGTCGAAGAAGCGGTGCGTCCGCTTTGCCGGATGGGCAGATGGCGCTTGGTTGACGGTCGAGCTTGCTTCAGAAAGATCGCACCACTGCAAAAAGTAAGCGGATTGCGACAAAAGATTGATTGGGATCGGCTTACCTGGATGCTGGTGTTTTGTGCACCGCAGTACATGGTTTGGTTGGTCATTGAGTAGACTACGGTAGAGATATCACCGACATCGTGATGCGAATGGATCGAGTAGAGCCGTTCAAATGTTTTGGTTGACCACACCTGCCACGCGAATTAGGTGTGCCCTGTTTTTTGTATTGGTTTGGGAGACTTACATTCACAACGGAATCCCCTCCACTGGAGAATAGTAGACTACCGTCCTCGGAGAGGTAGAGACCGAGCACGCTCTCTTTGTGAGCATGTACCGAGAGCACCAGTTCAAATGTCTCAAGGGACCACGCCTGGAAAAGTGGTCAGGAGATTCATGAAAACAAATACACGACGATAAATAACCCAGAAGTGAAGAGATAACTATTGACTTACAACAATGTCGCCGCCTTGAAGACCAGCGAATACACACTCCTCGTCCAAGACCAGAGCCAAGACCGATCGACTAGCCACCACGCGATGTCCGATGCCGCAGTCGCTGTGCGGATGGGCGCTACTGACATCATCGGCGAGCTTAGGGGCGACCAAATGATCTGACTGCCATGTCCTGGACTGCTCTTCGACATCGGAGGCGCTCTCTGCTTCCACTGTGAAGTCCATGGTGGGTACACGTATCAGCCAGTGTTTTTTTTTCTTTTTGGTGAAGCAACACGAAGCTCCACCGGCTAAGTGAGACTAGACTCGAATTGAGCAGCGCCCGATCATCCGGCGTACCCCCGGGAATATCAGATCCGCCCAGCCCTGACAGTCGTGCTGGAAGCTGGAGGCTTGGTGGATGGAGACGGGGAAATTATGAATCATGCGGCGAAAGAAAGGGAGAGGGCGGTCTGTCTCTCTCGCGATGGCACCATCAACAAAACTTAAGACTCACCATCCCTAGCATCCTTTTTGTTGTTCCAGCAGCAGGCAGCCCTGGAATTCGCAGTCAGTCACAATACCATCAGTATTTTTTGTTTCATTCTCGGTCGGTCGGTGCGAGGACGCCCAAGAATGGCCAACAATAGGCGGTATACACACCTGGGTTCCCACAGCAGGCGAGCTAGAGGAGGTCTCGAGTGACCGTTCGCAATGACTGCCATGTTTTGCTGGATACAATAATGGGCTCGGGCGGGGAGGTTTCTTGCAGAGCCTTGATGTCGCAGCAGAGGTTGGCAGGTCACCGCTGAAGATCAACGCCCGCACACTGGAAGAATAAGGCTACCACTAACTATGACCCATGCTTCACACTCGGCCCCTGATCTACGCCATTAGGTACTGGACTAATTAGACATTCCCACATCTGCAGGCGCCCATGGACTTTAGGACAGGAGGCGGCCTTTCGCTCGGTCGCGCGGTGATGATGGCGCCACCGGGCCGGACAATGAGCCACTGGCTGGTACTCCTGGCCCGTCCGAGCTGCACTGAGCCCATCGAGGGCTGTCGAGTGTCTTTCAATCCATGCCAACAAGTACTCTACTCTGGATGGCATCGGCACCGCCACATATCGCTCAGCCACCGTGGCGTTGACGGGCCAATCAGCCCCGTGTCGACACCGCCTTGTTGATGTGATTCCTCTCTCACACTTGACCAACTAACGAGCATGCGTGTCGGCCTGCCACTGGTACCCAAACCAACCATCCAGCCCTGCTGCGGCACGGTTTTGCTTCCTGTTCGCTGCTCTGCCCAACGCTCGTGCCTAGAACCTATTATTATCCTTGCGATCGGACTATTTCCGCTGATCTTTAATCGAACACATCGTCGTCGTTAGTAATTGAGGCTTTTTCATTTTTTTTCCTTCTCCATACATTCTACTCCCGGGTTTTTGAATTTCTGCGCTGCGCTCTACCCGGTGGACACACGCATCATCAACGGGACGACTGCAACGGGCGCTTTACACCGCTTCTTATATCGTTGATCACCCTCGGCAGATGACGCAGTAGCCGGATATTTGGTGGTGACTCTTCATCGACCATGCCGCCGTTCGGTCAGACTATCGCTGTGATTGACAAGTCCGGCAAGGTTGTCAGCACGGTAAGCCTCCTGGTAACTGAGAAGCCCGAACTGTATATTGACAACAAAGCTAGAGTAAACAACTCTTCGGCGTCTTTAATCAAGCCAAGTCAGCCTACCGCGAGCGCAAGTCACAGTATGACTCGGAGCGCAGTGCAAAAGCCGCTGAGCAACAAGCTCTTCAAGGTCTAGCTGCCTACCAAATCGATGGCTCGCCGGCAGCAGGCAACCGGCCATCTCACGGCAGCAAATCAAAACAACATTCAACCCGTCATCACCATCGCCGCCGCACATCTTCACACTATGAGCAGTCGGTCACGTCTCGCGGAGACACATACTACGCTCCGCCGCAGGAGATTGCTCGACGTCATACGCATCATGATATCACGATCTACTCACCTGAAAACCAGATACAGGCACGTCCCACGACGGCGCGGTCCAAGTCGGACGCCCACATCGATATGGACCTTGCATACGGCGAAGCTCACCCGGACGCACTGTCCCGATACAGCCCGGAGGAGCAGAAGCTCAAAGAGAAAAAGCAGCTAGATGGACTCGTCCATCGGGCGCAGTGGCTTCTCGAAGAGGCACACTGCGTACAACACAGTGCCTCCGCTACGATAACCCATTTGCAAAAGCATCCAGATGCCATGGCCGCGGTGGCACTGACCCTGGCGGAGATTAGTAACCTCGCATCAAAGATGGCGCCAGCCGCACTATCCGCTCTCCGAAATGCTGCGCCGACTGTCTTTGCACTTCTTTCCAGTCCACAGTTTCTCATTGCGGCTGGCGTCGGTCTTGGCGTGACGGTTGTCATGTTTGGGGGATACAAAATTATCAAAAAGATCTCGTCCGGAAAGGACGACGCAGAGAACAAGTCTGCGGGGGTGGATGAGATGATGGAACTGCAGAATATGGACACCTTCGGTCGCTTGGAGAACTGGCGGCGCGGCGTCGCTGATATGGAAGCCGTTAGTTTCGGGACATCGGTCGATGGCGAGTTCATAACCCCCACAGCGGCGGCGATGTCGGGGATGGATGTGAGGACAGCGGATATTTCTCGAGACTGGCGATCCATGTGTCAGGAAGATGCATCCGTCTCCTCATCTCGGCGTTCGAGACGCTCCTCTCGAGATACGCATACACATACGCATACGAATAAAGAAAAGCGCGTGGAAGTTCCCCCTAGAGGATCCTCGCGGCTCTTCCGCAGACAGTCGACCAAGGCTTCCGCCCCCACTTCCAGCAGAGCTTCCAGCACGAGAACGTCAAGTAAAGCGGGCTCAACAAAGGCTGGAACTGGAACTGGAGGCCAGTCTTCAGAACAAGACAAACGGCCCAAGGAAAAGAAGAAGAAGAAGGGCCCTAGTCGGTTACGACTTATGTTTACGCCTTGACGAAACAGCAGCCGTACGTTTTTATTTTCTATTTTGGCTGTAGCGGGAATTGGCATTGGATGTAATAGTGCCCATGCGTTAATAACTCGCCTTTAAGATGCATGGTAGTCGTGGTACCCCCATCCGATATACAAAGCTGGTTCTCCTTCGCAGCTCCTCTTAGAATCCAGCAAGCCATGTGAGCCCGTCCGAGTTCGGCCTTGCATGAAAGCCGTTCTGAGCTCCAGTTGTATTGCACGTCCGCAAAGTTGACCGAGTGGGCCCCGAGGTACTCTGGGATTGCATACATATATATGGGAAGAGGGTGAAAGGTGAAGACAAAAGACGGGCAAGAAAGGAAGAAGAAGATTTTATATAGGCAGGCGCGACGACACTAGCCTCAGGCAGCTACAAACGTTATCAAACACACAGGAGAGCAAACACCCTATGGTTCTTCAGAATAGAGAAGTACAAGTGGCAAAAAGCATCAAATGTCTAAATGGTCTAATACAAAGTCATCTTACAGGACATGACACGTCCTCAGTGCGAATGGTGGTGATCCGAAAAGACCCCATGTTCAGCACACGCTTTCCGACCCTCCTCCAAGATCCTCGCCTGCTTCGCAATCTCGCCAAGTCGCCCGATAACTTCCTTGTTGCCATCGTAAAAGGTAAATACCGCGTACGGAATCTTCACCTCTTCACAGAATTCCTTGACGAACTCCTGTGTCTTGCGTAGATTGTGGCGAGGGATGCGGGGATACAAGTGATGAACCGCTTGGAATTGGAGTCCGCCATGGAAGAAGTCTAGCCACCTTGGGCAATCCACATCCATGGTTGTCCGGAGCATCTTCTGGGGGAAGGATTCAAGAGGACCGAGATCCGCAGTGGACATGGCATAGTGCGAGAGAGTAATCTGCACATGCAGTGGTGCAGTGACCATGTGGGAAATCAGCACGAAGGCAATCCGACTCCACCAGTTTGGTATACTCAGATAGACAACACCATAGCCGAACCAGGCCCAGAAGAACACTTGGCCAGCCAGCTCGAACCAACGGTGCCACCAGCCAGCACCATTTCTAGGGCCACGGCCGACGTAGATGTGCTCCCAGCTCAAGTAGTAGAGGTTGAAACGGCCGAAGAGGAGGATGGGATAGTACAAGTAGTGCTGGTACTTGACCGCACATTTCGCCACCGCATCATATGCCATGACCCGATCATAGTATGTGCTGCGCAGACTGGCAAAGAACCGGTGCGACAAAGCGAAAAAAGGCATCAGTTCAATGTCAGGATCGTGCTCTGGCGTATTGGTAACAATATGGTGGACATTATGGCTTCGCTTCCACCAACCTACACTCAGTCCGCCTAGGTAGTCCCCAATGATCATCCCAATCACAGAGTCAATCTGGTAATCGTGGGTGATACCCATGTGACCAGCATCATGAGCGGTGAAGACCAGTTGATGCCAGAAGCACCCGAGGAAGAAACCGGACAGACAGAACCAGGATCGTTTCAAGAAGAAGACAAAGAGACCAAAAAGAAGAGCGTATCGACATATTTCAATCCCATAGGCATAGTAGTTGCAGTTATAAAGTCCGGCCGCGCGAATCCGCTTGTCAAGCTGACGGTATTTCTGGGTGATGTTCTCCTGGTGCCCGGCATCGAGAGAAGGGTACTTCGACAAATCCAATAGGATTCCCTCCTTGGTCAGAGCGTCAATCACACAGGGTCCCGGCTTGCTTTCTTCGACTGGTAGAGGACTGGCGCTGACTGTGGAGGACATGGACGACACTGATAGCCTGCGCCTCAAGCCAAATGTGTCTTCTTTGCTTTCGAAGACTGAGGCTTCGTCACTTGATAGCTCTGAACTCGACAGATCCTCTTCGTTTGTTTCGTTTTCGCAGTATGGACGGAAAATGCCGCCTTGAATGGGAGGAAGAAAGCTGGTCCATCTCCCCTCGATGCGGCCGATTTGAAATTTGCTCATTTGTTGACGAGCCTCCTGCGAATGTAGTCTTTTGGGCTGAGTGTCAGTACATGATATTGAGCTGGAATGAAGAGGCATGGGATATTTACGCGTTCACTTCGTCCGTGGCATCTTTGCCCACCATGTGCTTAATGGCCATGTCGCCTCCGGGGTGGAATTTGACCCAAGCATCCAGTCTGAGGACTTTGTCGTCGACAATGACAATCAATTTGTCCTCGGCAATCATGCCTTCGATCTCACGTCTCGACAAAACATTGTCCCTGGCCCTGGTTGGGTTGGGCATCTTGCTCGTTTGCGAAAATTGTCAAGAGATGACAAAATTGTGATATGGCCTGAGATTTTCCGGTCATGTTTGGTGGGCAAAAGCAGAGGATATGGCGTTGAGAGATATATAAAAGGAAGTTCGCTAAACTGGGGCAAAGCGTCTACCAACGGAAGAAATCCATCTACAATCCTTCTACCTAAACTTCGCTCCACGGCGCAAAACATTCCTTTCCTTTTTGGCCCAGGGGTACGAAAAGGGGCAGTGCAAAAAGAAGCTTAAAGTTTACGGGACTTCTGTCTTCGGACCTGAAACATCTGATCGTTGGAAATACCCCTTGCCCCTTTACGTAGATAAAAACGTGGTGCTCCGTATAGTATATCTGGGACTCCACAGAGAACCCCCTCGAGGCAGTTTTCAACAAGGTCATTTGTCCGAAACTATGGTTTGTGGAGGATCCAAGCGGGTGTAGGATTCGACGCGCCAGCACTAGTTAACATGGTAGCTTCCTAATTTATCCACTTATAACAGTGGGGTGTAGACAGGGTGTAGAGACTGTCATGCCACATCGCCCGTATAGTGGACCCATTGTGGACTCTAGAAAGTCTCAGGCTGTTTTTGCGTGGGAGATAGCCGTTGGTACGGTACAGGAACCAATAAGAAAATAAAAACAATAACCAGGAAACCAAATGTTCCCCGTGGATCGATTGTGGAAGCGACAATATTGCCGACAACAATAAGAGGCGAGATCTGCTCTTAGTTAGACCCTTAGGTTGTCGCCGCTCGAGCCCCGCAGCCCGCTCTTGGGGCGTCAGTCGCCACGTACATCTAGCAACATCTTCCCCTATTGCTACTCACCTAATTCTAGTTACTATTAACCACTGAATTATTTCTGTTCAACGTTGGCTATCTGTTCACAGGGATAGCAAAATAGAATAAATGGCCGTTGGCAATTTTGAGCTAATGAAAGGGTGCCAATACTGTAGAACGGTATCGAAGGGCTGATAATGGGAATGGTCCCAAGCGGCGCTGTACGACCATGGGATTCGTAACGGTTTCGCCACAATTTCCACCTTTTTTTGACTGGGGCGATAATTTACTCAATTCACTTCCCCCAATGTCTGGGGAATTCAACTTCTTTTGGCATTTCATTCAAGGAAGCAATGGCTTTTAATCGACTCGTACTTGGGGAGATAATGGTGTTGGCCTCAGGCAGCCACAAATCGCCAATGCCACCAATTCATTCAAAAGAAACAAACATCCGGTTCATATTTTCTGAATAGCCAGGATGGTTTTCAATTAATACAGCAGGACAGGATGAATTAGCCACCATTCCTCTGCGCATCGCAATATAATATATCCCGGAGCATTGAGAGACAATTCAGTCACTCTTTCTCGCCCCTTTGATCGACAGGAGCCTTTGCATGGATTGCATCACCAGCGTCAAGTCTCGCGGCCTCTTCAATAAGGCACTCGTAAGACTGGAACTTGCGGGCCGGCACCTCAACTGCAAAAACTCGTCTAGCTCTTCCAGAGACCGACCCTTCATCTCTGGCATGAGAAAATAGAAAAATGTGACGCAGAGGAAATTAGATGCAACCCAGATATTCCCGCACTGAGCGCCCTGTACAATCACCCCGGTTAGTTATCGTTTTCTTTCTCCACGAGGCGCAGGAAGAAACATATCCAATCGAGATGCTCCGGACTGAGGAAGTACGAAAGTTGGTTAGCCATGCTAGCAGGTATCCCAATGACGCGGCTGTGCCCACCTTCCACGCACGCAACCTCGAGCTGACCAGCTCCGTTGGGACAGGGTAGCTAGCTGCGCTGATACAGCCATTATAATAACATGAATAGCGCCGTTAATGCCACCATCGTCTGACCGGTGGGTAGGGTGCTCGGACTCACGGTTGCTGCGATAGCACTTGCTAATTGGCAGAATTCGCATGCCATTGCCTCCAGCATCAGAATGGCACGCCAACCGCGCAGGTGGCAAATGACAATCATGCCGACATTGACACCCAGGAAGCCAAAGCAAGTGTTCATAATCGAGAACTCGAACGCTCGGAAGGTGCCACATACAGTAAAGAAGTACGTCTAATAACCGATCAGAAACCAGACGTCAGATGCAGTTTGGCAGGCACAATGCCGTAGGAGAATCCACATCCCAAACCGCCGCCCCCGGCAGAGCAGGCCACCTATTATTTCTCCATAGTTATACCTGCATGTCGAAAGCGGCCTTCAGCCCCTTCCTGTTTTGCATCAATGTCATGAATCCCACCGCCGAAGAAAGGCATGGAAAGAAAGAGCAAGGGAAACCGTTCCAGAGAGTTCGAATCTAGAAGGACATTCGTGCATTGTGCGTATTCCTGTTAAAGGTGGTCCTGTTGTTGATGATTGCAAAGGAAAGGAAAATGTCGGAAGAGGGAGTTTCGCAGGAGGCAGTGTCGGGAATCTATTGTCGCGCCTGCCTATGTCCTTTCTATTTGCCGGTAATCATATTCACCTCTGCTTTTGCCTTCCGCGAATATTGACCTTGCCTGCACACTGTACTCATATACACCCCTATGAAGAATTCGGTCCATCATTATTCGAATCATAGATCTTCAATACTATCCCCTTCTCCCCACAAACCCCGCAAAATAAGGGGATCTGGGGCTCACTTGCCCCACAGATTCAAGGAAATAGGGATGAGACTGTCGTGGATGGCCTGAGAAGACGAGCATGGCCTACTTTGCCCGAAGTTATACCTTATTGAGCAGAGCAATGCTCTCATAGATATATTCCCTCACAATATTGTTCTTTATCCAGTTCCGTTGCCGTCAGATTCGTAGCGCGCATGTGGGGCTCGACAAGAAAGGATGGCATTGTATATTTCCGATTCTGCTCCTCACTCAATAGCTATTGAGTGATAAAAAGCCCCGCACATCCCAAGCGCTTGGGGTTCGGAACTTTGGAGCCGAGGTGGGGGTGGATGTCTGCACTTGATGAGAAATGGGAGGAATGCATTTTAGGCTATCCGATTTCTCGCAAGGAAATGTAAATAGAACTACGCTGCCACCTAAGTCAGAGCCCTGGGTGTCAGATTCATGGAAAGGACCTATCGCTTTCACTGAACTCACCAAACAGTTACATTAGGGGTTGAAGATGATTGTAGAAAAGCTCGAGGAGCTATTGGCTCTGGTACAAGCACAGCGGGTGTTGAACCACCCAGCACTGCAGTGTCTCGATCTCAGAATGGTGGGTTTGACACTTGGCATTATTGCAAGTATCATGCTTGTCGCCGACTATGGACACATGATTTATCTACATTTCAAGATGGTAAGTCTCACTCTGACCTTCAATATATAAGAGAACGCTCTAGACCAACAAAAATGATAGCCTCCTGGCCCATTACCTCTCCCCATACTCGGGAACACCCATCTCCTCCCCGACACAAAACCATGGATATACTTTGAAGACCTAGCACGCTCCTACAACACTCCAATAATAACCTTCTGGATCGGCCGCCGCCCAACAGTCTGGATCTGTGACGCCTGGGCCGCATCTGAACTCCTAGACAAACGCGCCGCAATCTACGCCTCTCGGCCCCGAATGGTGGTCTTCAGCGAGCTCGGCGCAGGCCAGTCGAATCTAGTCAACATGTACTACGGTGACCGATGGCGGCTACATCGGAAACTGACGCATATGGGAGTTGGACTGCAGCAGGTGCGGAATTATCGCGGGTTCCAAAATGACGAGAGCAAGGTAGTTGCGTTTGATCTTTTGCGCGAGCCGGAGGAGTACGTGAAGCACTTTGAGCGCTATGCTACTAGTGTCGTCTCGATTATTGGGTTTGGGAGACGAGTTGCTACCTTTACGGATCCGATTATCACCGAGGTCATTGCTTTGATGCAGCGTGCCGCTGAGTTGAATGTGCCTGGGAAGACATTTCCTATGTTGATAGAATCGTTTCCCTGTGAGTACTACTTGATATGCTGGAAAGAAACCTCTCGGATGCAGTGTGCTAACACTCTCCAGTCCTGGCAAAGTTCCCAACTTGGATGGCACCTTGGAAGCACGGTCTTGGACGTGGCCAAGGCCGCGGCAGGCCATTTTTCTACGCTTTGGCCGAAGAAGCTGCTAACAACCCCGATGCACGGCAATGCTACGCGAAGCGTATATTTGACGAATCACCCAAACACAACCTCTCAAAATTAGAAATCTCCTCCCTGTCAGGGAATCTATTCGGAGCAGGTAGTGACACCTCCAGTTCGACGCTTGTTACGTTCGTGCTAGCCTGCTGTGCGTTCCCAGAAGCACTCCCCAAAGCGTGGGAAGAGCTGGACCGCGTGGTGGGACCACATCGCAGCCCAACATTCGACGACGAACCGAATCTACCGTACGTCAAAGCTTTCGTGAAAGAAGTGCTGCGGTGGAGATCTGTTGCGATTATCGGAGGGCAGCCGCATGCGCCGATCAGGGACGATCACTACAAGGTATGGATATACGTAGATCCTCTTTCTGAAAGCCATACTGATGAGATGGCTATAGGATTGGCTGATTCCCAAGAACACTTGGGTCCAGGGTAACGTGTGGGCGATCCACCATCACGAACGGGAGTTCCCTGATCCGGATCGTTTCAATCCAGATCGGTACATCAAGGGAAGTTCAGATAGTCGTCCCTTTCCCGGAGAGAAAGGGTACATGACCTTTGGCTGGGGCAGGAGAGTATGTAGCGGTCAAGGACTGGCGGAGCAGGGCACGTTCATCACTGTTGCACGCCTACTTTGGGGATTCAAGATCGACAAAGCTGTAGATGAGCGAGGCAGAGAGATCCCGGTGGATATATTTGACTATACGTGAGTCTCTGGTCAGTGAGCTTTGGCGGTTCGGTTAAGCTAACAGAAGAACTCTGCTGTGCAGGAATGGTCTCAACATGCGGCCCAGTCCTTTCCAATGCCGGATCACGCCTCGCAGCCCCGAAATCCGAGCGACAATCGAAAAGGAGGGCCAGAAGGCGCTCGAGAATTTATCTCCATACGAAGGCGAGACTCAATATCGCATGAGCACCTATTACGCCGCCAGCAAACTTTAATCAGTTTGAACAAATTTCGGCAAAATGCATTGCGCCGGTGTGATCGTCTCGAGGAGTACAGATAAGGTCCGTTCACTGCACATGTGGGTTAGTTGTGATTGATAGTCCCGGCAAAGAATACTCCAAATGAGCCGACAATCGGAGCGGATATATGAAGCCGCCTGGTGGAGCTTAGAGGATTGTTGACTGGATCTGGACATGGTTTTGAAGGTGAGAATTGGGCAGTCGCACAGGGCGCGAGCATCAGAGAAGCAGAGTATCCCTGCGATAATCTAGAGGCTGAGAAATCTACTATTGCGGCCGCGTCCGGTCTTCTCGCAGTTCAAAGACATACATAGTAAGACGTGTGAGCGTCCCCAGGTTAAACCAATGTTGGAGGTCCGTCCCACAACTAGGAAAGTGTTCAGGTGACAGCTCGACAAAGCTTGGCCATTATCCAATTTTGCGGTGTCCCCGGGGCGGAGGCGAGCTCCGGTCTGGGCGATATCTTTATACGACACCTCACAGCCATCGGCAGAGAGTTAATTCGCGATTTGCCGTAACCCCCAGGATAAGCGGACTAGCTCATGACTTTAGACAGGATGATAGTCGTCGGGGAGGTAGGGTTGATGATTACTGCTTCTGGTGAGGGCTCGGCAGATGATGTCCGCGTGAAGAGCCGATGGAACCGCCCGATCGCCAACTATTTTGGGCTCCGGGAACACGCCACATTGAGTTGAGCATCGAGAGAGTCAATTGTCTGTCGGAGTTGTGGTCGTAGACATTGTAATAGAGATTGTGACAATAGGAAAACATTGATCAGCGCGAATATTGCTCGGATGCTGTGTAGTTTACATAGTTTATGGTGCGCTATTCTACACTATTCCCCGCAGCCACCGAGGCCGATCAGTTGAAACACATGACGAAGATGCACAGACTCGATATCGGATCCTGTGGAGCAGGGGCTGAGAAAGGAGTTACCTACTGTCGTTGATGTGTCTTAAGCACAAAAGGAAAGCCGTTCATTATTCTTGCATTCCCCGTTTCTTGTTAGTGGACGGGTGGGCCGGCAAACCCATCGGACGGCAGACGCTGAGCAAATTTTCTTGAAATAGAGTCCATTCCCAGGGCCAGAACCGGTCTTGATCGACCTATCCCCAGAATTTCCGATTTCTTCATCTCTTCTCTGCCGCATATAGAATTCTTCCCTCAGTGATTGAATTGAGGACCAGCATGGCGGCGCCACGGGCAAAATTGCCGCTTGATGTCATTGTAGTCGGGTATGTCTTTCTTGCAGTTTATTTGAACCTGTGCTGATGTTAGATAGTGCTGGTATGCTTTTTCTTTTCGCAAAGCATTATGAAAACATGATTTCGTCTAACATGCACAGGCATCGGTGGTATGGCTGCGGCCCTGACGCTGGGGTTGCGAGGGCATCGTGTGGTAGTCTTGGAAGCGGCGCCAAAGGTACGAGTACCGCATTAGTCGTGGTGAATCTTGCTAACAGATTGAATAGCTCATGGAAGTGGGAGCCGGGATTCAAGTCTCGCCAAATATGCTTCGCCTTTTTGACCGTAAGAATGCATGCAGCCCATCTCCTGTCGGATTCTTGCTCACCAAAACTTCCAGGATGGGGCGTCTCGGACTTGATCCACGCCCAAGACGTGGCACTGGAGCACATTCACGTACGTCGATGGCAAGACGGTAGCCTTCTAGGCACAGTGCCAGTGAACAAGACCTTCGGGCAACAAGTGGTCGTGCACCGCGCAGACCTGCACAACGCCCTGATCGCCAAAGCGTTAGAACTCGATAACGTGACGCTGCGCGAGAACTCCATTGTCACCGATGTACAATTTAGTCCTGCCTCCGTGACACTATCGAGCGGGACAATCATTCGCGGCGACGTGGTCATCGGTGCAGACGGGATCAAGTCCACCGTCCGCGAGCACCTGCTCCAGGACTCATCGATCAAAGCAATCCCCACCGGCGATGCAGCGTATCGGATTATCCTACCGCGCAGCATTATGGAAAAGGATCCAGAGCTGAAGACTCTCATTGACGAACCGCAGGCGACGAGGTGGGTCGGGCCTGGACGGCATATTATCGCGTACCCGGTTCGCAAGCATGAGCTGTACAACGTTGTGCTGCTTCATCCGGATAGACAGGGAGTTGAAGAGTCATGGACGACTAAGGGGTCGAAGCAGGCGATGGTTGATAATTATGAAGGATGGGATTCCAAGGTAAGGAAGCTCATTGATCTGGTGCATGACGATGAGGTGCTTGAGTGGAAATTGTGCCTGCATCGTCCGCTGAGGACATGGATCCGGGGAGCTGTGGCTTTGCTTGGTGATGCATGCCATCCGATGCTGTATGTGTTCTTTGCTCTGGGGACTATTTGTACCTCCACTAATTCATTCGTGCAGACCATATGTCGCACAGGGCGCCGCGCAGGCAGTCGAAGATGCCGCCGCGCTCGGCGTTGTATTGTCGTCTATCACATCTCACAAAGACATTCCACGGGCATTGCAAGTATATGAGAAGTCACGGAAGCAGCGCGCAGAGACTGTGCAGCAATCTGGCTCCGAGAATCGGATCACATTACATTTGCCCGATGGCCCGGAACAGCGGGCGCGCGATGAGCAGTTCCGCGCGTCTGCCAGTGGGACAAACCCGGATAAGTGGTCAGATCGGGAGACACAGGAATTTTTATGGGGTTGGGATGCCGAGAAAGCGGCTTTGGACGCCTGGAAGGGTGAGTCTCTTTCCTATTTGGTGTGCTGTTTGTTGAGTGCTAATTTGAACTGGCTAGAAATGCAAGAGGGCGTCAAGGTCAACGCCAATTTGTGATAGGCCGACCAATCACCCGGATGAAGAGACATCCCGGCTGATAGTGATGGACATATTTACTTGGAGCAAACATGTGTTGGATTCTACGAGGCTCGCAACATAAATTCCCGCAGCATTGCTATTTTTCTATCCCATTATACATCAAAACATGTAAATACATCAGGTCCGCTGGGTTGTTTTCGTGGATGCCAGTGACGGTCAACATATAGCAATTCCAATCAACTGAAGCCGAACGAAAGCATCTGTTCGCTTTTGTTTTACATCTTCTCACCAGCCTCAGCCTTCATCTGGCCGTACTTCTTCAGACGGATAGCAGAGACAGTGATGAAGCCGGTGGTCTCGGCGGGCGAGAAGTCGCCAATCTCGTCCATGCTGGACTCGGACATGTCGTACAGCTTCTCGGTGTCGGACGAGCGGCCCAGGATAGAGACGGTGCCCTTGTAGGCGCGGCAGCGGACCTGGCCGTTGACGGACTTCTGGGAAGCGGTGATGGAGGACTCCAGAAACTCGCGCTCGGGGGAGAAGTAGAGACCGTTGTAGAGGAGCTTTCATACCGATTAGAGATATGGTCAAATAGGTAATATGGATTTACAAACCTTGGAGTAGTTGACAGTGACGAACTGGTCACGGAGAGCGCGGACCTCGCGATCCATGACAAGACCCTCCAGGTCACTGTACAAGGTTAGACGACATAATTCAATTTTCTGCGACAAGACTCACATGTGAGCGCTACGCAGCATGGTCAGACCAGGGGTCTCGTAGCAGCCACGCGACTTGATACCGATGAAACGGTTTTCAACGATGTCAATGCGGCCAACACCGTTACGGCGGGCGATGGTGTTGGCAGTCAGGAAGACGTCGACGGAGTCAGTGACAGTCTTCTTCTTGCCACCTTCGGTGAACTCAAGCTTCACGGGAACACCCTTCTCGAAGGTAAGAGTGAAGTCCTCGGGCTGATCGGGAGCCGTCAGAGGGTCCTGGGTCAACTTCCACATGTCGGCCGGAGGAGTGGTATCAGGGTCCTCCAGGATACCAGCCTCGTACGAGCAGTGGGCCAGGTTCTCGTCCATGCTCCAGGGCTTGGACTTGGTGGATGTGACGGGGATGCCCTTCTCTTCGGCATAGGCGAGCAGGTCATTGCGGCCAGCGAAACGCTGGTAGAAGACGGGGTCGCGCCATGGAGCAATAACCTTGATCTTGGGCTGCAGGGCGTAGAAGGCAAGCTCGAAGCGGACCTGGTCGTTACCCTTGCCAGTGCAGCCGTGGGAGACCGCGAAGCAGCCCTCGCGCTGGGCCACAGCAATCTGGGCACGGGCAATGACCGGACGAGCCAGGGAGGTGCCGAGCAGGTAAACATTCTCGTAGACAGCATTGCAGGCAATGGCGGGGAAGCAGAGCTCCTCGATGAACTCCCGGCGGAGATCGACAATCTCGCACTTGAGAGCACCGATCTTCACGGCCTTCTCGCGAGCGGCCTCGAAGTCCTCTGTTAGGTGGGTTCGGGTCAGAACTCGATCGGGGGAGGTATTGGATGTCTGGAAATTGTACCTTCCTGGCCAACATCGGCCACTGTTCCCGGATTAGCAGAGGACAGACACGCATGTCACACAACGACTTACTGAAACACACGACCTCATACCCCTCCTCGATCAGGTATTTCACTTCAAACTTGATATCAGCAGATGCAATTGGGACGAGCACCAGGGGCGCATACAGATGCAGCTCGTATCGAGACCACCCGAGTAAGCCAGGCAAACCTGTGCGACGGAAGTGTCAGTCCCCAGAAACGCAAGTCGGCAAAGTGGCGGTCTGGCAGCATTGGAATTGTCGGGGGAAATGGGATGAGCAATTGGAGGCACATACCTTTCCTTTGGCCATGGTGAATGGAGTGGGAGTTGTTCTGGGAGCGGAAGTGGTGGGAATAGTGAATTGGAAGTACAGAAGAGAAGAGACGGAGGAGTTGAGTCACCGCAAAAATGTGCGGGCAGACCAAGTGTGGGTGAGGCGGCAGATAAGAGATAAGCCCTCACCGCTAGACTCTTCCGCGCTACTTGGTAGATAGGGAATCAACCACCACCGCCCGCATCCTCCGGGATGCCCAGTAATCCTCCTCTCCCGACGCTGGTCTTCGTCCATGGCTCCTGGCATCAACCGACATGCTACGACAAGGTCACCACACTCCTCCAGCGGCAGCATGGATTGAAATGTGTCTCAGTGGCCCTCCCCTCCACGGCGTGGAATCCGGCCGCGACCTTTAAAGACGATCTCGATGCTGCCCGCGAAGCTATATCCGAGGAGACAACCCACGGGCGCAATGTGGTAGTCATTGCACACTCCTACGGTGGCCTGGTGGGCAGTAGTGCGATCAAGGGATTCGCGCGGCCACGAGACACCACCCAAACCCCTGCAACGGGATACGTTATCGGCCTCATCCTCATCGCCACCGGCTTTAACCTAACAGGACTCTCCTTTATGGACCCGTTCTTCGGGCATCCGCCTCCTTCCTGGCGTGTCAATAGCGCAACCGGCTATGCCGAGCTTGTCATTCCTCCACGCGAGCTCTTTTATCATGACTTGCCAGCCGAAGAGGCGGAATTCTGGATCTCCCAGCTGCTTTCGCAGAGCCTGAAAGCGTTGTTCGAGGGTGGAGAATACACATACGCTGGGTGGAAGGATGTGCCTTCCTGGTATATTGGCACCGTCGAGGACCGGGCCTTACCGGTGGTTGCACAGCGGATGAGTGTGGGTATGGCGAGGGAGATGGGCGGGAGTGTGGAGCATAGGGAGCTGCGGACGAGCCATTCGCCGTTTCTGAGTCAACCGGAGGCGACTGTGAGGATTGTGTGGGAGGCTGTCGAGGCGTTCAGAGGCAAGTCCGCGGGGAATGCATCTACACTGAGTGGACGTGGGGATGTGATAGCAGTGCCCAAGGCCACGCTCTGGCAGCCTTTGACGTGGTTTAGATTTGGACTGCCGTTGGCCTTTGGTCATGTAATAGGAAGAGGATTTCTCCTATTCGGTTGGGGGCGGAGATTCTGGAGATCGACCTTTAATTAATGTAGTTGGAATATCAGTAATACAATCATATATTTAAGGTATTTTAGAGTAAACTGGTGGCGGGAAAACAGGAAATTTTCATTCTTGCGCCTATAAATCACCGACCATCAGGAAGGCCGTTCGAGTATTTGCTGAGATTTGTTGGTCGATCTGTCGATTCCCACCTTCCAGCGTGATGGCTTGCATTTGGATCCTCAAAATCAATTCCCACGGTGGCTCAGGGCCAATATGGCTTCGCAGCAATCCTTCGGACTTCCTCGAACAGAAGGAAAGGTGCTCTAGTTGTACGGATTCTCCTGGCATTCGTCATAGCTTCTACAGTTTGGCCTGTTTGCACCGCTTTCGGTTATCCGCGGCGGTCGCGTCTACCCCCCGCCGCAACATTCAGTTAAAGCGAAAAGAAATAATATAAGCACAATCATGCGCCCTTTCTCCTTGTTGCTCTCACGTTACGCTCACCAACGATGATTGTCCCACGGGCTCCAGTACGGGGTCTCCTCCGCCAAACGCGACGCTGCTACTCGGGAGCCCCATCACCTTCAGCACGTCTGAACCTGCCGATCGACTACAAGACCACTCCTCTACTACATCACACGCCCAGCTCCTTATCCGGGAGCCCCGAATTCCCTGCAGCGGCTACCAGCAAACGATTGAACCTGTTTCAAGCCATCAACTCCGCCCTGCGAACGGCCCTTTCTACCTCCGACAAGGTCCTGCTCTTCGGTGAAGATGTTGCCTTTGGCGGTGTGTTTCGATGCTCGATGGATCTACAGACCGAGTTTGGGTCAGATCGGGTGTTTAATACGCCCCTGACGGAGCAAGGTATTGCCGGGTTCGCCATTGGCGCTGCGGCAGAGGGAATGAAGCCAGTGGCGGAGATCCAGTTTGCGGACTACGTCTATCCCGCTTTCGACCAGATTGTGAACGAAGCTGCCAAGTTTCGGTACCGGGAAGGGGCCAGTGGGATCAATGTGGGTGGATTGGTCTTGCGCATGCCTTGTGGTGCGGTGGGCCACGGAGCACTGTACGTTTCACAGCAGATCTTGTTGAGACTGGCAAGGACGCTAAATTTCCAAACAGATACCACTCCCAGTCACCGGAAGCGCTGTTTGCGCATATTCCTGGCCTCCGTGTTGTCGTGCCGCGATCACCTGCACAGGCGAAAGGCTTACTCCTCTCATCCATCTTCGAGTGCAACGACCCCGTTGTCTTCATGGAACCGAAGATCTTGTATCGTGCCGCGGTGGAGCACGTTCCTAACGAATACTATACCATCCCTCTCAGCAAGGCTGAGGTGATCAAACCGGGCAAGGATCTGACGATTGTCTCCTACGGCCAGCCTCTATACCTTTGCTCTGCTGCCATTTCGGCCATTGAAAAGACCATGAAGGGAGTCAATATCGAATTGATCGATCTGCGGACCATCTATCCATGGGATCGGCAGACGGTTCTGGACAGTGTGCGGAAAACCGGGAGAGCGGTTGTCGTGCACGAGAGTATGATTAACTATGGCGTGGGGGCCGAAGTCTCCTCCACCATCCAGGAGGGTGCCTTTCTACGGCTGGAAGCTCCTGTCAAGCGGGTTGCTGGCTGGAGTACTCACACTGGGTTGAGCTATGAGCAGTTTATTCTGCCTGACGTTGCAAGTAAGTCCGTCCTTAGTTACCCTTTGCGCACACCCTTTAACATGGCTTTTCTTCAGGAATCTATGATGCCATTAAGCAGACTCTCGAGTATTAAGCGCAGCCAATAAGTGTTTAAAATAGACAATACCATGCTCGGCAGGCTTGCCTAGCATTCCATCAATCATATGAATCTATACCAAACTCTTCATAGTCTTCGAGCTTAGAGGGCCTAAGAATAGAGGCTGGTATGACGTAAGGCCGTAATAAGTATGGAATAATGGTTACTGCGTCTACACCGATGGAAGTGTCTATGAAGGGAGAATTAGCGCTGCGGCTGTCGTCGATCTAGCCGAGCAGCATCAGCTCTCCCAGATGGGAACGGACAATATCTCAACTGTGTACGCCGCGGAATTCCGAGCGACAGAGAAGGCCCTAGACTGTATTCGGACCAAAGTTAAAAACCAAGGAACCAACAAAAGGGTAGTTGTCTTTACAGACAGCCAAGCTGTGCTTAAGCTCTGCCGCTGGTTGTCGGACAGAGGTATCTAGAGTTTCTTTCCATATGATATATTTCGGTACAATTTGAAAACGAGAATAATTTTATATCTCGCTTAGAAAGATTCATTATTCTGTGCTGATCCGATTAATCCACCACACGGAGTCGAGAACAGGATCCGGATCAAGTGGATCTTTTCAATGTCTATTACTCCGCAGGAATATTCCCGGCCTGGGTGAAGATTGGCATAAATGCGGGGAACGAAGCAACGCGGTGGTCAAAGCTGTGCCCTGATGAAATAGGCCGATTGGGTCATGGATATTTAGAATAATCTAGGTCAGATCAAGGAAACAATAATATTCATTTTAAACAAGATCTGTTTACATTTTGACAGTTCGTATAGAGTAGATCCTCCATTACGAGATATCTCGACTGCTTAGCATGGAAATACCACTTCTCAAATTAAGCGCCTGTTATATCATCGACCCCGTGGGGAATGCAAGCACTAGTAAGTACGATCCCGTGAGTGTCCGCAGGTCAGTCAGGTGGATTATATTGAGATGCTACTTCATTTATGATTGTCGGAGTGCCTGCCCCATTTGGCTTCTTCAAGAATGAAGATCTTACTAGATTTAACCGAAGCAATCCAGGTATCATGCAGCTTCAAATCCTATATAAGAGTGTTCTGCTCCCGTTAGAACTTGAAGCTTCTCGTTGATGGGTTCAAGATCCTCAGTCGTGCCATATATACCGCAGCCCGCCAAACTGATCCCTCACGAGAAGTGATTGGATATGTCGTTCTTTCCATTAAGCCTGGCTCTAGGCCTTGTTGCCACAGGCGCCCTTGTCGCCGCTGGACCTTGCGACATCTACGCCGCTGGCGACACGCCCTGCGTCGCGGCGCACAGCACCACTCGTGCCCTGTACGATGCCTACACTGGCTCACTCTACCAAGTGTCGCGTGCTTCGGACAGTACCACAACTGATATTGCGCCTCTGACTGCCGGTGGTGTTGCCGATGCTGCTGCTCAAGACACCTTCTGCGACGGCACAACCTGCAGCATTACTATCATTTATGACCAATCTGGTAATGGTAATCATCTTACTCAGGCTCCGCCCGGCGGCTTTGATGGCCCAGCAGCCGGTGGCTACGATAATCTAGCTAGCGCGACTGGCGCCCCAGTGACACTCAACGGTCAGAAGGCATATGGCGTCTTGATCGAACCCGGTACGGGTTACCGCAATGACAATGCTGTAGGCACAGCTACAGGTGATTCAGCGGAGGGCATATATGCAGTCCTTGATGGAACCAACTACAATGGTGAATGCTGCTTCGACTATGGCAATGCAGAGACTAGCAATACCGATACAGGCGCCGGCCACATGGAGGCTATCTACTTTGGCGACAGTACTGGCTGGGGCACTGGCTCCGGCAGCGGCCCTTGGATCATGGCAGATATGGAGAACGGTCTGTTCTCTGGTGAGAGTGCTACTTACAATAGTGGAGACCCGTCTATCACCTGGCGATTCGTTACTGCCATTGTCAAGGGTGAATCAAATCAGTGGGCAATCCGCGGTGGCGACGCGACTTCCGGCACGCTGTCCACATACTACAGCGGTGTGCGCCCATCTGGCTACAATCCAATGGCCAAAGAGGGCGCTATTATTCTTGGTATTGGCGGCGACAACAGCAATGGTGCCCAGGGTACGTTCTACGAAGGTGTGATGACCTCCGGTTATCCATCTGACGATACCGAGAACTCCGTGCAGGCCAACATCGTAGCCGCCAATTATGCCACGTCTAGCTAGAAGGACTAGGGCCAGTGCGGTGGCAGCGGATGGAGAGACCTAGTGGGACCAGTTCTAGTGCACTCATGAATGCACAATCAGATGAAGCTCTTGCAAAGTTCTCTATTGTTTTCCTGATTCCGGGTTTTGTGAGATTGTACTTCATCGTATACATATGTACCGGATAATATCTGGCACTTTTTGATAATAGGAGCATTTCTGCTCTACGCTACCAAGGCCTTGTTGAACCTCCCGCTTTCGGCCATGGTCCTCACCAGCAAATATCCACCTCGAGATTGAACATGGTTGGACATTTTCAAATGATGAAAGGGATCTGAACCCGTGTTAACTCTATTTGGCTATACGTAAAATGCCAGGTAGGAAATTCGATTGTTATTGGAAGCAGATCATATACATATGTATCGATCGGTGCCAATTTTGTTCTATTAGAGCAGTGGGCCTACAGTATTCAGGCCTCCCATTCAGCCTTCGCACGGCCCTATAGATAGGAGCCAAAGGCTTTGTCCCGGAGAAAGGCAAAGCCGTATGGTACATTATCCTTGACAAAAACCATTGTGGTAGATGTTCGTTTTAGTATAGGACAAAGTTTTCACTGAGTATCCCCTCTACCGCATTCCAGACGGCAATCGGAAAGCATCCATTGATCCAGTAGTCGCCATTCGGCGTACCCGTAACGAAGAATGCATTTCGTGCCAACATGTTATTCAGGCTCACACTGTCCACATGGTAGTACACTGGGTTACTCTCAGTTGCTTGACGAACAGGTTTGGTCGTTCTCCAAACATACTCTCTGTCCTTAGCTAGAGTGTATCCCTGGTTCTTTAAAGCCCGTTGTTTTAGCTGAACTGCAGGGCCAAAATTAACTATGTCAAAAAAGCGAGCTTTTGACCAGTTCGAGGCCGTGATCAAGAACGAGCTTGTATCGCCAAACATTGGCGGTAAGCCTGTTTGGTCCAGCGACAATCGAGTAAGACGTGCCAATGCATGAATTTGGTCCTCGGTGGTCTGCGTCTTGATGCTACGACGGATTTGGAGGGCTGCAACCCCGAGAGCATCCGTCTTTCCGATAATTTCACGAGCCATGATAATTGTCCAGCACGGAAAAACGGCGTTCTGCACATACGTACCTTGTTTCTCTTTGGTAGGGAATATAGATGGTAAGCGAGATCGGAGATCGAACGCATTACTGATACAAACCGCCCGTGACGACTTCAGGGGCAGAAGAGCTGAGGCTGCCACCATTGACATCCATGCCGTCACCACATCGCCTTCGCTTATAAAAACCGCTTGCCCTTCAGTGGTGACCTCGTTCGCGGCCTTTTGCGCGAGCGAAGCTAATGCGTTGCTTCGCAGTTGTTCCACAACCTTCCGCGGCAGAAAGACGGTTCGCGTTTCCATCTTCCGCCACCAGAGCAGATCAAAAACAAAGCGAAGGCTCCAGAGAAAAGACCACCAGCCCTTGATTTGTTGTTCTTCAAGAACATGAGTCTGTTGAAAAGAAAGGTCTTTGCCAGCAGTCACCATCGGATCATAGCGAGAAGACAGCATCGGCGGAATTTCTGATTCTCGCCCAGCAAGCACGAGACTCCAAGCCATGGCCACGTCACGCAAACTCATCGCATCTGCTGCAATATGAGGCCAACAAAGTGATACAAGTGTCGCGTCAGTAAAGGATACGACGTTCAGAGTCAATTGTGGAAGATCAGAATTTAGATAGTCATCCAAACAGACTGGTGTACTTGGCGTCACAGCTAGCTCTCTAAATACCGAAGGGCCATTGTGCACTGACGGAGTGTCAGAGGTAGGTGCAGGTAGTCTTGAGGCCAGCGGATGTTCACTGATGCTGACATGGAGCACATCATGATGAAAATTGACTGCGGGTCGGTCCGAAGTAAAGGCTTGGGGAACGTGAATCTCCAACTCTTGCTTTGTCTATTATCATTATAGTCATTAGAAAGACCATCTCGGCGAGGATCACGTTCACTGATAGAGCTTACGTTTAGACGAATGCGTCCCCCCAGCTTGCACCATCCCTCTCGCTCGAGGAGCTGCGACAAAGAGGCCCGCAACATTTCGGGGTCGAGCACATCATTGAACCGAAGGCTCCAGCACTGGACACTATTTCGCAAAAGTGTTGTGTCGTCAAAGTAGTGGACTGGCATAATCATGTCAGTCGGTACTTTTTCATATGCTAATCGTTTCTGTGGGCGCTCCAGGGTGAGCCATCGAAGAAGTTTCATGATTACTGGAGCTGTGAAATGAATAACGAGCAAGGCGGAACATCGAATAGTCGATGAAGACTGAATGTTGGCGGCTGATGTCTGTATATACAGTATGAATGTTACCCCTATAAGAATAAGGAGTGGCAATGAGAGAATTTTCCCAGTGAGTTAATGTATCACATGGATCCAGCGAGCAGCCTGCCTGCGCGAGGCTGAGAGGGGCGGAGTTGACGCTGCGGCAGTTTCACACGAACTCTCGCGCCAGCCTCGTGCATTGGACGTCTTGCCCATCTCACATGACGGATACTTACATAGCTAATGGGCAGCTGCTGCGATGGGCAGTATGAAGGCATATAATCTGCCGTTGTATAGATAACTTTGTTGGATATAACACTTGTACTTCAATTCAGAGTTTCAATTTAGGTGAGGGGTCAAGGTAAACAACATCAAACAATCAGTCAACCAAGTATATTGACTGAAGCTTGTTCAGAAATTCCGAAAGATCTTGCTCATCTTAATCAGATTTTGAGACAATGCAAAAAAAAAAAAAAAAAAAAAAAAAAAGGAAATAATTCTGGAACCCAAGCCGCATAACTACAAAAACGATTTAGAGAAGATGATGTGAAACAGAGAAACGCGACAGTTTTAGAGTTCTTCAAAAGACGGGTGATGTTTGAGCAGACGTCTGTTCGTTATCATCACCATCAATCTTTTCAATTCTGCCCTTGTGCGTCTTCAATTTACCTTGTTTGGCGTCAAAAATAGGGCTGATCCACATGCTTCCCGCGTCTGCGGTTTCGGTCCCCGGTCTAAACGGACTTTGTGTGGCAGCTATTGTTATCTTAGCCCAATAATTTACATCGTATAAATAGAAAAGGGGGCTGGACTGACCAATACCTGTAAGGTGATTATTGATATATATGTTTTCCCAGTGATTTTTTGGTGCTTGGTAGACTTCATGCATGATACTGAGGTGCGGGTGTGATTTTGTGACTTTGTTCCACCAGTCCCATGCCTCACGATGGAGCGGGCTATGTGCATATGCGTGTACATCTTCCAGTGTTCGGAAATATGTTGCAAACATCAGTTGATTCGCTGTTGAGCGCTCGCCAGCTCCGAGCCAGGAGGTTGCCCCGAGATCTATATCGAGAATATTATTTAATCTGACAGACTGTAGGAAGACAGGAAATTAATTGCTTACAGTTGTACCGTGTTGCATTGTTTGCAAGCTGAGCCTGCATTTCGTTCATGTACTCTCCCAACTCTTTGAAGCCGGGGCCGAATATGCCCATCGGGCTGTTAAGTGTGAGATAATATGAGAGGTAGTTAAAGCGTTTCGACATACTGGTTTGAACGTCCGGCCAGTAAGATCAATGCAACATCTTGATCAGCCGCTTTTCCTGAAAACACCCCATTTCGATCGGGGAGTAAGGCCGAAAATTTGCCAGCAATAACGCCATCCATTTGAGGGTTTTTGATAAGGCCAAGTAACACCAAGCCGGTCTTGATAGAGAGACACGACAACATGAGAACAGGTGGTAGAACTGCGTACGGGACTGGGAATACCAAAACCATAATCCCTTGAAGAACAGCTCCCAAAAGTAGCCATGTTGTTAAAGAGAAATTGTCCCGGATTAACTAAGCATTTATAAACTTAGCTCTAGATCAATTATGACAGACAGAACTCCCAGTTGTTCATTTGTCAAGCTAAATAGGGCGGCACAAACATTACTTTGCTGGTTCAATTCAGTTCGCCGTAGCCTTTCGGTCGACGGGGGGAAAAGGGCTTCTAAATTCGCGATAGATAGCGTTTCCTTCATTTTGGACGATATTTTGGTTATCGATATTAGGTATTGAAGTTCTAGTAGCAAAAGAATAACCTTACGACGCCGCAAGAGGGGCAACTTGATGAAGATAAATGGTTGAAAGGATCAGGGCTGCGCGAGGCTGAAGCGGCGGACATGCGCGCCATCTTCCGCCGTGGTCCGGGCCACGATTTCAACCTTCCAGGGAAATTTTGAGCTCACTCAGACGCAGTCCACCAGTATTTTTCCATCTGATAGCCATTTGACCGAGCATGATAGACTTGGTTAATGTTATATAAACTTCGTGGTCTACGGAAATGAATAGTCCGTCTTGGACCGAGAATTAATATGCTTGGCCTGCTCATAGATGGACTCCTTTGGGAGACATGTGGGGCAGAGTTTGGCTACCGATAAAGCAAGGAGAAAGGTCTTGACTCTTAATGGCACCTTTAGGCACTGCGCAGAGATGGTCATGCACAAGGCTCATAGTTTTGCTTCGTAGCTCCCTCAGTAATCTCCGAATATTACGGTAGTCCACCAGTACAGTATTTCTTAAGCACCAAATACCTTGCCCGTATCCGGGCCCATGCAGAGACAACGCGATGCGGATAAAGCGGCATTTGGCTCTTTACCGTATTTGACTCTTGCTACTGTAAGGCAAGCCGTTATTTAACTCTATCAAGGGGTGCGTGCTATATAAGGGCATTAACTCACCAATACGAGCTTCAGCCTGCTCAATTTCAGTCGCAATCCGCCAGTGACTATTCATTTGGGGCGTTTTATATTTTTGTTAGCGACCCAATGTTGACTCGCCAAAGAGTGCCTACAATTTCACCACTAGAATTCAGAAATGACGTGCTCATTCAAGCCGAAGTCGTGGAGGTAGGCAACCAAATCGACAGATGACTCTTGGTGGAATGAATTGCGCGGTAAAACAGATTGACAAGTAGACAGTCTGAACCTCGCGGCGCGAGCCTACACTCTCTAGACGTAGTCGAAACTCCTTAACGCAAAGTCCGAGTTGGGCCATAGATCAGCTTAATTAGGGAACTATAGCGGAGAATTCGTGTTCGTATAAAAAGAATATTCGGCCAGGTCGCATACGGCGTGACTGAGACTATCGCCACATCGGGGAGATGTATTGGGATGCTGGATTGCCATGATCGTATGGTTGTATTGTTGCTGCCGCTCGGGCTTTGTGGCCTGCCGTATTTCTTGGCATGTCAGCAACGATCGTTCGAATCACGTGACTGTCTGCTCCACATTCAAATTGGCAATTGCTTCAATCGGCACCTGGTTCCTCCTACTCCCTCCTCCTCCCCTTCTCCCCTGGAGACTCCGTTTTGGGTGTGTCGCATTAATCTCTGCTGCTCTAGTCTGACTTTCCTTTCGTTGTCTGCTGCCTTTCCCTGCGACCCGCAGTCCGTGGTCCTTTCTTTTCTATTTCAACGTCATCACGTCATCGCAATGTTATTTCAGTAACAACTCACTTACATGCCCATTGTCGCTGATGACTCCCCTCTCAACCCCTTACCTGGCCGCCCGGCCCGTCGTGCTGAGCCTGGCAAAGCTTCTTTTTCTTTTTCTCGCCCACATTCCTCTGATCTCCTCAGCTCCCGTTTCCGTCACCCCGCCTTTCTCCTCCCTCTTCGCCCGCGATGCGGAACCTCCAATTGATCCCAACGACCCGAGTCTGTGGTTGTTTCTGGGTATTTCAGCTGCCCTTGTCCTGAGCGGCGGAGCTTTTGCGGGTCTTACAATTGCCCTCATGGGCCAAGATGAAATCTACCTGCAAGTCATCAAAACCTCTGGAGAGGGATCTGAGAAAAAGAACGCTGAGAGCGTTCTGAAACTATTGAAACATGGAAAGCATTGGGTTCTCGTGACTTTGCTGCTGAGCAATGTCATCACAAACGAGACTTTACCCATTGTCCTCGACCGATCACTGGGTGGTGGTTGGCCCGCAGTGCTGGGGAGCACGGCGTTGATCGTTATCTTCGGCGAAGTCGTCCCTCAGTCGATTTGTGTCCGTTATGGGCTCCCGATCGGCGCGTGGATGGCACCCTGTGTGTTGGTTCTGATGTACATCATGTCGCCCGTTGCATGGCCTATTGCCAAGCTGCTCGACAAGCTTCTCGGAGAAGATCACGGTACGATCTACAAAAAGGCCGGATTAAAAACCCTCGTTACCCTCCACAAAACCCTCGGAGAGGCCGGCGAACAACTCAACTCGGACGAAGTCACAATCATCAGTGCGGTGCTGGACCTCAAAGAAAAATCGGTGGGAACAATCATGACGCCCATGGAGGATGTCTTCACCATGTCTGCCGACACCGTTCTCGATGAAGCGACCATGGACCTCATCCTCTCGCAAGGATACTCTCGAATCCCCATCCATGCACCCGACAACCCAATGGATTTCGTTGGTATGCTTCTTGTGAAGATGCTGATCACTTACGACCCGGAGGATTGCCGGCTTGTCCGCGAGTTTGCCTTGGCCACGCTTCCTGAAACCCGTCCTGAAACCAGCTGCCTGGATATCGTGAATTTCTTCCAGGAAGGAAAATCCCACATGGTTCTTGTCTCTCAATACCCTAGCGAGGATCGTGGTGTTCTTGGTGTCGTTACACTTGAGGATGTCATTGAAGAACTGATCGGTGAAGAGATCATTGACGAATCTGACGTTTTCATTGATGTTCACAAAGCTATTCGGCGGATGGCACCTGCTCCCAGGGCTCGTGTTCCCAAGGGCAAGATCGTCGAAGAGCCTCCCATCACTGCTCGTTCGCTTACCGAGGACGAGCTGGTTGACCTGGAACGCACCGATCCTCTCGCTCGCAAGAAATCCGAACCTATTCGACGTCGCAGTTCTGTCGAAGCGCCGCCCACACGGTTCCAATTGCGCATACCTGACAGCAACGCCACCTCAACTGATGGTTGGGTCACTCAACGCGGTACCACTGACGAGATTCGAGAGCATTTGAAACATCTTGGCCCTTCAAACCTTGCCAGTCGACCTCGACAAACCCGTTACTCTGCGGTCAAGATCAAGCGCAGGAACACCTCTCCCACTCGATCGGCACAGACCGATTTTGAATCTGGACAAAGCACAACCGATTCACAATCGCATCAAGCGATGCCTTCTGGCTACACAGGCGGCATCGGGGCTGGCCTTACCTCTGCAGGACCTGATGCCAAAGACGGAGCTCATGCATTGAAAGTTGGGTACGGTACGATGTCCCAACAGGACCAAGTCACCAAGTCCACGAATGCCCAGCAGTACAAAGACCTTCCTCAAATCTCGATCCCTGAATCTGTTCATGAAGAGCGCGAAGACCAGACGCGCACAGAATCTACCCGACAAGGAAGTAGACAGGCGAGTACATCGAACAGCACCCGGTCATCCAACTCCACTGGCGAGAAATCGATGCCTCATTCCCCTTACCCTCACCGTGGGCCGACCCGAAGCGGCAGCATCACTGAACAGATCGTCGATGTCAACGGAATCCGCAAAGTCGTCCTTCACGCTGCCCCATGCTCGTCATCGGACGGAGAGCTGCAACCCCATGAACCCACCCATTCTCACTCCCATTTATCTTACAAGGATGCACTGGCTATTGAAACAGACGGATCCAAGTCTGCAAACACAGTCAAAAGCTCACAGAAAAAGAAGCGTCGCAAGAAAAAGCGCGGCGACCACCATGCCAAACAGCAGCTGGATGGCGGCCCGGCAGAAGATCAGCCTCTATTACGACAAGACTCTTGAACTTGAACTGCTCAGTCAATGGGAAAGATAAATTCTTGATGCCACATCATACCTCATTCATTCCATAGAGTTTTCTTGCCCCTTTGGTCTCTGTACCAACAAGGTTCTGACTATCCCGTCAACCGGGGAAAAGAGCGCTTTCATACATCTTCGTCGGCATCAGTTTATTTCTATTTGATTGATTTGTGTACGATTACCGCGACCATGCACATCATTCCATATCCTTGCATCGTTTTGCGATGGAACCAGAAGATCTACGGGCTTCACAAGGTCTATCATCTATCTCTTGAATCTGTCAGATTCATTTCTTGTTTCTCCTGGGTTTTTCTCTAATTTGCGTTTGATTCGTATCCATTCTGTTACATACCATTTTTCTGTGTCCATCTAGGCCGACTTTTATTCTTTGTCTCAAGAGCTCATTTCCTTCCACTCTATCTCGCACTTGGTCTTGTCTGTGGCTTGGACCATCGAGGTATGATTTTCGATTCTTTTCCGTCTTGTTCTTATGGCGTCGATGCGGAAAGAATCCTCTGGTAGGATATGAAATGACTCGGTTTTCTTCATAAGGGATCCCTACATCTTAGTATCTTGTAGATTTGTCTGCGGTGGCTAAGTAGTGGTATTCCTGGTCATAACTACTCATTTAGGAAGTGCATGATTATCAGGCACAACTTCTTTACACAGCACCGTCTACGAAAATAAAGAAGTTATTGTGAAAGAATCGGCTGTGCATTCCAGGGTTGTGATGTCGGGTGCATATACTGTATATATAAAGCGCCACCAGAATATGCACGACGTAACATTGGAAGGCCATCGTCACTAGTCATAAACATCTTTCGTACTGCATGGGAGTCGTGTAAAGCGAGACAGAGAATGAAATCTCGTTGAAACCGACCAAGTTCACAAACCGCATGGGAAAATGGACCGGCCGGAAAGAGTTGTTTTGATGGTATCGGTTGCAATTCCGAGTTCCCATGATATGAAAGGCTGGAAGCCACTTTGCTGCACCTGCAAGGGCATAAGTGACTATTGGCTAGCGGAGTTTATGGTGTAAGCTCTGCTGGGATGTAGCCTGCGCGCCCTCACATTTGGGCGACTGAATGATACCCCATACGTCGCAGCTGTGGGGGAAGATGTTGCTGCACATCGGCGCACAGTTAAGACGTGGACATTGTGATCAGGATACCGGTTGGACATGCAACGAGGCGTAAGAGACGGAAGTACTTGATGCGATTATTGCAGGAGGGGGTCGCGGAAGTGCTTCTGGCTGTTGGCAGCTTTCTGGACGCGGGCCGTATAGCGAAGCTCCTGTCGAATGGCGCGGGTCCTCTCGCGGCGTTCCTCGATGGTAACCGCCTCCTTCTGAGTATCAGTCGCCCCAACCATACCCATACCACCGTTGGCACGGGAAATGAGAGTACGATTGGCGTTGCGGCCGCGCGGCTTCTCCTCCTCTTCAATTTCTCCATTCGCGATGGCAAGCTGGCGGGTAGCTCGCTCCTCGGCTGTAGGGTAGTTGTGCAAGTTCTGACGGAAGTACTTGGCAAGAGAGCGGTGGCCGGCGGTGCGGCCAGACGGCAGGTGGAGTTCATACTCGGTCTGGTAGATGACCGGAGCTTTACGATGCGAGTCGAACTCGTCGTCATCTTCGTCCACAGATGACGCATCGGTTTCCCAACCTTCATCAGCATCGCCATCGGAGGGTTTAATCTTAACACCGCCGCTTTCCGGTGTAGATTCCTCTTCTTCGTCGTCCGAGTACGAGCTCCGGAAATCGTAGTGCTGGCCAATCTCGATCTGTTCCTCCTCGGACTCGAAGGCAATCATGCAGTGGCCCTTATCGCGCATGTGGGTCCGGATACCGGCGGCGTTGTTTCGGATGGCATGGCAGTAGAGACATTCGAAATTTTCCGTGATCTTGCGGTAGAGGTAGTGAATGAGGCCTTCCAGGTCCACCAGATAATTCCTCTCAGGAATGAACATGCCGTGGGTCTTGTACATGTGCTCAACGTTGGTTTCGATATCGGATGAATTCTCCCGGCAGAACAGACAGCGGACTGCGGAGAATTCGGCTTTCTCGTCACTTGCGTCCTCCTCGCCTTGTTCTTCGATGGTGGCAGTTTTCAGTCCGTCGGTGAGCTTGGACACATCGTTCTCCTTGTTGACGGGTTCTCCAAACGAGAAGGTGGAACTCATGACGGAAGCATCGTCACCTTCCTTGTTCAGGCGGGCTTCACGTTGCTTATGCTTGGCGCTCTTAATGTGGTTCTGATAGGAGTTCTCGCTGAAGAAAGTCTTTTGGCAGGCCTGGCAGGTCTTTTCGAACGAGGCCTTGGCGGCGGCTTCGTTAGAGGTGGCCTTGGCAGCAAGGACTTTCTCGTTGAAAGTTTCCAAGGACACGGGGGGAGGGAAGCGACACGGCGCTTCATGTTGTACAAGCTGGAAGAATATGTCAGTCTTAGTTCTAAGATGAGAAGGATTCAAAACCACATACTGCCAGTCATTGCGCATATGCTCTCTCTGTCCATCGCTGCGGTGGAATGCAACGAGGCAGGTGTTGCAGGTGTATGGAAGCTGAGAAGAAGACGACATGACGGTGGTCGTTCTTCTGGTAAACGGGAGAGGGGAGGGTAGGTTGCGGAGAAAAAAAAGAAGTGGGATGTGTATTTGTAACCGGCGGGGCACGCAGGCTCTGTCGAGGCGAAAATCCAGTCGGTCTGTGGTGAGCCAAACGACCAAATCCAGTGGAACTGAGAGGTCTCTGAAGCACAGAATCAAGAACTAAGCAGCCGGAAAGAGCCTTTTGATCTTAACTGCGAACAACGAAGATGGAACGAGTGGAGGGACAAGAAGCAGGCGCACAACTTTTGCCTGTTTCGGTCATGACTAATCCCGTGGTTGCCTTACTGCGTAACTGCCTGAGGCTGCCACAGTTCGCCCGATGATATCAGTCAGGTGTTCGGCTGTTCGCATCTCGAAGTGTCCCCCCCCCCCAAAATCCCAACTTCAACGCCCTCACCTCTCTTTCTCCCGGGATCTCGCATACCTGGCCACCCAGCATTATACCAAGATATGCCACCTAGTCGCTGAACATGACTAGGCTCCGCGGAGCGTCGATCGATTCCCCGGACGAGGCGCGGTCTGCTGGCAACGAGCGCCCTCAGTTCCATCGGTGCAAACTCCCGCCAAATGCGCCCGAGGTGGTCGCACAGAATACTATTGAATTATCGGATTCCTCATGCGTGTTGCCGTGGTATCGCGATGAGCGACGGAGAAGGTTCAATGTGCTGGTTCGCAAGTGAGTGACTGTCGAGTCCTGGCCCCGTAGATTATCACGAACTAATTTCTTCTGGCTGGACAGATACAAACAGCAGCTCCTTCACGGTTGTCGGGATCCAGGATGTCGCACTCCTACATGCGCCAGTTATCGCCGCCGAGTCAGCGAAGGCCCGTATCGTCGGTATACCGAACTCAGCGCGCGGACCTTGGCCTGTTACCTCGCAAGTCAAGACGATGCAGAGAGCGGACTTTGCTGCAATGCCCCTCGGTCGCCAACGGAGATTGAATTGCTGAACTATCATCGCATTTCGTTGCAACGGAGTCGTGCTTTTAACGCCGAGGCCGCCGCCGCCAGACATCCGTCCCCAGGGGACGGCAGTGCGGTGGACGAAAACTCCACGGAGCACTTGGTGTCCGGTGGCAGGACAGATACTCCCGAAGCAGCGAACGATGATGCACCACAGACCGTTGATAACTTGCAGTTACAAGAACTTGACTACACCGCCGAACAACCATTGAAAGATCCAAAATCTTTTACACAAAACCTCTTCGACACCCTTTCATTGCGCATGGTGGAATGGCTTCCTCTTCGTCGAGTATCCGATACCTATCAACTCAAAACAAAACCGCCTCCTACTCCTCCTGAAACTACAAATCGCGAGCGAATACAGAACCAAGAAGCCACTGGAACTGCGAAGTCTCATGATCTACCCACCTTTTATAGTGGACATTCAAGCGCGAATCCACGTACACCATCTTCACGGACCACAGGGAGTCAGGCTTCTGCGGTCGAGGTCCGATTTCCCAACCAGCAGGTCAAAAGACTATCGGTCTCGGAGATTGATCCTTGGCGTCAGAGTCCGCGGCCAGGCCTGGGCGAGAGAAAGCGGCCAGACTATAAGAATAAAAAGGTGTCTGTGAACGCTTCCAATGACTTAGTTAGCATGTCCTCTCCGCCTGCATTGAAACATCGGTCACAAAAACACCGTGGACGAATCGGAGATGCCGATACACCATCCACCAAGAAAACCAGGAAGAATAATCGGCGAGTGTCGTGGGACGGTGAAAAGGTGTTGAATCAGGCTGCTATGGGAGCCAGCCCGGAACCTGCTCCAATGTTGCCTGCTCCTCTTCCTTCTGATATTCAATCTCCAAGTGACCGGAAAGCCAAACGAGCCTCTCACAGCCAGCCATATGACCAAGGCCCACTAGCCCAGACAGTTACCCATCTGTCCGCTGAGATCATTGGTGGGCTTGGCCAGATGATGGCGGAGACCGAAGAAGACGCGGAGAATTGGAAAGAGGAGCTCAGTCGCATAGAATCCACCGGGAATTTCGATAACCCCGACTGGCAATTCGCGACATCTCGCCAACGCCAGGTCTTCCCATTTGTTGCACAGAGCGTCTTCTATGTGTTCGGCAGCGCCAGGCAAATTGTGCGATCCTTTGAAAGGGAGATGCTTGAATCGAATGCTTCAAAGCAAAAGACGATGGCCTCTCGTCTTGATCTCTCGCGACTGCAGGTTTCACTACGACGACTATTTGCTGTTTGTCCCTGGGACATTGCTCTGCATAGTCTATGGAGTGCGCTGGACAGATTGTTTGTTCCTCCTGAAGAATTGACATCTTCCGGCCGGCCTTCACGCCGTTCATCTCGCAGTTCAACCCTGGTTTCATCTGCCGCTCCCCCGGTTGTTGTGCGACGACCCTCCGAATCAGTGGATGAAGAACATTTGTCAGATGCCGACGCCGCCCACGTTGCCACCGTTACCTTGTTCGCTCTAGTCAGCTCTGTGCCCGAGCTTGATGCAGATACATGGCGTGGGGTACTTCGAATGCGTGCTGCTGGGAATGTGGCTTCACCTGCGGACATGCACAATCTTCCCCCTGAACACGTCCAGCGCGCTGTCGAGGTGACCGACAAACTCGAACACGAGCTAGGTCTTCGCCTTGTCAACCGACTCGTTCGTGCACTGGTAGCCCGCCTGACATACCACGAAATTTCCAAGTCGCGACAAATATACAATTCCGACGTACCAAAACAACGAAAAGCGAGCGTACTCGACCGCGTGGTGGAGCATCTCAGCGACCATCGCACACTTACGGACCCGGACGTACTCCAGGTGTTCGGACCCATTTCTCTTATCATCGAATGGCTTCGTACCCTCTTCCTGCGAGAGTGGGATGGCAATCCGGAGATGCTTCGGAGCAGCGCTGCGGGCGGTGCCATACAAATCCTGGCCTCGATGTATAAAGAACGACGCCGGCTGGGCTTGGAACCGGAAGACTTCCATACCCCCCTTCTTGCAGAGCGGCTGGACCCTCTGGAGATGCCTGTGGCATGGGCGAGCCGGCTGGCAAACAACCGAACTATGCATCTGCTTTCCTATCCTTTTCTCTTCCCGCCATCGTCTCTCGTCATTTACTTTCGTGCCTTGAACTACTCCGCCATGTCAAAGTACTACGAGTCTTCTATGACTACGACCAGGCACGTCACTCAGACAGCGTTCAGTAGTACCATGCACCTCAATGATGACATGGGCATTTTGGCGCGCATGAAGACGTCGATGTCGACCTACCTGGTCCTCGTTGTTCGACGAGATAACGTCTTGGGTGATGCCTTAAACCAGTTGTGGCGACGGGAAAAGCGAGAACTGATGCGACCACTGAAGGTGCAAATGGGAATGGACGAAGGAGAAGAGGGTTTGGATCATGGCGGTGTTCAGCAAGAATTCTTCCGGGTGCTCATGGCGGAAGCGCTGGACCCCAGTTACGGCATGCTTACACTGGACACACGGCACCGTATCTCCTGGTTCCGACCTTGCTCCTTGGAACCGCTGTATAAATTTGAACTGCTTGGCCTTCTGATGTCAATCGCAGTGTACAACGGACTTACTCTGCCTGTCAACTTTCCGATTGCCTTCTATCGCAAACTGCTGGGGCTCAAGGTAAAGCACCTCAGCCATATCCGAGACGGATGGCCAGAGCTTGTCCAGGGACTTGAGACCATGATGTCGTGGAAGGATGGCGATGTTGGCGACATCTTTATGAGGACCTATGAATTCAGCTTTGAATCTTTTGGCCGCGTCGAGACTGTCGACATGCAGAAAACGGGCCGCGATGCCATGTGGCCGCTGCCGAGCGGAATCCCGGAACAGAACTCTATGGGTGACTCCACTGCCTGGTCTGACGTACCGCATTACTTTGACCAGGCCATAGTGAGCCCACCCTCTTCCATGGCCGCCGAGGCAGCCGATCGCACCCCCGGTCAACCTGTGTCGGGCGACACGGCGAAATCCGTTATGGAATCTCAGCCCATTCAATTCCCCATTCCTCCCAGCGACGAGGCAGCCCTGGTGACGAACCGTAATCGGCACCAATTCGTCAAGGACTACGTCTTCTGGCTCACGGATAAGTCCATCCGGCCGCAGTTCGAGGCTTTTGCCCGTGGATTCAACACCTGTCTGGACCGATCCGCCCTTTCCATCTTCACCCCGGAGGCGCTGAAGACCGTGGTGGAAGGCATTCAAGAAATTGACATCCAGGCATTGGAGAACCATTCCCGGTACGAGGGCGGGTTTGGGCCGAAGCACCGGGTCATCCGGGATTTCTGGAGCGTGGTGTCGCAGTATCCGGCCGACAAGAAGGCGCAACTCCTAGAATTCGTGACTGCCAGTGATCGCGTCCCCGTCAACGGGATCTCAAGCATCATGTTCGTGATCCAGAAGAACGGTGTGGGTGACCTGGTAAGTATCTCTCTCCTTCTGGAAATTGATTCCGATGACTGACCGAAGTTTCCAGCGTCTTCCCACCAGTCTGACCTGTTTCGGACGGTTGTTGCTGCCGGAGTATTCGTCGCGCGAGGCACTGGCGGAGAAGCTGGACAAGGCATTGGAGAATGCACGGGGATTCGGGGTTGCGTGAGAGAGGGCTTGACCTAGCGGATCTATACATATGCTTATTTTTCTTGTGCCATAATAATAATGATAACCCCAACAATCAGAGTTTATCCCGACCCCTTCTCGGCCCACCTTCCCCATGCAGCGCCAACTCGGATACATTGCCACGTGGGGCTTCTTTTGTCTGGCAAAATCCAAGGCGGATTTGGCCTCCCACGAGCTTATTCACTGGCTGTGGCGAGACAACATTCTTCCCTGCCTCTCTGTGTCTTTCTTTCTTCCTTCTTTCTTTCCTTCCTTTGTTTCCATTCTCTGTGCTCACGGCCCTGAAACCCGAACTCCTGTACGTTTTGCCTTCTTCATCCCACGTTCCCTCCCGCAGCCCCACCGATAAGAGTCATCGTCTGTTTCTCTCTCTCTTTTCTCTCTGCTGATCAACCTATTCGCAGTAACGACTACTATTCTTGCCTCGCCCAGGTCGCTCATTTGCAAATATGCCTCCCATCATCCATTGCGTTCGCCATGCCCAGGTACGTCGGCCAGCGCATACAACTCCGCTCGTCATCAAAACCCAGCCAGAATCCGGACATCAACCCGCCTTTCAAACCACCCGCTACACATCTCGAAACCATACTAACAATCCTGAAAGGGCGTCCACAACCTCTGCACAGCCAACCATGTCATCCCAGACCCCCTCCTCACAGACCTCGGCCACGAACAATGCCAGAAGTTGCGCGAGAACTTCCCGCACCACGCCACAGTCGATCTGGTGACCGCGTCGCCCCTCCGACGCACAATCTATACCGCGCTCGAAAGCTTCCAGCCCGTGTTCGAAGCGCACCCGGACATGAAACTGATCGCGCTGCCGGACGTCCAGGAGACTTCCGATGTGCCGTGCGATACGGGCAGTGAGCGCGAGGCTCTGCGCCAGGAATTCGCTTCCGCGGGGGTTCCTGTGGATTTGGATTTGGTGCATGATGGCTGGAATAATAAGGTAGGATGGAGATTTCTTCTGGGGGATATGTTGGGCGTAATCTGCGCATGATGCTGATTGATGAATCAGGCTGGCCGCTATGCGCCAACGAACCAGGCTATCAAGGAGCGCGCGCGTGCTGCGCGTCGCTGGCTGAAGGCGAGACCTGAGAAGGAGATTGTTGTTGTGACGCATGGTGGATTTCTGCACTATTTCACCGAGGACTGGGAGGATAGCAGCCTGTACCAGGGTATGTTCTTTCGTCTTCACATAACAGAAATGGAAGACACAGAGACAAAGGATGAGAACTAATCCATGTGCCATCCAGGAACCGGCTGGTCCAACACCGAATTCCGCAGCTTCCGCTTCTCGGAAGAACACCACAAGGACGATCTGGAGGGCTACGAGCTGGACGGCGACAATGCCTCGCTCGTAGAAACCGACGAGTCGCGGCACCGCCGTGGCAAGAACGGATCGACCCCCAGCCGCGACCAGCAGCGTACCCTGTACAAGATCGGTACGCAGGGCTGGGATGACCAGGGTCTCCAGCTTAGCACGGCGGACCGCGAAACAGCTAAGGTGCCGGCGGGTAAGATGGTTGAGGGGGTTCGGGTGTGAGCTTGCGCTCAAAGCAACGGGTATATTGGCATTGTCTTTCCTTTCTTGTGCTATCTTTTGATATGCTGCCTGCGATAGAATAGAGTCGAAAGAGATAAACTTATTAGTGCTTGAAATAGATCTATAACTAAATGAAATAAAGAGCTCACCTAACCTGCCTCTAAATGTTTCTTCTCCTTGCTTTGCTTTCCAGGATTCTCAGTGCTTTGTATATCCTCCGGCGAACTACGTTTCAAATCGACAATATCATCAACAAAGACTTAACTGCCTCAACACGAGGCAAGGATTCATGAGGTTCTCCAAGTCCGGGTTTCATTGTCCGCTACCCCCAACTTTCTTTGACAGACCCCCTGCTCACAATGAGTATTCATACATGCCCGGTGCCGAGACAGACTGTCACAGATTCGAACAGGGATGTCATTGAGGATGGCGGCGGTTGCCTGCAAGGACGAGGGCGAGGTGTCTAACCCTGGGGAATATATAAACTCCCTCGGTCCTCACGGATCAAGTCAGTCAGAGTCCAGTCTCCCAAGTCAGTCCAGTCCGGGACGAGGACAAAGGGAGAGTGAAGATTCAGCAACAACTCGACTATTGACTTTTATAGACCGTGTGGGCAGAATTGCACTGCCTATTCCCTTCCTTTTGATCGGTGATGCAGAGTATGCTAACGGAGTGTTAGGGTTCTTGTCCGACGAAACTACATACTCACATACACAGGGGTAAGTCCTCTCCCCAGCAAGTCCTGCTAACAAGGTCCAAACAGTTAGGGCACGCCCGTCTAGTCGACTTGGTTGATTCCAGAAATATGACGTTCTTTCCCGATTTTTGGCTCCCTGGTTCTCATGCTTTACACTGATAATATTCCCCAGGTCTTTTATTAACTACCTAAACAATATTTGCACGAGGTATGTCCCTCGCACTTATCATGGGGAGCTGACGTGCCATAGTGACACCATAACCAAGACTGCCGCCTACCAGGGTGATACGAGCAAGGCTTAAAGCAAGTGGAGGATGGTGGCAGGGTATTTCACAACATCAGGCTAGCCTCAATAGTTCCCCCCTCATTATCATTTTCTGTGGCTGACTATTATTCTCCGAAGGCGCAGTTCCCCCGGAAAGTTGATGCCTCTGCCGGCTACGTACCCACGAACCTATTTTTAGGCGCCGACCAGGCCCATAACTCGTCCCTTGACGACTAACCTTCACTCTTTCTTTCTTTCTTTCTCTCCGACCCGCCATTTCACTTTGTAGACGCGCGCCCCTGGCTTTGTTCCAGCGCGCAAGATGATTGACGAGAATCTCCCCAGTAAGTATCGTTCTTTTCTGTTCCTGTCCCTGTTCCTGTCCTGTCGGCCAAACGACGTCATTTGCCGCGACTCACATTCCATGCCATTCCTGCGCTGAACTGACCCGACCCGACCGTAAGCCTTCTTCATCAAGAACAATAACCCCCAGAAATCGCAAAACTGCACCGTCTACTACCAGCAACATGGCAATGACCCCGACCCCGCCTACGCCCTGCGCTACCTCGACCCCGCCGCCCCAACTTCCCACAATCGCTACGGCGTCGGCCTGTACGATCCGTACGTGAAAGACATCGTCTACGGTGAAGTCGCTGTGGTCCCCGAATGGAACCAGCCCAGTCTCTCAGCAGAGACGATCCGCGCGAACGGCGGCACCGCGCCACCCCCGAACCCATCCTCCCCACACAGTTCACGATCCAGCTGTACAACCCGGACCAACAGATCCTGGTGCGGCACAAGGCCAAGAGCTGGAACACGCCTGCACGATGGGAGTTTGAAATGCCACAGCGCACGTTCCGCGTCCCATCGGGGTCGACGCTCGACCAGACGCAAAGCGATCCCGCTGCCGAAGAGATCACTCCGAAGCTGCGCTTCAGCTGGCGCAAAGATGGCAAGCTGTCCAAGGACTTATCGTGTCTGCTGCATGGCAAGTCTGCGACGGTTCCAGATGCGCGGACGAGGAGCCGCGAGCCTGATATTACTGTCGCGCTCTTCCAGGGCCTGCGCGAGCTCACACTCTATGAACCGAATCTTTACCGCGTCGAGATGGAGGACTTCAAGGGGCTAGAGGTTGTGTTGCTCTTGGCTGCGATTGCTATTCGAGATATCTTCTTTGGGCCCGCGAAGGAGGCTTTCCATATCGCTACCCTCGGGACGGGGCAGTCCAGCACAAGACCTCATGGCTCGGCACCGTCGGCCGCAAATGGCAGCAAACCGTCGCCGCCTCGTCTGAATATCCCGGCGAAAGCAACAGCGCCGTCCCCTCAACCGCGACGGCGTCAGGAAGAGATCGCCAGAGAAGAGGAGAGACGGACCAAGGAACTTCTCGCGAAAGAAGAGAAGGAGCGGCGCCGCAAAGAAGCTGCGATTGAGCAAGAGACAAAACGTCTCCAGCAGCTATACGGCAGGGAAGAGCAGGAAGCGCGAGCCCAGTCCACAAGACCGGGCCTACCCCCCCGGCCTGGCGGCGGCCCCTCCCGACCATACTCCATGTCATATTCCCAGTCCTCTACGAACATTCATTCTCCCAATCCCTCCTACTCCTCCTCACAACGTCCCGCATATCCACCCCGTCCACAATGGCAGCAGGGCGCCCCCGGGCCCACCTCCTTCGCCAACAACCCCTACCTCCACGCCTCTCAACAGCCGGGGTCGTACTCGACGACACACCTCCCGCAGCCACGGCCGCAGTCCTCGGTCAGCTTCTACCCGCAACCTACCAGTAGCGGTGCGCTCCCGCCTGGAACCAGGCCGAATGCGCCAGTGCAACCGAAGAAGAGCAGCTTTTTTGGATTCCTTAAGAATCGGGATGAGCCCGAGCGCGCGACGCTGCAGAGGAAGCGGAGTTCCATGTTTTGATTTGTGTTGATGGATGTGATGATCTACGATACCCTCCTACATACCTAGGTAGTACATAGCTCTCTGTGTTTAGCATATCCAATGCATTTCCCTGGGTTTGTCTATTCCTGCCCACTAGGTAGTGATATCGTCCATCCTATTCTACCCTAAGCGAGTAGACACCATACCACAATCTATATTTACATGAGTGACGTGCGTTAGTCTTATGCTCGGTAGTGGTCCCGACGAAAAAAATTTATCACTACATAACTGGGCAGACCACCGGTCCAAATGGAATTCCACTCTGAAGGAATACGATGCTTTATATACCAAGTGCCACGTGCCGAACCCTACACGTCCTAGGGTCTCTCTATCACTTGCGATTTTCTACCAACTGATTGTAAGATCCACCCATACGTAGGAATAAGCCGACACCAAGGATCTGTGGGCTGCACCAACACTGAATAGTGCCTAATACTTTTTGGCCCCCATCTCTTTGCGGCGGTTAGCGATGCCTCGTCCATAGCCACGTCGACATGAAACAGGTTGTGTGGCCCATTTTCTACTTAGCTCGGTGCCGGGGAGGTTACTGTTGTCTGCAGGAGATTTCTAATGAGGGAATATTAAAATAGATCAGGGTCTAACTAGTCATACAGGGGGCGCATATCCCAAAACAAACCATCCGAGCGGAGCCCTGACGATCGACTAACCAGCTTCAGGAATATCGGGGGCGGTGGGCCACCAACAGCTCTCCACGGTGGCCAATACTAGCCGTCAGGATATAACGATCGCCGGGGCGGCCCTGCCCACGGAGAAGGGAAAAAAGCCAAGCCAAGCCGAAGGAATTGGAATAGAAACTAGTCTTTCAGCCTCGTAGAATGCTCTCCTGTGAAGTACCCCAACTTTCTTCACCTCCGACGGCGTATAGAGACTGAAAGCGATTGCGAGTCGCGTCGTCGGACACCGCGACTTCAGTTTTTACCGTCATCATGTCGAGAATCACGGCGGCATTGCCACTGACCACTACCTTCGTCCCGCCTAGCACATGTATCTCCGACACCTATCTCGCCAGCAGCGGGTGCACCACTGGCATATGTGATGGGTTATGGATGAACCTTGGGCCCGGACCGCAGAGCACGGGGGCCTGCCTCCCTTCCAGCTGGTCGCCATACAGCTATTATTCGCCTGGTGTCTGTCCGTCAGGGTATTCCATTGCCTACAGCAGCGTAGGTAGTGGGGATGACCCAGAGACGTTCGCGACGTGCTGTCCTTCGTACGTACCATTTGCTCGCACATCCTGCCTGATAGTTAAAAAGACATTGTTGCTAACTATCAGAACAGGTCTTATACAGCCCGCACCGCCATCCCCGGATCGGAATCCGGGACGGCATGGTATACCTCCGAACAATGCTACTGGCAGCCCACGGCCGGCGCAACCATATATGAGTACACATATTTCGACCAAGGCGGATCATGGTTCAGCGGCACCAGCACTATGGACACCAGCGGGATGATAAATGCGTACGGCGTATCGATTCGGTTCCGGTCTTCACCATCCACGACGTCCGCGACCAGCACATCATCCAGCTCAGGCCTAGCCCAGGAAACACAGGCCAAACCCAAGGCAGCGCCCAAGTCCTCCAGCTCCGAAGGTGCATTTGCGACGGGGTTCAATGCCGCGAACGAACACCCGAATTCCTCCTCAAGCGGTCTTTCCACCGGCGCAAAGGCCGGCATTGGTGTAGGCGTTGCCGTTGCCGCTGTCGCCGTGATCGCGGGTCTGGTGTGGTTCTGCATGACGCGCAAGCGCCGCGGTGCTGTTGCGAAAGATAAGTGGCAGCCGGCGGATTTGGAGCCGGCTCAGCGTCGGCAGGCAGAACTGGCGGCCAGTTCGCCTTCTCTTATGACCGAGTATCACGGTGCATTTAAGCCGCAGCACAGAATGCCCGTTGAGTTGGATTCTGAGGTGTATTATGAAAAATGAGATGTCTGTCCCCCAAGGGTTCAAGGTTGACCTGGCCTAGCCTAGGCTTTCCTTCTCTCTCTCTCTCTTTCTTTCCTTTGATGTTTTCAGGATACTGGTTTTTATTCCCGTGCATCGCTCATTACGCAACTTCTGGGGGTGTTGCTTTTTTCCTTTTCTTGTTTTGCATTGGCGTCCTTGGAATATACCTGTTCTGTCCATGCGTCGCTAGGAAATGTGGGTGCTGTGTATATATTCGAGAGCACTCCAGGAGTGTGCTTAGAGCGATAGAACAAATATTTTGTCTTAGCTCTTGTCATGGTGGTGGTTGATCTGAAGATCTAGAATAGATGCGTTGAGAAAACGCCGCAATGCCAACAGCGGCCCACCATAGACCTGGGTAGTCATTAGCATGCTCATCAAAAACTGCAAGATACGTGAAGACCCAGTGGGGCTCACTTATTCTCGGCCTTCTAGACACTTGGAGCCAAGCTTTATCGGAGGGTATACTGAGTGAAGTATATACTCCTTCACAACCCAATCTGCCCGTAAGCAGAAACACGCAAATATAAAGCCCCGGCCCAGGAGACGCCGGCGAATAAACAATGACGTATATCCACCACTTACATGCATCCAGACAGCCCCTCCGCAACCGCGACATGTTGACGGCAGATGACGTGCCCACACCCCGGTAACATCAGTCACCACGAGGGCGCCATCGCAACGCTCTAATTCCGTAACCTTATTGCGTGCTAAGCGATTGATAATCCATTTGCAGTATATACAGAGCGGGGTTCTTCCCGTCGGGATATGGTTTTCGGGATATGCTTGTTTTTGTGCATTGTCTGGGGTCGGTCCAGTATTGGCTATATATACTTCGTAATCGGTTCTCTTGTCCGCCCCTCCTATCTATTTACCGGTACTGCTGGAGTTACACAGTAAAACATAAGACTTTTCTCATCAACGAGCATGCCTGCTAAGATTATTGATCGATATGACCATGTCCCCGAGACGAAGGAGGATCGTGAGTATCTTTCTGGCTTATATCGTGTTTTGTTTCAGCTTGCTAATTAGCCCCTATTAGTTGACTGGGCTGAACTGATTACCCTTGATCTCAGCTTGTATGAGCAACCCGGTGGCAAGCAAGAGCTGGTGAAGCAGCTGGAGCATGCAGTCCGCCACGTGGGTGAGTACAGAATCCCTATCATTCTTTGAATACGGTACACGTTGCTGATCATCTATGTACAAGGCTTCTTCTACGTCAAGAACTTTAACATTAGCCAAGAAGAGATCGACCACCAGTTCGCTCTGGGCCGCGAGTTCTATGCCCTGCCCCTCGAGGAGAAACTCAAGTACCACAGCTCGAGTGACCTGGAACGTGGCCAGTATAACGGCTACCGGCCTGCGGGACACCGCATGTGGGTTGACGCGTCCGAAGATATACATTCGCTGACTTGTGCAAAGGCTTGGAAATGGAATCAGGGATAATGTGCAGGTGTTCAATATCCCCAAATTTGACGGACAGCACGTTCGTCCACAGCCTGCAGTGGTGCAGGATCATATCGAGGAGGTTGAATCTTTCAGCAGAGTAAATCTCTCTCCTTCCCACCTCTACTTACTAGCATTATATTGGGTTTCGTTTTACTGATATAAAATAGAAATGCCACACAGAAGTCGTCGAAAAACTCCTCCGCCTTTTCGCCATCCTCCTAGAACTGCCGGACGAAGACCAGCTCGTCCGCGACCACCAGTACGATGTCCCCGGCGAGGATCACCTGCGATACATGCACTACAAAGCGCGCAGTGCAGACGACAATTCCAAAGTTGGAGGCCTGTATAATCCGGGCCACACAGATCTAGGGACAGTCACCCTGCTCTTCCGCCAGCCCGTTGCGGCGCTGCAGATCCTCAACTCAGCCGGCGACTGGAAGTGGGTGCGTCCGCAGAACGGCACGATTACCATCAACACATGCGATGCGCTCACGGCTCTTACGGGGGGATTGATTAAATCGAGTATTCATCGCGTCCATGCGCCGCCGAAGGATCAGGCGCATTTGGATAGACTGGGTGTGTTGTATTTTGCGCGGTGAGTTGCTTTCCTTTCTCTCCGCCTCTCTCTCTTTTCAGGATTCTTGTTAAGATCATCCTTATGAACACGCAATTTCTATTTCTAATACATCGATGCCGATGCAGACCAAACAACCACGTCGTACTCGACCCAATCCCCAACAGTCCCCTTCTGCAGCGTCTGGGTCTAACGCAGAACGCATTCACCGAGCTAGGACAGCACCTTACTACGGAGGAGTGGGTTAAGGTCCGCCAGACGCAGCAGCAGCGACGCAAGGTTACGACTACTGTATCCAGAGAGGGAAAGTACTCATACGCACCGAAGGATTTGGAGATTATTCCGGGGTTGCAGGCCAAGATTTATAACTAGGGCTGGGTATTAGGAGGTTGTGTCTTGTCCTTTTATATAGTTATTTATGTCTGGGCCTTTTTTTGGTGAGGTACAGGTATTGGCATGCTAGCTATTCGGTTCTTGTAGAGTGGAATCCGGTGTACCCTTGAATATAACGATTCTTGAGGTTTGCTTTTTGATACATTGAGCTCGATGCTTCGTTCACACTTATACGTCGGCCGGCATGTGCTTTGGTAGCTAGCCCTAAAGCTTACAGTTCATAACTACCATGATGATTTCGGGTGCTCATAATGTATCATGTTCTAGCATAAGAGAAAGAGGTAAACACTGCCAGGTTGAAAGACAGAGTTAATGATATGAACAAGACGTTGAAGACACTCTGTGAAGGCATAAAGACTCAGTGACCCACATCACAGACTGACGGCACGGGCACTCAGCACTCCACCCTCTTTCACCAAATCCGTAGCAACATGCTGGCCAACCACACGGTCAATCCCCAGAATCATCAGTGCTTCCGTCGACACAGGTCTATCTTTCACTACCGCAACCTCAGCTGTGCCACTATCCTTGCTGGACTTGGGCTCATCCGCTTCGCCGCTCGCTAGCTTGGGCGACACAGCGGCGACGGTCATGAAGTTAATGTTGACGCCCTCTCGGCCTAGAATGCTACCCACGACGCCGATCTTACCGGGCGAGTCATAGTTTTCGCAGATGAGGAGTGTTCCCTCTGGTGCGAACGATGCCTCGAATCGACCAAGGCGAGTGATCAAGGGCTCACCTCCAGAGCATGTTCCCGAGATGATCCGCTGAGGCTGCGGCTGGGTCGCTTCTACCTTCTCGCCGCGTGCGTGTGACGATGCGCGGGACGGGGGACGCGCAACAAGAGTCACTAGGGACGAGTATGACGAGGATTGGTCCGCCGGGTCGCGAGAGTGCTGCTCGGAGACAAAGACGCCGCGCTCCTTGGCTACCAACTCTGCATTGACGATGTTGATGTTGATTCCTTCTGAACTGCTGATAGGAGCCAGGAGGCCCTTGATTAGCGCTGCAAAGAGAGGCTTCGTGTTACTGATACTGGCTACTTCGCCCTGGTAGATCAAGTCAAAGGTGTTGCGGGTCATGGAGCCGCCTGGCGCGGAGGCATAATAATGGGTGTACAGACTGCCGAGTTTTTCAACTAGGCGCACGAATGGTTGAAGTTTCTGATACTCCTCAGGCAGAATGAGGGGTGCATTGACGGCGCTGCGAGGTAGGGATCCCTTCAAGATCTCGAGGACCTGCTCACATACATCGACCGACACATTCTCCTGGGCTTCTACCGTTGACGCACCCAGATGCGGAGTGACCACTGCACGCGGATGAGCAATGAGTTTCGCTGCAGTTGAATCTGCAGCCGGTGGCTCTGTAGTAAAGACATCGACAGCTGCGCCGGCTAGGTGGCCCGACTCCAGAGCCGCGAGTAATGCAGCTTCATCGATCGTTCCTCCTCGTGCAACGTTGAGAATCCGCGCACCAGGCTTCATCTGGGCCAATTCGGCCTCTGCAATCATGCCACGGGTCGAGGCTATCAAAGGCGTGTGGATCGTCAGAAAATCGGCCGAAGCCAGCAACTCCGGCAGTGACGAAACCAGTGTGACCGATGCCGCGGCAGCAACTGCCGGGGATGCATATGGGTCCATCGCATTAACCGTCATCCCCAGACTCTTGGCCAGACGGGCCACCGTCAAACCAACTAGGAACGGATGTCAGATTCTCCGCAAAAAGGAAGGCAAGCGGGGAAGAACTAAATGCGAAACCCACCTTTACCCAGCCCAATAATCGACAACGTCTTGCCCTTTACCTCGACTCCGACGAACTTACTCCGCTCCCATTTGCCATCCTTCAGGGTCGCACAGCCCTCGGGGATTTTGCGGGCCATTGCCATCATCAGTGCAATGGTGTGTTCCGCCGCGGCACCAATATTGCCCGAGGGCGAATTGACCACCACGATTCCCAACTTTGTCGCTGCTTCGACATCTAGAGTCAAGCCAGTGAGTAGCTAAGCCCTAGAAATTTCGCGGGAGACTGTTCTTACCGACATTATCCACCCCGACTCCGGCGCGGGCGACGACTTTTAGACGACGGGCAGCCTGCAAGACGGTGGCTGTCACTTTGGTCTCGGATCGGACGAGGAGGGCCTCGTAGTCGGGGATGATCTGGAGCAGGTCGTCGGCACTGAGGCCGCGACGCTCGTCGACGTCAAGTGAGGTGCGCAGCAGAGCAAGGCCATCCGGGGACAGCTTCTCTGGCACAAGGACCTTGGGACGGGCAGTGTCGCGGAGTAGAGGCATGGTTGAATGGAATCAATTGTAGGAAATGGTGAGAAGCAGAAAGGGAAACAGGAACGAGAGGTCGTTATATACTACAAACCAAGGACAACTCTACATGCGCGGCAGGCGCGCATTGATCCAGCTCTCCCGATCTCGGTAGAATACCTATATGTCCCTACTTCGGTACTAAGTATACCAATCAGGGCATCACCAATATCTCATCGAGGGGCATCGCGCGGGGTCGGGCCCTTGATTGGACTTCTCCCGTTTCGCTAAGAACAGGGATGATGCAAGCCCTACAAAAATCCCGGGTGGTCCTCCGTCCTGCTCGCAGTCGGCCTTGCTGACCATCCTGAGCAACCAGTCGTCCAGCCTTAGCTCATATCGTCACGACAAAATCCTCGTCTTCAGCTCCTTCTTCCCAAAACAGAAAAAAGTGGGACGATACGATCCCCGATCGCGGATCTCCCGTATTTGAAGCGACTCGCCTCTGGGGCCAAAAATCGCGAGCTCTGTGGCTTGTTTTCCCGGGTCTCGCTCTCTCTTCTAGAACACAGTCGTTTCCGTATCGCGTTCTTGGCTCTGTTCAGCCCCGACGACGCCAAATGTCGATTACTTAAAGGCTGTGCTGCTGCGGACGCATGCTTCTTTCCAGTCATGAATCTCCTTTGAGCCTCAAGCTTTTGCCATGGTGGGGGTTCCACACAGCAAGGGCTGCGCGCTCTGTCGCGAACGACACATCAAGGTGAGAGAGACTTTATTCAATGATCTCCTGGTATTAACGGCAACAGTGCGACGAAGCGCTGCCCGAATGCACCCAGTGCCTGCGTTACGGCCGCCCCTGTCCCGGATATCGTCGCACGTTCCGGTTTCAAGATGAGGGCCCGTCCCTGGACAAGATATACCGTCCCCATCCTCGGCGGAGACACAGACGCGCGACGGCCAGAGCTGCTGTAGCGGCCACCTCGACAACTCAACCCAGGTCTTCTTCTGCCCAGTCTGTCGCGCACGTCCCAGAGCCCGACAGAGGAGCGGGGGAAATAGCGGCGGCGGTCCGTGACAATGCCATCAATCTAATGCGCCGGCACTCGGCCACCATGGCCATCGATGAGAGCATGTCGCCATCACTAGTACGCCAGTCCTTCAAGGCGGCGCAACCCCAGCTCTTCCTCGATTTTATCAGCGCGGCTTTCCCTACGCTCTACTTCCATAACAAATTCCGCGCGGGCAGTGACCCTGGCTTCCCGACGTACATCATCCTCGCCTATGGACAGGACTCGTACCTCGACTCGGCCATCTGCTGCCTGAGCTCGGTGTACCTGGCCCATCTCACACAGGACCGAGCCCTGCTCCGGGTCAGTCGACACATGTACGCCGTGTCGCTGGGCGAAGTCATCCGCGCATTGCCCAAGCCCGGGCACGCCATGTCCGACAATATGCTCTGCACAGCGATGATGCTCAGCGTCTACGAGATGTACGCGCAGACCTCTCCAGGCGCATGGGTCGTTCACGCCGATGCAGTCAAGCGGCTGATGCAGTCCCGGGGCGCGGCAGCGCACAAAGTTGGCTTCGGACGGTCCTGCTGGATTGCCTTTCGTGGGTTCCATATCGCTACCGCGGTCTACGAGGGGAAACCCTGCTTCCTCGATGAAGAAGACTGGCAGCGCTTCGCAGCCGTCATCATGGCCGAGGATGCCCAGAAACCAGGCGAGTGGTCCGCCTACGCCGACTTGTCCGATCTCGCCTTTATGGAGATCGCCAAATGCCCACGCTACCTTTCCGAAGCGCGCGATATTATCTCCGGCATCACGGACCCAAATCCCACTGTCATCACCTCCCTCATCAGTCGCATCCAACGCACCTCGCACTGTCTGCAAGCGCTTAGCGCCCAACTCCGCTCCTGTATCAGCGGCCACGGACAGCGCCAGCAGGGAATCATCAAACGCCCCGGCTCATTTATCGGACCAGTCCCAGAGATTTTCCCAGAAACAGGCCCCTCCCTACTCCTCCGCGGCGCGGAGAATCTAATATCGACCCTGAGCCAACTGTGGACCCGGCTCGACGACATGCTGCGCATTCGACCCGCTGAGGAACTTTCCCCGGAGTCTCCATACTCCTCCGTTGCTAGTCCATCCGGCGACAGCAGCGTCACGTCTCCGTCACAGCACTGCTCGACCCCGTCTGTTACTGCCAAGCCTTGCACCACTACATTGCCATTCCGCATACACTCCGAGCTTGGGCGGGGTCCGTCAAGGACCTCTGATCCCAATGATCCGCGCGGTGTGATATGGTTGGATCGTGTGGCTTCGTCGATGGGTATGCTGGGGACAAGAGTCGTTCCTGCTGGAGAAGGGGAGGAGGAATCTGTTGCAGGTCGTATAGATGATCGGGAATTGTCAACCGGGAAATATACCATTCAGAGCTGAAATTCTGTCATTGGCACTTTTTGGCCTAGCGGTACAATTTTACACACATTGTGGTCGACAGGAGGCTTAATTGTTCGTTAGCGAGCGCTTGTTTTTTCGCCTACTTTTCCTCGTGCCAAAGAATAACTGTATGAGACCTTGGCTGGCTCCAGGGCTTTTCTTATTTATACGATATACGATTTGATGATTTGAGCCAAGTGCATGAATTGACATTCATTTTTTTATCACAATTCGTCATGTAGGACTAGAACGCATAATATATACAAAATGAACACTTTGCGCAGAACACTTTCGCGTTACCAGCCTGGGCACTAGTATGACCCGTACCTAGTATTCCATCGATTCCTCAAGCAACTTCCTCAATTCCCCCTTTTCAGCCTCCAACTCCTTACTCAGCGTCGGCGCAAGCATAAGCACGCGCTGCTGCGGAATCGTCCCCTCAACCAGACCCTCGACATCGGAGTTCTTGAACCCCAGGTCCTTCAGCCCGCGCGGCTGATCACCCAGCTTTAGCAGGAACTCCGCCAGCGCAGCGCCGAGAACTTCGCCCGCACTCTCGCGCTTCACGTTCGAGATATCAATACCGAACGCCTCAGCGGCGGCCAAGTGGCGGTCTGGGTTCGAGGCGGCCGTGAAGCGGAAGACGGCTGGCGCAGTAACGGCGACGGAGACGCCGTGCGGGATGATCGGGTAGTCGACTTCGTAGCCATTGTGCTTGTAGCCGGGGTTCTGGCTGGAGATCGGGTAGCTCATGCCGTGGCACAGGTGCACGCCTGCATTGCCAAATCCGACACCTGCGAGCGTGGCCGCGAGGAGCATGTTCGACTGCGCCTCGTGGTCGTCCGGGTCCCGAACCGCGCGAGGGAGGTACTTGACCGTGCTGCGGAGGGCTTGTAGGGAGAAGATGTCGGATATGGGGTTTGCGCCTTGGTAGGCTGGGCGGTTGATGGGGTTTGTGGGGCGCGGGGTGCGTTCGTTGTAGGGGATTGCGGTCCAGGATTCGAGCGAGTGGCAGAGCACGTCAAGGCCGGACGAGGCGTGCACTGCTGAGGGCATAGTGCGCGTGTTGAGCGGGTCGCAGATTCCGAGCGTGGGCTTGAGGTTGCGGTGGGCGATGCCCGTCTTCGCTTTCTTGGAGACTAGGTCGAAGATTGCTGTGCCTGTTGTCTCGGACCCCGTGCCGGCGGTCGTGGGCACGGCTACGAGCGGGCGCAGAGGCTTGGTCACAGGGAGACCTTTGCCCAAGGGTGCATTGACAAAGTCTAGGAAGTCGGCCTCGGGGAACACAGTGTAGAGATTCATCAGCTTGGCCGTGTCGATGACGGATCCACCGCCTGGAATCGGTTAGTTTCTTGTAGCCACGAGGTGATCAAAGTACATACCGACAGCGAGGAAAGCATCCGGGTTGTATGGCTTAGCAAATGCAATCGCCTCCTTCACCCTGCATTGCAGTGGTGGTTAGACTACGGTCGACCAAATCCAGGGTTCAACGTACGAGCTGTCCTTCGGTTCGACGCGGACTTTGTCGAACACGGTAAACTCAATGCCCTCACGGGTGAGACCCTCAACGGCCTGCTTCATAGCATCAAGCTTGGTGACGGTGGAGTCGGTGACGATGCACACGCGCTTAGCGCCCATGTTCTTGAAATCCATCCCGACCTCCTTGGTCGAACCGGGCCCGAACCGGATGCTGGACGCGGCCATCTCAAAGGCATACTCCTTCTCCCGGGCTGGGTCGATCGGTGTGGCCATGTGGCGGCGCACATGGCTCAGCAGGGACGGGGTCTGGTGGTGATGGTGGTGGTTTGGATTGGAGTGGCACGGACAAGTTGGCGGGTGGGTGTACTGCACAGTGCGCAGCAGGTTTAGGGCGCGGTTGGCGGCTGAGGGAGCCACCCGAATTGCAGGCGAGACCATAATGATAATGAAAGAGAGAGAGCGCGCGTGGAAAGAAATGGGGGAGAGGGACGGGAGAGGGACGGGACAAAAGAAGAGGTGAAGCGAAGAAGTGACGGATAGAAAGCCAACCCCCAAGTTGGAGAAATTGCGGGGAGAGATCGGTGTTGTAGCCGAAAGATGGCTATACGGCGAAAATTGTCATTATGATTGTTCTAGGATAAATGTCATGAAGAACTCGTATATTCTCATCATGTATTCATATACTAATTAAAGTGCCTACTTTGCGATCGATCCTTTTTCTCCGTGTCCAACGAGTGTTCAACAACCTCGGCAAACCGCCGTCTCCATCCATCATGACATCAGCTACCACCCCCACCACAACCTCAACAGAGAGTCAACACCAAATCCGTAGACGCATCGCTCACCCGTACCTGGCTACCAGCCGGTGGAATGCCCTGCTCCCAGTAGAGCTCCGGCTCAGCAGGCTGCACCCGTACAGAGTATCCAGCAAAGGGATCGCCAAACACATCGGAGAGGTCGTACCACACCTGTTGCTCGGACAAGTTATAGGCAAACACCGTCGTGGGCGCACTAACATACAGTCCATCCTGCTCGGTGCTGATCTTGATGGCGATCCCGCCGGCGACGGGGTCCTCCCGGAAGGTCTCGGCGAATTGTCCGTCGGAGGGGAGGATCACCTCCGGCCGAACGGTGGACCCGACGGACCAGATGTACACTGGGTTTTTGCAGAAGTTTATCACTACGGCGCGCCCGAGGGGCTTGGCGGAGGGTGTTGGTGTTGGGTTTGAGTAGATAGCAGAAGAAGAGGAGAGTGTGGAGGGCGTGATGCTTTTTAGTTCGCGTGGTTGGTTATTGTTTGGGAGGGAAGTTCCCAGCGAGGCGAGGGAGAGTAGTGGAAGTAGATTGAGGAAATGCATTGTGAGGATCTGAGGGAGACGCCTTGACTGATAGCTAGTGAGTTTGGTGGGAGTCGGGATGGTTTATATTCTCTGCTCGTCGGCCATACAGACACTTGTGAGAGATGAGTCGGAGTATTGTAGAGAGTACAGAGCACAACGTCCACGGGAAACACCTGAGGAATGTTACACTCTGCAATGGTTGGGCCGGTCCTACGACAAGAATGCGGGCAGTAGGGTCTTTAGATTGGGTATTCAGGGAATATGTATCAGGAGGGTATGTATTCTCATGTTATAGAACACAGAATGTGATTCAAACCCTAGAATTGACTGTAGTTGGGTCCCTATAGTATGCTTTATTTCCAGTGTCTCAACTGATGGACTTAGGGCTAGTATTCCTCTGGCGATTAGGCCTGTTTGCCCAGAACAAGCCCAGATCCTCCCTCCCCTGGGCAGGGCGAGATCTGTCCACCCGGAATGCCCAATCGGAGGATCTGGAAAACCGGCACAGGGACCATTCGTAGCTGGGAAGCCCTGTGGAATGTGGAAACCAAACACCCTCACCCAGAGCTTCTGCAATTATCAGATGCAAATGGAGACTATTTTTACTTGACAGAATGCTTGTGGCGCATTCATGTGAAGACAAAGCTATGTCCCTGTGACACAAACAGCCGGTCGGGGACATCCCAGCAAGCGGCTTTAATTTGCCGATGCGATTCCGGCACAATCCAATGCCGAAGAATGCCCTACTTGAGATTCAACGAGTGCATATCCTTTGGATGAGTATGTGGATGACTAGGCATTCATAGGCAGTATAGAGGACAATACGTTCTCTTGCACATTCTATATTGCAATATATATACAATAGAAATTTGTTTAAGAAGAGCAATATACAGAACCCACTGTATCAAACAATCCAAAAAACCCCAATAAAACTCAGGAATGAGAAAAGGAAGCGCTCGCAATCCTCGGCTCGCCTAGAACGAGACAATGTCCGAGGTACCCAGAGTGGCGTTGCCCTTGCGGGCCACAACCTGGATATAGCTAGTAGGCAGGTCACCCAGGGAGACAGCAGTCTCAAAGCCCGTGCGGACATTATTGGCCGAGATCTCGGTGTTGTTGACCGAGGTGTTGGAGGTAGCAGCCAGGATAGCCCAATTATCGTATTCGGTAGCGCCGTTCCAGCTCATGTAGATATCGGCACTGTTATTCGAGGTGCGTGTGATGGCCAGCGAGGGCTTCCAGAAGGGAGTGGCCTTCCACTGGCAGCGGTAGCCACGGTACGAGGCAACGGCGTTGTCCTCACCGAAAGCAGCGCTGAAGACCACGCTGCCGTTGGGGCTGAATTCCTTGACCTTGGAGATGGAGCCGTAGTCCATGAACGCATGCTGGTTCGTGTAGCTCAGGAGCTGGGTACTGCCCTGGCTGACGGAATGGATGGTGTCCTCGGGGTCGATCAGCGAGCGCAAACCCGTCACGGTGTGGTTTTGCAGGTCAATGCCCAGGAAGAGGCCGGAGGTCTGGCCCTCGGAGTCGGTCTGGGTGTTGTGGTTGTTGAACAGACTGAGGACCATGCCGTGGTCGGTCTCGTTGTGGACACGGATATCGTGCTGCCATGAAAAGTTGGTGTTGCCGATCTGCTTAAAGTCGCCGCCGTTCTCGCCGTCTATCTGCCACATCACCGTGCCGTTGTGGTGCAAGTAGAAGCCGGACCACATGTGGCGCAGGGACACGAGGTAGCCGTGGTGGGTAGTGGTGATGGCGTTGATGTGGTAGGCATCCCAGGGGTTTTCCTGAGTGCCGGCATCGGAGGCAAGTGCCTGGTGGCTGCTGTTCAGAGGGATGGCATCCTGATGATCGAGGGCACTCCACGAATTGATGATCCTGTTGGTGGGAATATCAATTTCGTAGAAGTGGCTGTCGAGCATCCAGTCCGAGGTCGTACCGTTGACAGAGGTCAGATCATGCTGGGTGAGGTTGTATGCGGTGACCAGCATGGTGTTGTTGGGAGTGATATGGCTCTCGTGCAGGTCAATATAGGAGTCCTTGGTGGAATTGTCCGGCGTGACGAATGCGCCAGTCAAGGTGACGGTATAGATCTCATTGTAGGTATCATCGAGAATGTGGACCGTACCGTAGCCGTAGCCAACGTCCAACATGTCACCGGCCCAGAAAGTGATGACATCCTTGCCGAACAGCTTCTGCACCATGAAGTTGGCAGTAACCTCCTCAGGACCGTCGTAGATCAGATTCCCGGAATTGTCGTAGATGAGGGCAGCCTGGCCGGCAGACTGAACAGCTCCACGAGGTCCAAGGAAGAGATAGCCCGGGGTGACAGGTCCGGTCTGGTTGATCTGCAACTGTGGCGGCTGGAGGTCGATAGACTTATAGGAAAGGTAAGGCCAGTCGGCTGCCGCACCGAGGGCCAGCAGCAAGGCGCTACCAGCAGTATACCACCATCGAGCCATTGTATAATATGTATAAAAAAGAGCGATACAAAAGAGTGTGAATTCCAAGTAAAAGAATGGCGATAGTGAGAAAGTTCAGAAACCTATCCAGCATCCAGCACGACCGGGGGAACTGCCTTCAACTTAAAGGTCCACGACAAGCCTTCGGCCAGAGGGGCAACCCGGAGCGCAGCCCTGAAGATCATTACCGTTGAGGTGGGAGGCAAGACGGAGTGGGTAGAAAAAGGCTTCACGATCCAACCAGGGTGTCGGAACAGTCTGCCGAAGCTTGGCGATATACGCAATGGCAGTACTTCGGGTTCGGAAACGCAGGATATTGCACTTTGCCACCAGGTACCAGGTCCCGGAAATTTAGGTTTATCCATCGGCAGACACCGATGCCATCAGAGGCTCAGGAACATGATAATCGGCTGAGACTTCACTATAATTGTCTTTCTCTCTGTACTTCTTCCATTCATATGTCTCCGAGTGCCTTCCAAATTAACAAGCCTTTAGCCACTGACGTATAGAATGGGTCCGCCGTTAGATTGAGGCTCTTCCCACCCTTTCCTCTCCGCGGGACTTTCAATAGCCGATCCCTCTTGGCAAATTTCATCCGCGTGAGCGAAACCACACTTGGGCCAGTTACGGTACAACGTGGTTGGAGATTTTCTCCCGTGGGCCTGTGACTCGGCCGTTTGACCCAACGGTGGAGACTGGAAAAGCATTGCGAGTGGTTGAACCAGTGATCAAAGAGAGTGGCGGCGAATGAGGCAAAACCATTCAGAGTATGGTACCGAACATGGCAACGCGTCATCTTACTATTTCCGGACATTTGACAGTCATCCCGACACCAGTTGCCAATCTATGTCAACCGAGGCGCCTCGCTGGGATAAAGTAATAGTCGTGTTCCCGATTGGGAAGAGATATGTATTGAGCAAGGCGAAATATGTCTATATGATTTAAGATAAATGTAACTTATTCTCGGCCCATTAAATCTCCACACAGACACCACAACTTGAAATAACAGGCCAGATACTCGACGGATCTAAATTTAGGGATCGACAGAAGCCCGCAGAACACGGATAGCGATGATCCTGACTCGCCAGGTATTGATTGGCGATTGCAGACGAGTCACGATGCCTCGGGTTTCAGGTTTCGCGTACGCTCTCTAGCCAAGGCCCCAATATCGCTATCGCTTTTTGCTTAGGTTTTTGCGTCCGGTCTGCTAGGTTTGCAGATTGCTATGGTCAATGCCATACACTATCCCGTAGCTTGTACCAGCAGCAATCGCGCCAACAAGTAATGTCTGTGCCGCACCGTAGAATCCTGCACGCTTGGTTTTGATGACGACGTAGTTCTTCACAAACCCGAAGCTGATGAGGATTACGACCGTGATGCCGATCGAGATGAATAATGCGTGGAGGACGTTGTGCATGGCGAAGTATGGGATCATAGGAAGCAAACCACCTATGAGAGAGCGGTTTGAGTTAGAGACAACGCGGATAATTGCAACTAGGAGCAGGTGTGGCCAGTCAAGTGACATACCGATGAAGTAAGAGACTCCCATTGTGGCTGCTGAGATCCATGCTCTAGAAACATTGGGCTTCTCTAGTCTCAGCTCAAAGTCCATCATGAACTATATGTCTTTGTGAGCGCCTCTCCCTCTATTGAGATTCATAACAAGATCATCCTCCACATACCCGAATCCACTGCTCATTGTTTTGAGCTAGGCAATCGACGACTGCTTGACTCGCCTCTCGAGATATACCATAGTCAGCGAGTATTTCATGGATCTCCTCTTTTTCGGCATGCGGTTTCGAGAAAACTTCTTCACGCTCTCGCGCTTCTTCGGTTTTGTAGTGGTCCCGATCTGTGACAGCTGCAAGATAGGCGCCTAAGCCCATTGATATAGATCCGCTGAACAGCTCGGCTAAACCGCCAATGATGACTAGTTTCGAGGAACCCAGGCTAGACAGACCAGCCGTCAGGGCGAAGGGGACTGTCATGCCATCAGCAAAGCCAATGATCGCATCCCGGACCACCGGTCCTGACTCAAAATGGCGTTCGAATGCTGCATGGATCCGGATAGGCTGTTCACTCGGGGCTTCTGCCAACAATGCAGACATTATGGACAGTGACGATGCCTCTGCACACAAACTTGGACTTCAGCATAATCTAGCACGGAAATATACATATTAATATGTGTGGTTGGCTTATCTATCGAAAAGACAATTCTTATGGTTATTTTCGTCGCCGTTCAGGCAGCCAAGGCAGCCAGCCAATCACCGTCGACCTATTTCCAAGCATCCAGGATGCCATCTAGTATTTCTCTGTGGCTGTATGCGATCCAAACCTTTTTGCTTACCGATCGTATCCTAAAGGTGAGCGATAAAGCAGGTAAGGGCGAGGCTCATTTCCGATCGTCGGTCTTTCAGGGATTTCGATGGTTCGCCTCTAATTCTGCGACGGCGGATTCCATTTCTGTATACTGCGGCCTGAGGCTAGGCTTGTCAGCACGACCGTACAAGTGTAACACATTGATGTATTTTGTCACAACCACGGTATGGTCTATCTGCTTGTAAACTGATAGTATGAAAGGAATTCCGAAATTAGGCAGAGAAAAATGCAGTATGCCGGTGTGGGCTATTCTCTATTCACCAAAACATAACCAGACTGGATTACTATTATGTTCGTTGAAATTGACTTGTGGCAGTCATTTCACCCAAAGGCCGATGTCCATGTTTGCTGTCGGAAGGTGCGTCCGGCCATGAGTGTGATGTCAGTGAGAAGTTAGGGGAGGACAATTAGAGCTGTTCACGATACGCTATCGTTAGGATTTTTCATTATCGTATATCGTATCGTTAGACTAAAATGGCACGATAATATCTTCGAGACCGCATATCGTGAACAGCCCTAGAGACGATAACTAAGTTAACCAGTGATGGGCTTCTTTGTCCTTGGAGTTTAGCATGTACTTTACTATAACTATCAAAGGTGAAAGTTGACCTGTCCACCGCACCGAGGGCAGAATGCAGACCGCATTTCTGACTGCTCCACCGTCCCTCTTCCCAGCAGAGTCCCTACGCAGCTCAGCATTCGAGCAAACACTCTAAAAGGCTCGAGAAATAATATATCCGAATCATCACTTTCCATGATCACCGGATGCGGCCAATCCAAAGTTTTGCGGGGATGGCCGTGTCCCAAGAACTCACAGTGGCCGCTTTTGGCCTTCGCCGCAGCCCGGTCCAAGCGCCGTTGATTCCTATGTGGAGGACGCGGCAGAGATGACGGTCTCCGCGATCCTTGATTCGTTGGTCTATTTCTCCTCCGCTGCGATGGGTCCGGAGGGGGTGGTTGGGGGGATTTTTTTGGCCCCCTCCCCCTTGCACCGCTGCATCGCTCCTAGTTGCGGGAGAGGCTTGCAGTGTCTCCACACCAGCTTCGGAGCTCCAATAATAACAGCAATGGCCGGCGTCTTCCCGGTAGTCGGCCCTCGCGTGGCTTCGTGCATCTCGTTTGGACCAAGGATCTGAGGTGACACCGGTGTTGCATTCTACGTGACCAGGGGCCGGATGATCGATCTTGCCTTTCAAATATTCTCGCTCGTCCCGCTGTCTGGCCGGTTTAATTGTTTCACAGCAACATATTAGTCTGCCCCAGATCCAGATCCCCTCTGGGGTTGAGTGTGTGTCACTCAAGTATTTCTGTACGACATCATGGGCAAGAGGCTCGGGCTCTTGCGGGCCGTGTACCTGGTTTGCGCCAGCTGCATGGGCTCGTTTGCGTTTGCCTTCGATACCGGCGTAATCAGTGTGTCCATTTAGAATGAACCCTAAGCTCTTATCGCTGACTTTACCCTCCGCAGGCGGTGTTCTCGCCTTGAAGTCTTTTGAGGATGATTTCGGATATGCCCACGATACGAAAGCGCAGAAGACCAACATCAATTCCAATGCTGTCTCCATCCTTCAAGGCGGTGCCTTCTTCGGTTGCTTTCTCATCTCGCCCATCGCGGCGAAGCTTGGTCGGCGCACGGGACTGATCCTCGCCTCTCTGATTTTCACTGTCGGCACAATTCTCCAGGTCATAAACTCGCACACTCTCGGGACCTTCTATGCAGGACGCGTAGTAGCTGGACTGGGCATCGGAGCTGCGACGGTCTTGATCCCCATGTACGCGGCAGAGATGTCACCAAAGGAAATCCGAGGTCGATTGGGTGCTTGTTTCCAGCTCTTCTTCGCCCTGGGCGTCATGGTGGCCTACTGGGTTACTTACGCAGTTAGCAAGGATCAGGCACTAGGCAAATCTCAGTGGCAGACTGCCCTTGGGTTGCAGCTCCTTCCGTCGAGTCTGCTCCTTTTCGGCATGTTGACGGTCAAGGAGAGTGCGCGATGGTTAGCCAGCAAGGGCAAGATCGACGAGGCGCGCGAATCGCTCAAGTGGGTGCGCGGCGGCGAGGAAACTCCAGAGTTGCAGGCGGAGTTTGATGAGATTCTGGCCGGCCTTGAGGAAGAGGCGCGCATCAAAGAGAGCTTTACAATCCGAGAGATTTTCCTTCCGGCCAACCGATACCGGTTCTTTATTGCCATCACAATCCAGCTCTGCGCGCAGCTGACTGGTAACACGTCTCTCGCTTACTATGCCACCCAGATATTCGGCGCTGTCGGAGCAGGCAACGCTAGCAAATTAGTGACAGGTTTCTTTGGCCTGGTCAAGGTCGTCGGTGTCGGCATTTTCCAGCTATTTGTCCTGGATCGGGTTGGCCGTCGTGTGCCTTTCATGGTCGGTGCCTTTGCCATGGGCTCGTTCATGCTCATCGTCGCCTGTATCTTGGCCACGCACCCGACCAACGCCAACGCCATACCGTCTGGTCCGACAAGCTCGGGAATCGCTTGTATTATCATGGTCTACGCTGAGGCCTTCAGCTACAACATGTCATGGGGGCCGCTGCCGTGGCTGTACAACGGCGAGATCTTCTCCAGCCGCACTCGTGAAGCCGGGCTGGCTATTGGTGCGGCGTCGCAGTGGTTGTTCAACTTTATGATGTCCCAGGTCACGCCGCATGCTATTAACAACATCCACTGGCGCATGTTCCTGATGTTCGCCATCTTCAATTATGCCATTATTGTGTACTCGTGGCTTGTCCTGAAAGAGGTATATTTCGACCTTGCTGGGTTTGACATGTGCAGTACTAACCCACATCTCTACAGACGTCACAACACTCACTCGAGGAGATGCAGGATGTCTTTGGCGGCACGACCAGGATCGAGAAAACCGACATGGAGCTGGACCAGGGGCAGTCCAAGGAGACCCAGGAGCAGCACAATGAATATACTGAGCCGAAGGTGGAGACAACTTAACTCATATATGATACTTCATGACAACAAGAACTCTATTAGGACTGGTTGGCAAATTATGAATGATGCAAATATAAACTAAACTGGATATAATTGGTCAACATACATTATTCCTGAGATGAGTGGTCCCTTGAGAGTGTTAGTGAAAAGCTTTTCGGCCCTGCTTGAAGTCCATCATCACCCTAGTCTTTCTCCGAAAGGACTACTCCATAGCCCAGATGTATCCCGGAGACCATGCAAGGTGAATTCTGAATAGGCTCAAGCATGAGAACTATAAACAGAATAGCAGGGGGTCTTCTTTCTTATATCCCATAGTTGTAGGACTGTAGCCCTTGTGACTCTAGAGGAATTTTTATCGAGAAATTCCATGCTCTTCCCCTTAAACCTTTGCGGGTGTGCGACTCTGTGCCCTGAGTGCCTGGGAGCTCTCAACCTGACACACCGGGACATTTCCTTCTCTCACTTCATTCTTTCTACTTACTACCCATACTCACGCGCCCACCCGCTCACCCACTGATCCTCCAATCCATGCCCTATTTCATCTCTTTACCATGTCTTCTTCTAAGGTTACCCGTCCCACCAACCCTGACGGCCTCGTCCTCGAAGCCTGGGGCCAGGGCTTGATGGTCGGCAGCCTGCTTGTCATGGCCGTGGTCACAGTGTGCAACATGAAAAAGCACGTCCTGCTGCACAAGCTGATCCTTGCTGAAGCGTGTCTTCCATTCTCTTCTATGTCTGTCGCTGCACCCACTAGTTTTTATACTAATCCCAAGCTTATTCTGGCCTTGCCCCACAATACTTTCATTTTCGCGCACGAACCCGCTTATGGCTGGTATCTTTCGGTCACAGCCATCGGCCTCAACCTCTCTTGGGCCCTGCACAATGTGATCGCGTGGATGAAGAACCGCCCATTCCTGTCCCGCCGCGTCTCGCTCGCCTACATCATCACTGTCGTTCTTTCTTGGCCTTACTGGGTGGTGGAGATCTATGCCAATTTTACTTACTTCAACAACATCAACACCATCTTCCTGATTACCCGACCGTGGGAGCCTCTGTTTCGGTATGTCGTTGCCTTTCTCCATTTTATTCTCCATCCTCTTTGTATGTGTGCATTCACTGATGATCCCCTATAGTGACCCATGGTGGGTTGCCACTACTGTCTCGCTCTTCTGGACTATAAAGCGCGAATACAACTTCGGGATCTGGGAACTGGTTAAGGTCTCGCCTCGCTTTGGGATTATGCTTCTGTCAATGTGCTTATCTATTGCCTTTATCATCGTCGACACCTGTAGTGTGGTGAATGTGTTCAGCGATGCACTCCCGACCGGCATTGAGCCTTTCTGGAAGGTCTGTCTTATCTTATCCTGTCCCCTTCTCCTTTTCCACATTGCCTGTCTTTTTCTGTTTTTGTCTGCATTGTCTACATTCTCTCTTCATTCATGCTAAGTACTCTCTGTCTAGCTGGCTTTCATCTTCAAGTGCCTCTGCGACACCGTCATCCTCGACGACTTCAAGACAGCGCTGGATCATATCCGCAAGTACTGGCTCCGCAAGCAGCAGTCTGCGTCCGAGGCCTTCCTCACCAGTCCTGTCAGCCCGTCCACTGATCGTGTACCTATCCCCCCACAGTTGCACACTCCTCCTCGTGGGAGACGTGCACCTGCTGCCCGGGAGTATCACGACAATATCGAGGTGGACATACTCTCCCCACGCTCTCGACCGATGGAGGTTGGCGTGCTCTCCTCGCGCTCTCAGCTGATAGAAGCTGACATATTCTCCCCGCGCCCCCGAGCGGAGAAACTCTACTCATCGCTGCGGATTACTATGACAGAGGAGGTCTGATTCTGTTGGGCTATAGGGATGTTTTCTGTGTAGTACATATCCATGGCGTTCTATCTAAGATGGTCGGGCTTGTTCGGACTCAGAATCATGGTCGAATGGGTTACATATGGTGTTTTAAAAAAGGGAAGTTTCTGTTAGAATAATGGCCCCCAGGTAATTTATCCAGCTGCCGCATCTGTCCGCTTACCCATCTGGGAATTCCCCATCATGGAACTGTGCCCCGGTGTGGCCAGATCTCACTATGTAGAGTTTTTCCTCTTCTCTACTATAAATATAGACATGATAGCTAGACCAGAATACCATCGTTTTCAATCATTGTCACATGATACTATCTAGTAACTTCACTAGTGAATACAGGAAATTCAGACTCCCACAGTTTCTAAAAAGAGAGGAATGGATCTTGACTTGACGTTCTGGAAAGCCGTTCCCGCCTTTGCCTTTTGCGTCTAGACCCGTCCAGCGCTCACCTATCGCGTCCTTTCTCCCCTCTCTGGGCGAGACTGAGACTTTTGGCTTTCTTCCTTTGTAGCCTCTATCAGGTTGCTCAGTAGCCACTGCCACCTAGCAGCCGAGTCCATTCACGGACTGAGTCTGAGCAAGCTCACCTAAGCATCTTCAGGTCGTTAGCGGCCAGCTTGGCCCCGTGCTATTCTTCTCTTCTAAACACACCCACATCCGATCGATGCTTACGCATTTGAAGATTGCCAATGACGTCCTGTTGCTGCCGTTAGAAAGTAAATAAGGTTTATTGTGTCTGGCTCATATCTTAATCCACGTGCGAGCTGCCAAATGCCGAGATCTCGGGTTTGGGGCGCCAGGCTTGGCACTCGATCTAGTAAACAGTGGACCGGAGTTGCAGATCACCTAGAAGGGGGAAAAGCGAAGCGAGATCAAAGTATGATGCTTTATGGTGCTTATCAGACAAGCAAGGCTGCCAGGATGGCCGATCAAGCGCATGCACCTCCCCGCCCGAAGTAGTACTAAGTGGTGGGTGTCCATTTTCTTTGCTGTAACTCGAGGGTTGTGCTGCTGATCAGCCAGTCATGGTTCGTTCCTTCGGTTTGCGAGGGAAAACTAATACTTTAATTCAATAGGGCTAGTTATCGAGCGCTCCCACTGTCTTGCTGGTACAGACAACCTCGGGATGTATGTGATCGCCACGGGGATCAACGTCTGTGTTACGGAGCGCCCCAAGAATCAATATCGTAAGATATGCACCCGCTCAGAGTTGTGTTGGCTCGCTAACTATTTCAAGGAGCTAGGTATGTAGTAAGATGGTGAGCCCCTGAATCAATCAAGAATGACGCGTCGCTTGGTCAAGGAGGGAGCGAACAAAGAAAGTTGTCTACACAAATGCGTTTCTGGGGGTGCAACCTCCACCACGGCGCAAAAAAAAAAGGTTTCCAGAACGCGTTCATCGCCAGAGCATAGCGTAGATGATCATGGATCGTTATTTGTTTCTACATTGAGCTAGCTTAACGTGCAAGCCCTTGATTGAGCCCTGGCATGCTCGAAGCTCCCTCTGTGCGATCCGTGCACGGTTGATGGCAGGAGGTATGGTGTCGTATTCCACGGCTACTTTTATGCTTTGCCCTTAAATACCGTTGTCGGCGCAGACTGTCATTACCTTCACCTCACTCTGACCATCATACAGCGGGTGACCTGCTCCAGCATGGCTCCTCTCTCCATGTACCAGCTGCTGCTGGTGCTCTGCGCGGCTCTCACACATGCCATCAACTTCTGTCCCCTCCTGGGACCTAGTTGGCCTGCTGCCACGGATCTCGCAAATGATCCGGCCGTCAAGTCTGCGCTACAGAGCATCACGACTACTATCCAGAATGCCATCACGGCCGGGAACTTTTCTGGAGATTCTCTGTCCTTGCAGATCTTTGACACCGGTAGTTCGGACCCGTTGCTCTCGCTTTCCTACACGGGAACTGATATGAACACCACCATTGGCGTGAAAAAGGTGGACGAGAATACCGTCTTCCGCATAGGCAGCACCTCCAAGATCTTTACGATGCTCATGCTGCTGATTGAAGACGGATTTGGTTCTCTGAATGATCCCGTTTCGAAGTACATTCCTGAGATTAAGGACGCTGTTGTTGATATGCAGCGGAATTCCACAAAAAGCAATGACGGGATCGACTTTGTCAAGTGGAATGAGGTGACGGTGGGAGAGTTGGCGAGCCATTTGGCGGGTATCCCGAGAGACTGTAGGCGTTGCGCTTTTTCTTTTATCGTGAGAGGGTAATTGACGATTCTCAGATGGCATGCTTGATCTCACCGGAAAGGCTTCTATGGTCGAGGCCCTGGGATTTCCCGTCCTTCCCACAGCTCAGATTTCGCCGTGCGGTGTGCCGAATGTCTGCAGCAGAAAGCGTATGTTAATGGATTACTCGTGTTCAACTCTCACTGACAGTCATAACAGAGTTCTTCAATGGGTTGCTCCAGGGCCATCCCATTTTCCCCACATCGACGACGCCAATCTACTCCAATGCTGCCTTCCAGGTCCTTGGATATGTCGTGGAGGCGCTTTCGGGCGAAAACTTCCAGACAGTCTTGGAGAAGGATATTATCAACCCACTGAAGTTGACTCACACCTTCTACACTACGCCCAGCACCAAACTCGGCGTCATCCCTCGTACACAGGGCGAGTTCTGTTGGAATTTCGCCATGGGCGACGAAATACCGTGAGTAGCTCTCCCTTCACCTCATTAATTGATTCGATCCTGGAATTGAAGATTAACACTAGTGTCCAGTGCCGGCGGCATTCACTCATCCGCAAAGGATATGGCCACCTTGGGCCGCGCCCTTCTCAACAGCAGTCTTCTGCCCGCGGCAATTACCAGACGATGGATGAGGCCACTCGCCCACACCTCATCACTTGACCACGCCGTCGGCGCACCTTGGGAGATCCTATCATTTGGCAACGAGCGACCGATCGACCTGTACACCAAATCCGGTGATATCGGCACCTACTCCTCCATCCTAGCGCTAGACCCAGACCACGGCGTCGGCTTCACAATTCTTGGCGCAGGCGCCAATACGCACGAGTCTCTCGCGCTAGCCGCCGATCTCGTTTCTGCTAGCCTGCTCCCGGCTCTTGAAGCAGCCGCCAAGGACCAGGCCAACTCTCACTTCGCAGGGACATACGCCCTGTCTACTCTCAACTCCTCTATCACAATCATCACTGATGACGGACCAGGTCTTGTCGTCTCGAGCTGGATCAACAATGGAACGAATATGTTCACCAGCTACATGGCCCTGAGCGGGATCACCGATCCCTCGCAGCTCAGCATCCGTCTGTATCCGACTAGCCTCACGAGTCCGGGACAGATTTCTTTCCGAGCTGTTATCCCTCCGCAGTTGAGGGCTGGCATTGGGCCATTCACCTCGTCTTGCATTTCCTGGGTGCTCGTTGACGGCTCGGTGTACGGTAATGTGGGCATCGATGAGTTCCTCTTCAATGTGGATAAGAATGGCGATGCGGTTAGCATTTCGCCGAGAGTGTTGCGGACCTCTTATCCAAAGACTTCTTGATTAGCTAGCTGTTTGTCCCTGCAGATAGTACAGTGCCTCTTATCATGAATTACACGATGCAGTTTTTTCTCCAATTGCTCACAATGACATAGCCTGCATCGCCGAGGAACGGAGAACCAAATTATCATCTCAGCAAAGCGAGAGCGAAAGCTGGATTCATTTGGATAGACCTAGTTTTCAAAATTGTGTTAAAGTGTGGCTATTCGCAGGCATGAATTATTTAGGATCACCAAGCACATCCCCATGCTCGAAAAAGACGTTCGTTGACTAGATACTGTAAACACATTCGATCTTTGACAGCTTCTCCAACTCAAGAACATCGTCGAGTAAGTCCCCGATATGATACTGTGAGTAACTAACAGCGGGGCAAAAGTAGCGGGGAAAATAGAGAAACCGAGGTAAACCTTCGACGATCACAAGAGCAGAATTTGTTTGGCCTCGGACCATCTCTCCCAAGTTTACTTCCTAAATTGTCGCTGGATCGACCACACGGTACAGCAAGATTTACAAGATTCTGCAAGACACCATCTCAATCACGGGTATACTCACAGAAATGGAACCAACAGCACTAAAATCATTGCTCTACAATACATCACCAGACGGGAAAATTGCCTATATCACTCTAAATAGGCCAAAGCAACACAACGCCATTGACCAGCACATGCCCCTCGAGATACGCGCAGCAGTCCGGACCGCCAATGCAAATCCTAATGTTCACTGTATTGTACTCAAGGGCAGCGGTCGTGGCTTCTGTGGTGGGTATGACCTCGACATTTACGCCACAAGCGCTCAGCGCGGACAGACAGCGGGCAGCCAGGACCTCAGTAGGGGCTATGAACCGTTTCTAGATTATATATCGATGAAAGAATGCACGGACTGCTATTCTGAACTGTTTCACAGTTACAAACCAACAATCGCGCAAGTCCATGGAGCAGCTGTCGCGGGAGGAAGTGACATTGCCCTGTGCTGCGATCTTGTTGTCATGGCGGAAGACGCGAGGATCGGCTATCCTCCAAGCAGAGTGTGGGGTTGTCCAACGACTGCAATGTGGGCTTATCGTATTGGAGCGGAAAAGGCCAAAAGGATGCTCTTCACGGGTGATCTCATTAGTGGCTCCGAGGCTGCGGCCATGGGGCTTGTTCTCAAAGCTGTGCCACACGCGCAGCTGGAGGAGACGGTTAATCTTCTCACAGAGAGGATCAAGAGTGTTCCCATCAATCAACTGTGGATGCAAAAGCAAGTCATCAACAGTACGATTGAAGAAGCTATTGGCTCGAGTCAAAGGCTCGCGACTATCTTTGACGGTATCACGAGAAACTCGCCAGAGGGCGTCAATTTTCAGCAGCTTGCCCAGCGAGAAGGATTTAAAGCGGCAGTATCAGCCAGGGACAACCCGGGAAGAACTGAGGAATACAGAAAAAAGTGGAAGAGTGTGCTGTAGCCTAGCTGAGAACGATGGAGAAAGATGTACGTTGTAACATGTGTCGTGTACAGCCATACTTGTGCTTCATTGTTACGATGATGGCATATGGCCAGGGCGCCTGGTATTGAAGAAACATCAAGTATCGCTGGCTGGCCCAACTTGGGGGCCGGGCATACTGTAAACATTCGCGGGGCTGAAACTAGTCGTAATACTTGTGTTTTGATTGTCAAAAACAAGGCGGGGCTGAGTTACTTGGACACGACTACGGAATATGGGCTAAAATGGACAGAGTCATGTACTCACCCCTGGATTATAGCTCATTGATGGTCTTCAATCCTTTAGCCCATCCATTCGTCCTCTCCAGATCATTTGACGACCACTATTTATTCGAGAGGCGGCCTTTCCGCTCCATTCGTCTACCACCACCCTCGGATACGAGAGTTTAATCCACGTCAGATTCCAACTCGAAGCCTTAAACAAGCCTGCGAACCATGTCAACCACTAAGAAAATATCCGCTCAAGAATTCAAACGATGGCTTGATGCCGCCTTCATTGGCAGCCCCGCTGACGCACGTTCTCACTGCGAGCAAACAATGAGCCCGAACTACCTCCGTTTCCAAGCTGGCGGTGACAGAACCGATTTCGAGCGCGCTGTAGAGAAAGTCGCATTCTTTCGGGCGAACAGCACGAAGTGGGAGAGTAGAGTGTATTTCTTCTCGCAGGATGAGAATAAGATTGCTGCGCGACTGGTTTGCAATATTGCCATTGGGGATCAGCCAGAAAAGTGCATGGAGTTGATGTTTATGGCAGAACTCGATGATAAGGGTCGGTTCGAGTCGGTCTGGGAACAGTCTGCTGAGTATTCAGGAGTGATTTAGGAGAGAAATAGGACCTAAGTCTGTAGGACATTGCCTACTTGAATTTTATATGATTCATCGTCCGATCTCTGGGCTCTAATTCTAGCTAGGGTAAATTTGCTTCAAGGAGAAGCCGATAGATGCACGTTGGTTATATGACCACTAATTAAGCCATAGAAGCAAAACAGCTCGACTTAGGAACGCCGATGCAGTGGTAAGATGGGGTCTACTTATTAAATGATCTGCCCCCACTGACCCCACACGGAGAAATAGCTCGGAGAATCTGGCAACAGTCCAATCGTGGTTTGTAGACATTGATCACCAGATACACATCCCACGCGCCCCTCGCGATCTGGTTGCGTTCTAGACTGGCTGGCCAGTAATCTTGGAATATAAATAACCCCTCTTTGACCACCCTTACTCTGCTAGACATCATCTCACATATAAACATTTCAATCTCCAATATCACAACCACAACTACAAAAATGGCTAGCACTGGCATCCCCAAAACACAAACCGTCGCTCTTGTTCGAGACCTAGGCGGGACGGTTGAGTTCCAGACTGACTACCCCGTTCCCACGCCGGGAACAAATGAAGTCCTAGCCAAAGTGCTATATACCGGAGTCTGCCAGAGCGGTTTGTTCCTCCCTCTCCATCCAAGTCAACTACTAAATCAAAGTCTCACACGCACATATACAATATTTGCTAACCTTTGAATTAAAAAAGACCTCCACACCAAAGCCGGTACAGCCGCCGGACCCGACGGCAATCCGATAACAAAAATCAAGCTCCCGCACGTCGGCGGCCACGAAGGAATCGGAGAGATCGTCGCGCTAGGTCCAGACATTACACACAGCCACGGGTTGAAAGTCGGCGGACTAGTGGGGATCCGGTTTTCGAGTCGCATCTGTCGGCGGTGCGAGTTTTGTCTTGCGGGTACGGAGCAGTACTGTGTTAAGAGTACCAACCATCTCCACCATGAGGATGGCAGCTTTCAGCAGTATATTGCCCTCGATGCGGACTATTTAACAGTTCTCCCGGATGATGTGGACCCAAAGGTTATGGGGCCGGTGCTTTGTGCGGGACTGACAGCTTATAAGGTATGGTTCTTCTTTTGACCTTGAGAAGGTGAATGGATGCTCATGAGGGAATAGGCGGTTTTGAATACCAATATCCGTCCGGGGAACTGGTTGGTTGTTGTTGGTGCGGGAGGTGGTCTTGGACATTTGGCAGGTATGTGTTTCGTGTTTCTCTGATGATGCAAAGTGTGTGATTCAAGTGTCTGACATATGGACAGTTCAATACGCGAAGGCACAAGGCGCATTGGTCATCGGCGTGGACACCGGCCCCGGAAAACGAGACTTCGTCCTTGGCATGGGCGCCCAGGAATTCATCGACTTTGCAACCGAGGACCCGATCAAAAAAGTACACGCCATCACAGGACTAGGCGCACACGCCGTAGTTGTGACGGCCGGCAATGCAAAAGCCTTTGCACACGCATGTGAGATGCTGCGGGTCGGAGGAACATTGAGTTGCGTGGGTATTCCCCCCGGAAGCCCATGCCTCGAGACGCCTATCTGCACGATCGTCATCAAGGGCCTGAGGATCACCGGGAATCTTGTTGGTTCGTTGAAGGAATGCATGGAGGCAGTGGACTTGGTGCGTCGGGGTGTGGTCAAGCCGGTTATCAAAGTCCGGCCATTTAAGGATTTACCCAAGGTTTATGAAGAGATGGAGAAGGGTGATATTGCTGGTAGGATTGTGCTCCAGGTTGCAGAGTGATGTGATATGTCACAGGATAGGCTGTAACGGCCAGCTCGAGTCTTTTTCAGTCAATACACACTGTTCATCAAGGTTCTCCGTGATTCTGTATGCTGCGAATCTCGGCTGCTTGCGGTATACACCCCCTGAGATCGACAACTGTATCGCAGAGCCCAACAGACAATAAACGAGCTGGAGCCATGACAAGAGCTTCGGCAGTCTTATTCCGGAGAATAGATTTCAGCACAGAGTCCTGCTCCAGAAAAGGTAGAAGTTTCTGGTACAATGCATGCAAAAAATCCTGTGGTCCCAACTCGAATCCATGATACGGCCCACTGGTGGAAGTGAACAGAACAGTATCTGCAAGGGAATTTGCAACTTCGAAGCATTTAAGTAACTACATGGAGAATGTTAGCCGAGAGCACAAAGGAAAAATGAGCAAGAAACTCCACCTGGTCCCTTCCTAGAGGAAGTAAATCTGCCTCAGAAAACCCGCGCAATGACTGAAGCAGATCACGACCAACCTGGGAAGGAAAGCCGAACGTCATAACAGCCCTATCTGCAGACGAAGACAGTAGACCCAGAGACAGGGCCTCTTGCCAGAGGATTGTTCGCATCCATTCACGAGTAATGTGATAGTCTGCTGTTCGTGTTGATACACGGTCTGGTACACTCATACACAGTGAGGACAGCTTTGTTTCGGTGTTTGTCAAGTCCGACAGTGCCGTTATTCCAACGCAGGATTTACGCCGGACTGAGATGCTGTCGAATGCGAGAAAAAGCCTGGCTAACTCTAAAAGGCCCTGGACATGAACGTCGGATGACGTACCATGCTCAAGGTGTATCAATGGCAGTGGGTCTTTGTAAGACGGAGCAAGGCCCATATGAAGTGCATATCCCCTTCCAATAAGTTGTTAGCGACAGTATATACGTATTTCAGATAACTCTTACCTCTCGGATACCCAGAGCAACGGGAAGACTAGGTTGCAATTCGCAATCAGTGGCCCATCCAGTCCCGCTACATTGGTCTGCCTTTCGTCCAAGCCCAGAATCTGAGCTCGAGCGATCCCCTCTTGAATAAACATCATCGCCTTGTTTGGCTGGTTGACCTTTGCATAATAGACATGCAAGAAAAAGGAGACTAAAATGCTGCTAATATCAAGGTGTTGCTCGTTTTGTGAGTTTTCGTGTTCGCGCATCCAGAGGCAAGCTTGTGCCAGCACAGCACCGTCCACGGCTCGGTCCCCGTCGACAAATTGGGGGAGCTGCAGTTGCGCCATTGTGGCTGCGCAGAGTGCCGTTGCAAGACATGATGTGCTTCCAGACTTTTTATCCGGTTCTATGTCGACAAGCCTTTGCAGCAGGGCATCAGCATTGACGACAGGCCATACACTGTAGGAGTGCTGCTGGTACAGACGCACGACCGAGGCGAGGACCTCCTTGGAAATGAGCGGAGGAATACCCTGTGTCCCTATATTGCAGGAACTCTCCCGAACATCCTCTGCAGCAGCAGGCTGGATTTCTTGCTGATGACTGCCGGCCGGGCTGCGCCCCTTAGGCCCCCGTTTGCGCGCCGGTCTCAAATATGTACATGGTACGCGTTTGATGGCGCTGCTGCAGGAGTCACAGGGCCAGGAGCCACTGCATTTTATTTTGCGGGCGATACAGATGTCGCAGGCTCGTTTGGGGGGCATATGTGGTGGGACGGTGGGATGTGGAGGGGAAGTCGGCAGGTTTGCCGATCTATGACATGGAGTACTATCCGGGAAGTGGGTCAGCGTGTTAAGGCTAAGTTCAGTTGTATCCAACGAAGCTATCCTCAAGCCATCGAGAAGGCCATGGAGGAGAGCGAACTGATGGCTAGCTAAATGGCTAGGAATATGACTTGATGGAATGAAGACACTGCATTCTTAGCTATAGAATATCTTCAATGGAGGTAACACCACCGTTATCCACCAGCGCCCAAAACGATGGACAGTTGCGAGATCGTTGTCTCAAAGTCTCCATCAAAGCGTATAGTGCGTCCCAGCAAAGATTGGGACCAAACGCGATCCGAGCTCTTGGCTGATTAGATTTTTGAACTTCCATCCCGTGCAGTGACCAGGCATCAAAAGCTTTGGGTCGAGGGCCTTCAAGTCATCCATTGATTTCTTGCGTTTCTCAGGATCCGCATCTGCCAGATGGTATCCGCCCACGATGCTGTATAACGGCGCGCCGTTCCCCAGCTCCTTCGCATGCCGCGCAACATTAACCACGCCCGCATGGCTGCAGCCGGTGAAAACGACAAGCCCTTTGCCTTCGCCTCGTTAGAACGAAATATATGAAGAGGGAACTGACACTGACCTTTCAGGTTGCACATCACCAGTCTCTCGTCTGTGATTGCCATATCAGTCACCCATTCTTTGGTCTCAGGCATGAACCGGACGGCTCTTTGCATTCCGGTTTCATAATCCGTCACACGTGGGATCTCGCCAGATACAAGGAAGGTGCCGTCTAGAATACTGTGAACCTTGTCGCTTTTCACTAGCACAGCGCCGGCGGCCTCTATCGCATTGAAACTCGGGTCTGCCTCTAGAGAAATGATACCTCCCGTTGGGCTCTTTACGCCGCGATATGCCGGCCGATCGGGATGCAGGTCAACGACAACCTTAGGCTTGGAAGGCGCTTTCTGACCATTAATAATGGATATGGCCTTCAGCATGCCTCCTGAGTGATCACGGTGCCAGTGAGACAAGTGAATGTGCTCGATCGCGCCTGCGTCCAGACCTAGTCGAGTGCAGTTACGCTCCCATACATCCTCTTCTGGGCCAGTGTCGAACAGTAGTGTGTGTGTAGATTCACCCTTTGTCACGGTCTATCGGTGATCGACGGTCAGAGCGGTCGGAACAGTACATTGTCTGCACGGTTCTATCAGAAGTGTATGCTCACCACGACAGCCGAGAAGCCCAAAGCGCCACAGCATATCTGGCTCATTTTAAGTTCTTCAGAAGCCCCGCCACGGGATTCTGGGTCTGGGATCGGAACAGTTTTGATTCCTCCCAAAGAGCCCTTATGCTGGACCAGAGCATTAGGGCTGTGGGAGAACTGGTCAACCTCGTCATTGACGACGACCTGAATTTCTAACGAGTCCACCTCTTGTAGGTTGTAAGCAGGCATTATGTCAGCGTTATTTCAAATTAAGCTACTGGCATTCCAGAGAAGGGAGGAACGATCAGGATTATGGGATTAGCCACGGTGTACATATAGCCCGCTGAGATAGCTTAGTCGTGAAATGTCAGGAGAGGCCGCGTCATCCATTTGTAAAGTTTACGGTCCTTTGCCTGAGTCGGGCGGCGTCATCCATTCACGGAACTTTGTGGCAAAGCTAGGCTGACAGCTGCGGAAACTCAAGCTCCGTACCAGCCCCGTACCTCTTTTTTCTAGCAATTCGCAAGCTGCGCTTACATTCGTCCATTCTCCACTTGCCTTACCGCCATTTCGTTGACTTCCACCTTGAATTTAAATGTTGATGTTATTTTAGCGTACAGTAACTGGCTCTCCAGATGAGTCGATTGCTGTTCCCCCTCTCTCGGCATTGTCACTCTTTAAAGTGACACTCTCGTACGGCCCCATGCAGTTCTCCTTCTGTCGTAGCCTCCGAAAGCTAAGATTGCAGAACTGTTCGAATGACATGAAACACTCAAAGGCACAAGCCATCGAGAAGGCCATAGAGGAGAACGAACTGACGGCTGGCTAAATGACTAGGAATATGACTTGACGGAACAAAGAGCATGCATTCTTAGCTCTAAAATATCATCAATGGAGGCAATACCGCCGTTATCCATCTGTTCCCAGAAAGATTGACATCGCCTATAACTCTATGCTTGCGAGATAGTGGTCTCAAAGTCTTCCGGCTCTCGGCCTAGCAATTCGCGCAGCAATGGGGACGCGACACTGGCCTCGCCTCGACGGAATGCTTCAAATGAAGTTGCCCAGGGTTTGGAGTAGTCTACTCCACGATAAGTGAAATTTGGCGGCAACTGAGGCTGCCGTGCAAACTCGTCATCCGAGACCTGACGGATTCTTACCGGCTTTTTTGCGATTTTGGCCAGAATATCCACGGTTTCCTTAAGGGTCCAGGTCCGAGAGCCCGAAAGTAGAATCGTGGAATTACGGAACTGGAACTCCTTTGGCTCTTTGGCAAAGATTCTCAGAAGCTCCGCTGTTCCCTCGCCCAGTTCTTCCCGCTTGACCCAGGCAATCCCAGGTCCAGAGCCGTCGTGTGGAATCTTGATCTCATCGACGGGATTACGGGGATCAAAAAAGGCTGTATAGAGGGGGTACGACTCAGAGTAAAGGCCTTCGCGTACAATTGTGTAGGCGAATCCGGGATGCTCTTGCCTGCACTCTTCAAGATACTTTTCGGTATCTAAATGGGCACGCATTACATGCGCCACAGTTTCTTTCTTGGCTTCACTGCCAGAAAACCCGGCGAAGCCCAGGGACCCGTAGAAAATGTACTTTACTCCACTGCGAAGAGCAAAATTGATTGCCGCTCTGTGACGCTGTAAATTCTCAAGGTTAATTGTCGTCTCTCCGATACAGGGCATCCTCCTGAAAAACCAAAGACTCACCTCGGCTCGGTGCTCAAATTCGACCGAGGGATACGAGATCAAGAATAGTGTTTTGATGTCATCAAAGGCATGCTCGAGCGATTGGTCATCGTCATAATTAGCCTGGCGAACAGTTGCTCCAGCAGCAGCGGCCAATTTCAAGTTGGCGGGATTCCGAGCGACAAACACGAGGTCTTTGGCGGGAAAACGAGGAAGAAGGTGCTTGACAGTGCTACCTCCAATGCCCCCCGAGGCAGGAAAGACGCCGATTGTGTGGCTGGCCATCATAATACAAGAGATAGATGATAGTATGAACAAAATATTTGCTGGGACAAGGTAGGTTGTTTTAAAGCATAGATTTCAAGCTCCTACCCTCTCTCGTTTTTAAATGCTCTGGTCATCGGAGAGTTTTTATGACGAAAGGAATTAAGCATCCAGAAAAAGTGGGGATTGGGAAAATCGCCGCATAGACGTGATACCCACATCATGGACCGACCATTGAGACACGGGTCTAAATGTCTCCGAAGCGGCCGCTTTGGTTACTGAGCGATGTCTTGTATTTTCTAATTGGACCAAATATGCGGGAATCTAGAACTGTCAATGTGGCTCGTCTGTGATTTGTCTCAGAGTGAGCACTGCTCCGACTCTTAACCCGAAATCTATCTCGTACAATCATTCGACTCGTGACTTGCTTCGACTGCGACCTCTGTCAAACTACCTGGTTTTTCTCGTAATCCTCACAAGTCAATTATCAAAGGTAGAGTAAATGTGAAGGTCTGACCCTAATGAGAATGGCATCTCACGTCACCTCTAATCATCTGTTCTGAGCAGCCCTGAGCGCTGTGGCCACATAGTTGGGCGAACATATAGTAGCAATGACCTTTTCGACAAGATATGAAGAATAATATTCATACCATAAATATTTATGAAGGTCCACAGAAAGGTTTATTTTCCGCTTATCGTTCGGGCTTTTTTCATTTCTGCTTATTGTTCGGGCCGAGTGGGCTTGAGGGAAGGTCCACGCCGTTGATAAATGCGGAACGACGTCACCGGTGAGCATTTCTGTCCCGCCTCCACATTATCACCATCTTACTTAAATCATCCTTCATCTCCAGTTTCTTTTCTTTTACTGTCCTCCTATAACGCACGGCAGCCTTTCCGCACGCACGCACCCACTCACACACACACACACACAATGGCCGAAAAACCTCTCTCCGTGCCCAGCACGGATGTAAGAACCCTATTCTCCTCCCTCGAAACCTACAATATACTAACAACCAAATAACAGGCTGAAATCCTTATCTCCCAAGAAACCAGCCCCGAGCAAACCTTTGCCACCTTCACAACGTCCACAGCCTGGGCACTCGGCACAGCCCTCCGCAACAGAATCCTCTCCCTCCCCAAAACCCAACGCAAACCCGCCTTAATCTCCATCGCATTGGCAACGGCGACACCAAGCTCCGGACCACTGCACGTGATATTCCAGTGCGCAACAGAGAGTGGCACGATCCCAGACAATGAGAACTGGGTGCGCCGGAAACGGAACACCGTGCTGCGGTGGGGCGTGTCGAGCTGGGCGATGCGGATGAAGATGGTTGGCGGGTTGGGCGCGGGTGCGAGTGCGGCGGAGGTCGAAGAGGCGTTTGTGAATAAGTACGCGCTGGCTAGTGCTAATGGCGGTGCTGTTGCTGATGAGTATGCTATCCATGGGGGTGGGTATCCGGTTAGAGTGCGTGGGGTGGAGGGTGTTGTTGCTGTCGTCGTTGTTTCCGGGTTGAAGCAGGAGGATGATCACCAGGTTGTAGCGGAGACGGTTAGGGAGGTTGTTGCACAGGGGTGTTAGGGATGGTTTGTCTGCTCTATGGGGATAGTGTAAGGAATTACGGGAGATAGTTATAGAGAAAAAGAATATAGTGGAATGCAGAGGTATCATTGGTATTCCTCGAGCCGGTGAAGGCTCCCTCACGCGACGGGATTAAACAGCCCGCGCGGATTGACTAACACACAAAAAAACAAAACTAAGGAAGAAGAGGAAAGAACTCCAGGGATAATGCCACGAAAGATAATTTTACAGTTCGTCATGCTCCAGCGGCTCGTCGTCGTCCTCCGGGGGAGCACCAGAGCCATACAGCTTGCTGGTGATCGGGTAGGCGACGCTGGAGAGCTTCTCCTTCTGCTCCTCGAAGTCCTCGGTGGTGGCAGTGATGGCGTTGTCCTCGAGCCAGTCGGTGACCTCCTTGACGGCATCGAGGATAGCCTGCTTGTCATCCTCATCGATCTGGCCGCCGAGGCCACTCTCATCGTTGGCCTGGTTCTTCAGGCTGAAGGCATAGTTCTCCAGTCCGTTGCGGGCCTCGATCTTCTCCTTCATGGCCTTGTCTTCCTCGGCAAACTCCTCGGCTTCCTGGACCATGCGCTCGATCTCCTCCGCGCTGAGACGGCCCTTGTCGTTGGTAATCGTCACGGACTCCTCCTTGCCAGTGCCCTTGTCGCTGGCGCTGACCTTGAGGATACCATTGGCGTCGAGGTCGAACGACACCTCGATCTGTGGAACACCACGCGGGGCCGCGGGGATATCGTTCAGCTCGAACTTGCCGAGCAGGTTGTTGTCCTTGGTCATCGACCGCTCGCCCTCGAACACTTGGATCAAGACCGTGGGCTGGTTGTCAGCCGCAGTCGAGAAGATCTGCGACTTGCGGGTAGGGATGACAGTGTTGCGGGGAATGAGCTTGGTCATCACACCACCAGTGGTCTCAATACCCAGAGTCAGGGGATTGACATCCATAAGGACGACCCCGGTCGTGCTGTCATCGCCGGCGAGGACACCACCCTGAACGGCGGCACCGAAAGCGACAGCCTCATCGGGGTTGATACCCTTGCTAGCCTTCTTGCCACCGAAGAACTCCTCTAGAAGAGCCTGGACCTTGGGGATGCGAGTGGAACCACCAACAAGAACGATGTCGTCAACCTCACTCTTCTTGACCTTGGCGTCCTTGAGAACCTGCTCGACAGGCTTCATAGTCTTCTTGAACAGATCCATGTTCAGCTCCTCGAACTTGGCGCGAGTCAGGGTCTCGGAGAAATCGTTGCCGTTGTGGAAGGCCTCGATCTCAATGCGAGTGGACATCTGCGAAGACAGCGTGCGCTTGGCCTTTTCGACCTCACGCTTCAGCTTACCCATGGACTTGGCGTCCTTGGAGACATCGACATTGTTCTTCTTGTTGTACTGCTTCACGAAGTAGTCCATCACACGGTGGTCGAAATCCTCACCACCAAGGTGGGTGTCACCAGCGGTAGCCAGAACCTCGAAGACACCGTCCTCAATAGACAGGAGAGAGACATCGAAGGTACCACCACCCAGATCGTAGACGATGACCTGGCGCTCACGGTCGCCCTCGCCCATCTTATCCAGACCATAGGCGATAGCGGCGGCGGTAGGTTCATTGACCACACGAAGAACGTTGAGGCCGGCAATGGTACCGGCATCCTTGGTGGCCTGTCGCTGGGCGTCGTTGAAGTAGGCGGGGACGGTGACAACGGCGTGGGTGACCGTCTTGCCCAGGTAACTCTCGGCGATTTCCTTCATCTTGCCCAGGACCATGGCCGAGACTTCCTCGGGAGTCAGGGTCTTGGGAGAGTTGTTGACGTCGACCTTAACATTAGGCTTGCCATCCTTGTTGACAACCTTGAAGGGGAACGTCTTAGCGTCTTTCTGGACATCCTTGTCATCGAACTTGCGACCAATCAAACGCCTGAAATGTTTTGTTAGAAACTTCGAACCCAAGTTGTTCTACCCAGACCACACTTACTTGATGTCAAAGATTGTCCGGTGGGGGTTCGCAGCGTATTGGTTCTTCGCGGCATCACCGACGAGGCGCTCCTCATCTGTGAAAGCGACATATGACGGGGTAATGCGGTTTCCTTGGTCGTTGACCAGAATCTCGACCTTGCCATTTTGCATCACACCGACGCAACTGCATACGAGTTAGCGAGGATATTCAGAGCAGCCCGGCAAAAGAGACACATACGAATAGGTAGTTCCCAAGTCAATACCGATAACAGATCCATATTCCTCTTGCTCGGAGACCTCGGCGTTGGCCGGGGTGCCGAAGAAGGCCAGCGGTGCAATGAGCACCAGAAGAAGGTAGAAGACGGTGGTCCAGGTGAAGGACGAGGACGCACCGGCGCGGGGTGATAGGCGCGGCATTATGAATGATTTTTTTTTTAGTCTGATACTTCCAAGAGAAGAGAAACACAGACAAAAGCTGTCTCAAGCTCCAAGTCTCGCGCGCGGCCCAACCGTGAAGAGGCGCAAACAAAGAGAGGAAGTAAGTCTGACCCTGGCTCTAAAGCAAGAGGAAGGACGAGAGACGGCACCCGATGGCGGAGGGGGTGGGAGGGAAGGGAATTGGGTGAAGAGGGAAGGGATGAGTTGCGGAGGAGAAGAAGTTCAGGGAGGCAAATCAATACTCTTGTACTGACGAAAAGCACACGATGTCCTCTTCAGCGGGAAAGGTCACTCCTCGGCTCCTGATTGGTGGAAAGGGGTTCGGCGAGGGTGACTCAGCCAGGCTTAGTCAGGTTCCACCTAAAGGGGACTAGGGCAGGATTAAACCCAGGGACCAGCTGCAAGGCCCGCCAATCACAGCCAGGGGGCCGGCCGATCGAATTTGCTAGAAACAACAGGGCGATTAAGCGGCCACGTAGTATACTTGGGAGTATACGACACGTCGAGTATGGTTACACTATCTCCTAGACGAACGATAAGAATAGATAGATCGACGTGTCCTGTTCTATTCCGGGTTGCGGCGGAGTAGGGATCAACAGACTCTATGTAGGCATTATTCTAACAACCCAGCCGCCACCGTCGAACCACCGGCCCGAAGCACGATGCGCGTTGGTGCTTCCAACGGCACAGCCTGGTCCATCTCGACCACCACGCGGGCCACAGTGCCAGGGCCAACGATCTTCGGCCGCTTCTTCAGAGCAGCCCCGGAGGACTTATCGAGAGCTGCCACCAGCTTGCTGATACGGCCGGGAACATGAAGCCGGCCGCGGTGCACATCCACCATCATAGGCATCAGGTGTTCGAAGGCGAGCACCTTTGCGGTGAAGGTGGTGATGGTGGCGATAGGTGCGGACGCCCGACACACAACGTCACCGGAGCGCAAATGGATCGGGTCGATGTTCGCCACGTTCAAGACGACATTCTGGCCCGCGACAGCCCAGTCGCTCGGCTCGCTGTCTACCTCGATGCTGCGGATCGTGGCCGTCTCGCCGCTGGGCATCGTGAGGATTTGGTCGCCCATCTGTAAACTACCCGCGTCGAGGCGCCCGGAGATGGAGAGAGGGTTCTGCACGCCACCTCGGAAGACGTCGCCAATGGTCATGCGTAGTGGCTTGTCGAGTGCATGCGTGTAGGGCTCGGACGTCTCCAGCTCCTCGATCAATGTCGGGCCCGTATACCACGAGGCGTGCGGGTCGTCGCTCCGCCGGCTGATGTTATCGCCCTGGACACCAGAGCAGGGCACGAACGAGATGTTCTTAGCTTGAAACCCGGCAGTCGTCAAGAACGAGGAGATCTGCTGCTCAATCTCCTCAAAGCGGCCCTTGTCCCACTGGACGGTGTCCATCTTGTTCACTGCAACAACGATCTTTTGAACGCCCATGCTGCGCACGAGCAAGGCATGCTCCTTAGTCTGGCCTTTCAAGCCCGACTCGAATTTGCCCACGCTCGAGTCGATCACCAGCACCGCAAAGTCGGCTTGACTGGCGCCTGCGATCATGTTTGGCACAAAGTCGCGGTGGCCTGGGGCATCAACAATCGTAAAGGCTGTGCGGTCCGTCTCGAACTTATTGGTGGCAATATCAATCGTGACGCCTCGTGCTCGCTCTTCCGAGCCCTGATCCAACACCCACGCGAGGGCAAAAGAACCCTTTCCGATTTTCTCGGCCTCGCGTCGATATTTGTCCAACGTTCGTTGATCGATCGCCTTCTGATCCGCCAGTAACCGTCCCATTAGAGTACTCTTTCCAGCGTCGACATGACCTGCAACTCATGAGCAATGATCGAAAACTTTCTGCAGCGCTCAAGACTTACCAATTACCACAAAATTGGCGGACTTCTTCCGAGTAGACTTCTTATACTCCTCCAAGACATCCAGATTCTTACTCTTGATGGTCACTTTTTCCTCGACAGACAAGTTGTTCAAGCCACCAGCTAGATCGCCCTGGGACTTTTTGTTGTCGCCGTTTTTGGATGCCGACGGTTTTGATTTGAATCCTGCGTGATATTCGGCGGCTGTTCCAACCTTGCTGCGAAATGCCAAACCTTTCGCGGTGTTCTGTGCATTCAGAACGACGTCGTCCGGGCTCGGGCCTGCAAAGTCAAAGGGTTCAGCATGGTTTTGTCCGTAGATCCTCAGTAAATCCACGCTGTTCGAGTGCAAGTGGCTGGGCTCAGGCGTTGGAATCGTAGTGGTGCCGACAATGGTGCTGGCAAATGTGGATGGCGAAGCACGAATATCAATCCCTGGCTTCCAGTCTTCTGGCTCCTCTTCAGACGGCAAGTCTGGTTCCTGTACCGGTGGTGGCATGGGTGGTGCAGCAGACTGGCCCTTGTCTGGGGATGTCTTTCGCGCCGGAGACGGCGTTGATAAGCCCGGTTTAGATAAGTGTCGAAGAGCGCCATTTCCTTCCGCGGGGTTCGGTGATTTTGCATTGTTGGCAGCTAGCCTGTCACGGATGGACAAAGGCGTGCCCCGCAGCTCAGGAGATGGCACCTCCGTCTTTTCGAGCTCAGGGGTTGCTCGAGTCACTGCCACTGGCGTCGCACCGTTCTTCTCGCCTTCTTTCTTCTTGCGAGCTGCAGCTAGCGCAGCAAGTTTGGAAACCTTCCCACCACTTTCAGGCGCACCACCCAGCAGCCCGAGGCGTGGGTACAGCGGTTCAACCAGGATATCGGCTTTCCGGTGCGAAGGAACGTTGAGCCAGGGGCAGTCGCGAAAAAAATCGGCCGCAGAGAAATGAGCCGTCGAGGGCAGACAAGGAGCAGGGTATGCCGGCACTGAGAAGGAAGACCTGTTAGAGACATTGCGCAAACTTCGGGAGCGGCGTCAGTTTCGAGTCTTGAGCGAGGAAGGAAATGAGCCGTGTAGCACTGGGTAGTTCACCAACACACCTTTCTTTTCAGTGGTGAATCCATCATCGCTTGCATGCACGTCGTGTCGTCTTCCTTCAACCACCGCCGAACCCAGCCACGACACGCCGACCAAACCACATCCCAGTGAATCAAAGCGCTTACCGGCTGCTGCAGTCGCCTGCTGCTTCTTAATCTCCTTCGCCTTCTTGCCTAATCCCACAACCATTAGCCTGCAGTTACCCAACGAATCGCAAAAGCAAAAACAAACACCTCCACCCCCTCAACCCATAACATCCAGGTCCATAGAAAGAGAGAAAAAAAAAAGCATACCTCGCAAGTAATTCACAGTTTTCGGCACATCATTATAGTAATGCCACAGCGATTCCTGAACCTCCTCTTTAGTCGCAGTCACCGGCGGATTCCCTGTGCGGAGCTGCTGGAGCACATCAGTCGTACACTGCTGCACAAACTCTTGCTCTGCAGGATCGGGCGAGTCGTAGCCATCGTCTTCGTCGTACAGGTCGTCGTCATCGTAGCTGACATCTTTGATGCGATGTCTCGACATTTGCACGGTGGGGCTGATGGAGGGGGTGGAGGGGTCTTCAGTTGAGAGGGAGTGAGGGAGTGTAGGTTAAAGGGGGGGAGAGGGAGGGAGGGAGGTGCAGGGAGAGTCAGGTGAGGAATCAACTCGGGAGAGATGAAGGGGGGGAGAGAGTGTGTGGTCGAGACGATGTTGTCGAGAATCAAGGGCGAGGAGATGGATGTCGTGGGGTGAAGGGAGGCTAACGTCATGCTCCACAATGAACTAGTTATCTCTGGTATTACCCGAGCAATAGTTAAGGAAGCTAGCACTGTGTACATTCCAGGCCGAAATAACAAGCCTCCCTACGTCTATCCGCCTAAGACCATGCCAGAGCCCGTTATGACCGATCATCATCAAGACCGAGAAAGAAAGCAACGCGCACATAACAATCAACAACTAGCAAAAAAAAAAAAAAAGGACACGCGCTTTGCACGCCAAACATGAATCGCAAATCATCTATCGCAATGGACTCTCACCAAAAAAATCGCCTGCTCCAGGTCCGCTGAAGCTCCCATTACTCGGTGTGAGGGCGATGGAGCGCCGGAATGCCTGGCGGGGTGTAGTAGGGGCGCTGGTCGGGGCGGCATTCGCAGCGGCGGCGGCTGCAGCGGCTGCAGATGCTGCTGCTGCCGATGCCGCCGCCGCAGCACTAACTTCGGGGGTGCTGGGTGTATTTCGGCCGCTATCATTCTGCATGGTCACTGCAGTGCCCGGGCGGGAGAGCACAGCGGCGGTGCCGTTTCTAGGAGGCGGGCGGAAGCCGAGCTTGGAGCCTTCGCGGAAGATCTCTTCGAGCATCTGAGCCACGATGCCCGCATCCTCGTACTCCTGGAACTTCTTCCACAGACGCAGAGCCATGCGGGCGTCTTCAATGGAATCGTGGCCGTGCACTGTATCAGATGTTGGCTCTTCTTGGATGTATTCCTTAAACACGGCCCAGGCTAGGTATCGCAGACTCAAACGGCGGTTCTTGCCCGGGTGGAAGAAAAGGTACTGCGTGTCCACGGTTTGGGACTTGGGTACTTGCATGTTGATCTTGCGGAAGTCGGACGCTAGGCCGTGGCCGACGAAGACACATCCCAGATTCAGGAGCAGCCATAGCTTCTTGTATGCTGCCTTGAGTGGAACCAAGTTATGCTCGCTGGTCCGCGGGTCCAGATCACCAGGCTTGATACCAGAGTACTGCGTGACATAGTCGACGATCGGCTCTCTGATCGTAATGTAGTCGTCGATAAAGGGGACTCCCTCATCGATGCCTGACCCTCGCAACACCGAGACCCGAGCCAGTCCGCTTTTGTTGGGCCGCACGATTTCCTGGGATCCATCTGCCTTGACATTGATCTCAGCCTTTTCGAGATCAACAAATTCAGTGTCCAAGGCGACGGGTGTGCCCGGTGCGGGCTTCTCCTCTTCAGTCAGGGTATGGCACGTATCAACAGGACGGCCACCATTCAGAGACCACTCGCGGAACAACAAAGTAGTGTCGAGCGAATTTTTCCACGAGTCATCGACCGTATGGCGTGCATCTCTGGCCTGGTAAGACAAAACACAGGGCTGTTTCCAAGGCTGAGTGAAACCAAGCGCTTCCTCCCGATCAACCTCCGTGACCAAAAAGTCATTGAACAAGTGCCACCTGCTCTGTTCCTGGGCTTCACGAGCAGAAATGGAGACATTAATAAAAGACACCAGGTGGGACTTCTGGTGCTCCGGGATATCAACCTCGGCGACCAGGCCAACCAGGTCGTACACCAGAAGCCCAGGTGTGTTGTTCTGCATCCGTAAACGAAGATCTTCTCCCTCAAAGCACATGACTTGCGCACCATCGATCAAAATGCCCACTGCCTCGGGCAACCATCCCGGGATTGCCCACAGACGACGACAGATGGGATTCGTCAAGGCAGCGTTGAGCATGAGGACTAGCGGCATGCGATGTACCGTCTTCCTGATCATCACCTGCTGATACCGTCGACAATAGTTGCACCAGCCGCGGTTCTGTGTTTCACGCTCGATACTCGCGCGCAAGATGTTGGAGAAGCGGAATGCAGAGTTGCGGCGTGCGTGTTTGATGTCCATGTTGGGGTAGATGAGCTCATTCGCCAGCGAGTTCCCAGGCCGCACGATCTCATTCTGGCAGAACATGCACCGGATGGACTCGGAGGCTATTGTTGCGAGGCGCTGGTCAAGCTCTTCTGAGTTGGGTTGGGTCATCCGGAAGTCGTGGGCAATCTGGGTCAAGAAAAACCGATTGACGGATTGTATTGCTTGTGACATGGATTTGTTGGTGAGATTTTCCTCGAGCAAGCCTAGGGTGGATGCCTCTCGGAAGCTGCTGAATGTTTTCAACAAGTTCGTTGCCTGGCAGTTCTGCCCATTGGCCTTTTCCAACATGTCGAATAGATATCCCAATTCACATAGGAGACAATGCTCAAAGATACAAGAACCAGCCGCATGTTGTAGAGCGAGATTTCGGACGAGGGGGATAAATTTCAAAAGTTGGAGAAGGGAGTTGGTGAAGGAGTTGGCAATGTGGGTTTCAAGGCCAGAGAATGAGGTTTGGTTATAGAAACTGTGTAAGACGTTAACATCAGACTCGGACTCTCCGGAGCCAAAAGTGCTTTCTTTCATACCGGAAATCAAAATCATCCACCCCGAACCGACTATACTTGATCTCCACGTTACTGTATTTGAGGAGAGGATCATCCTCGCTTTCGCCGTTGATTTTTGCCCCGGCCAGAGCTTGAGCCACATCAGTAACAGAGCCCTCTGACGTCCCTTTGCTTTGATCCCGAGCTTTTTCGCTTAGGAACTTCGGCGCAATAAGTGCTGGTTCCGCCGTGGCCATGGCGCGGGTATTCTCAACCTGATACCGACGAGTCTTTCTGAGATTTGGCGCGTGGTGGCCCATCTCTGCCTGTCGCAGGTAAGGGATCATCGCCTGGTCCAGAGGAGCAGGGGGACTGCCCACTTCGAAAACGAGGTGGCTCGGCCAGGCAGAGTGCAGACGGTCATGGTAGTAAGGCATCCCAATCATGCTCAACGGAGTATCGGGGGTCCAATCAATTGGTGGAGGTCGTGTAGGCACATCGGCAAACTCTGCTTCTTTACTCATCTCGTTGAAATGGATCTTAGTCGGCGATCCCCACAGGTGTATCGAGCATTCTGCGTCATTGATTGCCAGGGCTTCACCTGAGGGCGAAAGCTCGATGCCGAGCATGAGAGAAACATTGGCCTGGCGGAGATTGACGGAGTTGGGATTCATGAGGTCCACCACCTGCAGCTGGCCGGTTTGCGAGGCCACAAAACTAGTGGTGCTGAGCTTGGGGTGCATTCGCACATAGGCCGCTCCAGCATGGAAAGGGATCGGAGGTAGTGGTGCCAACGTCTTCAGGTCATACACGTTCGCCAAAGGATCAACAATCGGGGAACCGAGATGGCGGACGGAAAAGCCGCAGGTGACCAGCAAATCATTCCGAGCATCCATATCATTTACCGCAGTACCATGAGCCTTCCAGGTCTTGACGATACTAAAATCCGACAGGCTCAAAGCATTGACCGATCCCGTATCCGTCGCAGCGCAGAGGTACCGGCTCTTTTTCATAATGGTGTAGTTGCAGTCAGTGGGCAGCCTGTCGACGATGACGCCCTTGTCAATGTCCACTGTGAACATCACACGCTGGCAGCCCGCAACGAGAATCCGATTCGTCTGCGCCGTGAAACTCATGCAGCGAAGATCGAGCATCTCGTCGTTCGTGAGATGCCATTGCGTCAGGCCGCGTCGAGTGATCATATGCACGCTCTTGGACGAAATAGATATCACGCCTCTCTCATGGAACAAAATCTGACGCACCGCGCCATCGGAGACGGGGTGTGCTCGAACGGAAGTGTATCGTTGCAGATCTGGCCCGTTGAAAGAGGTGATTCGGCCCTAGCGAGACAAAAACAAAGCGCGCGTTAGTTAGTAGCTCTTCGCTAGGATAGCAAATGCAGTCGGCGCATACATATTCATTCCCTGTCCACAGTAGTTCCATAACATCATCGAATGCCACCGTGGTCGCTATCGTTGGCATGGCATGCGAACTGGGCGGTGGCACCGCGATGCGCGCCAGCTCATCCCAGTCGGCCTCCATGGCGGCAGCGGCCTATCCGGGCTATTCGCCCGAATTTCTAGTCGGTTCGATTTGTGTGCAATTGTTAAAACCTACTGCCTTCCCCCTAGCGGAATGATGGCGAAAACTGGCATCGTCCGGGCAATGAGAACGCGATTGCGGGGAAGCTCGAGGAAGGGATTAAGTTGGGCAGAGCGCAAGCGCTACTCGCTCGGTAAGTCTCAGGTAGGGACGCCTGAGAGGAGGGCGTGATGCCCGGGTACGGTATCACGGCGATGGGCGAGTCAAGGGTTCCGGAGTGGCTGTCGTCGACTCTGGGCTGCGGCGAAGTTGAGGTGTGTTCTATCACGTGATATGCGATATACGCAGTTGGGTGCAACAACTAATCTACTTTCCTCGAAATGGACATAGACGGCATATACAAGTTGAATGGCCTATCACTGTTGGCTAAATACGTGGAACTGTACAGCAAAAAGCGAGGGCCAAAGAATCAACACAAAAACAAATGAAACCGGCCCCAAAAACCAGTCGGGATTAACTACCAACCCATTGAGCGTCAATCGCTCACCAAATACCAGACTCCAGCCATCGTCCCCTACCTATAGAAAGAAGCGGGGTTTGATCCCGAGGACTGCTGATAGGCCTGGTAATCTCCGCTAGGCGCTGGAGCAGGAGGTGGGCTGTAGGCAGTATACGGCACGGCCGGTGGAGCGTTGCCAGGAACTGGGGGAGGCTGATGTGAAGGAGGCGCGGAATGAACAACTGGTGTTTGGGGATACGGGAGGTTTTGCTGTTGTTGCTGTTGCTGTTGCTGCTGCTGCTGCGGGATATAATGCTGCGGCGGCTGCTGGGGAATAGCGGACGAAGGCGTGACCTGAGATGAATCCTCGGGAGAATAAACTGATGGCGAATAACCTTCTTGCGGCGGCGGTGCCTGCTGCTGCTGGAACTGCTGGTGCTGAGCAGGTGGTGCCTGGGTTCCCGGTTGGTAGGGAGGACGATGACCCACGTTGGAATGGTCAACGGGAGAGTCGTACACGGATGTCCCCAGTTCCTGCGGATGATCATAGGTGGACTGCGGTCGGTGATGCATAGGCGACTGGTACGCATCCGAGGCCGGTGGCTGCTGCTGTAGCTGCTGGGGTGGCTGTTGTTGCACAGCTGGTGCACCCATGGTGGCTTGAATGCGGGGATCGGGGGAATGAGACGCAGGCCGGTATGGTATCGTCTGCTCCGCACCATAGTACGGAGAAGCATTTGATTGCGGAGGTTGCGTTTCTAGATATCGAGATTAATGACCGTGTTGCGAGAAACGCAAGCTCTTGACAAACCTTGAGGACGGGGACTGAAGTATCGTTGATCCGCCTGGGGAGGCCCAGCCTGGGGAGGCCCAGCCTGGGGAGGCCCAGCCTGGGGAGGACCAGGAGGATATCCTACAGGTGCAACACCTGGATAACCGTACTGCGGCTGGGGAGGACGGCCATACTGGGGCTGAGTCGGGTGGGTCATAGAGGCCTCCAAGAGAGACTCATAATCACGCCGGGCCTTGATGAACTTCTCGTTAAGTTGCGTGAACTCGTCTGGAAGGCTGTAAGTACAACGCTTAAACTCCGAGATGGTCTTGGTTACCTTTCTTCTGGGAATATTTGCCAATCAGCTCGATGAGCTTGGGTCGAATCGCAAGCGTGTGGTGGTAAAGAGTGGTGATTTCCTCATTGTCTTGAACATTGAGGTCGGAACTCCGCGTACTCAGAAGCGTCAGCAGCTTCTCGACGTTCTTGATCTGGCTGAAGACATCCGCCTCCATCTGCGCCTCTCGCTGCAGCTCTTCTGTGGTGGGATCAGGGAGCTTCTCGACATAGTTGAGAGGGAAAATGCCGGTCTGTCCTCTCAACGATCCCTTCCACCAGTCTTTATAGACGGATTCTAGGACTGCAATGACATCGCCTTTCCGAAACTGCAACTCTCCGGGTTCCGAAGGCAAAAAGTCGAACAACGCTCTCACCCGAGATACAGTGGCTGCCGATGTTCCTGAAGGCACGGGCTGTGCCACGGCGGGTTGAGATTGAGCTTGGGTCGCAGCGGCGGAAGATGATGCAACTGTGGATGCAGAGGATTCACCCTGTTTGGGTTCAGCTGGATTTTTATCCTTGATCGATAGGGCCAATGCCATCTGCAGCTCCTCTTCCTCTTTCTGTCGATCGGACTGGGTGATCTCGCGCTTTCCCGGTTTGGACGGCGGCTGCAGATTCGGGTCTAGGTGGCTTTATCAGCTTCTGTCTTGGTGGAGGCAGTGTGGTCCTTACTCTGTGTCTTCAGTTGCATATACGCTTGCTCCATGATGCCGAAATCCGGGTTTGACGCGAACATCTCCGTCCATTCCTCCATTCGTTCCAGAATCTTGGACTTGACCTGCTGGTGTGTGTTCTGAAACTCTTAGCATTGGCTGCAAATGTGATGTCTTGGAACTTACCCGATCAGCGGCCAGGCGAAGAAGCGCATCAGTGAAACTCCTCGAAGCCAGCTCGCGGTGAATCTTGGGTCCACAGTTCTGCGACAGGGAATTGCCCAGCTAGCAAGTCAAATTAAGTCAGCACGACATCTAGGACTGTGAGAAGACAATGCTAACCTCCAATGTATAGAGCTGCACATTGGCATTCCTATGAGCCAGTCTTTTGATCATGGCAGCGACCGCTTCTTTCGGACTATTTAACCCCAAGTCGCAGTCAGCAAGGATTCCTCACGATAGAATCTAGAGTGGAGGAAATCGACATACCCCGACTCTTCGGCAGAAACTTTGTCACAAACATCCTATCTCGCGGAAGAAATATCAGCTCCTTAGTTCATATTAACAAAGCCATGACGTAGATCAACGCACCAGAATGTATTCCCAGTTCTCCGAGGTCAAATTTTCGTCCGTCGCCTTGGCTGTAATAGAACAAAGTCGCACGAGTCAGCCATCCATTGTTATCACAAAGCTCAAGTCTGTGCACATTGCACAGAAGCGCAGTCCAGAAATAGACGAGGCTCCCAGCCGCATCATAGGTCTAGGGAGACGAGGTGATAGCGACGACTCACCGACAGCATCGTCGAAGGCGCTCTGCGGTGTACGAAACATCGCCAGTCTGTTGTTTCTTCGAAGGTCCCGGGCTGGCACAGTGTAAAGGGTTGGGGGAGTTGGGTAGCTGTTCGTTCGGCCTAGGGCAGGTCGCTCGCTCGCTCAGATGTCTGTTGTTGTGTAGCCCAGGGGTATCTGCTGTAAGCTTGATGATCGGGCGAGATTGTCAATAAAGCGACTCGTCAGGTGGGCGAAGGAGTCTGTGGAAGCGATGCGTGTGTCAAGCACCGAATGCGGGGGGAGGAGTGATGAGGTCTCAAGGAGGCCAGCTGCGTGGTTGGCGGGCGAAGGTAATAGCGAGAGGAGGGAGATGTCTCAGGAGAAAAGTATGAAGCTGGCAGCTGGGTGAATATGTTCCTGTCGGATGTTCCAAAAGAGTATACAGAGCGATCGGGGGCAGTGTTGCTCGTGCTGGTGAGGGCGGAAACACACTGAGTCAGCACGATGACGATGGACCGAGATTTCGCGAGTATACAGTCTGCCTTGGATTTACGTCGGCCAGGCTCCTATGTTTTTTTTTTTTTCTCCGAGCCCTTTTTTGCCTGCCTATTGCTCTAGGTGGATTTCTGGAGATATTCATACCTGGAAAGCCCCGCGATGCATACTCCATACGGTATACATTGCGCAAAGTCATGTCTGATAAGATGCGGGTACCATAATAAGATGCAGTCAACAAATGCGCCAAATCGGAACAAGTCACAAGTATGAAGAGTACTCTATACCCGTACTATCAAGCCAAGCAAGACGATGAACAGATAATAAACGGCAGAGAGAGGACTACAACATTACAGAAACGCCCAACAACAACACAGTGAGCAGCAGCAAAAAGGACAACCGAGTCATTTTCATCCGTGACGACTGGATGCTTGCTAAGAAGGGTGAGAAAAAAAAGTTAAATGGATACAAAGAAGAGACCCGGCATGGAGACACGGCCATGTTAGGGTCGAGAGAAGAAATGGGGTATCTGAACGAGACGTCAAGAGAGATCAAGCATGGGTCAAACAAAAACCGAAACAGAAGGAACCGTCATCTAAGCACCCCCTTTCTGCGCTTTCTCCTGGGCGCGGTTGACCCGAGCAGCCTTGACCAGGGGAGCGAGATGCGACAGTGGTGAGCAAAGAGTCATAAAGGGATGCTGCACATCAAGTCAGTGACCGGTCTTGGGAAAAGGAGTGCGTTGGAACGTACCTTCAACAAGTCGTGTGCCGATGCGCGCTTCTCCGGATCAACCTTCAGGGCCAGATGAAGGAAGTCGCGGAAAATGTTCGACAGTTTATGCTCGTCCTTGATGGTCGGCGTCCCATTGGTGGCGATCAGATACAACGCTCGCAGCGGCGATTCCGTCAGATATGGCGGCTCGCCCTCGATCATCTCGATCGCCATGATGCCTAGACTCCAGATGTCGACCTTGCGACCGTATTCTTTGCGGGTGACTACCTCGGGGGCCATCCAGTACGGAGTGCCGACCATGGTGTTCCGCTTGTTCTGCGAGTCATTGATCTGTGCGCAGAAGCCAAAGTCGGCTATGAAACAAGTCAGCGCAATTTTGAACCCCCAAGTCTGGAAGAACTTACTCAGTTTAATGTTGCCATCCATTGCCAGGAGGATGTTGTCGGATTTGATGTCACGATGAATGACACCTTTGGAATGGAGGTGTTGCAGGCCATTCAAAGTCTAAGAACAGTGTAAGCACTCGACACGAGTCAAAACATCCCCTGAGAAGAGAGACCTACCTCTCGACAAACGGCCGCGATCTGCCCCTCGCTCATCATGTTGAAAGTGACCACGTCCGTGAGACTACCACCTTCCATGTATTCCATTACTACCCATAGATCTAGGCCATGCAGGAAGCTCTCCAAGAAGTTGACAATGTTCTTGTGCTTGCTGTCCTTCATGACCAGGATCTCATTGATAATGAGATCCTTCTTGGGCTGCAAATCCAAGTTCATTTGTTTGATCGCGACACAGTTGTTAGTACCCACTTCATACGCTGTGTAGACACCACCAGAGGCACCCTGGCCAATCTTGTTGAGGTTGTAGTAGATCTGGGTCGGATCGCCCGGGTGGCAGATCGACAGGAGGCGCGCACGAATGTCCGCAGCATTGCTCTGTGGGCGCTGGCGCTGTCGAGGTCTGGCTGCAGGCGGAGCCCGCGCGGCACCCGGAGGGGCTACGGCCGACGAGGGACCGGTTGCTGGAGAGGCCGCCTGGGCGGCGGGGAGTTGTGGCAGTGGAGTCGGCTGGACTTGCGGAATATGCTGCGCTTGTTGTGCTTGCTGGGCTTGCTGTGCCTGCTGTGCCTGCTGTGCCTGCTGTGCCTGCTGTGCCTGCTGTGCCTGCTGTGCCTGTATACGTTGGCTCCGACTGCGATCCAGCTGCTTTGATGTGATTGCCTGTTGGGCCACTGCCATCATCTGCTCCTGCTGCTGCTGGTATTGAGTCGGATTGGAAACGATACCAGGCGGTGCCCGTGGCGCCGGGGTGCCATTTCGGGAACTGGACGGGCTGCGCTGAGGGGAAGGCACCGCCTCACTTTCTGGGATAGATGGGGTGCCGAAGGGAGGGCTATAAGCTTCTTGAACTGGTCGTTGAGGTGCGCCCATGTACTGTTGCGAAACCGGGGGCTGCGGAGGAGGACGAGATGGCGTCATGCCGACAGTGGGTGGTTTCGGTGGTGCCCGGTTCGGGATCAGACTGCCTAGCGGAGGCGACATCGCCTGGGAGCCCACGGGTTGCCCACGAGGGACAGGAGGCGGGGATCGAGGGTTTTCAAAACTTCCTTGGTGGTTCTGCGGAAATCGTGGGCTCCCGGGAGGCGACGGTGCCTGCCCACCGGTCGGGCTATGTGCGTGGTCAAACTTGTGCCATACCTCATCGTCACTATCACCGCGAGTGTTTTTCTCATAGAAGCGCATGATGTCCATCATAGTCTGCGGGTGCTCTTCCTGCTCCTGTTTCGAGATGCCATTCTCTTGCAGCAAGCGCTGCCACTCCTTGGGGAGGCCTGTGAACTGGCCCGTCTGGTTGTCATATCCGACGTGGGTGACGTGGACCGGGTTTTCGGGAGCAGAGATTTTGATATTTGGCCGCGGAGAGCCCAGTACACTGTTGACAAAGCTTGAGAAACTGGCCTTCTTGCTTCGCCCATGCCGGGGTGGTGGTGGCGTGTTGGCGGGGCCATCGCCCTCATCGGAATATCGTTTTACGGGTGGCGCCCGTTCGGTCTCCCGATGCGAGAAATCCATGTTGGGCAGGGTGGTGAAGCTGGCTGACTGGCGGAGAGATGGGAACCTCCGGGGGTCGGGGCTGGTGTGATGAGCGCGTAGGGTCGGAGGCTGCTGAGGACGGTGGTCGGTCTCGGCGCTGTTCTCATCCAGCGCACTGAGCATGCCCCGCGTCTCGTACGAAGTCGTTAATTCATCTGAGCTGTGTTGATCGTAGGAGAAACGGTTGGAGCTGCGCGACCGGGCCGCTGGGTAGCCAGAGGGATAACTCGACTCGGCGGGCGAAGGGCCCCCGCTGCGGTCGAGCGACGAGGACGATGAGCCGAAAACTTCGTTCGCGTTGGAGCGAGAGCGAAAATGATCCCGACTGCCGTTGGGTGAGGAGCGTGGATAGACGGGGGCGGAGGGGTGGCGTTTGAGCGAGTTGGTGCTCTGGTGGCTCCGAAGAATGCGCGATCCGAAGCTAGGGGGGTCCTTGTGCAGCTTGCTGGACGGTCGGCGGAATTTCAAGAAACTGTCTGAATTCATGGCGGGCCACGATCTGTGTCTTCACGAGACACGGGATTGGAATTGAGGCTTGGGCCGAGGGGGTCAGACTCAGACGGGGGAGGAGGTTCCGTCTAACCAGGCCCATCTGCGACCGGAGGGTCTTGGATGGGGAGGGCCCGGACAGGACTGGAAAGAAATTCCAGATGGGTTCTTGGAACGCTGGGGGAATCTGGAAGGAACGGGGATGGAAGGGGGGAAGGAATGCCACGAGAGAGAGAGGGTGGGGAGTGAGGGAGAATGTGAGGGTGTGAAGGAAGAATAAGGAAGAATAATACTGAGCGGGTAAGCACGTGGAACTGTTAGTAGAAGGCTGGGACGGCCAGGACGTAGTGAATGCGGATCCCATGGTCAACTCACTCTGTTCCCTTCTCTTTTCTTTCTCGCACAATTCTAGACACGGCGGATGGTGGACCCTAGTCCACTTTCATTTGGGCCGAGTCGAACTAGCGTTGGGGGCAGCCCGTTTTTGCCTGTCTCTTTTAAGACAAGACTCCACACAACGGTCGCCTTGACCTCGGGGCTTAGCACCGCCCACCCGTCATGTCCCCAGAGAAGGCTGCGGGCCCGTCCAGCCGCCGGTAATCGCCAATGAAGCAGACGCGCGCCAGCAAACCCAAAGTGCGCACGGGTTGTATGACTTGCAAGTTAGCTGCGACCGAGTGGTGTGGGATAGTGAGGACAGTGGTCTGTACTGACGATCCATGATGTGATAGGGCTCGTCGGGTCAAATGCGACGAAGGCAAACCCCTATGTGCCAGGTGCACCAACACAGGCAGAAAGTGTGAGGGTTATGCCATCCCAGCTTCGTCCGCTGCACGTCTCTCCATCCAGGTCGCACCAGGGCCAGAAGTGACTTCGCCCATCGAGCCTCGCGCACTCGAGTTCTTTTTTCACAAGACTGCTCCGCACTTGGCCGGCTTCTTCGAGGCCTCATTCTTCCAAGGCAGTGTCCTCCAGCTGAGCCTGGCAGAACCCGCGATCCGCCAGGCCATTGCCGCAATAGCATCACTACATGAGCAAGAAGCACCGGATCCACAACTTCTGGCAGACGCGGAATCACCGGCCGATCTCCCCGTCAGACTCTACAGTCAATCGATCCGGTCAATTATAGACAGGGCCGCCGGCAATAATGCCATGCCAGTGGTGGCTGTGGCTAACATCTTGTATACCTGTTTTGAATTTCTCCGAGGCAATGCTGCCACCGCTGCTAACCACGTTCGGAGCGGCATCAATCTCCTGCAATCATTCCGTGAGCAGTCAGGAGGCGAGCCGGCCGGCCCGTGGGGACAAAAGTATCGATCATTCGAATCACACTTCATGGAGACCGAGATCGCTCCACTGCTGAGCCTGTTCAACATCAACGTGCTCAAATTCGGCCGTCGTGACCGCTCCAGGCTTCTGCTCAATGCAGTGGATGGCATTGGACAGGTCGTGTTGGCCGATCGATTCGAGACTCTCCGTGAAGCCCGAGTCGCTCTCCTCGACCTCATCTCTGTCTCCATTGCCTCCTTTGAATACTTTGACCAAATCGTCGGCCACGGAGAACTGCCTATCGCAGATATCGTAATCTTTTTCGACAAGATGCGCTCGGGCCTCAGCCAATGGAAGGCCAAATTCGAGGATCTTGCTCGCCGGCAGGAACATTCGTGGAATCAAAAGGAGCAGGCTGCCGCGAATGTAATTCACATCATGGGGTTCAGCGGCGACATCGGCATGATTGCCTACCAAGTCAACGGTGAGAGTGACTGGGATGCTTATCGCTCCGACTATGAAGAATTTATCCAACTCGCGGAAACCCTCGTTTCAGATCAAGGCAATTACTCAGATCCATTGACCAAGGTTCTGAGCTTGGATTTTGGCATGATCTTCCCTCTCCACGCAGTGGCCTGGAAATGTCGCTGGCCCCATCTCCGTCGCAAGGGACTGGATCTATTCCATAAGATTCCCAAGCGCGAATGGTCCCTCGTTTCAGAGCGCTACTACGCTATTTTCTCCCGAATCATGGAGATCGAAGAGTCTTATCTTCACCTAGCGCCGGGCACCATCCCAGATGAGAATGTGCTCCCTCCTGAGCACGTCCGGATTCATGATTTTCAAGTGGTTCCTCACCCGACCAGCCCGGGCGAACGTCCTCTGTTCGCTGTCAGCTTCTTCAGGAAGCCCAGTGGTCTTGACAGTGACTGGCATTGTCAAACTGAGTATCTCCATCTAGGGACCTCTGAGTCCACTGAACTTGCGGTCCCGAGCAACTTGATCGCGCGGAGACCATGGGCCAGCTCTGAGCTTTCTGATCCGGACGCTTTACGTCTCTTGAAGAGGGCTGTGTTTGGGTCTGAAACCGAACTTCTCGTGCGAGCGTCGCCTGAACGGAATCTTTGTGATACGATGCCATAGGATGTGGTGATACACTTGGATGCGGAGTTTTGATTTAGAGGGCGGCAGTGCTCATAGATGAATATAAACGTTGACAATTATACATCCAGCTCATTTCATTTCTCGTCGGTTTACCTCTAGATGCGTAATATATGATGAGTCGAATAGACCACTATAGAGAGCCGGCTTATTGAGTAAATTTCAATTGCTTGTTATCAAAATAAATCGCTTTGGCCCGGTTCAGCAGTAGCAGAATACAATTCAACTATAAAAGACGCATGCCTCCTTATACCACATATTTTCCATCTGAAAAGCCCAAGTCTTTATTTCCTCAAATATGAACACACATGACATCCACAGAGAGACACTCCTCTTCCACGCCTGATGGGGGATTTTTCTGGCACTGCCAACCATTCTGCCCAGCCTTTAGTTCCACCTGCCCTTTCTCAGACGGACCATGAGAGATCCTCTCCAGCTGCAGTGTGAAATCTGTGATATTCTCTATCCCGGATGGGGAGCTGAATCCCCATTGGCCATCATCACACTTGGGCTGGATCTCAACGGGTGCCAGCTTGTTCCTGTGCGTAACATGAGATGCTGATATCCGCAGAGCAAACACACGGTTCCCCAAACGAAAAGAAAGGAGAGAAAAAGGCAACTTACCATTCAAGTTTGCAACCAGTGGGCTTTTCCTTGGTATTTGGATCATGGAGTGTGAATCTCAGATGGCCGGTGTAAGTGCTTTGGTTGGCGTGGATTTGGGTCAGTTGCAGGGGTTGGTGACTTGTCTTCTGGCGACTCTGTGCTGCAAAGGTTCTGCTGGTAGCCAGAAGAAGAGCGAGGATACTGAAGGTCTTCATAGTTGCACTTATCAAACAGGGTGCATAGGAAGTGGGCGGGATGACGGTTGATGATATAAGTCTGCGGGAATCAAAGCTCCTTCCTCCCTTTTATGCTTAGCGATGGTGCCTCTCATTAATAATGACTTCACTACGCCGTCGGTTCTGTGTAATTTCTTTTTCTGTTCCAGACAATTATCTGTATGTCGTTTTATGGCTTGCTCTAATCTATGGAATCTACGCTTCCTGTGGTCGCTCAGCTCATTGTTCTAGTGTCATTAATAACTTATGTTGGCAAAAGACACTAGCATTCTTTGTATTTGGCAGGGAAAATAACCGCGATAATTGAGGAAACTGGGTGATTTGAGGACACTCGCGTTCAGTCAAACGAGCCGGCCATCAAACAGTGCTACGGTTCCGAGGTGAGAAGCCGTCTGGAGTTAGTTTTTTTTTTCTCGTAGGTGGTTTCATCCATAATATCTTGAGGGCGAAATGGCCCTTGTCTAAGGTTGGGCAAAAAGTCCTTGGAAGGAATGTAGGGAGCACGGGCGAAGCACGCGCCCTCGGATCTGAATTGGCAATTCCTGTGAATTCTGCAGGCCCCCTTTTCGAGAATCACTTGGTTCTAGAATCACTTGGTTCTTCAAACTAATGCAATTCATGTCGCCCACCTGTTACTCTTAATTGGCTTCAAATGGCCAATAGAAGTGTGGATATTCAACAAGTTACACATCACATCAAGACTCTATAACTGTGCCCCCTTGCCAACCCAATAAAGGGGGCACTACCAGTGATCATAATTTGCTCACTTAACAGCTGGCTTTACATTTGATTTCTCCTCTTGTTTATTTCTGTCTGTACTCCTTTTGGATGTGAATATTAGTTCTTGGCATCTACATTTCTGCCTGGTCTTCTTTAGTTTGCACAGTGGATCCGTCCATATTGGACAGATCAAACCGAAACTTTTGGCCTTGCCGTTTTAGTTGACAGCCCTTGCTTTTTTCTGTTCTCTGGGCAGATCTAATTAACCCGATGCTGTTGTTACTTACTACGGTGAACCAGTATTCATGATGTTGATATAGCCTCTGGAGGTTTGGGAAACAACTTGTGAATGATTTTGGAGTATCGGGTTTTGCATCTCTATCAAGGGACAATTATTATCGGTTAAATGGCCGCTCATATTACATTGCTTGGTCCGAGGCAGCAATATGCGTTCTAACCCGGACTCGAAAATTTTGGCCAGATGCGTCAGTGGAAGGGGACAGGGAGGATAGGGTCGGAATGAATCTTGGCAAGTTAAAAGGAAAGGGAACCCAGAGACTAAAGAGAGTATATGGATAAGGAGAGCAAAAGAGTGACTGGACTCAACCTGAGCTTTATTAAAGATGTTAAATTGATGTCGAAAAGCAATTTCATAGACATAGATCCTTCATCGAGTTAGTACGCATTTTATGCAATGGGCTTAAAGTAGCATTAGCCATTGCTTGGCAATTTCCTAGGCTGTTGTGCTTCGATCAACCCTTTTTGTACTATCTAGCAAGTTTTTTTATTAGGAAGCAACAACGGTTCATTCCGTTATATTAGAGACTGTGTCCGGATTCGCTCTCGTTTACGGATAACCTAAACAGTCAATTGATCTTCCCAGCATTTCTGAACCATCGAGTCCGATGATGATCTTCTCTTAAGAAGGGATGCTGGGTCTGAAGAGTGACTGGCCAAGATCATTTGTCTAAGCAATTTCGTATCTTTCAAACGTTTCTATCAGAAATCAGCAATCGAATCTTCTGGGGCCCATGATACTTGTACATATGGTATGATTTAGCAAAAAAAAACTTTTTCAGTATCTACATACATGCTATGAATATGTGTACGCAATAAAGGGGCAACTTATATATCCCCTGAAACTCATTCCTCGCCTAGCCCTCTTTTTGAAAGGAGTTGTATCAAGTATTTTTTTGGTCTTCGTAGGGGTGATGGGGGTGAACCTGGGGGAGGAAATTATATATAGCGGTGTAATAATGTGGTGCTAGACGCAGATATATATTCGGAGCCGGTGAGACAATATATCACGGACACCACCTTCCGGTATTATTTGGTTTCTCTCTAATAGCGATATATTCTTCTGAAAAATCTGCCTTGTACAATACAGCCATCTCACTTTAATGACGCCGCAAGTATATCAACGCCTTGCGGTGTTTCTGTGCCCTACCTAAGACAGGGCTGGTGTGAATCAACTTGGCAGCCCCGAGTATACTTGCCAAGGAATTGCAGGGATAGACATCCAGGTCTTCACAACCGGGTCTTCACCGAGTCTAGTATTCTAGCCCGGACGTTGTTTTCTCTTCGTTTAGGAGGACTGCGTATACTGCAGATTCATATCGGTACATCGCGCGCGGCGTGAATTTGTCCCGGACGGGCCATCTGGACTCGTCCTCATATCTCCTCGAGAATTCAAGTTATGTAGATTTTATTCATTCGCACATCTAGACTACGCCCATACTTCCTCTCCAGGAACACCTGAGCATCGGGACATACCCGACGAGCAAGGGCCGAGCCTTTGGTTCAAGGCTAACTAATCGCCCCACATCCCCGGTCGATCATGGAGACGCGTCAAAATCAAAACACGATAAGCTCAGGGGAAAACTATGAACTAAATCTACTGCGGGCAACGTAACCGTCTCTGATCCTCTTTATTCCGTCTTCCCTCATGGCTGCGAACCGCCGCAGATTTGAAAGCAGTCTCGGACGCCAAACCCCACCCCGGCCAAGCCCAGATGTTCCCCTTGCCTGCCCCGGCAGGCCATGTAGCAAGACTGTGGGACCCGAGACTTGCAGATCGAGTATTACGCATGTCGATCCCCTCGCTTTCGCAGCAAGCGTCGGCTTCGATCTCGTTCTCCCGTTCGGCCCCGAGGAAGATGAACCCACATTCACCGTACCTTGCGCAATGAGAGTGGATCACCCACTCGCTTTCTTTTCCCCTAGACTCGGAGGTAAGCGCTGAAATGTAGCTCTGTTTTCTCATTGCCTGTAACGTGAATGATTGGCCCCCTACCCGTAGCGGCCCTGCGAGAACTGTGCATGAAGCTATTGCTTTCGGCGCATGGCGGCTGCATCCTGAGCTGTCCATGCAAGGTGCTGAGCATCCCCAGAAGCGCCATGCAGGAGATAAAGCTCTAGTGAGGCTACATGAGAGAACAAGGCGTTATCAAACAGGGCGGCCTCGGCGGCAGCACCCAAGACATAGGCGTGGGTCGCTATGAGAGCCAAGTACAGCATGATTCAATATAAATTCAGGCCGTTCGCACCCCAACCTCCGGGAAATTTACGCTGGCATCCAGACTAATTCCCCTTTGTTTTCTTTCCCCCCTTTGTCGTTGCCCACTAACTCAACCACCTGCAGCCCACCATGATGTTTTTTCTCTTCTGCTTGCTTGTGGCTTTGGTTAGCGCCTATCCCAACCGGGGTCCCTGTTCGGGAGACTGCTGGACACACGATCCCGCCTTGGCCCAAAGAGAATACGATGGCAAGTATTTTCGCTTTGCTACGGGAGACGGTGTCTTGATTTCGACTGCCGATTCCCTCAGGGGGCCATGGACCGCGGTTGGCTCTGCCCTGGCCCAGGGTTCTCAGATCGAGCTCAATGGTGTGAACAAGACCGATATCTGGGTATGGCAGCATCTCTCCGCTAACGATATAAACATGGCTAACAATTGATTCGTTACAGGCACCCGACGTGCATTACGAGGACGGGACGTACTACATGTACTACGTGATCTCCAAGCTGGGAACCCAGGACTCTGAGATAGGCGTGGCTACCTCGCACACCATGGAGCCGGGCTCCTGGACCGACCATGGCGTTGTTGGTATCCCAGCCAATGGCCAATATAACCGCATCGACCCCAACTGGATCTCCATCGGCGGCCAGGCGTATCTCAACTTTGGCTCTTACTGGAACGACATCTTCCAGATTGAAATGCAAGGCCCGCTACAGGCTGCCGCCCAAGCGCCTCGGAACCTGGCATTTAATGGCAGTCTCAACCACCGCGAGGAGGGGTCGTTCATGTTCCAGAATGGCGACTGGTTCTATCTCTTGTTCTCCGCTGGTATTGCCAATGCCTACACCGCTACCTATCCCGCCCCCGGAGAGGAGTATAGCATTCGCATGTGCCGTTCTCAGTCTGGTCTCAGTGGCTTTGTAAGATTTTTGCCCTCTTTGTTCGCATTCAGCACTAATACTCTGTTTCCAGGTGGACATGCAAGGCCATGAGTGTCTAGAAAGCGGCGGTTCGATGCTGCTCTCCAGTCATGGAGAGGTTTACGCCCCCGGTGGACAGTATGTGACCCTTCATGTTTCCAAATCTTGACTATTCGGCTAACAAGATCCAGGGGCGTTCTCAACGACCAATACCTCGGACCTGTGCTGTACTATCATTACTACACGCCTGAAGCGAAGCAGGCTGCCGCCGGCAATTCGGGATACCGGTTCGGCTGGAATGAGCTGGGCTTCCAGAACGGATGGCCGTACGTGAAATGATCTCGGCAACAAACGCATCGTTCCCCCTCGCATACATATACATCGCGCATCTCCCCAACTTCCTGCTACATAATACATACTAGATACACTTCGCTGCAGGAAGGCTCGAGGCCAGGGCCTCGTTTTCTCCATCTATGTCCAAGGTAGGGTCATCGTGTTTATAGCACTGCACTCGTTTGTGATACCCATGCCGGTTTGGCGGTTTGTCATGTCATGGTTCGCTCGTGTGAAGATACTATATTATAATTCCTCTTCATCAATAGATGCCCCGCGATAATCGGGAGTTTAATTACTATTTGCAGAGAGAAAACACACGTAGAATCGTCTATTGTGACTAATGTACAGCATATACCACTTGCTCACTATTTACAGTCCATAGTATCATGTACTGTGCATAGTCTCAGATGGACCTCTACCGACCCACGTATTTGAGCTCCAGCGCCCGAAGAGGCAGGAACGAGATGCTCGTAAACACCAGGGCCAGCTCATTGGCGATATCGCCGCCGCTCTTTCCGATCATATCGGCAAGAGCACCAATATAGTACGTCTCCACCATGCCCACGATCCATCCAGCAGCGCCGCAGAGGAATGCCGCGAGTCCGGCCAAACCCAGAGGCATGCGTGATGGGTCGTCCCAGGCATCGAGGTCGTAGTTAGCGAGATTGCCTCTGCGGAAGTAGTAATGCTCAGTGAAGAGGATGACAAAAAAGGACGTGTTCCAATAGCCGAGCAATGACAGGAAGTTCTGCAGGACTGCCAGCAGGTGGTCGCGGCCCACGATGCCTATCAATAGAATTCCGATAAAGACAAGAAATGACCAGAACATCCGCGGCACTTTGGCGAATGGGGGAGCAAAGAGCTGTGCCGAGAGTGCGCCGGCATAGATGGCAATGCAGTTAATCCCGACTGAAAAACAGAATGAGTCAGTATGATATTAGGAAGGACATAGCGTATAAACACATACTTCCTGATAAGACGAGTAGAACGAGGATGAACTTGGCAAACCCTTCCGGAAACATGATCGTCTTCAAGATCTCGCCCATGCCGACACCATAAGCTGCTTCCCACTTGGGATTTGTGTCGAGTGCGGAGCCAACACACGCACCCAGAATCATGCCAATACACGTCGGGATCGTGATGCCCAGAGTTGTGTACAGAAATACCTTGATCTTAGGCGTGTCTACTGGATAGTGTACGTAGAAGTCCGAGACGATGGAGCTCCAAGACGCACTAGAGCCATAGACGACGCCAACCAGACTCAACGCATTGCCTGATTTTGTCACACCCGACACCGCGGTCACAGGCGGGGCTAGGCTGGCATGGGGCGCGGCCATGCCGTAGATGATCATAAAGATAACGAAGAACAGGATCCATGCGTATTTCTCATACAGCAAGACTCCGCGCAGCCCGATGAAGCTAAACATCAGACTGACGCAGGCGATTATAACGACGCCGACGACAATAGAGACGTGTCCGTCAGACACAGCGCTGAGCGCAAGACCGCCCGTAATGCAACTGACGGATGACCAGCCCAGCTGCTCAATCACGTTCAGCGCCGCAATGACTGACGATGGGTAGAAGCCGAAAGAGTACCTGGAAATGGCGACCTGGCGCAGTCCCGTGCCGGGGCCCATGGTTGCGCACCAACCCTAAAAACGCCCAAAAAAGTCAATTTTCCAGGGATGCTGCGAAGGGGAGGGCATGCGAACCGTCACACATGCGCCTAGAAGCGTTGCAAAAATAATTATGGGGATGCTATCCCCCAGCGACAGGCCGAACTCGTAGCCCAGAAAGCCCGTGCTGAAACAACTGATGTTCATCGTGGCCGACGCCCACATGAAGGCCATGACCAAAGGGTTTGGCGGATTTCGCTCCTCGGGCAGGACGCGGTCAAGACTGTGGGACTCGATGCCCATCTTGCGATCCATCAGCTCTTCATAGTAGCGGATGCGCGCGAAGAAGCCCCGCGGCTTGACGGGCTTCTCCTCGACAACAGTGACATTGAGATCGGTGGATTTTTCTTCGTCCATGATGGCCGGGTTGTGGGTGCGAAAGGGAATTTCTCTTCACGCGATCTGGGGGTTTTTTTGTTCCATTGGACGGGCCTATGGGTCGCGCCTACCAGCGGCACTTGGTATCTCCAGATTGTTGGTGGATCAACATCTACACATAGTAGAAGTCTGTTACTCTATACACAGGCTTCAATGGCAATGTATATTTCTGACTGATCTAGGTGTGGCTATCTACGTCGCACACACCCCCATAGAAAAACAGTCAAACAGGTGGTCAAATCATGTCCGAATGATTACCTCCACAGCGGAGAAAATTCTTTCTTATCACCCGGTGGAGTCGCCAGTGTCCGATTATTATTGGTGGTAATTAGGCTATACTAATCTAAGTTAGTACCGCGATATCCGGTATTCAGAATCATGTGACCAAGCGTGGCCCCCAAATAAAGGACGAGATGCAATGACGTTGGATGATTAGGCCTCCAATCAGCTGACGGTCATATGGGAGGAACGTATAAAAGGAATGGAATGGAATGGAATTTGTCCGGCTTGAAACCCCCAAACTTTTTCTTACACAATATACTGTAGGTACATTATTTACGAAACCATCCAAATGGCTGCAGGAGATCAACCGGTGAAATTCACAGTCACCCACTATCGCAAGCAACAGCACACCCATGAGGCCTTTATCAAGTGGATCGTCGAGGAGCACATACCCCTTGCCATGCCCGTCTTCAAGAAACACGGAGTCCTCGAGTATTCGCTTGTGAGTATCCCTCTAGATATTTTCTCCTCCGACCCTGAGCTGGACTGACACCTGACATATAGTTCGTGACACCGCCTTCGCTAAATACCGCCTTGAAGCAGAACATTGAAGAGGCTCGACCAGGCTGGGATTTTGCTGACTTTGACTGTTTCATCGAGTATAAGCTCCCGAATGTGGAAGTCATCAAGAATCTCATGGCGGATCCAGACTGGGCGGCAGCGCTTGAAGACCAGGATGACTGGGTTGACGTCCCAAGGGCCTTGGTTTCGTTGGGATACTCTACCACATATCTACAGGATGGGAAACCTGTGAACTAGGAAAGGTAGGGTTCGAGGCAGACGGGTGTGCACAAACAACGCATTCCACATGTGTGTAATATTCACTTTGTGCCTCAAGGAACCAAGTATGTTACAGACACTTCGCTCTAAGAAAGTCATGTTATAGGGACGACTCAGCTTCACAATCCATAATCACCCCACACACGATTCAGTATGTGGATATCTGCATCTTCTGTTCTGATTGTTTGGTAGCGATTGAGGGGCTAAAAACTGTATTATATATATGTCGCTGAGTGACTAATCTTTTGGCCGTGACCCTTTGGCGAGTCAGGTATTATGGTAGATGAAAGCGAGAAAGTTATCTACCATTGGACTTGGTGGGCCCCTTTCTGTTCTCTTCTGTCCAATCTGCCTTGAGAATCTTAGCGAAATACACTTTTGATCTCAGAACTGCCCCGTCTCGCCACCCGAGGTCCTGGGGTAGATTCACATTGGCCTACCGGACAATGGCAAGCTTAAGTAAGGTACTGTGGCATTAACAGCTAGTAATTAGCAGCCAGTAATTATGTGCACTAATTAGTGGGTGAAATTGGGTTGGATGAGGCTGAACAAATTCTCAACTATTATTGTCCCCTAGGAGGAGGTGGTATATAGTAATGATGTAGAAACGACGAGCATCGATTATCTGCTATTTATCCCATCTGCTGTCGGTCGTCCGTGTTAATGGCGGTTGTTCTGTAGTGGGCTAGCGCTCGGAGAAAGTCCCCCCCGGAGTTGTCTGGGGAGCCGAGAGTGGCCTTTTCGCGCGCCTGTGCTGCACTCTCACCCTCGTTCACCTCACTCTCTTCTCCCACCATCGCACCGGTTCCTCTCTCCCGCCCTCTCCCCCTCTCTGTTCTCCCTCCTCACGGTCCCCCGTGTCCTCGGACGTGTGTTTCCTCTCTCTGGTGTTCGGGTCCTCGTGCTGTGCCCCAGATCGCCGTCCCCCACGGCATCCGTTTTAGAATCGGCATTGCTTTCGAGCGGTCAATTCTTTTCCATAAATTGTCCTGTGTCATCAATTCGACTAGGCAATTCACAGAATTTGGTGAGTACATCCTTCGGTCACTTCTCTTTTCACTAGGCCGTGATCGGTTTCCTTCTCATACTGATACAGACCAGTCTACCTGGTTGATCGCAGGCTCATCCGGACCCGGTCGACAACGAAACTGCCCCCCGACCACCCAATTTGTCGATTTTTGTCCAACTTGAAACTCTCGTGATGGCAGCCGAAGCGTCAACCTCTGCCAATGGCGGTGCCTCCAAGTCCTTGGCCGCTATGTTGGAGCAACAGCATGAGGCACACAATGCAACAGTTGAGGATGTGGTGGACGAGGAAGATATCAAGCATCCTCCTCCCTCCTCTCTGCTGACGAGCGAACAATCAACCCCTGCCGCTGCCCCCGTACAGGCGGCAACCTCCCCGTCAGTCCCCAAGCCTGCCCCGAAGAAGGCCCCGGCATTCGATGTGCAGTCAGACGAGCTATTCCCCGCCCTAGGGAGCGGACCAAAACCGACGACTCCTGCGGCGGCCACGTGGGGTGCAAAGAAGCCTTCGGCCGCAGCGGCCGTGGCCAATGGCCTACCGGCTCAACCAACGGGTACGTATTTCATTTGGATTGTATGAAAGGCCACTGACAAACCAGCGGCAGATGTTCCTCGGATCATGGCCCTTCCCGGAAAGCACATGGAACAGCTCCGGCTGGCCCCGTCCCAGATGCTCCCACGCGGACAGCTGAAGAAGCCTCTGCGAGATATCCTCCGCGACATCTCCCGTCGATCCAAGGCCAATGTCGACATGCGCGGTGGCCCCGGCGGCTCTATCATCTTTGAAGGAAAGGGTTCGGTGGAATCCGTCCGGCAGGCCCTCAAGGAGGTGGCCCAGCAGGTTGGATCCAAGGTATGTAGACAATTCTCCCTTTCCTCAATGGTCTTTGAATCTGACTCTCGAGTAGCAATCTGTCCGCGTCCCCATCCCTACCTCCGCCCGCGCTCACATTATCGGCCGCCAAGGTTCGGTGGTTCAGGACATTCAGACCCGCACCGGTGCTCGTGTGCAAGTTCCCCGGGCTGATGGTTCGGCCCCGGGCGCCGAAGACGAAGATAGTGATACCATTGACATCTTGATTGAAGGCGATGCTGTGGCCGCGGAAATGGCGCGCCGAGAGATTGAAGCCATTGTCAAGGAGCGAGGCTCGAACATGAATCTGCGCCTGAAGACGATCCCTCCGGAGTTCTTTCCCTTTATTGCTGGTGCACACGATGCCAACCTGCGGGAGATTGAAGAGCGCACCAAGGCTCAGGTCCATGTACCCCGTTATGATACCTGGTCGACTCAGCCCCCACCTCAGGAGGCTAACCCGGGCCAGGTTCAGTTCGTGCCCGTTCCAGACAAGCACATTCTCATCTCTGGAGAGCGGGCGGCCGCACAGGAGGCTCGCGCCGAGGTTGAGCGGATGGTGGCGGACTTGCAGCGCCAATTGACCCTCCGCCAGCTCGCAATCAATCGTGGCCAACACCAGTTCATTCTGGGCAACGAGGCCGACGCCCTGCACGAATTCCTGGCGCAGACTGGATGTGCCATTGTGCTGCCCCCTCAGTCCGATGAGAGCGAGTTCCTCACCATCACCGGGCCGGTTAACCAGATCGAGGCCGGCATCAACCACGCGATGGATCTCGCTACCAGCATGCAGATGTCCAGCGTTGACCTTTCTCGTCAACACCCCAACGCTCCCGCGGGTCCACATGCGCATGCACGCGCCCTCACTCAATACCTCCGCCGGCGCCAAATCATCAAGGAGCTCGAATCGACGTACGATGCGCGGATCGCGCTGCCGCCAAGCGTTGAAGGACCTGTTACTTGGGAGGTGTACTCGCGGGATGGTAAGAACACCATCCGTGCTCGCTCCGACATTATGAACCTTGTTCAGGCCCACCCTCCTGCTAGACTTCGCCACGTGCCTGTTGACCCCTACTACCACCCCTACCTTCGCTCCAGTAGCGCAAGCAAGCTTCAGTCTGAATACGGGGTTCATCTTCTGGTCCCGGACAATGTCGACAGCCCTGAAGTCGTGCTTGTGTACGAGGGTCCTTCTGCGACTACTTCGCAGTACGAGGTTCCCCGCCAACGTCCCTCTCCAGCAGATATTGCAACTTTCGAGGAAACTCTGCAAGCAGCGCAGCAATATCTGCTTGGTGCACTGGGTGACCAGGGTGATATCACCGTAAAGTCAGTCTCGGTTCCTGCCAAGTACCAGGAGAAGGTGCGGAAGTTCATCATCCGAGAGCAGAATGCCAAGGGCGAGAACAGCATCCCTGTACGTGCCATCGTTGGCGATGCGCGCGGTGGCCAGTGCGATGTGGCGCTGCGTGGTCCGTCGGCCCTGGTGGATGACCTCGCTACGGCGGTGGGTTCATTTGTTGCTGAGCAGGAAAAGGACGACCTGGAGCGTGGTTACACGACCTCCTTTGACTTCCCTCAGAAATACGCCAATTTCCTGATCGGCAAGCGTGGCGAGAACATCAACAAGCTCCGCGAGGAGTTTGACGTCGACATCAAAGTGGAGAATGGCAAGGTCGAGGTCAAGGGACCCAAGGCCAAGGCGGACGCTACTCGCATGCGCATCATAAATCTGGGGAAAAAGCTGGAGGATGAGACTACCCACATCCTGAAGATTCCGGCGCAGTACCACCGTGAGCTGATCGGCCAGCGAGGTAGCCAGGTCAACCGTCTCCAGGATCGCTACTCAGTTCGCGTCCAGTTCCCTCGCGCGACTGTCCCCGACGACTCCGCGACGGACGCGGGCAGTGACGCTGGTAGCGCTCGGCCTGGCCGGACCCAGCAAGCCCCCGACGAGGTGTTGGTTAAGGGTCCGAGCAAGGGCGCTGACTCCGCTCGCGATGAGATCCTCAGCCTGCTGCAATGGGTTGCAGACCACTCGCACACTGCCACTATCTCCGTGGCCCAGAACCAGGTTGCATCTCTGATCGGTCAGCGCGGCCGCGAGATGGATAAGCTTCGTGCAGATACCGGGGCCCAGATCGACGTGCCGAGTGCCAGTGACACGCCGGACGCCTCGGGACGGGTGCAGATTCGTGTGAAGGGCACGAAGCAGCAAGTCAGCGAGGCAAAGAAGGTCTTAGAGCAGCGGTCCAGCGAGTTTGATGCGACGGTCACCAAGTCGATCGACGTGGACAAGAAGTACCACAAGGCTCTGATCGGGGGAGGTGGTATGTTTCATTTCTCTTCTCCTACGTTCTCAATTACTGACAAACACTTCTCAGGTGCCAACATCCGCAAGATTGTGGTCGAAGCCGGTGGCCCCAACGACGGCAGCGCTGCTCGTATTGTTCGATTCCCGCGCGCCGAGAGCAGCGAGTCTACTATCCGCTTGGAGGGCAACGGCAAGGTGGTCGCGAACATCATCCAGGCAATCGAGGAGTTTGTCAAGGAACGTGCGGACCAGGTCACTGAAACCCTCGACGTCCCCACGGCCCAGCACCGTATGCTCATTGGTCGCGGCGGCGAGACTCGGCGCGACATCGAGTCCCAGTTCGGTGTCACCTTGGACATTCCCAAACAGGGCTCGGGCCGCACCGACGTCAAACTCAAGGGTGCCAGCAGCGCCGTCGCGGGCGCCAAGGAACACGTCCAGGGCATGTTGAAGCAGCAACATGTGGAGTCGGTCGATGTGCCGCGCCACTTGCACCACGTCGTCGCCGACAACGGCGCTTTCTTCCGCCAGCTCCGCAGTAGCCACCAGGTCACGGTCGATCATGCGGGCCAGTCTGTGCCGCCTAACCGCGCCGCGGATGAGACCCGTAGCGCTGCCAACGGCGCCTCCATGCCCCTGATCACCGACGACCCCAGCGAAGCGACGGACGCCCACTCATGGAAGATCATCGACAACGCCTCGTCCACCGACGCTGCCGACGCGGCCCCCTTCCCCTGGGTCCTGACGGGCACTCCAGAGAACGTGGCCAAGGCCAAGACCGCTCTCGAGAAGGCCATCGCCTCGGCCTCGCAGCAGTCCGCGACGGGCTACCTAATCCTGCCGGACCCGAAGACCTACCGCTTCGTCGTCGGCCAGGGTGGCAGCCAGATCAGCACTATTCGCAAGAAGACCGGTTGCCGCATCAACGTGCCCAAGGACCAGGCTCGTGGCGAAGCTATTGAGATCCGCGGCAGTCCCGATGGCCTGAATCAAGCCAAAGACATGATCCTGGAAGCGGTCCAGAATGGTCTCAGCGGCGCTTCTTCGCGGTGATGATACTTTCGAAAATCTTTCCAAGATGAACATAGGAAGCTTCTTCCCTCTTCCCTTCCATACTGAACCTTTTTATGTTATAAATATGCAAAGAAGCGAGATATCTTTATTGCTTTTTTTCTCTTTCTTGTTAAGCATTTAATTGTGATTTTTCCCCCCAAAAATAACTAACTCTTCTCATCTCACAAAAGAATGACTGGTCTTTGAATTTCATCTTCTGACTTCCATTTCTCCTCTCTACCTAACTAGTCAGTTCTCTCTTCTCGCTTTGATCTGATCTAATCTGATCTCTTCTCTTATTCTCTGTCTTCGTGTATTTACTTTCCCTTACAATCCCAGACTGCATCGAGATCAACCCCCTAGCGATGGCCATCTCAAATGTCAACAGCGATTCCAATAAAGAAATAGTTCTATTCAACGATATGTATCAATATGGAGCAATATATCAATAGTAGACCCAAAAGGGGAGGAGGGGTCGGTTCTATGGAGGTGCTCGCCGAAAATGACCCAAAACGGGCAACAAAATCCCGGAAGTCCCCATCCCGACATAGCCAATGGATCCCGAGGGCAAGGGGGGAGTCACAATCCGGCCAGACAGATTGTAGCAAGCAGATAAATAGCAGAAAAAGAAAAAGGATAAAAAATGACAATTAACAAAGAAACAAAACAAGGGGGGAAATATACCCAGACCACATACATCGCCTATTCTTCACACATCTTCCTTCTTCCTGTGTTTTCTTTTTCTCAGGACACTTCTTCCACACTCCGACAATTCAACACAACACATTCTCTGCCCATGATCTGAGTCTTGTCTCTCTTCTCTCTCTGTCCCCAATATTGATCTTCCTCATCTACTGCTGAGCCTGCTGAGCCTGCAGGTAGTTATACGCCGCATAAGCAACGGCACCACCGACCAGGATAACAGCGTAGAGGCCGATACCGAAGCCACCGGAAGACGAAGAGGAGGAGGCCGGGGCAGTCGTAGCGGGGGCGCGGGGCGCGGGGTCGCCGGGCTGTCGCGGACAGATGTTAGTTTAGTTAGGAAGCAATGCGCGGGTGTGCACATAGGAATAGGAATAGGAGTAAAGTGTGGGTCGGGTCTTACCATGCGCTTGACGGTGCCGACGAGCAGGCCGTCGAGGATCTCCCGCGCCTCGTCGGAGTGGCCGACGTCCTCAAAGGCCTCGGTGCCGTCTTGGCCCGCGACGTCGAGGAGGACCTCCTCACCACCGCTGGTTCATGTTAGTCTGGTATGTCTGGTGTGCGGGGATTGTGGGCTGTGTGTAGGTGTGGGCGTTTCTGAGGGGAGGGGGTAGAAGATTCAGGAAGTAGTGAGTGAGTGGGTGGGGAGGGAGTATGGGAGAGATCGGGCTGGGTTGGGGCACATGCGCCAAGCGACTCAAGGCCATTGGGACGAAATGTCTGTGTGAGGAGAGAATGGTGCGGGGCCAGGACGTACGGGTGCTCGTCAACGAAGCTGCCACAGTCGTAGACCTTGTCGTGGACGATCAGGAACAGGTCCTTCTTGGTGTTGTGCTGAGCCACCTCCTTGAGGGTGAATTCCTTGTTGTCAGACATGGTGTGGTGTGGGAGGAAAGATCTGTACAGGCCGAAAAGAAGTCAGCGGCAGTTCTGGCCTTGTCTGTTGGACACGTTGGACAGATCGAATAACTATCGCGGGTGGAGAAAGCGATCGATAGGAGGGAAGAAATCGGGAAATTTCGTGAAGTGGCGAACGAGTCGGCAGGGGAGGATGGGGAAGTAACTCACTGCGAGGAATAGAATCCGAACAAAGGGAAGTATGTGCAAGACGAGAGAGGGGAATGAGCGAGTTGGAAGAAGGAAAAGAAGAAGAAAAGGTAGTGTCGGAGGAAGAAGAAGAAAAGGGAAGAGAGTCAATCCATGTCCCAGGTACGGGCGGCAGGCGGTGACTTCGCGGCGTGGACCAGGTACCAGGGACTTGGGACTCTGCTGGACCGTTCAACTCACCAACTACCGCGAATGCCACCCGAGGAGAAGACGAGGCGGAAATATTAAATTCGTGCATACATACTCTACTCTCGAACCGCTATGTAGCATCCAGTATTGTCCCCGCGCGCAACGCTCGTCGCAATGGCGAACATTGTCTCTCAGCGAATCAACGGCTGCTTATTGGGTGCTTATTTATCCTCGGCGACACGTGTGAGTTATACCGGGTGCACAAGTCTAGCCGAGCGGCTGGACATCCCAGTTGGAATTATAGACAGGTAAAAACCAGCACACAGTGAACTACGATCCGATGCATCTACCCATGTCGGATCCCGCATGTCTCTCCCCCCATAAACCCCAGACATAACCTCGGGGCAGCCGGCCTCGGGTACGACGGTCGGGATCCGCTTTTCCCGCAGGGCGGAATGAATTGCAGTAAAATGCGCATCTCTATACGGCAGGGTTCATTGTTGGAAAACTATACACAGTGAGAACAAAAATAACGCCCGTCTCTATCCAATCGTGACATTCGTGGCAATGCATTAAAAAGAAAAGAAAAAAAAAAGGAACGCTCATTTCGCTGGCACGCGCTCGTAAAAGACAATGTACGCTTGCTCGTTCTGCAGCCGGTCCCGGGCTCGCAGGTCGCGCGGATTGAAGTCGCTCACCCGCTCATCGTCGAATTTCCGCCAGTTCTGACGCGCCGCGTCCCGCACGAGCGAGATGTAGTGCCCACTGCCCATCGATGATCCAATGTGTCGGAGCACGGCAAAAGCATCGTACGTGAACGGTGGCGCGGTCGCTGCCATCGTTGCGGAAGCTGGGCTGGTGGCAGCTTCCGACTCGGTGGTGGCGTTGCCTGAGTAGGAGGAGATGACAAAGTCGTCCATGCGCAGGCCGTGCAGTGGGAACTCGATCGGTGTGTGGATCTTGCGCGCGCTCTGGGTCTTGGACGCGGAGAAGCGCTTGAAGTGGACGACGAGGATCTGGGGCGCTCGTGTGATGATGATCTGCTTGGTGGCTAGTCGCTTGCAGTTGCAGTGAGGACACTTCCACTCCTCGTCGCCGCTCAGCATCTCTTCCTGGCAGTAACTGCGGAGACATTGATAGATGTCCCCGGTACCCGTAGGCGGGATCTCCACGCTGATACTGTAAAAGGCCTCGTAGGTGGTCGAGGTTTGATGGCAGGTGGTGCAACGGAGTCGACTGGCATGCTGACCAGCGAACAGGGAGGAGATGTAGGATTCTTCCCGGTGACAGTACCGGTCCCATTCAATCTTGGACACTCGCGGAACGGGCATTCGCTCGCGCTGCATCTCTTCGGAGAAGGTCAAGGGCCGGAGCGGTGTTCGCTGCCAGTTGATGTTCAGGTCCTCATGGAGACAATCCACGGCGAAATCAAAGAATTCCTTGGCATCCTGTTGTCGGTCAATAGCCCATTCGCGGTTCAAGCGACCACAGAAGTTCCGAAATGAGGTAGGCATGATGACTTCCACATCATTCTTCCACAGAGACCGAATCAAATTCGCATAAAGGCCCGGCATGACACCCTGTGAACCCTTCCAGTTCTTCTGCACGTAGTACCGGAACCGGTCATCAATGAAAAACTTGCTCAGCATGACTGTGGCACTGAGACACTGTATAGTGGAGTTCATGTAGCATGTAACACCGAAGTTGGCCAAGCCAGTGCGAGGAAGCTTGAGGCGGTTGAGCAGAGACGGGGTGTATAGAGCCGTCCGGGTAGCCGAGTTCTGCCGTTCAAGCGGTGGCTGGATCTGCCGGCCGTCTGACACTCCGCTATAACTGGGACGGGGCACCGCAGGAGGCGGCCGAGATGGAGCTGGGGGAATAAGCGGGGCGGCGTAGTTGGGAGCTGGAGCAGAAACAGGCTGAGACGCTGGGTGCATCATCGACTGCTGGATATGGTGCGGTTCAGGGAAGCGCCGCAAAAAGGCTTCATAATTTTGAACAAACGGCGTCGTTGGCTCCTGCTCGGCTGCTTCCTCTTCAGGCTCTTCAGTCAGCTGCTCCTCTTCGATGTAGGTACTGGTGTCGATCTCTTCATTCTTCGATCTCTCCATCCAGGCCGACAACTCTTCTGAGTTGAGTGGGGTGAACTCGCGAAGTCTTCTCTTGCGCACCTCCAAGCTCGAATTGGGACTGGCCATGGTGGGAACTCTTCCAAGAGGGCGACCTGGCTTGGGAACGGGTTTCTTGGATTGGATAGATCCCATGACAGCGGCAGTAGAGGATGTTGCCAAAGACTGCTGTCCAAGGAGGTCAATCCAAGCATCCAAACCGCCAAGCAGGAGCGCTGGCGGACGACCGGCCTTGAGCGGTTTGTACGCATTGAATTCGTAGAGTGTGTCATGGAGGGCTCGCAAGTGTGGCGCGGATGTTCCAACAGGCGACCCGGCAAGGTAGCTCACCGAGTCGGTGCTCTGGTCGTAGTAGACAACGAGGTCGAATTCGTTGCGCTTCTCAAACAACGTCTGCTCATGCTCTGGAGACACGACCAGTCGCTCCTCAAGCTCCTCCGCGGACACATTCTCCTTCAAGACCACCGGCTCAACGCAGATGATCGACTTGGCATAAACATGGCCGTTGTCGTACTGGTCACGCGGCCGAACATCGACTAGCAGTATATTGAATTTCCGAAGATAATCGAGAAGATCGTGGGCGGTGACGGTAGTGTTATAGGGTAGATCAGGCGAGTTACTTCGAGTCCCCTGCTCCGAGTGAACGCCATTGGGGGTGCGCGACCTGTACGGATTATCTCGGCTCGGGCTGCCACGAGGAGAACTCGTGAACTGAGAATATCTTGGGTTAACTGAACGCCCGCTCTCAGTCGAAGTTCTTGGCGGATTTGATGGGAGCTGCGATGACAAAGTGGTTATGGGACTATAAGCTGGATCCGGGGCTCGGGGGAGCATGGTGGTAAGAGGAATTTTCGGAGGCAGACTCGGCATTTGGGTGGAAGGGTTCATACTGCGAGGTCCCATCGGGCGTCTGGAAGGCGAGCCTAGTGGAGAATCATGCGGCTCCTGGGGGGTATTAGATGAGATGAGAGAAGAACCCGGTCGTGCGCCTGCTCTGGGCTCGTTCTGATGAGAAGGTTGAGATGCCCTGAGTTTTGCAAAACGCTGAGCGAGCATGTCTTCTGGCGGACTGGAAAACCTTTTGATTTGCGCTTGGACATCGGGTGTCCGTTGAAACTGCGTCGGGCTCGGCATTCTGGCGGGTTCGTTTGCAGGCCCATGATTTTCACGCCCGCTCGGCTTGGTAGTGAGTTCTTCTGGAAACCTTGAAGCGACGGCGCCTGTGGGTTGTAAGTTGCTGGCCAGGTTGTCCTCGATGATCTCCTTTTTGATCCCATCCATTGTCCCTTGTTTTGTTCGCACCGCCTGTATACCAGCGTCAGTCAGTCACGTTGTCGGAATACTGCTAGCGAACTGGACCCATACCATCATCAAATCCGCAAATTGTTTGTACCATCCAGGGCGTTCGGTGACCGTGTGTCGGTAATCAGGGTGATGTGGAATGATGTTGACTGTGATTTCGGAGGCTCGAAGGTATTGTACATAGGCCTTATCAGATTGGTCGGCGTCTGCAAGACTCCTGGCTTGCTCGATCGCGTCGGAGGCGGTGCTCAACAGGATAGGGAGCTATGGACCAGCGGGTTAGCAGCCAGACACACCATATTGCTTTTGCATAAGGAACATACCGGAGTGGTCTCGTTCACATTCAACATAGCAGCCTGGTCCTGCAAGTCTTTGATGTTGGGGAATCGGGGGCGGCGATTTAGTGGCGGGCGGACGTTGCCATTTGAATAGGAACCCGGTCCGCTGACCTGGGCGTTGGTATGCATGTTGTGCCCCACCGAGTAAGGACGCTTTCCGTCCTTCCACGGTGGGATGTCAGGCGGTGATGGCAAAGCCGCCGCATCAGAGGACATGGTAGATCCAGGCAGAGATGGTGGGCCTCAGCGCATGGTTCAACGGGGGAGCGAAGGCGATGTGGGGGTGGATAGGTACAGCGCAGAACACTGGTGCCTGTTGAGAAATGGGAGGGAAGGGATGAGCGTATGCTTGAGAGAGATGCACCACAGGAAGATATCCAAGACTTGCAGGCGCCTGCCTGATGACGGGAGAGAAGCAGCAACGAGCGAAGGAGAACGAGAGTGGTGAAGTTGGGGAACAACCAGGTACGGCGGTATGGATGGGGTACCTACCTTGTTCACTAGTTAACAACGAAACAGGGTGACAATACGACTCACCGCCCGCGCCTTATGACGTCCCGCGCTCAGTCCCGTTGCTCAAGCACAGCTCCAATAATCGGTCAAATCAGTCATCACCATTATTGTTTCATCGTGCCCTCTGCCGCTCTCCTGACCCGGCTTCTCGCTGAGGTCTGTGATTGTTCTTCAGCTTCCTCTGCCGGATCCCATCGGTGATCCTACTGCCTGTTCCCTCTGCGTGCGTCCGTTGAGCGGTTTTCGCTGCCTAACCCTTGTCATGGCGGGCTGGTTCACTTCGGCGTCGCCGCTCGATGAGCAGATCGAGCGCGCGACATCTTCCTCTCTGTATGTCTCGACCGTTCCTTGTAGCCTGATTCGGGACTCTGATCTAGGCTCTCCTGTGAGTTCTGTGCTGACCAACCCGACAGCGAAGATATCGCCCTCAACCTAGAGATATCCGATCTCGTTCGGTCGAAGAGCGTCCAACCGAAAGATGCGATGAAGTCTTTGAAACGAAGATTAGAGAACCGGAATCCCAATGTACAGATAGCAACGCTCAAGGTGCGCTCTTTCTACTCCCCCACATGGATGGCTTTCTCGGAACAGGCGCTGACGAGCTTTCTCCCCATTGACTAGTTGACTGATACATGCGTGAAAAACGGAGGAACACACTTCTTAGCTGAGATCGCCTCGCGAGAATTCATGGATAACCTGGTGTCGCTACTCAAATCTGAAGGGGCCCCTCTGAACCACGACGTTCAGCAAAAGATACTCGAGCTCATTCAGGATTGGGCGATGGCAGCCCAGGGTCGCGTGGATTTGATGTATTTGGGTGAGACGTATCGCAAACTGCAGCGTGAAGGATTTCACTTCCCACCGAAGACCGAGATGAGCGGCAGCATGCTAGAAAGCAACGCAGTAAGTCTTCATCTGAAGCCTGTTGCGATGGAAAAGTCTAATCCCCCAACAGCCTCCAGAATGGATTGATTCAGATGTTTGCATGCGATGCCGAACTCCATTTAGTTTTATGAATCGCAAGCACCACTGCCGGAATTGCGGTAATGTCTTCGATCAGCAATGCTCCAGCAAATCCGCCCCTCTCCCTCACCTCGGAATATTGCAGCCTGTCCGGGTGGATGACGGATGCTATGCCAAGTTAACCTCGAAGCCATTCAGCCTATCGTCAGACCGAACCGCCTTTAAGAACCACTCGATCACCAAATCCCAGACAATGGAGCCTCGTGGCGCTAAGGTCGACACTGGCTTTGATGAAGATTTGCGCCGAGCACTCCAAATGAGCCTGGAGGAAGCGGAAGGAAGAGCTGAAGGAAGGAATGCCGGATATGTACCACCTTCAAGCAATGCCCCGGATACAGCCAAAACCCCAACGGGGCCATCAAATGTGGAGGACGAAGATGCAGACCTCAAGGCTGCGATCGAGGCATCTCTGCGGGATATGGAACAACACAAACAGAAACATGCGGCTGCATTGAAAAACACAGCTACCACCAGCGCCGCGCTGCTCGATTCCTCTTCAGGCACACCAACCCCATTGCCAAAGAATCCATACGAGCTTAGCCCTGTCGAGACTGAGAATATTCACCTCTTTTCCGCCTTGGTTGACCGCTTGCAGCATCAACCACCCGGTACGATCCTCCGAGAGCCACAAATCCAGGAGCTGTATGAGAGTATCGGCGCCCTGCGGCCCAAACTGGCGCGTAGTTATGGAGAGACGATGAGCAAGCATGGTCCGCCCCTCTTTATAGTTATAAGATTCCGACATTGACAACTAACTCGTTGCAGATACGTTACTGGACCTTCATTCCAAGCTCTCCACTGTTGTCCGCTACTATGATCGCATGCTGGAGGAGCGCCTCTCCAGTGCTTATTCTCAGCATTCGCTGGGTTATGGTCTTGCCCCCGGTGCTCCTCAATATCCGAATATGCCCACCGGCGTACCTTCTCATGGGCCCGATACTAAATCTGGTGCCGAGAATTTCTACTACGGCAACCCAGCCGATGGCTCCCATCCTTCGGTTCCCGCATATGCACCGCAGCGAGTGAATAGCTATGAAGGAGGACCACCCAACGGAGTTCCGAGCGGCAGTGGCTATTCCACTCAACCTCAGCCTGGACCTCCTGTGAATGAAGCGCACGATGCCAGCTGGGGGAACAGTCCATATCCTTCGCTAGGCTCGCCCCAGCCCTCCGCCAACAACTCTGTTGCCTCCGGCCCAGGAGGGCCAGCGCAGTACTATGCCCAGCCCGGCCGAGATCCTGTTCAAGCGCAGTACTCAGAGACCCCCTACCAACCCTCGCCCGTCATGCGGCGGGACTCGCAATATCAACCCAGTGCTCCTTCAACTGCACCAGTCCCGAGTGCTCCCGAGCATACGCCTGCGGATTTCGTGCAGTCGCCTGGATATTCGGCAGTCCCTGCTGGGCCACCCGCATCCCTTCACCAGCCGACAGGGCCTTCGTCGCCGCAGTCCTACTACTACCAACAGCCGCCCAGTGGCCCCGCCAATGCCTATCCACCCATGGCCACTGGCCATCCCGGAGCATACCACACTCCTGAAACTGTGGGATCACAGGTACCGAGCGCAGCTTATCAACAACCACAGCCGGCAGCACAGCCCGCGGTCGAGGAGAGCTTAATTGACCTGTAGCGTGATAATCTGATTTTGTATGGCGTTAATGCGCTTCTTGCTGTTCCGCACCATGATACCTCAGAAGCCGCAGATTGTTGAACCTGGAACCATGCACGTTGATCTAGTCTTGTCTCCCGTAGTTGGTATCCGCTTCTAGCCCACTCCAACCCACTTTGGTATTGTTACCGTATTTTTACCTCCCGCCGGAGTAGGTCGAGATCCACGATGCCACACCTTTCTTTCTTTCCTCTTTCTCTTCTTTGTATTCGCCTTTGTCCACCATCCTCAAGTCACTATCCCGTGTATCGCTTTTCTGCTGCCTGCCGGGTACACTTGTTGTCCGAACTGGGGAGCTAATCGGTGTGACTCTCCTGCAGATCGCCGATTACGTCTGCGCCCAGAAAGAGCATCACTGCTTTTGGCTGGCACTGTCTTCGACCTGTCGTGGGACCTATTGAACCAGTGCCCCTCGACCAATCTCCTCTGCAAGTTCGATGCCCTGTGAAGTTGACTGATTACCTGCCTGTGGCTCGCCTGGGGGCTTGCAACTTGCCGCCATGCCGACATCGAATACTTCGTCCCCCGTCAAGCGCCCCGGTCTAGGCCGCCGCGCAGTGTCCTCCTATGCGGTCGTCACGCGCACGGCCAACCCCAACGATCTGTCGGAGTCTTCTCACACTACCCTAAAGCCCCCCGTCCATCATAAACAACACCGCACCCACGTCGTCGGTGGCGGTCATCGCAACCACCATCGCAACCCCTCCTTCGGCAAGCTGAACAAACTCCAGCGTCTTGCGTCGCAGGTCAGTCTCGAGACCACCGGGCGACACCATCAGCGCAAGAAATCCGCCCCCGCGACCCCAGTAGCCAGCCCCAAGGGACACATACATTGGGACGGGGCCCTGGATGACCCCCAGCCGGCGCCATCGATGAAGCGAAATTACTCCACCCCTGCGCTCCGGCGGAACACATCTGGTCTGGCAAAGAAAGCCTTGACAACATCGCGGCCTCACTCCAGTTCGGGGAAGAAGAAAACGGTCGGCTTTGAACTGGGCGACGTGGATAACGATGACGCCGAATGGGAAGATACCACTCAGTCGCCCCAGAGCACGCGGCGCAGCTCCGTCGCGCCGTCCGTCCACAGCGTCGATAATCCCGCGGTCTTGGTCGATCCTCTTACCTTCGTGAAGCGCCCATACCCTCAAATGCCACGCGCTACCAGCCTCCCTGAATCCATCACCAGCAAGTTAGCCCGAGAAGAGCATGAAGCGGACGAAGACGATTACTCAGACCACGATTCGGCTTCCGACGAGGCGCACGACGAGTCAGATACTCACGCGGAGCACAGCGATATCGCAAGCCGCCTCCTCAGCCCGTCGCACTCTGCCAAGGCTCCTCCTGCCATGTCATCGATATCGGCCACGGCTAAACCGTCGGCCACAGACCCTGCCTCGAGCAGAGAGTCTTTGAACATGGCTGGTCAGGATGGCGGTGCCCGACGGACGTTCTCTATGACCAACATGGGGATAGCCAATATGCCCGGGAGCCATCCTCCGGCCACTTCCTCCTCCATCGAGGGTGGTGTCTCAAAATTCATTGTGAATAACAAGTCCGGAATGCACTCGACTTCCCGAACCGACTCAGATCCGAACACGCCCTCTTCCTTTCTTCCCCATTACCATCCGCAAACACCTCCGTCTCCTTCAACTCGCAGTTTGAGCAAATCTGCCGTGTCTCCTGCACGGCTACGAGGTGCTGATCTACCTTCACGAACCCAGCAGAAACTTTGGCTTCAACGTACCGCTGCTCTAAACAATTCTCCTCCGGATTCCCATGGCGTGCCCGCACCCGGGTCTCAGTCGAACATGGATCCGGCCTTCATGACTCCCGGCCACTCACGACCTGGCTCGGTCGTCACGTTCGACACCAGCCGAGGCGTGGTGAACGGTGGAGGGCGGGTTGGAGGTGCAGTGCACAACAACGAAGCCAGACACGTCCGCAAAGCGTATGAGAAGACGTCTCTGGAGTTGATGGTCGTGCGGCGCTTCCAGTCTCCCACGGCAGACAGCTTTGGCCGGCTGCGTTCGATCGCCCCACCATTCAAGAGCCCCGCCGTCACCGGCGTTGGGAGATCCTCAGGGCTCGGGAAGCCCGTCAAATCGGCCCCGTCCTTGACCCTTCTTCAGCATGGGAAGCGCCCCAGTCGCATCAGCTCGAGCCCGGACTCGAAACTCACCAGTCCCAACCCGACCTCATCGGAGGAACAAGCAACTAACAGCGAATCCACCGACACAACTCAAGTAGCGAACTCCTCGCACCCATCCCACCGCCTCTTGTCGACATCCGATGAAGCCGCACACGGCCTCTCTGCAGGGGAAAATGACCCCGAAGACGAATTCCAAGTGAGTGAGTCCGACATGGTGGTTCGCCGCATGTGGGAAAGTCGCGAGGTGGCTACCTCCGGCTGATTTTCTTCTTTCTACTTTGTGAATAGCAACGTCCTTCGGGACTGGACACTTTTTTTTCTGGCGTTACTGGGTGGCATGACTATAGTGTCAGATTTAACATAGCCCTGGGTTTAAACTTCAGCATGTACGTTTTGTCTTGTCTTTTGTGGTGGGTTGCCCTTTTTTTCTTGGATTGATATACGCTGCACATTCCTTGCGACCTGGCCGACATAACAGATATTAACTAGAGCATTGCATTTGACAATGTTATTAATTTAATTTTCTACATGACAAAAGATGTAAGAGGTAGCTAGCCAACTGGTTTCGTATTTTCTCTAGACATAATCCTTTTATCTAGACCGAAGCCCCATGGCTGAAGCATCCAACCGACCCCCTCTAGCTAAGCACGAAGCTCCCAGCGCACCGTAGCAGGCTGCATAGGCCGAGAAAATAGAGACTGCACAACGCAAAATGATTAGCTCAACCCTATTTAACGTACCAAAATTGACCTTCAGCGTAAACATACCGAGTAATCCGTCTCCGGCACCCCAACCCTCCCATCCACATTATAAAACCGGAAATGCCGCACCAGCGTCGCCACAATAACCTCTAGATTCAAGTACGCAAACTTCTCCCCAATGCAGCGGTGTCGACCCGCCCCGAACGGGAGGTACGGACTGCGCGTCCCCTTCGACACGGCGCCGTAGCCATTGTCAACCGTATCCTCGTTGACTCCCTCATTCTGCTCCCCCTCCTCCTTTTCCCATCGATGCGGATCCCACTTCATCGGACTCGGGAAAAACCGCTCATCGCGCGCTGTGAACCCCGGCGACGAGAGAAGGGTATGCGTCACTGGAACCACAAATTCTGTCCCTGGCACAGGAAGCGGGTTCTTGACTTTGCGCATGAGCGTGTGGATCGATGAGTGGATGCGCAGTGTCTCCTTGACCACGTTCTTGTGCAGGGGTAGCTTGTCGAGATCCTTGTATTCCAGTGGTGGTAAGGTAGCGCCGAGCTGCTGCTTCTGTTCTAGATATAGCTCTTCGGCCAGGGCCGGCTCTGAGGCCAGTCGGAGCATGATCCAGCAGCTGATTGCGGATGAGGAGTGCTGGCCTGCCATCAGCAGCGTTATCATCATGTGTGCGATTTCTTTGTCCGGGATTGGTGTGCCGGAGCGGTATACACAGTGCATGAGGTTGGAGATCATATCGTTGGATGGAGTCGGAGACTGTTTGCTAGGGTTCTCTCGTCGAGACTGGATAATATCCAGATAAATAGCCCTCATCTTCGCATGCGCAGCATCTCGCTTGCGGTTGTGAGGCAGCGGTGCCCAGGGCAGCATAAAGTTAATTGGCGAGAACCCCCGGTCGAGGTCGTGGTACAGGTCTGCGAAGGAGGAGGTAAGCTTTGCGCGCACCTCGTCGCCTTGCAGGGTGCGGCCCGCTGTGAAGATTGTGAGCTCGGCCATGGCTGTGCTTAGGTCGATGGTTCCGCTGGAGCCTTTGAATCGACCAGATGTCTTGATATATTGTTCCACTTCTTCCTCGATTAGGGGGACGTAGGATTCTAGAGCTGCTTGGCCGAGACCGAATTTGACGAACTTTTTTGCATCAGTCGGGGTCTTTTCTTGAAGATGGATAGGGTGAGGGAGGGAAAGGGAATAATAAACCTTCTTTTGCTCCATCAGCTTCGAATTTGGACAATCATATACCACATCCGACCCAAACACGGGGGTAGTCAACTTGCCATAGACTTCCTCGGCGTTAACGTCTTTGAGTTTCCCATTGAGAATAAACTCATTTCCTTCAATACCAAGGTATACAGTGACCTTCCTACCCAGCAGGATAAAAGTGAAGATATCGCCATACTATGGAGTATATCAGTAAGTTTGGATTCAGTGAGAAGGCCTCCATGCCTTCCTATCCTGGCTCATCTCGATGACAAGGACAACGGCACAAAATAAGACGGGACATACCTTCTCCCGACAAGCAAAGAAAAACCGATACGGATCCATGCCGTAGCCAACGGTACTCCCCAGAAAAGGAATCCAGTGCCACACAACAGGGGGTTCATTCGCGCGGTAGAAGAAGATTTGATTCAGGACGTTGAGGAAGACCGAGATACACACGAGGGCGGCGGCGTAGCATGCAATCCATAGGATCTGGCCTGTTGCCAGCTGTGCGAGGGGATCCATATCGTCTGGTTGGTATCTTGTTCTTGTTTCTTTTGAATTTGAAAAAGACAAATGAGAGGAACTATACACGAGGAGACTGCGAGGGATGGATTGCTCAAATCAGGTCAGGTCCATTATTCATCTTAGGGTTTGGTTTACCAGCGCGTCACGCCATGCTAGGAATCTCGGAAGGGATCTTCCCGACGAGGCAACCCCTTTTCCTTTTCCTTTTTATTTTAGCGGGTTCATGGGCAGGGGGGATTATGCTTCTAGAGTAGGTAGTAGTAGGTCACGTACGCAAAATCTAAGGGATTGATTCAATCACCTAAGAAGAAACGAAACGTTATTCAATTATGTACTCAGAAAACAAAACCAGAAACGAATCTTATATACGTGTATGCCCAGGTCAATTCCCAACAAGGTAATCAAAAATCTATCACTTGCACAAACCCGAAAAAATGTCAATTATCCCGGAAGTTCCTTGATTCGTGCACCGAAACGCCGTGTCTTTCGTCTAACATGAACATTGATATCAAACAACGAAGAGAAGAGAAAACCGAGGCACTGTCTGACCAGTGTTGATAAGAATAAAAAAGCAAACATAGAATGAAATGAAGATAGGTGACCAATCCAATCCCACTTGGTGCGAAAAGGATTGCAGATGTTGAGCCGAAAACGAGTTCGAGGGAATGTCCGAATCTGACAGCGGAAATGAAATTGAAAGAGTAGAGAGAAGAGAAAGGAGACAAGAAGTTAATGACGAGAACCAACAACAACTTGAAGCGCCCTCCTAACTTCGCCCCTTTGCTTTGCCACGCTGGTTTCCACCGCCACGGCGGGGGCTGCTGTTCCCACCGATGCCGTTAGTGTAGTTCCCACTAGGACGTCTCTGTTGCGGCGCCGGCGCAGGACCCTTGGTCTCTTTCTTGGGGGCAGAATGACTGCCTTGATCTCCTGGCCCATCAGGCACAGAATCAGAACCAACATTGCGATTACCTCGTCGCTTGCGCTGACCACCTCCGCCACGACCGCCACGACCACCACCACCACCACCACCGCCCTTCCCTGAGCGCTCTTGGTCCGCATCAGGATCATCAACAATTCCTTGGACCCGCTTGCTCTCCTGGTCCCACCATTGCTGGAACTCTTGCTCGGCCTGAATATCCTGCAAATTGTGTTTTGCAGTGGCAGCCTCGCGGATCTCATCTTTCTCACTTTGCTGCTGCATCAAGATGGCTGCGAGGGAGAGAGCGCTGTAGGATGGGGAGCGAGACCCAGACCCTGTTGGGTGTGGACCTGGACGTGGAATGTGACGGATGGACTGGATGGCAGGTTGCGGCGATGGCGCGGCAGGACTGCTGTGTGATGGAGTCGAGAGGCCCGGTCCTGGGGCGGACTGTTTGGATAAGGAGGAAGGTGAAAGGGTCCCTGAAACATTCCGAGTTGGAGTTTGAACGGGCATGGACTCGGACTTGGAGCGGGGTGGAGGCGTCCCGGCCACGGTCTGCCGGAGCGTCATGGCTGGCCGCTGAGGTGTTTTGGGAGGCTCGGGGTCCAAGGAACTGGGTGTATGCTGGCCTGGAAGAGGGTCGAAATTGCCTTGACTAGCCGGTGCAGCAGCTGGGGGCAGTTGCCAGGGGTTCTGAGACGCCTCTTTCGCTTGTTGTTGTGCGGCTGCTTTCTCCTGAATCTGTTGCTGCTGCATTTTCTTGCGCTCCTTTTGAGACATCTTCGACGCAAATTTGCCGCTGCTCTCTCGCCGGCCTGCCATCTCCAGAGTAAGATTCGACACCCGAGAAGATGTCTCGCTCATGATATTTTTGAGGTCTTTCTTGGAGGTCGAAATAGCTGAGGATCTCCATGGTGCCGGAGAGGATTCTGATGGTGAGGCCAGAGGTTGCTTCTGGTGCATAGCAATTGCTCGAGATGGAGACTGCATGAGCAGCGTGTCTCGCGAAGGAGACATTTGCTCGTCCAACAGGCTCCGATCCCCAAGGGATTCAGCCTCGGGAACGCTTCCTGCCAGTGCCGGAGAATCGGGATAGGACCGTGGCTCAAGCATACTCTCTCCCGGTCTCGACCCGCGCATAGGGGCCTTTCCTTTGCTCGAATCACCGGAAGACAGAGCGGCCTCGTCATCCATCTGGAACATCAAGTCGCCGGTAGACTGTTTCGGCTTCAGCATTGGACTGCTGATGAAGGGCAAACCGTCTCTAGGCGCGCTGGCCTTCGCTTTGCGCGCGGAAGACGGCAAGTTGATCTTTTCGTTTGAGACCATCCGTGGACGCACATCGTAAGATTCGACTCGACCCAGACGAGATTGCAGAGTCATCGCATCGATGCGTCGTTGTTTATCTGCCTCAATCGATCCGACAATCTCTGGATACCTTTCTAAGATGTACTCTTCAGAGTTTCGCCCGCGAGAGATTGGGAAGCATGACAGTTGGTTCTCATGGGAGGTCATATCAAGCTCGCTGAGGAGATCGTCTTCCAAGCCTTCCAGATATCTTGTGGCAATAAAGTCAGTTTGTGGAAAAACAGGACGTGTGAACTCAGTGGCATACCTGTTCGCAAGCATGTCCTCGAGATTGAGACAGATGTACTCCAGCGCGGCATCTTTGAACTCTGTAACACAGCAAGGAGCGACACAGCTCAGAAGATAGCACACATTCCGCGTAGTGACTGCGACAAATTAGACTCGCACCGGGTAAAGTATCAAAAAGCGAACTCACCAAACCGACCCAACATCTTTTGACAAACCTGAGAGAGCCGGTCGATCATCAATTCGTTGGCCACAAACATCACATCCAATACTAAGTCGACAAAGTCATCAAGATCCTTGGTTCGAACTTCGTCAAACAGGCGCTCTTCCATATCAGCGTATAAGAAGCGCAAAACAAAGTTGAATATGGACTGGTCGACATGTTTGAGGTCGACATGCACACGATCAGCTGGGTCTGTCTGGCGCAACTCTAACCATCTTCCACCTGAGCGGCCGTGAAAGATGGCATCGAAAAACGGACATCTCTGGCAGACTATCTGGCTGTGTACTAGGACACTTGCGCCGTTCAACTGCACAACCACATCTCCACTGTCGAAGAACGAAGGATCCCCTATGGCATTCGCCATATCAATCTTGAGACTGCTTTCAGGGTCGACCATGAGCCTGGCGGCTCGTTCTAGCGTTGGTAGGCCCAGATAGGTAGCAACCCGCATAACCTCTGTGCGAACCTGGCGGTAGCGAGATGCATTCTGAGGCGACTCTCTCGTTTGATGCCAAAAGTCAACGGTCTTGTCAGTGTAAAGGAAAAACACGAGGTTCAAGATTGTCAGGAAATCCAGACCCTGGAATCGGATCTGAGTTTGGCCGTCCTTTCCATACTCAATGTCAAAGACATCCGGGACGGAGGCGTAGTACGACTGCCGAAACTCTTGAAGCGCTTTTCTAAGAACGGGGCTACGGCCGTTCAATAAGAACTCATGAATAGGGATTCGGGCATCGGAGAGGGAGGTAGTAACCCAAACGCTTCCCTTGGATGGAGCCGAAAGAAACTGACTCTCAATGTCCGATGCTGACAGCATGGCTTGTTTCATGGCGACTGCAGCTGGCAGTGGCTCAGCAGGTCCACCGAGAAGGTCATTCGGGAAAATCGACTGCACATCCTTCGGTATAGGCGTAGTGAATGGTGAGAGAGGCAGAATATCATCCCAAAGCGTGCTCGGATCGACAAGGATCTGTTCTTTGGTCACGTCACATTCACGCTGAGCAACGGCATAGGCACCAAAAGCGTTACTGCGCACAGCGACGGCCCTGGACAACCCAGATATCCGGGCGAACTTGTAGTCCTTCGAAGTACTGTCCTTGGTCTTGGTTCGTTTCTCTTTCCTCCAGGCCGATCCTGATGTGGTACAGATGATGATAGAGCCGTCTTGTCCCATGTCGACATCCTGGGCAGCCATATGAGACTTCTTGACAGACCACGCCCGGACAGGGGTGGGGAGGGAATTCCGGATCTTGACTGGATTGGTAGTTGATGTCGAAGTTGAAGAGTTCTCCGATTTGTTGACTTCGACGGTGAAAACGTCGCCGGAGCTGGAGAGCGCACAAACGGTGCTGCCACCACCTACAAGCTTGACGATTCGGTTGACTGAAGTGTCATATCTTGTGGCCATGAAGCTGTCTCGGATAAATCTGGAAGTGGCCTCCAGAGGGAACGATAGCTTGGAGTAGCCATATTGCGAAAATATCCAAACCTCATGGTTCTGGAGAAGCACTGCCGTAGCACGGTCGATAGCCGACACCATCTGGATGGGGCAGTTGAAAAGAGAGGCTCCCACACGCCGAGGGGTGGTCTGGACTTCGAGGGACCGAGCATCGGAATCAACCAGGCCGAGCTGGCCTTCATTTCTACCAAACGTGTAAAGCCCGGTGTGGGTGTAGACCACCGAATGAATTGAAGACGCCGCTGCGCCCAAAATGATTTCCTTCTTGAAGGGATTGAAGATCTGGCGGGGGGTCAACTGCATCGGGACATCATTCCGGTTGTTGGTCCGAGGCAGGCTGTAGCCTAGTTGCCCAAACTTGTTGCTTCCCCAACTGAAGATCTCGCCATACTCGGTGATTGCCAAGCTGTGATCCTGACCCAAAGCTACCGACATGACCCGCTTATCAGCGAGTCCACCGGTCTCGATACACACAAAGCCAAATTGGGTAGATTCGTCGCCGGTGCCCAGTCGTCCACCTGGGCCAAATCCGCAGATGAACAGATTCGATTCCGGGTCACTGGTGATGATGGCAGTATGTAGTTTGGACATGACAATGTTCTGAAACTTCAACGGCTTGTTCTTGATCAGTGCAGGCAAATCCTTGGAAGAGCCATGCTCAACGGTCTCCTCGAGCCCAAAGCGCTCAACGAAATCTTGATACTCGCGGTAGAACCGTTGCAGAAGATGGTCAGGCCGCTTCAGAGAGATGCGCTCTGGGAACTGTCGGTCGTCCTGGTCACCTAATCCGAGATTCAGGTTCTTGTTGCTTCCAAACGTGAAGACTTCGTCCGCAGCCAAGTCTGGGCATGCTCTTACGACGCCCCGAATCATGTAGCCTTCGTTTTCGGATTCGTCGCCGTAGGCCGATGGAACATAGTTGGAAGCAACGTCACTCATGGCATCTGCAAGTCTGTTGCTTGAGAGTTTCGCGGCGGAGCTGACCTTGATGTCACGCGATCTGATGGTTGCTCCATAGACATCAAAGGGACTGTACCCCTCTCGATCCTTGATCTTGATCAGGCCACCACTAGACTGGTTCCCCGGTTTGCTGAAGTCTGTTGCGTCGCGGGTGTCGCGCGCCATCAATGCGCGCGCGATCGAGACATTTCCCGCGTAGAGAGCTCGATGCAGAGCCGTCCATCCGCTCTCCCAGTCTTGCGCATAAATGTCCACAAACGGTATGTCCAGCAAGGCCCCCGCGAAGTGGGCAGCGGTCGACTTCGATGACGAGGCAATATGGTGTAGAAGCGTCCTGCCATAGTGATCTCGGGCGTTGATCTCGGTCCGTGAGAGGGTCGTGTTTCCGCGCTGCAAGCCTAGGCGATCCGGTGCAGATGTCCCAGGGGATTCATGAGCCTTTTTGCTCCTTGGGGGGTTGGGAGACGATGTGATCACGGATCCAGGGCTTCCGGCTTTGAAAGTTGCGACTACCGGCGGAGGACCCGCACCCACAGTTCGCTGGCTGGCGAAGGTCGCGCTGGCCAGGAACCGCTGGAAGCTCTCAACATCATCCTGGAGGAAATATTCCCACAGCTTGCTGCTCATGTGCCCGGAGTGGTCGACGCGCAGAATCTCCTATCGGACCCGAGCCAGAACGTCGCCGGGACCACGAGGTACCGGCGGGGAAGCTCTGTGGGCGACAAGAGGATTCTGGATCTGGACAAGAAGGGACTTGAGGCAAGTCGACGCGTGGTTTGCAAGTGTCTGGCGATTTGGAGGGGATGGCGCGGGGAGCAAAACTCGACTGTGCGGGCGGGCGATGACCGCTGGTTGCTTATCGCCGCGCGGGCTGGGGGGTTTCACGAGTGAGATTGAGGTGGGATGAGGGCCGTGAGGAGGGGGGAGGTAAAGGCGCAAGTAGTCGAGGATCGAGAGTCGAGGGCGAGGTGGGAGGGAGAAGAAAAGAGAAGGCAGAGTGAGAGTGTATCGGTCTTATCCATGGAATCTCCGACGCACGTTCCCTTGTTCCCCGGGCGCGGATCATCCACTGCGGGAGCTCGTGGGAGGATCATAGGCTGGCACTACATACTACATCACTAACGATAGAATTGAGAGAGGATTTCCATCAGTTGGAGTGTGTGTATATTTCGGCAAATGTCTACTGGATTCAACGGTCGTAGGAACCGGGTATCCATAGTGTTGGTTAAATGGCGGCAGGAGGACGGAAATGCCGCGACCATCGACGTCCGAGGCCACGAGCTGGGTGGCCTTTCCGGCCTCCCTCTGAGGTACTACGGACGATCCTAGGCACCTGGAGATGTGACTGCTGTCGGAGTCAAGGGGAACAAACGAATGACGGCGATCAGCTGTTCTTATCGGGTGGCCCGTGCCAATCCTCCCGGTCGGGGCGAGCCCTTTGTACTCCCAGGTACCATTGCGAGTGGCCGTGATGCGGGAGTACGGGTAGTGACAAGCTGTCGTGCGACGGGGATGGGGGGAGAAAAAGCAAAGAATATCTACGAGGGGAGGGAAGTATGGAGGAAAGGAACGAAGTGTTGTGGCTGACCGACCACTCGAGACCTATCGAGTCACCGGGTGCGTCACAGACCAGTATCTCCGCCCTCACTCACTCACTCACTTCCCCCTTCTCTTCTCTTCAGTCTCCCTGATATCCCACCCCTGCCTCACCCACCTTCCAACAAGCACACTTGGGTGGCCATGGTCGATTCCCTTTAAGAATCCCTAGACACCCATCTTCTCCCCACGGTTGCCTTTGCCTCAGCCCTGAGCGAGAGGTTCATGCGGAGAAGCTCTAGACCGCAGGCTCCAAAGGTCCCAGCTGGCAGAGCCCCATCCCATACGATGGTCCCGGCCTCTATTGTGGTCTTCTCGCGCTAGCGTCTCGTCTGCACCCAAGGCCTCCCCATTTTCGTTTTGTTTTTGTTAGCATGGCCTTCCGCATCGGTCCCTCCGTCGTCCCGTTGCGCTCCTGATAACACAATCCGACGGTGATCGTCGTCATCGCCCGCCATCACCGCCCGTCGGGGTACGAGCTATTGGAGACCTTGTGGTCACGACCCAACCGATTGCTAACCCCCTGTCTCCCTCAAGACCTCCACAATGCATCAGCATCCCCGGTCGCCGGCGGTGCCATCACCGACGCCAAACGTATCTTCCCGGCCGACGTCGGCTCGTGCAGATGACCTCAGAGACCAGGAACCCACCACGCCCAGCTCCCCAACGGCGGACATACGCACCAACCTCACAAAGGGCTTAGGGATCGAAGCGGGCTCTGAGTCTGCGGACCAGGTCCAGAGGAATGCCGCACCGGGAAAGGAGGCCATGGCTAAGTTGAACCAGATCATTTCGGTATAGTCGCGATCAACCAGCCCATTCTCCCACCGCACCCTACTAATCTGTGTTTCCTTGCTCTAGAATTATCATACAAAAGCGGCCTTGATCATTTTACACTCCCGAGTTGAACTTCCTCCCTCTTTCACCAAGGGGTCCGACACGCCGAGGGTAAATCGCTGGGTATGTCCCCTGTCACAGCCGTTTAGTCGACGTCTCTTGTCCAAACCCATGCGACTGGAAGCTGACTCTGATTCTTCCGTCCAGTTCAACGTTGAAGTAGACGATACCGACGTCCTTCGAGAGCCGCTCCGGACGTGGAGAACCTGCGATGCCTCCGACAACCGCCCACCGCCCCTCATCATCGAAACCTTCTTGGATACAAGGGGCCTCACCAACAACCAGAGTCTGGTTATTCTGGACGAAAATGGGAAACGGTGGGACGTGCAAGAGTCGCTCGCCGCTGCTCGAGGCTCTCCTGCCCCCAACCCATACCACTCGGACTCCGATGATATCATTTTGGAGCGGTGGACGATCGCTTTGGGAGAGTCATCTAGTAGACCCCCGGCCGATTTGGGCTCCATCTTGCCGACTGTGTATAAGAAAAGCATTGTCCTTTTCCGTTCTTTATTCACCTACTCGAAGTTCTTGCCCGCTTGGAAGTTCTCTAAGCGCAACACCAAGTTCCAAAGAAGTCCCGCTCTCCGGATCAAATATCGAGTGCTAGACGGGCGTGCCTCCCACAGTGATTCATCCCGAGACAACCTCATGGCGCCGCTGTACGAAGGAGATGGAAAAGTTGTCGATACCTACAGTTTTGGGATCACCGATTCCCCCGCAGGCCCTTTCTCGATCCAAGTCACCTATCGTACTAACTGCGATTTCCGCGTTGACGATTCGGAGGCTCTCCTGAGCTCGCGATTTATGGGTGCCGATGACGAGATCTTCCGTCCCTCTTTGCCCTCAGAAGAAGCCCCTCGACCCTTATCGGAAGCTGGGTCCGTGCCAGTGGAGAGAAGGACAGTGGAAAATCCTGATCGTACGCGAGCATATGGCAGCCTGTCGACATTCCATCAAGTCGGCCCAACGACTGGTGCAAGCCCTATCTCGGCACTCCGAGCGATTAGAGATGGCGGCGCCGGCTCTTCGTCCCAATCGGATTCGTCACCGAAGAAACCCTTCCCCGCGGCCAAGGTCAGTTCAGCATCACGCCCTAGCCACCAGCCGGCAGAAGGTGGCCAAAGTTTTCCACGGCGCCCGTCGGTGTCCTTCCAACCATTCAAGGCCCCTGCCCTCTCTGCATCTCCAGCCCTGGTCGAACCATCCTCGGCGCCGTCGCCCCGTCCCGGATCAGCCCGTGTACCGACAGGGACTTCTGCAGATTTCAAGACTATGCCGCCACCTTCGGTGGCAGCCTCTGCTCGTCGGTCTGCAGCTGTGGCGTCAGAGCACGCCATATCATCTTCAAACTCGGCATCTCCGAAACCTGCGCCAATATCCAGGTATAGCAGCTCGTTCACCCATCGACGGGGCCGGCCCTCATCTGGCGGGACCAACAAGATCGAAGACGACAATTCCAGCGGCAAAGCCAGCGCGACCTCGTCCAGCGCCCAGCCTGGCTCGGGGCTCCTTGCGGAGGGCACTGGTACGAGTGGTGAATCTATTCACGCAGATGACGAGAACATCTCCGAGTTCTTGAAGATGCTTGATTTGAGAAAGGATCTAATGAATCCGTCCAACTCCACGTCACTCGAATCTGGACCCCGCAAACCCACTGCGGCCTCGGCTGCCCTTACTCGCTTCCAGCGCATGCGTGATTCAAATGCTGCTCTTTCCGAGTCAATGTCATCGTCGATGCATCTCCGCCGCTCCTCAAATGCCTCTAGCAAGCAGTTGTCTGGTGTGCCGCCGATGGTCGCTGGCACGTCTGTCTCTACAGCCTCGTCGCCCGGGAAGCCAATTTCTCCGCATACTCCACACACTCCTGCCATCCGGTCTCGTCTGAGCTCCAACAGCGTCGCTGATGATATTGAACCGGAGCACGATCGTCAGAGAATACCGCGCATTGAGCATGACTCACCTCTTGAGGAGAATCCAGATGAGACAATACATCGTGATTCGTCCACAGCAGGCGCTATCGATATTCCAACTTCCCCACGTATATTTGCTCCTGCTTATCGACGATCAAGCTCAGCGGCCCAGCGTCGACGACCACCCGTCGTGAGTGATGACGATGAGATATTCCCATTTGGGATGCGTAGCGTCAGTCTGGGGGCGGAGGAGAGGTCGCATATGAGCCTCGGCGCGCTCCAGCAGCAAAACCAGCAACAATACTTGAGCCCAGATGCCAACGCGTATCAGACACAGCAAGAACGGCAATCCTCAGCAGAAGACCCCCACGCTCCATCTGAATCCGCAACGGGTCCGTACCGTGAATCTGAGTCGCTCCGTGGTCAAACATCATCGGGACAAATGGCAGCTTCATCTTCCTCCAATCCGAACCTCTATCAGCCTCGGTTCTCCAGCTCCCGCGGTCGAGGGTTCTCGGGTGGTCCTCACTCGCTGAGCTCTGCGTCCAGCAGTCTCCGCGGAGCCACCATCCCCTCCCACCTGGTGGAACGTGATGCAGATCGCGACGGCAATGTCAGCGGCAGTACGAGTGGAAACTCCACCGTCGAAGTCCGCCGAGGCTCAGGCCAACGGTCCAGTGGCGGCCGTACCCACCCATCACAAGCGCCTTTCGAGGAAGACGAACCGTTATTATTCGCTATGAGTGATTTCGGTGCATCTCGACGCAGCTTAGAGGAGGGCCGGCATGGAAACCATGGCGGTGCCGACTCTAGCGGTGGATCGAGGCGTGGCAGTGGCAGGCGCGGAGCTGGGCTACCGGGCTTTCATGTCTGGTCATAATCGAGTGTCCGCACACCATCTCTCTCCATACCTACTCATCCTCTCTTCAAACCCTCCCTGCTCTCTCCTCCTTTAGGACAGGCCCAAATTCATGGACTGACATCCTCCGTTCCATACGTTTTAGTGATTTGTTTCGTTCATGCGCGTTTGACTGCTTTGATAGACTGACCACACAATCACAGAGTGATAATTGGGACTTGTGCATAGAGCTTCGTTCAATCTTTGTTTCCTCTCACTTCTCTCTCCTCTCTACTTTTTCAGGTGTTTTGGTTTTCTTGTTATCTTTTTCTCTTTTTCTTTGAAATGATCTCTCACCCGATTTGTTTGCTACAGACTCCCATCCCTGCATGAGTGATATGACATGATGTCTGTTGGGCGCCTTGCTTTGCTTACCATACAGCCTTGGGTTATTTTTTTGGGTTTTTAGTTCTCTGTTCCCTTGATGATATTCCCAGGACTCTGCTTTTGTTTTGTTTTATTTTCCTTTTATCTCTTCAGCTTGCTACTACTCTGATTTTTTTTAATGTCTCTTGTGCCTGCGTCTGTCACGGGGGTTGCCACTGTGGTATGGATCTCTTTTTTTGGTACACAGACCGGTCTGTGCCTGCTCGGGTTTGTATCCTAGAGCCACATTTTTACATTTATATTGGAAATTGGAACTTTTTTCTCCATCCATACTTGATACGGGTGCTCTCTTTGGTGCGTAGTGCTGTAGTGACGACTTGCTACTACGTACCACGTTCTATACACGCTCACCTTCCCGTCAACTTGTATACCTGGGCAGTATGTCTAAGGCTACAAGTGTTTACAAATAAATCATACTCCAGGGTCATATAACGTTCAATCTCCCATTTCTTCGTCAAGGTTGACAGATTGGCCTATAGACATGAAACTAAATAAGTACATTAGTGGCCATGCCACACCACAGCACACAACATCCGTACAGTGCTTTATCCATTATTCGCAGTATTGACGGCGCAATAATCCAGGTTGTGCAGACTGGGATCAGGGTTACCAGCCCAGGTCCTATTAGATAAAGTCATTAGCATTCCTTGTATCCCAATAGCAGGTATTAGGTGGGGGAGAGGAGGGGGAAAAGACATACGGGAAGTTATATGATTTGCCCGAGCCACCGAAGATAGCAAAGGTCAAGATAAAAACGCAGACCTGGGTGCCGCCGTCCAGCGCCGCAGACACGATATAGTTGTACTTGGTGAAGTAGGCAGGGCGGTACTTGCGCAGCCACCATTGGGCAAAGAAGCCGATCGCGAAGTAGCTGAGGATGGAGGCGTTGATGCCCACAAACAAATATCCCATGTACCAGAGGATGATGGACAGGTTAATGTAGGCGAAGATCTTCTTAGGCCAGAACTTGTACGCGATCCAGAAGGGGAAGGGAACCACGAAGCCCAGCAGGAACGAGATTGTTACCCACTGGTACCGGCCGCCGACGGAGAACATGTCCTTGGCGATACTCCAAGCGATGGCTAGCGTGTTGAACTGCTGGATGTTCTGTCCGCTCCAGATGTTGGTGCCCTGGATGGAAAGCAGGATGGGCGCTTGGTTTTGCACGATCGTTAACATCATGATGTAGTTGAATAGGGCGCCGACGACGCAGCCGCCGACTTGGACGAAGAATGTGCAGCGCGGGGACAGGTGCACGTTCTGGGCTAGACGGAGGTCCTTGGCGAGTACTTGGCCCATTTGTAGTGAGTTGTAGGTGTAGCAGGTGAAGTAGAGGTTGGCTAGTGGACGGCCGGGGAACATGTATCCTGCTAGCATCTGGCAGATGGGCTGGACGTTGAACTGGAAACCGGTAATGCCCATCTGGGCGCCGAAGAAGAGCATGAAGATGAAGGTCAGCAGGTTGGCGATGATGAAGCCCCACCAGGGCAGGGTCGATTTCATCACGTAGAGACAGATGAGGCCGACGACGAAGCTGACGAGCAGCACGGCGCCCCACCACCAGTGAGGTGTTTCGTAGTACAGATTGCGCAGCATGAGCTTGTAGTGGGGATCGTAGCTGGGATCGTCGACCTTGCGCTGCAGACGCTCTTCGGGAGCTTCCTGGTTAGCCCAGAACTTGTAGGTCTGCGGCTTGAGGAATCTCTTCAGTTGGCTCGGGCTGGCCCACGACCATCCTGCTTTCATGTCGTCCCAGTTCCACAGCAGCATGTGCGTGAAGGTGGCAGTGAGACCCATGTTCGAGGTGATGAGGTAGATCAGGTAAGTGCCCGTCAGCCAGGGGAGGCCTTGTTCGCGGAGTTTGGCCTCGTTGATGGTGTGGTCGGCATTCATGATGAGGTTCTGGTCATAGGTATAGAATGTGGTGGAGGTGGAGTTGCCGTAGAACAGCAATTGGGAGAGGAAGGGGAAGTTCTGAGAATTAAAGATGTTGCCATAGTAGACTCCCATGAAGAGGATGATGCAGCCCAGGTAGCCGATCAACGAGTTGGTCAGGGCATACAGAGGATACCACAGGGGAGAGCCAGTCGAGGCAATGTACTGCCAATCGAAACACACAGACACTTTGTGGTGGGTTAGTTAGTTAGGGTTTGGGTGGGATAGTCGGCAGGACTCTCTACTCACAGAAACCGAGACCCTCGTTACCGGAAGCACCGCCAAAGAGATTTGTGAAGATGAGATTGTTCTGGTCAGCAAGGCAGAAGATCGAGACACCTTCAAGAACAGGGAAGATCCACTAAAATATTATGAGAATTGGTCTTGCAGTGAACCGATGGAAGTGGTGATCTTACCTCGGGGATGATTTCCCAGAAGAACAACACAGTGAACACAACATAGAAAACCTTCAGGCGAGATTTCGACTCGACCTTATCCCGGTGAAGCGATTCCAGCAGTGTACTGATCGGCAGGGTCATAGGCCACAGCATCTTCGTCGGGCGCACCAGGACTTCCCTAAGCAGACCAGCAATTCCATAACCAATCAGCTGAGACGACAGCGTGATAAAGATACCCGCAGCGTGGCTCGGGTATCCACCGTAGAAGAGCTGCTGCGCAGCCAAAGCCTGTGTCGCGAGGGCGGATTGTCCCGCGGCGGAGGCCATGAGAGCAATCGCGGCATGCTCTTTGCTGTTGAAGGGTCCTGGGTTCAGAAAGTTACCGAGCCATCCAATGCGAGGAATTCCATAGGCCATGCCCTCGCCGAGAACATAGGCAATAACCGTCAGGAACACCTGCGAGACGAGAATGGTCTGCGGCTTGAAGTAGAAAATCTCCTGGAGAACCGAGGCAAAGATCGAGAGTCCGACGCCTATGATAATGAAGCTTAGTGGTTAGTCTTGGCATAACTACTATATACCCGAAAGAAAGACATACCTAGAAAGATCGTGCGGACGGTCCACGGATTGAGAGATGGATCATCGTCGACGTGGAGCACATTCGTGACCAGCTCCTCCGCGGTGTCGGCGTGGATGTTCTCCTTCTCATCATTGTGTTCGATATCATCATACGACGGAGGCACCGGGTCGGTCGACGCCATCGCCGACTTTTCCTGCCCATTAACTCCATCCGATGGCGAATCCAAGAAGCTCTGCTGCCGCTTCTCATCCACAGCGGCCTCTTGAGGCGTGGACTCGGCCACATGAGGGTCCTCGGCCCCAAAGTCCGGATCGGAAGACATCTTCGCAAAACAGCCCGCCTAGATTTTGTAAGGCTGGGAATTGGTTTGTTTAAAACGTGGGAGGAATCTTCTCAGGAAGCCTCACAATCCATTTTTTTTTTGCCCCCTTGGGGCACTATCCAGAGTATTTATCTCATTATTAATGGCCGGGGAACCAGTGCGCGCCAGTGCGCGCCAGTATACAACGCTGCCGATGCTACCCCGTGCGTGTTAACCACGTTGGGAATCGCGTTAGCCAGTCCGGGAAGGTCGATAAGTGATCTCTCGATGGGACTGGCTGTAGCCCCCGCATCCTATGGAGCCGACGCCTCCCTCCTTGATCCTTATCCGGGAGCTGAGTGGATAATATCCCAACACCAACCATCACGCGCACTAACTAAGTTTAGTTATCTCTGACATCGGGTTAATTAGATTATTATTTCACGATACGCTCAACAGACTGTCTGTGCGGGGGCTAGGGTATGTCCGTCGGGAGGAATCTGGTTGGGGGGGATGTTCACAATCGCCGTCGGACACCGACAGGGCAGCGTCTGCCGGGGGCCAGATTTGAACTGTATACTGATGTCCAACCGCTTGGCAAAGCTTGGTTCGCTCGCCTAGAAAACCCTCTAGAAAATCATGTGTGTGGGTCTTTTGGAGTTCGCCCCTTTTCTCTCTGTGGTTACTGTATATGAGGTGTTCCTAGCGTCGGAGTAAAAGAGGCGATAAGGCCTAGTAGTGTTAGATTAGCGGGAATTTACGAAATACGCTATGCCAATCGGAAAGTGGCCATTTTTTGGATTGCCAGACTAACTATAGTACAACAATACGAGTGGGTATATCCAGTAGCCGACACTTGGACTTCTGTGTAAATCCCGATCAGGTAGATCCAAGGGAGAAGATCAGTCTGTGGGATATGTTATAAGATGCAGTTGTAGCATGGTTGTGAATGAACGCCTCACATCTCACTAGCTGCGACGCCACAGAAGGTCGGGGCTAAGGCCCGCCCCGGACGGTGGCGTGGCTAAACATTCATGGCAAAGCCAATGAATGCGACACAGCTCTACCAGGGCCGTGTGAATGTGATTATACAGTCTGACCAATCTCCATGCAGAGTAGAAGCTGTATGGGCAGTTATGCCCCTGGAAACAAAGTGTGACTTCGAACACATCAAATCCCATTTACATCTTTCGGAAAGTGTTTCCTGAGGCACTGCGCCGCTCCTTGGCACGGAAGCTTGTGTTTTTGTCATACTGGACTGCAGGCTCCGTATTGCGCTTCTTCGACTGAGGAGCGAAGACCATTTCCTGCTCGCCAACAATGCCGCCGCGTCGCGAAGGTTTCTGTTTCGACTTCATGTTCTGTGCGCGCGAACCAAATGACCGGTCCCGTGCTGAACTGGCGTTGGTTGAAGAAGAGACCTGCATGCGAGGCGGAGGCCGCTTCGTCCGCTTGTAGTCGGCAGAGGAGATCTTGCCGGAGGATTTAGCTTTGACGGGTCTCTCCTGCTCGCTCTCCGAGTCGGAGCCGTCAGAGCTGGAATTGGGCACGTCATCCACAGCCTCTTGCTCGACGGCGGTTAAACCACGCTCCTTTCGCTCGGCGGATTCGGGGCCAGTGCTGGGGTTTATGAGTTTGAACTCAAATGAGTTCTCGTCAACAGCAAAGTCTTCGTCCTCAAACAGCTTGGTGAAACGGCTGTCTCCCAGCACGCCAGTTGTCTCAGAAGGAGTAGCAGTCGGGACATCGACCATCTCCTCGTCACCACCACGCTCGAGCACGCGCTTGGCCCGCCGACGCTCGTTCTTCTCCTCTGCGTTCAGCAGCTTCTCGGCGAGCTTCTTGTTCACCTTGACAGCAGCCTTCTTCTTGCCGCGGATGCGACTCTCGCGTTCCTTGTCGATCTTCTCCTTCACCCTCTTAGCGCGTTCTTCTTCCCAGATGTAAGGGTTGGTAATCAATCTGGCCTCCTCGTATAGTCGCTGGGCCACAAAGTAACCATGCATGTAAGGCCGCAGGAGGTTCGTCCGTCCAATGAGATGCTCCAGGTTCAGAGTCCGCAGCTGGGGCACAGTCAAGAACTTGAAATTGTCGTAAACAGCGCCAGCCTGGGTACTGGCGAAGGCATTCGGGTCGTTCGGATCCTCGGCCATCTCTTCGACGAGGTTGTCCAAGAAGGAGCACCATTTCGGCGCAGGCCCCAGTTGCGGGATGAAGAACGAATGCTGCTGTCGTCCTTCGTTTGCCGTTAGGATCATGCCGCTGTCTTTGCACCAAGCCACAGAGTTGATGTCAACGGCTGGCTCGACCGAGGTCCACGGAGTGCCGTCGCGCGGATCCCAGATTTTAATAATGCGCTTATCGGCAGAGAGTATCTTGGGTTCCATTGTGGCATCCCGCGTCGCAGAAGATGACTGGAGGAACGTCAGGGTGTGAATTGGGAAGCCATATCCTTGGTCCTTCTTCAGGAGAGGAACAGGCGACCGAAGATCATAGAGGTGAATCAGGCCGTTCGACGAGCCGGTGCCCAGGGTAAGGCCAGAGCGCTGAAATTCCAAGGCAGTGATCTCTGAGCGGGCATCCTCTGGCCCAACCTGAGTCGGCGGCAGCAGCACACCCGCGCGGCCCTTGGCTCTGGAATCCCAAAGCTCCACAGTCCCGATTGTTGTACCAAACGCCAAGAGTCCGTGGCTATCTTCCGCAATAGCGCCTGTATTGACCGCACCAGTGTTGATACCACCCTGCAAGGCACCTCCACCGGTTGATGTAAAATCGTCACCGCCGACATCTACCTCAAAACTGCGCATGTATCGCCCGAGCTCCAGATTCAATCGGAAAACCTCTCCCATACCATCAGCATTGACTCCCACCGCGGGCACCAATGCCTCGGTGGACTGGCGATCATATAACAGATCCCGTCCGTATCTTGGGAGCCTTGTAGTATAGTGGCATCCTGACGGGGTGTGGAATTCGAGAGAGCGGTCAGACTGGAGGTGAAGGGACTTGGAGTAATCGGACGAGAGTAATCGGAAGGTTGTATTGAGAGCAACTGTATGCCGGGCCCAGGACAGCGACAGCTGGGGCAGGTAGTGGGTATGGATTTGCGGCTTGTATGTTCCTTTTTGAAAAAAAAAATTAGAGATTGCGCCAACCAAACCAAAACTGCGTATGGTTGTGGACAAACCTGTGCTCATCACCCAATCTCCGTCTTCACTAACCCGAATACATTGGCTGGCTTCCTCGAATTCAAAATCCTGGAGCAGCTCAACGCGGTTCGCATATTCGGGATCATCTTTCAAACTGCGCTTTCGACGCCGAGCAAGCCATTCGGGCAGCGGGCGCGCAGTGTTGGAGCCCGAGATGGTATACACCGGGACCTCAGACTGGTTGGTCAGCTTCATGGTGGGCGAAGCAGTTCAACCGATCGAGTGGTGTTCGCTGTAACTTTTGGGGCCTGGAAAAGATAAAGAAAAAAAAGGCGGCGATAGCAGATTGGGTGGCACGTGACCAGGTCCCGTGCCGATCAGCATCCGGTCCGGGGCGAGTCGGTTTGGTCTCTGTTGATCCTCATCGGGAGTTGCGTTTCAATTCTTGGTCATCGGGCACTGACTTCTTGCTCTGTTCGATCCTTGTTTTCTCCATTGTCTCCCTCTTCTAGTCAAAGTCAATTTATTATATGGGCTTCCAGTCCGCACTTCCCACCCCCTCCCCGTGCGGAGAGATGGCTTCCATCAGCTGAATGACGCGCCGCCCTTCTCTGCTGTGCGCTTTTTCTACCCCTGGTGGACCGTGCAATGCAATGGAAATGACGCCCAAGTTGGACATTACGATCTCATTTTCCCCTTCGAAAAGCGTAGAACCCGGTGAGCAGCAGTCCTCGAATCATGGAATTCCCCGGGAGCGCGAACACCAACGTTCATCTCATTGTGAGTACCTTAGCAAAGATGACTCGGTGATAAAAAGCTAACTGCCATTTGTAGGATGGGTTCTCCAATATCTACTGGAGAATATATACGGAAGAGCCAGGCATTACCAACCAGCCCTCCGAGACTCCGGCCAATGGTTACACCATTCTGAAGCATCTGGGTCGCCTAAAAGATCTCGAAACTCGACTGCGGAGTTTTAATTGTCTAGCGTCATGTCCGAGGCGGCTTGGTCTTTGGATTTTTTCGCCCACTCCCAATTTCGAGAGTCTGCGCTCCCTGTACATCACAGAAGGGGATGAAGAATCAACCAAAATCTCTGTTGATGCTTCTACTTTACGAGGTCAGTGTCTTATTTACTTACCGATGTTCGATAAAGCTGACACGATAGCAGTCTCCGCCTCTGGGAGTATAACGTCGCTGGATTTGATCAAAAGCCTCTCTTCAGACACGCAGGGCCATCATGCTACCTCGTCTGCAGGTGCTCAACGGCCTCAGCAAGGCCAGGGTTCCTCTCGGCGAACAGACGGCTACAATAGTTCTGCCGCAATTTATGGCTCTTTTATCTCCGCTGTCACTGGCGCACTCAGCTTTCAGCTAATTCGCCACCACGGTGCTTTGCCCCTCGGGGCTCGCACCTTTTTTACCGCGGTGGAGACGCTCGGTTACGAAAACCCCAGGATTGAGAACGATAGTATTTTGTCGACGTCTTGCCTGACAACTCTCAATATCCAATTGACCGCATCTGGGAAATTGACTGTTTCTACCCAAACGATCTCTCAAATCGGTGTCACCCGTCTGTGCAGCCCCCGTGACGACATAGCAGACGTCCTCAACATCCTACCAGGGACGGATCTTTGGTTATGTCCTTCCGGAACCGTTGCTAGGCTGGTCACGGCCAATGTCGAGACACCCATGGTATCTTCTCCAGGCCTTTCGAGTACGAGGAATGGAAATACTGCCGCAAAACGACGGCAGTGGAAGCTTGATGTTGTTCAGTGGCTTGCCAATTTTGGCCTGCCAGTTGACTCTATCGATGAGGAAATCTGGGTAGAGATCGAGGTTTGGGAGCCATTTTTCGCCAGATTGGCTGGAGAA